ATCCCACCCCCAATTAAATCGAGTACTCGTGATAATAATAATAATAGTAGGTAGCAGTAGTAAGACCATAAGAAACGACACGACACACATATGCAGTGGCTCCACTCCAGGCCCGAGGGGAAATACAAGAACAGGGCGTGAGAGACACCGGAGGCGGTGTCGACCAAACAGGAAATATACCGACCGCAATGCCAGAGACCACGGTCCTGCGCAGTAACTGTGCGGACCTTAAGAAGATGAGAAGGAGGAGAGGAGGGGGTCAGATGCGAAGTCGAGTAGCATCAACAGTACATTTTAAAGAGAAGGAAGGCCCATTCAATCTAATCGGTCTTCTTTCAGATCCCTGGAATAAGCTTTCTGCACGTGTCGGGAGCCCCTGCCATCCAACTCGAGCATGAATAAGATATCTCGAACCTGAACTCCCGAGCCCTTATCCTTATCCTCCCGCCAAGCTCCAAGCCGCTTGGTGGGTGCGGCAGCCGTTTCACGCCCAGGTTTCTCAGGACTGGCACCACTTGGGGTCGCTGTGCTGACACGAGACGGGGTAGAGAAGCCACTGCTGGCGGCTGCAGGCCCCCGATTCAACCAAGAGTACGACTTCTTCGTTCCAAACATCCGACCTGAGAGCATACTATTGGTGGCGAGTCGCGCGGTTTCCACGGATTGTTGATGTTGCTGAGCCTCGCTTGCCTTCGCATCCATGAGTTTCTTGGCTTCCTTCTTGGAGATTCCCTTCTTGTCGAGAATCGGAGCTTTCTCTGCGATCGGTGTGGAGGCACCGGAAGCAGGAATATCTACAGATTCGGCTCTGACCATCCCACCTTCGCCTAGAATGGCACTCGCGCTGCGCTTAGCACGTTTGGCAGCCCGGTTCTCTTCGCTGGAATTATCCCTTTCCATGAGTACACGGTACTTTTCAGCTAGTGATTTCGTCGCTGGCTGCTCAGTTGCTGAATGAGATCCTGTGAATGGTCAGCTCATATCAAAGAGTTCGTTTGGGGGCAGCTCAACACACGTTTGAGTGGAGGTGTTTTGTCACCTGCTCCAGTCCCATTAGGCATGCCAGACGAAAGAGCCATATCTTTCCATTCAACAGGAACGACCCCATGTGAGTGTGCCCGCCGACTTCGTGCAAGAGTGGAAGAGTAGTCGACAACGGCACGCAACCGCTCCTCACAAGATATCGACATCAAATTCAGTATGTCCACCAAGGGCGCTCCTTCTTGATTTAGAATAGTCTGCCCGGTACGTACAACAGATGATCCGTCTGGACCAGTAACTTCAATCGGCTGTGGACGGCCTGGTACTGGATGGAACAAGCCTTCGGCAGGTATACGAACGCCAAGCTCGAAGCCACGTCTTTGCAACTTTTGCTCTAGAACCTTAGTCAACAAGAACGGCTCTTGCAGGTGGTACTGAGCACGTCTAGCCGCTTCGCTATCTTCTCGCGTTGGTTCATTAGGATCTTTGAACGGAAGAGATGCTGGTGGTGGTGGCTCAGAATAGAATGATTCTTGAGTTGTTGATGGTTTGTATGGTGAGGGTTCGGTGAAGCTCGGTTGTGTGGATACCGTCGAGGCTTGAGACGTAAACGACGTATTCAGTGGAGGTTGTGTTTGCTGTTGCTGTTGCTGCTGCTGTTGTTGTTGCTGTTGTGGAAGAGGTTGTTGGGGTCTAGGAGGCTGCTGCACCTGAGCGCCCGGGGCAGAATAGCTGCTGGTAAGAAACGCTTCTTCCTCCCTAACATCAATACCGGATGAGGCCAAAACATCTGTAAGCTCTGCGGCATCCGTCGCTTTGTCTGCTGGTCGAGAAGGAGGTCCCATCGTGCCTGGAGGTGGGGGGGCAGGCGTCTGTGGGCCCACACCGTTCAGATTCGCTCCATTTACGGGTATTGGTTGATTCTGAGGTAGTTGTAGCGTTCCAAAGCTCGGTGAAGCGTAGGGTGATTGTGGGAGAGGTGAGAGATGTTGTCGTTTAATAGGTGGAGGGACGCCACCATTCACTGGGGAAGTTGCACCCGGGGAGGGCGAAGAGCCCGGGGGCGAGAAGGACTGAGAAAACTGCTGCGGTTGTGTTTGCGCCATGATGTCTTGCGGTTCTCGATTTTTCGAGTAGTGAATTCACACAAGGTATCGGTTTCAAATTCGGTTCACGTCTATCGAGATGCAAAGGCCACGCCCGCGCGAAAGTCGAAACTGAGCGGATTGCTCGAACCGCCGCTGCCACCAACTGTAACCATCTCAGGAAATCGCGTCCAACATAGAGCCGTCAGATAAAACCAACATAAGTACCCTAACAAGACAGTATTTGCGTGTACGGCGAATAGACCGGGTCTAACCGTGTCGTTCGCAGAAGGAAGGGAGCTTTTCCTTGGACAAGATTTGCGGATCCCGCTAGAGGATCACGTGATGGATTAAGTAAGCGTACAGCGAAAGCGCGTTTCTTTCGTTCCACCATTACTCCGATTGATCTTCTAGAGGTCAATCAACACAGGTTCAAGACATCGGCCGGGGAATCCTCACTCACCGTTGTCATTCAGTTCCCAGGCAATTGGCCTATTATATTTTATGCCTGTCATGGCTTGTTTACTTACAACATATTAAGTGTTACATGAGAGAGACAGCTTCACCAGAGTCCTCGTCTTGCACTAGCGTCCCATCCCATAATCTCTGAAGAGTCACTGTGACGGAAAAGATAGATAGTTCTTTGTTGCCACAATACCTGCTAGACACTTTGCATAATGGCGACAAAACGAAAGGCGTCGGCGTTGAACGCCTCTGTCGATGATGGTCCTGTCGACCCATCGGATGAGCTGGGGTTCTATTGTCTAGGTGGAGGAAATGAGGTTGGCCGATCATGTCACATTATTCAGTATAAGGGAAAGACGGTCATGGTGTGTGGCTACCTGGGCATCTTCTATAAGTGGTTAAGGCTAACCGATTCCATCCTGACAGCTCGACGCCGGTATGCATCCTGCGAAAGAGGGTTTCTCTGCTCTCCCCTTCTTCGACGAATTCGACTTGAGCACGGTGGATATCCTTCTAATTAGCCAGTATGTAATTGACCCCTCTCCTTTGTACCCGCGAAATTCGTCTTGGTCCATAGCCATTCGCGCATGCAATAGCGTTCCTTCATTCCTCAGGAGCGGTGTCCAGTTCTTGATTGTGGATAAACCTGTCATTAGTGGAGGTCTGGTTCTCCTCGACGCACAGCTTACTTCTACCCATGTATACGAGAAACACAATACAATTTATACTAGCTATTTATCCTGTGCTCCGACTGTATTTCTGTATATGTGCATCGCTTTTGGCATTCTTGGCTCTTTGCGTCCTTAGTCTCTTCTGGGTACCTTAGGGTCAAGCAGGTGGCTGATAGATTCCTTCTTAGTTTCCACGTTGATCATTCCTCTGCTCTACCATATGTCCTCAGCAAGACAAACTTCAAGGGTCGCGTTTTCATGACGCATGCGACCAAGGCCATCTACAAATGGCTTATTCAAGACAATGTACGAGTCAGCAACACAGCATCCTCATCGGACCAACGTACCACTCTATATACCGAACATGATCACCTATCCACACTTCCACTAATTGAAACCATTGATTTCAATACGACCCACACAATCAACAGCATTCGTATCACGCCTTTCCCTGCTGGTCATGTCCTTGGTGCTGCTATGTTCTTGATTTCGATAGCTGGTTTAAACATCCTCTTTACCGGTGATTACTCGCGTGAAGAGGATCGACACTTGATTCCAGCCGAAGTGCCAAAGGATGTGAAAATCGATGTGCTTATTACCGAATCAACGTTCGGAATATCCTCCAACCCACCTCGTTTAGAACGTGAAGCTGCTCTCATGAAGTCAATCACCGGAGTCTTGAACCGCGGCGGTCGAGTGTTGATGCCCGTGTTCGCTCTCGGTCGTGCTCAGGAGTTGCTACTAATCCTTGAAGAGTATTGGGAGACACACCCCGAACTACAGAAAGTGCCCATCTACTACATCGGAAACACAGCACGAAGATGCATGGTCGTGTATCAGACATATATCGGCGCAATGAATGATAACATCAAGCGACTTTTTCGACAGCGTATGGCGGAGGCGGAAGCTAGCGGCGACAAGAGTATTAGTGCAGGGCCGTGGGACTTCAGGTTTGTCAGGAGTTTGCGAAGCCTGGAACGTTTCGATGACGTAGGGGGCTGCGTTATGTTGGCCTCCCCAGGTATGCTGCAGACAGGCACAAGCAGGGAGCTGCTTGAGCGCTGGGCTCCAAATGAACGTAACGGTGTTGTCATGACCGGTTACAGTGTGGAGGGTACGATGGCTAAGCAGCTACTTAATGAGCCCGAGCAAATTCCTGCCGTGATGTCAAGAGCGGCGACTGGATTAGCAAGGAGGGGCGGCAATGAGGAAGACCAGAAAGTCATGATTCCAAGAAGATGCACTGTCGACGAAGTCAGCTTTGCAGCTCATGTTGATGGCGTTGAAAACCGAAACTTCATCGAGGAAGTTTCTGCTCCTGTTGTGGTATGTTGTTCGTCTGTTCTACGCATAGACCCATTTTCTAATCGTATTTCAGATTCTTGTTCATGGTGAAAAGCATCAGATGATGAGACTGAAGTCCAAGCTGCTCAGTCTGAATGCGGAGAAGACTGTGAAGGTTAAGGTGTATACTCCAGCTAACTGTGAGGAGGTCCGCATTCCGTTCAAGAAGGACAAGATTGCGAAAGTCGTCGGGAAGCTGGCCCAGATTGCGCCGCCTTCGGAGCAGGATGACGGCCACCTCATGGCAGGAGTTCTCGTTCAAAATGGATTCAACCTGTCATTAATGGCACCCGATGACCTGCGTGAATATGCTGGCCTAACGACGACCACTATTACTTGCAAGCAACATATAACACTCAGCTCTGCAAGCATGGACCTTATTAAATGGGCGCTCGAGGGCACCTTTGGTGCTATCGAGGAGATTGGCACAAATGCTAATGTCAAGGAAGAGTCGACGGATGGTGAATTATCTAAGACATCCGAAGAAGATTCTAAACCCAAAGATGAAGCTGCCGATGAAGAGATCCCTATTGAAAAAGAACAGACCTATCTTGTCATGGGCTGTGTAATCATCCGCTACTTTCCCCGTACTCGTGAGGTTGAGCTTGAGTGGGAAGGGAACTTGATGAACGATGGGGTTGCCGATGCCGTTATGGCGGTTCTGCTCACGGTTGAGAGCAGTCCTGCATCTGTGAAACGTATGTGGAAAATTCTGCCTGATATAGGAAACCGCATCTGGATACTGACACACACTTTCTCTACAGAATCCGCTAAGCAAAAGCATCATCATCATAATCACCACCATCACAACACCCTTGAATTTTCCAATCCGCACTCACAGCTAAGCTCTGAGGAACGCTTCGCACGCCTTCTAATGATGCTTGAGGCACAGTTCGGATCGGACATATCACCTATTGAGCGTCCACGCCTCCCCTCAACTCGACTCACCAATGGGGCAGCCAAGAATGAAGCGTCGACACCAATGAGTGTTAAGAATGAATCAGATCCCACGGAGCAAACGACTCAAGATAATGAAGAAGACGATGATGAAAGGTTAGCGGAACTGGAAGCAGCCGAACTTGCTCGGCTTTATGCTCTTGGAATTCCAGTTCCTGGAATTGAGATCAGAGTCGACAAGCATGTCGCGCGAGTATGGCTTGAGGACCTTGAAGTCGAGTGTACAAATGCAGTTATGAGAGATAGAGTTCGAGTAGTCATTGAGCGTGCCGTTGAAACCGTTGCTAGCATGTGGGCTGAGGGTCCTCCGTCTGCTACTGCAACTAACGGTGAGGCTAAGGAGAAGCTGGAAGGGTTGCCGGCTTCCAATGGTGCTGGGATTGACGCAACAGCTTGATGTACCTACTATATGCTGTGTATTAATAGATTTCTTGGACGTTCTATATCTAAACTTGAGGAATACCCAGCTGAGTATTTTGGTTGATTTGACGTTTGAGCGTTGTGTAATACCGCAAGCTCATATATTTACATTGCCAGAAATCGGGCATATATACGTTAACACTCAAATCTCCAATACTTTCGTAAAAACATGATCCAGAACTCTAGCAGTAGTCTCCACGATAATGTCAATCTCATCCTTATTTACGTTATATGGAGGTGCGAGGAGGATATGATCTCCACGTGTTCCATCCACGCATCCTGCAGCCGCATACAACGAGATCCCATATGCCGAATCGCGACCAGTTTCCTGGATATGGACTGCCACTTCCGTCTCCGGAGTGAAGGGCTCTTTAGTGACCCGATCCTTGACAAATTCAATCTACCATAGCCATTGGTTAGCATTTTCCAAAATCAAGCATCGGCGCCCATCTCAGATATCTTAGACTCACCCCCCAGAATAGTCCTTTTCCGCGAATATCTCCGACATATGGATGATCTCCGAACCGAGTCCTGAGCTGACTCCCCAAGTACTCCCCCATATTTCGTACATTGCTTAGTAGATCTTCTTCCTGGATGACCTTCTGCACAGCCAGCGCAGCAGCACACGATACAGGATGGCCCTGGTACGTTTGTCCGTGGCGGAAAACGCCAGTGCCTCTATCCAATGTCTGCACGATCTTCTCTCCGATCAGAAGACCAGATACGGGAGCATATCCGCCTCCAAGGCCTTTTCCAATCGTCTGAAGGTCGGGAACTACGCCTTCTTGTTCCCATGCATGTAGCGTACCGCAGCGACCCATGCCGCTCATTACTTCGTCGAGGATGAGAAGCGCTCCGTACTTTTCGCACACTGCTTTCATGGCTTTGAAGTAGCCGGGAACGGCCAAAACGGCTCCTAGAGCCTTAAATATTTCAATAATCAATCACTTCATTCTTAAACCAATCAAGGTATATGAGCTAGTACTTACAGCTCCAACCACTGGCTCTGCGATAAAAGCACAAACATTCTCCGGTCCAACACGTTGGAACTCAGAATCCAGCTCTGCAGCCAGGCGAGCAACGTAGTCCACATCTGTTTCGCCGTCTTTCTTGCCCCGATAGGCGTTACAGGGCGACACATGGGAGGTATTCTTGGATAGTAATGGTTCAAATGGCTGTCGTCTAAGGACATGTCCTCCCGCGGACAAAGCGCCCAATGTGATGCCATGATAAGAGGGCTCTCTGGCGATGAACCTAGTACGCTGAGGCTGGGGCGTGGGTAGCTCGAGGTAATACTGGCGCGCCAGTTTCAATGCTGCTTCGACAGCTTCGGAGCCTAGAATGTATTTTTTTAATAAAATTTGATTTTTTCCATACGAACAGAATAGAATATGAACGCTTATACCATACCTGAACTAACTATATACACCTTCGACAGCTTGCCTCCCGTTGAATCGACAAGGAATTGAGCTAGTTCTTCAGATACCTCGGTACCAAAGAACGCCGTGTGGCAATATGCTAACTTGTTGATCTGGTTGATAATGGTTTGGCTGACCTTCTCATGGCCGTGGCCGAGACAGGATACGGCTGCGCCGCCGGTCGAATCGAGAAACTTAGTGCCATCTTCAAGAAAGATATAACTGCCTTTTCCGCCGATTGCTTTCTTGGGGAGAAAGCGGGTATCACGGTGAAGGACGGCGCTATTGTTCACTCCTTTAGTCATGGTTGTATACATTGGTATGATGACTAGGGCTGGTAGTTGTGAGAAAGGTTATAGGTCAAAATGTTAGAGTTGAGTAGCATCAATAAGCAAGAGGAAAGAAAAATTTACAAGACCATGGACAATCTGTTACGCTAGGGGAATTTCGTCAGCCTTTATACCCCTTACAACTCCTCCTTAGTCTATGATCTATATCCTATTAATTCGTGGGGTAGGGCCGGGGTCGGCATGCCGATCGAGATCCCGAGCGGATGGTTGGCCGCGCCCACCGACGGCCCGACTGTTCGGCACTACTATATGTACAATGCCTATCTTGGTTATTGTGATAAATCGACAGTTCCTTCTGACTCATTTGTGATGATAAACAATTGCAGAGTATGTGAAGATAAGCCCTGCATCAAGCACGTCTTGAAGGTCGTTATCAGAAAAGTGGACATAATATAATGCTCTAGCCTAGGGCTATTATTGATGAACATTGTTTGATGCCTAAGTTAAATATGTGACAGTTAGAGGATAGAAAGAACTAGGCCTAAATATTCACATTTATATGCCTTGTTCTTTAGCTGCTGAAATCTACATGCTCCACCGCTGTGAGCAGCTGTATTCCATATAGTCAGTTTCAGTGGCATGAGTGATCCAGTAAACAAGTGGTGCATTGACAGAACATGATGACTATATGTACATGTGTATCAAGTGATGTTGCCTTTAGAGCAAATTGCAGTGGTCAGAAATATTGATTTGCATATTAACTCAGGTCTCTTCAGGTGTTATATCATTCTTGTTTCTCTCGCCCTATAATGAAATAAATATTCTTAGTACATTGGGAATTCGCTGCAACCTGATTCAACTGAGCTTAGTTTTCCTCCTTGATACTATAGTGTAGCTAGTTATTGTTGTCTACAGCAGTTGCTGGTAAGTGACAATCTACTTAGAGTATATATTTCAAAGACGGCTATGGTAATACTATCAAAAAAAGGTGGCCTATTTAAGTATGGTATTTTGGCACAAAACAAACAAAGTCAACTAGGCTAAGGTTGAGACAATTACAAAACGCTTGGAGTAATTTTTTTTTTTTTTTTTTTTTCATTTCTTCCCATTTCCTAAAGAGAGTTGTTGTACCTGAACAGCTCCCTCTTATCCAAGAGTGCGGGCGGTGGAAACTCTCCGCTCCGGACCTGGAGCCACTAAAACTCCATTCCGCACAACAAGGCCAACTTGAACGTAGGCTGGCAGTTACCCTAATACACTCCTCGACGCGCCAATTTCCCTCCGTTTATCCCTATCAACCCTTCCCAGGGTTTATATCTCGTTGACAAAAGTCACAATGTCACGACACGCACAAGTAGAGGAGGTGTACGACTCCGATCCGGATGAGGTTGCCCCCTCCGACGCCATGCCCTCCAACTTCGCCAATGAATCCCTCCTCTCCGCTACGGGTATCCCTACGCAGGCTTCTTCCTCGATACCCATGAGACCGCCACCCGAACCTCAGCGCGAAATCCCGAAACATTATCAGTGTCTGTATCCCGTGTATTTCGACAAGTCGCGAACCCGTGCAGAGGGCCGCAAGGTCGGCATTGAACTTGCTGTCGAGAACCCATTGGCCAGGGAAATCGTCGATGCTGCGCAAATGCTGGGACTGCAAGTTGGGTTCGAGCCTGAGAAATTACACCCGAAGGATTGGGCAAACCCGGGTCGAGTGCGGGTGCTGTTGAAGCACGAGGATGGGAAACTGGTCAACCCGAAGATTAAAAACAGTGAGTTATTCTTGTCATTTTTGCCATGGGTCCTTGTGTTTTTATCTTCATCCTGGCCTCGATGCTCGTACCTGCGGGCGGGCGATACTACCCTGGAACATGATGCTAACGTGTCTTCAGAGCACCACCTCTATATCCTTGTGGCCCAGTATCTCAAAGCCCACCCAACAACCGAGAAATCGCCGTACCGTTTGAGAATTAGTGGTCTGCCAATGCCAGACAAGCTTCCCTCGGCTCCTCCTGCCCCCCGCGGATGGAAGATTGGCACAATCCTTCCGATACACTCGCCTGCCTACAGTGGCGGCGGAGTCAGCGACAACCCGCTCAAGGATGCCATGGCCGAGATGCAGGGGATGCAAGGTATGCCGGGAATGCCTCAGATCCCCGGAATGGCTGGGTTGGCGGGAATGATGGGAGAGCCCGCTGGAGGCAGTGGCGAAAAGAAAAAGAAGGACAAGAAGAAGAAGTGAAAGGCATAGATTGGCCTCTCGCAAGGATTTATTACGATTTTCTACCTGTCCATATTGTGTACACGTTTTTGGCTGCATTGTACGGGCGTAAGGCGTTTGTTTACACATATAGAGGGCTTCAATGCTCTTGTCTGATACCAAGCTGAAATCGAAAGTAGTATTGTGAGGGCTTTCAGCCGATCACCGACTTTGTGGTATGAACGCCGTAAATAGTCGCAGCGTGAGCTGTGAAATGTCCTTGCGACTTTCCATAGATACCCATTTGATATGCCCGGACATGTGACTCATCGCATGCAGGCAAAACCTCACGCTAAAATGGAGTCCTGTTGTTTTATGTCCGTATATAGAACGCCCTTGTAGATGTCCACCAAGAGTTCTATAGCATATTACTGGGTAAATGTATGTTTCCCGAGTCGATGGTCTGGCTGTCGCCGACTTCCGTACAAGCTCAATGTTAATTGGCTGTCGGAAGCCAAACCGATCGTCGCCGATAACACGGACTTTACCCCGGACATGAAGCAGCCTCAGACATCGTCATCTCAAGAAATTATTCGATCTTGAACCCTTTACTGGCTCAGAACTGAAATTCAGTTAATTTTCACCCCGTCGCGCATGTGGTTGGACTCGTCCCGACTCTTGCGCCATTCCCGATGAAATCCACTGTGCGGTCCCGTTGACGCTTGAAGAACCCCGCCACTGCAATTAAGGGATTATGGACATGAGCCCAACGAGCACGTCGCCCGGTTATGGGCCCTCGAATCCGGGTGCGACAGCCCAGTTGAATAATTCATCCGCGCCTGTATCTACCCCACTGTCGACGGTGTCCCGGCCCTCGACGGCGAAGGCCGGAGCTCGTCAGATTACCCGAAATCGCGCCAGCTATAGCTGCCACATTTGTCGGAGGCGGAAGGTGAAATGCGACAAGGTATACCATTCTCCTTGGTGGAATTTACTATGGAGCAAAAGATACTGAATGGTGACTAGGTGCATCCTGTGTGCGGAAACTGCGTGAAGAACGGAACCGAGTGTATCTACGATGCCGCGCCACAGAAAGATGTCGGGCCGCACAATGGTCAAACGAGGTGTGGACATGGTATCAAGCGGAGGAGGGAGACTTCACGGCCACTGGATGATGATATCGACGATATCAGTTCGCTTTATGGGCATTTGAGGCAGGTTGGGTCTCCCGAGCAGAATTATGGGTCGCAGGCGATCGAAGCGCGGTTGGACAAGCTCACGTCGATGATTGAGCGGCTTAGCAAGTCTAATGTGCCCTTGGATGCGGCGGAAAGGCATTTGCTAGCTCAGAACGCCAGCCTTGAGCTGGGGAGGGGTGATGCTCGACCTGGGAATGGCGCCACTGTGAAATCGGCTGGTACGTCTAGGCCAGATAGCCCGCGCCGCGCGGATTCGAGCAGCGACGAATTTCCTATTCCTGCCGGGCATGCTACAGACCTGGTGGATCCGATTGGTAGCTTGAACCTGGGCCATTTAAGCCTGGAGGATGGCGGCAGGTCGAGGTATATCACACACCTTCCTTGCGAATAGGCTGAGCTGATTGATTGTTAGATATGTTGGGACAACCTATTGGGCTTATATATCGCATGAGGTATGATATAGGGCACCGCTTCGTATTTACGCGAATTCTCGCAGCTAACAAAGGTGCAGATCAATGAGCTCAACCAGTTGCTTAAATACCAGAATCGCTCGCACAACGACACTGCAACTAATGAAAGCTCTGCTGATGAAAATATGACGGATACGATGGCAAAGTCTTCACGCAGTCCATGGAAGGCATCGGTTGATAGCCCTAGTGGAACCGCCCGAGATCGAATGTCTAGTGGCGAGGAATTCCAGAAGTCTGTGCTGTTTCCTACAGGCGATTCTCCCTCTGTGAAAGAGAAGCATGTCGAACCAGAAATGCTTGATCATGTGCCGACGAAACGACAAAGTCATATCCTGTACAAAGGATTCATGTCTGGAATCCATGCTATCAGCCCAGTGATCCACCCTCCAACTATTCTAAAGCTATATAACTCCTTTTGGGACTGGTATGATTATAGCAGTTATTCTGGAGACCCTTGTCCAGACCCCTCATTTATTCCTCTTCTTTACGCTATTTGGTACGGTGGATCGGTAACAATATCGATTCGGACTATCAAAGCTGAATTCAACGTCTCTTCGCGGTCCGCGCTTTCAAAGACCTTCAATGACGAGGTAACGCGGTGGCTAACGAAAATATCGTTTCCGCGCAGCCCTTCATTACAAGGCCTAGCTGCGTATCTCCTAGTCCAAACGATACTTTCAAAGGAAGAAGAACCGCTAACAAGCAGCTTGTTCATTAGTCTTGCCATGAGAGTAGCACAGACGATGGGCTTGCATCGAGATCCTGCTAAATTTGGGATCAAACCTTTTGAGGCTGAGTACCGACGTCGGATATGGTGGCATGTCGTGCATATGGATGGCGTTGTCGCTATGTCTAGTGGCCTGCCTCCTCTGGTTAGCGATGAGAACTTCTGGGATGTTCGTGACGCCAGCGAAGTCAAGGATACGCTTTTAGGGACTCCCGAGGCCGAAAAATATGAGGAATTGGTGGCATCCGGTATGCGGTCACCCGATAATCCTGATGACCCGACTCTATGCGGTGGACCATCTATGGTCAACGTGTATTATCTATCAGCTAAGGGCAAATATGTCATGGCTCGTAAGACACCTTACCATCTCACTATGTTGGATGGTACTAACATTGCCATCGATAGGCGCTGTCCGCCGGATATTGAAGATCCAACTAGGCACAAAACCCGTGACACGAAGAGACATGGAGGAGCTCAGGTCAATCCTACTTGACCTGCAGCTCAAGCTCAATTCTATAATTAATCGAATCCCAGAAATCGACAATCGTAACATGTCTTCAAATGACAGATCGCTTTCGTTCTCGGTCTCTCCGGTAGAGATGAGAACTAGCGATATAGAGCTCCCTGGAGAAGGGCCCGGTGGCTGTGTGGAACAATATCATTCTCCCGTTCTCATTTCCTTCCATAAATGGGCAAGGATACTACTGTCTCTCTTTATTGATAAGGTGAGTACCCATAATCACAACATGAAACCATCGCTCATATATCAACAGGCGTTTTGTGTCGCCTATCAACCATTCCTTAAGAACGCTAAGAGCCGTATTTGGCCAGCTGCAAGGCATAGGTATGTTGAGATGTGCTATTTTATACAAACTCGTGCTGTTCTAACTATGAAGCAGTGCTCTGCGGCACTGTCATGGCTTCATGGAGAAGTTCATATCTCTTGCCACTGACCCTGACTTTCAACCTTTCCAATGGAGCTGGCCAGGCAATCACCAACCAATGCATGCCGCCATGATCATGCTCATCGATCTCCATGAACGACCCTATAGCCCTGAGGCTCCTAAGTCGAGGGCATTCATCGACAGAATATTTTCACTCACCGGGCCAGATGGAGGTGTCGTCGGCGGCGAGGACGGCATCTCAGCCCAACGGCCCCTGAAAGACGGCGGCCGCGAGGCATGGGATATGATTCGCAGACTGCGCCAGAACGCATGGCAGAAAGCCGGTCTGGATCCACATAAGCTATGGACTGAACAAGCCCAGATTCAAGCTGGTGCAGCCTCTGGACCCGATGAATATCCCTGTGCCTCCAATCCCTACTACGCTAAGAGTGGTTCTACGGCCCCGACTCCATCCATGGCGACAATGACATCCCGACAACAGCTGGCAGACTTCTCGAAGATGTTCTACAACATGACACGTTCACATATGCTTCCTAACCCCGTCTCCACTCTCCGACCTAGTCCCCTTCGACACCAATTACCCCAAACCTCAGCTCCGACTTCCGTCCCGGAGACGCCCCCAGGTCTGACTACACCGCAGATCTCCCACTCATCTGCACCAAAGGCTAATTCGGTCGAAACTCCTTCCCCTGCTTCCGTTATCTCCTCTCCTGACCGCATCCCAACCCTTCCAACCGCAATGCCCTTTACCCAATCCACCGGCGCCGCGACTCCACCCTTTCCCTTGCCCTTCATGGACATGGCCTCGCCGAGCGCACAGTCAATTACTGCCGGCCCAACGCCGCCCTCGATGATGGACCCGAATCTCAACTTCGACTGGGACCAATGGGATGCCGTCTTCGGACAGCATCTCCCTGTCGCAGACGAGCTGATGGAGTTAGATCCCGTCGCGGGGTTCGAGTTGGGGGATCTCGGTAGTGGAGTGGTTGGCGGTAACAGTCGGACCGCTAGTTTGGCTGATAGTGACACCGGCCTTGGGAGTATCCCTGGTCCGGATTGGGTTGGTTATTGTTGATATACTGATAGCCTGTTTGGGAATCTAGAGGCGTTGTTTGTTGTTTTGCGTACTGTATTCTACGGTTCATAGATCTAGCGTTTGTATATAGGTTTTTTTCTTTCACGAATTGAAGCCACCCCCTACCTCTTAACTGTTCCGTCGTCTAGACGATCCGTGTCCTACATTTACCAATTGAAATATACTACAGAACATGTGCAGGAAAGCAGCGGACAGTTGATCCTGTAGAACAGGGCATGAGACTCATATTTTGTTTTTTAAATGGCCCGGGGGAAGTTTAGATGGAATGGTAGAAGCGGGCGAATGAGGTTGACATCCTAAACTAGGTAGATGATGATGCAGAAAGAGACGTAACAGCTTTGGGATTCATGAGGCGTGACTGATATCAAGCAGGATACCGAGAAATGGGTATAGATGGAGCTATTGTAGACTAGGGCGAGACCGGGAGGAGGGGGGGGAGGACCTCGATCTATTCTTTCCCACTTGCTCTGTGAATTAGGAAGTTCGCGTTCCCCGGTTCCTTCTTTCTTTCATTCAGGACATTATTCACTACTGTGAATGAATTTAGACCTTCATCTCCTCGAGACCGTGCTTCCAGAGAGTGGCATAGGGGGTGACACCGTCATCACGGAAGTCAATCAGGATGTGCCTGGAGATCATGTTAGTTGGGGTTGTATTCGGGACAAAAATTGGGCAAGTCAACAAAAAGTGATAAGAACATACATAGCATCACCATCCATGGACTGACCCATGAGGACATCGTAGTTGTCGTAGTTGCCGAGGATCTTCTTGACGGCGGCGGGGGCGCCAGTCTTGAACTCGTTGATGGTGGCCTCAGGGGCACCCTTCTCCTGGAGCTTGGTAAGGACCTTCTTCATGTAGTCTGGAAGAGACGAGAAACTAAGAGTCAGCGATTGTTCGAGACTTTGGTTGCGCGACATGGTAGGCGCTTACTCTTCAAGTGGGACTTGAAGGCATCCTTGGAGGGCTTAAGACCCTCCTCGGTCTTGAGCCAGACCAGACGGAATTGGTCCTCAATGTCGTGGACCATGACCTTCTCACCCTCACCACCTTCCTCATCACCACCCTCAGCGGAGGGGTTGGCACCCTCGAGCTCGAAGTCCTCGTTAGTGCTCTTCAGGTACTTCTTGCAGTCACACTCCCACAGGACGGGGCCGGCCTCGGTGATCTTGAAGGTGTCGGCGAGAACCTCATCACCGGAGACGATATCCTATTTTGAAGAAATGGCTTGTAAGTTTCTTCCACACGAAAATAAAATGAAATCATATTGACTTATGCAGTCGTTGAAATCCTGCATATACTTGTTGTCGTGTTGTTGTTGACATTAAAAAGAGAAGAAGAAAAAAAAAAAGTGGGGTATCAATGCAAGGCGGTTCAGGAAGAGAAGAAAGAACGTACCTTGTAAATAATCATTTTGATAGATGAATAGGAGTGAACCTAACAAGAGAAAAATTGAAAATGAATAGGGAACGAAAGCAGATGGCAACGCGGTTAAGAGAAAGGGAGAGAGGAGAGAAGAGGAAGAAAAAGAGGGGATTATTTTATTTGAAGATTTAGTGCCACCCGTTTTTTTTCTTTACCTTTTCAGGGTGGGGTTTTTTTTTCTTTCTTTTCCTTTTCTTCTCGAGGGGCAAACCAGCACTAGTGCCTTTTCGGGACTGGTCGACTCGTCTGGCCAATTCTTGCGTTCCTGCCTGAGGTACGGATGGCAAACAAACAGAATACTTACTATGGAGTGGCTTTATGAAATAGAGAGGTAGCGATGATATATATTATTGAGAGAGGTTTAATATATTCAATTGATCAAAATAGTTGCCTCTTGACACATAAGTATCGTATGGTAACGAAAGAGTATTTTATCATTGAGGGGAGAGATTACCTAAGACGGGGTGATGGTTAACTGATGCCTGATCTATCAGGCGCCATACGGAGTACGGGTCTGTCAGGGGATCCGCCAATGGAAGTTCCAAACCCGGAAGAGAAATTGCCTGTACGGCACAGTACCCGTATCATACAATGAATATACCGCGGGGCGAGGGATATACATTCAGTAATTTACACACTTGAACCTCCAGGACGGTATTACCGATCTCAGATTACTATCAATCAGTATCGGTCGCCTTGGACATCCCGTGGTGCCACTTCAAGTCTCCCCATCACTCATTCAGTTCCCTTTTATATCTAACTATTGCCTGCCCGGTAACACCCTCTGCCTCTTCCGGTTCTCTTCAGACACACTCTCTCGTACTTCTCCAATCGTGCACTGTGCATTTGCTCTATTAAATTAATTCTTCATCTAATTCTCGGAGCTCCAGCCATCCGGATTTATTGCCGGTCCGTCGGTTCGTGCTTCCTCCGTTCGCCTCCCCTAATTGTGGATCGTGAAAGATCCGATCCAGGAACCGCAACCATCTCCATTGTATACTATTTTTTTTTTCCCTTTTCTCTTCCTTCTCTGTCTTATTGACGTTCCTTTCGGTGCCGTCTCTTTTCATATCGCGCAACCCCCCCCCTCGGTTTCCGTTAGTTGCCGCTGAAACCGACAGATGTGTTGATCGTTTTACACGTCCTGCGCACATCTTTCAACACATCTAGACATAGAGTGACTCCATAATGGCAGTCAATGCTTCGATGGTCTATGACCTCCCGCCACTTCCGGCTTATACGTTAACACCTCGCCCGCCCCTATTATCCCCAATTCCCGACAATATTTTGGCTCTGATGCTGCCCATCATCGCTTATTGGGCGCTGTCTATGGTCTATCATTACATTGATGTCTACGACTTGTTCCCCCAGTACCGTCTACATACTCCGGCCGAAGTCCTAAAACGAAACCATGTATCGCGTTGGGAAGTTGTGAGGGATGTCATCCTACAGCAAGTAATTCAAACTATAGCGGGCCTCGCGATGTCCTACTTGGATCCCCAAGAATGCTTGGGTAAAGAGGAATATGATGTGGCTGTTTGGGCTCAGCGGATCCGTCTCTTGCAGAGGGTCCTTCCGCGTATGCTGGCGCTGGTTGGTATTGATGCCATGGGTTTGGCAAAGACCCTGTCGATAAATGGCCATACAATCTTGGGAGGAGTTCTCGCGGGCGGACGCTATCCTGGACTCACCCAAACCACGATCTTGGAAAATGGCGTAGAGGCCATCGTTCCTGCATTTGCCGGATGGGAATTAACAACGGCCAGCTTCGTCTATTGGTACTTCATTCCAGCCGTGCAGTTTATCTGGGGTGTATGCGTCGTCGACACCTGGCAGTATTTCCTCCACCGGGCAATGCACATGAACCGTTGGCTTTATGGTAAGTTCCATTTCAATTATCTTTCGTCTTAAAAATTACATGGGTAATTAACGATTTTGGTAGTTACTTTCCACTCCCGTCACCACCGCTTATACGTCCCGTATGCGTTTGGTGCTCTGTACAATCACCCCGTGGAGGGGTTTCTCCTCGACACAGCCGGTACAGGGGTTGCGTTCTTGACGGCTAGAATGACCATTCGCCAGAGTATGTGGTTTTTTACCTGCTCGACTATTAAAACCGTTGACGATCACTGTGGCTATGCTTTCCCGTGGGACCCCTTGCAGCACTTTACTTCCAATAATGCTGCCTATCATGACATTCACCACCAGAGCTGGGGGATAAAAACCAACTTTTCTCAACCATTTTTCACCTTCTGGGATCATCTTCTCGAGACGCAATGGAGGGGCGATGTGAGACTTCGTTACGAGCGGGGCCGGGAAGCTGCCCAGAGAAAGTTGGACGGCACCGCCGTCCAAGAGCATGGAGTCAAGGGAGAAACCGTCACATCTCCCGCCAGAGTTTCCTCGGATGAGCCGGCCGATACCAATGCACGGTCCCGATTGCGCCGAAAGACCGCCACCTTTGACGGTCTGAAGGGCGCAAAGCATGGAGTGACCAGTAGCGTCCTTTAATCTCCATCCTTCTACTGTTGTGCCTCTTTCTTTTTTTACCCCATCTTCTTCCCTCTCAGAATTTTCTCTTCTCGGTGAATATTTTTTTAATCATAATAATTTCTCGACTCTTGATTCTCGCATATTAAGGGGCTCGGAGGGGCAGGACGTCTCCGGTCTGCTTTGGAAGCATTGCTAGTATTAATATCGGGGATTACGATTATATGTTGGCTTGTACAATGACTTCTCTTTGGTGGTAATTCTTTATAATCAGGATGGTTCACACGGCAATGTGCCTGGACAATGCTGCCCATTGCTACTTGTCTTCTTCTTTACTTTCTCATGTGCCCATCGCTTTTTCTTTTCCCTTTTCCCTTTGGCTTTTTTTTTTTTTTTTTTTTTTTTTTTTTTTTTTGCTTCCTCCAATTGTAATATGAATTACATATTAGGTTATGACTTAAACCCACAATATCCACTTGATCACATCTCAACTTGCTTTGCCTGCCTGGGGAAAGGTCACCCTCTGCTCTGCTCTTGTTTGAAAGAATGAAAGAGGAGCAAAGGGGTTGGGGGAATTAGAAAATCCTAAACCTTTAAGAAAAGACCCCAGGTGGTGTCTTGCTTTGGCCGTTTCTCTATCGAGTTCTCCCCGTTTTCTGACTCGGAGTATGTGCCGAGCAGATCTTGGTACAGGGCTGCTATTTCCTCACACCCGCCATCCCCTTGAAGCCCTTCCCTCCAGAGGCCTTGAGGTTCGTTGGACAGCGGATCTAAGGGTCTGTGCTTCCCGGGCACATGCTGCCAATTAAATTCTTTTCGAGAAGGGATGTATTCATTCCTTGCATACCCGTCATCGGTATCACCGGCTGGGTCTTTCGCTGGTGGTTTTTGCTTGCTGATTGGCTGTTGGTGGATAGGTCGCAGATTTGAGGAGGGATATGGCGCGTTTAGTGGAGGGATTGTGGATGTATAAATAGGAGTATCGCCAGTGTAAGTGACGGAAGAGAGGTCTGACTGATCCTCTGTTGCATAGAATGTGGCTGAGGATACCTCGTCTGCAGGTTGAAGCTCGCCGTACAGTCCGATGATTCCTGCAAGGGTGTCGACATCACTATTATGTTGTCTGGGGGCTTGCCCAGATATTGTACATGGCTCCCGGTGACTTCTGTGCCCTTGACGGACCCTCTGGGATGACTCAAGGGTTTCCAAGTCGATACCGATCGGAACAACAATCTCCTTTGCTTGTTGGAGGTCTGCTTTGAGGTTCGCTACAGGATCAGTCGACCTCAGCGCGCACTTAGCCTGTTTCCTCTGGTGCTTCATCGTTTTCGCCCAAATGCCGCTCCAGTAATAGATTTGCCCCGTAAGGCATTCATGGTGTGTCATACTTTCTTCGACGAATGAGAGAAGTCTCGGTATATAGTGATTCCTCCGGGTTGCTGTGCGGCTCAGGAGAGCTGTCCGCAGTAGTAGCAGGAACGCTGGCCCTCCGACAATCCTCGCGAGGATACATGCCTCGCACTTGTTCTGCTGGAATGTGACTGAGCCTCGTCGAGAAGGGTTCCACATATACTGTATGTCTCGCAGGCTGTAGACTAGGTCTCGCAACTTTACGTCGAGCATGTCATGGTACCAGCAGAGGGACTCCATATGCGCGGTTACCTCGTACCGCAGAAGTTCAAAAACATGTCGGATCGCGTAGGGGTTCAGTTCCTTGTGCGAACGACACAGGACCGTAGGAGGACACCGAAATAAGGATGCCAACCTGTGTTTCCGCAGCGCGGGCGGGAGTGTTTTGATCGCCTTTACGATCGCTTCATCTTTTTCCTCTCGATTACTACTTGGATCGATGTGGCCTATGCTGAGGATCCAGGTTAGTAATCTCATGTCTTCCTTCCCGAGACTAGCGAGAGACTGGGAGCCTTTCATCTCGGTCTAGTTAGTCGGAGCGTTCGCGGAAGGATCAAAAAAAGGTCGATAATCTCAGTTTCTTTCGTCGCGTCCTGTTGGCGACCAGAGATACTAGACTATCCAGCGTAGTCTCACGTATCATATTATCGATAGGAGTGAAGACAAAGCAGCACTGACGCGAAAGCTAAACAGAACTGGTAGGACTGTTATCTGCAAGCTCGCTTGAACTCTGTCCTGACCAACTTTCTTGAGGTGGAGACAAGACAGGGTGGCTGAAACAGGAAGAGAAAGCAAGTTATGACAAATGAAACACGCAGGGGGTCTATAAACGTTATATAGTGGGTGCTATGCTCTTCTTTTGTGCGGAACAAAAGGCTTTGTGGTGGTGGATAATGCCATTTTTGAGCGTCTTTTTTAGGATGGCTTCGTTCCCACACAGTTGATGGCATTCTTTCCTGGAATGGCGCTAGAGCGATTTCATTTGGGATGGGTTGGTCATCTGTCGTTTTGTCTTTGTTTCGATGACGAATAAATAATGGATTCTTCCTATTATTAATTTTGATATGGTCTATTATGAGGTATTCGTTTTGTGAAGATCTGCTGAAGAGCTATGCGTAGATGATATGCTTTAGGGCTAGATAGGGCTGATGTTAAGGTTGCTGAAGCGCCTTTCTAGAACATCTCCAGAATTCTAGATAGGGTTTTGAGAAGAGTTAGTTCGGCGTAATATTGGCCTCCTCCCCCCCAAAAAAAGAAAACAAATCAAATGGCCAGCATTTAGCGTGGAACAACTTGACAGGAGCTGTATCAAAAAACCTGATCAGCGTTTCAGGGCTTCCATAGGTACCACAGGGTTGGTTGAGATGTTTGTACCGCAACTACAAAGCCACAGACCACCATGTTGACTATTAGAAAACACATCGCTCTCAAGGCATAGGCTCATAATTTCGTAGTATACGGAGAAATTTCCTAGAGCTATTTTCAAATACTAGCATCTTCTCCCCGGTTCGTTCTATCAAACGTTCTGTCGCTCTTCAAGAGCCGGTGCCAAAAAGAGGACTGCGATGAAACAAGACTCCACAGATGATCTCAAAAACTTTTCTTGTGTCTTGGCCGGCAATTGGTCCACCTTATGAAATAGCAATTTGAGCCATTCTCCAGAAAATTTCCGTCACCTCTTTCATTTGATCCTCATTGAAGAGCCGAGCATCGAACTCGATTGAAGGATGAACGTTGTTGTTGTCCATGATATGGGAGATCCGCACCGGAATGTTGAACTGAGCTAGGCCGCGATTTAGCAAGATGTCACTAAAGGGACCTATAAAATAAAATGTTATAAAAGCAGGACTTATCTGCCAGGACCCTTGGGCTAACCATCATGCATACTGATTTTCCTCTGTCAAGGTGGTGATCGCTACGACGAAGTTGGTAATGGATTTCCCGAAACTGTCCCAAAAGGGTAATTCAACCCCCATAGTGTGAAACACTGCGTATGCGAACTAATCGGAGGAAGGGCTTTGCATACCAGGCATGTGATCAACTATTCCCCAATATTAGGTATCACGACCTTCTTATTGCTTGTATACTTCTTGCTAATCTCTAATCAGCGAGTTGATATCTCACTGATGTACGTACATCGCAGGCCCGAAAGCGATTTCATTGCTGACAGGATTGGCTTTTGCAACAGCAGACACTTTCTGGAAGAGCTTGCTATCAAGCAAGGTTGGGGACAGTGACCTGAGGACTTCTCCGCTAAGGAGGAGAGGGGAGGAACTGCCGGTATACGGATATCTTATGTTTAGTGGGCATTACCAAAGTCCACAGAAAACAGACGAAACGACAGTAAAAAGATGTCTGTGGCTAATAACCGGTTATATCGCCACTTTGAGTGCCTCCGGTATATGTGTGGTTGTTGGGAGGGTTAAAAGGCATGATCAAGAAGGGTGAGTGCAGGGATCCCTCGAAAGACCAGACAAGATCGAACCGATGGAAACCGATGGGTTCGACTCATACTAGGAGGTAACATTGGACACCCCAGCAGATCGAGTTGTCTCACTTAAACACTGGATTCTGTATTCTGGACTGACGAGATGGTAGGGGTTCCCAATTATTTGCCAGTCGACGCTGGCGGGAAAGTTCTCAAGGCCGGGCTCCATATCATTGCAGGTAGTCTGGTAACGGCAAAAACTAAAACGAAAGGCACGACGCAAAGATACTTTGGGGTTAGTAGATTAGTCCACCATATAACATCACTGTGTTCGGAAAATCCATTGCCTTAAAGGGAAATGTTTGTTCTGAATATCCCGGAGATGGCGGACAAGCCCCTTGTATATCATAAAAGTATTCAAACGGAGCTTGGGAGCTTAGGCTCCTCTGTTTCGGAGCTTCTCAGTTGCCGAGCGGAACAGTATGGCTGACGGGAAGAGGGATGAAGAAAATGGCGCGAGACAGGTACATTCGTTGCTCTCCTCTTAGGAATATAGGCCGCTGACGAAGCTATTGGGGCCAGACCAACTCCAGATATTCTTCAATGAGTGGAGATACTGTGGAGGGGCGTGAGAAAACGAACTATCTCAAACAAAATATACCGCCGCCGACGAATAATGCACTCCTAGCCGACCCAATGAGGTAGATTGGGATAGGTCCAGCGATCCTCACAATCCGCGCAATTGGCCGGCCTGGACACGAGTCATGCTCGTCGGCGTAATGATACATTGGATAGCAGCTTAATAACTTCTAGCTCCTGGGAACCGGCGTCGGCCCTATTATCGTAGGCCCCATGTCCGAAGTCGTTGGCCGTCGTATAATTTACAATCGCGCAAATATTGGATTCTGTGCATTCACGGTTGGCTGTGCCTTGACACCGTCTTTACTTGGATTGGTGATATTGCGTTTCCTGCAAGGATGTTCTGCATCCTGTTCTCTCAACAACGCAGGCGGAACTATTTCCGATCTTGTGCCAATACATCGTAGAGGGCTTGCTATGACTATGTACTCGGCGGGGTGGCGATGGGTATTCTGGTTGTGGCTTATTCTGGTGAGTTATATCCAGCAGTCATATGCCTGGAGGATTATTTTTGAATTACTAACTGTTCCATACAGAACGGCACCATGGGAATTTTCTGCGCTTTCACATACACAGAGACATATGCGCCTGTCATTCTCAAACGGAAGGTTAAGACACTCCGCCAGAAAACCGGCAACCAAGCGTTATACGCAAACGGTCAGCGTCAGCTGCCCGCGAACACTGTCCTAAAACGAGCAATCACCAGTCCCGTCAAGATGTTTCTATTCTGCTCGGTCGTCACTGGCCTAGCCGTGTACAACGCAGTCATATACGGCTTCACTTATCTTCTCTTCTCTACCTTCTCCGTTGTTCTCGAAGACCAGTATGGTTTTAATCAAGGAAGGCTCGGCATGGTATATCTAGGTTTGACAATTGGCTTTCTGGTCTCACTGAGTCTTGCCAGAGTCGTCAACGACAAAACACACGCGCGCCTCAGCAAAAAGCAGGGGAGCAGCAAAACCCGAGTACGCTTCATGAAACCCATACAATTTATTGGCCTTTTCCCGACTAACTAGAGTGATGCTTTAGATTTCGCTTGGAATCCTTGGTATACGGGGCAATTGCAATCCTCATCGAATTCTTCATTTACGAATGGACGGTTCAATACCACTTTGACAGCGCCGTTCCTGTTGTCGCGACGGGTATTGTTGGGTTTGGAGTCATGTTTACCTTCGTTAGCACTATCGCTCTACCTTGTGGTTCTAAACTGATCTCCTTCCCCTTTAAAGATACCTTTTAATGTGTACATGATCGATGCGTACACGAAGTATGCGGCTAGTGCCATCACCGCTGGTAACATATTACGAAGTCTATCTGCGGCTCTTCTGCCTCTTGTTGGTGCCTCATTGTATAATAATCTGGGGTACGGCTGGGGTAACTCTCTTTTGGCCTTCGTATCTCTGGCATTGGGGGCAATGTGTCTACTTTTCCTTAAGTATGGCGAGGAGTGGCGGAGGGAATTCTCGATTCAGCTCCATTGAGCGTGGTCAAAGAGAGGTACTTTATTTGAGAGAGTTAGGGGAGTTATCTCTCCGAAGCTGTGTGTCATTACTAGACTTAGAAAGTTGAGAACCAGTAAAAGAATCCAATGCAATGAGAAGTAAATCAACCTGGTTTTAGCCTGCGAGCTGAGTATATCGGGTGGTTTTTTTCTGCTCATACGGGAGATGCAAACTACTATCGCTCTAAGGTTCTATCTACCGTACTTGTAGATCGCCTTAAGAGGAAGGCCGAAGAAAGCGAACAATGTCATACTTCTTTTGGTAGGGTTCTACTACCCACGCGCGACGAAACTCTTCATACACTTATCCAATTCTTATCATTAACCATAACCCTCGCTCCTCTGGAGGCTATACGTTATATCATGGCTGTCATATGCTTCCTCTATCCGAATCTTTCCCTCCGAAATACTCCGAGATCAAACGGAAAAGCTTCTTGAAGCTTGCAATGGCTTCTTGGACATAATCTAAGTTGAGCTGGTTCAAGCAGGTAGGGGAACGGTTCATGACCTTGACCCCCCGGTTCACTCTGGGCTACAAGCATATTGTGCACGAGGACACTCACCGAGTCCAACAATTCATCGGCCTGTTTGACGAGACCTAAGACCAGTATCCGTTTCAACGAGGCTTCGTCGGTGCGCGAAAAACAGTAGTTGCCAATCCCCACCTTGACAGTCCCGTCGAAGCCGGATTTAGCGATGAAGTCGAAGCATACGGCTGTCTGCTTGAAGACAGTCATGATGCAGACTATGTCTACGGGGCCCACGTAACAGCCACAGCGAGTTGACTCTTGGCAGCTCTTGATGACATCACCCGTGACTTTGAACATCTTATCAAGTTGTGGTTTTGGCTTTTCCTCGATTGCACACTCGAGCTTGGGGACGTGGAAACATCATGTTCACTCGGCATTGACAGATACGCGATGGCGACTCGGGGCTGTGACGCTGGGTTTGTACTGCGGCTGTCGGTTCCTAGCTCTGTTGGATGGGGAAAGATATTGAAGCAATTTTGGCTCGGATTCTATGCCAGTGTTCCAGAGCGGCATGCTCCACAGGCAGTCGGCGGCCGGCGAATCACGGGCTTCTCTGCCTGTGTTTCGGGGGATTACCAGTTTAGTACCTGGGTGCCGGGGGCCTTCTTCCTCCCGGGGGTGGGCGAAATTCCGCTGGCGGGCTGGGTTAAGGACATAGAGATCCGATAGCAGTTTCTCGGGAGGAGATCAAGATAGGGAGATAATACAGATCCCGATCTATATCGTCTCAATAAGTTGTACGACGGGGTTTCTCTTTCAGGGTCACCGAAGCTGAGGTGAGATGAAGAGCACGGACTTGAGTTAGTTAGGGTCCATTTGCGGGCCGCAGCCCCCTCGCGCTTGGCGTGTCGATCCAATTCTTTCCCCCAATTGCTTGTGTAGGATTGAATCAATATAGTAGTTTAGATAGATTCTTCTGGCAGGGATGACCGGCGAGTATCTCTACCATACTTGATCACATGCTGTCATCCTGAAAAACTACCGACAATTTCACACGGTAGGGCCCTACTAGTTAGATTAATTGATATAGTATTCTCACTATACTAGACTATTACTACACCACGTTTAAGAGCGGGCAATAGTACAACGTTCTTTTGCCATGATATTTATAGATTGATTGCCAAAGAAATATGGAGATGCCTATGACCACAATGAACAACTTCGGAAAAGTTAGGGCACTATGTGTCATCAGCTGAGATGTCAGAAATCACTCGGCGGGACGTGATTCGCCCGGGTCGTTTTATCCGCATAGCGAGAACTCATTATATGTGGTCAGCACAATATCTGCACAATCCATCCATTAAATACTGGCATCATGTGGCTATTGCTGTAGCCATCATGGGGCTCAAGGCTCACTCTCCTTGCCAGAAATTTAAATCTACCAAAGGACCCCAATTTATCATTTTCCATAACGCTGATAAACAGAGACACCATTCTGAACGCTTTTTACTAGTCCACCGACCGCTTATACTACGGAAACCTCAAATTTGAGTTACAAAACAACGCTGGTATGGCAGCTGCATTCCTCAGGAGGAGGAAAAATAAACGAAAACCGCCTTTGCCGTATACAGCCTCACCGCTGCAGTTGCTGGGGGCCGACATTCTCCTCGTTCTCAAAAGTCTATGGAGTCTACCGGGCATAATACTCCCACTGAATCCCTCGACTTTGGATGAATTGGACGAATTGTATCCATCATGGGAGAATCTGTTTGCCCTTGCGATGCATGTTTGTTTGGCTATGTGTCAGGTTGTTTTCCTGCTGTCTTTGCTGGTTTGCTTCTTTTCCATGGTACCTGCATTATGGATCTTTCTATATGCTGTGGCCTTTGTATGGGCAAACCGAGCTATCTGCAGCTGGGTGCTTAATACTTCGGACGGCATTTTACAGTCCCAAGTCGCAATAGAGGAGCGACCGGAGCATGAACGGGAACACTGGATATTCATCAACGGAGTCGCGGTCGGGTAAGTGAGGCGCTATTTTCGAGCCGAATCAAGTGGAGTGAAACGCAAGTCCCTAACGAACTTGTTGCGATACAGAAACCATTGGTTGCAAAATAACATTGACCGGCTTGCTTACACCTTTGGCAGGAGAATAACTGGCGTGCATAATCCCACGTAGGCTGTTCCATTTTTCATGATTCCCAATGAGATACACGTTTTGATGCCTTTTTTTTTTTAGCGACGGGCTGGTATTTGACATCATCGAGTGCCTGATTCAAAGAACCTTTACCTTTGCGACTCCCGACACGAGGGATGGGTATGCCATTACCAAAGCGACATTACTGAATCCCAAATATGAGAAAGTGGTCCTCATTCTCCACAGTCAAGGTGGCATTGAGGGCAGTCTCATCATTGACTGGCTCTTGGACGAGTTACCCGAGGACATCCTGCGAAAGCTGGAAGTGTATACTTTTGGCAATGCTGCCAATCACTTCAATAACCCGTTTAAATCACTTCTGGGCTTGAAACAACCATCCACCGATGGGTCGACAATACCGTATCAAAATGCCTCGGGGCAGGCGAACAAGAGCGTTCTTCATATAGAGCACTACGTGAATGCGCTGGATTTTGTGTGTGTATGGGGCGTGTTACAATTTGCCAGCGTCCCGAATCGTTATATGGGGCGAATCTTTGTGCGGCCGGGCTCTGGTCATCAATTAAACCAGCACTACCTCGACGCGATGTTCACATTAGGGCCGGACAGGAAAGTCCTTGACACCAATGAATTTATGGAGATGGGGGCGAAAAGTGTCGCATATGAGAAGATCCGCCCGAAACACGCAAGATATGCGAGGGATGAGGTGCTTATCACCAGTGGGCGCTCGGTTCGAGATGAGCACGAAGACAATATCCGAGGGCCGTTAAAAGTCAGAGATATCAGTCGGCTTTGGCAGTATCGCAATGGCGGTTCACCTGCGGATGATATAAAATAGTAGATGCGAAAGATTTCTCTTTCTTTTTCTTACACTTTTTTTATTCTTTTTTGGTTCTTTTCTCGCAATTAATCTAATAAGATTGGATCTTATCATCATAGGGGCTCCACTTGATCCAGTGATAAGCAATGGACGGAACGAACCACGGAAAGGACGGATGTCACCGAGACCTCCTTCATAAAAGTTCTTTCGCAACCTTGACTAACCCTTGTTCATTCGTTTAGCCAGTCGGGTTGTCTCTAATTCAGCTCAGACACTCCATCGTGTGGAGTCAGTGGGCTATGGACACCGCTCTTGTCGCCCTTCATCCATAGCAAGGTCCACGAGTCTTCCATACTGCCCCAATAATGCTGGGTGACTGGATAACACGAGAACACTACCTGGGCCACTTGATACTGTTGGCCTGATCTAGTTAATGTGTGGAACTCGCGTATTTGATTAGGCTTCCTCTTGGTGTGAGAACACACGATGTCCGACTTTCTCGGAGGATTCCAGCAGGTCATTGTACCCTCGGAATGGCAGCTCGGGGGAGAGATCCCTCTATTTTCAGATGATAGTATAATACAAAGGTTAGTCTCTGGCGCCTGAGTTGTAATCCGACGTTTTTTAAATTGATCTTTAGGCGTCTTTGGCAATATCGAACACAGAAAGCCTCGGCTTTCGTGGCCGCGGGAAACATACATCTCGCGACCGTCCTGTTATCATGCGTAGTACTGCTTCTTTCATTCGGCCTGCGTTATGTGACTCGTTCCAGCAGAACGAAATCTCGTATCCCCGAAGAATCACCAGATGGCGACTTGGCCATTAGGATTATTTTGCCCTTTACCTTCTTGCATTTGTCGGCTGCGATAGGTGCTTGTTGTCTCAGTTGGATCGATGCACAATATGCAGACAACTGGAAACAGTCGCTCCTGGTGAGCTATATGGTATTGATGGGCGTACTACAATTCTTCTTCAAGAATGACCGTACTCGGACACACATGTATCGCCATATGAACTCAGTGGCCCTTGTGGGTTTGATTTTGGCATGCACCCAAGATCTGGTTCCAATGATTATTATCGGGGCTACACATAGCCTACGTGCCGTTAGGGGAAGCTTGATAGCCTGTCTAGCTGCTGTCTTAATAATCGCATCTGCAACGCCCCGACCGCGGTACTCGCCCATCGCTGATACAGAAAACGAGGAAACGCAACTGACCGAAGAGGTGTCCCCTGAAGAAACATGTTCTCTATTCTCGTACTACTGCTCATACGAGTGGGTGACACATGTTATTTTGCGAGGCTGTCGGAGGGACTTGATAATGGATGATCTCCCCCCTTTGCCCTCATACGACGAACCTTCAAAGTGGCTAAGAAAGATCAAGAAACAGCGCCTCAAGGGTGGGAAAACATTTCGAACGTTATGTAGGTTACTCAACACCGAGATCAAGGGCATGATGAGTTGGTCTTTAATCACGACATTCTTGGACTATGTGGCTCCGTATTCCATGCTACGACTGCTGGCGTACCTGGAGAACCCAGAGGACGCCATCCTCCATCCCGCCCTGTGGCTGTCTCTTCTCTTTATCGGCCCCATGTCGCGTTCTCTGTGTTATCAGCAGTACATTTTCATTGCTACCCGACTTCTAGTTCGAGTCAATATGTCTCTGGTCCAGGAAATATATCAGACCGCAATGCGGTCGTACCTTTACGACGATTCTATACTCACGTCCAGTGCAGAAGATCGTCCGAAGTCTTCTCGGAAAATGAGGGTCTTGGCAAAGGGGGCACCAAAGTCTAGCCAAGCTAACATAACAAGCCTCATGTCGTACGATGTTGATGCTATCTATAGTGCTCGGGATATTTTTTATGTGGTTGTTGCAACCCCGGTCACTACTACGATTGCTGTCATATTCCTCTATCGGATGATCGGTTGGCCATCCTTGCTGGGTGTCTCTGCGCTTCTATGCCTGACTCCTCTCCCTGCTTTAGCATCTCGCAGGGTTTCACAGATCCAGCGATCTGTGATGCAAGCTACCGATGTTCGCCTCTCTAAAATATCCGAGTACTTGTACTCCATACGTACTCTGAAATATTTTGGTTGGGAATATGCTGCAATGGATACCATCAACGAGGCTCGAAGTGTCGAGCAACGTCGCCTCTGGAAACGGAGCGTTTATGCTGCTGCAATTTCAATGGCCGGTGACCTGTTACCAATGGTGAGCTTGTTGGTCATGTTTTCCGTTTTCGTGCTATTCACCAATGATACTTTGCGAGCCGCTACGGCGTTCACATCCCTATCTATCATGGAAACCCTGCGGTCCCAATTCGTCTGGTTGTCCAATATCAGCAGGTCCTCTGCGCAAGGAGCAGAATCACTCCGGCGAATCGACCGCTTCTTCGAAACCGCAACGGAAATTAAGAGGCATCCGGAAGGGCCATTGGAGATCAAGAATGCAACCTTCCGTCGGTCCCCTATTGCTGTTTTTAGGTTGCGCGATGTATCGGTCTGCTTCAGACCACGCGCCCTTAACGTCGTCACAGGCCCTACTGGAAGCGGGAAGACCTCTTTGCTACTGTCTTTATTAGGGGAAACAGTACTCGAATCCGGAATTGCCTATTGTCCACGGGATGTAGCTTATGTTCCACAAGCTCCTTGGCTACAGAACGACACAATTCGAGAGAATATTACCTTTTTTAGCCCATTTGACAAGGCCCGCTACAACGCAGTCATCGAGGCTAGCGGCCTCATACAAGACCTTCAACAGCTCCCAGCCGGGGATCTTACTTTGGTGGGCGAAAAGGGAACTTCACTTTCTGGTGGTCAGAAACAGAGGGTGTCCTTGGCGAGGGCACTATATTCGCGATCGTCCACCCTCCTGTTGGATGATATCTTCTCTGCGCTTGATACTCACACAACCACGCTTGTTTATGAAAAGTGTTTCCGCACTGGCTTGCTCGCAGATAGGACGGTTGTTCTGATCACGCATTATCCGGCCGCTCTGCAGGATGCCGAATTGCTTGTTCGCCTCGACAACGGAAAGGCGTCCGTTGTGGAAACACCTTCAGGCTTCCCACAAGCCCTTCTACAACGTACACGTTGCAGTACACCTGCAACTGACACCGATTCGGCATCTTTATGGAATCGGCTGACAGTCGAAGAACCTTATGATGTTCCCTCAGAGCCCGCAACCACCATTGCTCCTGCTCACGAGCAACAGAATCCGCAGGTAGGACGCATTGCAAAGGAAACCTCGGCGACTGGGCGTGTACCACGTACATTAGCTATACGGTACATGCTTTTGTTTGGCGGACCCTGCTACGCACCTCTAGTTATGGCAGTAACTATCGCAGTGCAGATTTCTTATTTTGCGATCACATATTGGCTCTCCGTCTGGATGTCGGCATACGAAAAGTACGATAACCCGAATTCGTTGTACTATCTAGGGGTATACGCTGCAGCGATCATCATATTCCTTTTGCTGCAGCTTTGCGGTAACCTCCTATACCAGTTTGGAAGCTGGACAGCCGCAAAAAAGATGCATCGACGACTAGTGAAGGCGGTACTGTCTGCTCCTATCTCCTGGTTTGACCAGAATCCAACCGGACGCTTGATTAATCGATTTGGGAACGATACCCGGTCGCTGGATACAGTTCTGATCGACTGGCTACGGATGTCTATTGAGAATGGATTGCGCTTCCTGCTTCGCATTGCTAGTGTTGCTTCTATCATGCCTATATTTGCTCTCCCCGCAGCAGTCATCTGCACTATTGGGTTCATCATTGGAGAGATGTACACCCGCACTCAGGTCTCCATCAAGCGATTGACATCTATCAACTACTCTCCAGTGTTTTCGCATTTCACTGATTCCCTGTCCGGCCTTTGCGTAATTCGCGCCCGCAAAGACATAGATCTGGTGTTTCAGAGACTCCTAGCAGAAAAGCTAGCTGTTCATGCCCGGTCCGCGGAGACACAGTACAATTGCAACCGTTGGGTATCCGTCCGATCAGACTTGTGCGCTGCATCTGTCGCAACTGCAGCGGGCTGCGTGGCATACTTCTGGTCTGGACCAGCAGGACTTGTCGGTTTTTCATTGACCAATGCTATCGGACTTAGCACAAACATCCTAAACTTAGTACGGACGATGAACGAATTGGAGGTGGAGCTGAACTGCTTCCAGCGAGTACGAGAATACACAGACATCGAACCAGAAGAACACATGAGTGAAGAAGAACAGAAAGAGGCCGCCGCCGTTCCAGCCAGCTGGCCAACGTCCGGGCGTGTCGAGTTCCACAACGTGAGCGCACGATATCAGGAAGACGGCCCAGATGTTCTACGCAACGTTTCCTTCGTGGCGAACCCAGGTGAGCGAATCGGGCTCGTTGGCCGGACAGGAAGCGGCAAAAGTACTCTTGGACTATCCCTGCTGCGGTTCGTGAACCTCGCATCGGGCCAGATAACCATTGACGGAGTCGACATCACCAAAATCCTCCTGAATCGGCTCCGCACAAGCGTCACCTTGATTCCGCAAGAGCCGGTCCTCTTTTCAGGAGACGTCCACTCAAACCTCGACCCGTTCGGCGAATCCAGCGAAACGGAACTCGCCTCTGCCCTGCAAGCCTGCACCTCTATCCACATCCCGGAGAGCAGCGACCAGGGAGACTACAGCAACCCCGCCAAAACGACTCGTCCACTGACACTCGCTACACCAGTGGCAGCCAATGGCGAGAATTTCAGTCAGGGCCAGCGACAAGTCCTCAGTCTTGCTCGAGCGATGTGTCGTCGGTCCAAGGTCGTGCTGCTAGACGAGGCAACAGCATCCGTGGACCATGAAACAGATATGCATATGCAGCGTGTCCTGCGGGAGAAGTTCCCGGATTGCACCATTATCGCTATTGCGCATCGGTTGAGGACCATCATGGACTATGATCGAGTGCTTGTTATGGCTGATGGGGAGATTGTCGAGTATGTCCTTTCCATTCTGGTGGATGTATTATAGCTTTCTGGAATTATACTGACAGATGATAGAAACGACTCACCTGGTGGTCTTCTTAAGAAACAGGGCATTTTCTGGGACATGTTGCGGAATACGGGTGAATACGAGGAACTGGTGCAGATGATTGAGGCCAAGTCGTCTGCCTCGTGAAGAGATACCATGTCTGGAAGGGCAGCTCTGTCCGAGATAAAAGGTGAGATGGAATTATAGCATGTCTTGAAATTTTACTGAATGTGGCCGCTTCCATATATACCACGACGAATTTGTATATAAACTGGACATATCATACAGCATAACTGCTACTCCAATCTCCCCATAGCAAGCCAACATACCAAAAAAAACCCATTAAATCCAATTCTATCAATCACTGTCGTATTATATCTACACCGGAGCAACCAACTGCTTCTCAGCCGGCCACTTGAGAAGCACCGCTTCCTCCCCAGTGAGAGTAAACGCCCAAACCACCTCCCTCTCATTATTCAACGCCACTTCATACCGACCAGGATACAAAACCCGATTCCCCAACTCATCAGTCCGTGCGAGACTATCAATACTCACAGGAATCGACAACATCCTCGACGATCCCGGCTCCACAGCCCCCAACCGATCAAACCCAACAAGCCACTTATTCGGATACGGCGCCGGCCCAGCAGTCGTATTCACAAACGCCATCGCCGTATAATCCGACACCCTGTGCCCCGTATTCCTCACCTCAACCGTAAAATTAAACAACGGCCTCTGCTCAGCCAACTTATACCCGGGATGCGGCTCCCCCAACACCTCCCCAATATTAAACGACGTCCTGTCCGCCCTCGCACGAGCACCAGTCGTATTAAAATTTGTATAAAACAGCCCATGCCCAAACGCATACACCGGCCTCCCCGTATACCACATATACGTCTGTCCCGGATTTGACCCATTCGGCCTTAACCCCATATCGATCGCCGGAAACACCTTCGCATATTCGGCAGGATACTGCGTCGTAACCAGCCGGCCGGCGGGGGCGCGTTCACCCGTGATAATATCCAGGAGGGCCTGTCCGCCATCTTGACCTGGGTATCCGCCCCAGAGGAGGGCGTTGACATCAGGGTTAGACTTCAGAGCGGAGGAGTCGACCTGGCCGCCGCCCATTTGGAGGACGATGAGTGGTTTGCCTAGTTTGCTTAGTTTTGTGATTAGGGCGAGCTGGTTGGGGGGCCAGGCGATGGAGGTGCGGTCTTGGCTTTCTGTTTCGAGGGTGTTGTCTACGCCGCCGGCGAAGATTATTAGGTCTGCTTCTTTGGCGGCGGCTAAAGCGGAGGATTGGGAGGTGGGGGATGGGTCGGTGGTTGTGTTTGTGCCTAGGGCGTAGGTGACTTTGTAAGGGGAGGACTGGAGAGCGGAGAGCAGGCTGGTCAGGTAGGGGGTTGGGCCGAAGTAGTTGCCTAGCATTTGGGTGGTTGCGTTGGCCCAGGGGCCGATTAGGGCGATGGATTGGTTTGCTGGGCTGGAGAGGGGGAGGGTGCCGTCGTTTTTGAGCAGAACGATGCTTTGGGCGGCTGCTTCGTAGGACAGGTTTTGGGCGTTGGTGGAGAGGACGTCCGTCCAGGTGAGGTTGCGGTAGGGGCTGATTTTGTTGTCGAAGTAGCCTGCGCGGATGAGGTTGGTGTACAGGCGGATTACGCCTCGTTCGATTTCCTGGCGGGAGAGGCCATGTTCTTCGAATGATTCCTGGAAGTGTCGTGGGTAGGAGACGCCGCAGTCGATGTCGGTGCCGGCTCGGATTGAGTCGGCGGCTGCGAATGATTCGTTTGCTGCGTAGCTGTGTGGGTTGAAGACGTTGTACACGGCGCCGCAGTCGCCGGAGACGTAGCCATCTTGGACGAAGCCGAAGATATCGCGGAGGAGCGTTTGCAGGAAGAAGGAGTTCGAGCAGCTAGGGACGCCGTTGACAGAGTTGTAAGAGCACATCACGCTGTGGACTTTGGCGTCTCGGGCGGCGACGAGGAACTGCGGCGTGTAGTATTCGGAGAGGTCTTGCTGGGTGATTTGCATGTCGTTACCGAGACGCGAGTGATTGCCCCAATTCTCGATGTCGTATCCGGCGTAATGCTTTGCAGTTGCGATGAGTTTGAGTGGGTTGGCATCGACGCCACCCTGGATACCAGTGATATACTCGTACGCGTAGGTTGAGGCGAGGCAGTAGGCGTCCTCGCCTGGTGTTTCCTGGCCACGACCCCAGACCGGGTGTCGAAAGGTGTTGATGTTGGGGGAGTAAACATCCAATCCATAGCGACCGGCGTTCATGAAGGCACGACCTTGCGTTGAGATAATGCTCGCGATCTCATGGATCAAGGTGCGATTAAGAGCTGCCATCGTCAGAATTGGCTGGGGGAAGGATGTAGCCCAGCTGAAGTCGTCGGCCTCGCTGAAATTGGCGTGAGCAACCCCGTGAAGAGCTTCGTTCCAAACTTGGTATTTGGGCAGCCCGATCCTGGGGGCTCCATGGCCAGTGTTTCCAGTATTATTCACGAGTTCATCGAAGGTCAGAAGAGAGACAAGAGCAGCGGCTCGATCATGGGGCTTTACAGACGAATCGCAAACGATAGTCTGGCTCAATGGGCCTCTCTCGCAGTCTGGGAAGGAAGTGCCCCCCGTCTCTAGGCATTCGGGGAAGAGGTCGGGATTAGCTTCGATGTTGTAGTCGACGAAGCTTTGGTTTGCTTGTCCTAAAGTAGTCGGCAATAAGGCCGCCAGGGCCGCGACTATGGACGCTGCACCAGGCATTATGACAATTGTCGGCTCAGCAACTGTACGTTCATCCTCCAACCCCAGTATGAGCTCTGATTTATAGGTATCGGTAATTGCATTCTTCATGCTATCCTTTCAACCGTGCACGTCATCTTTTCAGGATAAATTATCGGCATTCCTGCATCATCTCCAAGTTCTGGTCTCCACCCCCGCAGGAAAAGCCCTAATCAAGAAACTCCCGCGGTCGATCACGGCCTCCGACGCGGGAATGCTCCGATACATGCATGTCCACTCAATCCATTTAGGCTGAATTTGGCCAAAGACGTGGATAATGTTTGAAAAGAATATGAGTCCTACTTGAGTCACTCGTTCCAGTGTGGAGTCCACATAGAGGAACACCAGAGTTTGGGTATTCTGGGTTGTAACTTTGAAAGATTGAGAGCAATGATCAGCACCTCTGCTTTAGCCTAAAATTGATAATAGCCACGGTGTCTGCTTGCAGCAAACCTATGAAAACATAGCTACTCTGTGTGTTAGAGATAAAATCTCGTACATAGGGCATGTACGTATCAACTACCGTTCTCGATGCTCGCGCAATTAGACCTCATATTTTGCACCATCAGGAGATACTGATACCTTTGGAGTGCTTTCTCGACCAACGCTCCTTGCTTTCCACTGTGTATATCGGAGCTGCCTGGGTGAGGGCTTGTTTGCCCCTCGTCAGTAGGATTATTGTCAGTAATTAGGGGACGATATCTATGCCCCCGCCATATAACGCCTCGCCTCTTCTATTCACAGCCGAAGGACACTATATAAGAACAACCTCTCATTAAAACCTACCGAAGAAGATCGCCATACTATTATCCTTCTGTTCCCCAAGTTTCCATGTGCAGGTACCAAGGAGCTGTTTCTTGTGATCCATGTGGAAGATCATCCATCGGAACCATGGCCACTAAGAGTGGCTGGTCTTGCGCTCTACCTGACAACCGATAATATATGTATGCCCTGGTAATTGGGGCACCGAGGTAAGCTCGGACATGGTGTCTTGCATTTTCTCGATGTGAGAGCCCATGATTGCAAATGTTTTCAATCATATTGGGAAGTCTGGCATTGCGTTCGCAAACTCCGGCAGAATGTTTCCATTGACAATCAGACCTCCCAGAACCAGGCTTGACCAGAAGGGGCTCACCTCCGAGGGGTCCAGAGTTCTTGTGGACAGTAGCTCCTTGACAGATCTCATGGATGGTCGGCTCCTGGTTCCTGTAAAGCAGTGTACTTAAGTATTGGGAAGGCGAAGACACCCCTAGACCCTAATCAGGACAAACACCGCAAGGCGGATCAGTTGTGGAACTGGCCTAGGCAAGACCCTAACATCTTGTCCCGTCAAGGATCCTGTGACTCCTCCATATCGACCACTGATAAGAACCTCGTCTGCCTGTGCTCGTGGTTCGATAAAATAAATGGCCATGGGTTTGGAACAGCGGCAACGGAGTTGGAAGATCGTGGGCACACACTGTGCTGATGTCTTCGGTCACTCTCAGTTTGGAGGTTGTATGGGGTTATGTGTTCTGTCTTTTATTCGGTTGTTCAGTGTTTGGTTCTATTATGCCTCATTCAGTACTACTACGTTGTAGCTTTCATGTTCCTTTATGTAGGATTGCTCTGTGCTGGGTACCCAAATAGTATGTCACTTTATTTAATTCGATTCGGGAAGAAGTGTAATGTCTTACTTACACGGACACCTCTATTATTAGATTTCACCTGTTCAGCTACCTTAAGGCTATGCAATATGAATCTAGCTCCACCGATCTCTGGAGTATAGTTTGAAGTCCCTGCTATTTTTCTAGTTCGTCGGGTAATACCAGTGCTGTCTGGATTGCAGGTTTTCAACACTTGCCTATTGCCCTACGTCAGGGGCCTATTACTTACCCTGCATGATACAACTTCCCAATGGCACGAAGAGTCTGAATCCTTATGGGGGATGAACAAGTCAGCCTTATCCCCAAATCCCTTTCTAGATATTTCAAACCTTGCATATCTCTCCGAGAAGACATGCTCTAGTCCATTATATTCTCTCTGCATACTTATGTCAAAAAGCCTTTCCTTGTGAAATTCATGGTGTTGGACGGAACGAAGGATCACAATGCGATACATCCGAAAAGAAGGTGACGAGCCTTACGCTCCTCTGTTGAGAAGCATAGGCTATGCTACTAGATTCCTCGGTGTCCAACAGTGCGAAGCAAGATTACAGTAAGACTGTAGAAGTGCAGATATGACCGACCCGAGTCAGCCAGCCTTGGGATAAGTTCGCTGCGGCATCTTGCGTTGGATTTTTCAATGCCGGGTATCATTTCCGAAAGTCGACCGTTCACCTATGTAAGTGTACTTCCCTTTCCAGCGTTGACTGACTCTTTCATTGCAGTATTTACGCAGACATAGCGCACATTCCAAGCGGATACTCCCCTTGCGCCGTTACTTTGTATCCAATCCGTAGCTCCACAACATAGTGGTAAAGCAAGGGCGAAGAACACAGCTAAATCAACACATAAAAAGGACCAACAATTCTATATAGAAACAATAAAAAAAGAGTTAGGAAGCCCACGCTCCCATTAACAAACCCCTCTCACCGGGCTCATTCTACACAGTCATATCCGCATTCCTGCATATCCAGGTTATCAAACATCCAGAATGACCGAATTCACCCCAACCTGGCACCAGCCCAGCCACCATATTTAGATAATGGGCTCTTCTGTCTTTCTCAGACTCCGATTCTAGCCTTCCCGTGTCCATTGAGGATTATGTGCATCTCTTTACTATCACATATGATGCATCCGGAAATAGCATACCAGCAGTGCTCATCTTTGAATGACAGAACCCGTATCTGCCTGTCACGGAAAAGGCATTCCGACGCTTCGTCCAGTTTGTCAGATATCAAAACCCTTCATTCTCTTCAGAAAGCTGTGCGGACCGTAATCCTAAAGCGTCTCACCGAGAGTGGAATAAACACCAAAGAAATTGCGCCACAGTTGCTAAGTCATTGTCTTCCGGCCAGTCTTCACAGCAGCGCTTGGGAAAACTCTTACGTATGCCGCTTAAACTATCAGATCGCCAACTACAGAGTATCCTTCGATTAGAGACCCCACAGGAGACTGATGGCCAAGATATACGGCGAACAACTGTATATAACCGATCTTTTCAGATTGCAGTTGGTCAGCTTCATGATGTTATCTCCCAGTTTTCATGACACGGGCATATCATATGCCAAGGCAGCTATGTGGTCGTGTGGTATCGTAGGCATGCAGTCCAACGAGTTTGTATATATTAGATATGTTGGAAGAATAGCATGGGCAGGAGGTACAATTAAACGGCATGGAGAAGATTTACTAACTCGACGAACGGCCTTCTTTTCGAAGACTTTCGCCTGTGTAGAGAGAATCTATCCAACAGTGATCGATTCAGCCGCCATCTACGTGTTTCTGACTCGGCAAACTATGAACCTGGAAGAAGTTGAACAATCCAATGTAATCACTGAGCAGGCAACCGTTGCGCTACTAGGCCCTCACTACTTACTGAATCAAGTCCTAACCAAGACCAAAGTTTGGAATCTAGAACTCACCGAGTCTTATTGACGGCAATTCAAAGCTTTGAAGACCACTACCATCGCTAGATTGAAGCCTTGTGATTATTGCCCTATTGTAGAGGAAACGTAGATTGCTTCCTGAGCCCATGAATTGGATCACGCCGAGCATTACTGAGGCCGCGTCAATCCAGGACCGCTCCTTCATGCATAATTCTAGCCGTTATATTTAGTGGGCAACTTTCCAATGTGGTTTTCATCAAGGGCTTCGCAGATAGCAAGTTAGGAAATCCATGAATAATGAAGATAGGTGACTCCATCTTTCATAGCCTGAGATCTCTCAGGCATATAGCAAGCCTAGACGGGTATCGACGAAAAGGAAAGCGAAAAAGACGGGAAAAAGGACAGGATATAGATAAGAAAAGAAAAAAAATAAAAAAGGAAAAGAAAAATATGAGCCGCACCCGATTTGAACGGATAACCTTTCGATCTGGAGTCGAACGCGCTACCGTTGCGCCAGCGGCCCAAGCTTGAATGAAATGGATTCTAATAAAATATAAGAAGGGAAGCAAAGTTGTAATCCTACCTTTCATAACCGCTTTTCGAAATAGTACTGAAAACACAACCCCAGGAGTATTGGGCTTATGGGCAGCGATCAAACTCATTCATTCTCATTCCTCTCTAGGAGATGCTCTCATAAAGATACATTAAGGTAGGAAGTAGGTAGGCTGATATGGTTGAGGGCGGTGACTTTGGCGGCTCAATTTATTCTGCCTGTCAGTACGCATTGCTCAGTACTGTGTTGCCTTAATTTATATCGATATATACGATACCTTTACTATATCATAGTGCCCTCTTTTTCGAACTGAACTAATTTTCCTTAGATAGAAGACGCCTTTCGTCTAGGTTAGAAAGACCCACTATAACCAAGGGAGAGGGCCAAAAAAGAATAGATAATAGAGATATTTTGGTAATGAGTTGATTCCCTAGGCGCGACATGTAAAATATATAAAGTAGCGCACGTTCGCTATCGGGGCTTGACCAGATTTAGCCGCCCTAATATTATTAAGAATCCGTCTTTACTAAGAATTTGGTAACTCTAGTTAACTAGTCCAGTAAAATTATATATGATTAAGTCCCTAAGGGCATGTAATTAAGGTTTTTTTTTTCCTGAAAAAAGAATCAGAAAGGTAAAACTAGAAAAAAAAATGAGCCGCACCCGATTTGAACGGATAACCTTTCGATCTGGAGTCGAACGCGCTACCGTTGCGCCAGCGGCCCTGGAATGACAAATCGGTTTCTAATTACTATATAACTCAGTTTATTGATTGATGGCTCTTCTATGATCCAAACATACGACGCGCTCCACATAGCTCCCTCTTCGTGCCTTTGGCTCTCAGGACACAGCTTACATATAAAAAGAGGACCGGAAAGAAGTTTTATCTGATTTATAAGAACAAATGAAGTAACTGTACTGCAGCTGCGTGTTTCCCAAATGTTATTGGGTGTAGAGATCATTAATTTGTATATTAAACATTGGAAGTACGTTAATATATACTAGCCCCCCTCCGGGTGCATATAGGGGGAGCCAGATATTCACTGCCCTTTCACCAGTACACCTCGGTACCTCATCTTGCCATCTCTTAAAACCTGCATGGCCTCCTCAATGCCCTCCACAGTTAATGGGAACGTCATGACCGTGGGCACAACCTTATGCCGAGCGGCAAAGTCGAGAAGAGTGCGAATACCTTTCCGGGAGGCTACCAGAGAGCCCTGGATCCGGACTCCCTTGAAGAGAACATCCAGCATAGGGACAGGAGAGGGCTCGAAAGCGACCGTGAGCGGGTAGATGCTACCATTGGTATCCATGAGAGGCATGAGACTGTTGCGAGTAAGCAAAGGCGCGGAAACGAATAGAAAACAGTGGTAGCGATATAGATGGGATCTATCTGAGGTAGGGAATGAAAAAAGTCACTTACGAAGGATAGCTGACGGAGCCACTTCCGCACAGCAACAAGTGCTGGACAGGCTTGAAATCCTTCATGGGCTCGCCGGAGCGGAAAACATGATACTCAGCGGCTCCGTACTCTATAGCCTCCTGTCTCTTGGCTTCAGAGCTAGAAAGGACAACGACTTCACAGCCCAATGCGGCGGCAAGCTTGATGGCAATGTGGCCGAGACCACCAATACCCATAATAGCAACACGGTCAGTGGAGCGAATGCCGAACTCAGTCAGGACAGTCCAGACAGTGGCACCTGCACACATAAGAGGCGCAGCATCGACAGAGCTAATTGCCTCTGGGATAGGATAGACACAGTTGACATCCCAGACAGCACCGTAGCTGAAAGTACCATTGTCGAAGTCATGGAAACCATACTGCTTCTGGTTGCGGCAGAATTGATCCCAGCCTAGTTTACATTAGACGCTGAAGACTATAGAATTTGAAGAAACAGCTAACCGGTCTCGCAGTTGTCACAGGCTGTGCAAATGCTATGAGTGTAACCAAATCCAACACGGTCTCCGACCTTCACCGAGGTAACACCGGGGCCGAGAGCTTTGATAATACCGATACCCTCATGGCCAAGTACCTGGCCAGACTTAAGGTAGTGCTCATCTGTTCCGCAAAGACCGGAGTGAGTGGTTTCAATGAAGACTTCGTTATGTTCCAGAGTGCGGGTGGTTTTATCGGTAACAATTTTGCCCTCAGGAGAGCCACGGAAGACGTCGAATATGATGCTCATATTGATTAAATTTATTAAATTTTTGATCTTTAAAAAAAATATTGGTATATCAACAGTCTGGCCAAGAAAGGAATATTTGATAAAGCTATGTGCTATGAAACGAGATCTCTGACCTTTTATATACACTAAGCTCTATAGGTTTGTGAAGATTTAGAGTTCATCTGTCTTACTTGGAAAAGTTTGCGTACACGGGCTTAGCATACTGTTTTCTTTATGTCATTCTTCATGATAGGTACGCATCATGTTGAAATGAAGAAACGGTAGCCTGTGGACTCCGACCCACGCAAAAGTGGGTATGGCCGCTTTTCTCGAAGACACTAGTCTTGATACCGCAATTTCTGCAGAACCATATCCACCTGAACCAAAACTGAGGGTATATTCAAAAGTCTCCGAAAGATGTCTATGGCGGGGGAATTGAAGGCCCGTCGAGAACTGATTCTGCAGTTTTATGATGGACGCAATGTATGGAAAGTCTCCGAGAGCTCGGGTGGTTAGAATAATCTACAACATCCCTCGGGATATGCAAGTCTATCCCGGGCTTTGAACGGTATTTAGATCTGATAAAAATTTTTGTGAACGCTATGCCCTACTTGGAAGATGAAAGTAGCGGGAGTTTTCCTTGAAAAGAAACTAGGAATATTTTTCTTGACCACCCGAGAGACTGAGATTCAAGGGCAGTATTCACATTGTGCCTAAAGGGTCTTGTCCATTCGAGTCATTACCTCGTCTATCTTACCTGTCGGGCGTGTAAGACAATCGTGGCTCCCACAAAATTTGTTCTACTAGGATATCAGGGTGTTTATATGTAGGGTTCAAGCTCTAGAGATATAAGGATTGGCTACCAAACGCCCTACTCAAATCAGCGAGAGATTATCCGGGAAATGGGCTCCAAATGCCCATCCATGTTATTCGGAGTAGACCCGACACAGTGCGGGTTTGTTGATGCTCGTAGCATGGACCGGAGTTGTAGACCAAGCATTAAAGATGACCCGTATATTATTCGAAGAAGAAACTCTGAGCTAAGCAGGTCAATATGAACAACTAAATTAGTAATTTCAAAATATAGACATGTAATCTCATTGATTTACGAGAGAAAGGTTATACCAGTCTGTCCCGATCATAACCGACATTCAAATGGTAGTATACATATGGGATATACACAGCCAGGTATTACCTACTCCAGCGAGGTCGAAGTAGTAGGTTAGATAGCCAGAAACAAAGCTAACACCGATGAACTGCTGTGCAAGGTACACCATGCAAATACTGGTTGCTCTGCGAAGGTTAGGCCCTCGAAAGCAATCCAACCAACCAACGAGCAGTCTGTCGGGAGTTGGTGGTACTCCTCTCCATTTCCATGGTATTGCGCGTGATCTGCACTGCCCTATCGGCATCGAACTTTAAGCCACTGAACCTTTGAGAGCCTCGAGTGCTTCGTCGTCTCGGTCTTTCATTAGGAGCCACGCTGGTGATTTAGGTAGGAGGGGGAAGCCGATGAGAAACAAAAGACCTGGCATAATAATCTGGGTGATTAGAGGTTTACGCCAGGAGGAACCGTCGGTTCTGAACGAGGCGGCATAGATGCATAGGGCGGACAGCCATTGTCCCATGACAATCAAGGTGCTCTAACAAGTCAGCAAAGAGCGATCAGTCCTTCACAGTTGTGTACGGATAATTAGGGCAAGGCATATACCACGGATTAAGATGGGGGGAACCTCTGCAACCCACCCAGGGAATGCCATTGCATGCCAAGAAACTCCAGCAGAAGCTACAGGAGTATCGATATGATATACGTGATTGCCATGACGCCATGGAGGAAGCCCTCCAGGAGATCGGGCGGGTTAACAAAGGGATTCAAGATTGAGTGTTCAGACAAGGGAGTTGGAGTTGTTCGATCCTACCTCACATTAACACCCTATACAACAATACGGGGTCCTGAGCTAGTCCCTGTTAGATCGGGTAGTCTACGACTGGTTTAGATCCGGTAAACCAGAGAGCGTCCTCCCGACTGAAGGCTAGACTGCCAAACAGCTGGATAAAAGGTCAAATTTGGGCCTCGGGTGGGCTCTGAGCTATTGTCGCATATTTAGGATAAATAAATACACGATATACTTGGCAAGTATCAATAATCGCTGAACGAATCAGTCAAAAGAGTCTTTTCAGCACAAATATCAACACAAATCCCAGTCTTACCAAGGGTTCAACAACAGGCATCACCGCATCAGCTTCAGATCCACAAAAAGGTTACCACCTCCAGGCGTGGCGCAGGCCAAATGCAGCTTTGATGCAGTTCTCGCATTTCCATTTTTGTAGGTTTGGATAGCGTTTTTGAGGGTATAATTGCTGCTGTATGCGTAGTCATGGATGTCGAGATTTCCCTTTAACCCAAAGACGTAGTGAGCTGCTGCTTTATCCAGCTCGGACCAATCATGTCCAATGGTAGGGTAGATCTTCTCTAATTTCTCCGTTCCACTGGGAAGGATGAAAGAAACTATAGGAGACGCATCAGTACGTTAACATGCGGCACACAAATCTCGGCCTCTTACCAACAACTTCGGTTTGGTTTAGGCCCAACTGAGGCTCAACGTGCAAAAGATTCGGGTGAGAGAATAGGCCGGCGTATTGAAGTGCCCAGATATTAAATTCCATCCAGAGCATGATGTTGTTTCCCCCGGTATTGTGGAAGTTGCGGTATGCAGCGGTAACCTCTCCCTTGTTCGCAGTCCAATGTAGGTTTGCGACACGGGCCGGTTCTGGATGTTGTTTATCTCGAGGGATTTGGAATCGCACAAAGACCTTCTGCGCATCTGCATCAATAATGGTCATGGCTGTTTGTGATATAACCCACTGCTATCCTGGTGAAAAATGGTAGGAGGCTGTGCGACGAGGTTTGTGGATGAGTTCTGGAGGAAGTGCAATACCTCGGTCGAACAGTCAGATACTTATATTTCTTCGCATTCGGCATTGTTCAAAGGTAGTATCCTCTGGCGATAGGTTTACTGAGAGTATTACCCCACCGTCAGCCAGCCACGCAGAACTCCAAAATCTCTACGCCGAATGAGAAAATATTGTACTCTTTCCCCATGTTCTTCAGCTGGACAAGTGACCAATACTCTTTCAATACTCTCTTCATAGGTCAAAGCGCTAATGCATTATGCAGGGTGATAGACAAGATGGCCTGACAGTGATCATATGCCCCCTTGATGCGGCGTGCATTCAAGCTGGATTGCATTGAGCCTGCGGCTGGTCTAGATCTCGCTACATTCTATCTTCACGTCTAAATCGCTATGTTGGCCCCTCCCATTCGATCCTATTCGGATTTAAGTAGGCATTTATGAGGGAGATCCACCGGCTGAGTATTGGGCTGTCGTCCTCGGGAATTATCGCCGTTGAAGATATCATCAAGAGGGAATTACTCGGACGCGAGTAAACCCAACGCCCAAACTACATGAACACTCGCACCTTGTCACTGTCAAGGCTGCCTTGGCATTAAGAAATGAATAGTATAGGTTATATCTCAAATCACTCTTACATCATTGTTGCTGTGCCGGCAACTTCAGTTGGCTTTCAAACTGATAAAAGTGGAGTACTGCCCAACTGTTCTTACCAGCGGATATCATCTTTGAGTGGTTCTATGAGTTAATTAGTAGGTGAGCTGGCTTACTCATGTCCAAGGCTCTGACGTGGATTGTGTGTGTGTATTTTCATGTATATGGTTTGTTAATCCGGGGCCCAGTGGGTCTTACATTCTTAAGAACTAAGGTTGTGAGTCTCGAATGGCTAGTACTCTACCAGGTAGTTCAAACACATATAGAAAAACGATTGAGAAATCAGATAGCAAATTCTTCCTGACTGAGATCTAGTGTACCAATAATTTGCATCGATCACTACCTGCACACGCGCTAAATTGGCAAAACGATGAGAATATATGACTCTATTCTCAAACATGCCGATGAGTCTTTAGCGGATCCTGATATAAATAAGAGCATGAGATGCCAGATCAATTAATGAGAACAATGAAATTCGGCATGCTACAAAGACTGCCTTTAAGATGCTCTCTGCATTATGACTGAAGGGAAACGAAAAAGGCGCGAGTCGTAATCTCTACTTATGTGGTATTTCGGTGATGTTAGCCTTGAGTATGTAAAACCCAAGACTACCCTAGTATATGGCGAAGACTGTTATTGTACAACTAGTCGAATAGGGGCAATTCATTCTCAGATTACCCCCCATGGGATGCGTTTCTCCTTTCCACGACCAACCTGTTTGTGATCGCGCGAATAACTATTTATTTAGGTGGGTATATATCCTAATAACCCACACTGAGTTCTCGGTGTCGTCAAGTAGCGGTTAAGAAGAGAAGAAGTTGGGATAGAAAGGGTATGCGCATAGAACATCGTATTTACTATTGGCACTTCAAAGCGCGTTATTTCACTTTTCTGCCTTTAAAATCTTCGCTGGCCCCCCCATTTTCACCTCCTTTTCAAGTGCATCCAGCGCTTGTCCGTACCTCGATTTGGCGTCCTTCATGTCGTTCAACTTCATGGGGACCTTCTGCACCTTCGTAGACCTGGTAATTCTACCGTCAGGCCTGTGGGTGATTTCCTTCATAAACCACCGGCCTTCGCGATGAGCAACGAGGGTCCAAGCAGAACCCTCCCTACCAGCTCGTGCCGTACGACCGACACGGTGGACATAGGTGGTGATGCTGGTTGGGATATCGTAGTTGACAACATGAGTCAGGGACTGCAAGTCAAGACCACGTGACGCTCGGTCAGTAGCAATGATGATGGAGATCTTGCCTTGGCGGTAAGCAGTGAGCGTTTTCCGGGAAGCTGATGACTTATTCGACTTGATGATCGTTCCAATCTCGTTGGCTAAAGCTGGCTCGAGCAATGCAAGCAAACGAGAAAGTCGCGAGGCCGATTCAGACGACTTGGTGAAGATCAAAACGGAAGCTCGGGGACGACTAGGCTCGGATTTGGTGCCCGCCGGCAGTTCATCTTCAGAACCAGAAGCATCCTCTGAATCTGAACTGGAACTCGATGACGAGCGGTCGGAATCTGAATCTTCCGAGCTAGATTCGTCAGAGCTGGACATCTCGGAGCCGGAATCAGAATCTGAGTCATCTGTTTCGGATGTCGAGTTGGAGTCATCAGAGCTAGATTCTTCGGAGCTCGAGCCTTCTGAACTGGTATAGTCTGATTCAGACCTGTTAGACAGGTCTGGCTTTGTGTTCTTATTGACATCGACCTTAATGTGAGACAATAGGAGACGTAGAAGGTAAAGTGGCTTTTGTGACCCGTCTGCGACCGAGACGGAGTACTCCTTCAACCTAGGCGGCAGAGTATACCGATCATCCGATTGATCAAGAAGCGCGCCATTTGCATCTTCTTCGCCTGTGACTTGTTCCGCCGAACCAACAATAACAAGCTTCGGGTTCGAGAGCCGTAAAGAGTTCAACTTCGAGATGTCTCTAGTCATGGTGGCACTGAGAATCACCTTCCTAGGGTCTTTAGTTTGTATAGGAAGCCCAAGGTTAGCAAGGAACTTTCCGCTAAAGCCGAAAGTCTCAGCGCCCTTTCTCGCATCTAGAGAGTTCATCACAACATCAACCCATTCCTGGAAGCTTTCGTTGAGTAGTCGGTCGGCTTCATCAATGACAAGCCACTCAAGGTACTTTAGGGTGAAGCCCTTGGTGTATCGGATGTGATCGACTAGACGACCTGGGGTACAAATCAAGATGTCGACATTGGGTTCTGCTTTACGGAGATAACCTGGCAACGATTCACTTTGATCCCCTGCATCTGAGATATAGTCTTGTAAACTGAAGTTCATCCAATCATCGTCCGTTAACTTATCTTGTTGTCGCAGTCTGAAGTTCTCTGGGCCGTAGACTTGGTCAACGCGCATCAATGAACGCTGCTCATCCTTGATGGCCACATTTCCCACCGCGGAAGCGACACGAAGTCCCGATCCAGCAGCACAAAGTTCACAAGCTTCTCGAGCTTGTTTAACTAGCTCTCTTGTAGGTACGACGATGAGACCTCTCAGTCTAGGAGCCGGAACTTGGTCCAGAGCCGTAACCAAGGGTAGGACGTATGAAAGCGTCTTTCCGGAGCCCGTGGCTGCAGAAATACATACATCTCCCGGGTGACTCTTAGATCCCTGCAAAAGTAACGGAATGACAGTGGATTGTACAGCAAATGCTTCTTTGTACCCATTGCTTTCGAGAATACGAAGGACGTTCTCCTCGATCCCCAGACTCGAAAACGGTGTTCTCTCCTCGGCAGAAGTCCGCAAAGGATTGGCAAGCCACTCCGGAAGGGAGGAATAGCTTGGCTTCTCATCCTTCTCAGGGACCGCTTCTGGCTGAGGCAGAGGCTCCAAGCCCTGGGCTATGACAGGTTCTGGCCCAGTAGACTCATGATCGACATCCCCCTCTCGAGGTTTGGCCTTGACCGATTCTGTCGCCTTGACAGCCTTTTGAAATTTGGACAATAATCCCGAATATTTATTCTTTTGTGGCCCCGAGTTACCTTCTTCCTCTGGCATGGTGTCGATAGCCTTGGGAGCCACATGCGACTTCGTAGTGCGTCCCTGGTGACTATCGGTTTCTTCTATATCTGCAGCATACTCAGACAAATCATTATTCCCTCCTGAGCTTTCTCGTTTAGCCTTCTTCGATTTCTTTTTTGTTTTATCCTTGCTGTCATCTTTACTTGAAGGATTCGTTTTACGGCTGACCGGCGAGACAGCACTCTCCTCCTCGGCCGATTCCTCCTGAGCACTACCACTGGCAATTGTTTCGGATTTTCTTTTTTTCTTCCGGCTTTCTTTGTGTTTTGTAGGTGTGGACGAAGGGCTCTGGCTTTTCTTCGGCTTCTTAGTCGGAGTTGGTGTCGAGGTTGTGACGGCGGAGCCATCAGCGTCTCTCTTCCTCTTGTGAGATTTCTTCGCGCTCAAGGGAGTCGATGAATTTTTCTTCGAAGAGGCGTCATGCGCCGAATGGTCACCGGCCATTGTCAAGAGTGTCAGCGCACCACCAGCGCACAGTGAATTCGATCGACAGTACTTTCGGTGATACGAAGACATGCTCCGAAATATTTCTCTCTAGCGGGAATTATTCCGTCGGCAGAACCAGCACACCGCCATCTGGGCCGCCAGGGTCTGGACCATTCGGAGTAATCCATTGGTCGATCGTCATCAATTAACTTGCGATAGAGTAAAGTGATACCCCTAGAGACCAACCTCAGACTATTGTTAGACTTACATAGTCCGGACATGGATAGTCTGGCAAAGCATGATCTGTTGAAACTGTCTGGGCCTCTCTAGAGCAGAAATCTACCCAATATGCCTTACAACATTGCGTGAGTTCCATCGCATCGTTCACGCGCCAGATGACCTTAGATATCTAACAATCCACCCAGGATGGTCAGTGACTTCTTCTTCCCACAACCAGGGGGTATTGAAAGCCACATATACCAATTATCGACCGTAAGATATCCTATCAGCACTCCAGGAATCAAAGCTCATCGATCCTCAGAAGCTCATCGACCGTGGCCATAAAGTAATCATCATTACCCATGCGTACAAGGGCCGTACGGGTGTTCGATACCTTACAAATGGCCTGAAAGTCTACCATGTACCTTTCCTTGTCATATACCGTGAATCGACAATGCCAACTGTTTTCTCCTTCTTCCCTATATTCCGCAACATCGTCATTCGCGAACAGATTCAGATCGTGCACGGACACGCAAGCTTGAGTAGTTTCTGCCATGAAGCCATCCTGCATGCCCGAACTATGGGTTTGCGGACGGTCTTCACCGATCATTCACTGTTTGGATTTGCCGATGCAGGATCAATTCTTACGAATAAATTGCTGAAGTTTACGTTAAGTGATGTAGACCATGTCATCTGTGTCAGCCATACATGGTAAGAACAATTGGTTGGGAGGGCCAAGGTGGACGACTCATGTTGCGGCCATTTCGGTCGATACCAATGGCACCTTTACAAAGCTTGGAGAATCCATCGCTGACTTGACAACATAGCAAAGAGAACACGGTTCTTCGAGCGTCCTTGGACCCGCTAATGGTTTCCGTAATCCCAAATGCGGTGGTCGCGGAAAACTTTCGACCTTTAGAGCAAGGGGGGCCGCCACGGGCAATGGGACCGAATGACATTATCACTATCGTCGTAATTTCGCGCTTGTTCTATAATAAGGGAACTGATCTTTTGATCGCCACGATCCCGAGAATTCTTTCCTCCCATCCGAATGTGCGGTTCATTATCGCTGGCTCAGGGCCCAAGGCCATTGATTTGGAGCAGATGCTAGAACGCAATGTGCTTCAAGACAAAGTAGAAATGCTCGGTCCAGTTCGTCATGAAGAAGTTCGAGATGTTATGGTCCGAGGCCATATATACTTACACCCCAGTCTAACGGAAGCCTTTGGGACTGTTCTAGTCGAAGCCGCCAGCTGTGGCCTCTATGTGGTGTGTACACGGGTCGGTGGCATCCCAGAGGTTCTTCCCCAGCATATGACCACTTTTGCCAAACCTGAAGAGGACGATCTTGTCATGGCCACTAGCAAAGCCATTGCCGCGTTACGCTCCAACAAGGTACGTACTGATCGATTTCACGATCAGGTGAAGATGATGTACTCCTGGACCGATGTGGCCCAGCGCACAGAACGTGTATACGAAGGGATTCAGGGGGATATAAGTCCTGAGGAGTTTTACGGATATTATCCCGGTCAAGGTTGGGAGGCGAGCGGTGATAGAGTACGCAGCTTTGCTCTCATCGACCGATTGAAGCGCTACTACGGTTGTGGAGTGTGGGCAGGCAAACTGTTTTGCCTTTGCGTGGTCATCGATGTCTTGATCTACGTCTTTTTGGAGATGTGGTTTCCCCGCGCGAATATTGATATTGCTCGCAGTTGGCCAAAGAAGCTGAAACAGAAAGAGCTCGCCGACACGACCAGAAACGGTGCAGATCGTATTGAATCGGCCTCCTGACTCAAACCAACAATGCGTTTACCAGCTTTGCACATCTATTCGGTTACGAATATGTTTTCGATTCGCTCAAACTGACAAAACACCGTGATACCCATGCTCATCATAAGTTATGGTACATTAAGGCATTGTAGCAAATATTTTTTATCAAACTCCTTGCTGGCTCCGATCCTTTAGAGACCCTGGCCAGGGTTCTTGCGGTGCGCTTGGCCGTCATGGCGGAGCTCCGTGCTGGTCTGGCCGGAACCGGGGTGGCCCAACCCGGTGTGTACATCCTGGGAGGTCGCTCCCATCAACGTCTGCTCGGCTGTTGTCTTGACCGATTCTTTTCCGTGGGAGCGCTCAACATTAGGGTTCTTGGCTTGGCTGCCTGGTTCGTTCTGGGCGTTGGGAGTGTACGAGTTGCTAGCGGGAGCAGTGCCGGGAGGGTATGTCTCGGCGTGGAATTCAGGGGCGTAATCTTTCGGAGAGACCTTAAGGCCGGGCTGGTGCTATCCCAAAAAGTTAGCAGATGCCCTTCCGCATACATCAAACTCCAGATGTACATACGCCCTTGTCTGTGAGAGGCTCCGAACTGCCCGCAGACGGGCGGAAACCCTGCTTAGGGTTGTTGTCGGGGTGGACGTTTTGGAGAGTGCTCATAATGAAGGTTTTGAGTAAGAGGTGTGGGTGATAGAATGGAGAGATTGGTTTGATTCAATTCGTGAAGAACAAATACTTTTGTAGTAATTGATTAATCTAGAAGCCTTCTAAAGCTGCTACAAGATCTTTATAAACCCCCCGTTTGGATACAAAGTTGGCAGCAACCCTATGACGTCAAGGTTGACCTCATAACGAATCCACCACAATATATATTAGCTATCTTTGGTCGATCCAAGAGTCTTGGGCGTCACCATCTTCATTCCTGGCACATTATCATATTATGACGTTGAGGTATACTGTTGTTTGTGTCACCGTGTGGAGATGAGAGAAAATGGATACGATGTCTATATCCTCATCAATTGCACATTAGCAGATCGACTATGGAAATTGGATTGGATATATCCCGCGAATATCTAGAAAAAAAAATTGAAGAAAAATGATTAAACTAAGGTATCTTTGCGTACAAACAGTTCCTTCCTGCGCCATTAAAGAAAAAGCCCTAGCTGGTAGAATAGCAGCAAGGGAGCACAAATCGAAGTTCTAGGAGTGCTTGTTCCTGGCTGTTTCACCTACCCAGCCAGGCACAGAGGGCAACTTCAGCTCCGCTTTTACGTAGAGGCCCCCCCATAACAAATCACCTCATGACCGGAGGCCGTCCCTCCTTGTTCCATTTGACTCGAGTCTGAACCCACTCCACAGCTTCCTGGACTCCTGTGCCCAGAAGCGCACTGATCGGTAAGACGCGACTGTCGCGCAGGGCATTTCCGGTTTCTCCCTCAAAGACCTTGCGCACGAACCCCTCCTTGATGCGCACAACTTCTACCGAATCTTCTCGATCTTGTTTGTTTGCCAGGACCAGAATGGGGACACCCGCCACATCCGCGTGCTTCAAGACCGATTCCAACACTTCGCGACACTCGTTGAGCCGACCAAAGTCACTATCGGGCGCATCGATGCCGACCGCCTGTTCAGTGAACGTATCGGAGCTGCCCCCCGAAGGGCCGGATCCTGAACTGGATCGCCGATTCGAAGGAAGTCGGGTGATATCTGGATCTTGGCCAACATCGGTACTATCGACAACGAAAACAATCGCATGACAACTCGAATAGTAACTTTGCCATAGGTTCCTCATGGTTAGTTGACCCCCCACATCCCAAATCTTCAGGTACATATCCGGAAGGTTGATCGTGGCGACATTTTGGCCGACTGTAGGCACGGTTTTGCCGGGGTTCGGAGCAGGAGCGCCCTCGGCACGAGGTTGGTAGAGAGCCTTGATTTGCGAAAGGAGCGTAGTTTTGCCAGCATTATCTAGCCCAAGAAGGATGACGGAGTACTCTAGAGGAGCCTGTCAGCAGCTTTGCGCATAGCCTTGCGGCTATCTTGCGTTATCTTACCCTCTTTGCTAGTAGCGTACATATACAACGACCTGGCCAGATGGTACATCGTCGCAGTCGGGGCGGAGGCCAGAGCCAACTCCTGGGATCAAAACGGGCGTAACGAAAGACGGGATGAGAGAATCATGGCAGCGCAAATTGCCTCCAATTCCCTTCGTCCTTTCCCTTTCTTTCCTTCTATCTAGACTGTCCTGCTATTCAAACCAGCTTACCTACTCTTCCGTCCAACGCGTCAGCCTTGACCAGATCAGGCAGGTAGGGCACAGGGCTGTCGAGCGGAAATACCCTGAGCCCTAGATTTCCTAGTCGGGCTACCCCGCGCCGGATACTCTCCGACTCATGATCAGAGGATAAGCATAGAATTGCGTATTATGTTCCAGGACATTCACTCCGATGATTTCATTCATCGATCATGGTTCCATGGATAATGGGCCCTTTACGCCCCTAGCTGCAAATGATTTCTGTCTTGACCCTAGTTGGGGGAAAAGAGATCTCTCCGAATCGAAGAAGTCTTCAAAGTTTACAAATGAAGCCCGGAGTATGGAAAGGTGCCGCCGGTCTAGGCGACTCGAACCAAGCTTAATTTCCATAGTTCACCCCACGCCGCTATTCGGACAGCATGATTGCTAAGCTGGTTCTGAGTTTTGTCAGCGAACGGCTCTACTTGGTGTGCGCCTCTCTCGCCCTCTCCCTGTAGTAATTTCTGCCATCTCAAATGTACCTTCGTTCGATGGCCTGCCGGCTGCATATCCTTCAGAGGAAGGTAGTGGTCCCGTCATCATCATCATCTAGACCCACCGATTGAAAGGTGCTACCTTAATCGCATGTCCTGTCGAGAATGCACCGTGCCGACCGGGTGGCCGGAGGCTCACAGATTGCCTTCAATGGACACTGACACCATTATCATCGGTATGTCGCCATATTCCCCCCCTCCAAAGTTATTCTCTGCCAATGGGCGTTGCGATTGACCGGTAACCTCCGTAGGGAACGGGCCCTCGGCCATGATCCTGTCCTTCATCCTGCATGGTCATGTCCCATATTATTCCCCGAATCCCCCACATCCCGATCCCCTTCTCCATGCTAAACTCAAAGATAACCCGGCGCTGCTGGATGTGGATGTTGATGCTCTGACGGAGCATTTCGCCGCTTCTCGGCTCAGTTACTCCACCCAAGCTCTGCCGGTCAATGTATTATTTGACACCCTCTTCCGCCCTAGTATCGATGTGGAAGAGCTGGGCAGCATTACAAATATCGAATGGCGATACGTACCTGAAAAAGCGGTTCCTCATGTGGTTTTCGGGAATGCGCCACAGCCTGGTGGGCAGTGGACTGAAAATCTCGTCCCTGCGAGCTGGGACATCCAGACCTTGAGCTATGCATCCATGCTATCTCTTCCCGGCTATTCCTTTGCGGAACATTACCGGAGACTCACCGGCAAAGACCTTGCTGCCTTCACCCGCCCCAGTAGGCAGGAAACGGCGGATTATTTCCAAGCGTATCCGGAAGCTGTTGGAATCGCGGATGCTTTTAGAACCAGTGAGGTTCTGACCGGCATCTCCAGAACAGAGAATGGCTTCTTCATTCGCTCCCACAACATCCATTGTAAGAACTTAGTCTTAGCCAGCGGTATCTTTTCCGAAGTGATACAGCCTCGCCCATTGCTACAGCCTCTCCGCTCACTTCAACCCGTCCCGGACATCCCACTTCTTATTATCGGATCGGGGTTTTCAGCTGCCGATGTAATTATCTCGGCACCAAAAGATCAAAAGATCATTCATATATTCAAATGGGATCCCGAAGAGCGACCTTCTCCCTTGCGGGGCTGCCATCAGCAAGCATATCCCGAATATGCGGGCGTTTACCGTTTGATGAAACGAGCTGCCGTTGCTGCGGGTCCAGCCACAACAAGAGGTCCTTCCAAAGTGAAGCGGACAATATCAGGCCCGTTTTTGGAAAGCCGACCGTGGGATGAGGTTTACGAAGGGTTTCCCAATACAGAAATTATCGCGGTGGATATGCACAAGGAATGGGCAACGGTTACCTTCCGCCAAACCGATGGAACCACATTTTCGCGACCGGTACGCGGTATGGTATATGCGACTGGCCGTCGAGGCTCCCTCGGCTACCTCGACCAAAACCTCCTTTCTGAGGTCCTGGGGCCCAATAACAGAAGCGAAATAAATCCATTGGTCTCTGGGCAGACCCTGCGACACAAAGCATTTGATAGCATGGAAATTGCGAACAACGTCTTCATCATTGGCAGTTTAACCGGTGACACCCTAATTCGTTTTGCACATGGTGGCTGTGTTCAAACAGCGGGCAATCTCATACGTACATATACTGGGGAAGAGCAAACCAGAAGTAAGGCGATCATCCCTTCCCGACCGCAAGGCTCTTCTCCCGGCGTGATGCAGGGCATCGACGGCCACGACATTTACGGAAATGGAAACTATAGGCCTCAGCTCAACAAGATCGACAGCTGCGGTTCGCAGTACCCCATCCCTGAGAAATCTGGTATTCTTGGAAGCGTATGGAACGCATTGACTGCTATTTGGTAACGATACAACGTGTTTGATCCTCTTTACTATACATACATATCATATAGATCCTAGAAGGCTTTTTTGCAACGCAATAGTCTTGTACTCTATGTATATCGTTGCCTTGGCAGTTTGTTACGGGGCTCAAGGACCACAGATGGTCGCTAAATCTATGCAATATACACGAGCAACAGGGTATAAAATCGTCATCATTATTGTACACTTTAACAAGTCGGGTGGCCTCTCAGAGTATAGTCATACACCTAGCCCATAATCTGCAGTTGGTCGTCTGGAGGCCACCGGGTCTGCGCAAAGCTCAAGCATCGTTTAATGCTTTGTAGATACTTGCGAGTGATCTCATCACTCAGGATATGGGCCTGTTGGTCGCTCTGGTGCAGTTTTTCTCGGGCTGATCGCTCGTGGATACCAACCATGGTCACACCAATGGGCCATGCTCTGCACGCAGTTAGTTATCTCAAAGTACGAAGAACAGGATAAAAGGTTTAGCACGTACGCCTTTCCAATGCTCAATCGTAGATAGGCATCGTTTGCATCCACATATCTCCGCAGCTGGGCGTTGTGGACGATTTCGACAACGTGCTCCAGCACGCGATCATCAACGTCCACCTTCTCGAACTTGCGGAATAGTGGCTTCATATTCTCCCTTGACTGGACCATCGCATTGTAGGCTTGTCGTCCCTGGAGACTTTGCTTGACGGATATATCTCGCTTCGCCAACGCAAGCTCCCACTCCCCGAGTACCATGTTAAAATACGAAGCCAGCTGGCGGAACAAATATTTGCGGCCTTCCGTATCCTTCGGGAGAGCCGTGGAAATCTTCATGTCCTTCTCGGGGACCAGCTCTAGCGTTGTGGGAATAGGCCCATCAGACAACTGTTGCTGGGGGGTGAGTGAACGCTGCACAAGTCGACGATAGCGCCGTAAACGGCCGCGATGTGTCTCTCCAAACAAACATGCCGGTTCGCCCATCTCACGCAGCTTCTCAACTAGTTCCTGATCCGGAATTTCTTCTTCGTCCTCCTTCACCTTGTCTTCACCCTTTTCACCAGGAGGGGGCACCTCAGGTAAACCCAGTCGTTTCCGTCGTTCTCGCTCCTTCGCTGCTTCCTCCTCCTCTCTCTTCTTCCGGGACTCTTCCGCTAGCCGTCGCCTTTTCTCTTCTCGCTCTTGTCGCCGTACAGCCTCCTCCTCTTCCAGTTTGCGCTTCTGCTTCATGCGCTCTTCTCGGTCGCGTTGCGCTCGCTCCTGCTCTTCATTATAGGCGGCGATTCGGGCGGCTTCGGCCTCACCACGGCGGATATATTTCTTCTCCGGGACCTTGGGTGTATCTTTTTGCTCTGACGAGGATCCACCTTTGGCTTTGGTAATTTCTTTGGACATTAACGCTGCGAAATCCATATTGCCGGCTGCCGAAATCGACAAATGACAGGAACTATAGCTTCAATCCAGGTTGGGAAAAAAAGGTAAATAAAAGTAGAAGGTGACCGAGACCTTGAGTCAGAATGAAGGGGCTAGTGGACGGGGGGGAAGCGGCAAAAGTTGGTCGCGGCGGAAAGTCCAGAGCTTAAGCTCACTCTCCAACTCGTGACCAAATTAAAGCTCCCTCCAATTTCCACCGCAACACTTTTCCACCCAAACATTTCAATCCCTAATTTCATTCCATTGTTATACACCATTGAGATCGTGTCCAAGTAAACGCATACGCAAGATAACTATATCTACGTGACATTTGAAACGTCACTTAACGATCAATCGCACCCATCCCCCCAAACTAAACAAAGACGGCATCATGGCCGCCGCTCGAGATGCGCCGAAACCCCAGATCAACCGTCAATCCACGACACCCTTCCATCTGAAGCTCTTCTACCGGGTGAACAACTTCCACCACTTATCAGACTTTGCCGTTCCACCATCACCTGCGTCATACGGTGGCCCCGTTAGCGGCCCCAATGCCATCCGGGCGCGCTCCCCTCCCCCGCCGCCACTCCCTGCCCACCTCCAGATCTACACCTGGCAGTCCTGCACGCTGCGCGAGCTCTCACAGCTCCTTACCTCCGCGCTACCATCGCTACTACCCGACCCACCCATAGGGACGAGACTATGCTTCCGGCTCATCTACCCCGACACAAAGACCGCCGCGTCGATGGGACCCGACGCGCGAGGCCGGTACCTCAGCAAGGATATTGGCAGTGTGGTGATCGGCCCGAAAGATAGCCCCTACCGCGAGGAGAACGACGAGGAGAACGGCGCCGCTGCGGGGCCCCGGGCCGGCGCTCTACGACTACAGGGCCACGATGCGGACAAGACATTACAAGACATGCGGTTCGTGATCGGAGACTATGTCGACTGCGCGATTCTGCCACCTCTAGAGGACGGGTCGGTGGCTCCGCCACTCACGACTGGGAGGGGACCTATCGGATCGACCATTGGTGGCGGCATGAGGGCGTTTCGCGATAATGGGTTCGCAGGCCGGCCTGGTCGGGGAGGCAGAGGTGGCGGCGGAGGCGACCGTGGAATTCCCGTAGGTGATTGGCGAAGGGGAGAGAGGCTGCCAGAAGAAGGGGGGCGTGGGAGGAGAGGATGGGGTCCTTATTGATTTATATGTCTTTCGGTCTTATCCATGATTTGCGTTTAATGATCTCGGTTTGTATTAGTTTTCTGGAGTTGTGATCCTGAGGGATACCCGGTTCTGAAAAATATGGCTGTTGTCTGATCATTGGGTTGATGCTATTTGGTTCTGCGTGCGTAGTGTATCTGATGTTGTAGGCTGAAGATATATCTCCTCGCGCCCCCGGAATATATATATATATATAGACCCGGATACGGAAGACTACACAACGTATTTCAGCAGCACTCCAAGGACCAAAAGCCCAATATAGAAACCGTACGTATAACTACAATCCGACCCATAATCAAAAACCAAACGAAAAAAAAAGAACACTAAGCGGTATATTCCGTAATAAATACACATCTAACGACGAGTCATGCCACTTTCAACAAAACTCATCGTCTTCACGCCCAATCTCCAGACTCAAACCAATCGGCGCATTAAAAAGAAAGAATAAATCACCACTCCGAGATCGTATCTTCCCTCCTCTTCCCACGGAAATGGTACTTGCCCTGTTGTAAGGAAACCCGTCAGTCAAACCGCATTCCACACACCGAGCTCACTCATCAAGTTAGACTCAAACCCACATCAGTCTTGTAGGCAATGTACCCCAGAGATGCAGGGATTACAGCCATGTAGAGGAAAGAGAACCAGGCATGGCGCGGAGTCCAGCGGAAGTACTTGTAGCGGTTTGCGTTGACCTCTATTCGAATATGTCAGTTCTAGTCGTGGCCTTTTTCAATGCTTTCGTGCTCGCAATATCATATGGGAGAGCGTATTGAGAGCGCTTGGTCGACTATATCCCGTCCGTGTATATCATGTCAAGGTTGGGTTGGTCGGATGGGAGAAAGAGAGGGAAGATATGTACCGTAGTATTTCTGGAGGGCCGGATCAAGGATCAGGGCTGGAATGGATATCCGTTAGTTCGGGTGTACCGATTGGAACCGGGAGGAGACGTACACTTGCTAGGACCGGCCATTGTCGCGGTTGTGTAGGATGGGGTGCGTTATCATCTAACTCTCTATCTTCATCTTGAATTGGCGAAGCTTCGATTGGTGAGGTGCGGTTGCTCCGTGGTGTCACGTGAGTATGTTTTTTTGATTAGTCAGGGGAAGGTGGGTGTGATTGGGTGGACGTTGTGTATAGGAACGTATATAATACGAAGGGTTACGGGCCTGTTTTCTTGACTCATGTATAGCATGTCAACCTGACAGTCTGCTAATGCACTGAATCATGCAGCGGTCGGGTGAATTGGACATATAATGTGGGTGTTAAGGCCCAATTTCGAAAATGGTCTCTTTGGAACGGGATCAAAAAGAACCCACTCCTGCCGATGACGCAGTTTCACAGGCGATGATGCCGAGGCAGATGTACGCCTCTTGATCTTCTCCTCGTCGATCAGTCTAGCTCTGCTTGGTATAAGAGACCTCCATTCCTGATATTGGTCGATTGCTCGTGTCATCTTGCTGATATCTCGTATTGTCGGATTAGTAGCTATTCCGTTCTTGGGGTGAATCGTATTTTAATCCAACTCAACATCCCCTGATCAATATCAACCAACTCCAACCCAGCTCCCTCGTACCAAAGGACAAGAACATACGTTAAAATGGCGGACGCAAACAAAGGCGCGAACATCACCCTTTACTGGTTTGCCTCTCTTTTAACTCCTATCTACTTCCCATGAACAAAACTAAGAGGAAACTCCACCAGGCTGGAGAAATCCCGCTCCCAGCGCATCGTCTGGCTCTTCGAAGAGCTAGGCCTAACCTACAACCTGAAGATCTTCAGACGGAACTCTGAAATGCTTGCACCCCCGGAGCTCAAGAAGATCCACCCTTTGGGCAAGTCGCCCGTCATCACCATTGAAACCGAGCACTCCGAGAAACCCCTCGTGCTGGCTGAGTCGGGCAATATCACCGAGTACCTGTGCGACCACTTCGGCGGTGACAAGCTCATCCCCAAGCGGTACGCTGAAGGAAAGGAGGGCGCAGTTGGCGGCGAGACGGAGGAGTGGATGCGCTATCGGTATTTCATGCATTATGCCGAGGGTACCTTGATGCCGTTTCTGGTGTTTCAGTTGGTTATGGATCGTAAGTTGCCTTTATTCCATTTTTAATGGGGGTTTTTGGGGTCGGTCAATGATTAATGGTATGATACAGGCATGAAGGATGCGCCCGTTCCGTTCTTCATCAAGCCCATTCCTCGATTCGTGGCGTCGAAGGTGGAGGAGGCTTTCCTTACCAGGAATATCTTTGGTAACTTTGATTTCTTGGAGGAGCGGTTGAAGTCTGCCCCCGGTAGTGGGCCGTATCTGTGTGGACAGCAGTTGACGGCTGCTGATATTATGATGAGCTTTCCGCTTATAGCGGCGTCGTTAAGATTGCCTCTGAAGGACAAGTATCCCCACCTGTCAAAATATGTGGAGATGATTCAGGCGGAGGAGGGCTACCAGAAGGCTGTGAAGAAGGTGGAGGAGATTGATGGGACGTTCCAGGCTTCGTTGTAGTTTTTTTGTCTGTCGTGTTTGATGTGGGAATTTGATGTATGATTTTTATAGTGGTCATGTCTTGTATCTTGATGTTTATGCTAATGATCGTGCCGCACGTGCATAATTAGTAATGAGAATGTTCTATGGAGTTCAAGTCAACTACAAACACGAAGAGGGTATCAATCTAATGGGATCATCTGAATGTTGAATCAGAGACCAACGCCGTTGGAACTGGTCGAGACTGCGCTGCCAGGCTGTCGTCCAACGGTATCTAGTTGGATTCCTAATCTTTCCATTTCTCGCACGTCTAAGAATCCCCGTCCGTCTAGCACCCATTTGGGCTCTTTTAGATTGTACGCGATGCGCGCCCACTCCAGTGGCTCAATTGTAACAGGTCGACTGGACCCCGAGCGGCAAGACGGACATTCAGCGGCACAGGCCTCTTGCGGCGCAAGACGGTAGGACACCTTATTGAACGTCCAGGTCTCCTCTTCTGGTTGAATAGGCGCCATGATCACCTCCGCTAGGCTATCATATACCCCCTGGTCCGATTTGATAACAGGCTGATGTGTCACCAGAGAACGACTCCGCGACTTGTCTGAGACATTCCGGAACTGGTCACAGTCTGTCAACACCAGAACTGCGTGTGCCTGAGAACAAGCCAAATAGGGATCTGCGAGAACCTTGACCGTACCACTATCCTTATCCAAAACATGGCTCAGCCCCTCCAACTCCCGGACAATATCCTCCTCCTGACAGTAAGGATCATATATCACAACCTCCATCGGCCGCTCCTCCATCAGCAGCCGAATAACATCGACCGCCAGAGACTCACGCGTATCTCCCGTGTTCTTCTTAAACGCAAAACCAAGCAGGGCAATCTTCCGACCCTGCAAATTACCCTCAAATTTATCAACCACCCTTCTGGCAAATCTGTTCCGCTGCAATTCATTTATGACGTTCACCTGGTTCCAGTAGTGGGCGACGTCCTCCAGCCCCAATGATTCCGCCAGATACGTTAGGCTGGCAATATCTTTCCGGAAGCACGATCCGCCGAACCCTAGACCTGCCTTCAAGAACTGAGAGCCAATCCGCGCGTCCATACCGACCGCCTTAGCTACCTGGTCGATCTCGGCCCCGGTTCTCTCGCAGATAGCACTGATGGAGTTGATACTGCTAATTCGTTGAGCGAGCATGGCGTTGGCTACTAGCTTGGCAAGCTCAGAGGACCACGAGTTGATTTCGATGATACACGATTCAGGTATCCACGTGGAGTATATACTAGCGAGCATGCTTGCTGCACGCTGCCCCGCCGGTGTTCCTGATGATCCGATGAGGACACGATCAGGTGTGACGAGATTGTCAATAGCTGAGCCTTCAGATAAGAATTCTGGATTGGAGAGAACCTCAAAGGGCAGCCCTGGTCGAAGCGCGGAAAACTAAAGACAAAAGTTAGCATACCGTTTTAATTGTCTATCGTAAGACTAATGAAACGCAAAAGAGGGCAGCTACAATTTGTCGGATCCGCTGAGCAGTACCACACGGCACCGTGCTCTTCTCCACGATAATCGTACCCGGTCTCGCATGCAGTGCGATCTCTCGCACAGCCGCGTCGACGGCTGTCATATCGGTGGCTCGCCCAGCACCCAGCCCAAAGGTCTTGGTTGGTGTATTTACTGCCATGAAGACTATATCGGCGCGAGAGACGCTGCCGGCTGCGTCACAGGTAAAGCGCAGATTGGGACGTCGCCTCAAATAGGTGGAGCTGGTAGACATAGGAGAATCTAGGGTCGCGATATCTGCTCCGTCCCGCGTGACACGGACGACATTGTTCAAGCCTGGTTCGTGGACGGGGAGATGTGGCGACTTCCATTGCTGAATGCGACGAGGATCTCGATCTACGACTTCAACGGTGATTGACGGGTTATATAGAGCGAGAACTGCAGCGGTTGGTCCACCTATGAGGTGTCAGGTCATACATAGATGTATACTGAAGATCCACGAGCTGTCGTGGCATGATAGTGGCAACATACCTACGTACCCTGCGCCCACCACGCAGACGTTTTCGACAAGCGGTTTCCGTAGCGTAGAGATGCTGGGGATGTTCTGAACCTTTGGGGGCTCGAAGTCAAGATCGTACGTGGGTGAGGGATGCGGGAGGCCGAACGAGACAAGCTCCTCCACCTTGGAGGCACCAAATAATGGACTCGAAGCTGGAGTTGTAGGAGGCGTTGAGTGCTCACCCAAGCTCCCTTCTGAAGTGCCCAGTGGAGAACGTGGAATGTCCATTGTGTGCGTCTCCTTTATTTTCATCATTCTTGTACCAGTTCTCTTCTTATTGGCACGAGAAGAATAAAGAGGAATAGTAACCAGGGGGTTAAAAGGTTTATACATCTCATAGTTCTGCGCCTGACCCTTGCTGGCTACCCCGTGGCCGAGGGTAGAATAGTCTCATCAACCGCTGCATGTTTTCTGGCGGCAACTAGTCTTCCACATGCCCTTCCTTCAAAAAATGAGAGCGTGATGAAGGAAAGTCAAAGATTGAGGAATCTGCTGAGCAGGATAGATGATCGTAGGGATCCCCAAAGAGCTTGTGGCGTTGGCGCACGGGGAGGAAGAGACGGGTTATCACTGGTGAGCTTGTTGATGCCGGATCCTCCCCACGTGCCCGCACGAAGCCCTCCTACACGAAGCTTGTGTACACTTAACTCAAAGCCTTGACCATCCTTTCGGTAGAAGATCGCCAAGTCGCCTTACCCTCATGTGCCGGGTGCGTTCTCATATCAGCTGCCATTATGCGATTTTAACGCAAGAAGCGCTATTATATACATCATGGTATCGGCACCTCTAATTCATTGGGTCCTCGCTAGGCAACATGGCGCCCTCTACTCCTCAGCAAGATGAATTTCCTACTATGCTCAGAGGCAGGCGGGTCCTCCTGACTACGGAGTCTTTGGGCCCTGTCAATGGTGTTAGCCGGACGACGTTGAGCCTGGTAGAGTATCTCAGGCGCAACGGTGTCGATCTGGCGGTAATCGCACCAAGCTATCAAGGCTTGCACCGCCAGGAACAACAAGATGTAGCACACCTACGGATACCTGGATATCCTCTGCCATACAACCCAGATTTGACAGTGGTGTACCCCTTCCGCTTGGACAATATCTATAAACAAACCTTTCAGCCCGACATCATCTACGTCGCCAGTCCAGCATCTCTGGGCTTTCAGGTCCTGCTGCAGATTCGTCAGTTCCAAAAACAGCCCACCGCGTTGCTTAACTTCCAAACCGATCTATCAGCCTACAGCGAAATAATTTTTCCAGCCCCTTTGGACAAATTCGCAGTCTGGCTCTTGGCAACAGTGCAAGGATATCTCTTCAGCTGTCCGGCTATACACACCATATTCTATCCTTGCTCAGCAGTCCTAGACTACCTAAAGAGCACAGGAGCCCCTATGGAACGTACAGCAAGATTAGGACGCGGCGTGGACACCTCACTATTTAACCCCTCTCACCGCGACAACGCCTACCGAAATGAAGTCGCCCCAAACGGCGAAATAATCCTAGTATACGTGTGCCGCCTCGCTCCAGAGAAAGGGTTCGAGTTCCTAGCAGATGCAACAACAAAGCTTGCAGAGCAAAAGCTTCCCTTCAAACTACTGATCGTTGGCGGCAATCGCAATCCTGCCGTTGAGAACAGAATCCATCGCCTCTTCGACTCGGTCAGAGGGCACGTAATTTTCACAGGGTTCCTGACCGGGCAGCCTCTAGCCCGCGCATACGCCTCAGGTGATATATTCCTTCACTGCTCGATCACCGAAACCTTTGGCCTAGTCGTCCTGGAGGCAATGGCCAGTGGCGTACCCGTTATTGCGAGAGACCAAGGAGGGCCGTCGGATATTGTCCGGCACCAGGAGACGGGGTACTTGGTTCCTCCTGATAATGTCGATAGGTTTGTTGCGCTGGTGCGAGAGGTATCTGTGGATAATCGGCTGCGTTGTGTACTAGCTACTTCTGCGCGGAGGTATGCAGAGGGTACAACGTGGGAGAAAATTAATAACCGTGTCGCTTGGCAGATGGCTGAGGCACTGGAGCAGCGCTCAGCTGAGGAAGGATTGGGTGTTTTGGATGAGCCTGTTGTGGTTAATTTTATGTTGTCGATACTAGAGAGGATGCGTCTGATTCTTGCTGTTGGGCTTGTGTACTTCATGTGGTTGATTGCTGTGGTTCCTTTGATTATCCATGGGCGGCGGATTGTTCCGAGGGCTTTGCATTTGGTGTATAACGCTCCACTGCTTGGGAGATGTGTAAGGCTTCGTTCTAGATAGTGTACATCTGACACATATGTGATAGACCTGTTTGTGGTTCATTCTTGGGATTGCTATCAACAAATCAACGCAGACTGAATTCAAAGATTTTGATTTGACTAGTATACAGGCACAGACTATTGGATGGCATTGAGACCACGTATTAGATATAGAGATGAATACCGAAAGATCAAATTCCAAAACGAAAGTCAAGAGGCTTTTGCTGGGCATGACCATCACAGCACCGCCAAACACTAACCCCGATGACGACGACGGCCCAAATGTCTCCTGGCCATGGCCGACTTGCCCATCATCTTCAAACTCTCTAAGTAATCACCAGTCCCATGCTCCGGATCCGCATCCTTAGCGGTCCCCTTTGCACAAACAGAGCCAACATTCCCCTTTCCAAGTGGCCCTTCTACGCTCTTAAACTCCCGCTTCGAGGTCGCCTGCAGCATATTCTCCGCCGCCTCGGGCAACCACCCCATAATAAAATCGCCATGCGAGCAGTACGAAGAGCCACAAGCGAGCTGAAGGGGCGGGGTCCCCTTCCACCCATTGGGCAGGATCTTCCTCAGATCATAACGGATCGAGAACCTCAGTCTCGGAACCCGTTTCATGCCAGCAGGGCACCAGTTGTCGCCATACCCCTTCGCCACGCGGGGATTCTTCGAGTAGGCCGATTCCAGGGTGTCGGGGTTGACGCAGTCGTGGAAGAGCAGGAGGGTCTGCATATGAGTGGAGCAGGTCTTGGTGGGAAAGGCTGCCGGGTCTTTGTTGTTGTCGGTTGCCTCGCCTTCGCAGAACCAGGAGATGCCGGCGGCATCGTCCACATCGGCTTGGGATTTGGCGGCGGCGTTGCCGGCTAGGTCGCGGTAGTTTTGGGGGATGGCGATCTCGGCCTTGTCGATGTCGACATAGTAGGCGCTGAAGCGCATTGGCTTGATGGGGGTGTAGGTGTTCCCTTCGACGTGGTAGAGGGTTGGAACCCCTAGGAAAGGGAGAGGGATGATTAGTCTTTTTTTTTTTTTTTTTTTTTCCCTTTCTGATTTTTGAACTGGTCGAGCTAACTCACAGTAGACGGAGAAATCATTGGGGTTTTCGGCAGTTGAGCAGCCCTTCTGGAGCTCGGCTGAGGAGTTCGTATTGATGGTGACTGCGTCCGAGCCAAAGAAGCTGTGCATATGGCTTTTATATTCACCAGGAACCACAATGGGGTCAATGTTTTTGTACATGAAAAGATCGGCGACAGTGACTGTGTAGGCCTGGGCGAGAGTAGCCGCCATGGCTGAAGACAAAATGAAAGCCCGCATGATGAGAACAAGGAATGAAAATGCGGAAAAGAATGAGTGGTTGCTCTTTGACCAAGTTATGCAGGGATTTATATATGTCTACAGATGGTTCTTAGCTGTATCATCTATATCACCGTCTTGATATCTACGCCTTCCCTATGGGACACTATCAGTTGTGGATTGATTATTTCTCAGGGAACCTATGGAGATATACTGAACGTTTAGAGGAATACTATCTAACCAATATGTCTGTCAGATCCGCTGTCCTAATCAAAAAAAAGCAACGATCGTCTCAGAGTGAGAATCGCTGTTCTGTTGAGTTCTTCATTGGGTAAGTGGCAGGAGTTTGATTCAAAGTTATGTGTTTCACTATTGCTCCTAGGGACTCTTTTGACCACTGATATGCAACCTGAACAGAGACGGAAAAGTACCCACAGTACTTTAGTCAAAGATGGTCCGAGCATTAGCATTGCCCTATTGGGGTTTCACTCTTCCCTGACTCGAGTAGGAGGACGTATTTTTAGCTCTGAACAGACTATCGGTCGTGCCAAGTGCCTTCGGGATTTTAAAAGTGGATCATCCGGTAGTACTGCCCACACACATGAAACAGTTAACCGGAGCATGAAAAGGACTAGGATGCGAATGTAGATAAGGGGCGGCTCAGCATGGCAAACAGTTCAAAGGGCGCGGTGGCCTTCTTACAACTAAAAAATGCAGTCTTCATGATCACCAGCTCATCATCGTCCATGCAGCCGTAAGAGATTTGAGCATGATGGGTTCCGAGAAACGAGAACATCAGAACAAAAATCTCCTTTCATCTGGGAGCTGAAGAGGTGAACATCTCATGAGCCTCACCTAGAGTCTCGAACAGAGACTCTGGCGTTTTCCTTGTTATTTGGCGTTGGTTGGCCCGATTGCACATGGCGGAGATGAGGGGGTCAGTTCTCCGAAAAGCATTGTGCCTTCGCGACCGTCGAAGGATTGGGTTACTCCCATTATAAGATGAGAGAATATATCCTCCACGTGCTCGAGTGATGTTCCGCGCACCAAGCGTCTTGATCGTCGGGAGTCGAAAGCTCTAACCCGGACCTTTGAACCCAAATCCACATCTTTCTTTGTATGTATTCACTGAACAGTAATTCGTTGATATTCTGAACTTCACAGTACCAAATTCGATCATTAACCTATACCTAGATATGTCCATGAAAGATGAAGGAGGGTAAGTTCCAATTGGCCATTGACTGATATCCACGGCAGTTAACTAACTCTATACAGGTTAGGGTGAGGGCATTTCCTCTTTTTCTCTTTTCTTTTCTTTCTCTTTTCATCTCGCCGGCAAGTGGAAGGGTGGGGTAGGTCTTGCCAGCACGCGTTTTTATTCTTGAATCAATGAAGATATCGACCAGTACTATAACTACCGTCTCCCTGCGACTGGGGGAGACAAAGATGGTTTGTAATCGGGCCGAGGATGCACGCATAAAGGCAACGTTTGCGAAAGGGGACAGTGCTACGAATCCCTCGTCCCTTAGAATATCACTAAGAGGTGTTGATGGCTCTGGCTTGCCTGTAATGAAGGCTTTTTCACTAGCAGGAAGATTTGTCAAGACCTGTTCATTTTAACACACCACTTCTGAGCTTTTGGGTACGCAATCGGGAGAGCTTACTTAACCCTGTTGGCAAATTTATCAATACAGGAGGACATCCACAAGACCCTCCGTCTTTCCTCCTTTTCCACCCGACCTATGGAAGATATGAAGCAATGTTCCACTTGAGGATTTGGGTTATCTAACTGATGCATTCCTAGCATGATTGCGAGCCTAGATGCCTTTCCACAGCTTAACCATGGCATCGGAAAGAGGAACATCATCTTGTACTCGCACGCGGTGGTAAGGAGCCGTGTCTGAGCATGTGCTAGGGAGAGGATCCCTCCTCCATAGCCTTTCATTTTATCCGCTTCTGTGTACTTGCGGGCTCTTTCTCAACTGGATGTGGATTGTTATACTTTTCGCTGACAAGGGCTGCATGGTACCAGATTATGTATAAGAGGCATAGTGTGGGCCGAGCATGGCCAGTATAATCTAACGCAGCCAGGTATCTATAATGGTGTATAATCGGCATATAACTGTGAACATTCTCAAAGTAGGCCCGGCACCTGTAGATATTAGCTGATCCCGCATGAAGATACGAGGAGTTGGGTTACATGCAGTTCATCAATAGCTTCTTGATCTGGGAGGGGTTCCTCTAGCCCTAAACTGATCATACCCAGCCCAATGCTGGGACCCGTATATACCCCCTCGGTGGTGGATGATGGCGACGGATCAGTTTCTGGCATCCTATCTGGATGAGAACCAGCATCGCTCCGATTAGGGCGAGAGGCTCTATCTATCCGTTCATCTGGAACGATGGTGGAAGAAGGGATGGAATTTCCTGTAATACTAGGCTATTGGGCACTAAGTAACGCCTCCACTTGTGCTTTTTAACAAGAAATATTAATATAAATAAGCTAATTGCATTGTTTCGCTGATTTTGAGACGCGTCTAATCGAGAACCTAAGACCGCTGTATATCCTCGCTTTGGACCACTTTTCGTCCGCGCCATAACGTAGGCCCATTTCCGGTTATATTTAGAACAAGTTCCACAGGTAGGCTTTGCCCTATCACATTTGGACTTCATTCCCCGACAGGTTGTACACACATCCCCCTTATAGTAGGTGTGATAGGCTCTGTCATGACCACTTTGCAATGTAATAGCCTCTGCGGGACATTCATCGATTAGCTACCATGGATGATTCTCCAGGCCAAATGGATGGTTGGTGAGGATGGCTTGCTATGGGCGCTCGCGCGGGTGATCACAGATGCCAAGGCGTACAAGCTTCTAAATTCTCCCGTGTAAATTAAAATCTAGAGGATAATGCTATTGGGAGGGGGTTAATGTTGCAACCAGACAGCCCAGCGCCACACCCCGTAGGTGGATTAACATAAACAAACTCCCATTGAAAGGCTCAGGGTAAAAAAGAATGCTTACTAAACGGGGAGGGTTCAACATCTATAACCCTAGCTAGGTTCAACCCCAGAAGAAACCCGGCCGACATTAACTCTGGGATAGCGTAAGTCTACAAGCCGCTAATACGCATGCTGAAGGCTCTTATCGGGTGGAGGCCCTACTATGAATTTGCTCAGTGGAAGACGCATTCTTGGTCTTGATATCTTCGAGGATGGATTTCCGATCATCCTCCGTGATGAGATCACGTACCCACCAAAGAAACTTCTTACGTGGGTGCTGGTCGTAACAAGGAATCGGATACTGTAATATCTTGGGGTATATGGTAGTGAAGTCGTCTTTCACTACAATATTGAGCACTAAGGGTTTATGATCGCATCTATATTAGAGTCAGCACTAGAATCTATTTTGTTTAGTGGCTTAAGTATTCGATGTAGATATTTATTTTTATAATAAAAAATCCTAGCTCAAAAATTTAGTAGAAATAATATATTATCTTCAGACCCTGAAATGATTATAAAATCAAATAACTTCATAATCGGACATTTTAGTTCTATGCTCTATTTTATTTTGAGAAGATAGGTAACTGATATCGGGCCTTTGGCGGTAGTTCTGGTTGAGAGATCTTAATCAGAGAAACAGGCAATCTGGCCATTCTTCTCGTCCATGGCACACGCTTCTAGACGCTATACAGCATCCTCTGAAAGGCATAAGTTCTGTAACGGGGGCTGGCTGGGTATGTATGGATCATATCCCTACATGGAATAGTTTTGCGGTATAAAATGAGTAGTATGCAGTGTACGGATAAATATCCCGTTCATTGTTAACACTGCGGAAACGGATCGCCTGCTAACTAGTTTGGCTCCTGGCTGTTCCCATTGGCCATGAAAGGTACGTTAAACCGACCTCAAATGGGCACATTGTACCTACCGGGTTAAAACAAAGCATAACAGGAACTGTTGTATACTATGTCTATTTAGGAAACGTACTCTGAAGATTACTTTTAAAGCGAGATTCTATCCGTGCAGATCGTAGGTATACAGACACAGAACATAGTCCCACAGCTGCTATCTCTTTGCTTTGTAAACTTGTTACTCTCTAACCGGAGAACGCCTCGTCAGTGTACGCCTAAGAGTGCAGCGCTGTCCAACTAAAAGAAAAACTAATGATTTTGATTGGACTATGGTAGTTGAGGAAGGAGCTGTAGGCAATGTTGCATCGCTGATTGTTGGATGATTATCCCCTTGTCTATATACTGTCATTTTTACAGAGGCCGATATATGTCCGGGTCACGTCTATTTATTGCTAGTTCGAGAGCGGATTATAGTGAAATCAACTCTTGTTCATACCCATCATTGATGGTTAGACTAAGTCTTTGCCTGCTTGTGGCTGTTGGTATAATCTGACTAACTTGTCCTTGTCGCCAGTGATACTTCAGAAAATAGTCGATATGACAATCTAGAAAATGTACGCTTGCTAAACGCACCGGCAGCAGACAGACAATACTTCTTAAAGATAAGGAACCTTTTTCGTAAAGTAACTCTATTCAAAATCGCACAAGAAATCATCATTTACAACAATTCGAGAAACAATGCTAGAATTGATAATGTCTCCCTGAAGTCATACGCAAAATGGATCTACACCCATCCTCTGACTCAGTGTCTTTTCATCCCTACGGTACGCTGTTTGATGTCGATGGATGGACCGATTCTGATCTCAAAGGCTTATTCCACGATGATTGGGACAACGTTAAGATGGCCATTGGTTCGCTTGATCGAGCCATCTCCTTTGTGGCTGGGTTGACCGTGTATCTTCTCTAATCCTTTGCTGCATTGGATAACTCCCGAGCTCCGGATGACTGGATTTCTGTGGGGAATCAGATACTCAATGGTCTTCGCTGGATAATGAATGAATGCTAGCCTGGTAGTGTAAGTATTTGAACATCACTTGTGGAGTCGATGACACATCTACTGCGCACCACGAGCTTGAAAACACACTGTGTCCTTTCAAAGTGACTATGGGTTCTGTAGTTGCCAATTGAATTGATTTGTTGATTTTATCAGGGAAACCTCTATTCGTGTCTGGGACGCAAAGTCCAAACTAATCTGGATCTGGCACAGAGAGCACTCTACCAATTCTGTTGAGCCCATCCTTAAACAGGATGATAGTGACGATCAGGAACTTCGATTTGAGAAATGTCCGCAGAGGGAGGTAGCGGACACTGACTTTGCGCCAAACGGAAAATATGGTGGTACCTTATTACGCCTCGCTCGCAAGCAGCCGAGATATCTGATAATATCACAGGTGTCTGCAAACTTATCATGCGTTTTCAGAATGAGGAAGCTAAGCGTTTTGGTGGTCTGGGTTGGTTGCTAGATAAGGAGACAGTCGTAACAGCCGGCCATTGCTTGTACAAGAAGAAACTAGGCTGCGTACCTGTCATAGAGGCGATTGTGCGATATGGGATCGGTGCATCCACAAACGAATCTAGGATGGCAACGAGAGCTGCGTTACACCGTGGGTATTTCGCAAGATATCATCCACCACCTGGCAGTAGCGTTATTAAGCTTGACAAACCGTCTAAGGACAATGTTAGCCTTTCAATTGGTTGGTTTCCCTGAACCCCGTGTTGTGGGATATCCAATTGCCGAGGCGAAGGACTTGACCAGGACGCAAACATATGATGGAAGGGTCGTGTACAGCTTCTTTCGACTTTTCGAACTCACTACAAGGGATCATGCACTACAAGATGGACACTCTGAGAGGGAAGCCATGCTGGTAGCACATCAATAACGTACAATATCGCTTCCTGATCAGGCAGTTTTGGGGGTTCAATCTTTTGTAAAAGTGGGTCGGTGATTGGAACTCACACTCGCGGCAACAGGCAGCTTCAGATGAACCAGGGTGTCCCCAACAGTCACCATGGTTTCAGTCTTCCGGCATTTCAGAAGGCCCTTCTTGTTCCCGAGAATGAAGCCGGCATCGAAATGCGTAATGCACCCAAGGGGGTACCCAGTGGGGCGCGGGAGGTAAGGGTAAAACTGCCCATGGAAGGAAACATCTTAGAGTTGACTTCCCATTAGGTCATATATTATTGAACTTTCTGTCTGTTGGACATGCTAAGGGCCACTCTTTGTTCCGTTTCTAAATTACCATCAATGTTTTGCTTGTCATCGGAGATAAGTCTATTCAATTTGGTATTTTATACGGTCTCAAAGCATTCTATTTTCGCGAAAAGGTGGCTCTCCGCGGGGTGCTTAATAAGTTTCGTCTATCGTGGTATACCACAAAGCTCGATTTCTTATGCTTCAATTAGTTTGTCTGAATGTCTTCTTTCGGGGTGACTACGCACATAGCTCCACTACCCAACGTGTATTATGGCGTTTTATATGGCTTCTTGCACTACAGGTTTAACAAATGCGTAAGTCACGCTGTTACAGTGACCAGCTTCCAGGGTATATTCCCACATCTCGAGCAGCTCCTAGCCCAAGTCGTCCGTATTTGCTGCACCATCCACCCCTATCATAAGGGAGATATCATACACGATATGAAACGACTTTGAAACACCCTTAAACTAACAAAACTACCAAAACGTACATGACGAGTTAAGAGACTCGCCAGCCATTCCAGTGCGTCGACCTTACGCACATAGTATTTACACTGCACTTCGTGATAGTTCGACTGAGGAGGAGCCTATCTTCGGCCCGCTTTGGTCATTCTCTAGCTAGTCTGAAGGATCTGAACGGATCGAGCTTCCGGCTCTGGAAATCCGGTCTCGGCGTCGAGGCATCCCTGCCTTATGTCTCAGTGCAAATATATGTTGATGTATGGGTAAGTCTGTCTAACTTCATTCTTGCTGTTTGACTTATAGAATGGTCTCATTGATCCTATGATCTAGGGCCTCGAAAAAGGTTAGGTTCAAATGACGGTTGACTGGGTGCGATGATTCTAAGGCTCGCAATATCCTGGGCATGGAGCTTTGTAAGTTTCAAGGAACGATGGTGATGGTTGGTCGCACTGCAGGTGTTAGAAATTGCGAGGGAACAAACAGGCTGTAGCTTAGGTTACGCTTCATCAGTTTAAATTATAGATAGATTCTACGTGGCGAGCTCCTGAGCGGAAACTTCTTCCGGGAAAATCATACGACCAGCACAGGGCGTGATAAGAGTGCAATATTTGCCAAGAATACTCTTCAAGCCTGACTGAGAGGTCCGTAACACTACCGATTAGGGCAGATCAGGATTGTCGAGCTAAGACAATAAGGGCTTTTAAGGATAGTAAGGATAGAATTAGGGTTTAATAAGGGACCAACTGTAGAGGGCCTGGACCGCATCTCCCCACAGCCCTACCAGACATAAGGTTGCAACGCCACGAGCGTTGGTCCCGAAATTGGCATTAACCACGAGGCTTTTATTGGCATTTCGCGATATTCCTAGGATATTCACCCCTGGGTCGTGGCGCAGCTGTAGGGAAGCTTCAGTATCTGCCTAATCCTTCATTAAATATCGGAATAATTCCGCGCTTATCAAGCACTCAATCAGATAGTTTGGGGTAGGATTCACATCAAGTGGATACCGAACCACTCAATTTGCGTTCTTGGTTAGAGGCTGATATATTTCTCTGAGGCGTCAATCAACCTACATTAGATAGAAAGGGATCAACGGCGTTATGTTATTATATTATCCAAAGCGTTGTATGTAATCAACAAATATTGCCATTGATGCATTGGAGATCTCTTTATGCATCATCATACTATCCCCTACGAAGGTTAAAATGCCATGTTTCTAGTTGTTTCGAGTGGATTTGCTTCGGCCGGGTGCCTAGTAGGTGACCCGTGCATTAGGTTTCATATTATCAACTTAGCCGCGCAAATCCCAATGATTGTTCCATCAGAGTACCAGAATACTTAGCCCTGTATCTTGGCGCCAAGGGGGTTTGAAGGATTTCAGAAATACTCGACTAACATAGCCATCAAAAGGAGCTTAACAGATTTAGCTTCTAGGAGACCATGGTGGGCTTAAAAGGCTCGAAGATCCCCGGACCGAAGCCTCCAGTATTTCCACAACAAGAGAGTTTCACGATTCACTCCCTCTATACGTGGTAAACGCCTCTATCCTATCATGGTCTACTTGAAGCACCTTCTCGCTCTTTCGAGCCTCCTGTCGCTCGGTCGGTCCCAGTGGTCTCCAAACGTCCCCGTGGAGACTCGCAGCCTAGATGAGATATACGAAGCCGCAAAGAAAGAGTCCGGCACTTTGATCGTCTCGTCAGGAGGAGATGGTAGGATTCCATACGGCTATACCTTTTATATGTGACTAACAGCCTCTAGCCGGCAACCAGAACGATGCCATTATCCAGGCATTCCAGAAACGATTCCCTGATATTCAGCTGAACTGGACTGTCGACCTCTCCAAATACCATACGGCCCGTATCGACCGTGGCTTTTACGCCGACAACCAGACAACCGATGTGGTCATCCTGCAGACCTTGCACGACTTCCCCCGGTGGAAGGAGCAAAACCGTCTCCTCTACTACAAGCCGTCCGTATGGAATGATATATACGCGTCTGAGCGTGATCCGGACGGCGCTTACCTCCCAATTGCCGAATGTAAGCTTGAATCCTTCATTAGGCTGACCTGAGCCTTACAATGTACGCAGACAGCTTCGGCGACATCGCTTGGGACACCGCCAAGATGAACGAATCCGCGATTCCCGATGATTACGCATCATTCACCCACCCCAAATGGCGGGGAAGGCTGGTTCTCACCTACCCCAACGACGACGACGCAGTTCTGTATCTCTTTAGCAAGATCATCAGTCGGTACGGCTTTGAATGGCTCTACGCCTTGCAGGCGAACGACGTCCAATGGGTTAGAGGCTCATACACGCCCGCGGCCGTTATTGAGGCAGCTCATAACAGCACGAGAAACCCTCGGTCTGTCACATTCACCACCGGCGATGCCTTTGGCGGCTGGTGGGGGTCCAAAACCCCTTCAAAGGACGAGAGCATGAGTTGGTCCCAGACTGGTGCAATCTTCGCCGACACAAAGATGCCAGAGACCTCAAAGCTTCTGCTGAGCTTCTTGGTCAGCGATGAATGGCAGAAGCCTCAGGCCGATTCCGGCAGCTTTGTCCCCCGGGTTAGCTTGGACCAGGGCAAGCTTTATGAGCAGAAGAATAGCGAGGTCGGTGGCTTCCGGGTCTGGATGAACCAGCGGAATCTTGTCGATTGGTGGAAGAGCCAGTTGGAGACAACTCTGGGTACTCCCCAGGGACCCAGTCCTTTGGATCTCTATCCTCGTGTCTAGTCCGCCTGAGGCTAGGCTAACGATTATGTCTGGATATTATCAATTCCAGGCCAGTCAAACACATGTACTACTAATAGCCCTTCGTGCACTTGCTGTATTGTTCTCGTTGATCTGTGATTAGTTATTCACGCAACTAATATAACACTGTTGTGCATTGTTGTGCATTGTTGTGCATTGTTGGTTGCATCTGTCTCTATATATATGTACTCGATCAAACGCCGGAAAATCTAGGAACTAACAGCTGTATGTCATTCTACCACCAAAGTGTCTTCTACCTGATGGGTTTAATTTAGACATTTCCAAATATATTCATTCTGCTATGAATATTATGCCGAATGTTTCCATTGTATATAGTCCATTTAAAAAAGCGGGACTGCCGGGCGGTTTTTCCATTCCGTTTTCCAATTATTTATTTGCGTCTGACCTTCTGGAACCCCAAACCCCCAACCAACCAATTCACGTATTGAGCTAGACCATCTAGTCAACCCCGAAGATGGAGCCAAATAATTTAGTATTTGTTAATGTCTCTCACCCTAAACAAGTGCGAAACAGGAAGATACAACAGGTGATCCGACGGCGAGTAATGCGCGACATTGGCGAATCCCGTCGCAAACGCCCTCGTCTACATGCTGTAACCTTCGCATGGCAACAATTAGATGACTGGCAGTCTCCACCTACCAAATCCTTGGATTGTAACCCTTTGCCAGTGCAGTTGGATTCCAGGTCGCTCCAACTCATTCATTTTAGTAAGGGTGCCCTGCCATGGTCTATGTAGTAAAGGGGCTAACAAGGAACCTAGTGCAGGCAGAGGTTGACTATAATTATCGACCATTTCGAGCGGTTTGGTTCTCCATGGCACTGCATGATCACAGTGCCTTTAAGCTGTGCATGGCCAATGCAGCCATGTTCCTGGATGAAGCCACACATCCAGAGACCTTTCGGTATGAGACCAGCGGGGAGGCTCTAATGTATTATGGCCAGTGTGTGAACCAGATCACCCATAGACTAGGGGACTCCACCGACTGCATCAGTGAGGGGGTCCTAACCACAATCCTCGGATTGATTTGTCATGATGTATGTGATAGGAAGAATCATGCTCCGTTTGCCCAGCTGACTGGTTTCCCTGACAGTTATACGTGGGAACCTGGGATCGCTGGGCGTATCACATTCGTGGTTTAAAGCAAGTATTGCTGCTTCGTGGTGGCCTGAATGGCCTGAGCGACAATCTTCGTTTGTTCGCCTTGTGGTTTGATGTCTTGGGATCAGCCATTCACGACATGCGGCCGCAACTATCCGAATACCCTACGGATGAAAACACTCAGCCACCACAAACAGGCCCAGGGTGCGCGGCTCTACGCATATTGAGAAGACTCACCCGGTCACAATATCCTTCGGAGATGCTTGTAATGGCTCTAAATCGAGTTTTGACCGTATCTGATTTCGTAAACGCTCGCTATACCCAAACCGGGTTCTGGAAAGAGGAGAATGACCTCAGCCCTCTCGAAATGCTTGCGCCAGCAATACATATCTTACTATCTATGCCACGTCCTCAGAATTCAAACCTGAGTCCCTTTGAAAATGTCCACGAAATGACACGACTTGCTCTTTTAATCCTCATAGCGGAGTTGAAACGAGCTTATGGCTTACCTGCAAATGAAATCCAGCTGTTGCGGACGAAGTGCGCCGACTTGCTTAGAAATACGAACATTGATGACGATTTATCCCTGTTTCCAAGCCTTTGGTTATGGATTCTTGTGACTGTTGCGCTGCATCAACCGCTAGGGCCAGAACGAGGATTGTGTTTAACGTACATCGCCCAGCAGATGCCTACGTTAAATATACCTGATGGGCAGTCGGCCATCAAAATGGCCCGTGATATTGTCTGGATAGAAGTTCTTGCTCGACCAGATACTGTGCAATCTTTAATATCGGAAATCGACATTGCTCGCTCAGCGTAAACGTCGTTGTCAACTACTTTACCAGGCCTATGGAGCTTCTAATTCCCCGTGATCCCGCCACTCACCGAGATAACTTGTCCGGTGATCCATCGACTCTTTTCCGAAGCCAACAGGAGTGTAGCATCTGCAATATCCTCCGTGGTGCCAACTCTCCCCTCCGCCCTCGTCATCGGTACGAGAAATCCGTCAATCTTTTCCGCCTGTTCCTTGGGCAAAACACCCGTGTTGACAGGTCCTGGAGACACTGTATTAACGGTGATACCGTGGCTCCGACCCAGTTCCATTGCCATTGAGTATGTCAAAGAATCTGATGCGGCTTTTGCAGCACCGTAAATGGCCACCGGGGCCATTCCCAGTTTTGATGCAACGGAGCCGATGTTGATCACGCGACCGCCGCGAGGCATATAAGGGACGGCGGCTTGCACGACAAATATCGGTGCGTAGACAATTGTCGAGAACACGGTTTCGAGGGACTGACGCGTGGCCTGTAGGACACTCTGAGGCATACCTGCGGCTGCATTGTTGACTGTCGACGTTGTTCAATTAACCGCCCATACCTGAGGAGAAGAAAAAAAATACTACATACCTAGGATATCAATGTGATCGACGTTAAACGCCGCAAGTGTCTCGTCAACCAACATCTTCGCCCCTTCAGGTGTGGAAACGTCTGCCTGGACCACCGTTACCCTGCCTCCTTCGTTGGATATTTTCTGGGCCACACGAGCTGCGGCCTCAGCACTGCTGTCAGAGACATGGTCGATGGTCACGTAGGCTCCATTGCGTGCCAGGGCCGCCGCAATGGCAGCACCTATGCCTGTCTCCCTGGCTGAGCCGGTGATAATGGCAACCTTGCCTGTGAGCGAGAGCGTGTCAACCATTTTGCTTTGGGGGTATGAATTAAATTATGGGAAAAGCTAAGAAAACGGAACTCAAATGGGTCGAAGTTGTTGATGATACATGATATCCGGCGGGCGAACAGCCCTACTTATATTCCTATTTTTCCCCTCCATTGTGAGATGTTGCACTGTGCTCCTCAAGGTACTATCCTTCCTATGTTATCCAGATCAATAGACCCTAAACCCGATTAAGAAAACGGTGTTGCTTAGCTGCAGCCACTAGGTCTTAGTCAAATTTATATGACGGCGATTCGTGTCGGGTGGGTCTTCATTGATCCACTTTCTCGATTTTTATGTGAATGAGTTGCTCTCACCCCGATTCCGAATCAAAACTATGCGGGGAAGGCGATTAGCTAGGGGTTTACTTAAAATCATTCGCCTGCTGCTGTGTGAATTCCCAAAGTCAAAGCTTGGTGTTGGAACGCTACATTCTAGACGAAGTACCGACACCTAAAGATTGTTTCAAAACCCAAAGGCATTGAACTCAACACGAGCCAGTCTAAAAATGAGTACCCGGGTAAGGCCTACGAGTGGCTTCAACAGGTCTGTCAACCCAAAAATTCAGTATACAGACTCATCTACCGCTCGGGGCCTTATCCTATAGAGGCTAAGGTTGCTGGTTAGTATCAGTAATCTCATGCCAGCTTGTCAGGGATAGGGATTTGCCTCGGTAACATACCGCCTCGTAGAAGACCTTCACCCAATTTTTGAAATGGGTATTGAATGTCCTAGCGAACTGGCCAGTCATCCGGTACAAACCAACTAGGAGAAAGAAGCCTGTTTAGCAGTTGCTTCTGCTTCTCACTTCTCGATCATCTTGCCTCAAGATCTCAAGGAGGATCTTCTGTAGGTTCTGACGTTCCTGAGCCTCCCGGCGCCTCTCGTTAGTATCCACTTGCTCTGCCATCTTATTGTAGGCCGCCTTCATCTCCAGATATTTTTTGGGCAGCATATATGGTTGCGGTTCTAAATGGCAATTGGAAGTTCAAATGGGAGAGACAAATTTTTACAGCAAACAAAGAAAGGGGGGTAGCCGACGCTCAAGTTAATCGCAGAGCTTGATGAGCTTGGGGATTACTGATGGATGTCTAGGAGCTCGGCCTACTCTATATACCTCTTCGCTGAGGGTAACTTAGACATAGTTTGGTCTACTACAGACCCAGGAAAGTGGCATGTAGCGTACGGGTTACCATTTTTGTTGTGCCGATATTGGAAATACCCCAGTCCGCTCGATATATCAAACTTTATGTAGACTTCCAGTCCACGTACAGCCTCTCATTTTCGAAGGCAATGAAATCGTACACTTTCGAATATCATCTTCAAACACGATACGAAGCCGCGGAGACCACTGACGTCAGGGGTCTTGGTCTCATGGTTTTACCCTGCCATCTTTTCGAGCAAAGCAACTGATCGAAGCGGAAGCCTCGTCGTATATCACGGGACCTGTTGGTCTCAGGGAAGATATACGTATTTCGCTGGTAGCTATCGTAGCCTATCCCTACATACTCGCTAGACTACTCTAGGATCCCGTTAGCCATTTTCGTAATCGTGAGACGTTCGCGAGCCCTATGTGGATCTCAGATGTGGAGTTCGAAACGAAGATGCCCTTCGCCCTCTGGAGTAGAGTACAGTGCCGCTAGTCCCATCATCCCTTCTCCAGAGTGCTCGGGTGGTCCTGCATTTTAAACTCGTGGATGAATTCCAAGCATTTACTGACACCACTATGATCCTCGTCTATACTGAAAAGTATTCCTGCGGCGAACGGGCTTGCATACGTACTTTGAAGAAAAAGAATGATTTTACCATTACCAATCCACCGCACTTCAACGTATTTCAACGAAAGATCAGTCCATTAAGAGCGCATAGATTCATAAGCTACGGCGAAGATATATCCACCCGTTCTAGCCAATCCCACCTACTGAACCAGGGGCCAAGGTACGCAAGGTCTTTCATTAGGCCAATTGCGAAGCACAATCTCCATTTTATCCACCTCAATAATGCGGCCAAAGCCCTCTAGACCCAATCTCCGCGATATGTCCATCAGGATCCTCAAAATACACACTCTTCCCTCCCTTCGGCCAATCCATCCGGCTGAGAATAGGAACCCCCCGTGCCTGTAAATGAGCATCCCAACGCTGTACCTCTTCCGCAGTCTTCACAGCCAAACAGAAGTGCTGCCTTAGTTTGACGTCCTTTTCTGATGAAAGAAATTGAGGAAGAATGGATGGACTCGGCCCATGCGCGGGAATCACACCCCCCTCATCTTCGATATCCGCCGTCGTGCCACCTAGCTGGAAGAGGAGAAAAGTCGTTGAGCCGAGGGCGAACCCGGCTCCTCGAGCCTAGTAGTATACGCCAGTTACTACAGATGCGGTCGATCATTAAGTCGAAGGTGCGACTTACCGATTTGTTAAACGGTACAATGTTTAGGACCTCTTCGTAGAATTTTGCCGACATGCCTACGTCGCGCACGTAGAGGCAGGTTTCGAGAACATGGGAGAGTGGAGGTGGTGTTGAAAGGGTTTCGGTAGCCATTTTTGAAGTTATATTGCTTTTCTCTTTCACAGAAATTTTGAAGGGACTGTGAGATGTGTGTAGGTGATACTTTCGTTTGTGCCGTTGCCGCAGACAGATCTAGGTTGTCGTTCGGCATATCCATCAGAAAACTGCATTAACTAATATATAGGTTTATGTCAACTGAGCTAGACCTCTCTTCATGACGAATCGGTAGCGTCTAGACCTATCTCGATTGGTCAGTTGTCGTCTTCGACCTCGTATTCTGTGCATATGCTACGTTCGGGATTAGTCAACAGCGTGGAGAGTGTAGCATCGATGTTGAACATTGGAACAAGAGAATAGAAATCAGAAAGAAGAAAAAGGGTAGAAGAGTGAAATAATAGGTATTGGGCACGAATAAGAACGAATAACCATATGCGTATGGTGTAAGGAGCTCGACACAAATATTGTGGGTTCATCGCCAAACAAAAACGTCTGTCTGGAGTATGGGAGAGGTTAACAAATAAGATTATAGACTCTTGTCCCCTAATATCTTGCGAAGAGCACTCAAGGGGCAGATTATAAGTTATCACAGACCTAATATACTTGTCTTTCATATTAGCCAGTGTTGCGACAGCATATTCCGAGGTACTAGTTGTCTCCATGATATAGGTGGTGCAATCGTCATGGCCGATCCAACTGGAGCCTTGCCATTTGTGCTCTGTGAGCTTTAAGGTCGCATTCCGAAGAATGACCTTAGGTAGGTAGGAATATTGCCGAGGCGACTTCACATAGCGCGCTCATCGTGGCTGTAGTGGTATACTTGTATCTGTGGGATCCCCCCAGAGGTGTTGATGATACAATCTACCACACCGGCCATGTGGTTGAAGAGGTTGAGAATTATGAATCTAATGAGTATGGCCCTTATTGCAATTTAGTCACAGCATGGAACTCCACAATGGAGGAGCGGAAAAGTCCAACGGTATGGGGGTTGGCTGGCCGTATTTGTGGCCCAGCTGGGGAGTCGTGGAAATCTATTGTGGATTTGTGACAGAAGTTAGGTCTTTCTTCCTAGGGCTGATCCCAACCACATACTCGGTGGATTCAGTGATAATCTCTAGATCTCCAAGACAATGTTGTGCCATAAAAAGCAAGTCATTTCGTGATCCTACATAAGTATACCGGAGGCTCTCAGAGCAGCCTTTTCCAAAGCTTATGCCTGACATTCTCTCTGAAATTTAGGATAGTAGTCGATTTCTTTGTTTATTACCGTTATAGTCAAGGACATCATGTTCAGCTCCAGGCCATAGTGGATACGTTACAGGCGTACAGGCTCCCTATCCGTCTCGACCATCAAATGGCCCTCACGTACCAGCGAGTTCTTGCATGTCCTCTTCATAACAAAGTCCGTCAGATTCCCCAAGGTAACGCCGGCGATCTCACTGAGCGCCTCCTCCGTGAAAAAGGCCTGGTGCCCGCAAACGAGCACATTGGGAAATGTCATCAATCGCATCAACACATCATCATGGATGATCTCGCCGGAATGGTCATTGTAGAACAGCGACCCCTCTTCCTCGTACACGTCCAGCGCCACACCTCCGAGTTGACCCGACTTGAGCATTTTGATAACAGCTTTGGTATTCACCAATCCTCCGCGGGAGGTATTGACCAACAGCGCACCCTGCTTCATCCGAGACAGATTCTCATCGTTGATCATATGCCTGGTACCTTCCGTAAGGGGGCAATGTAGACTGACGATATCACTTCGCTGCAGCAGATCCTCCAAGGCCACAAATTTACCATACTTCTTGAATTCATCGCCTCCAAACGGATCATGTGCAAGCAGGTTGCACCCGAACCCGTGCATTATCTTCGCAAACGCCAGTCCAATCCGACCAACTCCCACAATTCCGACCGTCTTCCCGTGAAGCGTGCGGCCTAAGAAACCCTCAAGGTTGAAGTTCCCCTCTCGGACGCGGTTAAATGCACGATGGACCTTTCGATTCAGAGTCTGGATCAGCGCCACGGCAAACTCGGCGACCGCTTCGGGTGAATAGGAGGGGACGTTGGCGACGAAGAAGCCTAGATCTTCGGCGACTTGCAGGTCGATGTTGTTGAACCCCGCACAACGCAAGAGGATGGCACGGACGCCGTTTTCGTACAGGGTTTGGAGGACCGAGGCGTTGAGTTGGTCGTTTACAAAGACGCAGACTGCATCACTATCTTTGGCGAGAGACACGGTCTCGGATGAGAGTGAAAATGAGTGGTACGTGATATCACAAAGGGAAGGGTGTTGTTGCTGGAGTGTGACGTCAAGATAGTGCTTGTCGTAGGACCTGGTGCTAAACACTGCGAGCTTCATGTTGAACGGTTACAGTATACTACTTGATTAAAAAAGAAAAGGCTGCAATGCAACTAACTCGGACTCTGGTTAGACCTCGGTGGGGGTATGTAACAATGTTCAGTCCATGGATAGATTCCTCCTGTCTAGGGCTTGGCTGAGGGGTCGTGACGTGTGGATTCTCAATCTGTCCCCGTCCGTTTTTAGGAAGTATATTTTGTTCCATTCCTATATAATTAGCTAACCACATAATTGCTGATAATTAAGTGGCTATGTTACGAACAAATTAGGGAATTATCTGGACTCGGTCATCAGCACCACAGACCTATTTTTTGTACAGATTCTCATTGAGTAGACCGCAGCACTCTCTTTCACCGTTTGATCGTAATTACACAAGAGTCGGGGCCTCATGCCTATACATACTTAGTCAGCCTTTATATTTAGTGAAAAGCCATTCTTTCTCGTGGTTCAGAGATCTAGAAAGCTATATATAAGTGATAGCAAATCCCGCTAAGATGCACTCGACTATCCAGCATTCTTTTCTTCCTCAATGGCATGAGCCTGCAACGTTATATCTTTATATATCTTAATATATCTCCATATTCAGTTCCTGTTAACAATTATTTCTTACATATGCTATATAACATCAACATGCATTTAGGGAACCATAAAGAGCTCCCCTAACCTCATATCTCTGTAATTTCTTTCTTTGAGTCAGAACCCAGTCACCAACAGAGAACCACCGATGCGTCATGACATGGGCTTTTCCTGGATCCTTTATTTCGCCTGAACCCAACACTCCGTGAGCTGGTCCATAGCACAGTGCCTCAGCCAGGGAGACATCTCAAGAACTCGAAGGCTATCGTTTGCCGAGGGGCTCTGGAGACATGGAGATTAGGTTGGTGATGTATCACTCGGTTAAAGGACTGTGCTATATCTGACCAAACGTGAGCACAACATCAGAGCCAGACATTTGACCTACATCTCTAACAAGCCAGCCTGCCAACCGACACGCTTTCAGGTAGGCAATCAACGCTATTGTAGGGTTGTGGACAAGTTCCTAGCGTTGCAAGACGTCGTCATCTGTGTCAGCTATTCATGCATCACAACACAAAATGCATCATCGCAGATGATACTCCAGCTAAAGGCACCTGCTATTTTGTGCTGCAATCTGTCAATTTGTCCCTAAACGGGCAAAATGGATGGAATAGAGCGAAGCCAGAAGTTCTCACTAGCCTCACCAGCAAAAGTTGGATGTTATTCATCATATATTTTCTCATTGCTAAGGCTCTGGATTTTATCCAGATCGCTAGCGGGATTCCTCGAAGACAATCTTTCTTCCATACTCGACGCAGTTCATCCTAATGGTCGCGATTGATCTGATCCATCTTTGTTCGCGAATATTCATCTTTTGTGCCAACCAAAACACTTATGTAACTTGTCCTACTCGCAAATCTATCGTGAGAACACCCTTGCGACAAGAAACGCATTTGTCATGACTGTCAGCCCTGTCTTAGGCCACAGGATCAGGCCAATTCATCCATACTTGAGACACACCAGCGCTAGCTTCACACAGCATGGAAGAATGCTATCTCCAGGAGCTATTAAGAGGCAGAGCACCTCTACTAGGCAGAGATGTAGTCGTCTAGTCACCTCAGGGTTTCGATTTTGAGACTTTTTTTAATGAGCGTCCGCCAGGGAGAAATCAAGCCCAGCACAAGCTAAACCTATCATCCATTCCGTTTATGTCTGAGGATGCCTCGATAGTCGTCATACAGCACGCTTGCGCCCACCTCACCGACTTGTTGCCCATCTTTCCTATATTCCCTCGGAGTCTGGTACATGGTACCTGACGACACCTACTCAGCCAGAACAGGAGGGTACTCACTGTCCAGGTTCGTCGTACGAAGATTCCAACAACGCCGTAGTACTAACTACAATGAAACTGTTGCGTCTGTCGTTAAGGTGCTGACGAGGAGGAGCATGTTGCTACTGTGTTTTCGAATTCGATGGTTGTGATAGGGATCATGAACCTATGGCTATACTTCTGGCGCTGTACTTTAACCCGCCCGCCGCGACGATATCGTAGTATACGTCCCAATCGAGCAAAACATAGCAGCCCACAAAGGGGCTAAGGTTTCTGAACAGAAGATTTCCCCCACGCCGGAAATCTGATACGGCCTGCAATCGTGATGACAGATGCACAAGCGTCCATGGGCTTGTGACAGCCAGTGCAGCAGACCTTCCATTCTCCAACCTCACTTGCGCTCTAATCAATTCATTGTGAAGCGCCCCATCCCCCTTCTTCTGGACCTACCCTATAACGCACGACGGAAAGCTCAGGTTTAATGGGCCAAATTTGATGAATACAAGGAAAAACCACCACCACGGAAGGAGAATAAGAAAGATTGATGCCAGAGCGTGGCTAGGATACATTGTGAAGTGTCTACCCACGAGAAACAGCCAACATGGTGCTAAGGGGCATCGAACGACTCCAGGACATTCCAGGGTGTTGTAGTGCATTGAACGAAGTACGAATCCGACGAAACTAACACCGACGAGCTCAGCGACCCTGTTGCTCGGGACCCGCAGATTGATCTCGGGTTCGTAGCTCCCGATCTCTTGTTCTATCATTCATTCCATTCCAGTCATCTTCTGCAAAGATATTATAAGAAAGGCGCGATCTCGGGCGAGTGGGCGAGTAATAGTAAGGTTAAGCTCACTTCGATCTATCGAAGCAGGGTGTGCAACGAGGACTACAACAGTGACGTACCAGGTACCCCAAACCCAGCGTCGAGTCAAGCGACGTAGACGACGACCACATGTCCGATGTAACCAATGAGTAGCTCGGTCACCCCGGAGATGAAAGCTATAGCACTGGCGTAACCTCTGAGCTGGACGAAATACTCCTCCTAGCCCACAGCGCCGAGAGAAAATGTAACCATGATTTCCCTCCTGCTTTCTCCGCCAGTCGGTATTATGTTTGTGTTCCATTCTGCGCCAATTCAGTGGCAAACCGGGCGACAACCACATCTCGGCTAGGATGCCGTGCTACTGTTTTCTAAGCCATGTGTGATTACTTGGACAGGAAAATTACCGTCCCGTCGTATGTTTGTCGGACTGGTGTCGAGCTACGCCCATGACCATAGACAGATTTCCTAAGAATGGTATGGTAACACATTATCTGTAGGGATCAGCCTCGAGGTCGGAAACGAACAGGCGGGCGGGATATATTTTTCAGGCGGATATGATATATCGATGCACAATACATCAACCGTGACCAGGTTGCGATGGTCCAAATTCGACTTTGATACCTCGATATGTCGTTTACGCAAAGAACCCCTCGACTCGATATGGTATTGGTGGAGAAGAACGGAAAACCAACTCTTCATCCGTCGTCTTGATACGTACTCTAGCCGAATCTTCTCACCGTCCAACTCAGCTTCTACGAACGCTCCGACTAGACAACCACCAGAATATCACGTACCATGTCAATCTCTAGAGTTACTCGACAATTGACTAGGAACGACTCTCTTGAAGACGATCCCCACAACATTCCCCAGATTCCTCACAAGATGGCCGATCACAGTAACTTTTACGGAACCATGGTCATCAGGGGATTGGGATGTGTCGTCGAGATGTGAGCACCGGCCATTCTACCCCAATTGCGTTGCAATTACAGAGGCTTCTGTATATCATTGGATATTTGGGTCTTCATGATTCTTGAGTGGCCCCTTCCCACCCGAGAAAGCATGGAAGGATTTCATCGGGACGAAAATCTGACGCCTCCCTACGTTAGCTGTCATAGTTTGGGCAGGTATAGTCGCAGGTATGGCCTATAACAGGGTAATGATACCAGTGTGAGATGAAATAGCCCTGGAGGAAGATGGGATCGTGAAGAAAAACGTTGGTCTTCGCTGATTATCCAACTGTTCTCCGGGATGTAGGCGTCATGGGGTGTGACTCAGACGCGATATCTATCCTTTTTGTCTGGCAATGGAGTCAACAATTGACATGTATCATGTCTTTGCGGTCAAGGATCAAAAGAAAGGGCTTCTTGAATGGCTGCAAGGCCGCTCTACAGGGGTACCTCGATAGTCCATCTCAATCGCTCCAAGTGATTTTTCCATCAGATCATCTAGGCATGTTGGTTGACTAGGAAGGGACAGCACGTCGCCATCCAGACCTTTGTTCATGTGTAATGGCGTGGGCAAACGTCAAGCCACATCATAGAGTGCTTAACGTTCCATTATTGCTATGTCTGGCTATTTTGGTCCGTCCTCTTTAAAGGACTGTTTATTAGCTTGTGATACAGAGTCCATTCTGATGTAAGATAGCCTCCGGATATGCATGAATGCAATCCATTTAATGATCTCTTCCATCAAGATCAACCGCACCGTCTAATTTGGATTTTCTCATGTCACACATCCACGCACGTGGTATACACTGTACTACCTTACGATGTATATAACGAACCAGCATGAACCTAACCCGACCTAACCTATCAAAATAACACCTGACCACCCTAAAACAAGCATAACGATATCTCATATACAATCCAAACAACTCACGTCCTACGTAGAACACTTACCTACACTAAGCCAAATTCTTCACCGAACCCTCAACCCAAAACAAAACCAACCATTGATCAAGAGACAGCAACCTATACAAAAGCTTACCCATCACAGTTACACGACAAAGTATAAAACAAAGAAAACCCCAAATTTCAGCACGCTTTTCTTTGATGCGAGATCATACACTGCAAGTCCCCGGCCCCCCTTGCCGTGCCTCGGCCTTGTGCCTTAAAGGTTCGATAACCCTATTCCAAGTCTCCCCGGCCTAGTCTATCTTAGTCCTAGTCCTAGTCCAGGAGGGGGGGAACGTTTTATCCTGAGGCGTGGTGATCTGCGACGGATGTGAGGCAGTGGTCTAAATTTTGGAATCGCGGGACGAACGTAAAGGCCGCGTGATCGGTACGGGATAGGGATACGTAGTATGTAGGGGGTATGTATAATGTACTAATGTTTCAGGGGGAGGGAAGGGGCTATATATAGGTTGTCTAAGGCGGTGGGATTGTTAGAGAATTGGGAGGATGGATTGTATGTATGTGTAGTATCTATGTATACCTAAAGTAAACAACCGTAAACACTACGACATCCCCAAAATATATGTATAATTCAAAGAAAGAAAAGAGACGAAGGTATCCATATCAAGGCACAGATACGAACCCGACAGGCCGGATGAATGGTTTTCCACCTATTGAACCGGAGTCTCGGGACAATCATTTCGAATGGACGGGGTGTAACAAGAGTTGAGTACGTAGTCTGTCTACGGTGTCACCTCTCCAAAAAAAAAAAGAAAAAGAAAAAGACAACAACAAGAATAACAACAAATACAACGGAGTACTCTCACCGCTAAGACGGGACATCAGTGGATCTCAGAGCGGAACGAAGAACAATCGTAATTATCCTTCGTCCCATTAGACGAGCGTGTCCCGCGGATACCGATGGGTTAATAATTGACAAGTGGATCGAGAAGGCAACACTGAACTTTTTGGATTTAAGCTTTCCCAGCGCGTGGTGTGGAATGGAAGAAATGTGGAATTTTCTTTAAGATTACCCTGTTCGGAGGCGATCGACGGGGTGGGCAGTCTGAAACTTTGTTCCGTGGTTCTGCCGAGGACACTATTGATTGGTAGTCTTATAGTAGTATTGTAGGATCCCGACTTGACCGTGGTAACGAAGGTTCCTGGTTGGGCTGCGGTGTTTCTTCTACTTTCAATAGGGAGCTATACTATACCATGTTATAGATAGATTTCATAGATGTTCTATCATTATCGAGACTACGGGTAAATCTTAAAAGATTTACCCAATCGAAGACTATCAACCGCTGTAAGTACCATAATCTACAAAGATAGCTGGATATCTGTCTGCAAAGGCAATTCTTTATTATTATTATTATTATTATTATTATTATTATTATTATTATTATTATTATTATTATTATTTTGGTTTCCTTTGCTTTGTCAAGGATCGTCATCTAAGACCGGGCTGGATCCCGGGCAAACGGCCGGCAAGCGACAAGCATATGTAAGTCCGCGGATGTCTTACAGGGAGCGGTAGGGACCTACCACCAACGAGGAGCGAGGGTGGCTATTTAGACTCAACTGCTAGAATATTCGGGAGAAGGGGAAGGGGGAAACTCGGTGGTTGGTCGTCCAGCCAGCCCTGCCTCAAGAACAGGTCCAATGAGAAACATCCGAAATCATCCTTGCCCAGATGGCACTAGACAAGGATGTAGTGTCGCATCACAAAAAAAGAGGATGGAAATGAGAATCCAAACGACCGAGGTTGGCGCGCCTCGGCAGGGCTAACCGGGTTCAGTCATGGGCCGTGTCAGGAGGCAGTATCCGTTACATAATCTTCCCTCGAGGGAAGGCGTTTGCCCGAGAATTGGATGGATCAAGAAGAGAGGGTGAGAAGGGAGCCACAAGTTCGGGGTCTGTCCGTGCTGACACGGAAGCACTGGCCAATCGTAGTGTGCCTGATGCAAGAACCACCAATGAACGACGGACGATAACGAGCTGCGTAGTCGCTCCAACCCGGAGGCGAGCCAAGCAAAGACCCGCTGCGTTGGGTAGGTCTGTTCTCGAGATTGATTGGTTTCCACTTCCTTTAGCGTTATCTTTCCCTAATCTCTCTCCAACAGTTGCCCTTTGCTTTTTTATTATTAACCTCGAGAATTGACCAACTGGTCGCTTCGATCGTGGAGAAACGGAAACAACTGCGTACGAGATCCTCCACGACACACGACTGGCATTCAGTAAGGGATGAGATGAGAGTGAAGCCCGCTTACCCTCGCTTTCCTCTTCCGCGTGGTATCAGGAGGAATACTTGTACGACCGTAGAAAAGTCGAGATGTTGTGTAGTACTGGTAGTATAGTGGTATCATCGGAGAGGTTGCATCGGGTGTTATTCGGTCGATTTGGGTGCAACGACGGGATCGCGTGTCTCGTGAACTCTTCCCGACAGAGTATCGTATCGTATCCCATCCTTCGGTCAGCCTGAGCCGTGGGTCCGACGTCAGGTTGTGGAGACTTCCTTTGAATGCCTGGTCCAATCAACGCCCCGCTGATTTTCGGTTCCCGGATCCGTTTTACTGCACACCGAACACTCGCCGTTGCTTTTAATTACTGCTGAGCGGAGCGACCGGGACGGTGACAGGAAATTATTAACAGTTAATTTCATTTGATTCCTCGGCATGTTCCTGGAAGAATAACTATAGCATAATGACAATTATTTTAGATCAATATCTGTCAATCCAAAAAAAAAAAGAGTGGAGAATGAAAAGATGTTACTCTCAAAGGGGAAGGCAGTCACGTTGGGGATCGAGGATGGATTATGGGATTGACGTTGCGACAAGAGTGATGTGATACCAAGACAAGACATTGGACGATCGAAGGAATTTCCAGATTCAGAGTTAACATGAATCATTGTAGGATCTTCCAGGGAATGTGAGATTACCATGCGTTAAGATTTAGTTTTAGGGTAAAAAGCGGTCAGAAGGAGGGAACAGGGATTGGGAACAAGGATCGGACCCGTGTTGTCATCATGACTTTTTTGAATGGTCGTTTTCGGAGAAAAGGGTGATTTACTTGCATTTGCATTCTTACATACTACTACTAATCTTCTAATTCTATTCGATGAAGATTTCTTCTAAGTAAGATAATCAATTATTGATATCAAGAATGATTTAAATCAGAATAAAACAAAAACAAAACAAAACAAAACAGAAAAGTCATCTGATTGTCTAATTAATGGCGGGAATACCACATTGATGTGATTAATATTAATTACTACTCGGTGACTTTAATCTACTCTCGGTTTTACGGAGAATCCCTTATTCAATTCAATAGCGGAATCCCGCCCAACCAGTGACTTTCGCGTTCCCTCGGCAAAGGGCCGCCCCCGAATGCGGATTAGCGCATCTCCCCATCGGAATCTTTCTTACAAGACGGGTTGATTGGAGATGAGAAAAAGATAGACTCACTCATGTACTCCCCAGAGTACTTATTGCACCAATAATACTGAATAGGAAGAAGAAGAACATCTTTTCTCAACGGGGGAAGAAAAAACGATGAAACAGGTTCTGGAATGATCATCTCCAACCAGTGAAGTAATGATGAATGAAACCCTGCCCCGATGGCAAAGCACAAGAAAGTGAACCTCGAGATCTCCAACAAGGGCTCCACTCTAGACATTTCTTCGGGACTTTCTAGTTTCATTCACACCTCTTGAACCTTACCAGGCTGGGTAAGTCTCCAGTTGCTTAGGAGAGGGGGGGGGAGGATTTTCGTCGAATGAACAACGGATGGGGAACTCCAATAATAAACGCAGTATAGGTAAAAAAGGACGCTAGTGGATTCATCTTCAATTTCTCCACCGGCGCATGGCAAAATAGTCCCCGGCCCAGTCCAGTCCCCAAGTCAGTGCTCAATCTCTCTCGCCTCGCCTCTGCATCTTTATTTTTATTCCCTTATAATTTATTTTATTCTTTTATTTTATTATTTTATTTTATTCGAAGCTCCATTGTGTCTCGCGCGAGAGAGTACTTTTAATACCTCCTCATCCCCCCCCATCCCCCGCTATCATTATCATTGCTGGCCGTCCTGCCTCTCTCTCCCGCCCTTATCATTACTCTCTACTCTGCTACTAGTATTCCTCTACTCGACGCCACTTTTCTTGAGAACTAGCATATCTAATAACTATAATTCCTCTCCCATAACCACGAATCTCTAAACCCAATATACGTCCCCCCGAACATCTCCACCACATTCACTGCGTCATTGATCTTTCTTTGGTTGCCACTTGCGATGATTCAGTGGTTCACACCAATCTTACGCCATACACCTCTCTATCTCTAAACATTCGCTCATTGCCATTGTTTGAATAATAATAACACAACATTATCCATCTCTTCACCACGACATTCCTTTTCTACTTCTCTCGCCATCCCTTTCTCTCTGACCCCTTTCCTCCACCATCATCACCACCACCACCACCAACCACAACTATCCTTTTTCTCTCGAGACCTCGTGATTTCCAACCCAATATGGCTACTCACGTTCTCACCGCCACCACTACTCCCACTCCTACCAACCAGATTTCCGTCTACGGTCATCCTTCTCCTATCAATACGGCCAATAGCTCGCCGACCTCGCCTCGTCAACAGTTTCTCCCTTTGCAGACCCGCCAGTTGCGTCCTCCCAAGGGCCCTCTGTATGTGCCGGCGGCCTTACGCCCGACCGAGCGTCCTTCGAAACCTTCTCCCCCTACTCCCCCTCGCAGTGTCCATGGTTCTCTCGACAGTTTGAATGACGGGAGCGAGGAAATTCAACCCGCCCTCACTCGTCGGTCCACCATCGAGAGTGCCGCGAGCGGGGGCATCAGCAAGTTAGCCGAGAACGAGTGGATGAAGACCGAGCAGCTTGGCGAAGTCACTGGTCTACCGACCAGAGATCACTGGAAGGTACGTTCACAGTTCGCATTTCATATTTCTGATCGGGATAAGTGTTCGGTCGCAGCTGGGGGCGCGTGTGCTTTATATTACCTGTATGGCGTGCGCGCGACCCCGGATGTCGCGTGGACCATCGGATCGCGAATCATTGCGTGATCTGATGTCACCGAGCTTGACCCTCCACTCAAAACGCGTCGAACCAGCGGCTAACAAACCAATAATAGGCGGACTCTGCATCCCCCAACTGTGACTCTCCCACCTGTCGCTCCTCGTTCGGCCTCTTCCTGCGCCGTCATCACTGCCGCCACTGCGGTCATGTGTTCTGTTCCTCTCACACTCCTCATGTCGTCCCTCTCGACCAGGACGCTCGCTTCCATCCGGAGGGCGTGTCCTCTCGGGCCTGCGACCTCTGCTGGCACGCATATCAACGCTGGGAGGAGTCGCGCACGGAGCGTCTCAGCAAGATCCAGAGTGTGATTGACGCACAGCACCAGAAGACCGAGGAAGTGGCCGAAGAGACGACCGAGCACGTCGACAACGTGGCGGACGAGGAGTCCAAGAAGGCACTCACTGCGATGCTGGGCCAGAGCACCGAGATTGCCGCCAGTATCCCTCGCGGCTGGAACTGGAGCACTTTCTAACTTAACTCATTGACCTCGATACACCTGAAAACGATGCGTCCTTGTGCCATCGATCGTACTTTACCTGACCTACTCTGCCTTCGTGCAGCAGACTTGCTTTACATACACGCGCTCTAGAACATATTTGCTTTCGGCCCTCGGGCCATCTGGGTTTTTAGCATTTTCGGTTCTTCTGTTCGGAGTTTGGCTGGTACTTTTTATGGCTTATGGCTTTATTTCCTTGCTTTCTTTTCCGGCGTTTCAGTTCGCTGCCGTTCGAACTCATAGAGCCAGGGGGGTTTCTTTTCTGATCTTCGTTTTGTTCACTTGATACTGGATACCCCGTCATGTTGCTTATGCGCGGCGATCTTTTATGATTCTTGACTATCTGGGCGCTACGGAAGATTGCCTCTGGCAATGCAGGCTCTTAATTCAATACAATCTATCTACCACAAAAACTTTGCTTATATCCACCCTTATCCAGTAAATCCATCCGTAACTATTCAAATACCTCTACCCTCTTCCACATTCCAAACATGCTTAATCCACTCCTCATCCCACACCGCAACCCTGAGTCCCTCTCAATCCACTTCAACCCCCCCCCCCCCCCCCCCCCCCAAATACGCTCCTCTGCAGATCCCTGGCACTCCCCTCATCAACAACCATCCAAGCCACCGCCCCCAAAACCCCCTCACCACCACAACCCGCATGGTCTTCACATACCTCTCCTCTCCCAGATCATCAGACGAGCAACTTCCGCTGCCTACTGGGGAAGCGTGGGCGTCTTGTGCGGCGGTGGAACTGGTCGGATCACCGCGTGGTAGAGAACGACCCAGTGTCTGCTACGGGGATCCGTCCGGATCAATTTCCATGGTGGTGATGTTCGAAGCGGAGGTTTAGGGACGAGGGAGGGGGGTTGTTTTGGGATTGCGAGGTGGAGGATTGTTGTTTGTTTTGGGGGTGTTTTTAGGAGATTGGTTGGGTTTTGAGGAGGGGTTTAGAAATGGTGATTGTTAGCACATACTACGGCCAGTATGTATGTTTGTCGGGATGTCTGGATTGGTGGCCGGGAGTTTTAAGGAGAGGAGTGGGGTTGGGTCAATGGGTGATGTACGGGATTTGTTTGAAGGATGGGTGGTATATTGACCTGCGGCATCTTCTTCAAGGGGTGTAATATGGATTTCTTTATCAAAGGTATGATATCCTAGAGTTAACCTTAGGGGGACGGCGTAGGTGGGGTTCTTTATAGATTTCGCGGAGATAAAGAATTTGGAGTTATTTAGGGAAATTTAAGTCATCGGCTATTGGAGAACAGTGTGAGAGTTCCACGACCTTTATATATTCTTTTGGTTATCAAACTTTTATCACGAGAAGGAATATTCTTCAGCGATGATAATCATGAACTTGTATAAATCTTAAGAAGCTTCTTAAGATTTATAGATGGATAACACCTGCAAACAGTGCAAACTCCTATCAATCCCCAAGAAAAATATTCCCTCACGCATCAACCAACAACCACTTACATCGAAGGGGAAAGACAACATGTCCCTTTACTACGACGCCGTCAAGATCCTCACCTCGCCCTCCCCCACCGGCGGTTCCTTCAAATCACGTATCTACAATGAACGCGGCCTCAAAGCTGCCCCAGCGCAAGTCTACGCGCTAATCACCGAGGCCTCGAAATGGGATACTGTCCTGAAGGAAGTAATCGAGAATGCGGGGATTCTGAAACTCGAACCCAAGGTCCGTCCTTTCCGCTGTCTCACCCGTATCCGAATGGAATGGATAATGCACAAGACAAGATTGTTATCCTGCTGACTGACCAAGTGATCTAATCTACTTTCCGGAAATATAGCTCTCACCACTTCTCGCCCTCCTCCTCGTGCACGACCACCTTCTCGCAAAAAGAGGTATTGCAGCGCCCGCTTCCCACCCCACGCGCCAGGCCATCGAACGCCACAAGACTAGACTAAAGGGCGAATTCATCAAAGCGCGCGTCCGCCGCGGTTGCGCATCCGTCGAGGACCTCAAAGCCGCCGTCCAGAGGGAGAAACAACCCCAAGGCTCAACGGCGGTTTACCCGCGATGGATAAGAATCAATAACGTCCGCACAACTGCCAAGAAACAGTTTGATAGCACATTCGCCTCGTACACGCATGTAACCTCGCTCTCAGAGCTAGTCGTGAAAGATGATACGAAGCGGATCTTTGTCGACCCGAATATCCCGGACCTAGTCGCCGTGCCGCCGGGGGTGGATTTCACGGCCTCAACAGCGTACAAGAATGGGGAGATTATTCTGCAGGATAAGGCGTCTTGCTTTCCCGCCTATCTTTTGTTTGGACAGGGGGAGGTTTGGGATGGGGGGGATTTGGTAGATGGGTGTGCTGCGCCGGGGAATAAGACGACGCATTTGGCGTCGCTGTTGTGTAAGAGGGATCAGAAGAAGAGGCCAAAACAGCGGATTGTTTCGATGGATGCGTCGCAGGTTCGTGCCAAGACGCTGCAGAAGATGGTTTCTGCGGCTGGGGCGGATGGGTTTGTGACGGTGTTACCGGGGCAGGACTTTTTGGCGCTGGATCCGGAGGATGAGCGGTTTGAGAGGGTTTCTGCCTTGCTCCTCGATCCGAGTTGTTCGGGGAGCGGAATTATTGGGCGTGATGATGTTCCGAAATTGGTTCTTCCGGTTTCGCCGGCCGAGGAGAGGAAAAAACAGGGAAAGAAAAGGAAGAGGGGGCAGGACGAGACGGAGGTCGCTGCGACTGGCTCGCCATCGGCTACGGATGAGAATGAGATGGCCAACACACATCTGGATCCGGAGCGGTTGGCGAAGTTGTCGAATTTGCAGACCCGTATTGTAGAGCATGCGATGTCTTTCCCGGCTGCTACGCGCATTACATACAGTACATGCTCGATCCATTTGACGGAGAATGAGGCGGTCGTCGAGCGACTCTTAGCGTCTGAGGTGGCCAAGCGTCGTGGCTGGCGGATTATGCGCAGAGACGAGCAGCCAGAAGGGCTGCGGACGTGGAAGCATAGAGGAGTAAGGACTGAGACCAGGAGTTCCGGCGACAGCCTGGCGCAAGACGGTACGCAGAACCAGGAACTCAAAGTTAACCTTACTGGTGAGGAGCTCGACGGCTGCTTGAGATGCTTTGCCGGCGATGACGAGGGGACCGGTGGATTCTTCGTTGCTGGTTTTGTGAGGGATGAAGGTCAGTCTGAGGAACGGGTGAGCTCTCGGAATGGGCATAAGGACGAGAGCAAGAGCGAGGATGAAGATGAGGATGAGGACGAGTGGGATGGTTTTTCCGACTAGCCATTCCAGTCACTCTTCCTTAAATTGTAGACATGCTACATACGTAACTATGAAACGGAACCTCCTGCCCCGATGCACAATATATATCAACCGCACCATGAAAGTAGTAGCCCTGGGTTCTTGAAATACTGCAAGCAATACAAGGAACAAAGCACCATGCCCGACATATAAACTCTAGCCTCTACGCTAGCATGTCGTAAAAAGATCAAGGGAAACAGATTCTATTATCGTTCTATTATTATTACCTTTTAGAGGACAACATTTTATCTCACCTCGTCTCTTCCTAAGTCAATAACGTCCAGCGATAGCGTCATCCAACTTGGTCAAATGATCGAGATCCATTGAATTCATCGCCAGTTTTCTTGAAACAGGACACGATAGCCTTGACACAGAAACACTGCTCAACCTCCACATCCACACCCCTTCTAACCACACCACTAAATCTCACAGAACCCTCAATCTCCCATATCTCACCTCCAACAAAACAAAACCTCCAAAATGCCTGCAAGCGACAATCTCCGTAAGGCCCCTCCTCCCCCTCCGATCTACTACATCCCTACTATATTCCCCTATCGTCAAGTCCTATGACGGACGGACGGACGAACTTGCTAATACGCTTCGGATTGAAGCCATGGAATGACCAAGATGCCGAGGAGGGGCTGGTGATACTGAAGGCGTTTGTCGCAGATGATTATGATTGCAATTAGGGAGTGACTGAGAGCATGTGTATGGTACGTATCGGGGATAGATGGGTCGGAGATGAAGAGGTGGGTGTTTCGTAGGGTGGATAATGTAATGTGAAGGTGAAGTCGTCTAATGGATGGCTGTTGTAGTTTCTATTAGGGGCTAAGAATAGGAGGATGGTATTGCTCTTTGGCTGGTCTTCTTTATTATAGTGCTTTTGTAGAGTGTAGGTGTGAGTAGGGGTGCAGGTTTGTAGATTCCGATGCAGAGTAGGTAGCGCTTACTCTTGCAATATACGCAAGCAGTGATGCTGAGAGGAACAGCGCATGAAATACTTGGAATTATATATAAAATCAAGGCTAAGACCCCAGAAACGCCCGCGAGTGATTTCGACTCCGTTGCTCGGTGTATGCATCTAATTTCATCGCTACCAGGGTGAACTCCAGCTTATCGCCCGTGGCATCGGGCTGGAAACGTAGTCGCCAGTGTCCATTCCGGACAATATACTTTTCACCCGCGTTTGATGACTCTTCGACTCGCCTGCGCTTAGTCGCAGGCTGCGACGCCTCTGTCTGATCAGGCCCATACCCAAACGCCTCCAGATAGCGGGCTTGTCCGTCGAGGATCAGATCCGTATCTCGTTCGATACACACCTTGACGCGGTGCGAGCCAGACTGACCTTCCGTCAGACCTGGAAGAGGTACCTTCCCTGATATGATTTGCAGCAAGCTGGTGAAGCGCGCCCTCGTCGAGTTCAAGAACTGGACATGCATAGAGTCGAGGTCGACGATGGTGGTTTCATCGCCTATTTCAACGATTAAATCATAGGTCTCTTCATCGATGTGTGGGCGCGAGTATGTGACCCAACCGCTGGCTGGGCTAGGGCCATGGTTGGCAACATTTACCCCCGAGCGGCGCACATCCTCTAGGCGGACAACAATTTCCGATCGTTGTCGAATAGGATTGAAGCTGATATGATGCGGAATCAGCTTTTGCTCTAGCCCGCGTAGATGGAAATAGCGACAGTCGCGTAGCAATTCAGCGCGCTGCGTTTCGGTCTTTATGTCCAACGGATATCCGCGCAGGAGGTGGAGGAGCTGTGCAAAGACGGCGCCCGACCGATTGGGCACGCTGGGAGGGATAATGGCTGGGGGACGCAGGAGGCCGTGCCGATCTAGTCCCGGAAAGATCTCGGAGGGTGAGGCGAAAAAGGCGCCGAAACCTAGAGAGAAGAAATTGGGGGAGTCGCCAGGGCTGGAAAAAATATCGCGTGGGATTTGGAAATCCTGGTCGCCGATTTGAATGAAGATCTCGGATTCGAAGAGCTGAGAGATGAGACGGGGTACTGTTATTAATAATTAGCTACGAGATATTCTATCTAGGACTCGGTGTTTTAAGCAAGGGCGATGCACATACAGCTGTAGAACTGGGCATCAGCGAAGAATTGCACGAATTCCGCGCCGTCCTTGGGCCGAATGTGATAGCCTGTCGCATGGAGCGCAAACGTCAGCACCGAGCACAATCCCATCGCAAGTTTGTTGCGCATACCTTGTAGATGCCTTGCAATCGCTTTGAACGTGGCCGGATCCCGATCAATGTATAGGGTTCGGATACTCGAGACGTCGCCGGTCTGTCGTATCTGCTCCTCGAAGAATTGAGAGAAATAGGACGGGGCTCCAAGACTTTAGCGGTATTCAGTCATTGCGACCGGAGGGCCACTGACCATCGGAGGCTATCGACGCTCCCGAGAGACGGAAAAGCTCGGTTCCAATCTGAATCGAGAAGACCTTCTCAGAGGGCAGCGTGCATTTCGGTCGCGGTTTGGCTGGCGATGGACCGCTCTGGGGTGTGGGTGTGGAGAGGTCGCTCATGGCTATTCTTGGCGGCAATTGCAATGCGATCTTAGTATTGGCTGCTTCGTTGGCTTGAATATATTGCTAGACACATAGAATAAGATGGAAAAATGTGTCGTACTGTAGCTGTAGTTTGAACAATGTCCGTGAGATTAGTTTAATAATGGAACAAAGAGCACGGCAGGCGGTGTGGAGCTTCCTTATCAATTGTTGCTGGTCTGTGCACGTGCACTATCAGCAACTCCAAGACGACAACTGTTGGAGAACGAAAGGGATTGAGCTCTTATTACCTTGAAGAATAAGTATTTACCGGTATCAATGACTTGAGTGCTGATGTAAAAGACAAGAAGAAAAGGAATTGGCCTGATATGTAAATCAAAATATGTGCAAACGAGATTGAGTTGCTATAGCTTCAAAGCCACAACCTCACGATATATGTATCCTTTTAGATCCCACTTTTTGGAAGCATAGGCATTTATTTTATAATATAACCTATTTTATCCACATATAATATTTAGACGGGCATGCATTTCATGGAAAGGGAAGCATCCGTAGTGGTATCGTGATGGAACAAAGACACCCCTAAGCTTTTCCCCTCAGAGCCAGATGAAAAGAGCCTATTGTCACCTCAGTCCGGCCAAACAAAGAAGAAGCTAAGATTGGCTATTGATTTGGAAGCCCCAGTACCGACAATGGAGGTACGAGTGGATATATTAGAAATCTGCAGCCAACATTCAGCCTCTGTTTACTTGGCGTGGAACGGTCCTTTTCGTCCAAACAAAGACAAATAAATTCTGAAGATGTTATGAAAAAATTCACTTCGCTGATATTAGAACTGTCTGGACCATGTAGGCACATAACACCTGGACATAACATCACTACATCCCTAGGTATAAATAGGCCTCTATATGTGCCCAGTGAGAGACTGATTACACTGAGAAGGCCTTCTTTCATGTTAACCACAACCGTATTCTGACCAAAATATCTTCCTATCTTGTGTACGGAAACTACTAATCCTCCTTATCTGTAACCAAGCTGACCATCCCAGCATAGCCCTCCCTTATTGACCCATTTCTAATCATTAACCTCAAAAAATGGTGATGGAAGTGGTGACAACCGTTGCCGACAATGGCACGGTGAACTTCACTCGTATCTACCGTACCGAACCGACCACCGTTCCAGTCCATGTCGGGAGGATCCTCACAAATATACCAGCCTACCGCTTCATCTTCAAAGACCCACTCGACCTGCAGAAGCTCTTCGAAGACCCTGCTCGCGCTAGTATCGCTATCTGCAAGGGAATGAAGAAGCTCCATCTTGACTTGCTGCAGGCCCTCACAGATGTGGAGTTGACCAAGAGGGAAGAAGAGATAGGAGATCCTACTGGACCCAACACTGGCCCGTTGTTGGCGAATTGGAGAAATGCCTGCCGGGCGATTCCCAAAGATCACGCGATCGAGGAGCTTATCTTTGACGTGTCCTGTGCGAATAAAGATGCGTTGGGGCCGTGGTTGACCAAGAGATTGATTCAGCTTCTCAGTACTACCATGATGATCAAGGCGAAGGGGGACTTGCGTTGTGTGGTGCAGGGACTTGGGGATCTGACTGAGTTGAAGAGGTTTGTTGTTAGTCGGTAGGGTGTTTTTGAAAGACTTGGGGTTTTACGATGGTTGGGCCTCGTTAGGAGGGCATATTGGGGAGGATTGGGCGTTGATAACCTGCCTGTAGCCGTGTTACTTACATGACAGAAGAAGGGTTTTAGGATGGACTAAGCTAGCCATAGCGATTACATTAACTGTTACTGCGTGCATACAGAATAGGAGCAGTTGTCCAAGCATCTAGATATGATGGATCTCACACCATCTACCGGATGCTAAGGGCTATAACATTGTCTATTCTGTTTCAGATATAGCCCATATTCACTATTTATAGGTGATGAACAGCCCGCTAGCAGCAGAAACATTACCATTGGTATTGAGTGAAAGAAGGGTACGAGGCTTGATTTAATTATATGAAAGTATTTGTATTGGTTGGTGTTTCTATATGCCTACTGCTCACGTGTTGTGGTGGAAGAGGGCCGACACTGAGGATTTGGATTCAGTAGGGCTATTTTACAACCTGACTTTACTAGTTGCAAGTCACTTTGATTGTACTCACCCCGTTAGAATGTATATATTGTCAGGCGACATGTTGAGATGTCGAGAAAGATCCGCCATGCCACAACAAACTTTTAACGCGTAAAGATCTCATTAGCAACAAGATGTGGATGTCTTTACTGACACCATGCCATGACAGCTGCGAAGACCGATGCGCCATAGGATCTACCTAGAGGGTTGTGAGGCGAGACATGTTGAGCTGAACTGATCAGGTAGTTGTTCTGTGTCGGCAAAGGCACCGTGTACTAAATTTTGCTTCTCGATAGCATGAGACAGCCACGTATAACCTGGAATAGGAAGATTGACACCATAATACTCATCGAGAAGCGTATACATCAAGGTATGCAGTAATGGAATTACCCCACTGCCACAGATCACATCCTTTAGTCGGAATTCCTCCGCCGGAGAGAAATGTCTGTTGATACGCCTTGTAATTTTGGCCAGCGCGGCATCGTTACCGCTACCGTTGGTTAAACGACATATTGCATCAGATTAGCGAGCGAGCGGACAGGGTCTTAGGTGAAGGATCAATCGTTACCTGATTCATATGTTCAAGCGTACTTGCATGCGGCGAGGCTACCGATAGAATCCTACATCAATGTGTTGACCGCGAAGCCCGGGCTTATTTCATCCGAGGGCCTAAAGGCAGTCTTTTTCAACTCGTCCGCAGGATCAGAAACCAAAGTAGCCCAAGCCCTTTGAGGCACTGGCAAGTTGTGCTTGGTCATGATGGTGAGGGATGGCTTCTGGCTTGGGACTCTTCATGGCCGATTCTAAACATTCAACTTGATCAATAGCTTCAGGTGACATAGGGTCCGGGAGTAGGATTCTGTCTACAATAGACACGGGGGCGTCGAACCATAAAAGGAGCGGTCAATGAAGCTTTAGGAGGCTTGTGCCCTACTTTTAAAGTCTACGTGCAGACCGGGTGATATCTCCCTACATCGCCGTACCATGTGGGTATGGCCCGTGTCCATCCATGACTTCCACGGTCTCTATAGCGTGAAAACAGAGTCTTTCATAATTAATTACGTTTAGCCACCGACGTCGCTGGGAGGTAGACTTCCAATCCCCATGTATCGGCGTAGACTAGCGCCCAGCGCAAGAGTCCAAGACCTACGCCCTGATGAGCGTGGCTTGGATGTACCGCCAACATATCACCGTCTGTGGTACCAGCATTAGCTTCTCTGCCTCTGCTACTACAACCATGCCTGAGTAACGTACAGAGGCGAGGCCTTGGCCCCATTATTTCTTGTCTTTTTCTTATTGCCGCCTTTAAGGCATCGTTCACAGAGGGGGACGTCGCTGCTCTCTCCTTCTCTTTCGTCATGTTGTCATGGGCGAAACTCCACTGTACAAGTCAAACGGTTGGGTGCTTGCCGTCCGAGGTTTTGGTTGATGTATCGACTGCTTTGAGAATCACTGGACGGCAGGGATTGTCCCTCCGAAGGCTTTGATCAACCCTCTGCTTGAACATTGCAATCCGCCATTCCCGAACATCGGGCATGAGAGGCAACAGGTGGGGATAGTTTGGTGAGGAGAATGCGGCCAAGCAAATGCCGGCAAATGCCGGGCCATCATCAGAGCTGGCTGGAAGGATTTCGAAAGACATTGCCGAGGTCTATGTGTAGGTGGAGAAGAATTAAGTCTTCGAGAGGACAGGCAGAATGCCATTGTATGTTATATATATACGTTTTGCTCTCGCGGAGCCGTATCCTTCCTGTCGTTGCATGACCCAGAAGCCGTACCGTACCACATATCTAGGAGTAGGTGCCATATCTCACGGCGCGGCCGAACACGCAAGGGGTGAGCTGCCCACCTTACGGCTTATCATGCAGCGTCTTGGCCTCTCAATCGTACGCTCCAATACCTTATTCACAGGCTTCTCCGGACCTTCCTTCCCCCTTTGCCCTCTCAGGTAATTTCAGGGCCTGGATATCTCAAAGCCTTCTCGACCGCCTTTCAATCAGTTCCAGCTTGCTTGTTTGGTGTAGAAACTTTCCCGACCCATGGGATTAGCAATAGTGGGCTCAAAACCATAATACAGGAAGAGGCAGGCACCCAATAGAGACAATGAGCCGAGACTCAGGGTCTAGATGCATCAAGAATGAGAAATTGGAAAGATATTCGACGGATGTTTGTATGTTTGTATTGATTGATCCTGATCCTAAACGGGCAATGTAAGTGTCACTAGACCACACTAATCCGAATGCGACATAGTGTGATGTAGGCCCCCGGTCAGCCTAAGGCAAGTATGCAAAGGAAAGCCCATCAGAGAAACAAGATTCAGTACTCTTCGTATGTCTCCTTTCTCACAACTTGACCTGGAACAAACATTCAATGGGCCGACCTTGATATCAGGATTTCTAAACAAACCACCCTAAAAGTGCTCTCTCGGAATCGGATGACCTCGGTGAAGATCAGTTCAATCACCCTTTTTCCCCCTAGGAACCTGACTAGCAAAGTCTGGTTCGTTCCATTGGTACATATTAACCACTCCTTTTCACATGGAGAGAGAGAATCTCGGCTGTTTTCCCCCGCACGGCCTCCATTTTAACTTAAACCTCACGCACATTGAAAGCGCAAAAGATGGGCTGATGGGATCGTGCTCTTACAGCTTAAGTGAAGACGACCCACACTCCCAGGATAGCCTCGGCTCCTGCCCCAATTTTCCGTCTCACCCTGTGGACGTGGTCCGGGGTAGTGGCTCAGATCTCATGGGGTCACATTGGATTTGAGTGGCTCCCTCCCCGGGACTAAAATCCACTTGGTGAACCGCCGGTCTGACGGTTCGCAAGCACTACTCTTCTGGGTGATTGACATGGAACGGAAGGTGCCCTGACGCGTATCCGTCTTTCTTTGTTCTATATCATCACCTCCTGTCCGGTCTGTTCCTCACCCACTCCCTTCTTCGAGCTATTCTTTACCTTAGCCTCGCATAGTCCTTCTTGCGCTATCCTTATTCTGCAAATTTCCCAAGTTGTCGGTCAACCTCCCACAATGACCGAACAAGCCGTGGCTTATACTCCATTGGAGGTCCCTATTCCCCCGGTTCCGACCAAGGAAATCTTCTCTGAGCTGCAATGGACAACTCTCATGTCAATAGCGGATACGGTCATTCCGTCCATTCGGGGTCCCACCGCACCCAAATCCTCTACGGCTAAAGTAATCCCGCAATCCAAGTTTGACGCAACCCTCTCCGCGTTAAGTGCGAGTATCTCGCATCCCGATGCAGCTTCCATAGCGGCGCAGTATTTGGAAGAAAATGCCTCGTCCAATCCCCGTTTTCGCCCGGCCCTACAGCGACTCATCTCAGAGTATGTACATGAAGAAGGAAGAAACGGCCTCAGCTTCATATTGAACGCTCTAAAGTACGTAATTTTGCCTTACAGCTAGCTGTAGATGGAAGGAATGAAAAAAAAAAAAATCTGACAAATTTCTAGTTCGAAGGCGGGCTCCCTGATCTTGACGGGCTCTGTAACACCGATCCAGGACCAGCCATTCTACATCCGGGAGAAAATCTTTTGCAGCTGGGAAACATCAAGGCTAAAGCCCCTACGTGTCATCTATAGAGCTCTTTCCGCCATATGCAAGAGGACGTGGCTCACATATAGTCCTACGCTTTGTCCGACAATTGGGTTCCCTCGAGTCCCAGTGCACGGACAGCCCGCCGATGGCTTCGAATACGGGTTTCTGCAATTCCCGTCGAGCGATGAACCAGAGACCGTCGAGGCTGACGTTGTCATCATCGGAAGCGGCTGTGGAGGTAGCGTGACAGCCAAGAACCTCGCGGAAGCAGGCTATAAGGTTGTCGTGGTGGAGAAGGCTTATCAATACTCAACAAAGCACTTTCCAATGAATTTCAGCGAAGGATCTGTGGCTATGTTCGAAGGCGGAGGTGCTATCGCCAGCGATGACGGTTCAATTGGTATCTTCGCCGGAGCCACCTGGGGAGGTGGCGGCACCATCAACTGGTCTGCAGCCCTCCAGACACAAGGCTACGTTCGACAGGAATGGGCAAAGTCCGGTCTACCATTCTTCACCTCACTGGAGTTCCAAAACTCCTTGGACCGCGTGTGTGACCGGATGGGTGTTAGCGCTGACCACACGACTCACAACAAGCAGAACCGTGTCCTTCTCGACGGAGCTCGCAAACTGGGCTATGCGGCGAATCCTGTCCCTCAGAACACCGGTGGCACCGAGCATTACTGTGGCCATTGCACCATGGGGTGCCACTCGGCGGGCAAGCAAGGCCCCGCAGAATCTTTCTTAGCAGACGCTGCCCGTGCCGGTGCGACATTTGTGGAAGGCTTCCGTGCGGAAAAAATTCTCTTCACACCAACCAAGGGCGGAAGGGTAGCCTCTGGCGTGGAGGGGACATGGACCTCTCGGGATGCATATCTGGGTGTGTCCGGAGAGAGTGCTGTGAAGCGCAAGGTGATTATCAAGGCTAAGAGGGTTGTCGTTTCCTCCGGCACGCTGCAAAGTCCCCTTCTGTTGTTACGCAGCGGTCTCAAAAACCCCCAGATTGGCCGTAACCTTCACCTTCATCCCGGTAAGTTTCCTCAGTCACTTTCCTGCCCGCATGCATGCTCACTAAGTGTATAGTGGTAATCTCCGGAGCTGTCTTCGATGAACAGATTCGCCCGTGGGAAGGCGCTGCTCTGACTGCCGTTGTCAATGAATTTGAGAACCTTGACGGGCATGGTCATGGGGTCAAGATCGAATGCCTCACGATGATGCCGCCTGCCTACCTCCCGGCCTTCGCCTGGCGAGATGGACTGGATTGGAAGCAATTTGTCGCCAAGCTCCCCCACATGACCGGATTCATTACGCTCACGAAAGATCGAGACAGCGGTCGCGTATACCCCGACCCTGTCGACGGACGATGCCGGGTCGACTATACCGTTTCTGCCTTTGATCGCAAGCATATAGTCGAGGCCCTTGTGGCCACGGCAAAGATGGCATATATCTCCGGAGCAAAAGAATTTCACACTTCCAGCCGCGAGATACCCCCCTTTATCCGCCCTGAAGGTGCGACAGATCCCGAGTCGCCCGAGGGCACGAACAATGCTGTTCTTCAGGCATGGATTGATGAAGTCCGGACCAAGACCCTGGACCCCGAGAAGACCGTATTTGCCGCTGCTCACCAGATGGGCACTTGTCGCATGGGCAGCACCCCGCGAACCAGCGTGGTAGACCCCGATTGTCAGGTCTGGGGTACGCGTGGACTGTATGTTGTTGACGCCTCTGTGTTCCCCAGCGCCAGTGGTGTCAATCCCATGGTAACCAACATGGCCATCGCCGATTGGGCTAGTCGCAAGATCGCCAAGTCATTGGACCAGGGGGCAAAGAAAGGGGGTGTTATGGCGCGTCTTTAACCCTAGCGCTAGCAGCCATTTGTGATAACCCCACACTTGTATATTTTGATGGGCTGTGGATTTGTCCCGGTATGAAGGTAATGAGTGACGTCTTATTCTTAACGGCATTGTTATCGCCAAGTTTCGATTAAGTTAGCATTGGAATTATTGTTTTTGTATTTAATGTTCTCCTTTTCTGTCCCACAGGCTAGGTTTCATATCCGGTCTGGGCGATTGGATCTAACTCTCACTTGAAAGAAGGTCTCTTCTCTGTAAACTTCTTCTCTCCGAAGGCTTCCTTGACCCCGTCACTCTCAATCGTCCTCTCATACCAGGCCACCACACTTGGATACTTCTCCCTCAACTCCTGATCCAGCACGGTGACAAACCCCCAGGCCAGCGCCGCCGCCATGCTAATATCTGCCAAGCTCAACTTGTCCGCCGTGGCCAACCACTTCTGATTGCCCGCCTTCAAGTGGGTCTCCAGTGCGGCCAGCGCGCGTTCCAGCTTCGCCAAATAGCCCTCCAAGGCCGCCTCATCATAGGACACCAACTTCATCTGCCACAGCGCAAACGGCACTACGGCGTCCATGATATCACCCTCAGCGAATGAAATCCACCGACGAATCTGCGCGCGCTCCGCCGGCAATACTCCCAGCAGCTGGTCCTTGGCCGGACCACTCTCGGCGACGTACTGGGCGATAGCATCGGATTCGACGAGCAGAGTTCCGTCCGACCCTTCGAACGCAGGCGCCTTACCCAGGGGGAACTTAGCCAGGAACTCCGGGCTGCGGTTCGTCACACCCATTTGGAAATCGGGGTCTATGAGGATTTCGAGGGAACTGAGGTTGGCTACCGCTTGGATCTGAGGTTAATTTTTGTTAGTTTAGTTATATTGGGGAATGGGATGCGATATTGGGTGATGGGGTTGATCGAGGGGCAAGATCGTGTGAATTTTTATTTTTTTTGTTGGGTTCTGCGCATTTATAAATACCTTCTCGACCCGCGGGTTGTTGGGGTAGGTGTAGATCTTGCCGAAGTAAGTCATTTTGAATTGGGTTATCTGTCCTGATTTGATTGTGGATGAAGGGCCTGTGAGTGAGAGTGAGGTTGCGCTGCGTATATAAATGTGTCAATCGGGGTTTATATCTCTCCATGAACTCTCCGAATGGGATTTCTCCCCGCTTGCTTCTTAATAAAGGTGTCCCCGATGACAAATCTGATCGCGGAAGGATCCACAGTGGAGTCTTTTGCTATTGGAGACATCGTGTGTCACAAAGATTATGATATATCAGAAAAGTCGCTAGAAACAACGAGGCAAGGGGGTTGAATAGAAAGAAAGGTTAAAGAACTGGTACACTCTTTTATTTATTTTTTTGTTTCAAAGGATGCTTATTACTTAGTTGTCTTACTGCTTACTGTTGATCGCTGCTCTGCTTCCGATTGGTGCATCCGCCAAAGTTTGAACTACGGAACGGAGCAGTTTCTCGGAGGTTACCGAAGAGTTAACCCTATTTATCATTTGGAGTTTACATTTATTTATTATATGCTAGAGGTGAATATGTTGACCACACCTAGAACAATTGGTCGACAAGAGGGTATAGGGTATACCATACGAATATAACTAGAGATTAAGATCCCACTGAAGGAAAAGAATGAGCTATTTCGTCCGACAAGTCTTACAATTATCTTCAAAAGAGAAGATGACCAGCACCGTGACACTTGACCAGAAACTTAAGGGTAGGGCGGGATTTTATACGATCACGAAAAAATTGCGAGATAGCGTTTGGCTGGCAATGTAGTATTTCTTTCCTTCTATCTTCCTTCTTTCCTACTTACCCAATGCTAGTTTTAACGTTGGTATATCATAGAAGCTAGAAAGTGAAAATGATCCATGCTTATGACAGTTTCCTGCGTCTTATGATGAGGTTGCAGATCAAGATAGACTCGCGGTCCTGGTATGGATTACGCGGAACAGTCCGCCGGAGACGCTTAAACCGTTTTATCTTACAACCTCACGAGAAATTTGTCAGGAGCATAAGGAATTTATGCTCAATATGATGTAACTTGATCCGAGAGATAGGCCAAGTGTACGGGCGCTTTTGAAGGATAAGTGGTTCTGTGAGGGTTAGAGATGAATGGTGGGGGACATATGTAGTATAGATACCAGGACTCTTTGGAATAGGAGTAAATCTATGTAGGTGGCGTCCGGCTTTCCTATACACTTATGATAGCTGTAGAGGTGTTCGTTGCAATGAGGCAGCTTGGAGACATTATGGGAAGAACACTTTAAATGAAAGACTTTGTATTTTTGCAACTAGCAAAAGAGAATTCCTGCCTTACATCGCATGTTGGTCGCCAGACTTGTGTCGATTTTGCTGCATTGATCATGTATGTAGACATTCAAACATGTACTTCGGCGAATGGCCAAGTATGTCACGATATTACGTATCATAAACACTGTAAACTCCCATTGCAGCGCTAAATGTCTCTTTCCTTCTTTAACGTAGGCTCATCCTCATCCACTACATCCCCAATGGCTTTATCCAAGTTCCTCTTCTGAGCCTGCGTGGAGATAAACCGAATCATGCTCTCACAGAGTCGATCAAGAACCCATTCGGGCTCCGTCTGTGACGCCAGCATGGGGCTACTCTGCCCAATCCAGTCCCAATTAAGAATGCCATATTCATCTTCATACAGAACGGTATCCCCAGGTGTTGGATCAGTGAATCGAATCATTTTGGTGAACTCCGCCCATTCGTCGTAGCTGTATCGCTTCGGGTGTCCGTTAACTGCATCCCTCGTTGTCCGGCGAATGGCGAACGCGAGACGCTGTGCGAGCTCGAAATCGGAAGGTTGTCTATCACTCGCTAGTTTCTCGTTCAGCCGTGAGCCTCCGGCACGGCCCGAGGACTCTCCATTCGGCGTGCTCTCCATATCGTCCACGCCGACAGAAAAGCCTCGAGCAACCCGTTTGTTCTGCTCGCGTTTCTCGAGGTACGCGAGGATAGGAGGAAACCGTCTGATGAACGACTTATACTTCCCAGCATGCGGAAGGACAGTCCAGTCTGCAACTTGGCTGGTACCATGTTTGAACACCGCAACGACAGTATTACTCATCTCGGAGATGAGCGACGTCATCGTCGGAATCGCAATTAATGACCACACCACGAAGAAGGGCTTCGCAGCGTTCGTAGTTGGAGTAATGTCTCCATACCCAATGGTCAAGAGCGAACAGAACCCAAAATATAAGGCTTGAAAATACGTAAAACTTTCTTCCAGTGCCCAGAACACAACAGCGCCACACGTCCAAAGGATCCCAAAAGCAATGAGGCTCAGTGTGAGCCGATACCATCGACGGAATACCACCGTTTCGGATTGGATATCACGCATAGCGTTGAACCTATCCTTTTCTTCCTTTATCACTACGGTCTTCGGTTGACCGATCGAGCCGCGATAAAAGGTCGTCACTCTGCTGATAATCGGCATTTTGCGTGTATATTTGGGCCTATAGGCGATCTGTGATGTATTAGACACTAGATGTAAATTTCTTTGTGTGTCTTCTTCCTTCAGAGACCGCTCGATCGTCGCTTCTCGTCGCCGTTCGATGTGCTTTTGTATGACAATCGTGTCTTGCAGGTCTCGTATGATCCTGTTGATACTACCAACTACTAGACCCAGGATGATGATTCCGATCACGGCATAAGGGAGGACGAGCCCCCTGCCGACCGCTGTGTTTGGAACTACATCACCAAAACCGAGTGTTAGGATTGTTATATCACAGAAGTAGAGAGCTTCTGCGATCGAGATGCCTATGACTCTCTGGAACACCGCGGCACCCACTATCAACCATATTCCCAGCGCTGTGGTTTGAAGAATCAAAGTCCGTTGTCCATCGGTTAGCGCAAAATATTGAGGATAATGTCCAAGAACATATCCGAACATATTGATCATTAAGATGGCAGTCAGAATAAAATAATGGATTGCCGCAATTACAGCATACCAGTACGCCTGAGAGTAGGTCTGATTCGGCGGTACTGGGCTAGCATATATGTGCACTGAGCTTGTTATTCCGATCAACTGTACGCATAAGCCCTTAATCCACGGAGTTGACTGATCGGTTTCACTTACGATAGCGGTCGCCAGGGACCAAAGAATGATAGAGGCAGGTAGAGCTATTATATACCGTACGGTCCGAGTAAAGTTGAACAATAGAAAAAGATTCCCCAACACACCAAATGCAAGAGAGGTAGCATTAAGACCGATACACCTTGCAAGGTCAGTACAAGTTACGGCGAGGGATATGAGGAACAGCGGGCTAGTACCATCTGGGATCTGACAACATTATCTGCACAGGATTTCCTTCCGGATCCTTCTGATCCGCATGAATCTCACTTTTCCAAGGCATGGCCAGCGCAACGATAGACATCACATTTGCGAATGGGCTGGTGGTGGCCGCTATCAGCGGGATGGCGGTTGATGCGAACCACCAATCTTGCGGCTCGTCATCGTCCGGAGGCCTCGGATTGAACAAATCTTGAAGTCTTTCCCATACTGAATCCTTTGTCGGGATTTTGGATGATTCCAGTCCGATACTGTGGTCCGGTCTTTGATTTATGTCCTGGTCTGGTTCCATCGCTGCTGTGTATCTATCTCAAAGTCCCTTTATTGTCCGAAGCATGTATGACACCTCATATTTGTGGTCTGGCAATGGTGGTAGTAAGGACACACGTTGATGCATCATGAACAAGATATCTTGTATGTCAATGTTGGGGTTCACCGGGACTTGTGGGAAGGTTTTCATGGATTTCAACCAAAGAATTCTTTGGTTGCACCACGTGAACGGCCTCAGGCACACTTACGTCATGTGAAAAGGTTAATTCTACACAACAACCCTATCTATATATAAGTATCAGCATTCAATTAATATATGTAGATGTAACTACGTAGATAAAATATCAGACTAGACTTTCCTTTGAAAATATTAAAATATATTATGCCTCCTAGACGCCAATATGCCGTGGGCCATTCAATTTAATATATAGCCCTTGGATATATCGGTCCACTGCTAGCTCTCATCAAGTCTAACATGCTTTTATACAAGTCGATAGAAATGTATAGAATACAATACTCTATGGAATATGTTCTGCAGGAACAATCACTAGCCGAGCCCAGATCGGAAGCGTTACAGAACGCTTCTACTAGATGAAAAGGCTTCCATTGGCAAAAATGTTACTATGTATTCTATACAACATCATATTCCGCAATATAGGTTAAAAACTGCCTTATAGTACTGGCGGCAGTAGTACTGGCGTAAACCCCTCCAGACCTTGCTCACATGGATATCAGCGTAGTTGGAGACGCCTCGTATTACGATCCAAGGGAACATCTTCATAAGTCGACGATGTATTTATCACGGTCATAGGTATCGTCGACCATTTCACTCATTGAAACTAGAGTTCCGAAGTGGAGTGCAGGATTGGCTTGAGGCCGCTTCTCTTGGGCAATTTCTGCCAACGGAACGCACCTGTAGCATTGTGGACTTATCCAATCGTCCCTATCACGTTGGACGTGCCCATAGTCCGACTTGAAAAGGTGGTCCATACGCCCCTCCGGGCAAGTGAAGCCTGGGGCAAGCCTCAGCTATCTTTCCGGCATCTTTCCAATATGAGTGGTAATACTGCTTCCTACCATCGTGTGCTTTACTTCCCTCTTTTTAAAAACGTCCTCGATTGCTGCTGAGAGGGGACGGTGTTCACAGAAGGAACAACGGACGGTGGATTCTCATCTTCATAGTAATAGTCGATAATATCACCGCGCTATGGGCTACTCATAACAACATCGCTAACGCGAATGTCACGAATGTCCACTGCCTTTTGAGGGTCCGGATCGCTAGCCCCAGTCCTACGAATCGGGCGAGAATATTCGGGAAAACACTCCGATTTAGTGTTCTCTTGATGTTCCCTTGATGGATATAATCTGGGATACCCCCTCCGCTCCGCTACCTACAAGCATAAAAAGGCGAATGTTGGGGAAACATGCCCGCATTCTATACACAGCCACATCAGACCAGTGAGCCTGATCGCTTGACGCACTCATAGAGGTGGATATCGCAGTCGCAGCAACACTGACTTTTTCAACGCCATTATCAGTGGCAGCGCGCCGAGGCCACGCAGAGGTGGGGTGCCTGCTCCTCGAGCAAGCGGAAGTAGAATTCGAGCCCCCCGACCAATCATTCCAGAAGTTGTTCTTGATGATCAAAAGCACTGAGATACTGCAACTACTGATGGATGCAGGGGGGAGATTCTTGCAGAGGCAATATCAGAATTTGGAGACCATACCTGAAGATATGACGGAACTCGGACCCGGAGCTTTAATGGTCACTGACTAACTCGGTCACAGGACGATGACCCTCGTCTAGACTGATCTGCACCGGGATTTTAGGCTAGGATGGCGCTAGTATTCATTCAAGAACTATTGTATGCGCAAACGCACGGCGCTCAACCGAGGAACCGAAAGGATGCACCTATTCACGGCTTGCTGCACCACCACCTTCCGTCAGTATGCAGAACATGCTCATTAAGAATGTGAAAATGTTCTCCTTGACTCTTGCCTTTTGCAAACACTATATCCCACCTCAACCCCTCATTTCCCCGACCCTAATCTCCGGATAATCAAGCCATCGCTCTGGGTGAAATTCATGTGGATCTCGAAAGTACTGAGAGTATCTTTGAGCGTAGTATTGCGGGGCTCGGAGGATAGTCTACTTCGATGAGCAACGATCGGCATGTATATCCGTAAGGGGAGAAAGGAAGAGAAACTACGTCTTTGGTATGTAGATATCCTCGATATTGATAGACTCACTTGAAACACTTCGAAGACCTGATGTTGACCGTCCTTTTCCTGCACACATGTGTTGAGCTTCTCCCGAAAGAGAGGCGTGTTTTTCCAAATTATTATGGATTCGTGGCCAGCAATGGGGCACCGCAGAGAGATTGATGAAATGTGCTCCGGAATCGTCGATGATCCTTTTCATGATCATAATTGATCAAGTCCCCTTACAGTAGTTTCTGGGAGCTACGACCAGATTTTCTTTTCCGTTAATTTTGTCAAGTCCTGGGATTGAGTATAGCTTTCCAAACAGTCATATAGCAGATATACTTCGGCGGCTGCTTTTCATATTGCCTCCCTCCTCCCATTCAGCCAATGACAGAAATGTAATTTGGTCCGGCTGCCGTTACAGTAAGGTATGATATGGGGAAGGGCTAAAGGAGCGTTTGGATGAGTTGGATGAGCGATCAAAGTCACCTGAAGGGGAGCCATACTGGGCGTTGTTATCCCATGGGTCGATCGCGGAGGATGTGGGACACCATCGTAACAGAAATGACTATTCATAATAATTAAACTGTGCTGAGGAGTCTAAGGATAGTGGCATGAAACATAAACCCTTTAATCTACTGATACCAGATAGGGCTTCCAGCAACACGCGGCTAAGCCATAGTAGCAAGCAGGGACAGAGTATATGCAACCAGTACCGTTGAGCGTCTATCTATACTGCTGTCTCCTGGTAGACTTAGGAATGCCCTGGCTCTCAGTAGTAACCAACAGCGGGATGAGATACAGGAAAGGAGTAGCTTGCTGACAGTTTTCCAAACACATACCATTGCTTTGTTCAATATGTTTGCACCAAATCATCCAGAATTCGTGTAGTTTCGATACTGTTGTTATTTAGAAACCAATATTGTTATTAAACACGTGCTAGGATGCTTATGTTGGAACGTTAGCCATTCATTTCCCCGTCCCCAGCATACCATTCCACTGAAATATCCCAACCCAGCCCCCTACCCCCTAGGCATCGGAGCCCAAAAGCAAGCCCCCTGATACTTCAATGTAAGACACCCAACGGCATGCGGACGATCCTCCCTCCTTACCCCAGTAACTAAATACCGATCTCCAACTAAATCCGCCCTTAGCCAATACTCCCTAACCTCCGTAACAGCGGCATCAAGCCCCTCATCCAAGCCGGTGGTGCGTGTCCGTAACTTCCCCAACGCCCCAGTCTGCACTCTATCCTCTCCGCGCCGGATGATCTCCTTGACGAAGAGGTAGCAGAAGGATGTCAGAACCGTGCGCTTCGGGAGTGTGGGATGCATTAGGTAGACGGATGCGGAGCCGTAGTGGCCTCCGCGGAGGCTTCCACCAGTTAAGTCTATCACTGCTAATGGCTGGTGGGCTTCATGAGGACTCCAGGGGACGAGACGGTTTGGTTGGTGGAGGGTGTAGAGGTAGAAGGAGGGGAAGGATTGGGGGGTTCCCTTGTGATGGTCGTTTAGGATTCGGGTGAGCGTTTCTAGCATGAGGGTAGGCGAGGGGCAGGTGTCTTGGTAGTGGAATTGAGGTGTGAATGTTTGGTTTGTTATGTCGAGGTAGGAGGAGGGGGGTGGGCTTGACTGAGGGGGCATTGTGAGGGCTTTTGCTCTTGAGGTGTATAGATTATGGAGTTTGTTATACAGAATTAGTATACCGGGGAGATGGTTGGATCGAATGATGTTGACAACGGGGGATTCAGGTGGGACCTTTTATAGGTTTACTCTTTCTATATCATGCCCTTTGCGCATGGTGTTCCTTCATTTTATTCTTTGTTACAGGGTCCTGGAGTGGCTTTTTCATTCATTGTGCCTGAAGCAGGCATGTCCACATGCAGCGTATTGATGACCACAGGTCATGAGGAAAAAGAACCAAGGACAGACGGAGACAGCAGCCATGGCAACGTACTGGCGCAAAGAGGCAATGCGTCCCATAGGTGTTCGTTTTTCATGTCCAAACAAGGGAAAAGGCTCCTCTCACCACTCGGGGTATTTATGGACAGCCAAGAAGAAGGCGATGCTCCGCCATTAGTATCAATACTGAAAAGGGCAAAGCTCTAATAGCTCCAGAATCTGTCCTATGCTAGGTGCAGAATATGCTTTTCTTGCCTCTCTCTTCTTGCCCTTCTACATACTCGATCCTTTTACCTGCTTTTCCGTGGCTCTAACTTAATAGGGGTGAGTGCAAAATTTCTTTGAATGTTGCGTACAGTTTCTCAGTACAAAGAGGCTTTCTATTGAGGTGTCAAGCTACCTTACTACGTACACATTTCTGGTCTACCTACACAATATCTCATAATACCTCGCTAAGCACCTAAGAAACTCATTATGTCCAGAGCTAAACCGCTTCTTTCCACTTAAAAGTGCCCCTTGCGAAACCATTCAGGCTATCGAGACCGGTATATCTATGGACGCCGGCTGATGTATGTCGATTACGCAAGATGAAACAAAAGGTGTCCATCCAGGTGGATAACCAGAAGGCCTCTGACCGAAACCATCCTCTTGTCATCTACACTCTGTATCTTCTGCTAGGCCTAGAGTCGAATAATGGAGATGACATTGATTAAGAGAAGGAGATCTTAAGTTATCCTTTCGAGAAGGTAATTGTTAGATAATTGAGGGTACAAGCTAGCTATTATTAGCGTGGAGGACGACTTCGGCCAAAAAGACGAGTTGAATCAAAGATAATAATGGGATGTTAGATATATATATATTGCAGGCATGGACGAACCCCGCGGCATATTGGCATTCATAAATTTGTTGTTCTTACAAGGTCTTTCTTAATCTTGATTTCTTTATATAAAATGGTGATTATGTAGGGTGCATGTTCATTTAGATGATATAATCGTTTTCTCACTGAATGGGATCAGATCTAGTACGCCGACAAGATATATTATAGTAATCCACGACCCAATATTAGACGGAGTCATGCATCAACTATATTGGTACAGAGCAATACCTCTCTGAAAGAAAACAATCATAGAAGGCTAAGAGACAACACTTTAAGGACCAATGGCTATGTCTAGTTGCCGTGTGAAGTAAGTTTAAATTAAGTATTTTCGTATGGATCCATAGTAAGGGCCGGTCGGAATCAGAAACAGCTATGTAATGAACGATATAGCCCTAGATCATGAGATTCAAATCGCAAGAAATAGGAAGGGGCACACTTACAGTTCGTAGAGGATGGTAGGGGCTTCTTTCCAGACTGCGAAACCAGCTCGGTAGACTGAGATGACTGCTCCCGTAGTAATGAGGATGGCCAGTGGTCGTAAGAGAAACAGCCAAATGGCTCTCAGTGTTGCGGAAATGACTCGGCTATCTGGTCAATATTCAATGCCTCAGGTCGAAATAGTGGGTCGCAGATCTTACAGGATTGTGATACACATGTTTCTCAAGTCGAAGTTTGAGAATCTGCCGACTCAAGACCAGCAGTAGCTCAACCGAATCTCCATATCAGAAGGTGGATATAAGGGGGAAGTTGATATGATGAAACGGGTCGGTGAGGATTGAGTTGTTATACGGAGTACAACACTTTCCACCCGAACGGAGGGCCTAGCTGTTCTCCTACTGTCAGCCAATGTCTCGACAAGCAGAAGGCGGCTCAAATTGGATTGGCTCCGAGGTTACAGAGGTCAATTACGATGAAGCTTTAGACATGCGAGGTAGAGTCAGCATTGATCTAATAAATGTGGTTGCCTGGAGGCGAGCCAAAGCTGAAGTCGCCATACTGTTCCGAGATTCCGCAAAGATCCGTAGAAACTTTTATAGGAAACTACAAAATACCACGGTCACTCGAATTTCAAAACCAGATTAGTTCTTTATGCTTCACCGTTACCCGGTTTTGCAGCCGGAAGTCTCCCGCCCTCCAGCCCTACAAGGTAAACCCTAATTGAGGTGTCATATTCGGTGCTCGGAAATCCTTCTATCACATCTATTCCCAGAGAAAGGCACATAAGAAGGTAGGTAAAATATAGATAGGGAGCATAAAGCTCTAGGCCTTGGTTTTTTTTCTTTTGCAAAGTTTGTGGATACAATACAACTTAGTCCGTCTATATGCGACGTACGTATATAGCTCCGGTCGCGGTCGAAAATCAGGCAACAGGATAATGTACGAGAAACAAGCAATGATCACGACACGAACAGACTCACTGCTCCGAGTACCTTGTGAGTGTATGTCGTGCACACAATGTCAGGCTTCCTTGATCGGACTATGCTGGCGCCAGGAACTGTATAAAACAGTTGAAAATTCCTTTCTTACTGCTTGGCTTCTGTCTGTATAAAAACAAATGTGTACTTTTGATTTGTCAACTTATAGGATCCCTCTCAATTTCCCTAGGCACAAAAGACGAACCATCTCCATTGAAGGGTAGAAAGTGAGAGGTGAGGCATGGGAGATAGTTCAGCCCTACTGGGCTGCATCAATACCTAGCCTTACCGACGTGGGTCTCGGCAATAAATAACAGGGATGAGATTCTTTGACCTCAACTACTGGTGGAAAGGATACTACCCGACTTCCCCCAGACGAACTGCGGCCGTGTTCTATACGTAATCAGAGAGAATGGATTGGACAAGGGCAGATGGCCCAGCTCCACGCTCTGGCTTGTTTCTCGGCTCCGTGGAGCACTAAAGCTTAGCACCTTCGGTTCGAAAATACCCATACGGATAATACTGTTAGTCTACGCTACAGGACCTATACCATCCGCCCTCCTTCATGCCAGTCAGTAGCAGTGAGCTCTCCGTCTGACCAACTCATATCTCTCCCAAGGTACTCGGGCTTGATGCTATATCATCGGCGTCATGTACCTACAATGTATCGTTCAGGCCTACAGCAGATATTGAATCATAACTACTGTCTGGTTATCCACCGCCCTGAGTAGTACACAATGTCAACCTTCGACGCCTCTCATGTCGACCTGTACACAGCGGACAAGGAAGATGTTATTACGCTTTATTGCTCTGTCCGAGAACGACTATAACGGTCACCTCGGAGCTCGCATATCGTCAATCTTCGTAATTCTGTTCGTTTCCTCTGCATTCACTTTCTTCCCGGTTGTGGCTAAACGCATGCTCGACCTTGCAGCTGAAGTCTACGTCGAGCGCAAATACGGCGTACACAAGGACGAAACGGCCACAGGGATCTTTATCCAAGGTGGAAACCAAGACAACCATTTATCCCAAGGGCCATGCAATCAGAAGAAATCCACCTCGCACACACAAACCACTCCTACCTGGACCTCCGAAAGCGACTCAATAACCGCCGAACAATCATCCCGGCAGCAAATAACCGCCTTCCTCATCCTCGAGTTTGGCATCATCTTCCACTGTGTCAACGTCGGACTGAATCTCGGCGTTACAGGCTCCGAGTTCGCAACACTCTATCCGGTCCTAGTATTCCACCAATCCTTTGAAGGACTCGGTATCGGTGCTCAAATGTCGGCCACCCCCTTCGGCCACCGCCCTTGGCTCCCCTGGATGCTGTGTGCAATGTACGGACTTACTACGCCTGTATCGATTGCTATCGGTCTAGGCGTTCGGGATACGTATAATCCAGGATCCAAAACGGCACTTATCGTTCAAGGAATCTTAAACGCTATTTCGGCCGGGGTTTTGATCTACAGTGGACTTGTGGAGCTATTGGCTCGTGACTTTTCGTTTGATCCTTGTCGTACTAAGCGACGCAGTCATCTGTTGTATATGGTCTTTTGTGCTTTGCTAGGGGCTGGTGTTATGGCCTTGATTGGGATGTGGGCTTAAAGAGCATGCGCGATGAGAGTAAACTGGATATTCGAGGTTCGGTTTTAGGTGAAGTCTATGAGTAACTTCTCTATCGAATATATATGTTTAGGATACGGACAGGAAAGTGGTTTACGGACTCTCAGTGAGTGCCTGCAAACCTCCCACTAACGGGCTGCCGTTTAATATATGAATGTGTGGTTTCGGCACGATATCTCTAGCAGCACATCTTCTCATTGTTAGTTAGTACGGTGTCAAGTATCGAACTATATTTCCTACCTTAGCTGGGACAGCCGGGGATATCCTTGATATTGCAGGTGGCCATGTCAAGGTCCTCAGCATTGATGGAGGTGTTGGGGCCGACCTCTAACCAAGAGCTTTTAAGTTGCAGATGAGTTAGTCTTTGATCATGATCTTATCGCGCAAGGGATTTCATACTGCCCCCAATCAGCGCCTTGGTAAAAGCACTTCACGTTTTGCCAGCCGTAGCTTTTGAACCGACACTTGACGCTGCGCGCCTCGAGGGTTGCAGCAGTGTCCTCGGCGTTGGCGATGGGCATCGCATTGACGGAGAGGGAGAGGAAAAGAGGGATAACGACGGAAGTGAGCTTCATTTTTACGAGAGAAGATGTATTCAAAGGAGTGACAAGGTAAGTAAATGAGTGGATGTTGTGGAAGTACATATGGGTTGTGTTAGGTAGGATCCCTTAAATACGTTGCTCATAAGGTCTTGCTTTAATGTGAGCATGTGATGATCTACCCGTACCTGATCCTGCCTTCGTATTCTTGCTGATCTTTTCGAAACCTGGTCTATTTATATAGCTTCATCTGCAGGTCCTTGCAGTATTAGGAAGACTAGGATACTTAGCGGCTCGTGTTGTTTAATTTTAACGGGCTCGGGTAGTATTGGTATCGAGAAGCACGCGACGCTCAGTGGATCAAATAGAATGACTGACAAAAGCTTTCTCATACTCCGTATAACTCGTATATCAGCTTAATTTAGGTGCGAGACGTGCTCCGATCGTCGATATCAGAATCCTAAGATTTGGTTTGCCTCGTCCAAGAAAAGTCGCTACCCTTGTTTGAAGCCTTTTGCTATTCAAAGTTTCAAACACCTTATGTAGTCGTAACGCTGGGTACCGAAGCTACCCTGGACGGTTGGCTCAAGGCGCTGCAATTACCTCGGTCTCAAGAGGTTATAGTCGCAGAGGATGTGAAAATTGGAAATTCCGATCCGGACGGGTGCTCTAAAACTCGTATTCGACTACTGCAGCATGGTGAGGAAGACGGGGCGCTTTTTGTAGAGGATATTACCGCTTGAGCACTGGCAGAAAAGTCAGGAAGCTTTATGTATTTAGTTATGGCACCAAGTATCACAACCAGCATCACGAATCTACACCCCTATGCATTAGGTAGCCGGCTGGCATTAGAAGACAACATAGCCTAATATGCTGAAGCCCTAACGGAGGTATCTTGACAGTGATCTGAAAAGAGCATCTCGTAGACTAAAATAGGTCATCAAGTTCGTACGTAGCATCATGGCGCGGTCATAAGCGTAATTTCCGTCAAGCAAAAGTAGGAGGAGAGTGCTATCGCGTCCGGCATCCAATCTCAATCCGAAGGACACCCGTATGCAGAAGACAAATCACCGAGGACCTCACCATACAAATGTTCCTGGCGTTTCAACCTCTCATCCCAGCAATCCGCACACACCTTCATTCCGTTCTTATGCCGATCCAGCATTGCATATGTGAAATTCCTGCAAACCATACAGATCACGAATAGATGCCCCTGAATCCTGATGTGCGCCCCAGGCCCGTACCTTGCTGCGCCGCGGCGTGGCATTAGCCCACAATCCACACAGAAGCGCTTTACAGCATCACGGCCACATCTACGACGGCGACGTCGAAGCATCCGATCCGCGAATTTAGCCGCTGGACGGAACCGGAGACAATACCGACAGGCGTAGAGGTCGTGATCCCAAGCAAAATCTGTGAGCTCAGCGTCAAGGAGCTCCCGGTGTGAAAGTGGTGGGATTAGGTGATTGAAGTAGGCGCAGGTCAACTTTAGATGGATGATGTCGGGGAAGATGAGGTAGTTAGCGATAAGGATATGGAGTTCCGTCGGGAGGTTCATGAATGGCGAAACCAGGTCCGTTGGTGGTTCAGAGGGCGAGGTGGTATCATCTGATGACGACATGCTTTATTTGATATTATAGATTGGACCCATTGGATATAAAGTAGTCCAGTCATTTTTTTTTTGGCGGTCTTGGAGAGTTGAGGAAGGGTTGTTGTAGAACGTTGGGTTGACGCAAAGAGGTTCATTCGCTGTATTTTAATGTACCAGCAGAAACATTTGGCAGAATGATTTGAACGCTTTAGGTATCCGTTACGGTACACCGTTGAAAAGTGTATATTTTGGTAGTGCCCACTATTGAGGCTTCGTACCGCTCCAAGCGCGATTGTTTACCTCATCGTAAAATTTAATTAGTAAAATACACTGCCTTGGTATTAGTATACAGAGTTTCTAGGTCAAAGAAAGACCTTTTACTTGGGGATATTCCTATTTCTGCTAACAGAGAAAAAAGCACCGTCGGGAGCTCGGAGGTCTGATTAGCGTATATCTAGACACCGCCTTCTCTTTACGACCTAGTACATCCTGTTATCATGAGACATAGTCCGATTTGGAGTAATTTGGTCACCATGGCTAGAACCCTAACCAATTAGCTTAAATGCAATCTACATGCCGTAGAAAACACTCTCTAAGGAGCCCTTCAAATACATCCGCCCGCATAGTATCATCCTGAGTCGCTTTGTGCATCCTGGCCCAAGGAAGGGCCATGCGTTCCCAGTAAGCTGCTCTTTTCAGACCAACCTAATTCCAGACGTAGTCACGTGCAAATAACAACCGTCTCCTGTAGATTATGCGTATGCCCCGGTGTTGGGGGTGATGCGTAGCCTCTCCTGGCCCAGGGGTACGGTGGGGTAGTTTATAGGCTGGACGTATATACCAAAGTTGGAATGCAGCAAATCACTAGCTTTCTCTGTATCGGGAGCATCGCCAACCAACATTGGAACTACATGAGAAGAGTTGGCCATAACGAGGATTCACTTTTGACTGAGGCTGTCTTTGACTTCCTTGGTGTGTAAACGCTGCAAGGTTCGTCGACCTGAGTCAGCTTGCAGAATTTTGATAGAGGCACAGTCGGAAACGAGTATTTACGTATTAAAAAAAGATCATCCAGCGAGCAAACGCAGACTAAACCATAACGGTGCTGAGTGCAAGGCTAAATATATAGTTCCCATACTGTATTACTTACATGACAGAAGTACATACACAGGAACGGAAACTGCACAGTACCTCCTGTATAATATCTGTTCGTCTTTGCTCCTCCACCTTCCGCCAAGAATCACGACATCGATGGAGACCTACTTCCAGTGCCAACGAGTTCGGCAAGCTATTCGTCCGCACATAGCCGAATTCGAACACTATTGCACCTGCAAGGATTACATTGTCAGGTCTCCTCATATTGCAAAGCAAGTATTAATGAGATAGGTTACATTGGTCACCACATCTAATCTAATGAGCTGCATAACTGTGATGTCAGCCCGGTCCTATGTCACTTTAGAAAAGCAACTGATTAACCCAGCAAGCGCCTCAGGTGACTCAATCCTCGTCGACTGGGAAGGACAGGACGATTTCTTGAACCCTGCAGACCAGAGCGTTCAGCGAAAGCAGATCGTGACCTTCTTGGTCTCTTTGATTGCACTTTCTGCCACTGCCACGTCTGCGACTGATGCTTGTGGTACCAAGGAATATAGCGGACCCTTCGAAGTATCCGGGGTTCTCGGATCTCTCGCGACGGGCACGGTGAGATCCCTCAGCAATCGAGCTTTTTAGATAAGCTGGTATAATTTTGACGTTACTAAAAGTGTTGTTCTTAGGCGGAAGTGCGCCTTTGAAGCGATGATGTGGAGACGACAGAGTATTAAAGACGCGCGCATCTCTAGTAAATATTGGGAACCTAAGTTAACTAATCTAACCACCTAGCGAGGTCTCGTAGTAATAAATAAACCCAGACAGAGTTCAAGAGCTAAAGAAGTTAATTTTAGAGACTATAATATCTAATAAAAACCTAAAGATAGTAGAAGATAAGATATACAAAACAGAATCATTGTGTTCTAAGTTTCAAGTTCATAACGCAGTAGATACACCGTTACAGCTCCCCGATCAACTCTCTTGTGGACTAGAAGGAATGTGGAATCCAATACCAACAGTATTATAACAGTAATCTTAATGGTATCATTGCTTTCTGTTTCTGGATTGGAGTCTAATGATCAACCGCCAAGCCTAGCTGTTGAAAGTTCCACGTGTCAACTAGGTAAAGTACATAAGGATATTGGAGAACAGCATAGGTATAGAAGCCACCCTGTGGACGGGGCGGAATATTCATCGAAATGAGTTGGGCAATGCTACCACCGGAAATTCAACTTTTGGTATTCAAATATCTCACGGGGCTGGAGAACAATCTGCGCAGAAATTCAGAGATCTTTTCAGAGAACTTTCACACCCGAATCATTCAACAGTGGAACCAGAAATACCTGAGCTTGCAACTAGTCTCTAGTAAGTTGTCATCCACAGAAAGGGAGGGGGCCAAAGAAAAACAATACGAAAAAAGGGAACAGGAAAGGATTATGACTGGAAGCTAAGAGCCAACTCCTAGGAGCTTGGTCACAGAACTTTCAACGCTCGTTGATTGCGACTAACTCCATTGATCTTATCTTGAAGTGCGCTAGTGAACCGCTAGCATTCAAGGCTTTACAGAGGACGTTGGAGAAAAACAAAAGGGTGCTGCCTGATTTGAATTATCTTCTGCTTATTGCAACGGTTCGGGGATTTATCTCTTCGATGGAACTCCTGCTTCACTGGGGTGCAAGTCCTAACACCCGAGCTGATAGTTATAGTGACATCAAATCCTGGAGGACCTTGCTTTTTGCAGCCATTGCGATAAGGTCCCCTGAGGCTGTTAGGTTACTGGTCAAGTATGGGGCGGATCTGGAGATGGAAGACGGAGAAAAGTATATTTCTGGATACAACACACCGTTGGGTGTTGCAGTATATTGGGGGCAGGCTGAGATCGCTGGCATCCTTCTCAGCGCAGGCGCAAACAAAAATATTAGCATAGATTGGTACCATGCCAATCATGACATTTCCATATTTCTCACACATGTCAAGTGGAACAGACCAGAGTTGAAATCAGTTCTATTAGCACACGGTGTGAATGTGGAATGTATTGGCTGTGATGAATATGATCATCCTGAAAATGGAAGAAGCAATTCCTTCTAATTCTATCCAGACTTACTCATGACTTATCAGTGCCCAAGTAGAAGCTGAATAGGATAAAAAAAAAGGGGTAGGTACACTTTCTATTCTCTTTATAATATTTGCTATATAGAAAAGAATTTTTGTACGACTATACTCACAAAGTCTAAAACTCTCTCGTACAACCTTACACTGTAAGTTCAACCGATAAATCGAAAGAAAGATAAAATAGAAAGGAAATGTCATATCGAAGAGAGGATTTCCGCTGCATTTGAACAATTGCCCCCGTTGACACGGCGGGCTGCTTTCCTACCGCTTTTTCAGCGTGCGAAACACCGCTTACTGAATAGACCTGAAGTCTGGGGACCAGTATGCAAGTTATCTCATAGACATAAGTACCTTCTCATGCAGAGGGTATCGTACAGCAGACGCGCTTATATTCTCATGACCTGCAAGTGATTGCACTCCAATTTGGTTGTCGCAGAGATGCGGTCTTGCAAGGGCTACTGAGCAACTTTTTCTCTGGCTTGAAATATTGCTCTTTAATGGCCTGTCAAGTTGAGAAGCAGAACGGCCACGCTGAAAGGGGAATTGTGCGTGGTTGTCAGCTGACCATGGACTTTGGCGAAAGTTTCCTTCCATACGGGTAAGCTGGCAATTGGACACATCTGGGCTTCTTCGAGCATCCGAGGTTGAAGATATAAATTCTCATTCCAGGATCCCCGCTGGCAGTCCTGATTGGGCCAGCCAGCGGGATGATCCGGCCGCCAAGCGGTCCTAATGTCCAGCAGCTCCTGCAGTACAATAGTGCCTATATTGGTTAAAGTAAAAGCAGCTGAGAATATTATACTATTGGTGTTGTAGAGCCTCAGCAATCTAGACCTTAGTCGTAAAGGAAATGTGGATAACACGATGGCCGTCTTCCATCCAGCGCGACGTCATTAATACGCGAAGGGCGACAAACCTTATAACAGAGTGCTACATTTCTAGAACGTTTAATCATAGTACCTCTTTTCCACCAGCGATATACATCAACTCCGTGGGGTAACCTGGCTTGTGGTTGTGACAGCCGCTGCTGGTGGCCTTTGCCCAGAGGGTCCACGGGCGGTTGATTGACCGTATTATGAAATCACACAGCCGGAAAAGAGAAAGTTTGTCTTACAGTCTCGAGAATCCCCAAAGTCCTGCTCCGGCTACAGTTGGGTCAATGTCATGCAAGCCATGCTGTTCAAGCACGTAAAAGTGGATCGAAGTAAACGAAGCTCACCTAATAGCATCGGAAGACGTCTAGTGTCATAACATGAAGCTTTTGACCCATTCTTGACTAGCACTTAAAGGCTGTTTCTGTATCAGGAAGATAAATGAACTGAAGGGACCTAACTGGCTGGTAGAGGTACTAGACCCACAGTCTCTGCCAGAAGTTACTGACGGTTCCAATCTTTTGTTTCCAAACCAAAACCAATCATTTGCATCAAGCACAAACAGCAGTCACAAAAGATACCAGGATATGGAAGCCTTGCACGACCCTGCCCGCTGTGGAAGTCGAGGGCAAGCCCGTAAGGCTCAACCACAGGCAACGGACATTGGAGGAAAGGTTTACGATGGAGAGGGCTCTCGGAAGTGTGGTCAAGGAAGCCGTGGGCTGACGACGGTCTAGCGGAGAAACGTTCGTCACCAGGCCACCCTTGAAAGCCGTAAGCTGCTCGGAGCATTGGAATAATGCCACTCAGGCGTCCAGAACAATCGTATTCGTCTCAAAGCTATAAAAATGACGCGAAATCAGTTGGCCTGGCTCTGAGGTGAACCAGGGACACCGCGCGGGCCGTCCGGTTTGATTTAGAACAATCGAGTTACTTGATGTGCGTATAAATGTCTCCAGGATCTACTCGCCGTAGTTCATAATCCGTCCTTGAAGAGCTATCCTTCATCTGCAAGCCTTGTGTTGACAATTGATATATATATATATAGTAAGAAACAATAAGAAAAAAAGGAACAAAAACATTTTTCGATTTGGTCGTTATCATGTCTTCGCTCGCGGTGCCTGTTGCCATCATTGGTTCAGCATGTAGGTTTCCGGGAGATTCCACCTCACCATCGAAGCTGTCAGCCCTCCTGCAGCAGCCCCGCGATGTACGTCGAGAATTCGACCCAAAGATGCTCAATTTACAACGTTTTTACAACTCGAATTCGGACGCCGCCGGATCAACTAACGTAAAGAACAAAGGGTACCTACTGGTCGAGGATAGTCGAACTTTTGATGCCGCCTTTTTTAACATTAGTCCCGTAGAGGCCGAATGCATGGACCCTCAGCTACGCATTCTTCTTGAGATAGTGTACGAAGCTTTGGAAAGCGCGGGATATACCCTGGACGAGATGCGAGGGACCAAGACATCTGTGCATGTTGGGGTCATGGCATCTGACTATTACGATATTCAGATCCGCGATCCCGAGACGCTGCCGCAGTATGCGGCAACTGGAACAGCTCGGAGTACCCTATCGAACCGTATCTCATATGCCTTCGATTTCCACGGTCCATCTATCACAATCGATACGGCCTGCTCCAGCTCCTTGGTGGCGGTGCATCAGGCAGTCCAAGGGCTGCAAACGGGCGATGCGACCTGTGCCATCGTTGGGGGTGCCAATTTGATATTTGACGTAATGCTATACATCATGTTGTCGAACCTTCATATGTTGTCACCCGATTCCCAGTCCCGGATGTGGGATAAGACAGTTGACGGCTACGCACGCGGCGAAGGGGCGGCGGTAGTCTTATTAAAGCCCCTCGACCAAGCCCTGCGTGATAAGGACTGTATCGAGGGAGTCATTCGCGCAACGGGGGTGAACTCGGATGGTCAAAGCCCCGGACTCACAATGCCGACAGTGAAGGCTCAGGCTGCTCTGATCCGAGAGACATATCGCCGCGCGGGACTGGATCCGGTCAAAGACCGATGTCAATATTTTGAATGTCATGGCACGGGAACAGCAGCGGGAGATCCAATAGAGGCCCGTGCTATTAGTGAAGCCATGATAGGAGATGGAGATTATTCAAGCCACAAGACAACCAATCCATTGTACGTCGGATCCATAAAGACAGTGGTGGGGCACCTAGAAGGAGGTGCAGGGCTGGCGGGGTTATTAAAAGCTTTGCTTTCTATCAAGTGTCGGACTATATTTCCCAATCTTCTCTTTAAAGAGCTGAATCCTAAGATTGAGCCTTACTACCATGGCCTGCAGCTGCCAACCTCTGCTCTACCCTGGCAAAAACTTCCCGCTGGGGATCCTTTGCGAGCTAGTGTGAATAGCTTTGGCTTTGGAGGCACCAATGCCCATGCCATCCTTGAGAGCTATGAACCAAGTGATGATGATAGCAGTGCAGAGACTGAGCCCTTCGAGGCTCCATTGATTGGCCCTCTCGTGCTGTCGGCAAATTCTGGCTCCTCCCTTTTAGGGAATGTCCGGTCTTTGCTACACTACTTGCTGGAAAATCCCTCCGTCAATCTGTCTGATCTGAGCTGGGTACTCCAGAGCAAGCGCACCACACATCGTGTGAAAACCTTCTTCAGTGCGCAATCCCATAAAGGCCTCGTTCAAAGTATGCAGAAATTCATCATCAATAACCAGACGATCACGAAGGACGAAATTGGTACCCACTATCGGCCGGTGAGGCCAGGTGAAAACCCATCTATACTTGGGGTGTTCACGGGTCAAGGGGCTCAGTGGCCTACCATGGGCTGTGCGATGCTGGAAAAATGCCCACTGTTCCGTCGCGTTCTAGAGTAGTGTGATGCAATTTTGAATGCACTACCAGATGGCCCAGAATGGTCCGTGGTTGAAGAATTATCAAGGGGCGCTTCCACTTCCCGAGTAGGGGAAGCCGCTATTTCACAGCCACTCTGTACTGCCATCCAGCTGGCTCTTATCAGTGTACTTTACGCCTGTAGAATCCATTTTGATGTTGTCATTGGTCATTCTTCCGGAGAAATAGCCGCAGTATACGCTTGCGGAAATATCAGCCTAGAAGCCGCCATGCAGATAGCCTATTACCGAGGCAAATACGCCCATTTGGCCCATGGTTTGAACGGGCAAGCTGGTGCTATGATGGTGGCTGGTGTCGGTTACGCCCAAGCTCAGAGCTTTTGCCGGCAGCCGAAATATCAAGGCCGTGTTTGCGTGGCTGCTAGCAACGCTCCTCAGAGCGTTACTTTGACAGGAGATTCCGACGCCATACAACACGCGAAGAAGCATTTCGATGAGAACAATACCTTCGCGCGCATGCTAAAGGTGGACACCGCGTACCACTCGTATCATATGGAGCTTTGTGCAGACAGGTATCTCAAATCTCTCAGAGCCTGTAACATTCACGTCAAACGACCACGAGATGGTTGTATTTGGATATCGAGCGTCAAGGGTGACACAGAGCTGCTTGAAGGGAACTTGCAGTCACTAACTGGTCCTTACTGGATCCAAAACATGATTCAAAGTGTCCTTTTCTTTCAGGCAGTCAAATTTGCCGGTTCGCACGGTGGCCCATTCGATGTGGCGATCGAGATTGGTCCGCACCCAGCACTCAAAGGACCCACGGAACAAACATCGAGGTTTACTTTAGGCTCTGCTCCAGCTTACGTCGGTACCCTTCGGCGCGATGCCAGCGACGTAGAGGCTGTTGTAGATGCTATCGGATTTGTCTGGTCCTACCTTGGTCCTGCTTTTGTCGACTTTGATGGACTTCGGGGAGCCTTCGCGCACGGAAATTGTAGAACTCCTAGATTATTAAAGGATCTTCCACCTTACTCCTGGGACCATGACCGCGTCTATTGGCGCGAATCTCGAATATCAACTAGGTACCGCAAAGGTACCGACCTCCCCCAAGAGCTACTGGGACGTCGTTTGCCGGATGATATAGACCGAGAGCTACGCTGGCGTAATATCCTCAGGATTAGCGAATTGCCCTGGCTACGAGGCCACGTCATCTCCGGGGAGGAATTGCTCCCAGGGACCGCTTACATTTCACTGGCAACGGAAGCAGGAAAGGCTATTGCAGCAGAGAACCCTATTCGGCTGATCGAAGTGCAAGATATCAACATTCGCCGTCCAGTGGTTATTCCCGAAACTCGTGAAGGTCTGGACGCTCTTTTCACAGTACACTTGCAGGAGTCCAAAGACCCAAACCTGATATGCGGATTCTTTTCTTACTACTACTGCTCCGATGGATGTTCTGGTTCCATGGTGCATACCTGTGATGGGAAGCTTATCATTCGTCTCGGCGAGGCTTCAGAAGAAGAGCTTCCGCCGTGCAACCCACTACCACCGGGCTTACTCCCGATCGACACTGAGCAAGGTTACAGCGTGCTCGCACAGAGTGGCCTGCTCTATTCTGATACCTTCCAGCGTCTTCGGGACGTTCGCCGTCGACTTAACTATGCTGTCGGTATGGCGGAATGGTCTGTAGATGAACTGAAAGGCAGCTACACCGTTCATCCGGCACTCCTTGACGTTTCATGGCAGACACTTCTTCATGCTCGTGCGGATCCCAGAGCTGGTAAACTCCCAACAGCCCTCTTGCCAGTGCATATTGGTCGTGTGGCTGTAAATCCTAACGTTGAACTGGGCGCGGAAGTGGGGACGGTCAGGCTGACGGCAGAGTCATATATCACTTCACTGAGCGGGTTTTCCATCACTGGTGATGTTCACATTTACAATCCATGCTCGGGGAAAGCAGCTGTACAGATGGAAGTTGTGTCCCTCAAATCAGCTACACCACCTACTGAAGCCCAAGATCGACGAATCTTTTTCAATACAGACTTTATAGCGGATCCTTCGTTAGGACTGATAGAGCCTAAGCATGATCCAGAAGCTGTTGAGAGAGTCACAGACCTAGCATCAGACATTGAACGGGTGGTCCTCTTTTACGTTCAGCGTGTGTTGGAAGGACTTAACTCCAAGGACAGAACGGAGCTTACGTGGTACCATAAACTGCTAATCCAGTCATTTGAGACTTCAATACAGTCGATACAAGAAGGACTTCATCCACTAGCGAAGCAAAGCTGGCTTGATGACAAACCCGAAATCCTGGACATTATTTTCTCTAAATGGCCAAACAGAATCGACTTTCAACTCGTCCAGGCAGTAGGAGAAAATCTACTAGGCTACCTGCGAAGGCAAACCTCTATGTTAGAAGTGGTGATGAAGGATGACCTAGCTGGTCGCCTGTACAATGACGGATGCGGCTTTGCGGATGTTAATTCAGGCATGACTGGTGTCCTTGAACAGATCTTAAGCAAATATCCCCAGGCGAACTACTTGGAGATTGGAGCTGGTACGGGATCAACGGTATATACACACCTTTGAGCGCGTCTTTCACATGTACACTGCCCTTTGTTACTTATCATTTGCTGACCAGCTTGACAGACCGACTACGTTCTGCGAACAATTGCCAATGCCTTTGACACGTACACTTACACTGATATTTCTCCAGCCTTTTTTGGGGAAGCTGCCAATCGGTTTAGTGAATTCACCGGTAGAATGATATTTAAAACTCTCGACGTGGAGAAAGACGTGGCTTCCCAGGGTTTTTCAGAACACTGCTACGATGTCGCAGTTGCCTCCAACGTACTTCACGCCACATCTAGTATCTCCAGGACTTTAGGGAACGCACGGTCCTTACTTAAGCCAGGTGGTTTCTTGCTTCTCATTGAGATCACTGGCACTGCTGTTATGCGGACTACATTCTGCGTAGGTGGTCTGCCTGGATGGTGGCTCGGAGCGAAGGAAGGACGGCGGCTGCATCCCGGCCTGTCCACTGAGGGATGGCACAGAACGCTGCAAGAAACGGGTTTTTCTGGGGTTGACCTCGTTTGCCACGATATACCGGACACGGGCCAGCACTGCCTGTCTTTCATGGCTAGCCAGGCCGTAGATGACACGCTTCTGCAACTGCGCGAGCCACTGGAGTATCTCGCTGACCTCCCGCAAGTAGAGCATCTGCTTGTCATTGGCGGGAAGACATTGGCTGTTTCGAAGTTAGCAACTGCTATTCAACGGTTGGTAGCATCCGTGTGGGGTAAACAGGTTACAATGGCGACCGATATAGATACCTTTGACCTCCCAAGCATTGGAAATCAAATGGATGTCCTGTGTCTTCTGGAATTAGACAATCCTCTTTTCTCATCCCCGGTTACTCCGAAGAGGCTGAGAGCTTTGCAGACCATTCTTGTGAGAGCCCATAATGTGCTCTGGGTGACCAAGGATCGGAGGACGGGTCGTCCCGAGTCAAGCATGATGGTAGGGATGGCAAGAGGAATGTCCAAGGAACTGCCACATCTCAATTTTCAATCCTTGGATCTGGACACGATTGCCATTCCTGCAATCGCTGCTCGAACTATACTCACAACACTCATTCGACTAAGGATTGTCTCAATTCATAAGGATCTTGAGAGCCCGTTCCTCTTAACACAAGAGCCAGAGCTAGTTGTTGAAGGATCCAACACACTCATTACACGTGTGCGGCCTGACCAGCAGCTCAACGATCGGTTCAATGCCAATTTTCGACCGGTTACCAGGCCAGGAACTAGTCCAGATATACCAATCCAACTTACTATCCAACGCGATAAGCTGGCTTTGCTTGAAGCTCCTTCCGAATCACATTCCGCTAGGAATGAGTGTGTCGCTATCAAAGTCAGATACTCCTTGTGTTTCCCCAAGGACAGGGGCGGAGATATCTATCTTTGCGTTGGCCATCTTGTAGGTACAGACATCCCTATTGTCGCTGCTTCAGAGACAAATGCTTCTATCGTAAGCATTCCCCAGGGAAATATTTCTCGGATAGACGAGAAGGACTGTAATCCGGTTGTCCTGCAGATCATAGGGGACCAGATCCTTGCCACTGGGTTCTCCCACTTTATATCTAGAGGGGAAACAGCCTTGCTCTATAATCCTACAGAATGTCTAGCAAGCTGTCTCGCTGCTGAGTCGCGTCGGCATGGCTTTCACGTATTGTACGCCTCCTGTTGTTCTTCAGCCCCTCAAAGCTGGATAAAGATACACCCCAACAACTCTGTCCACGCAAGCCATAATTTAATCCCTCAAGACGTTACTGTTTATTTTGACTGCTCGCAAGATCTGGGACAACAGTCTCTTCATTCTGCACTACCTCCGAGCTGCAGAATACATAGATTGAACAGAAATCTATTACAACTAGGGTTGGACCCCGTATCTATTCAGGCATCGCTCGACACTGCATATGAAAGTCTTCAGGTTTTGGAAACCCAAGCGAGCAGTTACCAGTTTACCTCTGGCATTGAGGTGCTCAACATTGGAGACATTTCTAACACCGACCCGTCGATTCTAGACCGTACTCATATCACTTGCTGGGAAACACCCAAGCCTCCTAGACTCTCTGTGCCCCCTCCTGATACTTCTACACTTTTCGACAGCGAAAAAACGTATCTTATGATTGGTATGGCGAGTGGCCTTGGTCTCTCAATTTGTGAGTGGGCTGTACGGCATGGTATGAAACAAATAGTCATCACGAGCCGGAATCCGACCATACACCCTCGCTGGCTTGCCGAAGCTCGGCGACAAGGAGCAAATGTTTGTGTTCAGTCTATGGATGTTGCAGACAATGCCTCCGTAGAAGGCGTTGTACAACTCATCAGGGATTCCCTGCCCCCTATAGGCGGTGTTTGTAATGCAGCTATGGTGTTGTCAGACAAGCTGTTCGTGGATATGGATGCAGAGGCCATGGCCAAGGTGCTGAAACCGAAGGTAGATGGTTCTAAGCACCTAGATCATATATTTTCGGACACAAGCTTAGACTTCTTCATTATGCTTTCCTCTGCCCTCTCGATAACTGGCAGCCATGGCCAGACAAACTATCATGCAGCCAACATGTTCATGACAGGACTAGCTGCAGAGCGTCGGCGGCGCGGGCTGGCAGCCTCTGTGATCCATATCGGATATGTATGCGATGTAGGGTACTTCACACGCGCGGATAAAAGTATCCGGGAATACGTGTCAAGAATGCATTTTAAGCCCATTTCAGAGATGGACGTCCACCATGCCTTTGCAGAGGCTATTCTCTCAGGACGACCGAACAGCCAACATTCGTGCGAGATCGGGGTAGGGATCGAGCCGCTCGAAGAGCCGCTAAGCAAGGACCAGCAAACCGCATGGTCGTCCGATCCTCGCTTCTCACATTACCTCGTGACGGCTCATATACACGAAGCGAAGTATTCCTCCAAGGCTGGGCAGGTTAACGTTGTTGGACGGATTCAGCGGGCTGAGACGGAAGCAGAAGCCACCATGGCTGTCCAGGATGCCTTGTGTACCAAGCTAGAGACCCTTATGCAGCTGTCCCCCGGTAGTGTGGACGTTAATGCACCACTGACCAAGCTGGGCATTGATTCTCTCGTGGCCGTGGAGATCCGAGCTTGGGCTATAAAAGAGATCGATATCGACATCCCAGTCACGACGCTACTGGGCAAGGATAATATAGTCCAGATTTGCACCCGCATGGCCAAACATGTGATGGCTAAGATACTGGAGAAGACTTCCAAAACAATTAACTCTAGACCGGAAACGCCAGAGAAATCACCGGGCTCTGTGGCTACCAGTAGCTCAGAATCGCCCAAGCCTGAAGATGTCAGTCCACTTACCACAGAATCTGAGACATCACACTTATCGGAAAGGAGCCTACTGTCCCGTTAAATGACGGCAAAGAATTGCAGAAGCACATATGTGAAGTGACGGGGGAATTAGCTATGGAGTTCGGCCAAGACATCGTTCAAAAGGAGCGAATGACAGCAGCTCAGTCCAGAATATACATCCTTTCTATTATCATAAATGATCCCACTGCCTATAGCCTCATGATTCGGTACGACATGACGGGCGACCTTGACGTTGAACGACTACGCAATGCGCTGACAGCCACGATGCAGCACCATGACTCCCTTCGCACCTGTTTTTATGTCCGCCCCGAAGATAACCAAATGATGCAAGGTCTTCTTTCATTCCCAGTCCGCCGTTTCAAGCATGTTCCGGAGGCCACAGAAGAGGATATCGCCAACGAACTGCAAATGGCTAGGTCTAAAGTATGGGATATCGAGCATGGAGAAACACTGGGACTAGCTGTCCTATCTTCAAGCCCCAAAGTACATACCCTTGTCTTGTCTTACCACCACATAATTTTAGATGCGACCAGCATGCGAACCTTCATCCATGACCTGAATGCTGCCTACTGTATGCAACCACTCCAGCATGACTGTGGGAGTTGTCTTGAGCTCGCTCGCAAGGAGGTGGATAGCCACAGCTCAGGGGCTCTTGAGTGCCAACTCCAATACTGGCAGCAACAGCACCATCCAGTACCAGACGTTCTTCCATTACTCCCAATGGCGAAGGCTAGAACCCGTCCGGAGACGCAGCAGTTGGCCACTATCCACACAGTGCGGGAGATTGGGCAGAACGCAACCCTTGCTGTCAAGAAGGCTTGCCAAACACTGGGCGTCACAGCTTTTCAATTCCATCTTTCTGTGGTCCAGATACTGCTGGCTCGGTCACTCGGTCTTGAGGACCTATGTATTGGAGTAGCTGACGCCAACCGTCACGATGACAGGTTCGCCAGTACCGTTGGGTTCTTCTTGAACTTGTTGCCTGTTCGCTTTCACATTCCAAAAGATATAACATTTGCGCAAGTTGCTCAAAACACGGCGCGACAGGTCATCGGCGCTTTGGAGAACTCTGCCGTTCCATTTGAAATGATACTAAACCGGTTGAATATCCCTCGGTCTTCTTCCTATGCACCATTGTTCCAAGTCACGGTGAACTACCGTTTAGCAATGACAAAGGAGATACCATTTGGTGACCACTTCCTTACGATAACTGATGCCGAAGAGGGCCGAACCCCCTGGGATATCACGTTTAGCTTCTTAGAGTCCCAGTCGGATGGCGTCACAGTCACAATGGACTGCTCAGAATCGCTGTACGACGTTGAGGCTACGGAGACTCTGCTTGGCATGTATCTACGTCTCCTGGAGGCCTTGGCCAAAGACCTCAACATTACTGTGCGTGAATGTCAGGTCCACAGTCCTGAAGTAGTTTCCGAAACTCTACAGGTTGGCCAAGGTAGACAAGTGGAGTTTGACTGGGCCGAAGCGGTTTCAGAAAAGGTTCAAACAATGTGCCTTGCTTGCCCGGAGAGACCCGCCGTCCAAGATGGATCGTCAAAATTGACATATAGGCAGTTCGGAGCACGCGTGAATTCGATTGCTGCTGCTGCCAAAGCCGCGAGTCTTGGCGTCGGCTCTCGCATCGCGGTCTTATGCGAGCCATCGAACGATTTCGTAGCCTCTTTACTGGCCATTCTTCATATTGGTGCTGTCTACATACCGCTAGATGTTAGCCTTCCGTCCACTCGCCACACAGCAATTCTTTCCGGCTGCCAACCGGACCTAGTCCTTTGCCATGGGAATACAGTTGAACCAGCTGAGGCGCTCTTGTGCGAATATCAGAGCCTGTCTCTACTCAGAATAGATAGGATCGATGAGTCTTATGAGCCGGTTGTCAGTCATGCACAGCCAGATCTTCCAGCAATTCTTTTATATACCAGTGGTTCAACTGGCAAGCCTAAGGGTGTAGTGCTTTCGCAGGGTAACCTTGCCAACTGGCTTGCACAAATGACTCAACAGCTTGAACTTGTTGCCCGACCAGGCGTCATCTGCCAGCAGAGCTCTCTGGGGTTTGATGCCTCTCTTGCCCAAATCTTCTGCGCTCTTTGCACGGGCAGCAGTCTAGTCATTGTGCCCCAAGACTCCCGGCGTGATTCCATTCAGATCGCACGACTGATTCAGGAGTACCAGGTTACTGTCACACTGGGCACTCCCTCGGAGTACCTCTCCTGGTTGTATTATGGTAGAGAATCTCTAAGGAAGAGTGTGGAGTGGCGCTGGGCATGCATGGTAGGAGAGCCGGTTCACCACGAAGTCAAGCGTGAATTCCGGCGATTGGAACTGCCCGACCTTTCATTACTCAACCTTTATGGTCCTACAGAGATTACCTTCTCGGCGACTTGTCATCTTCTCTCTCTCTCTGAAGATGAACCTGAGATGGGGAGCACGGTCGGCAAGGCTCTTCCCAATTACTCGATTTGCATTCTCGATGCAACAGACCATCCTCTTCCTTTTGGATTCCAAGGAGAGATTTGTATAGGGGGTCCAGGAGTCGCCTTGGGCTATTGGGACTTGCCTGCTGAAACTGGGCGTAGGTTCATTCCAGATCCGACTGGCTTCAATAGCAAAGGGGCAGCGAACCGATGGTATCGAACTGGGGACCAGGGCCGGCTCACCTCGGACGGAACTCTTGTATACTTTGGGAGACTTGAAGGCGACACCCAGATCAAGCTGCGAGGCATTCGCATTGAATTGGGGGAGGTAGAGGCGGCTTTGTTGAAATCAGGAGAGGGCTTAATCTCTAGAGCAATAGTGACTGTCCATGATGGCGTGCTCATTGCTCATGCTACCTTGGTCCCAGGGAAAATCCTTGAGCCTGACTCCGTCAAACAACTCCTATCTAGCCTCGGTCTACCGCAGTATATGTGTCCGGCGCGGTTGATAATTGTCCAGGATCTCCCGAGGACGAGTACCGGAAAGATTGATCGCCAAGCTCTTGCGAAGCTGCCACTCACAGGCAGGGATAGCTCCAGTCAATCAGTATCTAACTTGAGCCTTCATGAAGTGGAATTGAAACTCCTCTGGAACAAGGTGTTGCCCGCAGGAGATCATGAGTTGGGTCCAGAATCAGACTTCTTCCTTGAAGGAGGGAACTCGCTCCAGTTGACTAAGTTACAGCATGAAATCAAGGAGGTTATAGGTATCTCTGTATCTACGCGCGAACTCTACTCTGCGTCTACTCTTCGGCAGATGGCCGCACGAATAGAATCTCAGCGAGAGGATCAGTTGACCGAAAATGAGGATATAAATTGGGAGCGTGAGACCGAAATTCCTGTCGATCTTATGGCAGCCGTACGGGGGACAACTAGGCCTTTGAGCACGCCAGTCACCAAGGACATTGAGGTTCTATTGACTGGAGCCACGGGTTTCCTCGGTGCATCCATCCTCAACGCTCTTCTGGGAGATCCTGCCATTGGCAAAGTGCATTGCGTTGCAATCATTCCTAACGAACTGGATAAACTGCCGGAGTCTAACAAGATTATGAGCTACACTGGTAGCTTGTCCCTGCCACAACTGGGTCTCACCCCATCTGAATGCGTCGCACTGCAGTCGGATGTCGATGTCATCATTCACGCCGGGGCCAATGGGCATTGCCTGAACAGCTATGTATCTCTACGGCGTCCCAATGTGTATTCCACCCATTTCCTAGCCGCACTAAGCCTGCCACATTCTATTCCCTTCCTCTACGTGTCTTCGCCGCGGGTTCCCTCGTTAGCTGGCGATCTGTCCCTTCCCCCCGGCCCTGTGCTTTCAGAACCTTCCACGACTGGGGATGAGGGCTACATGGCATCTCGATGGGTCTGTGAAAGGTTCCTCGAAAAGCTTTCTCATTTCATTAGCTTTCCCATCGAAATCCACCGCCCCTGCCTATACCTTGGTGATCAAGCACCCAAAACTGACGCTATGAATGGTGTCTTACGTTACACGCGCCTTATGAAATCCATCCCACGTCTGGAACGTGTGAGGGGGTACATCGACTTCAAGAACGTGGAGGACATTGCTCACGATATGGTCGCGTCAGTGATCGCCATGGCAGGGGAGGCGACCTCGGGCATTCGTTTCCGCCACCACTCTAGTGGCCGCAAGGTACCGTTCGACAAGTGGGCGGAGTACATGGAGGAGCTCTATGGGGGCCCATATAAGGTGCTTGAGTTACCTTACTGGATTGCACGAGCCCGGGAAGAAGGCATCGACCCCTTGATTGCGACGTATCTAGAGGGGGTCCTGGAAAAGAAGGAGATCGGGGTTTTTCCATATCTAGGGGAGTCAGCAGAATGATCCGCGTTTCAATCTTCACCATGTTGGTTCTTCCCGTGGTATCTTTCTGTCATTTTTCTGCGTAGCAATTCTGTGCATACTGGAACTCTATCAATGAGTGAGCTCAAGGAGCAGCACGTGTTCTGGCGATATTGCTAGAAGCTATCGTTACACAGTTTGGTTCCACGTAACGTATATATGCGTTGTTAGTCAAATTATATGACCTGTCATTACTGATGGCTCGTGTTGTCATATCCCCAAAACAGAAAGATCCTGAACCGCCCAACTAGGTCTGCGAGACGGTATCATGATCTGCCCAAAAGTATGATTGGCTATTTCGTTTTTAGTTTGCTGTTTTCAGATCCAGCGGAATCTTATTGGGATATTCGGATAGTCCTCGCACGTTTAGACAGTTGTGCTATCACACGGAACGAAGAGGAATATCGGAAGGGCGACAAGTTTAAAAGATATTCTCAGATACATAGCCCCTAAAATCCATGGATCCACTGAGCAAGGTAGACCGTATGCCGTTGATATCTGGGCTGTTGGAGAAATTACATTCCAGATGTTAACAAAGGTACATTCAACCATACGATATCATAGGGTTGTGGCCTGATAATGGCCTGATCTCGTGATCAAGGCACTGTAGCACTAATCAAAATTGAGCAGCATGGTGGCTGAATAGCGGAGCTTTAGTGGTAATTCTCTAGCTGACAAGCCTCGACCTCCAAACCAAGAGGTCCCGTTAGTTCTTGTTACGGCAGACTATTAGTGCAGAACTGCAACAACAAAAATTTTAATGCTTATGCTTTACTGCCCGACGAAGCTGAATTGATAGGTATTCTTCGTCTCTCTTTTCTTTGGCATCGAGGTCAATGTTGTGTGTCTTCAGAAGCAACTCCACTGCCGCAGCATGCCCATGCACTGCTGCCCATGACAATGGTGTGCGGCCGTGTTGTTTATCTTTAAGAATGGCGGATGTGTGCCCTGCACACACATCTGCTATCCTAGGCCGGAAATAGTCCATCGATAATTTCTACATCCCGCTAGGAGTATTAACGATGAGCGCAGCAGCCTATGTTTTATCTTGGTACCTTGATTCTGAAATCAAGTTTCTGAATAACACGACATGGTATATAAGATGTTGGCCTTGCCCCGAGTGCTCACTCGCAACACGGACTATACGTAGCTTTACCATCTCTACACATTCTTCTACCTAATTGACTAGTCCTGACTCCTGATATGTTCGGCATAAACTTGCCTGTATTATGGAAAGCCGACCTTTTCCCACCAGCCGATGAACCCATGTGTATTTAAACCCGCGATTATATATGTTTCAGAGTCTCAAAATATCCAGTCGATTACTATCCCTATAAAATAAAGAAATAGATGTCATTGAAGCTGAGATTATATTTGGGATATCTCTCTTTAAAAACATTACTTGCAGAGGTGTAGAGTTTTCCCCTTAAGAATAAAATATAAGATAGAGATAAAGTGAGGAACTGATAGCTAGATGCTATTTAAATATGGACCCTATCTCAAAATAAGTAGTATCAAAATGTGCGTTCTTATCCTTTGGGTAAAAATTATTCAGGTCACCAAAGGAGGTCCTGAAGTGCCAGCGTAGAGCAGCGGCACGCCCACGAAAGGGCCTAGGTGAACACGGTCATACTAATGCAGTTATATGTTTTTTGTTCGTTTTTAGGATTTGATAATCAGATGCGTATCTCGTTGATTGAATCATTGCCCCCAAGTCTGGCAACACCGGGTCGTCTCATTTCGCGGAAGCTAGAGGCAGTCGGAACTTATACATCAGGTTTGAAACAGACAACCCTCAATACAGCTCTCGCATTCATTGTCAAGCTTAGGCGCGCACACAAACGAAGCTGTCCCTTCAACATGTTCTCCGGGACATGGCAGTAATCGGTCCACAAGCTACGGGGGTATCTTTTTGCTTTTACCTTGCAGATCTGTTGCTGCTGCAGTCAATACTTTCCACTTCCGGTGCAGGTTAACAGCAGTAAACTTGCCGGCAATTACTAGCTACGGAAGGCTGAGAAGGTTCGGAAACCGCGGCAGGCATGCCGCCATACGCTTTACTGCAGCAATCAATCCAATCCCTTGCTGACACAGGCCAGACACACAGGACGCTCGCGGCCCTCATCGATCAGACACTTTTCCTGCACCGGCGCAGTCGCCATAGCTGCTAGCAGCCTGCAGTCCTCGCAAGTCGAAATTACATGCCATTATGGACGACAATGCTCTGCTCTGAATTCAACATGCAGGTGGATGTGAGAGGTGTGCAGAAGGAATCTGGAAGGGATCGGCAACAGAGCGACGTGGGGTTTGGATTGGTCATCTAACCATCTCACGAAATAATGTCCTTGAGTATGTATATAGCATACCCACCTACTCTAAACTGGATTTAACAAAGGGATTTCTGTATTTAAAGCTACTCTATAATATGCAAAACGTCTAGCTAACCCGCTAGGGTTAACATAATCCGTGTTCTATCTGCAAAACGGTTTGCTACATTATGGTCCGGACACAACAGACACATCAAGCAAGGCATACTGAGCAAAGTTCGCTAGGGCTCTTCTGCAACTTGATTACTCAACTTTGACTACTAACTTTTGCAATAGCCTACTATCTACGCTTCATTGGCAGCATTTGGATACATCACAAAATGACAGGTTCGCGCCAAGGTATGGAGAAGCACGTATAAACTGTTGTCCGCCAAGATTACTGCCTAAGGCCTGGTATCAGCCATAGATTCGTGTGCTGAACGGTGAACCTGAAATCAGGCCATAGAAACATACAAATATATGATCATACGGCCACGTTAACGTCTATAATTGTCATACATTTTTCTGCTAGATCAAGAATTCGGACGTCTTTATTTTGTCACTGCAAGCATTCAGATTTAGGGTTGGATTACTAGCATTTTCGTCAACTTGTGTCATTCTCGGACCTGCTTCCCCATACGTAGACTATCGAAGCAACCTGCATCGCGCATACAATAAAGTTAAATATATTGGTCAGTTTTGGGTCATCTAAATATGAGACATCATTCTCGTATTCCTAGGAAGCAAAGAAATGGCACTTTGGTGCTCTAGATGCCTAAATATTTAACGCTGTCGCTGCGATACGTTAATATGAAAAATGCCGCTGCATTTTTCCTTCCCCGAAACCCATGCCAGCCATTATGAGGTTCATTTTTTACACTCTGAGTATACTGTCATGGTGCAGCGCCCAAGCACAGGCAAAGGCAGTATTTGCCCACTTCATGGTATAGGGACCCTTCTTCCAGCTATACTACTACGCTGAATAGCCTGTTAACCATATAGTAGGTGGGAAACAGTGCCACATACTCTAATAAAGACTGGAAAAACGATATTCAACTCGCCAAAGATGCACATATCGATGCATTCGCGCTGAACATGGCCCATAACGAGATATTGAAGGATTCACTAGAAAAGGCATTCGCGACAGCTAAAGACCTCGACTTCAAACTCTTCTTCTCATTCGATTATGCCGGCAACGGCAGCTGGCCCATGGAAGATACCATCGATCTCATGAACCAGTACAAGAACCACCCCGCATACTACAAGTATGAGTCCAAACCATTCATGTCCACCTTCGAGGGCGCAACAAGTCCCGACTGGCCCGAGATCAAGAAGAATACCGACTCCTTCTTCATCCCCGACTTCTCGTCGATCGGCCCCGAAGCTGCCGCCAACAAAAGCTACGTCGATGGCCTGTTCAGCTGGGCCGCCTGGCCAAATGGCCCCACGCGCCTGAACACTTCATCAGATGATGCCTACAGGCATGCACTAGATGGCCGCCCCTACATGATGCCGGTGTCACCCTGGTTCTACACCAATATGCCGGGCTTCGGCAAGAACTGGGTGTGGCGCGGTGACAATCTGTGGTATGATCGTTGGCAAGAGGTGATATCTTTCCAGCCGGAGTTTGTCGAGATCATTTCGTGGAATGACTACGGCGAGTCGCACTATATTGGTCCCCTACATCCCAAGGGCCCTGTGTATGAGGCTTTTGATCGTGGAGAGGCTCCGTTCAACTACGTGATTAACATGCCGCATGATGGCTGGCGCACATTCTTGCCGTTCGTGGTGGCTCAGTATAAGAATCCCAACGCGACTATTCCTGTCGAAAAGGAGAATGTTGTTTCGTGGTATCGTCTGCATCCTAACTCTGTCTGCACTACCGGGGGAACTACTGGGAACTCTGAATCTCAGGGACAAATCGAGTATAAGCCTTCGGAGATTGTCGAGGACCGTATCATGTACTCGGCTCTTCTCAACTCCACGGCCGATGTTACGGTCACGATCGGAGGCGACAAGGTGGCTGGGAAATGGCAGCATGTTCCCAAGGACGGAAAGGGTATTTACCATGGCTACGTCCCGTTTACTAAGGTTGGCGAGGTGGAGGTGACCATAACCAGGGGTGATAAGAAGGTAGCTGGTATAACTGGGCAAGCTATCACCTCCGAATGTCCTAGCGAAGAGAAGGGGCTCCAGAATTATAATGCTTGGGTGGGTACCTCGGGTGGAGATCGCACGATGTTTGCCTCAATGGGCATGCGTATTTTCTCGTTGGGCGTGGTCATGTTTACTTTGGCAGGAGAGTTAAATGTTTTGTAATGTGATACCATACATATAGTTCATGAATCAAAGGTATGCTGTCGAGACAACCTAGAAGCATTGGTGTTCTTGGTTTCTACGGAAGTTATCAGCTGAATGCCACGATTATATATATAATCCATTCGAACTACCATGTCAACCACCAATCGAATATAATAATGAGCCAGCGCAAAAATTTACAAAAACATGCTCCTAGATCTTTCCACTTTAGAATCGAATCCGCGGTGATAATCTCTCATCCGGGACGCAGATTCTCACGAATCACCGTAAAGCCGGACAGAAACGGCTAGCGAATTGCACAAGCCGAAGCTCCAAGCACACCATCGGTAAAACGACATGAGTAGTTATTTCAACCCTCCGAAAATTTCACCGACACCAGCCAATCATTGCGTGGGATTCCCTCGATTTGAACGCGAGTAAATGCGGGGACGATATGACGAGCGGCCAAGCTTCTATCTACACCAATTGAATGCCTTCAAGAACAAACTATGTGAGGGGCACCGCCAGAACATCTGTTGGCTGATTGCTATGCGGAACAATCGGATTTAAGTAGAACGAAACAAGTCTATGAGACGGTGTGGGGACTGTCAGTATAACTTCGAGGTATTCTAGTCGTGGTTGGGAAATATATAGAGATGGTTCGATACCTCTGTCGGGGGTTGTTTTCATTTTTTTTCCAATTTTATCCAACTCCTAAGAAGTTGCTCTATGAACATTTTCTCAAAATACGGTCCAAGTTGATATACACGGAATATACAGACAAATCTTGATTCATCATGCCTACCGCCCTTGGGAATATCACTGCTTCAACACGAGGAGGCCACGATCAATCTCGTCCTCGCATCTCACAGCCCTTGGAATACTCCGGCTCTCTAGACACATACACCCATAATGACCTCACACCCGTTATCGGAAGAGAGTATTTTGGCGTTCAAGTCGCCGCGATCCTGAAATCAAACGAATGCGATCGCTTAATCAAAGACCTTGCTGTGACTAGTAAGTGGGAACATGCAACATCCAGTTTCTTGTCTGTCACAGTTATCTAACGAATAGTAGTCTCCAAGCGAGGTGTAGTCTTCCTACGCAACCAAGAACTAACGCCCCAAGAGATGCGACAGTTCGGTGAAAGGTTATCAGTTCTCGCAGGCTGCGTAGGTTTGAATTCAGCTGAAGATCGGTACTAAGCTAGCTGGCTGACTGGACAAACCAGCCCGAATCATCAGGATTACACGTGCACCCACTGACAGAAGAAGGAAGCGAGCTAGGGGACCAGATCAGCGTCATCAGCAGCGAGAAGCAGAAGAAAGGCGGCGGTCTAACACATCAGCTCAGCGACACGAGCCGGTTCGCCTCAGTAGGATGGCATACGGATATTAGTTTCGAGCGAGTACCATCCGACTACGCAATGCTGAAGATCCACACACTCCCGGAGACAGGCGGCGATACACTCTGGGCCTCGGGTTATGAAGTTTACGATCGTCTGTCGCCGCAAATGGCGGAGTTCTTGGAGGGTTTGACGGCGACACATGATGCTACGTTCTTCCATGAAGAGGCACGGAGATTGGGCAGCCCTCTACGCAAGGATATTCGGGGCTCTCCCCTTAACTCTGGCGAGGATCTCACCGCAGTTCATCCTGTTATCAGGACTAATCGTGCGTTATCCCTTCTGTCCTTTCCGCATCCGGATTTGGTATGACTCACATTACGATAGCGGTGACTGGGTGGAAGTCAGTATATGTGAACAAGGGTTTCACGCGTCGTATTAATGGGGTAACAAAGGACGAGTCGGACGTGTTGTTGCAGTATCTATTCAATGTGAGTCGAATAGGTAGCCTGATTATTGATGTGCATAGGCTGAGGACGTTAGCTTGTCACGCAAAACCACGACGCCCAGGTCCGGTTTAAGTGGAACAAGAATGACATGGCGATCTGGGACAACAGGTCGACCTGGCATTGTGCGACATACGATTATGCAGAAGCCCGAGCTGGTGATCGAGTTTGCAGTTTGGGAGAGGCCCCTTATCTTGACCTTCAGTCTAAGTCGAGGAGACAAGCTTTGGCCGAAAATCGAAGATAGCGACCATGTCGTAGGGTATCAGTATTGACTTGTTCTTCTGTAAATTTCGGGCAGATTTCAAATCTAGAGTGAGAAAACAGCATAATATCCAAATTGAACACTTATAAATAGTAATAAAAAAATTCATTGTAGATCGAGTAGATTATTAAAAGACATAAATATGAGAAATTCACAGCGCCATAACCCATGAGTCATTTTCAGGCCGCCATGTCCTTCCCAGCCAATCGAACTTAGATTAGAAGAAAACGAAGAAGCAAGAACGGGTAAATGGAGTGAAAAATGTAGATGCATTTCCAACCCAAATTCCAGCTCAGTCATGGATACAAGACGCAGGAGTGCATATAGGAAGAAGCGCTTTTGAACCATGAAATCACGCTTGGCATGGCTCAGACATCCGCATGTAGTTCCAGCAAACTACATAATATTAGTTGGTGTCCACAATGTATGCCCGGCAGTTAGTATGGTATGGAGGGAACTTACTTGTGTAGCCCATATCCTCTCCAAACAAAGTTCCTCTAAGCTCCTTGCCATGCTGAGTACCCTCGCCAGGGCTGTACGACACCGCAGTATGTCCCAGAGCTAGTCCGATGACGGGTGGGTGCTCCTGAAGTTTTAAAAACTCGGGCTTGACTTTAAAACTTTCTGATAGCATAAGCTGATAGATGTTGGTACCGGCATAGTGTCCCATGTGGATGGCACCTCCACAGCGCTTGATACCAGCCCACTGAGTAATATCACCAACCGCAAAGTGGTGCTCCGCATTGGGGACTGGGTTGGCGAATTGTAAGCTGTAGCATAGTTAGTTTCCATGCCAGAAGGCAATATGCAACAGCAGCTGTGGAAATAACGTACTTCGGGCGGATCTTAACGTAACCATCTTCATTCAAGGCATTCTTAGGCAGATACGATGATGTAGGTGAGCCCTTGGAAACGGCATTCATAATATGACCGGCCTGCAGTTTCTTCCCGTCTGCCAAAATTAGATTCCATTTACGCTTGCCGTCCTCTGCTTCCACTGCCGTGGTATCGATAACCCGTTGACCCAGGATCACCTCAACACCAGCCTCCTTAAGAATGGTGACGACGCGCTCCTTGAAATCATCTGGCAGGGGTTCTGCAGAAAGCAGACGATCGCGAGAGTGAACAAGCGTAACTTTCTGTTGGGAGTCGAGCTCCTTCAGCTCGGCTGCCATCTCAACCCCTACAGCACCTAGGTTATTAATGTTAGCTATCCTTCTTTTGAAATCTGATAAAGATGTGCATTACCTCCTCCGATGATGACTACGCCATCATGCGCATTCCGAATGTCTTCCTTATGGCTCAGAGCCTCCTTGAGAAACTCTTCTCTCTTTAAAGACTGTGGGACTGTGGGGAATACTCGACGAAGGCCTGTGCCGGCAATGAAGAAGTCGTACTTTTCTTGCCTTGTTTCCTTTGTTTCAAGGTCAAGGATCTGCGCAACCTTGTTTTGGAAATCCACATTATTGATACTACCGCGGACAATTTGCAAATTCGAAGATTTCAATGCAGGGATATCATTGAATTTGGTCCAAGTTTTCGAAGCGAACTTGTCGCATGCCAAAGCCTTGGGAGAGCCAATTAGGTGATCTTGGGAGGGGCAGATATCAGCAACTAGTTCTCCGGGTGAAATGACAGGGAATGCTCACAAAACCCATCCCTTTCATCTACAACAGTAATATGAATAGGGATTTGATGCTGAGGTGGTTTCGCATCTGCTATGAAGTTGAAGCGAGCTAGACGACCCTTGGAAAGGTCGATGAGCGTAAGAGCTGCACTCAATCCACCATACGAGCCACCGGCAATCAAGACACGGAACTGGCGAAGAAGAGGGGTAAGGGCTTCGTTGGAGGGCATCTTGAGAACAGTCTACAAAGGCAACTTTTGAATTAATATAGGACAGGTTAAGAAGGCGGAGGGCAGGAACAGAGGGAGAATCAAAACGCTAGGTTAAAAAGGAGGGAGGGGACGTTGTTCTTTTAAGGTCCGTGACAGCGACCGGACTGGTGCTGCGCCTACATTGGCGAAATAGATCCGAAGCCAAGGAGTAAGATTTCGGGAGTAGTGGAGCTAATGGAGGTTCCTATATTGAACGAGTATGAAAGGATTCATTGTCCCCAGAGGCCAAGAAAGCAGGGTAGGATTATGCTATCACTGAGACAATGCTAGCACGTTAGCAGTAAACGTCTATTTCAAATTGTTTCAACATTCAAGCCTAAGAGGGGTAGAAGTACCTGATAGAATGGGGTCCTAGCATAGGAACTATAGTATGTATTAATTGATGTGATGGAATGGAATATCTCGCTCACTACAAATCAGATTGTCGCGCCATGCCGGATCCTGCCTGGAGCCGAACTTTACTAGTATCTTATCAGATGCTGGATAGAAAACGATTGCGGGTTGGTCAGTTAATTTGAATAATAGAAATCCAGCGAAGAGAGTGGAGTCGATTTTAATAAATTATTATTACCATGGAGAGCAGCTAAGAGACAAAAATAAACTTGTACCCAGCAAAGAGGAGGATTCGGAGGAGCGGAGCTCCTCCGAATACGCCATCAAGTTGTGGATGATCCGCCAAGACGAAACAGGGCTACAGTTATCTGATCCGAGAAACACCTCTCCATCACACCCAGCCCCTGGAAAAGAAAGAATTTTTTTTTTCTTTTTTCTTACTTTCTTTGCCCGGCTCACGGTGTCTTGAAGCTATTCAATCCTAGATTTGTGTTTCAGGCCCTACATCTGTACACCTTTCGAGAAAACATGGACCAGGATGGGTTCATAGATTTATTGAAATGGGTGAGTTCTCCTTGCGACAGTCAAGCAATATCCAGTATGGGCCACGGAGTAAACTGGTCGACACAATCTCACCTCATGGACTGTTTAACAGGTACACCCCGATCGGTCAAGCAACCGTAAGAATAGACAAGGAGATATTGTCTAGACATGCAGATTATACTTTATGTATGTATAATGTACAGCACGTCTATGGGTATGCAGCCCCTTTATATTCTTTATGAATGATCTACCCGCTAGAATACCACCCCCAAACCTAGCACGTCCGGATGGTCATCTTAATTATCACATGTGGGACTTGCCTTTGCGGGCATAAGAAATTTAGAAACCTCAAACAGTCCCTGCAGACGACGAACAAGTTACTCCTATGACCTTGAACTATACCCACGAAGCTACAAGAGAAACACAAGTATACGTGAATAATGATGCAAAGGAAAAGATTTTATTCGAGTGACATCAACGCCTAAGATATTGATAGCTTGCAGGAGTTAGGTGTTGGATTTTTGTTCCGGGCATGTGCAGGATACTAAGAATGAGAATCCACTTCTCGTCAAACTGCGTAGAAAACAGTTCTAATGTGTTCTGCTTCGGTACGGTTCCAAATGCAGTGCGCCATTTACGGAGTGTCTCGAGATAGACACGAAAATAGTCTGTGGGTCACTATCGAAATTGTCGGAAAGAAATTTTGCTTTAACAGTGGACTGGCACTGGCTCGTGGAGCTATTGCTATAATAGGGCTAGTTCCACCTGAGAAATCTTGTATCGTTTATGTATTACGGGGGCCGCATCAAACTTACCATACTCTGATACATACCATACGCTATGGCTTGCAGCATCATTTTGCATACCTCATAAATACAACCATTTGCTCTCTACCCTCAAAATAAGTGATCTCCACAAGGTATGCGTACATTGCCTAGTCTGGAACTTGGCCCATGCTGCAGCATATATGCATGTTCCCGAGTATCGGAAGAATACCGAGCATTTTCACAGATGCAGGCAGGAGCTTCCGGAGCCATCTTTATGTAGTGAAGAATCTATGGAGTGGATGTAAATGTAGCTATCTTATAGTCCTTAGGTCGCTCTTGCTCGACCGAATGAGCCCTACAAAACTATAGGAACACTTCAAGCTGTCTCAAGGCAGAATTGACTCACGCAACTCTAGCTCTGACGACACCCCTGGGCATATGAAGGAACCACACTCCCGGAAAAGCTGCACGACTAGTTCAATTTCACCAAAGTATTACATACAACTCAATGTGATCATCAATGGGGGAGTAGCTCCGTGTAGGCACGTACCCAGGGGAACCAACAAACTCATCCTACGTGAATTTTGAAAGATAGACCAACCTTGCAACTGATTTGGAGCGCTGTCTGTGTATATATGCCATCTAGAGATTGTAAATGGAGCTTGGGGATGACCCAGAGCTACCAAAGGCTACAATAAAACCAGGCCCTTGGAACAACAGGGTACGTGATAAGGAAGGCCGACTAGCGCTTATCATATCACTGACCTAGGGAAAACTACAATGTTTTACTACATATTCTTGCATTGCTGTATGTACACTCTTTGCTACGTCAGTTTTCATGAAATGCTGGTGGATCTATCGGCAGTTGATACGAATGAAAATAGAATTATTTACTTGACCTGGTATGAAGAAGTGGATCATTTTCCAATTTTTAAGTAAATTCTTCTGCCTTTCTTTTCTTTTTTTGCTTGTTCTTTTCCTCTTTGTCTTTCCTTTCCGGTATTAAGCGAACCAAGAGAGCATAGATCTCCGCACTTTGATTAAATTTATCTGATCCGTAATTTCTGACTTTATGTGTGACAGGATATGATACTACAGGCACTTAGGTAAAAATTGATGCGCAGCCGAGACCGGAGCTAGAATTTTCTTTTATATGAGTAAAATGAATGAAGTTTAGAGATACAAGTGGGGGCCTTCAGCAAATTTTATCCCGTGTAAATTGGGAATGCCCTGTGCCCTAATAAAACTTCCTTGGCAATCCCATCTGATTAGATGATTGTCTAATCTGATTGATCGTTATCATTGGCACCCATTGCGAATGGCCCCCGCCGAACCCCCACTATTACTCTTTCTTTACTCTTCCCGCTCTTTGTTTTTTTCTTTACCCGGGATTTCTTCTTGATTTTACTACGAGACTTTATGGATCACCACTATCGGACGTTCAGGCGGGGCATTTCATCGTCTGATTGGGCAACTCTTCCTCAAATCTCCGAAATGGCTTTGCTTCCCCTCTCGGACTTCTCTACGGGTCATTCATTTATTTGCACGGAAGTTTCTGTTTCTAGTAGGCATTCCCTGCATTGACATGGAACCTCGTAGTCTATAACCGAAAATCAATTACTACTAGGGTATTCATCTAGCTATGTACAGTTCTATATCGTGCTAATGGCAGAAGAAGCCTCCTTAGTTTGCTTTCGCACGCAGTTCCAGCACATTTGCCGCAGCCTTCCGCAAATCCACCTTCCGGACCTTCCCACTGCCCGTAACAGGAATTGTCCGGTCCACACCCTCCTCGCCGAATATGAACACATGCTGTGGAGCCTTATGACGACCCAATTTCTCGCGTGTCCAAGCCCGTAACTCTTCGTCCGAAGGTCGCTTGTCCTCGTAACCGGGAGCGAGGGCGATGAATGCCCCAACCACCTCACCGTACTTGTGGTCAGGAATGCCGATCACCGATGCAACTTCAATAGCCGGGTGGCTGGCCAGGCGCTCCTCGATTTCTAGCGGATAAATATTTTCTCCACCTAAGGTCATGACCTTCTTAGCCATAACCATTACGGTATTATTTGTAGATAGAGTTTGAAGAAAACATCAAAAGGATACTTACCGCGTATGATGATATCTTTGAATCGGCCAGTGATGGTGCAGCGGCCTTGTGGGTCGAAGATGGCCTCATCCCCTGTTTTCAACCACGTGGTGCCGTCCGCATCGGTGATGAGCGTTTCGGCGGTCTTTTCTGGATTATTCCAGTATCCTTTTGTCAGTTGGTAGCCCGCCATGCATAGTTCGCCTCGTTGGCCAACCGGGACGATGTGGCCTTCTCCGTCGATGATCTTTGCCTTCGCATGAGGCATCACTTTGCCTACTGTTCTTAGGCGTGTTTCGATGGTGTCTGTTGTAACTGCGTTGAAACATGTTGGTGATGCTTCTGTTAGGCCTGTATAGCCGTTAGTTAACTTGGTAATGCATATACCATATTCAAACACGCACCGTAGCTGCTAGTGTATTGTGTCATGTTCAATTCTTTGAATAATCTCTTCATCAATGGGCGTGGAACAGGCGCTCCAGCGATGATTCCGGTGCGCAGGTTGCGTGTGTCGAAGTTCGGTGGCTTGGGGAGGCTCAGGATGGCTTCAAACATAGTCGGCACGCCATGGAGGGCGGTGCATTTCTCATCGGAGATTGCGTGGAGAACTGCATTTGGATCGAACGTCTCGCTAGGGAAGACGATCTTTGCTCCATGTGTGACAACCGCTAGCATACCAAGAACGAGACCGAAACAATGGAACAGAGGTGGGGGACAGCAGAGGACATCAAAGGATGTAAAGTCCATTCGGTCTCCAATGAAGCGTGAGTTGTTAACAAGGTTACTGGAGAGCGCGGTCGTGTCAGCCTTTGGGGAACTATAGCATTCTCTGGAGTATTTCCGACGCATGGTAGATTGCGCTCGGGGTATACATACTGATGGGTCAGCATCGCCGCTTTGGGGTTTCCGGTTGAGCCGCTGGTAAACTGTAGATTACAGACATCGTCGGGTCTCAATTGTGCCTGGCGATCCAGCAACGCATTTCTCGAAACCGATAATCCTCTTTGATGAACGCTGTTGTATGTTGGGAAGTCCGAGTGTTCACCCCGCAAAATGACGATCTCTTCCAGGGCAGCTGATGATCCTTTCCGCTTGGGATAAGGGCCCAGTTTTGAGAGAACCTCCTCTAGTGAGTGACGGCCAATGCGAGGCGTCATAAATAACAATCGGCAATCTAGATGTTAAAATAAAGCATTAGCACGTAATCTTAATAGACATGGTAGACAATGCAGGTACCTGTATGTTCCAGAGCATAGTAGAGCTCCGAGGGCGTGTAAGTATTATTGAGCACCACTAAAACAGCCCCAACACGCGCAGCAGCAAAGAAAACGGAAATATATTGTTCGCAATTGCCGGCCATAATTCCCACACGATCTCCCTTGTGAATACCCATAGCCAATAGACCCCGAGCCAGACTATCTGCCTCATCATTCAGGTCGGAATATGTCCATCGAGTTCCAGTCCATGGAAACACAAGGCACTCATGTTCGCCATACTGAAGATTCTGTAATGCGAGTAACTCTCCAAGAGTGATATCTAGTAGGGGGGGTTGTGTAGGGCCATAGACAATTGAGAGTTGTTCAGGCACCTTTGGCGGCTGAATATGGGATAAAGTCTGCTGCAGACGTCGCGTAGCTGCCATTGCGAAATTTGCTTGGTACCGGACAAACTAAGGATTCCAACCAAAAAAAAAAAGCCAACCCGAGGGCCACGGCAGCTCATTAATATAAGCGTCGTACTCTGGTCCCTCAAAACACCTCGGGATTCAGTGATTCTGCCTAGATCCTTCTCGGCGCTCAATCAACGCCTCTTTTACTATTCGGGTCTCGCTAACCGAAGCAGAAATGAAGTGTGTCACTACTTACTATATAACTGGTTCCATTGACTACGTTTATCCACTTAGGATCCATTCCACGCAACAAGGTTGTCCGAGGGGCTAGATCCTCTTTTCCCCCCATTGTTATTACGTTCTTCTAGCCATGATTCTAACTAAATTCACACTGCTTCCTCTTGAAAGCGCGCGCAGAAAATTTTCCACATCTCAGCCTTAGCGTTCTTTCTCCACTGGTGGCGGACCTGTCCGACAGAATTTACTGGTGGGGAAAGATCAGATAACGGTAGCTAACGGGGGCTCGGAACATCGAACTGCAAACCAGACGGTTCCGACTTTTTACCAAAGCGACGTAGCCCCTCCATATGACTCGTCCGTTATTATTCATAATATTCTCGCTTCTAATTACTAGCCTAGGCTCAATATTAAGGAATCTAAGACATTTCGAAACGCAGACAAGTACTGCGAAGACTAAACAGTGGGCTACGCAATGCATAGGAATAAACTGACATATATATGCTGAAACAAATTGACAGCAGAGAGCCTCGGTCGTGCTTAATATGTTTATCCTAACGAAATGTCTCACCATTGACCGCATACTCATGCATGTTCTTATGAGCAAAGAGAAATGATAGGTTCATCACGCCAAGCTGACATTACTAGCCGAGCTGACACAAGGCGCAAATACACTATATGACTGGACTATTGGTCTTGTTTTCCTCGGTAAATAGAAAATTCAATAAAGAAGAGAAGAAATAAAGAAGTACTTGACGAGATAAGACCGTTTATTCGATTCATTGCCGAAGAACTGTCATTATGTCCTGCGCTTCATGACGGAACTTGCCGCCATATCTCCGCCTGTGTTAGCTACAAAAAGCCATGCCGTATTGCTTCAGGGTCCCTTGGACTCGGCATTGACTGCCCTATGCTACAAGGATCGACTCTTACCCTTATTACTGGTACACAGTACAGGGGATATAGTCCTTGGAGGGACCTGCCATCTCGTTTGACCTATTATCTAGGGGAATGGAAGAGCGACTAAGAAGACCATACCTTTACAATCCCCAACTCTGAGCAGTGATAGTTGTATACTTTTCTCCTCTTACATACCGTACAAAACATGATAATTGAAACGCTCAGGGTTGCTTCTCAGTGAAAGGGTATGTGATGTCTTCTGGCGTGCATCATCGCCCTGACACGTACAGTGGCCCTGTAGCTTAGGAAAGCGGATTCGAGAAATAAAAGCTAGAGCTTCCAGGAACGATCGTCAGATCTCAATGCACAGTAGGTTTCAACACAGAGAAAGCCAGATAAAGAGATGATGAAAATATTTCAGTTTCGGGTACTGTCATGAATACCGTACGGAATATACAATACTAGCCCGCACATTATGGATCTAATCAGATGATCTAATCAGATAAGTTGGCCGATGACCGGAGAAATTCGCACTGTTTTGTCCCCCACTTTGATTGGCGCGTCTACCGCACACATTCGGTGGTGTCACCCACAATTCTTTTGCAAATCCTGCACATCACAATCAATACCATTGTAATTACCGCGGTAGTCAGTTCGGTAAACCCCCACTATTGTCATGTCTTGCCCAATGAAGTTGATGCTGAACCCTTGGGTACCACGAATGACGCCGCAGCGATCACTCTTGGCTGTTCCTGAGTTTGCTGCAGAATGTGGCTTTTTAGCTGCAGTCGCAGAAATATCTTGCTCTATAATTCTTTAAAACACCCCCGCCCGCACCAGCTGTGACATTCATTCCTTTGTAGGTGCGCAGGTGCAGACCCTTACATGAAAGTAAGACGAGTTCTGTATTCGCAGGTGAGTAATCGCTATAACCCCGCACCACTAAAGCAATGTCTGGCGAAATCACGAGCGATGAGGGGCATAGAAGCTCCGCGGACTCAACCTGCGACAACTCCCATTCTCTAAGCAAAGGCACCTCTTCCAAATCCATGGCTGAAATACTGCCCATTACCAAGGTGCCAGCCTTGGATACGATCGATCAATACGTTGTCAACAGATCGGTCGACCGTCCTATAGCCAGAAGTCCCTCCGTGGACCTGTTCTGCAATTCGGAAATTCAGGACGTCACCGACGGCATTATCCAGGGCTACGCGAGGTTTGTCTCTGGTTTCACCGGGCTTGAGGATGTCGCCTTCTTTGTATCTCGCTCCTCGCCCTTCGTGTCGGGCACAGAACATGTACGCGGGGTTATCCGTGCATCCTTCCTTGGTTCAGGTAAGGATGAGCAGGGGAAGGGTCAACACAAGTGCGAAGTACGCGAAGTAGATCAACGGTATTACAACAAGGAAGATGTCCAGTTTTCGTTGACCCTAGGACTGGATGCCGGGCTTGAAAATAGCGAGCTGCAACCTAGTGCGCCAGGAAATGTCGGTCTTCTATAAAAGTGCTTGCCGTAATCTAGTTCATCGACTAACCAGCCAGTAGGGATTTGACGTGAGAGTTCTATCTACTGCGAATAGCGGCGTTCTGCGAATCGATTTTACCTACCCGACGCGACAGTTCCCGGATACTGCAATCTCTCAACTTTTGAAGACGCTCGCTTCTTACTTAGCCGACTCCTCTACATTCCTTAGCCTCGAGATACCTCCTCCGGAACTTTCGGTCATTAATTTCCCTCCACTCACGATACCCCCTACCCGGGACAATGAACAAAATGAAGCTGTTACGGTCGAAAGTTCAAGGCCGTTCCTTCTTCACGCTGCTTTCGAGGGCTGGGCCCGTAGAAAGCCTAATTCCATAGCGCTTGATTTTGTACACTCTTTATCATCTGCAGAGTCACCTGCAGAGCACAGCATTCTTACTTATGCCGCTCTTAATACTGCATCTTCGAATCTGGCTGCACATATACGAACTCATTTGTCCAATGACGGTCATTCATGTGGCAGGGGGCGCATCATTCCTGTCTATATGTCGACGTCCCCCGAACTCTATATTTCCTACCTCGGTATCCTGAAGGCCGGCTGTGCGTTCTCTCCGATTCCTCAAGACGCCCCCGCCCAGCGAGTCCAAGAGATTCTCCAAGACATCGGTTCTCCCATTATCCTTGGCAATATGCCTGAGCCATCCTTTGGGCCGTGGCGTGCGGAAATCCCAGAAGCTGAAGCAACTACTCATACATGGGTTGACGTTGCAGAAGTTTCCAGGTGGAAGGAGATGCGAGGGGATCAAGCCCCTCTCACAGCTCCCCATGAACCTCTCGTGCAGCTGGATATCAATGAAAACCAGACCGCTTATCTCTTGTTCACCAGTGGCTCTACCGGAAAGCCCAAGGGTGTTCAAGTAAGCCATTTGGCAGTTACCTGCTCTATTGAGTCCCATGCTACAGCTATTCCCCTCCCTGGTGATTCTGTGGGGGACTTTCGCTGGTTCCAGTTTGCATCGCCAACATTTGATCCATCCCTTATGGAAATCTTTGTGACCCTAAGCAGTGGCGCTACTCTTTGCTCTGCCTTTCGAAGTTTAACCTTAACGGATTTGGAAGCAACCATCAATGAAGCCAGAGCAACTATAATGATGGCCACTCCGAGCTTGGCTGCACTCCTTCGACCTTCGCGTTTGACAACTCTCCGGTCGCTTTGGACTATGGGAGAGAAGCTTAGTCGAACAGTTATCGAGAACTTTTCTGAGAAGAAATATCCTAATGGGGAAAATGGCTCTTCAAGACCGTCGACCATGTTGGTCAATGCGTATGGTCCCACCGAAGGTGCTATTAACTGCACCTTCCTCGCCCCAGTCGACTATTCCACCCGTGGTTCTATTATTGGAAAGCCGCTACCGACAAGCTCAATGTTCATTCTGGATCCGAATAGTTTCGTGCCTAAGGCTGTACCCTGTGGTATTGCTGGAGAGCTGGCTCTAGGAGGTCCACAAGTCAGTAAAGGCTACTTGAACCGTCCTAAAGAGACTGCAATGTCCTTCGTTCACAGCCCCGACTTTGGTTACCTTTACCGCACAGGTGACATGGCCCGAGTTGTTTGGGATGAGACTGGCTCCCAGGTCATCGAGTTCCTTGGCCGTATTACCTCTGACCAAGTAAAGCTCAGTGGTCGCCGTGTGGAACTTGGTGAGATAGAGTCAGTCCTTTCCACTGTGAGCAGTATTACAGAGGTTGTGGCGGTAGTATCCCAGAGGGACTTAAACGTACTGGGCAGTGAACAGATCTTCGCGTGCTTAGTAGCAGAAAATACGTCCGAAGCCGAAAGACTCGAAATCGTGCGAAAAGCGCAGCAGTCCACACAGCAACATCTCGCGTCCTACATGTGCCCGGCTGCATATATTTTCTTCGACTCTCTTCCCAGATCTAGCTCTGGGAAAGTTGACCGCAAAGCCATATCTACCAAGCTACAGCAGGGCAGTGCCAAACTTATCTCTACCCCGAAATTCGAAACTTCAATTGATTCGCAAGATGGTTGGGAAGCCGAAGATGAACGCACACAACAGGTGCAACAACTGGTAGTTCGCCTCATCGCAGAGACATCAGATGAAGAGGTTTCCGTTATCAAACCTGGATCTGATCTCTACTCTTTGGGAATTGACAGTCTTGGCGCGATGCGACTGTTACAGAAGTTGCGAGACAACTCTATCGAAGGCCTGTCTGTAGGAGATGTACTGCGGTCTGAAACACCCAAAGGATTGGTTTCAATCATCGCAAAACCTCTTGCAGCAACAAACGGTATCAATAAAAACTCTCTTCTAGCAAATGGCTCGGTTAACTCTTTAAAACAAAGGCTTGAATCGTTCAGTACCAGGAACCAATCGGTATGCGCGGAGAGGCTCGGTCTAACCTCAGACAAGATCCAGAAATTCTTGCCTGCCACAGCAACACAATCTGGTATGTTGACCAGTTTTCTGCGCAGCTCATCGGATAAGTCGTTCAGTAGTCGCTCGTACATCTATCATTCTGTCCTTACACTTGAGGCTGCAGTCGATCTCGACCGCATACGAAAGGCGTGGGACAAGGTTACCGCGAACTATAATTCCTTCCGGACAGTTTTCTGCTGGCTTGATGATGATATGGCTCCTTTCGCACAATGCATCTTGGCTACTAATGCAGTCCCGCAGCCAGATTGGAATGTTTATGATATCAGTGAAGGCAATTTGGGGAAAGAAGCTCTCGACAAGGCTTTGCAAGACGCAGAAGAGACAATTAACTTGGGCACGCCTCCTTGGAAGTTGTCTCTGATCACATCACCAGAAAAGTCGCTCATAATCTTGAGCATGTTTCACGGAATATTTGATGGTGGCTCGTTGCAACTTCTTCTAGAGGATGTGTCTTCTGCTTATAGTGGCAAACCTCTAGCGAAAAGAACATCTCTGGAACATATCGTGGAACATCATTTCGGTGCTGATCATGCAGCAACTTCTGTCTTCTGGGAAAAGCACTTGGAGCACTATTCGCCACTTTCTTTTCCTTCTGTTACGTCTTATCGGGCTCCTTCAGTGAAAACAGCAGATTGCGTAGAAATTACCGCGCGCCTCAGCTACGACAGCTTGAAAAGAAATTCAAAGAATATCGGGACAACCCCACTCTCGGTACTTCAAGCAGCTTGGGGCTCCGTTCTGCTCGCCTATACGGGAACACCAGACCAAGACATTGTGATGGGTAGTGTGGTTTCTGGAAGACTGGATCTTGAATCAGAAATATGTATTGGTCCGACATTTACTATTGTTCCCGTCAGACTCGCCCTGAACCAGATCCCAAAAGATAGCAGAGGCACTTGGACAAATAGATCTGTCGCCCGCCACCTATCATCATTCAATGCCAAGGCGCTGTCTCACTTGCAAACTCGTCTGGGGGAATTTGGGAAAGGAGACGGTCGATTGCCGTATGACACGCTCATCATGTATCAAGACTTCAGTGCTGGGTCAAGTGCCAGTGAGATTTGGAGATCAATAGAACACCCACCGATGATGAACGACTTTGGGGTCATGATTGAAGTTTGGCCTGGAACCAATTCATCTTTGACCCTCCGTGCTAGTTTCAACCATGCTCTTCTTGACACAAAATCAGCCGAGGTCATGCTGAGACAGATGGATGATATCACTTCATTTATACTTGAAACACCGGAGGGAAACTTCCTGGATGCTCCATTTCAAACTAACTCTGAACTGAAGTCAGCCTCCAATCCAATGTCAACTCAGGTCCCAGAAGTGTTAGAGGGGGCGCTTATTCATTCTCGATTTGAGGAGCATGCACAGTCCCATCCGGAGGACACAGCGCTGGTTTTCATGGGCGACTTGGAAGACGACAGCAACCCATGTAACATCTCGTGGACATATGGAGAGCTCAATGCAAGAGCTGATAATCTTGCTGAATATTTACTGCAAATCACTGGTTCACTGACAAATAAGATTGTGCCGATATGTATTGAGAAAAGCCCTGCCATGTATGTCGCTATCCTAGGAATTCTCAAAGCTGGCGGTGCTTGGTGTCCAATTGATACTTTCTCTCCTGCACAGCGTCGCCATGATCTTATTGCTCGAACGGGCGCCAGGATTCTCCTTGTGTCTAATATTGACGGTGGTCAACCTGAAGGTTCCGTTCCAGCCGGGGTCGATGTCGTCGATGTCGGCCAATTTGCAGCAAATGATTCTACCGTACTGGATAGTGTGAGGCGTCTTGATACTAGGCAAAGAACATGTCCAGACGGTACAGCATACCTGATCTGGACCAGTGGCACAACTGGAGCGCCCAAAGGTGTTCCTATCAAGCATTCTGCTGCGGTGGCATGTATGAAATCGCTTCGCAAGGATATCCCCACCAATGTACAAGGCGGTGTCGTCCGATGCTTGCAGTTTTCGCAATATACTTTTGACGTGTCCATTCAGGACTTCTTCTACGCCTGGAGTGTAGGAGGAGTTCTCATCTCTGCCACAAGAGAGATAATGCTCGGCTCGTTCTCCAAACTGTCAAACATCACCAAGGCGACTCATGCACATCTCACCCCTGCATTCGCAGCAGGTGTCTCTAGAAAGAGTTGCGAAACGCTTGAGGTGATAACCATGATTGGCGAGAAGCTTACGCAGCAAGTGGCCGATGATTGGGGCACTAATATGCGTGCCTACAACACATATGGTCCCGCCGAAGTAACGATAGTTTCCACTATCAGGGAGTTCGGAAATGAACATAAGGATGTCAAGAGCGCAAACATTGGCTGGCCTATGGATACCGTATCTGTTTTTGTGACAAAGGATCAACGCATGGTGATAAAGAATGCTGTTGGCGAGTTAGCATTGGGTGGCCCCCAGCTCTCGCCTGGCTATTTGAATCAAGAGGATGTCACGAAAGCAAAATATGTTTGGAACGAGGAAGCATCCCAGACATTGTATTACACCGGTGATTTGGTTCGCATGCTTTCTGATGGCTCTCTTGAATATCTCAACCGTGTCGATGATCTGGTCAAGCTCGGTGGTATTAGGGTTGAGCTCAGTGAAATTACTTTCGCTCTTGGAGGCTGTCACCCTTCTGTTGAGAACATAGAAACACTCATCCTCAGCCGTCCTGACAGACCCACGAAGGTGGTGGTTGCTTTCCTCTCTGCACCTGAGGCAGCCTCTACGGAACATGACCAGCTGTTGGTGCTCAATGATGCTGCACTTGAGATAGCTCGTGCTGCCAGTGGTAAAGCGCACAGTGTCCTTCCTGACCACATGATCCCATCTGTTTATTTGGTTGTAAAGAATATTCCAAGAACACCGTCTGCCAAGACTGACCGACGGGCTCTACAAGCAGCGTATGCCGCTATTGATATCGACCATTGGGAAGGCCAATTGAACCCTGAGAATGCGGCTTCTGAAGAATCTGAGAGTGAGGTCGACACAACTACAACCAAGAAGATTGTCGGTATGATCGCATCTGTCGCCAACATCTCTTCGTCAATCATCACCATGGTCAATAGACTTCGAAGTTTGGGTATCGATTCAATTCGCGCTATTTACCTTACCTCCAGGCTTAAAAAGGCTGGGTATCAACTGTCTATGATCGAAGTACTCAGCTGTGTTACCGTAAAAGACCTGCTAAAGTTAGCAGCTTCTTCAAACAACGCCGGTAATACAACTTCTGAGACATTTGATCTGGAGAAGTTTAATGACACATGGCATACGTTAGCAGCGGAAAAAGTGCAAGAAGATTTCCGTACTATACGTGCTACTACAATTCAGGAAAGCTTGCTTAGCGAAACAATGGGTACATATAATTTGTACTGGAGCAATCATTTCTTCTCCCTGGATCCCTCGGTGGATCTTGTCCGATTGAAGCAAGCTTGGTTTGCTGTCTGCCAAAAGACTGAGGCATTGAGAACTGGCTTCATCCCTGTGGCTGAGGTCGCCAACAGTGGCCAAGATAAACTTGACTTCTCTATTCTGCAGTTAATTTATAAGTTGCCTTCTCTGGATTGGGAAGAGCATAAATGCGCAGGACACGATTTGAGTGCGTTGCGCGACAATCGAATTGAGGATATTATGACCAGACACCAAAAGAACTATTTCAGTCATCCACCGTGGGCTGTTACTGTAATCGAAAATGGCAATGAGAGAATCATGATACTTACCATACACCATTCTATTCATGATGAACCTTCCCTTGGTCTAATCATGAATGATGTGCGATCCGCTTATACGTACAAACCACCCTCGAGGCACCAGCTTAGCAACGCCCTTTCGATTGTTCTTCCAGACGATAAGAGAATTCTTGAGACTCGTAGCTTTTGGCAGTCCGAGTTGAAAAAGTTTTCAGAACTAGATACTCCAGTGTGGCCTGACCTTACCGGAAAGAAAGTGGAATCGGGAGTTGAACAGGAGTATGAACTCATTTCAGAGGAAATACCCTTGACAGAAAAGACTACTAAGCTTCAATCTGCTGCGGCTCAGCTGGGTGTGTCATCTATTGCCTCAATTATACGAGCAGCGTGGGGTTACGTCTCGATTTGCTATCTCGGAATTCCAGCAGCCGTTTTTGCTGAAACCCTTTCAGACCGCGTGTTACACCCAGACCTTGAGGGCGGAGTTGGTCCATTAATTTCCGTCGTTCCCATACCTTTTTACCCTCAAGGAAGTGCACGCGAGCTTCTTAGAGAACAACATCGAATCTCTATCAATTCTTGGAAGTATCGCCATATTCATGCTCGTGATGTTCGAAAGATGCTCAATCGACCAAGGGGTGAAGCATTATACCCAGCTGTTTTCAACTTCCATGTAGCCAGTGAAACCACGGTCTCTGCTCAGCCTCAAATTTGGCAGGAGCTTGAGGACCAGATTGGGTTACACGTTGAGCATCCTATGGCCATGAATGTATTCCAACATGCGGACGGTGCACTGTCCTTAGAGGCTTCTTCGGATAGCCGCCTGATGAGCCGGGAGCAGTTATTGCTGTTTGTTCGTCAGGTCGATGGCTTTGTCAGTGCCATGTTGGCATTCCCCGACAAAGCATTGGCAGACCTCGTGAATCATCTGCCGACAGTTCAGAAGTCTATCTCCACTAGACCTGTTTCGGAGCCTGTCCGTAATTCAGTCCACACTAATCCAACCTACTGGTTAGAGAAGAATGCCAAAGAACATCCAGAATGGACTGCTGTAGAAGTCGCATCTCACATAGCACCTGATGGTATTGTGAAGGAGGCTTGGTCTTACGATACACTTAACATGGAAGCAAACCGTGTGGCCGCCTACATTGCCTCACAAGGACATAAAAATAGGGTGATTGGTGTTTGCTGTGAACGAAATCTCTCTTCATATCCCATAATCATTGGCATATTCAAGTCCGGGAATACCTACCTTCCCATAGATGAAGGCCTTCCAATTGAACGGAAGTCATTCTTGTCCGAGGATGCAGATTGCCCCATTGTCTTCACCGAGACACAATTCTCGCCGTCATTCTCCCAGGCCCCTGAAGGATGCCGTGTTATCTGTGTTAATGACTCTTGCTTCCAAAGATTGGTGGAAACAATGCCCTCTGAGGACCGGGACTATCAATCTCATCCAGACGACCCTGCATATCTTCTGTTCACGTCTGGTTCCACGGGTAAACCAAAAGGTGTGTTGGTCACTAGGGGCAATCTGTCGTCCTTTATAGAGTCTTTCGGGGAGTTCTGTGTTGAAGCGGCTCCTGACACCCTAACTCTGGGTGGCACTGGCAGGTATCTCGCACAGGCGAATAGAGCCTTTGATCCTCATCTTTTGGAAATGTTCTTCCCGTGGCGCCATGGAATGACAACGGCGACCGCTCCTAGAGCCATGATCTTGAACGATATCAAAACAACACTTTCACAATGGGAGATTACTCATGCAAGCTTTGTGCCATCACTGGTAGATCAATCAGATGTGCGACCAGAGGACTGTCCCAAATTGAGATTCATGACTGTCGGTGGTGAAAAGATCTCCAAGAAGGTATTGGACACATGGGCTGAATCTCACATTGCACTTGTAAATGCATATGGCCCAACCGAGGTGACAATTGGCTGTACGTTCGCTCATGTTAAGAAAGAGACAAACATGCGAAATATTGGACCACCATTAACTGCCTGTGTTTGCCACGTTATGATCCCTGGCACAATGGACTACGCTCTCAGAGGCCAAACTGGAGAGCTGGTCTTTAGTGGCGATCTTGTCGGCAAAGGGTACCTCAACAGGCCTGATGCCGCTGGATTTGTCACGGGATCTAACGGTGAGAAAATGTACAGAACTGGAGATATGGGCCGTCTGATGCCAGATGATTCAGTGGAGTACCTTGGACGTGGCGATGACCAAACCAAGATTCGTGGGCAAAGGCTGGAGCTAGGAGAGGTCTCTGAAGTGCTCCGTTCTTCCTCACCCATCCCTATTACTGTTGTTACCACTATTGTTAAGCACCCAAGTCTCTCACGAGTTCAGCTTATATCTTTCATCACGCGATCTGATACTCGTCGACATCTGAACGAGAGTGCTACCTTTGTACAGTCCGATTTCGCAACCTTGGGAAAGGATCTCCAGGACACCCTCAAAAAGAAGCTGCCAGCATACATGGTTCCTGAACTTATCCTACCCGTAACGTATATCCCGGTGGCACCAATGTCCGGGAAGGCAAACCTCAAGGAGCTTCATGCTCTATTCATGAATCTCCCTCTTGCAGCCGTTCTTCGGGGGAACAACTCTATCAATAAAGACGGTATTGTCGTCAGTCGTCCTTTGACCACTGACGAAGAAGCTTTGGTGAAGGTGGTCTGCGCCGTTATCTCGTCAGACCCTTCGACCATTGGCCCTATGACAAATATCTTTGAGATTGGTCTAGACAGTCTGAGCGCCATAGGTCTTTCGATCAAACTCCGAAAGATCGGCTATGAAGCTACAGTCGCTCTTGTCATGAGCAACCCGGTTATTGAACAGCTTGCACGTTTGCCAAGAACTACCTCGTCATCAAATGGATTGGATTCCGTATCAAATATACGCGAAAGACTTCTCGACGTAGAGTCACAGTACAGAAATAGCCATCCTGCTGGAGTCGATCTGTCCACAATTACTTCTGTGCGTCCTTGTCTGCCCCTTCAGGAAGGCTTGGTAGCACGCTCCATCAACAGCCAGGGTGACCAGCTCTATGTCAATCATGTTGTTCTTCAACTAGAGAAAGTCAATGTCACTCGGCTTAAGTCCGCATGGCAAACAGTTGCCAATGACAATGAGATCTTGAGAACTGCATTTTCTCCCTTGAATAAGGGTATGGTGCAGGTAGTCTTCACGCCTGCATCTAGTCAGCTTAGCTGGACCGAAGTAGAATATGATAATCTTGAGGAATTGATCGAGAAGTTCAAGCTGGAACAAGAGGAAATCGCCCACGATATTATTTCCAATATCTCTAATACACCTCCTGTGCGATTCCATCTTGGAAAGACTCGTGATTCTAAAGAACCACTCGCCCTCTTAATCTCCATCCACCATGCTCTCTACGATGGCGAATCCTTCTCTATGTTGATGGATGACGTTACTGCTCGTTATGCAGAGGAGCCAGTTCCTGAGAGAGGTATGCCTCTGGCGTTCATCGAACATGTTTATAGTCAGGACATGGATAAGGCAAAGGAACACTGGGTTGGGCATTTGGCCGGTTGCCATCCGACAGTCTTCCGAGGAGATCCTAATCACATGGAACACCCAACATCGGTGCATAGACAGCTTAGCAACAAGCTGTCTGAACTGGAGCACTGCTCAGCGAGTCTCCAAACGACAGTACCTTCATTGATACAGGCTACATTCGCACTTCTTTTGGCAGATACAGTGGGCGCATCGGATGTTACTTACGGACTTGTGCTTTCTGGTCGCGCTGTATCTGTGCCAGGGGCGGACTCAGTCCTCCTTCCTTGCATTACTACTATCCCTGGTCGTCTCAATACCAACGGGTTAAACACAGTTACTGACGTCATTGGAGTTGTTCAGAAATCGACTGTCAGGTCGCTTGACTTCCAGCATACGTCTTTGAGACACATTCAACGCTGGTTAAATTCCCAAACACCTCTGTTCGATTGCCTCTTCTCCTATATCAGAGCCACCGAACCACGGAGACACAACCTCTGGAGGGAATTAGACAGCCACATGCCTGCTGAATACCCCCTTGCACTGGAAGTCGAGGCAAATCATACAACAGACACAATCAATCTGCACTGTCTCTTCTCGCCTGCGTTTGGCTCTCTTTATAGTGGAAAGGAGTTTGTCGAGAAGATGGATGCCATACTCTCGAGTATCGTGTCTGGCGAAAGTGTCTCATTGGATAACTTCAACCTTCTTCAATTAGAGGGATCTAGCTCACGGGAATCTTCCACCCAATGGGATGAAACAATATGGTCCAATATAGAAACCGAGATCCGACAGCACGTTGCGTCCTTCTGTGGATTGGATATAGCAGATGTCACTAAGGGAGCTTCGTTCCTTAGCCTCGGAATTGACTCCGTTACAGCCATTCAGTTCGCACGCAAACTACGTGAATCAGGTCTTAATGCGTCTTCATCCGACGTCATGCGTTTCTCTTGTGTGGGTGCATTGGCTAGACATATAGGACAAGCTTCTCTCGCTCAACCCACGACAAATGGGGAACATGCGAAGGGAACCACTAGTATTCCGCTTAATATCTACCAAGAACATATCAGGCTACTCAGCGATGATGACTCTATCTCAGCCATGTTTGAATGTACACCTCTGCAATCGGGAATGATCACACAGACTCTTGCTTCCGCAGGACAGGTCTACGTTTACCCTCATCCTGTCCGCCTTAATGACTCTGTGGATACCACTAAGCTGAGGGATGCGATAGAAGCGATCATCAAAAATAATGACATTCTGCGTACTTCTTTCCACTTGGTAGGGGAGCCTGACTCTTCTTGGGTTGGTGCTGTGCACACGCATCCTCCTCTTGAATGGCTAGAGCTTAACTTGTCATCTGACTCTGACGTCCTGTCTGAGGTCAATGCACTCTTCTCGTTTAGTGAGGAATCATCTTTTGAGGTTCCGCCAATCCGGTCAGTTTTAGTCAACCAGCCGGAAAGCAGGCTCCTTGTCGTCATCATGCACCACGCTCTTTACGATGGTGCCTCTTTACCATTCTTCTTCGAGGACCTTGCCATTACATACAATGGTGAGGCTCCATTGGAGAGACCACATTTCTCAGAGACTGTTCAGCACATCTTGAGTGGACAAGATAGCTCCTGCGACTTTTGGGCGCGTAGACTACGCGGATATGAAGCCATTGAGCTCCCTCAACTACCTGCGTCCGAATTTTCGGACCGCATGTTCATCTCAGAACACCGAGTTGATCTTGACTTGCCGCTGGTTATTAACTCCTGTAAGAAGATGGAGGTCACTGTACAAAGCGTAGCCATGTTGGCATACGCTAAAACCCTTGCCCATTTTATTGGAAAGCGTGACGTCGCATTCGGACAAGTTCTCGCAGGTCGGTCACTGCCGGGGACTGAGCATACCTTTGGGCCGCTATTCAACACTGTAGCTCAGAGAGTGAGCTTTGAGCCGAAGTTTTTGAGCAACAGGGCCATGGCGCTACGGTTGCAGCAACTCACTACCGAAGCACAGGAATATCAGCACGCGCCTTTGAGAGTTGTACAGAATTGCCTAAGAAAGGCCGGTGCATTGAAGTCTACTTCTCTCTTTGATACACTTTTCGTCTTTCAAAAGAGCGCAGACTTTGTTGGTAGCATCCTAGAGGAACAACAGATTTGGACGCCGTACGAAACACATGACTATACTACTCAGGTCGAGTATAAACTGAACGTTGAAGTTGACCATTCTCGGGATGGAATTGTGGTCAACGCCTCCTGCAACGGGCTGTACATGTCACAATCTGCACTCAATGACTTCCTTAATAACTTTGCAATCGCCTTCAAGGATATTATCCAGCAGCCAACCAGATGCGCCACAGTTGTACCTGAACGTCTCGGAGAGCTACCTCTCAGATTGTCCTTAGAGGCACCCCAAGGGCACCTGCCTGAAGACTCTGATGCACCTACTCACGAAGCCATCGTCAAATCTGTACTAGCGGATGTCTCCGGGGTGCCTATCAACAGTATTACTCCTACTACGAGCATCTTCAGTATTGGGTTGGACTCCTTATCGGCAATTCGTATTGCTTCCATCTGTCGATCCAAGGGGCTGAAGACAGGTGTGGCCGATATCCTCCAGGGTAACACTCTACGTGGCATCAGCCAACGTATCCGACCTATCGTGGAACAAGCAGTTGAGCCTCAGGGCGCACTTATAGAGGACTATGAGCAAGTAGAGAAAAGGGTTTTGGAGCAGCTGAGCTTAGAGAAAGAGTCAATTGAGGCCATTCTTCCTTGTCTTGGTGGCCAATTCTATCACCTTGTTAGTTGGTTGAAGTCTGGTCGGAAGCTATTCGAACCTGCCTGGTCATATTTCACTCCAGATCGCATCGATGCCGAGAAACTTGAAGACGCGTGGTACCAACTTCGCCAAAGGCATCCGGTGCTACGGACTTGCTTCGCCGCTATCTCCCCATCCGAAGCCGTTCAGGTAGTCATGAAACACGCTGTTCGTGATGCCGAAACTTTCAGGGTTATCGAATCGTCCACTTCCATAACCGAGGCGGCGAAATCACAGGCAAAGGCAGAGGCTTTACAACCTTCTTCGCTCTTTGTTCCCCCTGTGCGACTACGTCTCTTGAAGGCTGGTGACAGGGACGGAATCCTCATTCTAATCAACCATGCAGCATATGATGCTTGGACGATTCCAATGTTCGTTTCTGAGCTTGGAAAGCTTTATCGTAGTCAGAACTTGGACTCAAACCCTGACTTCCCTTCCTTTGTCGACTATTCAGTCCGCTCTCTCCGTGAGGTCGATGAAAAGACATACTGGACCTCCGCCCTCGGCTCGAGTATGCGCACCGTCCTCAACTTCAAGCAGAAAGACGATCAATTTCCAGATCAGTTGTTCGTCGGAGCATGGGAAAAGGTCAAGAACGTGTCCCAAATGGAAAGCAAATGCCGTTCCTTCGGTCTAAGTCTCCAAGCAGTTGTCCTTCTAGCTGTTGCTCGCACCCTTGCAAGAGTCACTGGATCAGCAAGCCCCACCATGGGCTTATACCAAACAGGCCGCTCAGCCTCATTCCCCAACATTGAGAAGCTTTCCGGACCTTGTCTAAACGTCAACCCATTCACCATCCCTGGGGCCGTCACCGACAAGTCGGAACCCAGCCTCCTTGAAAAAGCCCTTGCCGTGCAATCCTCGCTCGCAGAACGCGTCTTATTCGAGCAGAGCTCCCTGCGAGATGTACTTCGCTGGGTTGATGCCCAAAAGCCTGGATCTCCAATTTTCAATACCTGGATCAACCTCCTGTGGATGCAGAGTTCCGTTCCATCTGCCGATAATGCCACACCAGTCGCAGAATTCACGGATAATACGGAAACTTTCTTGCCTCTCCGCATTGGCGTCCCAACGGACTTCATCCCATCTGAACCTCTACCTGGGTTAGACTTGACTTCTGTGTCTATTCTGGATACCTCTTTTATTCCAGATGAGAACGTCTACATTGATATCGGCCCTGATCAAAAGACTGATACTATTGGATTCGGTGTTCGTGTCGAAGGTGGCGCTCTTTCTGAGGAGGGGGTTAATCAGCTCGTGTCGGATATTGCGAGTGAGATGGAGGGTATCGTTTCTTCTTTGCAGTGATGCAAACCGACATTTCTTTGGGAAAAGAAAAGAAAACAAGAGCATACCCTGACGTAAGCGTCCATTTTCTGTCGATCTGCATGTTCTTGGTTGCATTATAGGTTTTGATTATTACATGAGTACTACATTGGATAGATTCCGGTTTAGTTTATACCTGTCAATAGTTGGATATATTTACTCATTTGTCAAGCTGCTTTGTTTGAAGATCTAGATTTTACCTTCCATTATTTTTTAATTTTAATACTTAGGTATAACATTACATCAATTAAGCTGATTTGTCGTCGTAGCAACACACGAAGATCCTATGCATGATATGGCTAAATCGCATTCATAAGGAGTGGATATACATACATCGTGAAGCGCGTGAGGGCCATCCATAGATATGTTAAGATATACAAATCATCCTGCTCCGATCATAATCTATACGCTGAATCTAGTTCCCCCTCATATCCGATCGAGAAGAGGATTGAACATCTTTCATCGCCTCCTGTACCAACCACACCGTGACATCTTGAGCATCCGCCCCAACTCGCCAACTTCCCAGTACCACACCCTTATCAGCCAGGATTTCGTGCGCTCGTTCCCAACGCCGACGCCAGAGTTCTTCCCGCTTGTTCGGTAATGGAGCCAGTGGGGCAGAACCTGACATCGACTGTTGATCGCCATCCAGACTGTTTGTGCTTGATCTACCTGAGGCGGTAGTAGTTGTGGGTCGCAGGTTGGGAGATGCGGACCAGTGCAGACGCTCTGATGCGTATTGTAGAGCAGCTGATGCTGCTGCTGTGGGGTATGATTGGGGTTGCTTTTGGGGTGGGGGGCGGTTTGTGCTTGAATTGGAGGTTGTTGTTGATGTGGTTGCTCCTGTGTTACTTCGGCGGGGTGGGGGCGGTGGAGGGGGTTGCTTGGACCGGGTGGGCTCCTGAGATCCAGGTGATTTGGCTTCGTTGAATGTTCTGGAGCAAATTGGCAGCGAATTTGGTGGAGCTGGGATATCGTTGGTTTGGTTTCTGTCTAGCAGGGAGTCTTGTTTTGCTGGGGAAGCACGACGCAGCGGTAATGGTGGGACTGGCTTTCGCTTGATGGCGTCCTGGATCTGGGATACACTATCCTTTCCAGGCTGGTCTGCCATGGCTGAGACGGTACGTAGGGAGGATGGTTTGGATGGTTTTGCCGGTGGTTTGCGCCCATCCAATGGCTTTGTAGTGTCAGACTGGGTATCTCTCAAGTCTTCGTCGTCACGGAGGTCGATCAGATCAGTATTATCCAGGCTCATAGCATCAGAAGATGGGTTTCCTGGAGCAAGTGTCCGGCGAGGTGGTAATGCAGGACGGTTAGCAGCTACATCGCTGGTGTCGGTGAACTGGGGGGTGCTGCGAGTGCGAGATGGATGATGCTCCAGGTGATCGATGGATTTCTCAAAGAACTCCTTAACATCTGATGTGGTGACATCGCGGATGAAGATTCCTAATATCCTCCCAGGGTGCGTGAGGGCAACATCTGTGTAGACCTCGAGGTCTGCCTCGCCGCTATCACCAACCAGGATGAATCTGCGTGTCGGGAAGTCCCGAAGTATCTGCTCGAGATTTCCCTTTTTCCTCTCTGCAGTAGGCTCGAAGATCCCCTGAAGCATACCGCTGTATTGTTTCAAATGAAATGAACCAGGAGGCAGTCCCGCCAATTTAAAATAGCGCTCCAATAACGGGTAAAGCTGCCATGGTGAATTGGAGACGTAGTGTATCTGTACACCCATTTTGACCAACCTATTATACCACTCTGAAACTCCGTCGACGGTCAAGTCGTCCAGTTCGCGAATGAAGGTATTTCGAAATATTTCTTTGGCTCCACTTGCAATAGCCGAATGTTTAACTGTGTCATCAATATCGCTAATCAAGCTGACGCCACTTGGTTCTATGACTTCGACCCTTTTCATGCCAGACAAGCCCTCCGACGCCAGAACACGGATATGACTCGGGATGAAAGGTAATGCTGCCCGTAATGTGAAGTGACCCGATTCGTCGGTCACCACGCTTCTAGACTGACTCTTCCCATCATTGAAGAAGAACACTGTGACGGGCTGCTGGTTCATGGGATTTGTCAAGAAAGGGTGAAGCCTCTCCATGAGGTGAGCGTTTGCAATCGTAAGCTCATCCGTACTCATCTGGGAAGGCTCGAGTGTTGATGTCGTCGACGTTCTTTGCAAAGGTCGTCCAGGAGTTGCTTCACCGTCGCGTTCCGACGCACTCGATTTCCAGGCCGGATCCGCGCTGCCTTCCGCTTTTCTAATGATCGATTGCGCCTCCGCATCCACAAAGTCATCATCCCTTTTGCCAGATGTCTTCCCTATCGAAGCGGCATCGGAATTGGGCCCGTCGCCATCAGTCGAGGAATTACTCGGGGCCGGTATACCGCTTAACTTCCTCGCAAGTGCAATCATCAAGCGATGCTTTCGAGTCATCGCCCCGCGATGGGGCGAGTATACCCAGCCTCGCACATCAACCGCGACGATCGCATTCTCATCTTTTAATATATCCCGTTCAAGTCTGTCCAGCTCGGACTCGTCGGCCACACCACGATATTCATCAAGGGTCGAAGTCGATCCCCGACGCCGCTTAGGGTAGTAGTCTCTGACAAGTCGCCTTGCGTAAGTCGGGAATATTACCATTTCCTCATGCCCAGACCGTGCGATCTCAACATCTGGAAATGCTCCCGGTGTGTTCTTCAGATACTCTTCATCGTATTCACGAGACGGGTTTATCTGCGCCGCCCATTGTGCAGCGTATGTTTGCCGTAATTCATTGGCGGCCTTCAGGTACTCAAAGACCTTCTTGCGACGCCCGCCACTGGCACCGCCTCCTGAGCCCCATGAAGATGTCGACGGTAAATACTGTGACATTGGAACTCGTACTGTCGCATGCGCCGCCTTCCCACCACCAGTGTCCGATCTCCTCAGTCGCCTTCTTCTCCCGACAAGAAAATCTAATACTCCTCGTCTGCCCGCTTGGTGTTTCTGAAGTCGTCTCGCTTGTCGTCGGACAATCGCTCGGTATAGGCTTGCCTGAGCTCGATGGCGAAGGGCGGGGATCGTCTCGTGGCGGAAATCCCAGAGGCGAGACTGAGCACGGCGGCTCGCGTTAGACCCGAAGAGCGCACGGAGAAGATTAAAGAATTTTCCTTGCGGAGCACCACGGTCTCTAGCGGAGAAACGAGGGAGGGGAGGTAGAGAACGTGAGGGTAGTTGTCGCCTAGCGGGGAAGCTCGGCGGAGCGCGCCAGCGACTGCGAGGAAACGGTTTGGGCGCCACGGTCTTGAGCTATGAGATATTTGACGCGGGATTGGGTGTATTTCGGACTCTATTTCGTATGAAGGATGGGAGGTGCCGGATTGCTGTTTATCTGGGTGGAGTCAGACAAGGCGGAACTTGGACAGCAGTTGAAGTCATTCCGGCCCACAAGGACTTTTAGCGTAGTGATGTCAGTATACTTTCCTACCTAGTCGCCGTACCTTCGACAACACACACACACACACACATATATATATATGTATATATATATATGGTATATATACACTAGGTGGTACCACAATAAAGAATATGAGGAGAATGGCTAAGGGGACTATGAGAGGAGAGAATACAATTAAGCTCGAGTTTCAAACTAACGGAACCAGAGTGGGGAAAACATATTTATATAAATAACTATTGTACCTTGCCTTAGCCAAAAGTTTCTCCGCGAACCAAGTACATATATCCATTAGTTCTACTATTGTACGATCTATATCCATGAGCGTAGAGTAAATATTCGTGGTCAAAATGCGCGCCAGTTCTAAGCCTCTTTAATCAGCCACCCGAGATATGATGATAGGTCGAATATAGGAGCAATTGGTTAGTCCGAAGACAAGAGTGTGTTGTTACACACGCTGTAATATAGCCGTACAAGAGGCATGCCGATCAGGGGAAAGGTATGAGGTACGTGTCGTACAAAAGGTGATCACACAGATTCACTATCCTCAGCGTAACTAACTGGCTTCGTTCGTCGGCTTTGACGAGCACCACTACTCTTGGATCGCGTTAGGGTTGGAGTTTCAGGCAGTACCTCGTTGTCTGATGCAGAAGGGGACGTCGTCGCAGGCGAAGAAGCTTTGCGTTTCCTACTGGTTACTTTCTTCACGTTGGGGGTGCGCTGAGCCCGCTGGGAGGTTTTGGAAACAGGGGTCGAAGCAGGTGTAGTCATGGTCGCACTGGCCATCTCACCATCTTGCTCCAAGGATTCCTCAACACCACCACCAGCCTTCTTCGTCAGGCGAGGTCTCCGGGGACTATAAGCAGCTTTTGTCCGGGTGACCCTCTTGGGTCGAAGCCACTCCTCCATCGTGGGAGGCCAATATACTCTTCGCTCCGGGCCTCCCATGCCGACATCCTCCTCTGCAACAGTTGGTGTAGGAGGAACATGGCCTTCGAGATCGACAAAGCCACCGTTCTTCTTGGTAGACTTGCGAGGCGGCTTGAATGGTTTGTTCTCGTCCGTACGAACGTGGGGAATCATATCATTGAATAAATCGTGGCCAGGAAGCTTAAAAGTCCTCATTAGCTCAAATACAGCCTGTTCTTTGTCTTTTGCTTCGATCATCAAGTCCATCGTGGGGTCACACGGAGGTAGGGTAGAAACGCGCGGGCTATGCTTTCGGCGCTGACGATTAGTGATCGCAGATGGCGTCGGCTCCGAATAGTGCATTTTCTGGGTAATCCCCTTTCTGGTCCAAGTGGCCTTGATCCTGTCAAATAGACCCATGATATCGTGGGTGCCCTCACGGACTTGGCTCGGGTCGAACATTATATTGTGGTGGTGGAAGTCTAGAACGAGCGGAATGTTCAACTCTTCGCACATCGGCAGCAGATCATGAACTGTCCAGCTAACGTCATCATTTTCTAAAACCAGTCGGTTCTTGATATCTTGCGAGAGGTTTTGGTAATTCTCCCGGAACCGATTCAATGTGGCTTCCTTATCACCAAACACACCACCCATGTGGAGAATCATAACCGCATCCCGATCCACTTGGGGGGGCAGTTGAAGCAGCTGCAACATCTCCGAGTGATATTCCAGATCCCGTATAGAACTCTCGACCACGTCTTTCTTAGGAGACCCCAGCTGAGTGAACTGGCCGGGATGCATACTGACCCTATGACCAAGCTCTGCGATCACGCGCCCAGCATCTGCAAGCACTTCGGACGCAAAGGGAGCTAGTTTGTATCCATATTCCTTGTGGCTGGCAAAGGGAAACATCTCACTGCTCAGCCGCATGAACTTAATTCCATAGCGATCGTTCCAGCGCAGAAGCTTGGTAAGATCCCGCGCGTTGGCAAGTCCCAATGCTTCAACGAATGCTTGACCGCGTGCAACATCAGGTGTTTGACTCCGATCAGGACGGTTCTTCGTCGGATGGGAAGGTTGAGAAGGGTCTATAAGAGGGTGTCGATTTTCCAAAATCGACGCGATGCGACAAGTACGGGAGCAGAAAACGGGAGGGTTTGAATATCGTAGGTATGTGTTTAAGCATGCCTAATGACTATGAGAAACGATGTTACGTGGTGAAACGAGATAGTAACAAGAAGTCCACTGATGGTTAACACTCACATATCCCAATCTTCCCTTCCAAGGGAGGGGCAGGTAGCTACTATTGACAGGCGGAGGCCTTGATAGAGCCTCCCGGAGCTCCTCAGCCTCAGCAGGCACATCTTCATCCGATTCGGGATCCGGTGGAACATCCCGAGATAGTTCCAATACATGCGCCTCTACTTGTCCGGTATCTGTTTGGCCCTGCGAATTTACACTGCCCCCATTCTCCGATTTCATGTCTAGCGGCATGTTGGTGGCGTGGGATGTATCCACAATGCCACGCGAACCTTCTACAAGTCGCCAGGAATGTGGTGGTGTCGCAATCAGTGTTGTTGCAAGCTTCTGCGATCGCCAGGGGAGAGAATGTAACACTCGATCGACGCGAGAATTATGATTCAGAGGGCGACAGGATGTATGGACCCGAACAAGGGAGGAAATTGAGCCGGCCGTAGTAACCGGACGAGTTATCCACCAAGCAGGATAGTGGCGAATCTGGCGGGAGCGCAAGCCAAATTCCTCGACGTCATGGAAACACGCGACATTGTGGAAGGAAATCGCACGTCCGTAAGTCCTCGACTGGTGGAGGGAAGGCCTCAAAAACATTCAGCAGTGCACTCTATATCAGAAGAACAAGAGTATTAAAAGAGTGTTGGAGTAGATGGTGGGTTTGACACGCGATATTGGCACCATGTTCCTCCATGTAATAGGAGGCAAGACTTTGGTCGGATAGCAGGGGGGAAGGCAGAATGTAGGGAGTGGAGTGGAACGCCGCTAAGGAGCTTTGGGAAGATCTTCGGCGAGCTTCTTATCAATGTCACCACCGCCTTCAATTATCATGAGACATTCTCTCCAACACATGGAATATGTATATATGTACAATCTCAACCGTACCTGCTCTCTTTCGCACTTAGATCATAGTCTCTTCCCAAAATCTTCAGCATGTCAGTACACATCTACTGCTTCTCCGTACATAATCTAGATAGAAACCCCACCAGAAAGAAGACTGTTACGTACCATGTGAGATCAAGGTTGAATAAAGCGGCTCCCAATGGCACTTAACTCATCAGTAAAGTTTTTCTACTGAACCGAAGAATGGCCGTTGTTAAGGCCATTGTTATGGCGTCTCCGTGGAGTAGCATTCCTCGCGGCTTTTACCATTCCTACGTGACCACTTAGAAGAACCATTGGCATATATACAGTTACATACCAACCCAAGAGTTTAAGATGTCTAATACCTGGTTGGGTCCCTCTGCTTGCGCGTTCCTGAGTTTGTCTTCTCTAGGTGAGACTCTGCGTTCTCGCGCCTTTTGTTTACTCTTCCCCCTTGCCACAAGCAGAGAAAGCATCTGTTGCGCTATAAGGACTGCCGATAACACAATCTGAGGTCTTCACTTCCCTAGTTCCACTGGCTCTAATTCTGGATTACTGCTACCTCTTGAGTGAGTGGTTTGTCTTTGCTTGGTTCACAAACTACGTCTAACGGGTCGTATCCAGATATCACGACAGTACAGGTCATTGCATATCGTCCCGAAATTTCGTTCTAAGGGCGTAACTATCAACATGAAGAGCATCGCCGTTGTGTGCGGCCTCCTGGCTGCGTCTGTGTCCGCACATATGCAGATGTCCAAGCCATATCCGATCCGGAGTCCATTAAATAAGGATGCAAGCGGTCAAAAGGACTATTCATACACGAACCCGCTGTCGACCAGCGGCTCTGACTACCCTTGCAAAGGGTATGCCAATGACGAGTTCAACTCTGTCGCCACATACAGCCCAGGCCAAGAGTACGACCTGGAATTGCAAGGCAGCGCGACACATGGCGGTGGGTCGTGTCAGATCGGTCTCTCCTATGACAAGGGCAAGACTATCAGGGTGATTCACTCCATTCTGGGCGGATGTCCAATTGAAAAGAAATACAAGTTCAAGATCCCCAGCGACGCTCCAAACGGGGAAGCCTTGTTGTCTTGGACTTGGTTTAATAAAATCGGTAACCGTGAGATGTACATGAACTGTGCGCAGGTCACCATCGGTGGTTCCGCAAAACTTGCACAGACAAAGACTCTCACCCGACGGGACGGCTTTGGCAGTCTCCCGGAGATCTTCCAGGCCAATGACGGAGGACCTGGTGGTTGCACCACTGTTGAGGGTGAGGAAGTCAACTTCCCACTACCGGGTCCATCGAAGCAGGGTAGTCTCTCCGGGAAGGGCTACACATGCAAGAGCTCTGCTTCTTTCCTGGGTGATTCTAATTCCGCCAAGGGGAACTCCAGCAGCCACGGCACTAGCAGCTCTGCTGCTCAAGTTGCGAGCAGCTCCGGCACCCAAAGCCCTAAGAACTCTTCAGCCCATAAGTTTGGCTCTGCCTCCGCCTCCGCAACCCCATCCAGCAGGATCGCTTCGCCCTTTGGCACGCCATCATCCTCTGTTCACGCTGCGCCCACATCACCCTCCGTGCATCAAACAGGGCGCTTCCAGCCACATCCTCTCAAACACCACGAGCAGAAGCACGGCCCTTGCAAAGATGGTGCCATTATCTGTGCCGATGACGGCAAAACCTGGTCGATGTGCAGCCATGGCAAACCTGTCTTCATGGGCTCTGTTGCAGCTGGCATGCGTTGTCGCCACGGCGCCATGCATCGCCAGTGGTAAATGTGATCGTCTATCTGCAGCTACCCCGCCATCCTACCTCGCCCGGCGCGAGTAACGTCGCCCCTTATTTCCACTGCTAAGGTGGTTCTTTGTATCTTTCCATTTTCAATCTTCTCGATGGGTTTCGGGCTTCTATACAATCGTTCTATGCTATCTTCCGTTCTTGTTAGCCCGTGTCCTGAGAACGTGTAATGTAATTTTTGATAATATGCACAACTTGAACTATTTTTTTATGTTTCGTTTTTACTCTCTCAGAGCTATATATCAGTGCTGGTAATCACCTGGACCAGCACTTATAAGACGTGTACTCCATGTTTGATGCAATTGTAGATGTCATCGCAATATTACAAGGACGCGTAATCTCATGAGCATCTGGCCAATTCAGATCCTCATTGTAATTCGGATAGTATATCCCCTAATCTTATTCACATTTCTTTATACAGATTTCCCGCACCTAACCACCTCTGCACAGAAGCAACACCTCACAGCAGCATGTACCTAGTCTACATTGTTGCACCCAAGTTCCCAAGCCATGCCCGCGAAGATGAAGAAACATATTCCAAAAACAAACTTCTTCCCCACTTGTTTCTTAAATAGAATCTCTCGCTACTATCTCTACACAACATCGATTTACCCTGAACCACTAGCTAGACATCAAGGTATACTACGGGCATCAATATAGTGGCATTCTTCCCTAAAGCTACGCCCCTACTAAAGTGGGCACCCTTTATTTGTAATGATCAGGCTGCAAATCCATCCGCTCAAGTGACTAAAATTGCAGTGCTGCTCGATTATTACTGGTCCAATACATCTCCAGGCTATGCGCATTGCTCGACCTAGATGAGTCATTGTGAGCCAATAGGCTTCGCGGACAGTTCTCATCTACTTACTGAGCCCTTTTAGACCGGTATTCTAATCAATCACGACTGATTGCTTGGGTTCCTTCTACAGTTTCACGCTGACATTTCTACGGTTAAACCGTTGCGGTGGCGTTCTTTGTTCGTGGGCTCTGGCCTAGATCTTTCTATTGAATGGATATAGGTCGATTTGTATTTGTTATGGGATCTAGTTGTAACCTAAAATATAGCATGATCTATCCTATACGGCTGTATAACAGTGACGGGGTTGGAGGACTTAGAAGTACATATATAAATATATATTGGAATCTCTGTTATAGCGTATATTGCCGCTTTAAAAAGAACACGATATTTATTTAATTCTACTATGGGTTTTCTGATTTCAAAGGAGGATCTTACAGTTAGAGCCAGAGCCAACGAATTAATCGATGCGATAGAATGATCACGTATAAAACTGAAATGCTATTCGTTTACAAACAAGCTTACAGAGAACAACGCGCTAGAATCTTAAGAGCTCCGACTAAACAAAGATCTGCTGGCGCAGTCAGCATTTATTAGCATTCTATTATATCGGTGGTTATATATAGGAATATTATGGATGATGGAATATTGATCACATAGGTGATAAATTGCTTCATTAAATCCTAAGATAGGCATAGCCGTCCAACAGTAATATACAGGAAAGTGAACTTTACCCAAATCCTAACATACCATGGTATCTTATTTAAAATCATTAATCGTAGACGTTATTACCTTTCTAGCCAGATAAGAAGAGAAAGCATTGCTCAGGGTCGTCTCCCGAGCGGACATAGAGCCGTGGTGAAACTTTCGAGTCACCATGCCGGAGATTTTCACACCCCACTTTCCCCCTTTTTTTTTTCTAAAAAAAAAGAGGTTAGGCACACTATGAGATAAAGCATAGCAATGACATTCCGAACGTGGTATGGAATGTGTGTCTCAGTAATTGCCTGTATACGCGGAGTTACCGTAGCCATAGCCGTTCTGTGGCACACCAGGTGCGGTATCCTTATTGCGAGAGAAGAGACTACCGATACCGCCGGACTTCTCTGATGTAGGCCCCAATTCAACATCATTAGGAGTGGGATGAGTTGGGAGCATATCGTCGCCGCTGGCACTATCTAGGTTGTTCTTCTTGCGACGCCAGAAAGCACGAGGGCGAGTTCCATACGTGTAGCCATTGGCAGGGGACGGGCCGAAGCGCTTCTCGCGTTTGTGGTGGCGGGCATAGAGGACTTGGAAGAGAATGGAGATCAGGAAGAAAAAGCTAAGGGAAGAATGTTAGCCTGTGACTATTGCCATTTTGAGTCGTAAGGGGGCGCAGGAGAGAATATTACGCACATTCCGATAATCGCGACCGCGAATGTGACTTTTTGGAGCTCGCACGCAAACCCGTATTTCACTTTGGATGGCGACTCTGCGTTGCTGTCGCCCGATCCCAGGGGGGTATCGACGCGGCCGGTACATTTCTGTGTGCCGTCGCGAGTCATTATTGCAATAGCGATCATGGCTCCGACGAAGCAGACATCAAGGACGACGGCCAGAGTAGCGAAAAAGGCGACTCCTCCCAGGCAGCAGGTGAAGAGGATGCCTAACAGTCCGTAGAGGGTTGCCGCACCGGACAGACCCTCAGTGGCTTTCATCCATTGAGGGATGGCCTGGTCATGACGGGTAAGGACGGCCAAGAAGTAGGAGAAGATTCCAAGAATCACCGCGCCATCGAGAAACTGAAGGACGCGGATGGCTAGGTTAAAAAAGCGGAGAATAACGCCGCCAAACCCCATCGTGAAAGTGGATGGCTGTGAAGCACTTTCTTCTCGAAAGGGGAAAGAATATATAGGATAGGCACTAGGAACGAGGCGCCGCAGAGTTATAGTACGAATTCAGAACGAAGCTAGGGAGCCGTCAAGTGAAGCTAAGGGATGAATTCTAGTGAAAGTTTCCTCGAACTGAGGTATTATAAGGCTGAAGAGTGGAAAAAGTTTGCACTGCACCCTCCTGTTGCAGGCAGCATTGTTGAAAAGGTTGGGTCCGTCCCAGGGGTCATGGTGTCGCAGCAAGCAGATCGGTGGAGGCATTTCCCTGGATGCCTCTTAAGGCCTTGTGGAACTCCAGAATCCCTCAATTGCTTTGACGAGGGGACCCGTCCACACCATCAGCATGTCGATCCACGGACAACGACGGGTGTAAGAGGCACCTGATTGGGAGTCCCGGAGTAAGAAAGAGGAGCGGCGGGGACAAGAGACACACAAGCCACACCCACAGCCCAGCCCCCAAACGTCATGATTGACAGTGGCCTCGTCACCATTGGTTCCATCCCTTCCGTGACTAAGCCCTGCCCAGAGTTCCCCTGATTCAGCAATAGACTGACTTAGACCCTAGTCCAACTTAAACATCACATGTCACCGTCGGCTGTTCACGTGCCCAATGGACGCATTAGGGAGTTTCCCCATCCGTCAAGTCACTGGGTGAGTGTTCGGGTCAAGCCACAGGGTAGCACTTGCACAGCCACCTAATCTACTCTGCCCTAAGGTGCAACAAACGTCACCACCATTACTTAATCTTCTCTATCTTTAGCACAAATCTAGACAATGACAACGAGAGCCACAGTACCTTCTATGGCAGTGGCTGCGGCCAGACCCGACAGATTGGAAGCTAAAATGCTGCAGATCTATGGAAATGAGACGTCTATTCTCTGGTATAGCTGCTCTGTGGTTCTATGCTTCCACAAATAATAGCCATAGACATTAATAGAATCATATCATGATGCCTGCACATCGATCAGGATCTTGCAGTGGTCCTCTCGGTCATTAGCCAGGGTCTCGAACCCCCTTTCCACCGTTTCACTCAACTTGATCTTCGATGTAATCATCTTTTCCGGTTTCAACTGACCTAAATCACAGGCCTTGGTTAGCACGGCGGATATTTTGGATAACGCCTGTTCAAGCAACCCACCATATCCAAGGGCCTTGATAACAGCTTCAAATGACCCTTCATCATACAGCGCCGACCCCGTATAATTGACCTCATTGTACATCAAATCGTTCACCCGCACCGCAGGTTTCTTTTCCCACACAGCAACATTGACAATCGTACCATGCGTGCGGCACGCACCGATAGCCCCATCCAATGCATTTTCCACCCCCGCAGCATCAAAGATAACATCTGCACCCACCCCATCTGTGACATCTATAACCCTCTGCGTCACATCCTCCCGCGCAGGATCAAAGGCATGCGTAGCCCCGTACTCAACCGCAAACCTCCTGCGCTTCTCATATAACTCCGACACCATAATATTATTAGCACCCTGTAACTTCAGCACCTGCACAATGCCGATCCCAACCGGCCCACCCCCTACCACCATAACATTATCCCCCATCTTAAACGGCGACATATTAACAGCATGCCAAGCAACGGCCATCGGCTCAATCAACGCCGCAGCCTCAAGCGAGACATTATCCGGAATCGGGTAGAAGTGTTCTGCAGGCGCGACATGGTACTTCGCCAGTCCGCCGCCGTAACCTGCAGGAAACGCGTAAGTATAATCTGATCTGACCGCCCATCCATGCACCACTCGAATTAGGACTGAGACCGCATACCCGAAAGTCCAATGAATCCAATATTCTCGCAGCAGTACTCGTAGCCACGTTTGCAGGCTGTGCATGTTCGGTCGAAGATGGTTGGGCGTACGACTACTCGTTGGCCGGGGGATACATGAGTTACGCCTTCGCCGACTTCATCGACGATGCCGCTGAATTCGTGGCCGAGCGTTACGGGGCATGAGCTCCCGGTTATGTTATGGGGATTTTGGGGTACTAGTACAGGACCGCCGCTGTATTCATGGATGTCTTGTTTTAGATTAGTTATTTATGCGATGATGAATATGTGATGCGGTAAGGGCTTACCGCTGCCGCAGAGTCCGACGAAGGCTGGTCGGACCTAGGTGCGTATTTCGCGTTTTGGTTAGCATACGTAGTATACGTGTGCGGTTTCATGTGCTGCAAATTACCTTTACTTGCCCCTTGCCGCAGACAGGTTCGTCGAGTGTTTCAACCCGGATGTCACCGCGACCGTGGTAGCGGACTGCTTCCATGGGGTGCGCGGTTTTTAGGGTCGCTCGAACAGTGCCCGTGTCCAGAGTAGTGTTCAGCATGTCTTTGAAGTTTATCCTAAGTCTAATAGTTTGGTAAGTGGGAAGAATCGGTGTGATTCTTGATACATTGAACGAGGATTATATAATTGCGCTATCAATGTGTGCTACTTATAGGACCTCTGCTTTCCCTTCAAGAGGTTTTATAAGTCGAGGCAAGATCATCTTGCAGGAGACGTTGTCATGACGTGTCCACGATCGATGCATGTCTGAAAAAGCATTCTATTCTAAAGTCTGATTGGCCGAGACACAGTAACTGTCCATCTGAAAATCATTACACCATCTATGATGTTACAGACATTACCTGTAAAGTTTGATTGGCAACCAAGATCGTGAAAGGTCCCAAACGATCTTATTCGTTGAGATATTGGGCGAGCAACAATCCCAGAATAGAACCCATAGTAGCAATGCCACTACCTTGTTTTTCCACCCACGCGAGTCAGGGAGCTGCCACCTCTATCGCGGGGAAAGCATCAGTGGCGTCATGCAGGCTCAACGGATATCTTGGCCTGCTGTTCCAATTGGCGGGAACTTGTATCTGTTCTTCTCGGGGAACGGTTAGACGGCGTGACATCGAGGTAAAGTAAAATTAGGTTGCACTTACAAAGGGCACTAGAGCGAATCCGAATGGCAGCGGAAGCCACCAATGAAATTTGGGGTTACATGACCGTCATAGTACTACCAACGGCTGCCCGGACAAAACGAACTCAGCCGTTCATAACCGGCGTAGATGCAAATCATGCCGTGTTGGGAGCTTCAGGTTTCTTCTTCACGCTGTTGTTCAACAAAAGCGCGGAGAATGGACTCCAACCCTTCGTTGCGCCGCGCCAGCAGCATTACGTCGGAAACATTAATCGTAGAGCGCCCGGCATGCCTAATCGGGAAATTCCGAATATGTCAGCAACACCCAATCGAGTCTTACAAACTCAGTGATATCAATGCTTTCACGACAGTGCCAGAAAGTAAAGAGGCGAATTGTGAGCCCCTCCATAAGGAGTCTTCAGTTCGCAAATCGAAAAGCCATCACTTACTTAGCGAAGGACTCTAGGTCCTGGCTGACGGTCTCTATATTATCGATCAGCTTATACGCCACAATGAACGAAATGTGACGACAACTCCATGGTTGTCCAAGCAAGTTACTGTTGATATAACGTACCTATCTGTGTCCAGACCATCTCGGTCAAGGCTCCGATGAATTGGGGTGTGGCATTGACGCCAAGTTTGATGGTCTCTTCGTCGACTATCTTTCCGATGGCTAACCAAAGGGCAGACTTCAGGCGCTGTGAAGACAAGATGTAAGATATGCTCGGACTGGGTGGTTCATTTACCACATACCTCTTCAAGGCCAACCTCGTCGTTTTGATCCATGATCACCAGACTGGCCGGTTTAACTCAATAACTTGACGTCTCGAAAATACCACAGAGAAGGTTTAACTTTCGTTGACACTGATTGAAACTGCGAAAAGATCTATACAGAATCGCGCGTTGGACAGACGCGTCTATCAAGATGAAGGGGGGAAACGGGCTGTGATTGGCCGCTGGTACTGCAAGCGGACAAAAGATGGTCCGACCAGAGAGTAGCCGCTAGACCACAATGGAACATTTCCCGTTACGGCATTCTTTGCATTGAATGGAGACTAAGAGAAAAGAACTCAGTGGGCAATCTTCTTTCCATACTCCGTTCCTTCACAAAAATATAAAATTAAAAGAGCTCATAAGCTCTCTCTAGAGTGCTTTTCTCCCACCTAATTCATCCTCAGCCCACCAGCCGGATTACTACCCCTCACTCTTTTTTTTTTTTTTTTTCTACTTCCGCGGAATCCCGCTTCTCTTATATTCCGTCTTCCATACCACTAAGAATAATAAAACCACCACCAAATCTGAAAATGTCTACCCCCGAGACCAACATTGCCACAGAGGCCTTGAAGGACTTCTTCGGCCAACTTTATACCTTTTTCGAAACGATCGTCAGACGCTTCTTCAAGAACTTTTATGCGTCTTTCGCAGAAGTGAGCCTCAACCGCTGGACGAAGGTCACACTCTCGGTCATCGGCTACCTTATAATTCGTCCGTACATCGAGGCCTTCTTTAAGAAAATGAGCGATCGGGACCGCAGAAAGATGAAAGAGAAGGAGGAGGCCAAGAAGGCTGCCAATGGGGGCAAGAAGGCTAAGGTTTCTGCCAATACACTGCGAGGTGGTGCTTCCGGTGGTGGGAAAGTACTTGGGGAAGTTGAGAATACCGATGATGAGATTGAGGACGGTGAGGATTTTGCGACTGCGAGCGGGGTGCCGGAGTGGACGAAGAACGCGAGGAAGAGGCAGAAGAAGCACATGAAGAACCTGAAGGAAGCAGAGGCAAATGCGAATAAGCTGTCCCAGGATCAGATTATGGAATTATTGGACTGGAGTGATTCGGAGGGTGAGAAGAAGGCATAATTTGGAATCGTGAAATCAAATCTCTGGCTGGATATATTCGCGGTAGACTTACTTAAGCTATATATATATATATATTTAATTTATCTTTTTGTAATCTGTTTGCATAGCTGCTGTGCATTGTAGTAAATTATATTATTAAATACAGCCATATGACTCTCCTTGTATGATTAACTGCACCCTTGATGATGCATCGTGTGGGCGTATACGTATATTTCTATGATAGATTTGTCTAATCCCAGAAGTTGTCCAAGAGCGAATATTATGCACATCATTTTATCGTTATGAAGCCAAAATAGAGCGTACCCATGTTGATATTGTCTCATCCCAACACATTCATACATCCAAGTCTTAAAATCGTGTCGTCCCTCTTGACGAAGGTAGATTAGATGCCCTGAAGCACATGATCAACGGACAACCTAATGCAATCGCCTTAATGCTTCTATCATAACTTTCACCTCGTGGACACTCATCATGCCAACTGAGTCGACAACCTCCTCCTGCACATTGGGCTCACAGGTTAAAAACTGCTCAATCAACTCGCCATCCACAAAGCGGTACGGCTCCTTGGCTTCCCGAACCATACTACGGAAGCCCCGGAATTCGTTGAACGGCATCTCGCCTAGTGATTCTACTTTGCCTGCCATCGCTGATTGCAGGCGCATCAAGAAATCCTGATGTTCCGGGTTAATGATGGCGAATAGGTAAATGGAACCCTCCACCTGTGTGTGAAATCCCCGTTAGTGCTGTATTGCGAAGAAGTTCAAGAGAAACCACATACTGTGCCTAGAAAAGCTCTCGGAGTGACGGTTACGCTTGCCAACTGTTGGATGTTTACCGGCCGGATACGGTTCACCATTTCGCCCAGCGAAATTTCACCGGTTACTTCTAACCGGCGCTTATCATCCTCCTCAACCCCAGTCAGGTTGCGACGAAGGACGATCAAATTCCCTTCTGCATCGCTTTCTAGGAAGGTGTCCTTGGCAATGCATGCGACTCCAGTGGCCCAAACTGTTTGGAAGTGGCGAGCCACTTCTGTCAATGAATCAGGTAGGCCGTTCTCTCCTTCCTGAAACTCCACGAGACACACGCTCTTCATGAGGTCTGAGATCGCAATCACATTACCTGTCACGGTCACATCAATCGGCGCGGTCGAGGTTCGGTAGCTGGCAAGCTTATCCAATCTCATCGCACCGAAATCGTTGTTCACTACCTTATAGACAACAACCTGGGACAATATGTCAGATACGTAGTCACAGAAATAAGGACTCTCAGTAATCGCCTACTGTCTTGACAAGCGCAGCTACAATCTTGTCTCCCAGCATAGCCAAAGCACGACATGCCCCCTTCACGGGCAGATCGGCAACCTTTGTCAGTTTTCGGCCATTGTCAACCTCGAACATGAGAATCCGACCTCGAATCGATTCTTCCCCCTCATCGTCAAGATACGCTGTTCCAACGATGAACCGATCTTTAGTCAGGTCACGCCCGTTCTCATCTTTACCCGCTGGGAACTCTGCACGGATAACACTTTCCACCAATTCCTCTGGTCTTAGCTCAAACGAGTCGAGCTGTCGGAACAAAACCTCATCAGCGAGCATGAACCGGCTTGTTACGATTTCTGCCCCATCTTGAAGTTTACGATCTATTGTTCCGATACCGAACGCCTTTTCTGAGGGCGAATATGCAACTCGGCGCACGGTTGCTCCAACTTGGAGCGTCTGAATCTGTGTTGTCCTTTCGCTATCGACCAAAGCGATTTTGAGCTCGCGCTGTGTAGCCACGGCAATTGACCCCGGATAAGCCTTGGAGTTGAAATGGCAGATGCGAGAAGCTCCTTCCGAATTTACTGCAGAGTAAATAATGCGGCCCTCAGAGCCATATATCAGGCTTGGGTTCTCGCATGTAGCAAACACATTATGCAGCCCATCACCCCTAGGCAATTTCTTAAACGCCGGTTGCTCAGACCCAAGGATTAGTTTATTCATTCCACTTAGCGAGTAGTCGCTTGTGTTAAATGAATAAGTGATGACACTGCCGTCTGCCATCGAGATGAAAAGAGTAGGGGGCCTATCTGCGAGAACGTTCGCCACGAGAACAGACCTAGGGAAAGCTTCGCCAGCTGGGCCCAGCGACGTGGTTTGCACTTCAGTCAAGTCTTGAAGCTTAATGACTGATATCTTGGCGAGTTGAGGGAATCCAACAATACAAACCTCTGTTGGCGATGCCGGAACCGTGACACCAGAGATCTGACTATCGGCACCGAAGTTCTTCTGCGTGATCACCTGAGCCTCGTTCCTGATATCTAGAACGGTTATAATTTCTCCCCCGATGACAACCACCATTGAAACATCGTTGGCAGAAGCGGCGGTGATAACAAGCTCATTCGGCGGTGTCCATTCATACACAATCATTCCACCCTCCAGATCCGCAATCAGCACTCGTTGCTCAGTAACCTGCAAAACCCGTCCCCCCGGCAGATTAGCTGCGAGAAGCGTATTCTCTGAGAGGCTCAGGCCAATAAAGTGATCCAGTTCTTCCACCTCACCATCGGGACTGAAATGGAATACACGAGTCTCATCTACAAAGGAAACAAGAAGTGTATCCAGGGTATCACCTTGGGACTGGGCCTGCAGGCCCCACAGATCTGTGATATGTTCCAAGTCACCCAAAACGCCTAGCTCCTCCATCCCGACACCACTGCGCACACTTCGCAGGGTTCCATCGTCAAAAGCGCCCGAGCCGGTGACAATCCGAGCTTGACCTGACGAGAACTCATGGGTTTGGCTTTCACTTGTGCGGTTTCCAAGGTCCATTATTGTGAAATCCAGTATCGGGGCAATGTTGGACAGGGTCTGGATAATCTCAAATGAACCGCTACCGATCCGAAGGACCTGGGAGTCCCCTTGATGCGACCCCACAAATACAATCCCGCCACCAAGATACACCAAGGCAGAGGCTCGTGATGTGTTCCCTAAATGATCCAACTTCCAACCCTGAACCTGGTTATCTGAGTCTAAAACAAGCATTAAGAAGAACAACCTTCCATAATCATCGGCCAACAACCATCGCTGGCTATCAACCCCTTCCCAGGCTACAAATATTGTTGCTTCGTTCAAAGGCCGAGATATTATCTCATTGTTGTCGTCATCAACGTATTTGATAGACGTTTCGCCAAGAATAAGAAGGCCACCTAAGATTGTCAGTCCCAGGTAGCAAAGCTAGCAAACATATTACATCGCATGGCGGAAGGATACTAACCTAGCGGAGCGGGCACTGGTATAAGGTGGGAAGCCCCGAGATCCAGTTCTTGTGCAAAGTCGGCTATATGCGCCAATGTGGCGTCTGCGCCCGTGCTTCCCGTGGCAGAGGTGTAATTTAATTCTCGGACCATCAGTCTGACTTTCTTCTGGTTGTCCTCGTAGAGTAACGCTAGGCGCGGCAAACCAGACTGTACATGGAGGAATGCAGAAGACCGTACAAAGAGCTCATCAATTCTCGCCGTTGTCAGCTCTCCAAGTTCTCCCACTTTTGGTGCATCAGGACCGGTAAGAGCAGCAGGAGTTCTCCCTCTTTTTCTGCTGGGTAATTGTACGATTGGTAGCACGGCAACTAGGCCCTCATACACTTCCAGTGTCATATACCGACCACTTGGATCTATCAAACATCGACTGCCAGTTTGCGATTCCCGCGACGATGGGTCAGATATGTCGACGTATTTTCTCTCCGTACATATTTTATTCTCAACATTGTCCCATGACAGGGTGCAGTAGGTGTATCGATCGGTGCCAACGAAAAGGTGATCCGTGGGTGAATGAGCGGGAGCAGGAAGTCGAGCAAGCATGGATACTTTGCCGTAGAGAGTACACGACGCAGCAAGACTTAATCCATCTGGAGTAAGTGTGTAGGCCTCCAATCGATTACCCTTCCTATCATAAACAAGATGTATTAGCTAGTGTTCACAGCACCTAGGAAACCGACCGCGGTGGACTGTGGTCACCAACGCAACAACCAAGGAGTCTTCCTCCGGTTTCATAAACTGCAGCTTGATCGCATGACGAATGCTGCTCGCCTTATGTATCGGTACGACGTAAGCCATTTTGGCAATCCGATGTTCTCTGAACTGTCAATCGGCAACCCGGAATGAGCTTTTTGCAGTGGAGACCACTGCGGGGATAAGATAGCACGAGTAATGTCAGATCCAACAGCAGATTAATTTGGGTTGTTTCCGGATCTGAATTTCTTATGTTTTAAGGCGAAAGAAAGATCTGCATCTCCGACTGCAGGATCCTGGACTAGGATGGGATGGTATTTTGGAGAGGAGGCGGAGGAAGAGGGAGCTAACACAACAGACCAACAACATCCGCCCTTCAGGTAAAAGTCCCAATGACGATGGTTGCGGTTCCTTTTAAGCCATTAACTCCGGGTTATGGCCGGTACCACCCAATGCATATTTCCCACCATGCTCGTCCTGCACCTTTTCACACTCTCTATAGGAATACAAAGTCGCATTTACAGCTGTTAATTTAAGCATTGATCATTTGGTCTCTTCAACACAAATTTTCACTATATGGTGTGCAGAATCCCCATAAAAAATAAGCATACTTATTAGCAAATTTTGGACATCACACGTGACCTGGTGCAGTGTGAACCCTGTACACAATTCCTCAGGCATTTTCGAACCATCAAGTCTATCATCCCTTCCAGAGTAGGCCAGTAGCGCCCACAGTATGAAGGCCAAAAAGAAGTGCTAGGCATACATGAATCACGCCAAAAAAAAAAATAGAAAAAGAAAACATAACAGGCGGAGTATATATGCAAAGATCATCTAGGCATAAGGGGAAAAGTTCATGTTCAAGGTAAAACAAAAACCTGTGAATGGTTATGACCAAACATCCTCTTGGTAGGTTCCACTGCTGCGCATGTGCTTGACCATCTCCTCACCCTTCTCGGCGGGAAGACCACGCTGTTGGGCAATGATTTGGCCAAGCACAAGATTGACTTCACGAGCCATGTTGGCGGCGTCTCCACAAACGTAGAATGTGGCTTTCTGCTTCAGAAGGTCGCTAACCAGCTCAGCATGTTCGCGTAACCGATGTTGGACATACACCTTTTGAGAAGTTTCGCGGGAAAAGGCAGTGATGATCTTCAACGAGTCACCAAGTTGTTCCTCCCAGGCCTACAATAATAGATGTTAAAACAAATGGTCCACTGTACGGATCTAAGAAGGTTAAGATAGGAAGACATACCTTGAACTCGTCCTGATACAAGAAGTCCTCATTGCGGTTACGGCACCCAAAGAACAAAACGGTTGTTCCGACTTTCTCGCCTTTAGCTACCAAGGCGGCACGTTCCTGAATGAAGCCACGGAAAGGTGCAACACCGGTACCAGGTCCAACCATAATGACGGGTCTCGAGGGATCGGATGGCAGTTTGAAATTCGAGTGACGGACATGGACAGGAACATGAATACCGTCGTACTTGTTGCGCGGACCGGTGATAGAATACGTCAAGCCGTGGGGGTCAGGCGTTGGATCACCATTCTGCTTCTGCTTAAGCGCGAGGAGGTAATTCGTAGTCACACCCTTCACAATGTGAGAGGCACCAGGCAAACGGACAGATTCCACGACTGCAGTAATACTGATCTTATCCTTTTGGACAAGAGAGGAAGACGAGATAGAGTAATAACGAGGCTGAAGCTTGTTGAGACCTTCAACGAGCAAGGAGAACGGGACGGCAGTGAATGGCTTGGAAGTGATGCTTTGAAGAGCTTGGGCGATATTGAAGCATTGATTAGTGATCTTCTCGTGGAAGTAATCCTTATCGTTACCCAAACGCTGGATTTCCGCCTTGGTCGTGTCATCGGGAGCGAAGGCAGCCAGACTCGAGACAAATTGCCGGGATACGGGGGCACAGACTTCCATATAGTAACGAACAGCGGCATCGTAGGTGGTAGGGGTAGGAATTGGAACCTTAGCCGTCACATCAATACCCTTGATGTTGATAACTGTTTGACGCTTTTCCTCAAGTCCAAAAACCTGGAGGAAGCGGTCCACCTCCACTCCAGCATTTGTAGGCCAAACAGCAATGTGGTCACCAGTTTGATAAGTGAGGTTGCTTCCAGCGATGCTGATTTCCATGTGTAGACAGTTACGATCCTTTACAGTGAACAACTCACGAGACTCGACAATAGGCGCAATGAAAGGGTTGTGGGCCGAATATGGGCCTTTCGGTTGACCTTCGAGATGACCTTTGGTGGGTTCACCAAGATAGACCTTCTCATCCTCAACGCTCATAGATTCATCTTCCGTGACATTGAAAACGGGCTCATAGACAGCCTCGCGTTCCTGGAGATCCATGGCTTCCGTAAGTGCTGCCCACATGGGTTCCTTCCAAGCCAAGAAATCTTCTTCCATCGTGCCAGCGCCGTCGTCACCTTCACCAGCAGAGCCAATACGTTGTGCACCATACTTTTGGAGAGCGGCGTCCACATTGCGAACCATGGCGTTGTAGTGCTCATAGGTGTTGTTACCCAGACCAAAAGTGACATATTTGAGGGAGGACAGCGGCTTTTCATCGGCGGAAGCGCCGCCTTCAAAAGTAGCGTCTTCGCCGGTAACGAACTGGTAGAATTCGACAGCATTATCCGTGGGCTCGCCCTCTCCATAAGTCGCCAGAACGAAGAAAGCGATCTTGTCTTCAGGGAATTTGTCCAAGTTCTCGTAGTCGTAGTCTTCCAAGTCAGCGACCATAGTTTTGAGGCCGAATCTCTGAGATCCTTCCTTTGCCAATCTCGAAGCGTAGTCCTCCGCAGTTCCAGTCTGTGAGCCGTAGAAAATGACACAGTTCTTGCCAGTTTCTTCCATCTTTTCCAAGATATCTCTAGTCTTTCCTGCCTTGGCGGCGCCATTCATTGCCGGACCAGACGAGGCATAGGGATCTTTGGCGACAGCCCAGTAGGTGCCTTTGGTGAAGTAGGCAACGCTACCCACCAAAAGCGCCACAAGGACAACCAAATCGAGGGTGTCGAGTTGCGCCATGTCGGCTTGGCGATGGAGGAGTGTGAGGGTTTTGGACCAGTTTTCGAGGAAAGTCGGGGAGAAACTGAAAGAAAACAGGAGGGGGCCAAAGAGGGATAAGAATTTAGTGCCCCCTAATCTTCGATCTTGATGGCAACCTCAGCAAATCAATTATGGTGATGGAAGACGCCAGCAGTGCGCGGCGTACTCCAACATACACGAAAAGAAAATGAGAAGCAGAAAGAATAACACGGAGTACACGAGGTGGAAATGAAGGAGATCGGAGAAGAGAGCTGTGGTCTGATCGAAGGAACTAAAGATGCCGACTCCACCTCTAAGCGGACCGCATTATCTCGGGGCCGGAAACCGGAGAGAGAGAAAAGGTTGAGTTAAAAGCGGTGGGCGTGGTTTTACGGGTGGAGGCTGGAAAGTTAATGGGGCGGTGGTAAGCGGAAAGTGTTTTGGGAGGTAATCGTGGCCTCTTTCAGGCACCCTTTTTGGTACTTTGCTTTCGGACAACCCCGGCGGTAGTCTCGGAGGTTGTGTGGCCGTAAGGGATGACCCAGCCTGGTGATTGCGGTGTGAAGACACAATTGAATATGTATAACTACCTCCCTGTCGGGAAGGTATTCCGTATAACTGTCAACGGTGATCAGAATATCTAATCGTAATCACCCCACAATATGTCACAGCAAATTCCTTTCTTCTCACGTTCCAGATCTTGTCTCAAGAGAAGACGGCCACTACTACATACGCGAATAAGGGACAGGGCTAGTAGTTTTATATATACACCATTCTCAGTGTGGGGGACCAACGAAAACCGACGATTGGCCGGGGTAACTTTTGAGCCGGGGGTAACTTTTGGTTCGGTATGAAACTTCGGCCCTCACTTGTGACTTGACATGAGAACAATCCTGGGGGTGAGCGGAGTCTGGAGGCAACTCTGCCCAGCGATGACCTTTAGTTTCCATACGTGGAATCTCCCGAATAAGGCTGCCGACTGTTCCAGGTAGCCGAGTTCCGCCTTTTGGAGGGCACGTGTGGAAAGTTCACATTCAGTACAACAGTTGGAGAAAGAGACGCTCAATGCAATTGCTATTGATAGGTGAGCTGCCTGTAATTGCCTTGCCTACATTTCTAATCATACATATACATACAATACATCATTTCAGGGACTTAGAACTTGTATCATGTGTCTTATCAGCTGCACCGTCAATCGAACACGTGATAGGCACGGAGTATACGCAAAATCGAATGTTTGATGCTGATCATCATCGTTTCATAACTGTCCGAGGAACCTGTAGAGGTATTTCCTTCCACTGGCTTCGGTGGGAAACTAGGGTAGTATTCCGCGTAGAGACGGACATGCATAAGTCCATACAGAGATTCTCCGATGGGATAATCCGTCCAATGCCTGATGCTGGGAAGGGTACGGAACTGATTCCGCACCCTGTGGTTCTATCAAAGGCCTGACTTTAGGAGTTGTACGTGTGACAGTATATATACTAAGTACTTAGAACAAAAAAAAACAAGATCAAGATAGTTTTCTTTGTCTTCTTGATCCAATTTCTCACGATTCATCCGGATCGTCGCCAGCGGCATTGAGCCGCGGATCTCCAGCCGGACAATAATGCCGTCCACTTGATCCTATAAATGCTGAAGTAGATCTTAGAGTGGAATAGCATAATGCTCCGTTTTCCGTTTTCATTACCTCATTCCTGTTAGCAATCAAGGCATGCAGATAAATCCTCAGAAAACCAGGCCGCCTTCTCTATCCTTTCTTCAGGTCTCCTGTTCTTACTGCAGCAGGAAGATCGTAGTATAGGTTAATAAGAGTCATCAGTATGATGTTCTTCATTTAACATAAATGACACTCGTTATACTGAGTAGAGCAACCTTGGGTGACGACGGAAATGGCATGGTTGTGGCGTTTAGATAAAAAACCGTGGCCTTTCCACCTTGAGAATTGCTGCTTTAGCGAGCCTTACAGTCTATACCCTGTTTCTACTAGTCTACCGTTTAGTTTATTATATTCTACGAATTAATATATGTTGAATTTTTCTGCATGCCACTGCTACAACTACAACTCACCACTCATCTACATCGCGACTATCACAGTCCGGGCTCTTTTCCCTTCGCACATATGCTCAAACCTCCACAGGTAAATAACACCAGTAAGACCAGAAAAGATGGATACAGCCGGTTAGGAAACCTCCTGCAATGGGGCCCAGGACTTGGCCGACAAGAGGGAATATGTAAAACACCATGGCCTTACCACCTTCATTGGGATTGAACAAGTCTCTGAGAGTTCCTGCTTTAGCTTCAATCTTAAAGGTTGAAGCTAAGAGATAGTTCTCGGGGTACAACCCCCAAAGAGCCCGGCAAAGTACTTCAAGGAATGGAGTTGCTCGACAGCCCTTGCAACGCCGCGCGCAGAGTTGAAGACCAGAAACACAAAGTTGAATGGCTGCAGCATCAACCTTCGGCTCCAAAAATCTCAGACAAAGCACCATGAACAAGTGTTTAATAATGTAGCCAATTAGAAGATTGACAGAACTACAGGTCTTCAAACAGTAGTCGTGATGTTGAGCTCTTCCGTAATGATGTCTAAGGCAGGAATGATAATAGTTGCTGGAAGCGAGCTCATTAAGACAAACCCTGGAATTGAATAACCGCAAACCACTAGGCAGGGAAAGGTGTATGGTAATTTACGATATGGCTGATCTAGGGAGAGAGAGTGAAGACGGAGCAGATATTTGGGCGTAGGAGCCCAATGCAGGATGGGATGTAATCCGACCCCAGCGAGGCCATTTGGAATTGCATATGGCTGCAATTTAATAATATTCTGACTGGCCTCGGCTTGTTCCCCAAGACGAACTACTTGGAATATCGGATAGCCCTCTGCTGGAGGTTAAGAGCCTTCTGACAGATACCAAATATCATCTCTTAGGTCTTTGGTCTCGGCGTGTGATTTGGCAACCAGGTCAAGTGCTTACTGCTTATCGTATCGTCGAAGTGGTCGAATATTGTACCTGTAGTACCGTTTTCGCTTACTTCTGGGATTCGATGGCAACTCTCTCAATTTCGACGACTTCTTCAGTCGGAATGAAAGCACTTGATAATTCAGCTGTAGTTCCTGTTCTGGGACTAGCAATATTATACTAGACGATACTATGGTGTAGTGTAGTGACAACTTATTCCTTCCGCATCTAGCAAGAGATGGCTTTGCGCTAGACCTGTTTAGGATCAACTTCACGTGAGTGACGAAATACTACTATTACTACTTTAGTACTAGAACTAGTACTAACCTACTATAGACTCAGGGCTTTCTGCCCAATGCGGTCAGTTGCTCAGCCAATCATGAGTCATATATCCTAAAGAAGTTAGTAGGAAAACCCGGACTGCACTATCGCCAGACACGGGAACAATGGTTGTTACTAAGTAGTTAGAGGAGGAAGGTGTGCACGTAGTCGGGGTACAGTACTCTGTGCGCAGATCCCTTCGCTTTCATTGCCACTTCTAGAACCCTGACTGCATTGCATGGTCAGTCTGAAGATCAGCAGCTCGAGGATCTACTTGGCACTCATCCTCAGCGACGATGCACATATGTATCTTGCATGTGTAGCCCGCCGGCCCTTGTTCCTCGTTAGAAACCGGTGTTTCGCTCGTAATTCGTTGAAGAGAATAGGTGTGTGTGTGTGTGTGTGTGTGTGTGTGTGGAAGGTAAACTATATCGTAAATACTTGATGACCCCATCAATGTCTCGGAAACCACCCCTGATCAGCCTTAATGTTTTGAACACTGGTACTAATATCTTGTCCACCTAACCTTGTATTTCTAATCGATTAAGGAGGGAATTTGGTCTATAATGGGATACCTGCATGGGTCGTTATCGTTCTAGTGATAGGGCTTACAGTGTATATAAAAGATTATATATTTCTCTGCCTGTTGTATATCAGATCAGGACTTGCCGGCAAACTGACCTGCCCGCATATATCTGAAGGAAATCAGTGATACATAGAGCGAACCAGTTCTATGTGAATAGTAAAGCTAGAGATCGTTCTATGCCTGCTGTGACCCCATTTTTTTAATGAAATTTAATTTCGGGCTAACAATGCTTATAAAACCACATGTTCGACAACTACCATGGATAAATACCGTGGGTTCGTTTTTGTTTTCTTGTGGTGCCCATAGAAGACCCGTGCTTTTCGGTCGCGAACAAACAACTGCCCACTGGGATCGGTCAAAGATCATCATCCTTGAACACCACCATCTCACTTCTTTCTCGCCATCTATGAGGCCGTTGAGCAACAATGTGCTGCTCTAAACTGCCCTTGGATTCTTTCGCTCCAGTAAATGTGAGCCTCAGCAAGCAATGAATCCAGACTGAATAAAAAGACGCAGTACATCAGTAGGTGTCCCAGGTGATTCGCCCACTGTTCGGGCATCACCCTTTCTTCCTGGAATGCCCGGATTGAGTTCTATCCGGGTACTACATCATATCACGACGATCGATAAGCTAATCTAAATATGTTATGCCTGTCTAGTGGCTTCCCATCCATCCATCAAAGCTGGTCCCGTCCAGCCAACTACAATGCCCCTCATCCCTGACGAGTCAGGTCTTGCGTCGCACCATACCTTCGCATCCCCACCAGAACGTTTAGTGACCAGGAGTACTCCGTCTTCCACCGTTCATAGCCGGGAAACGTCCGCCGTTAGAGGAAGACTAGCCGACCCCTCCACGCTGGCCCCCTCGACCCTTCAACCTCAAAATACTCGCCGCGGCCATTCTAACTCCAAAAGCCCCGAGGCTTCCTCCGGACGCCCCGGTGCTGCCTACGATGTGACCCTGGAGAGACGTCCTTCCAACTCATACGGACACCACCGCCAGACTTCGATTGTTCATGGGATCCAACACTCTCGCAACCCCAGCTTTGCCGCCTCTTCCACTTCCACGAGCCCTCTGAGCCCGGAGCTGATCGCATCCCTCGGACGTAGCGTTGGCGTTGAGCAGGACAGTTCCCCGCTGGGCCGATTGGAGCAACTTGATATGCACACATTTCATCAGAACCAGGGGGTCAACGGCACAGGCCATACTCTGCAGGGCATGTTGAGCACCATCGAAGATCAAGATACCGACGAGGCCGTCGATGGCGGTCCGGCGAACCCGGCCCATAGGAGGATGAACTCGAGTGGCAAACCACGCTCTCATAGTCGGTCACATTCAAAACACCACACGGAATCAAAAACAGTGGGGGAATATGCCTTGCATCATCTCTTCAACTCTGTAAGCGCACTCCCGCCCCGCTCCAGAATATTCGGAATAGCAGCTGACTATGGGATAAGTTTGTTGGTCAGGCAGACAACAAGATAAACCAGGCCATTATGAAGCTGGGGGAGTCTGATATGCCAGTGGAAATGGTATGTGGACCGGGAGCAGATCCAGGCTTTGATCAGTTGATCTCTGCTCTGGGCCATATCGCACGACAAAAACCGAAACCATTGATCGACACGATTATGTTCTGGCGCAAAGCCAAGGGGGATGCTGCGATCATGGCTAAACAAGTGTCTAATCAAGTATGGTTTGAGATACCTCATTCGAATAGCCACCCGTTAGCTAACCATACATAATCTTGGTAGGCGAAGGAAAACGGCTTACTTATCCGCCGGAATACAGAACCGCCACAAGTAGCTGCCGACGCGGCTTCTCAGACAGATCATGCATCCTCGAACCCGATCTTCCCTAGAAATGATGATGTTATCTTGGCTGAGCGTCGTGCAACTGTGTCGGTGTACCTCGTATGTCGAGTTCTGATTGAGATTTTCAACCAGAGCAGTCTTGCTTCTATTACGGTTGATATGGCCGAGCGTCTGGAAGAGATTGTGTTCAGTCAACTTAAAACGGTCGATCCTGACCAGGTTGCTGCGTCCTTACTTCGCATAGCCAATTGGAGAATATACTCCCAACTGCTTGGGATCATGAGTGAAACGAATTTCACGAGTGTCACAACCCGCTTTATAGCGGAACTCGAAAGGTATCAAAAGGAAGAAACTCTTCGAGGACCTTCAAAAGACGGCGATGCCAGAGCCGAGCTTTTGATCTTAGGCATGAGACATCTGCGGATTGGGACGTATCCAGATGCATGGCCTAAATCTTGTGATTTCATGCGGTCTTTAGCGCGGTTGTTTGTTAACGCACATGGACAGCGGGTTAAGCAAGCTTATTGCTATATCTTCGAGAAGCTACTTTTACCGGTGGCGGCGAACCCTAGCTGCGACTTGTCTCTACCTAAATGGAAGGACTTCCTGGACTTGGTCCAGCCGCGCCTGTCCCAGATGCTAACCAAACCTCGACACTGGGCCGCTTCTTTTCCTCTCCACGTTTTGCTCTTGTGCGTTTCATCGAAAGAGAACTTTTCTTCCCAATGGTTGTCCGTCACTTTGGGGCTCCCGCCGAGATTAAAGGACCGTCCTACCAGGGGCCCAGCTCTCCATGCAATGTGTCGCTTACTTTGGACATATTTTTTTCGCTACTCGGAATCCCCAACGGCTACTCTTAGAAAGGTAGAGGAAGTGGCTAAAATTGCACTACCCGCAGGAAAAAGAACGTATTTGAGTACGGAGCCGGCGGTGACAGAGCCGTTGATCCAACTGGTGCGGATGATTGGATTTAAGCATCCAGAGGTTTGCTTCCGCAACATCATCTTTCCTATGATAAATTCGGATCTTTTCCTATCTGGGAAGGAATTGAAAATCGAACAGATGGAGCCGGAAAAGATGGTCATCGGAATTAGATCATTCCTTGCTATAGTGACCGACCTAGAGAACTGTGACCAGCTATGCCCACCTTTCCCAACAGGATCGATACCGAATCCTTTCACTGATATCTCGGCGACGACTCACTTGCTACGACCGCAATTCCTTGCGGACCCACGGTTGCCAACTGCTTTGGAAAGACGGGATGATGCACACCCACGCCCCGTTAACACTTCAAGGCTGAGTGACAATATTAGAAGTTACTATATCCGCTTCTGCGAGGTATTGGGTAAAATCACCCTCTTGTGTGACAATACATTTGGAGGTCAGGCGGCTTTGGATGAGAAGTTTGGCGGCGCGACTCCCAAGACGCCGATTTCAGATGCATTCAGCTTTGGAAGGCGCGATGATCACATAAACACGCTGGACCAAAGGCAAGGGTTTTACGATTTGCTTCACGTTGCCGTGCAAGCGCTTCCTCGCTGCTTGTCAGATCATATTCCGTTCAACTCGTTGATCAATTTGCTTTGTACTGGCACAGCTCACGTGCAATCAAACATAGCCTTTTCTTCTGCTGAATCTCTGAAGGCAATCGCCAGGCAATGCCATGCGCAACAGGTGACCATTGGTTTTGCCCGGTTTATTTTCAATTTCGATGCGAGGTATTCAACAATGTCAGATGAAGGCATGCTTGGACCAGGGCACATAGAATCTACGCTACGACTCTATGTTGAATTGTTGGAAATCTGGATAGAGGAGATAAAACACAAAAGCAAAGGAGCGGTCGCAGAAGCGGGCGACAAGTCGGGCTCTGGCAGTCGAGCCTTGCAGCTTGACCTTTCTAGTGTGCTTGCACATGTTGAAGAGATTGAATCCCATGGCTTGTTCTTCTTATGCTCGCAGTCTAGGAGGGTGCGGGCTTTCGCCATCACCGTGCTTCGGCTTATCACAGAGTTTGATAGGGCGCTTGGTAAGGAGAACACACGGATCATCAAGATTCTTGAGGCAGATTCCCACCAAATCTTGAATGTAAGTGATGAGCAACTCACAGTTGCTGAGAGGAGTCGGATTCAGAAAGGAAAGCGAAGGAGTGCATCCCATAACACTCTCATTGAACTATGCAGCAGTGAGGTGTCGTATGACTCGACTTTATGGTCGAAAGTGTTCCCAAATATCATCCGGATAAGCTTCGAGACTTGTCCGTTCGCCGTGACTCTTGGGCGGGAGATTGTCTGCGCAAGACTAGTACAGATGCACAAAACGATTACCGGGCTTGCCGAAAATCCCCAACATCCTCCATATGGACCCTTGGATGTCGCGCAGACCCGCCCGCATGGAAGGTCTCATATGACTGCCGAGATTCTAGTCGAACAATGGAAGCTTTACCTAGTCATGGCCTGTACGACCGTCAACAGTGTTGGTGCACAGTCTCAGAGTCAGTTAGCGAACGCCCAGCACGCGCGAAAGTCTTCAAAAGGATCCCAGCAGTCAAATGACAAAATTAGTTCCGCTAGGAGCCTCTTTGCATTTGTAATTCCGCTGCTTTCGGCTGAAAGGGCTTCCATCCGCAATGCTATCGTGGTCGCGTTGGGCTCTATAAATAAGAACCTTTATCGTACATTGCTCGAGTCACTTCAATATGCGGTCACAACTTGCAACGAAGAAGCAAAGATCCGCATTGGTACACATTACCGATCCCCGAGCAGCCCAAGACGCAATCGGAAAACGGATAGACTGCGGACAGAAGTCACGCATGTTTACAAGCTCACGTCAAACTTCCTGCAGGAGCCTGAAGTGTATAATGACGACTGGATCGTCAATAATCTTGTTACCTACGCAAAGGATCTGCGGATCTTTTTGAGTGACGCCGAAGTCCAGAATGACTGGGAGTTCCAGCGGCTGCGGTTTCACTACTGCGGACTAATGGAGGAAATTTTCGAAGGAATCAATCGTACAAAAGATCCTTCACGTTGGATACCCTTCGAATCCAGAAAGTCTGCGTTCTCCCTCATGGAAGATTGGTGTGGATACTCTCCGAACCAGGCTCAGATTTCTCAGAGAGAGGACAATATGCGAAAGCTCGCCATCACAAGTCAGCGAGAAACTGGTGAGCTCCGTAACACCGCAGCAGCCATGGAGATAGAGAAGAAAAATCTTCGAGCGGCAGCGCTTAGCGCGATGGCATCCTTGTGTGTAAGTAACTTTCATACCTCTCTAGACTTATGCCCGTCAGCTAATTCTCGAAGGCGGGACCGATTAGCATTACTACGGAAAGTGGCTCTGTGCTTCAGTTCGATGTAGGACGAATGCTCTCATGGATTGATATTATCTTTAGTACACTCAGCGACAAGTGGCACGCGATTGGCAGACGAGCACTAAAAAACTTGATCGTCCACAATAAAGATCATTCATACTTGCTCGAACGGTCGATAGAGATGTGCTACGTCACAGAACGGCCCAAGGCCATTGAGAGCTACTTTGAGGTAGTTTCTGAAGTACTCATCGAGCACACGGACTACCCCCTTGGTTTCTGGAGAATATTGGGTGCAGTCCTTGTCACTCTTGGTAATCAGAAGCGGGAGATCCGAATGAAGTCTGCCAAACTTCTTCGTATCTTGGAGGAACGTCAACAGAAGAGCTCCAGACTGCAAGATTTCGACATCAGCATATCTGATAAAACCACCGCGGTATACAAACTTGCTCAGTTTGAAACATCTAAGCGCCTAGCAAAACAGCATTCTGACCTTGCTTTCACTCTTTTCTCAGAGTTCTCCCTACACTTCAGGAATTTGCGACCCGATAGTCAACGAAACATGGTCGCTGCTATTCTGCCTTGGGTACAGACAATAGAGCTTCAGGTCGACCCTAACGGGGGCCCTACGGCTAGATCATACATGCTTCTAGCCAACCTTTTTGAGATCACCATTCGATGCAGCACGATCCTTCCGAATGAGGTTCAAGCTCTCTGGCAGGCACTGGCAACGGGCCCACACGGCGGGAACGTGCAGCTGGTTCTTGACTTCGTTATCAGCCTTTGCTTGGAGCGTAAAGAGCAGAACTTTGTTGACTATGCTAAGCAAGTAGTTGTCTTCCTCGCAGGAACACCTGCTGGCTCAAAGGTTATAGAGTTTTTCTTGTTGCAAGTTGTCCCTAAGAACATGGTGCAGGAAAGGAAAGATATAACTCCGCCTCCACCGGATATCAAAGGCCTACCTTATGTCGCCGACTTGGGAACTGTACTCCCTGTTGGAAACAAACAGGCGGGGCTTTCTCTTGGCCAAGTTGCTCTGATATTTCTCGTGGATTTGATGGTTGCTCCTGTCACACTTCCTCTGGAAGATGTAGTCAAGTTACTCCACGTGGTCTTGATCCTCTGGGATCACTATACACTCACCGTGCAAGAGCAAGCTAGAGAAATGTTGGTCCACTTGATCCATGAATTGATTGCCGCCAAGCTTGAAGACGACGCCTCAGCTGGAACTAGGCAGTCTATCGAAGACTTTGTGGAGTCTATCCGTAAGAGCGACCCAAAGGTAGTCTGGGAGTATGAAGACACCAACGACAAGGACGAAGAGGAAAATGGCAGCCGAGTTCCTTCTTCGATGTCCAGTGTGACCCGACAGGTTGTCGATTTCTTCAGCCTTGCCTATGAAGGTATCAACGATCTTTGGGCGAAAGAAGCCTTGAATTGGGCGACGTCATGCCCGGTACGACATCTCGCTTGCCGATCGTTCCAAGTATTCCGCTGCATATCCATGTCGTTGGACTCTAGGATGCTTGCAGATATGCTAGCTCGACTGTCCAACACTATTGCAGATGAGGAAGCGGATTACCGGACTTTCTCGATGGAAATTCTCACAACATTGAAGATTATTATTAGCTCCTTGGCTCCAGCGGATCTGCTACGCTATCCACAATTGTTTTGGACTACCTGTGCATGCCTCAATACAATTCACGAGACAGAGTTCATTGAAAGCATTGGTATGCTGGAGAAATTCATGGAGCGCGTCGATCTGAGCGACCCGATGGTTGTCGCAGAGCTCATTAAAGGCCAGCCCCCTAAATGGGAAGGTGGATTTGATGGTCTCCAGAATATAGTCTATAAAGGGCTGAAGTCATGCGAATCGCTCAATTTGACGTTAGATGTTTTGCACCGGTTGAGCGGGTTCCCAAACAATGAACTCATGGGTGATGGCAACCGCTTACTCTTTACAATTCTGGCAAACATGGCTCATTTTCTACATCAATTTGATCCTGCTGTTGATGATCCGAAGACGCTCGCCCGTGCTACGCTGTTAGCCCGTGTTGCCGAGGGCGAGAGGTGTCCTCGTCTCGCAGCTTCACTTCTCGGGTTTGCTAACGGGCAATATAAGGCCGAAAACGACTTTTTGAACCATATTATTACGGAAATTCGATCGTACTATTTTCCTCGGCAAGATGTTCAAAGTCTGATTTTCCTTATGGGCCTGTTAACGAACACAACTGATTGGTTCCGGACCAAGATTATGAAGATGCTTTGCGTGCTAATACCTGAGATGGACATGCGACGAGCAGAGGTGACATGTCATGGCCCTGACTTGATCTCGCCTCTTTTGCGTCTTTTGCAAACCGACCTTTGCCCCCAGGCTCTGCAGGTAATGGATCACATCATGACCGTTTCGGGCAATCCTATGGAGCGACATCATCTCCGAATGAGCATGGCATCGTCTTCTTCCTCCCGAGCAATCCGCAAAGAATATGAGCGTATTCAAAGCCTCTACGGCATACCAGAACCCACTGGGTGGTCTATCCCGATGCCTGCTACCCAGTCAAGTATCACTCGACACAATGTCCACGCTGTGTTCTATACATGTGCTGAGGTGGATCGCATAGAAGTCCAAGAAACCGCTCCCTCAGAAGTGGAGTTCCACGCGGACGAATACAACGATTCTTTCTTCCCTATGCGGGCTGATACGATGAAATCAATCGATACTCAGGCGGATGGGAATATGGGAGATATTGTACAGAAGTTGGATAGTCTGGACGACTTTTTCGAAGAGACTGAGACTGGTCATCCGGCAATAGATTCTATGGCAGACTCGGCGTTGCGCGGCTTTACGGGGACTTACGTTGACACAAGCGCTAATCTCTATGATCAACAAACAGCCCCAATTTTACGGAAATCTCTAGCACGAACAGCATCCTCTTCATCTTTTCACAACGGTCTCGCCGAGTCTCGACCCCCAAACTTCCGGTTTGACAATCCTGGGGTGCATTCACCCGGAGTATTGACACCTCAAGTGTCTGGTCAAACATTACGGCCAGTGTCACACGCTCGTTCCGTCACGTCTCCCGTCAATCAATTGTTCTCACCGACGACATCCAGTGCCCAGTTTGCCACTCCACCTATTGGCTTCAGCGAATCTGCGTTCCTCTCTGATGACGAAGTAGAGGAAGGGATGTGTGATCTTGATGAGCGCATTGTGGCTAACAGGCTGGCACCTCATCAACTCAACCAAACTCGTAGCGCAACCGATGGGTCTTCCTCACTTGAATCCATGATCCGCAGTGGTATGAGACGTCTTACCGGCGGCACTGCGAACAACCGAGAGAAAGAGCGACAGCGTGATCTTGTTCGAACTCAACACCGGGCATTAGCTCAGACTACAAGCTCGCCACGTGTGCCGAAAGTGCCCCCAGAATACCTCGCAGGCCCCGTGAGTAATCCAACATCACCGGGGCAGTAGACATCCACTTTCTCTTTGCAATTTCCGGCTTACATTTGGCTTTCACAAAAATATACTTCTAATCCTGGTAATCGGTGTAATATGGGGGCGTTTGCGCGCAATTTATTTCGGAGATTACATATACTACTACATACCCGTTAGCCCTTGATTTTTCTCTGGGATGTTTCATATAGGATCGTGTTATTCCTTGCCGTAGAAGTTAGATTTGTGTATAGTATTTCAGTCGAACTGAAGGGAACAGATAATTATAAATTTCGTTATACATTTTCAATTGCCCCCAAATGCTATTTTAACTCTACTAGATATTTCGCCCCATAGAAAGAATACAAAAGAGAATGGAATAAACGAAACAAGGCGGAAACTAATATAGGGTTCTCGAAAACAATGTCGCGCTAAAGAGAAGAAAACTAAAGAATACTAATTCCAATCTGATCATCATCACCTGCCACTATTGTGCGGTTGACTGCTCCTGCAGCCACTTGTATACCACCGAAAAGTCCTTACCTCGATGCTTGTCTTCAACCGCTTTATACACGCCCCGAGCCATATCAGCCAAGGCGAGAGGAGTACCGGACTCCTCCGCAGCAGAGATCGCCAGTCGAAGATCTTTATTCATCAAACTGATGCCAAACCCGCCCGCATATTCGCGTGACGCCGGAGCCGTCTCAACAACGCCGGGAACCGGGTTATTGATCTCCATCGGCCAGCAGCGGCCAGTGGATGTATTGATCATATCCGCCAGAACCTTGGGGTCAAGGCCGCAACGAATTCCCAGATTCATCACCTCGGCGGTGGCGATATTATTGATGGCCAGGAGATAGTTGTTGGCGAGTTTGGCGGAGACGCCTGTTCCTGAGCCTCCCATGTGCCAGGCCTTTTTGCCCATTAGCATTAGGACGGACTGGACGCGATCCACGAGCTGGCCGGTCTGCGATGAAGCCCCGAACATGAACGATAGCGTACCGGCGCGGGCACCCACCACTCCACCTGACATCGGGGCGTCGACGAATCGCCCTTGGCGCGTTGTGTGGATTGCATTCGCTATTTCTTTCGAGGAAGCCGGGTCGATGGTGGAGGTGTCGATGAATAAGCGCTCCTTTTCTAATGCAGGGAGTTGGCCGTGGCGGAGGATACAGTAGAAGACGTCCTTGACGTGTTCGGGTTCCGGAAGGCTGGTGATTAACACTGTCTGGAGAGGTGTTTGTTTAGTATGGGACTTTCTTTTTCTTTTGTTTTTCTCTTCTGCCTTTGTTCTTTTTTTCTTTTTGGAGCCAATCTAATAATGCCAAATTTCCCCTCCCCAATGCACCTAAAATAGAAGTATATTTATAGCGCAGTCTTTAAGCAAGGTTGGTGCAGATCCTACATAATACTGGCAGAAAAAATGAAGCACGCAAATCGACTTACGGATTGCTCTGCTACTTCTCGCGCGTTTTGGGCGATAAGCACCTTGGAGGTGTCTTCGCCGGCCCCACTGTTCCGGGCAGCCTCTTGGTTCTCTTCCACGAATCTTTTAGCAGTGTTTTCGTTGACATCGCGAATGATTAGCGTGTCAGTAGCGGGGATCTTGGCGCGCAGGTTCTTGGCCATGGCGTAGCCTGTGGAGACTGTGTTAGATCCCGGGTATACAATTAAAACAGGTGAGGGGCTAGATTCAAGAGGGAAAATGTCACAAGAGGAACACGGCGTAGATAGAGAATTTGAGAGAATTGCCAGGTAAACAGAGTAAACTTGGGAACTATGGCTCAGTGCCAAATATACAAATTGATCGTCCCCGAGGGAATAAAGGGTTGGAAGGCTAAATAAATCATGTAGAAAAAGAAACAGCGACGTACCCATTTGCCCTAGTCCGATGAAGCCCCAGGTATCATCGCGCCGTAAAGAGCTCGAGAAAGCTCTAGCAGCAGACTGTGAAAAGCGTAGGCTAGGAGAGGAGACAGAGACCCTTCGCAGGGGAAGTGATAGCGCACGCGACATGCTCATCTTGACAACGACTCAAGGCGTATGTATGTACCAGGCGACACGCAAAGTGGGGATGGATGGTTTCCTTCCAGTGCGCAGGTAGTGGGGGAGAATGTCGGGAGGTAGCCTGTAGTTATATGTATTTGGTCCCAGTGCAACCTACGCCTTGCCGATATTTTCTGGGCCGAGCTCCAAATGGCAAACAGGGTAATAAAGTTCAAAACGTTGGCTCCCGTTGAGACCGAAGGCAGAATCGTGAGGGTCAAATGGACTCGATGAGAAGTAGGACACGAGGTCGTTTGTCCGTCGCTACCCGAGCCTTTCGCCCACCAGGGGGAAATTGGGACCTCTCAGGCACAGGATTTAGTAACTTCAACTGGTCTGACTTGCTATTGCTGCTCCATCTTCTCCGCTACCCCCATGCGGGGAAATCCACTTCGGGAATGGCTGCGGAGCTCCGAGAGCCGATGATATCACGTGAAGGGAACTTGGTGTTGCTTAACTGGCTTAGGTTTAGTTCGACAAATACCCGATCGGTAAGGGGAGTTAGTTCACCTACACTATAGTCATCATCTATAGCTGGATCAAGGTATGCTGAGAGTTGATGTGTATTGCTGTTAATGTACATAATATACATGCTTCTTTCTTTCTTTCTTTTTTTAATCTATCCTCAATTTCCTGGCTAAATAACTTGACATTTTTTATATAGATCAGATCTAGTAACTACTTTTGCAGTAGCTATAAGGCCTATTATATATCTAGTCTTGCTAAAGTTATAGATATCTGCAGTAGTAATACTGTACCGTACTATTGTAATCTGAATAAAATTAAACTACTTCTTTAAAATCTTTAGATCCTTATATTTAGCACGCTGATAATTATATTAATAAGAATAAATAGCCTTTATCTTACTATATAGGCCATGGCATTTAATAAAACTGCTGACCCAGTTTTTACTGATTGATTAAGATATATTAAAATCAGAGTCTGTAAGGAGGATATCGGTCATATTTTGGACCTGAGATGGCGGGGAGCTGCTCTGTATTGATCCATAGATAAAATCCATTCTCTTGTATCTCAGTCAATCTATAGCAATTTGCGTGTTTTTCAGTGCATGATAGAGTACCATTTAAACAATGATGAATTGTTTATCAGAGACATTAAAGATGCGTGCAGCGTCATGAATTGACCTTATTTCTTGATTTTTAATAGCAGAAACTGCAAGCAAGATCCTTCCCTCCTTCTCAGCTGAATTATTTGAACCTGTACGCGCTTTTGGTGGCGTGGTGAGTGGTTGAACTGAGCGAGAGTTTCAACCGTGTGAGAAACGCAAGAGGTGCGGCGCTCGGTTGGGAATTACGTTTTTTACAAGGACCTTAGTCAATCGCATACGCACGTGATCTGTTTCGGCTCACTATTTCCGTATGCTCCCTGAGCACTCATGGTTGCTCAGGGACCTGCTCACACTTCACCCAGGGTACTCAGTGTGGACAATCAGGGATCTCTTTCAATACTTCAATTGAGGTCCTGCCCCCATCAACCCGTAGATCCTGTTCAGTACTCTTCGGCTAAAGGCCGTCAAGTGCTTTGTCTCTTTGATCACCAGATTCTATACCGCTGTTTTTTTGTTCTCCTTTTCCGATATCGGTTTTCCTGTTCTCTCGGTCTGCTGTTCTTCACTGCTTGAAAGGGCTGTTATCCGAGGCTATGTCTATTCCTGATTTATCTACGAATAGAAAGAAACAAGCCTATAACCCCGAGTATTAGTGACGATGTCGTTGAACACTGGAGAAAGGCATTGTTCAGAAGCGATATGCCGACGCCGTTTCGACTAAGAATAATATTGATAAAATCAAGGGACGGTGGATCAGGTAATACCCAATTTAATAGTTGAGATTGAAATGAGACTGATCAAAATAGGCACTGTAATTATTTAGGAGAAGATCCACTCTAATCTCTTGTTGTAGCTCGGAAAGAGGATATTATATTGTTCCTCGAGTGGATACCTGACAACTCTAATATTAAGAAGTTTAGTAGCTTGCACGAGAATTAGAGGCAATAGTATTAGCTCTACCGCAAAGCGGTGGGGCGAAGTCTTCACGCGAAGTGCTCCTAAGATATCAACGACGTAAGTGGTACTTTGCCTTCTGCCTCTTATGTTTTCTGACCATTGTGTATAGTATATAAAGGAGGATCTTGCCTCACGGTACAGTCTTGATATAGTCGCTTCATAAGCGATCTAGCCCGCGTTAGATACAACCATATCGACAAGCTCGATTTTCTTATAGATTACCCTTAGGCGCGTATCAAGGCTTTTCAACCGCAGACTATCCAAAATAGCTTTGTTGCTCCTGGCCTTACGCTAATTAACCTAGAGCGTGTGTTTTCTAAGCTAAATAACTATCTCGCTCCGAACCCTAACACCACCAGGAAGCCGGCTAAGCAGCAGATCTAGTTAATTCACACCAAAAACGCCTAGAACTATAGTTCAGCTACAAAAGAAGGCATCTTCGCTTCGGGCACTACTCAAGACACGGTCAAATGGCTCTCTAACCTATCAAAAATCATACTAGACTAGATTATCAAAGGGTGCGCTGTGACGATGCCATAACGCAGCGTTACTAGCGCAAGAAAACGCCAATCTACGCGCAGCGAATAAGAAAAAACACCAGAAACGCACACGATTGAATAGGCAGATTACACACGAAGGAGGCCTATCGGCTAAAGAGGGCCTACAACTAGCTCAGCAGCTAAACCGGCCAGTTGAAGGTGACGGGTTAGTATCGCATGCGCAGGGCGATTTGCCTAGTCAGCAGGATTTACCACCAGAAAGGGCCCCGCCAAGGTGTAGTGGGTGTTGGGAGATGGGGCATAAGATCACTCAATTGTAAAAATCGCAAGGTTTAGACTAATCAATGTGGTTTAGTCGAGATATCCCGATTCAAAATATTGAAATGGGGTTGGGGGACCAGGTTAACCGTGGATTACATTGCCCTGTGCAGAACATAGGTCACTTCAGAGGGGTTGAACTTCGCTTTAGGGACCTACTCTTTTGCCTAGTGCGGCTGGCCCCTATATGCCTGAGGCACCCCTCAGCAGTTGAACGGAAGAAGGCACGATGAAGTACCATGGTTGACCCGAGGAATCACAGGGTGTCTCGGTCATCTCGATGTCAACAAATGCTGGTCACTTGCGGTCGTTGTTCGAACACAGAGCTGTTCACCTGTTCAAAAATGTCTGAGCCTACATTCCACACCTTCGCACTGGTAGGTTTTGGAGGCCGGGTGTTGGACACGGCCCTGGCAACGGACTTTGTGATGGTCGCGAAGAAGTTCATGGCAGACGGGCTGAATCCGACATGTCTCTCAGGAACCCATCTTTATGATATCACAAATATGTCCGGGCCGTTTCTTTTCGGGCGAGAGGACTTGAGAGAGAGAGTCCCTATTTACGACAGCCAGGAGGCCATGAGGCCATTCTATCGGCTAGAGGCCCACGGCCTCAAATCACACATCATGAACTGGATCAGAAATGCCTCCAGCCAGGTAGGCCCTGGCGATCGCATTATAATCGTTCTGATCGGGCATGGTAACCAGGGAGACGGCGCTGTCACGCTATATCCTCAGCACGCAAAACAAGAGTTTCTGTCCAAAGCCGAGATGATTGCCGCTCTCTCTGTCTTGCCGCCTAATGTCCGCCTCCTGATCGTCAACGAGGCTTGTTACTCTGGTACGTGGGCCACGATAGCCCCCGAGGTAGGCGCCCAGCGAGATGTTCTTGTCGAGACAGCAGCCACCCTCGGCGAGCAGTCCTGGAGCTATACCTCGGGCTCCGGCCGAAACCGGTGCTCTTTATTCGGAGCGGCGTTTGTGGAGGAGCTTACCACCCACCCTGAAGGGAGAATCTCCCAGCATCGCAGTCGAATAGTCGATGAGATGCGCCATGTTGGGCCTGACCAGAAAACCTCTACACCGCTGGTGATCCCCTCCACCCGCGCTCTTCTGTCCCACAATATCTCGCACTTCATCCTCACACCGAAAATTGCGACTGCGATCACGAATGTGGCTTCTGCTCAGGATCGTCATGAGGCACTTCTGCAATCACGGACCTCTGCCCGGACTTTTTGGAGAAGACTTCGTCGCAGGGTGAGTCCAGAACGAGAACCAGTGCAGGCGTTAGTGGGAGACAGCCCGGTGAAAAATAGCACCGGTACCGACATGAAAGCTATCGTTATAGAAAACTACCTGAAAGACCTCGGGCCGCTAAAGAGTGCACTCGACTATTGCACCCTTGCAACTGCCTGTCAGCTCGCTCTTGAAGGCCGTGGGCCTCCGGAATTCCAAGACCAGGTGATAGCTACTATTGCCTGGCAGGCGGCCCAGATACAACGGGTTGGCCGGTTGCTGGAACATCTGGCCAAGCAGGGACTGATCACAGATGTAGTCGACGTGGAAATAGCCGATCAAGCACTGGCGGACCACCAAGCAGACGTCGTGGTGCCCATGGTGGAGAGGTTTCGGGAAGACGACAAGCTGTTGTGTATAATGAACCCCCCATCTAAAGGCCATGTTGGTGTCCACTTCAACGATGCACAGGGTTGGCTGATTGGGATCTTGGCTTATAACTGGCTGATGTACCCGGACAAGTTCGATCTCGATCGCGTGGAGAACGAGGTGCTTGCGTTTTTGGCTTAGTTTGTGTGTTTCTCGCTTCCATCTGTTGCTAGCCTTATCTGATTCACTAGTGAGCTTATTGTTAGTAGAGCGCTTCTGTGTGTCTTATAAACAACAAATGTGGAGAGGGGCACGTTATGTGTCTGCTTAATTTATTTTGATTTGGGGCAGTGCAGAACGAGGAATCCACTTGATCTAAAATAGCCTGATTATCTATGCAAAGGGTACGACCGCTGCTGATTTGGACCAACCCGTGAGAAAGAAAAAGGAAACAATGTTTTTCTAATACCAAAGAATATGAGCTATTAAGCGCAATAAAATATGGCACCTTTAGCCCTTTCTAGCGTCGACCAGCGATTGTAGATTAGCCTTGAGGGTTGATGTTCCTCGGCTCAGTAGTGAAGATACGATAGAGAATTGTTTTTGTTGTTACCTTTCTACTTGGCGACATATATGATCGACGCAGCTCTCTGGCCCTTTGCTGTAGCCAATTGGGACCTCGTTCAAGGCCGTAGTGGATCGACTGGGAGAAGCGTTCCCGGAAACGTTAGATTGACACAGATAGCGTAACGAACTTCTTCGGCATTATATTCGGACCGATAATCTATGTCTTCACTATGCGTAGAACGTGGTGTCGATGCAGTCAAGGCTTCTAGCCAGGCTCGCAAGATTATCTGCACGATATTGTGCATGACGGTCCTGGGAACGATCCAGCCCCAGACATGGAAAACAGAAGACAAAGTAAACTTTTGCTACATTGTGAAGGAGGAGTGAATAGTACAGCGTATAGATAGTGAGACGCTCAAATCCTCACACAGGTTGAAAGACAGGCGGAAGTAGAAGACGAGACTAAGTTACCATAGCAACGTGTAAGTACGTCATATTCCAGCCTTCGCTCCCAGGAACACCGGAAGTAGGCAGCAATGCGGTTATCCCCGGAGCACCTTTGAGAATAGAGAGGCAGAATGAAATCAAAACTAACTCAATTTGTACTCCGGGGAGCCGATCACTTCCCGAGGCGGCAGTTGACCCCTAGATTACATAAAAAATATCAAGTTATTCAGCCAGGAAATTTAAGAATAGATCACTTTATATTAGCTCTACCGGATATACCTTATTACCTTGTATTATTTCTAAGGGAAAGATTTATATACAGGGCTGGTATAAAGATTCTAATATTCTACATGATTAAAGATTTGAAATCAGTAAAAATGGCTGGATAACTGATAAAATTAGACTATACTGGCTTTAAAAGCTCTTTATTCCTGCTACAGCTAGTTATACATTTAGAAAATATCAGTTACTTATTTTAGATGGCTATGTGTTACAGACCCTTGTCTAGCGCCCTTATCAGGAGGCGGAGGGATGAGGCAGAATGATAGGCTGAGGTGACACTGGGATCAAGGAACGCCAACCAAACGCTACTTATGTCAGACCAGCGATTATGGTCACGTGATTGACTAAGTGGTGTACAACTGATCACTAGGAGGTATAAAAACCAGTATTACCATATACCACACGGATACCATCAGGATACCAACCCAGCTACCACGGCACCCCAGGGATGGATATATAAGGACACTTATTCATGTACTTAGTTTAGTTCTTCGTGATCAATTTCAATTGCTATTACAGAGTTACCTTTAGTACGAAGACCAGCATTTAATTCGTTCGTACTCTTCGAACTATCGAGTATACGTACTTGATAGGCCTGGCCTTTCTGGACTTGAGCTATTCACGGATTACAGTTATCAACCTCTATTGGACCTTAGGTTAGAGTCACCACCATATTATCTCGGCGTCTAGTTACTGAATCTCAGTGGATTCTGACATTTAGGTTTGACCCTCGCTACGCAAGTGCAGCTAACTGGTCACAGAGCTCCAGCCCGAATACCCAGGCGTAACACTATGGTAGCCATCTCTCTCCTGAATTCAATAAAATATGCAGTGAGAATAATATTATTCCTATCTGTATACTGCCTTATTTCTTAGATAATCTTCAACCGCTTGATATTGGCATTTTTCACCCTTAGAAAAGGCGTACGGACACTTAGTTCACGACAAAATATTTAGAGAAATTAACTCTATAGATAAGCTTGATTTTATCAAGATCTATCCTAAAGCTCGCGATATAGCAATTACTACAGATAGTATTTTAAGTACTTTTCAAGCTACTGGTATAGTTAGTTCCATTTGACCCAGAAGAGGTTCTCAGATGCCTTACTATAAGGCTTAAGACCCTTACATTACCAGGCAGTTAATCAACTAATTCAGTACCGAAAACACCCTATAATATCGAGCAGCTACAGACGCAGACAACTACAATTAAAAAGTTACTAAGGGCTCGTACACAGAGCCCTTCTCCTACAAAGACCGCTTTAAATTAGTTAATTAAGAAATATAAAATGGTGTACAACAACGGGGCATTTTTAGCAAAGAAAACCAATATTTACAGGCTACAATTAATGAACTATAGCAGAAAAGAAGCAATCTAATCACTAAGTCGCCCATACTGAGGACTTCTCAGTCCAGGAAGCTCGGGAGTATATACAGCATGAAAATGAGGTTAAAGAAACTCAAGAGTCAAGATACTGTACTTATAGATCAAGAGCTATCTCTAATTAGACCGCGCGTACGAGCGCCCCCACGCTATAGTGACTTTCATATTCTAGGGCATACTCGCAGACAATACCCTAATTAATGTCCTAATTCGCTTTTATATAGAAATATGATTGCTTTGTCGATAAAGGCCCTAATAGTTCAGCCGCGGGCAGAGTTTTATGTGAGGTGCGGCGCTCGGTTGGGAATTGCGTTAACTAGGACGCTTAAACTGGCGTCAAGAGTAGCTGTTTTCGGCGCCCAATTTACTGTTACCTAGTGTTGTGGTGTAATAACAATTTACTCCAATTCTCATTACTTGTTCACACCTTTGTTTTTAATGTTCTTGAAACGTGAAATGTATGTAGTACTACTTGGATAACAATCTTTGCATAGATGGCTACCTCACATATTTATATTAACATAGCATGACCTAGGTAAGCTTATTGTTTTTACTATAAGGGAATATAAATATATTTCTGAATATAGCTTATACTTACATTACTTATTTAATCCAGGAATATCAGCTATAATGGCCAGAACTGCAGTTGACATCGAGCGCCGAGATTTACTGTTCATAGAGATTAGGACTGTATTCTATAATAGACATGATACATTCATGAGTAGTGAGTAAAGTAACTGCAGATCACCTGTTTGGTTATATATGTGATTAAGTAATATTGCTCTGTGATTACCCAATTATCTCTATTGTTGGCCATTTTATTGAACTACTGGCAGTATAGGATATCCTTTACATCACTATCACCAAGGCCTAATAAATACATCTCTGAGAGTAGTGTAAAGGAAACCTATATTGTTACTCGCAGCTACAACTAGTACTAGTAATACCTACGGCTAAGTAGATAGATAGACCACCTAGTCACGCTTTCTTGTATTGTTCGAACTGAGACAGATGTTGGTAATGACTGTAAGTTCCTTCCCCAACCAGGACGATGGCACTTACCTCACAAGGACTAAGCAATGCTCTTTCCTCATGATGAAGAGATTTTCAGCTTCGCTTCCTTTCTGTCATATACTGTGTTCTTCTCTTTCTTTTCCTCTTCCTCTTTTCCCCTCTCAGCATGTCACTTAGCCTGGTTCCTGTCATTGCCCATTCTATACCCCTCCTTTCTTGCCCCGTTTGATTGCTTCTTTATTAAACTGGTAACCAACAACTTCACGCGAGCATACATTGACAAGATATCTAAAGAGCTAGTGAGCCCTTGGCTGGATTCCTGTGGAAGGAGATCAGGAATCACCAGGAAGCTATGGCTCCTCAGCACTCGGGTGATGTCTTGACCCCCCTACTCGGCGCTCTGAACCTCCAAGCTCAGCGTCCGAAATATCCTTTCGTCTTTCTTCCTGATCAAATGCCTCAGATACCTCAGATGCCCCAACTGCCATATATGTATCCAAATGTTCTTCCATACCCTACCCTTCCTTATTTGGTGAACTGTAACGAGGAGCAGAAAAACGAGAGCTTCAACGTTCCCTTTCAGATGATGAAGACTCCAAATGGCTACATTCTCCAAGACCTAGAGAGCCTGACACAGCAGGATCCTCCGATTCCACGGGCGGTGCCTGCAATGTGGACCAACCCATCCGAGCTGACCCTCGCCAAATGCCTTGAAAATCGCGAGGGTATAACTAATGTCTACATTCGAGGCTTTCTGCCGGAGACAAGCGATGAGATTCTGTATGCATATGCCTCCCGCTTCGGCAAGATTGATCGTTGCAAGGCAATTGTGGATCTGGATACGGGTCTTTGCAAAGGGTGTGTGACATCCCGGTACCTCATTGATTGTCCCCGCACTGACAGTATTCGCAGGTTTGGCTTCGTTCAGTACTTTAACTTTGAATCTTGCGAGAACTGCATTCGCGGCTTTTTCTATCTTGGCTATCAAGCCAGCTTTGCTCAGGTATAACGCCATTGGTGATACTTGACGAACAGCCACCGTTGCTAACACGGTTCAGAAATCTCGCAACTCGCGTCTCAAGGACCTTGAAGACAGAACATCGACCAACATTTACTGCACCAACATTCCCAACGATTGGACTGAAGCTGTATGTGGTTTGGTTGACTTTTGGGGATACGTCTGACGAACCTTGTTTTCAGGATCTTCGTCGTCATTTTGAGCCCTACCGTGTTGTGTCTGAGAAGATTAGCCGCGACGAGAAGACAGGTGTGAGCAAGGAAGTCGGATTCGCTCGGTCAGTCCGCTGAACTACTTCGTCGATGTTATTATACACCTAACATCATTTGCAGATTCGAGACTCGCGAGATTGCCGAGAAAGTGTTGACTGAATTTCACAATACTGTTGGAAACGATGGTGTCAAGCTACTCTTGCGCTTTGCGGACACAAAGGCTCAAAAGCTACTGAAACAGCAAAGCAATGAGCGTCGTGCCTATCGAGCCGGAGAGTACAATTACTCAGTTGAGGTAGTCCAGGGCTCGACCCCGTCCCCTTCCCTGCATCGTCTTCAGCAAACTGCGTCTCATCTCAGTCCTGGCTCCCAGGTCAGTTATCCGTCCCCCGTCGGGATGGCCTCAACCTGGACTCCTGCGACATCCATTTCTCCGCCGTATGTATCAACAGGGTATGTATAAAACTTTACCTCGACTAACAGCGAAGCAGGTATCCTGTGGTGAAGAACCAACCCAGCAATGCGCATCTTAACACCTGGTCTGCCGGGAACAGCCCAGCCATACTTGATCACACGCCTGTCTATCGTGGACGATTCCCGGTTAGTCGTATGGGGTGGATGGATACCATCTCTGGCGGTTCGTCCAGGACAGTTTCTTCCAGGACAGCTTTACCCAACTCTCCTGGTGTCGAATCCCGTTCTGGGCCCACCAGCCCCCGGATGGAGAATGTCAAAGCTGAGTCATTGTCACCTATTCCATCACGCAGAGAGATCATGTCCAAGTCTCCGCGGTCCGTTCACTGAATCATTGGCTGATCCACTCCGGGCTTGTCTCTATACACAATTCCATGGCTACATGTCAGCATCTGTTACAAGTCACAAAGTTTTACAAAAGTACATCTTTTTGCTCTTTTTTGCTATTCTTTTGCTATTCATGTTTGTCCTGTCAATTTTGTCTGTTTTGCCGCCGTCTTGCGGTTGTCTTTTTGATTTTGTGGTGTGTTTACATGGTCTTGATTTGTTTTGACAACATCCCGGTTCAATGGTGGTCAACAGAGTGTCATCTACAATCTGTATCCTTTACGATTGGGCCACGCACATGGCGGTCATACACACGGAGATGAATGGGCATGAAGGAGAGTTGCTATTTGCTGTATCTGTCTTAGAAGACACATCCCTTTTTCCAACATGATAAAGGTTAGGTAAATTGTCTAATACAAATTGCACTGCTAGTCTCGCAAAAAAGGAAGCCTAACCATTTTAGTAGTCCACAAGAGTATATAGAAATCTATCGTTCTAGCATGGACATGGAGGTATAGTCAAGGGGACAAGGGGGAATTCAGGAAGATCGTGGGAATAAATAGGGTATGCCAATACAGAGATACCATCCACTGTTCTCGGGTCGCTCTTTATGTAAAATATCAAAACACACAATAGACTTGCCGCGTTATGGACCACTTGATAGTGCTATCACCAATTCAACGCAAGCGGACCAGGGACTAATTGCGCCCCAGTCGCTCTTCCATGTCTTTGGTCAACTCGTAGGCCGGGCGGTATTGTTGAGAACCTTCACTCTCATTCGCAGCTTCCACACGAAGCTTGGGGTTCGGGTGAGTATCCGTCTGGCCACCGAGACTGGTGTATCCCTGATCGTAGAGAGGGCAGTACTCTAGCCCCAGCTGGCGAATAAAAGCCCAGATCTCAGCATAATGCCAATCAATCACCGGGTGAATGCGAACAAAATCCGGCCAACCACTATCTGTCCGATCAAAATGAGTCAACTTCGCACCATGCGGATCCGTCCGCCGGGTCCCGACAAAGATCGCCTTAACACTGGGATGTAACGACAGATAGTGTGCAAAACTGGACTTAATCGTGGACTTCGGCGGCTCCGTTGTATACTTTATAATATCCAGATGGTAGGCGTTCGACGACCACCGCACGAACTCCTCGACTGTGGGGAAGGGGTCCGGCGGAAGCGCGTATATAGCAGGGATGGAGCTCAGGCCGCCTTCTTCGGGTGGTGGATGCGGGTGCAGGGCGGCGAGGAAGATGACGAGGAGAACCAGGCAGTCTTTTCCGCCGTTGTAGGAGAGTGCGAGCTCGGGGAGGCTGTAGCGGGAGAGGGCTGTTGCGGCGACGTCGAGGGAGGTGCGGGTTTGGCGTTGGACGGCGGCGAGGAGGGAGTCTTCGGGGTGGGATTCATTAAGGAAGGTGTGGACTTTGTGGTGGCATTGGGCAATTATGTTTGAGAGTGAGGATGGTTGGGCGGGTGTGTCGTTGTTGTTGTTGTGTGTGGATTGGGTGTCTCTGTATTGCTGGAGATGGGGGGCCATGTTTTTGGCGGAGGGGGCGCCATTTATTTGCGATAGGACGGTTTCAGGTTGGATAGCTGTGGAGGTCATTTCTTGGTGGTTTATTTTCTTTTTCTTTTCTTTTGGTTGTATGGATGTATAAATGTGTATATATCGAAGGGGAGATGGGGTGATGGTGGTGGGGTGAAATTGGATGATGAGGCAATTTCCACGACTAGAACCGATGCGGATGAGTGGGAATGACCTTCGCTGGTATTTGAGACGATAAAAATGGAATGCTCACTGGTTTGGACCCGGTATAATCTCGGTCAGGGGTTCAATTAACGAGTTCTTTGCACATCTGCAAGATTGCGGGATTGATTCTGTCGATAAGACCGAGGGTGATTTAATGACAGTACTGGAGAATCTTCTGGTCCGACTGTTCGGACCGGACGAATCGGTTGATCGCCCGCGCCCCGCATGTTGACCGCTTTCTTATCGGATATCATGTGCCAATGCTTCTCTCTTCACCAGTCACGCTTGTTTATAATATACTATCGTTTGATAGAGGAAATGATTGATAAGCTGTGAATCTATAACTGATATCTCGGCCGAACAACGACCGTGAGAACTGATTAAGAACAAATGTGTGGGATGAATGGGCATTCATCGGTTTCTGCCCCCGAATATGAAGTGAATGGCTTTGTTTCTTACTTTATGGTTCGGGCTTTGTTCGGCGGAATTTGTTCGGCACTTGAATTTGTCTTAGTTGATTGTTCATGCGATGTTCTACTAAAATATAGTTACTGTCTGGAACCTAATGCTTAGAAAGACTAAGCGATAATCTAAAAATCCTATAAATGGGTGTATTGTAAATAATTTGGGCATGGCGCTGGGGAAATATATGTAATTGCTTTTTGGGGATACTGAAGATATTTGCACCACGCGGCTCAGAAGATAGTTTCTAGGTTAGGAATCCTTTATTTACTTTCATCCAATAAGCGCAACCCTAGAGACCGTGATTTTGAATCCATTCCTTTATATCGATGACTTGTTTGAGAGGAACAACCCTAAAAAGCCAGAGACACCGAAGACCGAGTTCACAACCTCGGAGTCCACTCAGATTGCCTTCGGTGCTGTATCGACGTATCGCATAGATCTGATAAAATATAAAAATAAAACCAAGAAACAAAACAAAGAGGTTTTTTTTATCAGGTCAGAGTTGTCGGCCATAAAACAATGCAGATAGAACCAATCAATGGCAACGAGGATGAGTCAGAACGTTTAAACCTTCCTTTCCTTGATGACAACTGGAATATTCTCCTGTCTCACAAACCAGGAATTGGTTACTTTCCATTCAGAATCAGGATTGGCGAGCTCCACCTACAACAATATTTGTTAGGTACTCTGTGTAGGCAACGGACACGTAAGATGGACAAGACTCACATCAAAATTAGCAAATAATGTGGCCACAAACTTATAGCTCTCTAACTGGGAAATATGTTTCCCCAGACATGCTCTTGTTCCTGCACCAAAGGTGAAGTCTGTACCTTTCATCTTCGAAAATCTAGCCTGATATGCCTCGTCAGTCTCACCCTCTACCGGCAGCCACCGCTCAGGCTTGAACGAATCAGGCTCGGCCCCAAAGACGGACTCGTTGCGGTTAATAACCCACGGATTCATGCCAACGATGGTCCCCTCGGGAACAAACCGTCCGTCAGGGAGCATGAATCCACCCTTGGGAACGACCCTCTCAATCAAGAGCCCGATCCCAGGATGGATGCGCATGGCCTCGCGCATGACGGCGTCCAGATAAGTCAGACTTCGGATCTCCTTCCACTGTGCCGGCGTAGATAAACCAGCACCGCGAAGTTCCTCCCGCAGACGGTTGTACACAGACCGGTTTTTCAAGATGTAGTAGACCGCTCCGGCCATGGTACTTGCAGTCGTGTCGCTGCCAGCCGCGATATTAGAGTATAGGTACATCTGGACGATGTAATCATTCACTATATCCGGCATTTTGTTTTTGGCCTCGATATAATGATCTAGGAAGTCTATATAGTTCTTTTGTGACGGCTTCCCCTCTGTCAGACGCTTTTCGGTCTGTTCTTGGCTGAATTTTACGACCCATCCAAAACTCGGAGGTCCCACGCGATGAATGGGGTTCTTGTCTAGGAAAAGATCCAGTGTTGGCATCTGGCAAACCTGTGAATGAAAGTTAGGATCAAAGTTTTACTGACACTGAAATCTGTAAGCTTACCGAGGCGAAATAGTCCAAGGCTTTGTTGGAAACTTCCAAGATCCCGAAGCGATCGCTCCCCGCCTCCAGCATCCCCAGGTTCTTAGAATAAGAGATTTGGCTCATGGCATCCCATGCGACTGGTTGTTGGCAGTATTAGTAGTAGATTCGGAATATAGGAGCCGGATAGGTGCCTACAGTAGTTGATATACTTGCTCATCTCGCAGGTATTGCCTGTTGATATAAATCTTTCGTGCAGCTTTTCAAGTAGAAGATTGATGGTCATGTCGACGCCAGGCTCCATATCTTGGACTCTGGTCATGGAATACAGATTCTTGACAGGCCGATTGTACTTGGCATGAACTTGCTCATCCTGAAAGGAGAAAAGGTTTTTGACACGAACCCCGGAAACCAAGGTGTCGTTTACAATGTACATGTCACTCTGTGAGGTGGTATTAGAGGAACTTCTGGGCATTGTACGTATATACCAGAATGATTTTGACAAACCTATCACTTACTTTGAGCCATGGATCCTTAGTAGAATATATTTGGTTGATCAGCTTAGGATCAGAGAGACTTAACACGTTGGGGCCCATGCAGACTGCAAGTCCATGTTTTCGGTGAAGCTCAATATGGGTGATTTCACAGCGACCCTTAAAAACATCCTGAAAGCGCCATACATTGGTGAATTTGGCACGGAATGGCCCTGGAAATGACTTCAACGGAGACCGGCAGTAATTCCACAGCAAGTGGGAGATAATAAGGGTAGTCCCCCAGATCACGATTTGGGCGACGAAATCCATAGGTATTTGGGTTGTTATACGTGAATTGAGAGGGTTATGTGGTAGAACAGGGTCTTTTTCTCCATTTTTACCTAGCTTGAGCGGGGGCTTTATAGGCGAGGTAACACTGCATGTTACTTCAAGGAGGACTCTATTGCCTCTTTGATCCACCCAACCACTAGGAAACATGTAGTTCAATCCCAGGAAAATAGAATGGAGCCAGAAATCAAGCTAACAAGGGAGATATGGGCCCAGTAGATGTCATTGACGTTAGGCCATGAGCCATGACATCTTGCTCCATTATTTGTCGAAGAACTTGAGCCCCCGCCACAGCAGAGTGGGACCTAGACCAAGGAAGATTTCTGAAACTGGTATCTGATGCTGCGTAACGATATAAGTATTACCTAACTCAGAACGTAAGAGTGGATTTCCATTGTGGTTCTCTTTGTCTGGTGGCCCTAAAAACGTTATGGCGAGAGATAAAGACATGCAGTCATGTGTGAGGGTCGATCGGCATGTTGCAACATCACGACAGGGTTTCATCAGAAGTCAATTAGTGGGGTTCCGTTAATAAACTGACTTGGAAGCATCCCTGTGCTTGTGCCATAAGCTGATCATTACGGCAGGGACACTTGTCATACAACGAAGATGGGGGGGCATTTAGCCCTATTTTACGGGGCGGTCTCTACTTAGTGTGTAACTGTCACTAGTGAAACACCCCGAAAGTCCGATGAGATAGTTGCTAGGCCCGATAGGCATTTGTAGAAATAATCTTAATTTCTTGCAAGTGACCCCGCCCCCCTTCTCTTCCTACACTAGCCTACCTAGAGTGCCAAATTGTAACTTGTAAGGTCCGTGTATGTCGCCAGGATGTTGATAGGGCTAGCACGGGTGCGATTAACTCAACGTTACCAACAACGGAGCTTGGCATTCTTTTTTATTTATAAGTAGTATGGGGTTCGTGGTCACTTTAGCCCCAAGAGAGCCTCCCATATTTACTTTACCATCAAGCGTCTGTGGGCCTGTACATAGCTAGCCACGGAGTATCTACACTAGACAATGACGAGTATAGGCGCTTGACAAAAGTACGAGATCGATGGCTAGACCCGTAAGGACTAGTGGTAGGACAACCGAAAAAATCTAGTACTCTGCACGGGTCCACTTTACATGGTGGGCCAGTATAGTAACTCATATTACCACACCCTCCATAGAAGTTGCGGAAATTCTGCAATTGAGCGCTGAAGGAGCTACATCCTTGTAGGTCCGGCGTAGCTATTGCCGGAGCTGAAGTGAAATAATTTTTATTTCGTCAACCGGGATGATTCTGCTGCTCATGCGTATCTGTTCACCAATCCCTCTCACGCTTTATCCTTGCCTAGTGTCGGCTATCTGTCGCCATGGATATTGACGGAATTCGCTTGTTCACTAGTGTGTCATCTACCGACTCTTTCTAATTGCTACAACTGCTTCAACTGCTTCAACTTCGATCGTGTACCTTATGAGACGTTCGGCCTCATTGCCAGCATGGTGACTGTCACGGATATCTTTGGGCCGCAACCGCCTGGTATTGATTTAAGTGACAATGAAACTCCCCGGATTAATGCAGCTGTCATTGCCCTGTATACTATTGCCGTGATCGCTGTATTATTACGATTTATTGCAAGAACGAGGGTTCAGAAAGTTGGCTTGGGGATTGACGACTGGTTGATTGCAATGTGCCTTGTGAGATCATCCTTCACCATTTCAATCGACAGCGGGAATTCGTGCTTATGGCCTCAGCACAGATTCCGTTAACTGCTTTGCTAGCTGCAACTATATTGGGTAAGGATATGGTCACCATCCTTCCAATATTACCATGAAGCTAACAGCTTATCCACCCTTAGCTGGGAAGTCCGGTCTGGGCAAGCATGTGTGGAGTGGAACGCTCGAAGATGTAGTGAATATGAGAAAGGTAAGGGTTCGGAACAGCAGCATATTTGGGCTGAATACTAAGAGCAAAAGATTCTCTTCGCCTACATCTTCATCTACTTGGTACTCCTCCCCCTGATCAAGATATCGATCATCCTCCTTTATCGCCGCATCTTCGGAATGAATTGGATGATGTGGGTCTGCCTATCTCTCAGCATTGGCTACGCTGCCTGCTGTACAATCGCTTTCTTATGTGCATGCCAACCACTGTCATACTTCTATACTCAATTCGTCCATCCATCGGGGGGAAAGTGTCGCATCAACCTGTACGGATTCTACATCGGAAACGCAGTATCGAATGTTTTCACAGACGTCATCACACTGCTTGTACCAATCCCAATCGTCTCAAGGCTTCAAATACGCACGATGCAGAAGATACTGGTATCCGGTATTTTCCTCCTAGGTGGGTTGTATGAGTGTCCCAAACCTCTTTCCTACCGCATAGAAACAGCGAGCTAACCTTCACGTACATACAGCGTCACCATCGCGAGTATCGTTCGAATTTACTATATGACCTTCCTCGCAAAAGATCCCGACATCACCTGGGTCATGGGCAACGTATACCTATGGTCCACGATCGAGCCCTGCATCGGCATTCTCTGCGCCTGTCTACCAACCCTCAACGCGCTTCTGCGAAGAACTACAACGCTTCTTTTCGGCTCGAAGGCCGAGCGGCTATTTGGGAGCCTTTCGCTATCGGCTTCGAGAAAGAAACATCGGAATGGGGCACGGGGCAAGATTCATTCGTTCCAGCAACTAGATGGATATGGAGGCAGTCGCACGGACCCACAGGTCCAGCTGCGTCCTGAGGATGAAATTGTGCTCACGACTGTTTCGGCCCATTCGGATCCTAACACCTATAATAAGGAGACGGATAGTGTGAAGCTTGCGAATGGCTCGGCGCCTTTTGCTATTAGGGTTAAACATGATTTTGATTGGAAGGAGGAGCATCCTTGATAAGGGCATTTGGTTTGACTGTGTTCTGGGGAAGATATCGTATATCCTGGGATTAAAAGTTAGACCCGTATTGCATGGGAAATAGCTCTATCATGGCATATTTTTGGTGAATTGGTGAATTGGTGTGTAAAAAGCACGATAGGCGTTTGGAAAGGAAAAGGAAAACCAGGCATTGTCCATAGATTATATACGTAAGTCTGTCATGAAGAACATAGAGGAGGGAGGACCGATCTAAGTTGAATGATAGCATATTGTTTCATTCAACATGCAAAACCAAATTGCTGAGATTATCTCCCGTAACCCTTATCATAAGGAATTGTTAGCCTACTCTGCCAACCCCTGCGTGTTACATTGAGCCAGGGCCCCCCGATGCCAGCGTACTATGTCAGATATTCACCTGTCAACCGGGCATTCGCTATTGTAATATCCAACCCTGGGATTGTTGTCGGTGATTGGATGCCGCTGCACACATACATGGGGAAGGTCTTCGCGCTCTAGCAACCCTGCAACATTCTCTGCCCGCTGGACCGGGTCAGACGGTACAGAATATTAGATTTCCAACTTCACATCCCATTCTTGGTCTAGACATACAAATAGTAACCCTTGGTAGGGGGCCCGTATCAGAGTAGTCGTGTACCATGCCTAGTGTAGCTTCCCCAAGCGACGAAATGTCGTCACGACTACACCTTTAATACGTCTGAAAATGTTGACTATAATATGGATGGAAGTATTTCTCCTGGCGATACTGGATTACACAATCATCCGCGCACGCATCACGGCAAAAGTAAAGCTCAAACCGGACGTCATAGTTTCCGCGTGATAAAAAGCACGATGGTTGGTTCTTTCAAGCGACAATAGTAAGATATATAGTAAAGGGCTGAAATGGCCATTCCTATCAATGGGCCGCATTCAGTGTCATAATATACATCAAGGCCTTCGAGGCTATTCTAGTGCTTTGTCAGGGCTTCCCAAAGACCGGTGGTTGAAGTCGTTCTATTGCCGTTTATACCAAACGCATTGTTTTTAGATCAAATGAGAAACTGATTAATGCGTCTGATAGGGAGACTAGAGTCCGGACCTCCAGGTTTGTACATGTAGAATAAAAGCCGCTAGCTAAGTTTTTCAGTTGAAATAGGGCGGGACTTATCCTATGCCGGAGGGCGGCGCTTGCTGTAGCGAGACAGTATAGAGTGAGCGTCCGAAGGCCAGTCAAGTGAAGCGCGGGCTACAGGTCATCTAAGCGTAGCGGAGTCAAACCAGCTTTGAGTAGACGGTCAGGCTGCAAGAACTGACGGGTAGTAATATCTGTTTCGCCCAGCACTTGGAGCTCGCGCAGGTTGCGAGAGACTGGCGTTGGATTTTCACTGCCTTGAATATCTGATATTTGCCTGAGAACTGCATTCACGACGAGATCAGACTGCAGTAGATGCGCATCGATTCTTGTGAGGGTTGGTAATCACGTTAGGAGAAGGGCCATTAACGGTCGTCCATCCTGCTTTCGTAGGTCCTTAATTATAATGGATTCTAGATGTTTGATGCCTGCCTTATGGATTGCCTCGCATATTAGGGCTATATCATCTTCTCGATGGACGCTTGAATCCTTCCATATGCCTGTACATGCATGTGGACAGTATCCCAAGCTGCCTATATTGACGGTCTGAACTAACACTGCGGGACGCACATTGCCGAGGATGGTGTGAAAGAAGTTCCAGAGAAACTGTAATGATTGCCTTGCACTATTGTAGGGCCATTTAGAGTAAATCTAGGAGTTAGAGCCTGGTACCATTGGCGACCAAGGAGAGAAAGGCTGCAGAGTTGTTGGATGTTGGGTTTATCCTTCAAAGCAAGATCAGTTACCGGGTAAAATAATTTTGGTGGGAGGTCTGCTAAGCTCGATATCTTTGTAGCCCCTATATGTTAGCCCTTAGATGCAGAGACCTTGAGAAAGGCTTACTGCATTGGCATCAATCCAATATGTATAGAGTGAGAATACAACGTGTGCAGGCGGGGGACAATGCCAAGTCATCAGTGCGTTTCTTTCGAAGTCATAGCCTGTGTAATCTTCGCCAGCATTACCTGTCTCCCACGCAGATGAGTGACAGTGCATTCATTCCATTAAGACATAATAAGAAAGGTTCTTCAAATGCTATGATGCCTTCGACCTTTGTCGTTGTGACTAGACGGTTTAAAGTAAAAGTCCAAATGTTTCAGAATCAGCCTATAACTTTCAATTTCTTCTTCTTTTTCTTGTCTCCGTCACCCTTCTTCCCTTTCTGCCAGTCCCGCCAGCTGCTGATGCGCTCATCACGAGTGTCTTCCCACGCCTTATCCTGATCCCGCTTCCGTTTGCGTTCTTCAATCTCTTCCTCTTCTTTGCGCCTTTCACGTCCTTCCTCCTGCAACTTAGCCTTGGCCTGTCGTCGCCGGCGCGCCTCCTCCTCTAGCAATACCTGCACCGTCTTCTGACGCCACTCCTTCTTGAACTCTTCTGTCTTTAATTCGGGCGAGTCCAACGTGTATTTATGTTCGCGAATCAGCAACCGTCGCGCGTCCGCGATACATTCATCAAGGTACGTGCGTGATTTCTCCTCCATTAGTGCAGAGTGAGCCTTTTTCAGGCGATCAAACGCGTCTGGCGCAGCTGGATTCTTTGTCTTATCAGGATGGATAAGTAATGACTTTTTCCGATATTGGACTTTGATATCGGATTCCGTAACTCCTGGCTGGAGGTCGAGAACGGCGTATCTGTTACAAGCCATCATCATTAGTCCCGGAGTGTAAATAAATATAGTTGGACAGGGTAAACTTACGCATCTAGCGAGAATGCCTTCCTAATACGATCAATTTCGGCATCCTAATCATCAAAGTTGGTTAGGGTAATTCTGATCACTTTTGCTTAGAGCTCCCGTTACCTTAACAAAGTCGGATGCTTCCCTTTCTAGGGCATCCAGGGCATCTTGCTCATCAGATGACATCTTTACTGATTTGTCTAGTTGCGAAATACCAATCCCGACGCCCACAGTGCCTGAGGAAAAGAGGAATGTATTCGTAAGCTATGATAATACTCTCCGACTGGAGAATTGAAATGGTGTCGCATGCCTCCAGGATCGATAAGCCCTTCATCTTATCGCTCGCTGACTCAGCGGGGAGAGTCCGGCAGAAAAAAGTGTTGCTACACCGCCCGCGATTTCTCCGACATTCGAAAGAGCGCAGAGAAAAATTAAATAGATCATTACGGATCCGCGCAAATCTCAACGACCTGGTACGTGAGCTAATCATGGCTCCTTCTAATGGTCCCCGTAACGGGAAGCATACGAAATCCTCACAACGGCATTCTTTGAAGCGCAAGCGAGCCCAGGATGATTTGTCGACTCTCACCCAGCGGGTTGAAGAACTCGATCTCAAGGAAACCTACAAATCCTTTTCCGATCTTCCCTTGTCTGAACCAACTGCTTCGGGACTCGAGTCCTCTCATTTCAAAACCCTCACTGATATTCAGTCCCGTGCGATCGGCCATGCCTTGAAGGGTCGGGATATTTTGGGCGCCGCAAAGACCGGCAGCGGCAAAACACTAGCTTTTCTCATCCCGATTCTCGAGAATCTTTATCGCAAGCAGTGGGCTGAGCACGATGGATTAGGCGCCTTGATCCTCTCCCCGACTCGCGAACTCGCCATTCAGATCTTTGAGGTACTCCGCAAAATCGGTCGCTACCATACGTTCTCCGCCGGTTTGATTATTGGTGGGAAGAGTTTGAAGGAGGAGCAAGAGAGACTGGGAAGAATGAATATCTTGGTTTGCACGCCGGGTCGTATGCTGCAACATTTGGATCAGACGGCTATGTTTGATGTGTATAACTTGCAAATGCTGGTGTTGGACGAGGCGGATCGTATCCTGGACATGGGCTTCCAGAAAACCATAGATGCCATCGTTGGCCATCTACCCAAGGAGCGCCAGACACTGCTCTTCAGCGCTACGCAAACAAAGAAGGTGTCAGATCTGGCCCGGTTGAGTTTGCAGGATCCCGAATACGTCGCTGTCCATGAGGCGGCATCTTCCGCAACTCCCTCTACACTCCAACAGCATTATGTTGTTACTCCTTTGCCACAGAAGCTTGATGTTCTATGGAGTTTCATCCGGAGTAACTTGAAATCAAAAACGATTGTGTTCATGTCTTCCGGAAAGCAGGTGCGATTTGTTTACGAATCTTTCCGCCATTTACAACCAGGTATCCCTTTGATGCATCTTCATGGCCGGCAGAAGCAGGGTGGACGACTCGACATTACAGCTAAATTCTCACAAGCAAAGCATGCAGTCCTCTTTTCGACCGATATTACTGCTCGTGGTTTGGACTTCCCGGCCGTCGACTGGGTCATTCAAATGGATTGTCCTGAAGACGCCGATACCTACATTCATCGAGTCGGGCGGACAGCGCGATATGAACGTGATGGACGTGCGGTGTTGTTCTTGGATCCTAGCGAGGAGACAGGAATGCTGAAACGTCTCGAGCAAAAGAAGGTTCCGATCGAACGCATCAACATCAAGGCGAACAAGCAGCAGACTGTCAAAGACCAACTTCAGAACATGTGCTTCAAGGACCCAGAACTCAAGTATTTGGGACAAAAGGCGTTTATCTCCTACGTGAAATCGGTTTACGTCCAGAAGGACAAGGAGGTTTTCAAACTAAAGGAGCTTAAGCTGGAAGACTTCGCTTCTAGTCTTGGTCTTCCAGGTGCTCCCCGTATTAAATTCATCAAGGGAGACGACACCAAGGAGCGCAAGAACGCATCGCGGGCAGTTGCCTACATGTTGAGCGACGATGATTCTGATGAGGGCGAGAAGACTACTAAGAAGGACGAGAAGCAGGTCCGGACTAAATACGACAGAATGTTCGAGAGGCGCAATCAAGATGTTCTGGCCGACCACTATTCGAAACTTATCAACGATGATGGCACATTAGTTGATCCCAGCAAGACTACGGGTGCAACAGATGATGCGGATGAGGATGACGATTTCCTGTCTGTCAAACGTCGCTTCGACGCTGGAGATGACGACTTGGGAGGTAGCTCTGAGGAAGAGTCCGCGCCGAAGGGTGTTAAGGTGGTACAACTCGATGGCAAGGATTCACTGGTCATCGATTCAAAACGTCGGGAGAAGCTACTCAAGTCGAAGAAGAAGTTGCTCAAATTCAAAGGGAAAGGAACGAAACTTGTGTACGACGACGAGGGCAACGCGCACGAAATGTACGAAATGGAAGACGAAGAAGATTTCAAAGCCCGTGGAGATGCCAAGGATCAGAAAGCCCAGTTTTTGGCCGAGGAAACCGAGCGGACGCGTGTTGCCGATGTGGAGGACAAAGAGGTGGCCAAACAGAAGAAACGGGAGAAGAAAGAGAAACGCAAGGCCCGGGAGCGCGAGTTGCTTGCGGAGGAAGAAGCAGAGGAGGCCGTGGCACAGCTGGCTCCATACGACGACGAGATGTCTGCATCAGAACGGGAAGACGATGCACCTCGACCCAGCAAGAAGCAAAAGGTCCGCATTGCAGAGCCCGCCGAGAGCGATGTGGAATCCAAGTACAAGAAGAGCAAGAGAGCAGCTCCCAAGGCCCCCGAGCAAATCCAGACCTTGGAAGATCTGGAGTCGTTGGCTACTGGATTGCTTGGGTAAAGAGATGTTTCATCAATGGGTATATCCTTTTCTGTCTTTTTTATTCGTCCTACTTAGCGGAGTATCAAAAGCATGACCATGATCTATGTATATAGTAAGTACCTAGTCGGTATGATAAACAATACAAGATTTTATAGCCCAAACTTAATTCCACACTGCAGATGTCAAGAGTGGAGCCCGGAGTTTACAGAAGAACGAAGAAGAAAAAGCAAAGAAAAAACGTGGTCGGTAAACCCCGCGTGCGATGTAACCACAGTTCCTAAAACTTGTACGTAACTTTTTTTGAGCACGTCATCCGCTAAGTTTTTGCGAAGCTACGAGGCCTGCTCTGTCTTGCCCCCCAGCCATGGCACAATCAGGGTCTACAGGTCTTAAGAAGGTTTTTCTCTCCTCAACCTCCGTAGACTCAAAAACTGGTTTGATACCTTTTCTTCGCTTTCTTTTGCGCCTTTCTTCGCCCTCACGTGTGATTCGATCGGGCCTGGCGGGTCAATTTCCTAATTGGGAAATTTTATAGGGCTATCTGCTCCTGCTAGGTATCTAGCTGATAAATCGCGGTTTGGGTAGGTCGATTTTAGCTATCATGCAGGTGCTTTGTTAGACTGTCCTACTAACATGGATTCCATGTTAGTGTCACACTCTGACTTTCCACGGGTTATTCACCCTCTCCATCAAGGTCCCTTGACCCTGGTTGTGTGGTCAGCTGAGGGAACTTGAGTTCGCGGGGTGCATCATCTGCTATTGAACCCCGTCGAGGCTAGTCCGAGAAAGTGTACTTATAATTGCACATCATGGCAGTTCACGACATCGAGAAAGATGCCTATCGGGCTCCTCAAGGGGATGCCGGTCTCAAGGCTCCGGGGTTGGTAACAGATCCCCTCGACAGTAACTCGCAATACATCAATGCGGATAAACTCGCCCGCAAGCTTTCTGCACGTCAGGTTCAGATGATTGCTATTGGTGGCACCATCGGGACTGGTTTATTCTTGGGGACAGGCAAAGCCTTGGCTACTGGTGGTCCGGCCTCGATGCTCATCGCATACGCCATTTGCGGTGGCATTGTCTTTGTGACCATGCTGTCTCTTGGTGAAATGGCTGCTTTCATCCCGGTGGCAGGATCTTTTTGCACTTTTGCTGGGTGAGTGGGTTGATCTGATAAAGTCCGAGATGCCGTAAGTGCTGACTCCTTTCAGTCGGTTCGTCGATGATGCGTTAGGGTTCGCCCTTACTTGGAACTATTGGTTTAATGATGCGGTTTCTACGGCCTCTGATGTCATCGCTCTACAGCTACTACTGCAGTATTGGACGGATAACTTTCCTGGATGGGCGATCAGTTTGATCTTCCTGGTTGTCGTTATTGCGCTAAATATGTTGTCCGTCAGGGTTTACGGAGAGGTATGTGCTCATTCATGCAGGGTACTATTGTCTTACTTACAATGCTGACATTCTATCCTGCAGGTTGAGTATTGGCTCAGTTTACTCAAGGTCATTACCATCATAGTATGTTCATATCTTTATGCTTCCTTGTTCGTTTAGAAGTAAAATACTAACAATATCCAGATCTTCATTATTCTCGGAATTGTAGTCAACTGCGGGGGGAACACTGACCACACGTACATTGGGGATAAATATTTCTATGTCGATGATGCTCCCTTTGTTGGCGGTATTGGTGGTTTTGCGTCTGTCTTCGTTACGGCTTCGTTCGCCTTGTATGTCCAGCTCATAACCTTTGAGAGAAACTATGCTAAGATTGAGCAGTGGTGGTACCGAGTCTATTGCAGTCACAGCGGGTGAAACTAAGGACCCAGCAAAGAACATGCCCAAGGTAGTCCGCAACGTCTTCTGGCGTATTATCTTATTCTACATCGTATCTATCATTCTCGTCGGCCTCAATGTGCCATACAACTACCCTGGATTGTCGGATGGGAAGACGGCCACTAGTCCATTCACCATAGTCTTCCAACAGGCTGGTAGTGCTGTCGCAGGCAGCTTCATCAACGCCGTTCTTATGACTAGCGTTATCTCCGCAGCGAACCATGCCTTGTTTGCCGGATCTAGGCTGCTTTATTCCCTGGCGGTTGACGGATACGCACCTCGCTTTTTTGGCCATCTAAACCGCTTCCAAATTCCCTGGGTCGCTGTTCTAGCGACGTCCGTGATTAGTGGATTATGCTTCGGTGCCAGCTACATCGGAGCGGGCCAGTTGTGGTCTTGGTTACAAAAGTAAGCTGTCCATGAAACAATTTTTTTTCCTATGAGCTTCAAACTAAACCCCTACAGCATCGTCGGAGTATCCAACCAGCTTTCATGGGTCTGCATTGGCATCGCATCTCTCCGTTTCCGATCTGCTATTCGCGCACAAGGTCTCGAACATCTCCTTCCTTACAAGAACTGGACATACCCAGTCGGCCCTATCATCGCCATCTGCCTCAACAGCGTCCTCATCCTCGTGCAGGGCTGGAAATGTTTCAGCCCACACTTCAAGGGCGTCGATTTCGTTTCCTTCTACATCGAAATCCCCGTCATGATCGTGATGTTCCTCAGTTGGAAACTGATCAAACGGACACGCTTCGTTCATCGGGGCGAGATGGACCTTATTACTGATCGGTATAATCTCGTCCATAGCAACGGGGTCGACGTCACCGATGCGCCTGAGGGATCTGCAAATATCTACGCCGAAAATGCGTCTGGAACGGAGCCGTCCCGCGGAAAGAAATTCTTTTCCTCGTGGAAAACTAAGGATAAGAGCTTCCTGGGAAGGATTAAACAAGTGAGCATGTGGATTTTCATGTAATATCTTCTTTGTAATTCTTTTTCCTGCGGGGAGCGAAGACAATAATTGTGTTTTACGATTAACGAGGTATATGTAACAATTTCTACTCTATTTGTTCATTTTGCAAATGAAAGAGACAGTGTCTTTTCTACGTCTAGCCTACGATACTGTGAATCAGGTCTGCGTGGAAACAACGGTCACTATTAATATCAATTAGTGTATTTTAGTCGCAGAGGCTAATATGCTTAAACTATCCACTCTCCTCCGATTCCCTTCCAACGCAAAATGGGAACTTGTTTAAAAGGTCTTGCTTCCTAAATCTAACGAATTGGCGAATTCTTGTTATTGCGTATTACAGTGGACTACAGAACCGTAAGGGGCTTGCAGCTGCAAAGATATAATCACTATATAATATCTAGTGGCTATCTTTGCAAAATTATTATACGCTATATGTGTTAGATCATGGAATATACTGACTCAATTGGCCTTCAATCAACCCTTCCCATACTGTATATCCATGTGTATGGGTATCTCAAATAGTTTTAGCAAAACATAAGTTGACAGGAAGCAGATACAGGTGGCCTCAGTGATCAAGAAGCTTCCTTTCCAATCGAAACGCCAAGGATATATATGAAGACAAGGTCTTGTTGCGTTATATCCTTAGATTGTGGACTGAGTACCCACTCGTGCGAGTATGATATACTTTACCAACCGTACATTTACCAACGATGTCATGGTTTCATGTGCTGTTCACTAAGAGTCTGTTGCTCCTGGTCTCCATCAGCCCCATGGTTAAAGATGGTATCAATCTAACTAAGAATGAGCTAACATTTCGAGGTCCTCGTAAAATCGGTCCATCTATGATAGTGAATAAAAGGAGATACATACTCAATTATCATAATAAGAGCGAAAGCTTGATGGCAAAGACAACCTACTTACTCCTAAGTTGCAAGTAAGTGGAACTCTTCCAACTAGATCATCGCTATCGGCCACGCATTCGAATGAGTCTCCAAGGACTGATCTTCCTGTGCCACTGCTTAATACCACGGTGGCTAATGAATGAAAGGCTTTACTTTGGGGGGTTTTTTTTAACAGTTTCACTTGTCATAGTGACCTTTTTAATGCTACTTGATGTCTCAATTCCTTCCATAATATGGGAATCCTCCCATAGTCACCCTGCAACGTACGAGGACACTCCCTGCCAATTTATACCCTTAACTTGAAGGCCGTCCCTGCAATTTACAACGCAGCACACTTCATAAAATTTAAAATTCCCAGGGTTTGCCTCATTTGCTGGAGCTAAGGTCATGTTAATTCCGGCACTCCAATATCAATATGTGGGGCGCGGGGGATACTCGAGATGACTCACCTATGTTAATGGATCGGAAGAGATGTCGGGTTGAGAGGGGACAATTCGTTCTGAGGAGCTATTTCCATGAATGATCTAGATATGAGGTCTGATTGAGGGGGATGGGAGAAGAGAAGGTGTTAAGGGTAGGTTATATAAAGTAGATACGGAGTGTGAGGGGACCTCTGTTGTGGTAGGTTGGCTCGATGGGTCGGAGAAGGCATGTTGAGTAGAGGATGAAACTGGCCTAGAATGAGCGCTTGGTTAAGCATAATAGATGATTATTACTCTACTTGGAACGAAACAGGATATTATAATTTTATTTTATATCACGGATAGAGGCATGTTGCTTGCTTCCTGGGATGTCGAATTATCTGCCCCTGCCGTTCGAGAATACAAGTCTCGACAGATAAGGTAAATGGTAATGATGGCCTGGACGGCCCCACAGATACCGTTTGTTCTGAACATCAAGGTGGTTACTCTCAGTGGAGATTGTAGATCGTCGCGTGGTGAACAAGTTAGATGTAACCCTAACTGGATCCACCATCGTCAAAATAAACTTCCGGTCGTAGGTTGCGATTGGTCCAGGATGCATTTAGAGGAAGCCAATCATAGGCGAAGAAAGACCAGGAGATAGGTAGTTAGTACCAGGCTCCTTACTAATACTACCTAACTAGTTAACTACTAGTAGTACTAGGAGTACTCCGGAGTACATCCATATAAGAGAAGCTAAATGAAATCAATTTTTTGTATTTTGTACCCTGTTTCTACTCCAATAATACATACATGTCCACAATCTGTATAGGCTATCTATATAACACTAAGCCAGCATGACCAGGCCCCTGACAATAAAAAGACAACGAAAGAAAGGCTAAAGAAGATACAATGCTCCTTTTTCATATGCAATGGTGCAGAAACGATGGTGATGCTCCCCCCTCTGACTCCAAAACAAAACGCCGTCTATGACACTGAATCCAATGCTAAGGCCATTTTAGTATGCCCAGAAGGATAAGCGCAACGCGCCATGCATCGTATGAAACAAGTTCAGTCGGCCATGCAATTCACGAAGTCAAACAAAGGAAATAGTGCTGAAACGGGCCGTATGCGTTTTATAACACAACAATGAAAATAGCCAGATCTATACCAGATGCAAAACAAAGGAAATAAGGGAAGGAGAAAAGAAAAGAGGCGAAACGACTGGACCGCTAGATATCGGATGTGAGCAAAACGTAACACAAAGGAGATTTACATGAAGGTCATCAATTGTTGTAGATCCGGCTACACGCATCAAAATACCAGAATGGATCACCTGGCCTTTCAATGAGGAAAAGAATGGATATGCTAGCTCCGGTCATGAATTCTGTTTGCTTTTGTGGATTGAAATAAGTACTCAGTCGTTCACCATATCGTCCAAGGCCATCTTCCGCCTTTTAGCGGGCCTTGAGCCGTCGGTCTCGGCTTCAGCAGCTGGCGGGTCATCTCGAACACGCACAGGAGACCGCTGGTGCGGCTGCTCTTGGGTAGGAGGAATTTGCACCAGCTGTCGGGGAATCTGACTCCCATAAGTGAAGTCTGACGCCGCGGGGCGCATCTGACCGCTAGGCGAGATTGACTCAATGGTGCCGTGGCCATGAGACAGTTGTCGTGGCTCCTGCTGCACTAGTTCCTCTCGCGTCTGAGGCGACCAGGTCGCTGGATAAGGGTCACTCAGCCGGTGCGCTTGTGGTCCAGGATTAGGATTTCCAATGGTGGGGGGATAGATAGGGGGCAGTCTAACTGAAGATTCCACAAAGCTTTCACGGGGATCCCTTGGCACTGGCTGCTCGTTCATTGACATCCGATTGACCACTCTGGTATTAGGCGTATATGGAGAATAGGGGACACCATACGGCTGATGATATTGCGGTGGCGACGAAAGGGTGTGTACCGCTGGGTTCCCATATGATGAAAGTGGTCTCCCTGGCCCCATAGGCATATGGGACGCACCCATCACCGGGCTGTATCCTCCACCTATCGGCAAAAAGCTGCCTGGGGACACTGAGGTCATGGATTGTACTGAGCTGGACGAAGAGAATCGCCTATGTCCCATATTCCGCTGCATCTGTAGCGACGGATCAATGGTCTGAGGGTATACAGCGCCCGGCCATCTATGTAGCTGCCCCGCGGGAACCCTCATTCCAAAGGGCCCAGGGGTTCCCCCAGGTATCTGCAAATCCGTCATTGGTCTGAGCTCGCGGGACGATGTAGCTCTATGCATAGGTCGCCTTGACTGCGATGCATGCTGCTCGCCGGATGATCCTGAATTGTCTGCCTGCGATGTATATGTTCTGAGTGACGCGTCTTCGGCTTTCAAGGGCGGTCTTCCTCGCTTTTTGTGCGTCACGTCGACACATGTTGCCTATTGAACGCTTAGTTACTGATTTCATTGCTGTACCGTAGCCTATCACATCCACATGGGTTCCAATGCGAAGCGTGGTGTTCTCGGATCCCACAAAAGATAACATGTATAACTTACCTCTTTTCCCGACAAGACACACCTCCGACAGGGTCGTGCAGGGTCACAGCCCAAGTGCTTCTTCTTACAGTTCACACACGCGGATGCCACATGAGCCTTGGTGCGCCGGGTCGGTTTCTGTGGCAATGCGCGACCCGCAGCCCCAGGTGGTGAAGTTCCGAAGGTGGACTGCGAAAATGGTGGCACCGGGGGCTGGGACGTGGCTGGGACACTAAGTGATGGCGGCAGACGTGCCGTAAAGCTGTCACTGACTGGGAATGGCTGTCGAGGTACTTCGCTTCCGGGTCCAGAAATCACCCTGTAGTATGCTGGTTCATGGATTGTTGTGGTAGGGGGAGGTGTCCTTGGAGGGCGAATGTGCCCTGTCAGTCCAGCAGATGATAGTCCGGTAGGCGTCGATACAGTCGAAGACTCCACCGCCGTTACCGGTTGAGGGAGCTCTGGCTGCCCGGGCCGTCTGATGTTCCCAGAGGTCTCCTGCGGGTCTTCTGCCGGGACCGAAGCGGACATAGAGCGAGGGAGTGGAAGATCCCGGGGATTGCACCTTCGAGCATTTATTGATCGATTTAGGTCGAATGGAAGCCTCTCTGGGCCCGGATCCAGTCTGGAGTGTCCGAACTCTGGGGTGATAAAGGATGAAGGGGGAAGGACTAATGATTGCATCTGGCAAAATAGTCCCTCTAGCGACGAAGGCACGATTTACAAGAAAGGGGGGAGGGTTGTAGTCGATATTGACATGGGCAGCATATTCCGATAGAAAGAAGCCGTTCTGCTGTATGTCAAATGCGGTTTCCTGTTCAATCGGCAGTCATTATTGAAACTCCACGCATTGCAATCAGAGGACTACAGGAGCTTATAATGAAGTCAGCACAGGATCACTATTGGAGGAGTCAGAAAGCAGGACACGCTAATCCGGATAGACTGCCCAGATCGTGACGGACAGTTTTCCATAGCTTCGATGGTCTCCATCATGGGTTGATTATTGCAGCATGGCGGGCGATCACTGGAGCCACTGGACAAGCGTAGAACGGAAAAATTAGGGAAAGGTGGAGAGAGGTGTAGACAAAAAAAAAAGGGACAACATAATTTAAAAAAAAAAATCAAATAAAATTAAAAATTAAATAAATCACTGGCTCTTCTGTTCCTTACCTCTTAACACACTATGTAAGATTCTATTTTCTTTTTCTTTTTTTTTTAACTTCCTTTTTATTGTTTCTCTTTTCCTGGATATAGATTTCTGACAGTGATGAAGTGGCTTCTCAACACCTGTCAGGAAAATAGGAAAAAACGGTGAACTATAAGCGGAAAGTGAGGCGTAATAATCCGGCGAGATCACACACACTCTTCCTTTGCCAACGGAGAGTAAAGTTGAAATTAGGTGTGAATATTTCCCCCCCCCCCCCCCTTCCCCCCCTCAAGAAGGAATGATAAATCAAGCTAAGAGTCTTTAAAGAAATAATAATAACAAAAAAGAAAAGGAGTCAAAGAGAGAGAGAGAGAGAGAGAAGAAAGATACCCAACCTCGATCGTCTAGTGAGTCTTTTGGGTAGGGGGTCGGTCACGCTTGGCTGCTCATCACTCAGTAAGTTTCAATGTCAAGGGGAGAGAGACAGAGTTCCCGCTGGGCACTCACATCCTTTAGGAATTGGCCTCAAAAACAGCAAGTGATAGCAAGACCCTAGTCTGTGTTCGTTGTGACGAGGCTTATACCTCTGAACGGGTAGGTCCCTGCTTGGTTGGCAGCATATGGGAACAGAGGGTGGGTAATAGTGGCCAGTGCAACACCAACTAGCAGCCGATAGATAGACTTGATCTCCATGGTAGATCTCCATGGGGGGAGTTCTTTTTCGCTCCGTAAGCCATGTAAGTCTTTTTGAGTTATGTATGTTAGAATCGGAACCGTCGAATAGTTCCAATCCTCCGGCGGGTCCAGTCCAATAAGCTTGCTCTTAAAGACGGCGTCCAAACAAGCTGTGGAGGACACTTGCTGTTTTTTTCCCTCTTCCTCCTCCCTTGGAATGGGGCAACTTCTTTTCTTTTCTTTTAGTTTTTGTTTTGGATTTGGTTGAATTTTTTTTTTCTATTTTTTGACATGGTCAAAGCAAAGGAAATCCTCTCATTCGTCGAGGTAGGTTTTCCAGCTGGATAAGGAGGAGGTTCGTGGCTTGCATTAGACGGACGATTAAGAATAGTCACTGACACTGCCCGAAATGGGTATAATACCCTCTTTTCGATGAGGGGAAGTTTCAAGAGGGGGGCGGCAGAGGGAAAAAAAAATAATAGAAATTAAATAAAATGGATCAGACACCATATCCCAAAGAAGAAGGGTAGCTCTTGTAGTGTGGAGTGTGATTTTGTATCTTTTTCCTTTTTCTTTTCTGTTTAATTTAATTGTTTTTTTTTTTTTTAATTATTGTTTTGTTTTATTTTATTTGTCGAGTATAAGTTAGTCGAATAACCTGAGTGGTATATTGAGTTGTAGTCAATCAGTAAGGCAAAAAGAGCGGATCGACGTCGGCGCCCGTCCGCTGCATCCATTGCCAATAGTCCGCTCGGCAAGGATGAAAGGCTGCGTATTCCCCGTCCCAGTTTGACATGCGCAACCAAGTAAGAAAGGAAGTCGGGGAACTTTTCACCAGGATTTTAAGCTTGTCAATCATCCAGGATTGGGTGAAGGTGCCATTTAGCGTCTTCCTCTTTGTGTTCCCTTCCGCATTGTGATCTGGGTTGATCTGATATTTCGTTCGTCAGCAAACCATGGGGTTCCACTTATGAACTCGAACTCTCTCTCTTTTCTTTTTTTGCCTTTTCCTTTTCCTCCCCATTTTCTTTTCTTTTCTTTTCTTTTCTTTTTTTTTTCTTTATTTCTTTTATCTATTTTCTTCTTCCTTTTTCTTTGTAAAATATATATATCATTCTATTTATTTAACTCGTACGTTGCTTGGTCTCTAAAAACGTCTAATGGGAAACGTGGTAGTGAACCTTCGAGATCACATTGTTAATCCCATTGATGTCTCTCTCTCCCCCCTTGCTATCTAGCATTTATTTATTCATTTATTCATGATCTAGCGTGGTTATAATTAAGTCTATCATTATTCAGAGAATTATTATTGTTAATAATGATATTAACATTAATATGGTTAACCAGGAAAACATGGTATTATCATTGTTTTATACACTTAGTAGGTTAGGGCATATCCAGTGATTGTGCTTCCCAGTCTTCGTAAAGTAGAGTATGCGTGGACGGCGGACAACATCCTGGGGGGATGCAGAAATAGCACCTTCAGGCAATCCCATTTATTTATTTATTTATATTTTCATTTTTATTTAAAAAATTGTAACTTATTGAAGACGGCAAACAGTTCTTGACGAAATAAACGGAAATTTTGATCATCTGGCATAATGATTTCTTCCTGTCTAATCCAATGCCCAATAATATCACGGCATCTGTAAATTGCGACTCGAGATCGTCATTCAAATCCTCGAGGTGACGTCCCAGGACCATGGAACACTCACGATGGGATCAGCCCGAAAGAGACAGCGCGGAGGATGTGTATGCAATACGCATAATGCTCAGTCGAGGACTAGACCGACTGAGTACAGCCCTGTCTCCTTTGTGCCGCTTGACAGATGACGCCAGCTCAATAGTCCGAACTTTTGTATTGAGTCAACAATTCTCCGCAGTGGTTCCTTAGCCTAGAAGTGCAGACCCACACAGGCTGTGTAAAGGAAATGTTTGGACTTCTGACTTATCGCGGCGGGTCCAAGCATACCTAGTAACGTACTGCACCTTGTGTCCATGGCACTTTGTCCGATCGTTTTGAGTGCCGAATTGGACGATGCCGGTACTTGAAGCCAGGTGCATACCTCTGGCTGCAACCCCTTTTTGCCCAACTCCTGTAGATTGACGGGCTGTGGAAGACAGCGCTGGTGGGGGACGCCGTTCGTACCACACCTCCATTAGCCTGAGATCTATTGATTCTGGCCGTTGTAAGTGATCTTCGCGGATGGGATGAACGTTTCTTTCAGTAACGCCATCATAGTGCCACACCACTTAGAGACAAAATGGTAGAACAAAGGCTTAGGCTCAGGTACACTGCGAGATCCCGCCAGACCCGTACTATAGGAACTACGAACCGCTGAGGTCCCCTAACGAATATCTCCTGATTCTCTGCAGCGATTTGGGAAAAATGGAGGAAGATCAAGATGTGGCTGCAGCCGCAGCTCCCTGATCAGTGAAACAAACATGGGTCTAGCTTGGTCACCTGAGTTCCGGACAATTTAAGCACTCCACCCATGGATGACAATAGAAAATGGTCCGTCCGATAAGAGCCAGGAAGATCCACCCGCTGCTTGAGCACGGAACAACGGAATATGATCAAGTGGAGGGGACCAATGGACGGCGAATTACCGACGGTTATTTCCTGACCCGGGACGTGGATAGACCAATAAATCGTGTGTGATCTTTCCTTCGTGCCTTTTCCTTATTTTTTTTAATTTTTAATTTTGTTTTTTTACCCCCATTTTTCAAGTGCTGCCTGAGATTTGGAATATTCTCCATCCAGTCCGTTTGGAGCGAGTCATGATTCTTGGCCCATAAAAGAAGGGTCCAAAACTTGAGTTAGTCTCGGGGATTTTCCACTATGACCTTCGTGATCCATCGTTATGATACCAGGTAGAGCTTTTAGCTCCAATATTGGTCCCCATTTGTCTAGCCCGATCGATTATATTGCAGGAGATGGGGGTTTTTTTGTTCTTGCTCTTTTACTTGGTTACGACCCCTTGGGGGTGAGATGGGACTCCCAAGCCCAGCGAGACGGCGCCAGAGGCGCGACACCCACACAGTACAGTCCGTCTGGGAATTCAGAAAGAGAACTGGAATCATTGGGATTCCCTCCAAATATTGTGGAACATGCTGCACGCGGGGGTAGCAATCCAACAGCAAGGGGTTCCATTTGGTTCAGTTAATTGGATCCTAATTTTTTTTTAAAGGGGGACAGCTGAGTTCCCAGCAGAGTAAGCGGTTCATGCAAGCTAAAGCCGAGGACCACCAGCACGATCTGCCTCTTAGGGGCCGAGCGGGTGCCAATAGTCCGAGCCACCGGCTCCAAGTTCTTAGCCACCAAAGCTAAGAGCTGAAACCCCAAACGATTCAATCCCCGAGAAGAGTGTACTCGAAACACTCAGGAAAGTTGAATTCAAAGTTCCTAAGACGGTAAGTAGTACATTGTACATAAGTTTGCATATGGCTGAAATTAGTCAACACACACACCGTGTCACCCAAGACAACGGGTCTAGCAATCGACGCAGTTACTTCCGCTATTTGGATGGGGAACAGGTATACGAGAAATTCATCACCCCACTGACATGCAGATTCGTACCTATACCACCGTTGATTATGATGATGGGAAAACAGGGGATCGGGGAAGGAGCAATTTTTAGTGGATGGTGAGAGTGTTGAACGACGCCCCCCGACGCAAGGCGCTTGGGAGATGACCCGGCCTTGTCCCCTTCCGGTTTAGCGTGATTCCCCGTGAACAGAACCCCTTTGGGAAGACACGCGGATCTCGACGGGGCAAAGGTATTTGTCAACCTCAGTCGAGGCTCAACATTGTCCATATCACACTAAGTTGCTGACGCCGTACCCCTACTAACATGGCACTACTTTATAGTTTGGTTGACTATACGTTTACTAGGAGATTTTATATTGTGAGTTCGCCCAATTAGGGTAATAGAAGATCTTAGGGCTTTAAAGGTCATAGAGCTCCATTGCAGGGCCTGTCAAGACGGGTGAGCCCGGGGACCTCGTTGGAAGGAGCTGTGGAAACACTAAGAACAACAAAAAAAAAAAAAAAAAAAAAAAAAAGACAAAGCATGCCGGTCACCAAAAGAAATGCACACCACAGAAAACAGAAACAGAAAAAAAAAAAAAAAAAAAAAAAAAAAAAAAAAAAAAAAAAAAAAAAAAAAACAACAAAAAAAAAAAAAAAAAAAAAAAAAAGAAAGAAAAGAAAAGAAATCGCCGTTCGTGAAAATTCGCTGAACTGGGGTTCAATTCCGTGGCACACCCGTTATTACACAGCACTTGTCAATGCGTGTTCCGGCGACACGAGGTAATCTTCCGAAAATTGTCCTCTAGTCCACCTAGGAGACATCCGTGGGCAGGGAAGGGCCATGATGAGTACACTGCTCTTTAACATGTGGCTGACTCGGTTTCCAGCGGCCGAATGACACTGCTCGTTGAATATCTTGGTATTCCGTGTTGTTTCAATTTTTTTTTTTGGTGTTTTTTTTTTTTCCTTCTCACCTTCTTTAGTGCCATATCCTCTAAATGCTTTGCCTCTGTAGCTCGGTTTTGAGACACGCATACAAGTGTTAATGAGAGAAGCACGTCCTTACCGCTTGACAGCTGTGTCCCGATACTGGAGGACACCAAATCTTCTAGGTGCCTCCATGGAAGTCGTGCCTCAATATCTTTTACTCAACTTATCCATCGACTACTTGGAAGATCCAGACATGTCAGATGGCGTTCTATGGGAGCCAGAGTAGAATGAAGCGATCCGAGGACTGGCGATAAGAAACACGACCACTCAGAAAAAGGCCTCTCTTAAATGCTGATCTCGCATTACGTTCGCTCGTCTAGTAAAAGAGCCAATCAATGCAGATTTCGTCACTCGGGCATCGTGAATTTGGCTGATCACCGAAAGGTCCATGTGCCGGTGTTACCAATGGTGGTGGCTATGGAACTTGCGCAAGTACTAAAGTCACGGTGACCCTTTCAGGAGCCTTGCGCCAGTCTCTACGCTGGGTCGAAAGCAATTGCATTGAGATTTGTATCTCTGTGGGTATGTCCCGACTACTATGTCATGTGGGAATAGTGGCCCCCCTGTGCAACCACGCATATGCTTTCTTCCACACCCTCGTGATGGCTGGTAATTAGGCATTGCCTTAGCTGTAATCGTAAGCTAATTACTTTGGCAATCTCCGTCTTGACTCGCAATCGGAGTCAGGACTGACCTATTTTTTCGACTATTATCCTCCTAAGCGAGTGTGGCGCCTTCGAATTTCACGCTTATCTGAGGAAATAGAATCTGCTGTATAATCGACTTGGGTCTTGGCAGGTGAACCAACCGGACGAGTAAAGAGGTTATATGACAAGATTTGGACCGACGAAGGTCAATGGCTTAGAGATGATCCGTCACCTGTCGTCAGAGATATGTCCTGATCGAGTAATTCCGAATGAAGCTATCAACTCTGTGGAGAGTCGGTGAAGGCTTTTCCGGACAAAACGTCTGTCGTCTTGTCTCTCTCAGACTTTCTCTCCTTTGTCGCCATTTTTTCTCTCTTTTTGCCTATTCCTGCTTTTGTTAATTTCCTAGGGACGAAGCTCCGCGGGACGGTCCGCGAAATACCCTGGTATTGTTTCCGCCCACAACGATGAAAGGGATAATCAATAATTGGCCCCGTACTAAGAACCCATCAGAATAAATTGACAATAAAAGCTCCCCAGATAGGCAAAGCCATTCCCTGACGGATATCATCTGGTTCAAATACCCGGATGAGTTATTGAATCAGAAGTGTCGCTGATCATTGGTCAATCTAGTTCAATCATTTATACAACCTTCCCTAACAATATAGATGGTTTTCCCATTTCTTTTTCTTTTCCTTTTTTGCCATCCCTACATTATGCCGGACAAGATCTATTTCTAGGCAAGTGGATCCCCGGATCTAAATAGAAATAAATTCCAAAGTGGCTTATTATAAGCAATAGACGTGTATGCATGCATGTACATACAGCAAATGTCTAGATTAGGTACATAATCCTCGCGGTCTAACAAATATCCATGCCGTCGATCCCAGTCTTATGCAACTTAAATCCCTCAAGTGACTACTTCCCAGAAGAACTTTGCTCTCTTAACAGGCTGTAAAAAAAATTCAAGATTTAACGATTCACCAAAACCCCCAAATAGCGCAATATTGCACGATATACCCCAATACGAATGAGTCGCGGAATAAAAAGCCCACCGCCTCATTCCAAACAATACTCCCTCCCCAGCTGGACATAGTCTAGACTCCCTTCCCAACACAACATACAAACCAAAAGTACCTTACCCAATAACCATACATACATACATAGAATTCTGAAAGCCAGACCCCCAAAAGAAAGAAAAAAGGGGGGAGAACCCGCATCAACTCCACTAGCCCGTCACAACCAGGGGGACGTAATATTTCACATAGGAAAATTGATATCATACGGGCGTGTAGATACCGTAGATACTCTGCTCTGCCCCCCCCCCCCCCCCAATCCCCTGATCTAGACTGTTCTACGTTTATGGCTAAGCTATCGTTCGCCGCCTGTCATATTTCCAAGGCAAGTATGGGCAACGACACACTTTGGGACCTTTGTACAGAAGGTGAATCTGGATGGTCTCATTCTTAACGAGATATCACTCTTCCCTGCTTCATCACGCACTAGTGGTGCTGACGGGACTGTTGATTTCTGGGTACATCCTCGTTTACATTGCGGCCATAAGTTTTTTTCCCCTTCGGCTCAGTACCGTTATTTTGGTATTCTACTCCGCAGAGTGAGATGTAGCCGCGCTGCATGCGCTACTGCATGGATGAATGCGCTAAATTCAGAATTTCTAGGTTTATGTTAGGGGGGTGGTGGTGTGATGGCGATGTGATATGTCTTTTATTGATTCCTATGGAGGGGAGGAGCCAATCAACTGGGAAGGGGTGGATCGGGGTTTATGTGGCGGTGATGGGGAATTAATGGGTTTTCTGTTCCTTCTTTCCTGACTACTTTTTGGTGCTGGAGTGTTGTGGTGGTTGAGTGGCTGTATGGACATTTCTGGGTGTTGCGTTCTATGTGGTTGGGTAGTAAGTAGTATGGCTGCTGAGGTGGTGCTTGCAGGTATCGGAGTAAGGCAGAGATATATGTACATGGTCTATAGCATTCAGTCTTATTGTAGGCGCATTACAACCCTACGAAGGATTGATCATATCACAATGGCTGAGCAGATGTACTGACTGCAACATTCGATGGTATGTACAACAGGATTTTTTTTTTTTGAGCCAACGCCTTTTCCCAATTCATTACATTCACCTCTTTTTTGATGGCCGGGCATTCTTCTCCCTTCTCTTTTGCTTCAGCTTCCTTGCCAGCCGGATATCATCTGTAGATTTCAGCTCGCTCTTGCCACGTGCAGCCGCGCCTCCAGCTTTGGACAGCTGGCGCTCCTTAGCCGCTTCACCCTTCTTTTTCATCTTCTCGTAGTCGCCACGTAGACGGTCAGCCGCCTTGGGGGCCTGTTCCTTTCGGTGCTTGAAGCGGCGTCCTGACATGTGATTATTGAGGTCAGCGGCGAGACCTGGTGTCTCTGCCTCGCCCACACGTGGCAGACGGCCCATACGCTTGCCCTTCTTCCATGCGTCGAATCGTCCACTGCGGAAGGAGGATGCAATTTTGGCACCAGATTCACCGCGTACAAGTCGAGTGCCCTTGGACCCGTCTTCATCGTTTTGCCGTGACACATACTTCTTGTGCCGCTTGTCCCAGCGCATCATAGTACGGGGCTCGGCGAACCCGCGGCTACCCTCATCACCAAGTAGATCCATAGTAGCACTACGTGAAGCTTGAGCAAAATTGGAATTAGTTCCGGTGTGCACACCATAGGCCCTATCTTCAGCCAAGTTTGTGTTGGATGGAGTGTATGACATGAAGTATTCGGGGTTTTGGAAGGATGCAGCGCTTTCTTTCTTTGACTTTCCTCCGTTATACGATGAGAAAGTGACTTCGAGATCGGACTCAGATGCCAGTGACATGTTATCGGGTACTCCTTCAGCGGCATCATCTTCATCAAACTGGTCATCTTTCTCCTCAGCCTCGTCGGCTCCTTCCGTGTTTCCGGTAGATGCATCCTCCAAGAATTCCGACTGTTTTTCGGCCATCTCTCGTTTCTTCTTTTTGTGATCAACCGTAGTCCGGATTCGCTTGATGGTATCGACAGCTTCGTCACCTTCACCCTTGCCACCACGGCGATTGTGCACTTCGAAGATTGTTTCCTGGGGCCGGTAACCTCCGATGCGGGCAAGCATCTTCTCACGCTCTACTTCCATTTGACTTGATTGGTCATTGAAAAGAGGATGTACGGCTGTCCAGTTGTCAGAAGCGACAACTTGTTTTGACCGCTTAGCACTCTCTAGGGATGCCGAGTTTCGAGTTCGGATATAGAGCTTTTCTCCTTTGCTAGCAACGATGCGTTGAGCATACACATCGGCATCATGATCCAAAACCTTTGTAACCCATTCACAGTTGTTGGACAGGCCATCCCTAGGCAAGCTGCCGACGACGACATCTTCGGCGTAGTTAACTTTGTCACCATACTCACGGCCAATGACGAGCCTTCTCCCGAGGAAGAGCTGCAGATCAAGCATATACGGGGCATCTGCATCCCGAACTAAGCTGTAACTCCAACCCTTTTGGCCAGCACGAGCCGTACGACCGACACGGTGAACGAAGATCTTTGGCTGAGATGGGAAGTCATAGTTGATGACGTTAGCAAGGATAGGAATATCAATACCTCTTGCTGCAACATCTGTGACAACAAGGATATTAGAGATACCAGTTCTGAAATTCTGGACCTGAATCTTTCGCGCAGTCTGATCCAAAGAACCGTAGGCATAAGAAGTTGCAAATCCGGCCTGGCAGAGTAGAGAATAGAGGTAATCCACGTGATGTTTTGTCGCGGCGAAAACAATGGTCGAATATTTTGTCGGAGACTCCCGCGTGTTGACAGCTTTCATCTCCGATCGCTTCCGTTTCTTAAAATTCTTAAAGTCGTCTTCTCTTCGACGCAGCGAGGCCTCAGTTGGGCCAGTGGGCATTCTGATAACCTCATGAAGGATGTAAAGCAAGGCTCCTTCCTTGTCCGCAGATTTGACAGAGAAGAAGGCATTCTCAAGATCCGGCGAGATCTTACCTTCGGTATCCAAACGAATAAGGGTAGGCTCTTGTAGACCAGCACGGGCGAATTCCACCAGCGACTTGGGCAACGTCGCAGAGAACAAAAGAGTCTGGCGGTTGGCAGGGAGTCCGTGCAAAATCTCCGTAAGCTGAGCAGCGAAACCCATCTCAAAGAGTCGATCGGCCTCGTCAAACACCACGTAACGGATACTAGACAGATCCAGATTCATCTCCACCTTCAAGTGCAGGAAACGTCCGGGTGTCGCAATCACAATATCGGGATTACCGGCCATCAAGCTGAACTGTTCCTCCAAGCTATCACCACCAACAAGAAGAACAGACTTCAAATCTGTACCCTTTCCCAGCTCCTTAACAACCTTCAACGTCTGTAAAGCCAGTTCTCTCGACGGCGACAAGATCAGCGCCCTGGATCCAACTTTGGTACTGTGGCTCTTCAACTTCTCTATCATGGGAATAACAAAGGCAGCCGTCTTTCCGGAACCTGTCCGCGCCATACCGACTACATCCTGATCGTCCATAATCACGGGGATAGTTTTGCGCTGAATGGGAGTCGGAACCGAAAAACCCTTCCGCGTAATGGCTTTCAACAAGTGTGCATTCAGTCCCATTGCCTGGAAACCACCACCCTTCTTGACAGTACGGCCCTTGAGGTTGGAAGACTTCCTGTTGGCCGAAGCCTGTTGCTCTGCGATGAACGCCTCGTCATCTTCGTCGTCGTCAACTTCTCCAAGAAAATCAAGCTCTTGAGCTGGGGCCGCCTTCCGTTGCCGCGTTGCCTGCTTCAAAGATGTATCATTATCGGAATCACTGTCATTCTGAAAAAGCGCATTCGTGATATCGAATTCATTCTCTGACGCTGCTGGCGACGCTGCGCGATGAAGCATTTTGGCCTCTATCTGTTAGAAACGAAAAAGAAAAAAGTGTTCGCCTAAAAAGGCATATGAATAAATCACTGAAACAGAGATCAATTTCGTTGCGCAGAGATTCTTATCAAAAAAACTGGGTATCTCAAGTCACACCAACGCTCCCAGTGAAAACTGAGTGAAAAAGACGAGAAAAGGCAGACCTTCTCTCCTCGTCCGATAATTGACGCTTCTTATCGATCCTCAACTTTTTTTGTCGGCAGTGGAGAAAAAAAGCTAAGGCGGTCAGGGATCAAAGTAGCTCCGGAAACGGTGCAAACGTATCAAACAGTCCCCGCAACGCGTCCAACGCGTCCAGAAGCGGTAAAATGGCGATGATTGCTTCATTTCAGATAGAGATCTAAGGTACATAGCTTAGTTCGGCTCAAATAACATAAGATGGGTAAGCACTCACTTCGGTGGTGAACACCTCAGTGCGCAGCTCGCTTTGAGTATGGTTTGCTAAGTACTCTTTAGATAATTACGGTTACGGTTCTTCTTCCTATGGGGGTGGTGGTGGCTTCATGCCAGGAGAGACAAACAGTCCTGCCGGAGGAAAGGTATGAAATGGCCCTACCTAGAAGTTATCTCGAGTGGCCCAATATTTTACTACGAGCTTCATCTCAGCTTAAATCAATGCTGATCTACCACCCAGAGCGCCGACGGCAACAACACCACACTCCGCCCTATCACAATCAAACAAGCCCTCGACGCAACACTACCCTATCCCGAAGCTGATTATCAGATTGACGGCGCCGACGTAGGCAGCATTTGCTTCGTAGGACAAGTCCGCAATATCAGCACTCAAAGCACAAACATCACATACAGAATCGACGACGGCACGGGCGAAATCGAAGTGAAACAATGGGTTGACTCGTCCACAGCCGATACTATGGACACAGATGATGGCAAATCAGGTGCGGGGAAAAGCCAAGTCATGAATAACGGTTATGCCAAGGTGTTCGGGAAGTTGAAAACGTTCGGGAATAAGCGATTTGTGGGATCACATTGTGTGCGACCCTTGACGGATATCAATGAGCTCCATTGCCACATGCTGGAGGCGGTTGCTGTACATCTTTTCTTTACTCGTGGTCCTCTTGGTGGCTCCGGCGGTGCTGGTGCCGCTGCTAGTGGAGTGGGTGGTGCTGATGCCGCTATGGGCGGTGTTGATGATTATAGCGCTAGCAAAGGACTTCCGGCTATGAGTTCCGTGGCAAGGAAAGTGTACAATCTGTTGAAGACGGAGCCTCAGAGTAATGAGGGGCTACACGCTCAGCTCATTGCGGCTAAGCTTAGTCTACCCATGCCGGATGTGGCTCGTGCTGGTGATGAGCTGCTTACTGCTGGTGTGATTTTCTCGACCGTTGACGAGCAGACCTGGGCTATATTGGAGTACTAAATATGCGGTGTCTTGCTATCCTTAATTCCTCGCTACTTTATACGGTTAAGCATATGTCTGAAAACCAAAAGGTGCAAATTCATATCTTTGTTGCCCCAATAGCGTATCTTACGTTCCTTAATCCTGATTCAAGCGATACCTCGCACTCTTTATTAAAAACTCGAGCTAGAGCTAATACATCATATCAACACAGCCTAGCTCTATTCAGTATAGGTTTGTTGAAGACACATTTCAACTCAATCCAATTTCCCCTTTGTCCAGACATACGGCTTTTATATAAATTTCAAGATTGTTGGCCACACCATAGCCATATAAGCGGAGAAACTTCTCGTATCTTCCTCAACAAACAACAGCAATAACCGATGGATGGTATCATAAACATGGGCTAAAGCGTTATCTCACCAAGTACATATAGATATTAGTCATAATTTCATGCCGTTGCGTTTCTCTGAAGAGCATCCTGAACTGAACGCTCCCAATCTGTCTGTCTTAGGAATATCATCTCGATCACCGATACTAGAAACAGGGCAATAGCGACACCAGACCAGAGTCCCAGTAACCCCCAGCCCAATCCAAATGTAGTGCCGAAGCTAATAGGCATTGCAATTGCATAGTAGCAGAAGAGCTGGACGTAACCGCCTATCTCTTGCCTGCCGATTCCACGGAGGATACCGTTGCAGTTAGCAGCAAGAGCATCAAACAGCTGGAAAGCCGCACACAATGGAAGAACGTGTGCTACGAGCTCAATGACTTCTTCTTCCGAGGTAAATAGTCGTGGGATATAGGAGCGCAGCGATGAGAGGAACAGCATATTGAGCACACCTACGATAACAGCACCTCCCATAGTCACTTTGGCTGAGATCTTGGCGGGCTCGACCAGGGTTGCGCCGATCAGGTTTGCAACTCGGGTACTGCCGGAAATCGAAAGTGGGAAAGGGATTTGGAACATAATACTGGCGATAGTCGACAGGATTGACTGGGCGGCTAAGGGGGTTGTGCCGAGATATGACGAAGCTAAGGTCAAGACTTCGAAGGCCAGGCACTCGGCTTCTACCATCACTAAACCAGGTAGGGCAAGTCGAATCATTGGGCCCCAATTGCGCAAGGCCTTGATAGTAAGACCATTCCAGCATTCTGAACCTGCAATGAAGTGCACATAGAGAAATAGGAGAAGTGGCATCAGATTGTCTGTGATGGCTACTGCGATTGGCGCACCAATGAATCCCCATTGAAATTTCTGCCGTTACCATTAGACACAATAGATAATGTGAGAATCGCAACTTCCGGTAACTTACCCAAACAAACAGCCAATTCATGAATGCATTAAGCGGCGCGCATATGAGTAAGACATATAAAGATGCCGAAAAGAGACCTTGTGCCTGCACATAACGCTTCCCGCTTTCGAAGCAGGCATATCCAGGGGCACCCAAGATGATAACCTTCAAGTATAAGCCAGCGAGTACAGCAACTTCTTTCTCAGGAACAATTTTCATAAGGATTTTGTCTGCAAAGAACCACAAAACAGCGATCGGGATAGTGAGACTGCAGAGAAAATACACCATCTTTTGCATTTGCAGGCCTACTAACTTCTTCTTGCCAGAGCCATAGGCCTGTGAGCACAGCGTGTCTAAGCTGGTTGCTAAGCCTTGGTATACTGCATATCCGGTAATGTTCGCACTCATGCTAGCCAGACTAACGGCACCAAGCTCTATCGTGCCTAGATGACCAAGGGTGAAAATACTGGCCACGGTCAAGGAATATTGGAGTAGAAAAGTGATCATCAACGGGACAGCATTTTTACCAATCACCCGCGCTTCCCGTTTCCACGTTGTGTGAATTAGCCCGGCTGCGACGGCTTCTTCCCACTTCCTGTCAACATCTTCGTCATCCGTTGCATTGTATTCCTGACCACCTCCTGGGGCTCCTAATAGCGCTGTAGTTTCACCTGCCGGTAGAATAGATGGAGTCACTCGCCGCTTTGCCCGCGGGTCTATGACATTGTTATCGCTCAAAAGATCCCTCTCATCCTCAATAGCTCGCTCGCGTTCCCTGCGTGTCAGCCTCTCTCGTTCTCCAGAATGAGGTACAACTGTGGCATGAGAGACCGTGGTAAAGAAGCTAGGACGGCGGTAGGAGCCGGCTAGAGAATGGGGGTTGGTGCCGGGCTGACTATTTATTGCGCGAATAGTGGAAGACTCGGAAGCTTCATCATCAGTGGTAAGCATTGAGCCTTCATCATCTGCGTAATTCTCTAGATCTCGAGCAATCGCCGCTTCAGCGAGCGGGGAGCTGGATAAGAAGCGGCCATGTAAGGCTTGGTCCGATGCTGTCCCGAGCGGACGCGCATTATTGCTGCGGCCCATTGTGTCAGTGATGTAAGAATTGTAAGAATTGCAAAGGCAGCGTAGGAGTATGTGCTCAGGATTTATGAAGATTTCATCAGCATTGCTTGATGGCGACAAAGGGGTTCAAGCACAACGGCTCGAGAAGGGTAGGATGAATCAGAGAAGGAAGGGCGAAAGAAGCGAAAACAGAAGCGGGGGGGCGGTGATGGTTGTAATCATAATACGGTCAATCAGCAGATTTTGCCTCTGAAGAGCTTTCAGCCATTGAAATAAAGTTGTATGGCCGGTTGTTTGGGTTGGATCCACTTCCTTTGGCTCCAGCCGATGCATTGACCTTGCTTGAGTCACTCTCGTTTTGGCTAGCGATTTTTAATCTTTCCTCAATCAAGAGTGGTGCTGATTTACACGTATAGATAACATCAAGTAAGATTAAGCTGCGATAGGGATTATGCTGCCTCCGTTGTCCCGTAAATGCCCTGACAGTGGGCAGGATACAAGCAGCTCCCCGCAATGTGGACCCCCACCATGAACCTTGGTGGGTGTAAAACGAATCCATAGAGCTTTGCGTGGAGGTGGAGGTATTGATCCAAGATCTTTTGTCTTATCTTAATATACCGTCACTAGAGCGCTGCCTCAAGATCTTGTTCGCTTGGTTACTTTCAACAATGAACCAACGCAGCCAGCCGAATCAAGCCACCGCTAAAGCGACAAGCCAATCAATACCCGGAAAGATGATCCCCCAATGACCACTGTGACATCATTCCCGATCAAGCCTAGTCGGCATATGAATCACGTGGGTCTGTCATCGGACCTTCTGACATATTGGAGATCAACAAAAGATGGGCGTTCCCCACGCTACTACTTCTGGGAGGAGGAAAAAAGAAAGAATAACACTTGTTGATATACTGTCGCGATAATATCTCACCGGCGTTCTCGTTGACACATCGTCAACCTAAAACATGCCAGAATCTACAGCAAGCCAGAATGCCGCTTCTCTTCGGCCGCGGTTTAATCCAGTGATCAACCCGGCAAACTCAAGGCCGGTCCTGGTAGACGAGTGAGCGCCTCTAAATCCTAATGAACCACAACTTTGCTGGGAAAGCTGCAAACTCAAGAGCAACCCAGAAAAAAGGACACAAAACTAACCCGGCCAAGGCACCTAGAGGACAACCACCACATATTCCTTTACCGTCCCTTACTTGGAGCCCTGTTGTTCGAGAATGTCACTTCCGATGCCCGCGACCATTGCGCAAATGAACGCACATTTCTCTCTTGGCTTCGCCTCTCTATGTACCTTGCGGTCGTTTCTGTAGCCATCATCATCTCGTTCCACTTCCACGGTGGACCGACCGGGCTGGAGCGACGGATGGCTCTGCCGCTGGGCATTATCTTTTGGGTCCTGAGCTTAGCTTGCCTCGTGAATGGATTTGCGAACTATGTACGGACTGTGCGAAAGTACAGCCGGAAAGCGGCTTTGGTGCAAAGTGGATGGAAAACTCAAATGACATTTACAGTGGTGGGAACCGCAATTCTAGGGAGCTGTATACTGTTCTTGGCGACGGATGCGAAGAATTCTACCTAAAGAGAACTGGAGTTGCTTTTTCGCTGAATAAAACACTGTGCCTTGAGCAAGCTTCCTAATAAAGCACTATCGTTTAACTCATATCATGGTCAGATGCGACACCAAAGTATAACAAAACGCAAAGGGTCCGTTATTAACCCCCGGTAAATGAGAAAAGGGGCACCTAAAAAATAATTAAGATAGCTTCCGTTCAAATATTAATACTGCGTCTGACTGGCCCATGTCGTGGTATCATCTTCCAAGTGTACGGATAGAGTAAGGCGAATAAGTATCCGCGCTGCGGTGAGACAGAACCGCATAACATCAAGTCATCAGCCTCCTTAAAGTCGGCTCTCACATGCGTCGGATCTCTTTCTCGCCCTTGTACTTGTCCAGGGTCGCAGAGCCGAGGTGGCTCCACCATTCGAACAACATCGAATTGCAGATAAGCTTAAACCAGGGGGTGAACTTCAGCCCCGGCTGCTCAAACATCCTCTTCAACTCGTCGGCCGAGACATACTTCGTGTCCCGGACCTCATTCAAATTAGGATTCAATTCTACATCTGCCTGGATGAAGAGAATATAGTCGACTGAAGTATGTTAGCCCCGAAGTCATCGAACGGCAGCAGATCAAAAGGAAATGGCAATGGATATAAAACATAAAACATACTCTCATGCTCGCCCCACTTTCCATCACTAGGAGCCTTATAGTGTATTCTTGTGAAGAACTCGAATTTATCCAATGGAACTTGCTCGGGCTTAATCCCCAGCTCATGTTCCAACTTCCGCTGCGCAGCCCGCTTCACGCCCAAGATAGCGGCATCTAGCTCAGAGCCGGTCTCACCAGCAATTCCTAGTGGGTGAGAGCAGCAGGTATTTGTCCACATGTCCGGGAACGTAATCTTCTCGGTGGCGCGTTGTTGGAGCAGCAAGCGCTTGTTGGAATCGAAGAGGAAAACGGAAAAGGCACGGTGAAGAAGACCCCGGTCAATGTTGGTCATAAGGTGGCCTATCACAAGCGGGGAAAAAGGTTCAATTAGTTAACGAATTGGTACATATGGGTAAAGAGGCCAGGCTGGTAGGAAACCGCCATCCAAGCACTCATCCAGTATAGGGGAGTACCATACAGGCCTTCTTGCTGGCACTGCCAATAGGCTTGTCATCATCATCCAGAACAATGCAGACTTCGTCCATCAGGCGAACTTGTTCCTCATCGTACCCCGCGAGCTCACTGCTGCCAGCTGCGGAGGGGTTGCCACTGGCCGAGGGGAGTACTTCGCGAGCCAAAGAGGTGTCAACCTCGGGGAAGAGAGTTGCGACGTTCTCCGTCGTAATTCGAGGTGGCGCGGTGATCGTGGTGGAAGCGCTCATTGTGACTGCACCCAAGAATTTTACAAACGGGATAAATATACAAGAAGAGGGGTACCGAATTTGTATATGATCCAACTTTGGGAAGGGAAGAGGGGCCCAGGAAATAGAAGGATCACCACCCCTCGGAGGCGGTGAATCAGGGCAAAATCGGCTGCAGGTCAGGCAGTAGTACCACTTCTATATTTTTTTTTCTGTTTGTGCAGGGTTGTACAAGCAAGGAGATCCCTGAGACCATCATGAGAAACCAATGGGGCTGCAGTCCTCCACGTCATGTATTGCATATTGAGTTGCCATATGGAGTACAACGTTACGCACTGTGGCTGTCTATTCAGTTGTGTCATTCAACCGTTCCACCGCTCGGCCCGGAGTAACACCCTGGCATACCGGTAGAGCATCGATATGGTTTGGGATGTGGGTGACATAGCGACTGGTGCAAGCGTTTTTCATTCCTAGGAATATGTAATGAGTAGGGCATAGCGCAGGAGCCCCTATCGCAGGAATATGTAGGCCTGATAGATGTTGATACCATCAAAGCAGGACGTTCTGTTGCAGTCTGTGTCCGTAAATAGCTACATAGACTCCGAAGTGCAAAACAGCGTCGAGCAATGTTCTTGTGAGGAGTGATACTAATTAGTTAGTGAATTAAGGCCATTTTCTCGAGAACTCCGAGGACACCATATGTGAACATGTACCGAACTGTGGGACTTGAGCTGCAGTCGTCCTCCTGGTTTAGTTGCTCTTGTTTTCACCCCAACCGTCAGCTTCATATGGTACCTTGCCAAATTACGGCACTTTCAATACTAGCTATTATTGGAGTAGTCTAAATTAAGGTCTACATCGACAATAGAGTAGATATATGCATATCCACTCAGTAGATGCTAGCTTATATTGACAAAGCTGCAGTCGCTATTGGTTCATATTGGCTGGGGTGATCTGTGAAGAGGCAAGGCCATTATATAAGTAAAATGAAACGTACAGCTGACTCCTGCACTGATCGACACTAATTCTGAAAATGAAAGGTGGGTATATTATTACATACACACTATGGCATGCATACAGGATACCACATATACCATGATAATCATTCCTTGTGATACATAGAACCCGAGTTGCTTACAACACACAAGCTCTCAGTAATTTGCATCAGTTGCAAGTATTCCCAGTTTTGGGCCATACATACAGCTGTTACTCTATTTCCATGCCATCGCTAGATGGTGATTATACTACCAGGTTGAACAGTAAGTAGTATTAAAATCGATTGATAAATTCTACTAGAAGGCCTAGCCAGTGAATGGTATTCTTTAGTACATTAAAGTAGCCTCTTCTACAACCCTATCATACAGACCTAATGCCATGATCATAGAGAAATTCCTCCTCTTCTCCATGCAAGATTGACATAATGATCAGTCATAGTTGCCATGGATTAATTATCAGTTGAAGGAGACTGCTCTACAAAGGACAGACAATGTGATCCCATTACGAGGATAATTGTATAGGCAACAAGAAGAGTGGTATCTCTGAGGGCAGAAATATACCGACGAAGAAAAGCACCTCACTATAAATACACCCCATTTTGACTGAGAGACTTGATATGTTGAAAGAAGGTAGCACTGTGTCAAGACGTAAAAATGCACAAAATTTACATAGATGATCTGCTTGTTGTTTTGGAAGTATGCATCATATAAGTATAGATATTTAGAAATCGGGCATTGAGATCGAGATCAATTGCCATTCTACTCCTTACGATACCTTTTTAGGGCATGTGGCTATTTTGACTGTAAATTGCACTTGATTGTACGAATGCATCGCCTAAAACCTTACTGATGCATGAGATTAGCAAGGGCTGGGTAGGGCTATACCCTTTGTAAACTACTAGTATCTAGGTATAGGAACAATGAATGTTGGTGACGTGCCTATGCCTGATAGGTCAAAAGGCTTATATTTTTGCTGAGGATGTCTGCCCAGCTTAGTTCTCTGATAAGATTAAGAAAACTGCGGGTTGGTCGTAAGCAGAGTCTGGACCAACCCGCAGTTTTCTTGCACCAGAGAATTACTCTGCAAAACAAAGTGGGGGTCAATGGCAGTTTGAGTATGAACCCAGTATGTTTATTCTAACTATGACGACAGTCTGCAATGGCAATAACAACATGAACCATAGGTTAAGACCTAAAACATAGGATGTTTATTAGTGACTTGGTACAAAGGTAAGATCCTAACTTATCCTATAGCCCTTGCTTCCTCCAGTTCTAACCCCGAAGAAGGAATAGTACCACGTTAGTAGTAGTCCTAATAATCAGGGAACTTTGAGTCCAAGCTCACATGATGATCTCTAGAAATACTTACTAATTATTAGTCTAAAGGCTTTTTTCCCCCAGTAATGAATACGACACGATTAGTTCGAACCTATAATGAGTCGAAATGAGTCATATGGCGATAATTTCCTGTTGCATATTTCTTTGTTTACTACTCCGTAAAGAGATAAATGGTGGATACATTCTATATTAAATATTAGATAATTGGAGTTATTCCGGAACGTTAGGAAGTTCTAGCCTTGGGTTACTTCGCTTATACAACTAGTATTCAAGCTGGGACCGAGTTAAAAGCGGTCCCAAAAAGAGAAAAGAAAAGGAAAAAAAAAAAAAAAAAAAAAAAAAAAAAAAAAAAAAAAAAGGCCAAACAGTAGCAACACGGATACTAGGTAATCCCCGATGCTTGCTTGGTGAGGGGAAGCGAGACCTCACGTACCAATTAATGTAATAGTAATAATCGTCGTCAATAACCTTCACATCATAATTCATTATGTGGTAGTCTCGCTGCAGCCACACGATGTCTGGACCATCCAAGGGAAAATAAAATGCTCCGAAGGCCGATGATCTGCAGGCCTCAAGCGCGCGATGACAAATTCCTTACTACCCACCCTAGTCAAGGATTGAAGCTCAAGTCCGAAAGCCGGAGCTACCTAGTAACTCTCCTAAACTTCCTATTCAGGAAGTACTATCTCTATATTCCTGTAACATAGTGGTGGATAGTCTATTTGCTGTTGATTGAACACTATAAATCAGACCTTAGGTACTACAGTTTTGACTCTGCAGATATCAGAAGGAATGGGTTGATTCAGGAGATACTCTAATCTAGTTACTGGTTTCCCCAACATCCGAGGCCAGCATAGACGCTATAGCCGTAACCACTTACCAGCGTTTCTCGGGGACGCGCTTGTTTAGGACTAAAGGATTTAGAGCTGTCCTTCCAGAAATTTATCCACCCGTGATCGTTCAAGACAGCCCGTGCTACTTTAGGGTGAATTATCGGCCCTGGAGTTCAGACGGCTGTCCTTCGCTATAAATGGAAATGACAGTCCTGATTGAATCCCTGCAAGTGCGATCCCATCATACTAGTACTCCGAAAACTCCGAGATGGACTACTCCCGGAGTAGATAAGCATGTTGATCTTGATATCCCTGCAGAGTCTAGTTCTCGAGAAAGGAATCATGTTGCGAGTTGTACTCCTCTACCCTGACACACGTGTAGTTGATCGGCCTATAAGAATCGTAGATTTGTCTCCTTTCGGCCGTTGTCTTAATAATCCGTACTAGTACTTTAGGCTGCGACGACTTAGTGAATACTTCGGTGATCGCCCGGGTCGTGTACGGGGAAGCTTCCGTGGTGAAATACTAGGTCTTGTCTAGGCTAACTATCGCTTGAACTTGACAAATGAGCTCTCGGGATCCGTACTGCTTTTTGAGTTTTGTGTCTGTGTGGAACTGGACCTAGCGTTGGCGTCTATAAGGTTCTAGGGCCGTCGGCTCGTGCACGGAAGCCTTAACCGACGCGAAGACTAGTGTATCCGATCAGCAAGCGAAGGGAATAGGACAAAAAAAGGATAAAAAGGAAAAAGGAAAAGAAAAAGGAAGTAAAGGAAATAGCAAGAAAGAAAGGGAGTGAGAAGGAAAACAATGAATTAATAAATTTTTCAAGAAGTCAAAATCCTTCAAATTCTCATGCTGAGCATGGACCAGCCATGCGGTAATGCTAGTTTCTATAAACCCCCAAATGCTGTGTTTGATCGGGAAAAAGTTGAAATAAAAACAAAAGGGAACAGGAAGCCCATTGTACGGTTCTAAGGTCCGAATAGATCCCCAAAAATGTCGACTCGCAAAATCATATCATAAAGTCAAAGCAGATAGCCACCACATCTTTGAGTGCGTTATGTTTGAGACAAATATACATAATTATCCATTGCTGAAGTGGGAAGTCATGCGTCGAACCGTAACTGCCAATTCTGCGATCAACGCAGTAATGGCTCAATATGTAACTTGTTGTTCTCGGTCACTGTGCCAGGCATACAGCTAATGCTTCTGTAAGGATTGTCGTCGTTTGTTTCTGTCGGGAGAATCTTTGAGCGGGGGATCAGGGAGGTACTGAGATGTTTGAATCGCTTCCATCTCTCTGGAGAAATCCAAATTTCGAGGTTTTCGGTGGCAGCCGTCTGTCTTGTGCCTGTAGCATGAAATCATGTTAGCTTACATTTTCTGAAAGCCATGCTAGCTTGACATATTTACCTCGAGAGTGTGTCATGTCGACTAAACCGCTGGCCGCAGTGCTCACAGCCGAATTTTCGTATTCCATGATGAATCTGTTTTTCTATCAGCAAAGCTTTCACCAAGGAATCGTAATTATTCTCACACTATCTACATGTCGTCGAAGGTCAGTTCTCCTTCCAAACGGCCGATCACAGAACTCGCAGTGGTATGACTTCCTGAGGTTTGGGTCGTGCCTCTTCATATGTTCACGACAGTTCGAACGTCGGGTAAACCGGGAACCGCAGATGGTGCACTGAAGGCCGCTTGCAGATAAAATCTTGCACTGCTCATCAGGTAATTCGCTATCGCTCTTAGTCAATTTAAAAACCATCTCGATAGGCATATTTTGCGCCGTGGCTTTACGGCTGTTATCCCCATAACATCCCACATTTGGGTTCAACTCGACCAAAGTACCATTATCATTATCGGGGCGTTGAGGATTGGGAAAAATATCGTCGCCCACCGCCTGGGACATTTGTGGCAGCGTAGCAAGCCCCGCAGGACTACTGGCTTTTGTCAAAAGGTGGTGGTCCCAACATTCGTCAGATTCTTCCTTCACCAGGGCTTGAATCTCGGAACTAGTAGCATCGGAATGAGGGGTATTCGGCCAAAAGCGAGAGGATGGAGCACTCAGGGTGCCAGGGCCCCCTCCAAAGTCAAACGCAGAACCGTAGCTGGAGGGTGCGTGCAGGGTTTGTGGGCTGTAGTAGCTAAGGGGTGAGACAGAAACATCAGAGTGGCCACCAAATGGCTCATAGCATGGTCCAGGAGAAAAATGGCTAACGTCCAGCGTCGTTTCGAGAAGGGATTCGGGAGGCACCAGCTGATTCGACCACTCTGTCACCGGCGATGGGTAGGCCTCGGGTGGAAGCAGCCGTAACTGGCTGGAAGGACCCTTCATGTCGCAATGGGAGATCCCTAAGCCAGTGGTTGACTGCGAGTTGCTCGGATAGCTCGAGGTAGAACACATGGGGGATGAATACGCAGGAGTAGCTTCCAACATGATGTGGTTATCCGGCGGCGATCGCACGACGGGACAGGGCGAAGAAAACGAGGTTGGAGCCTGCTCCATGCTCAAAAAGAAGAAAAAGAGAGAGAAAAACCGAAAAAAGCAAATAGAAAGATAATCTTGTCGGTATTAAGAAAGGAGCCAAACAGTGGAACGTTGGCGAAACGAAAGAAGCAGCAGCAAAATAGATAAAATGAAGCGAATGTAGGTAGTCGTCGCGTTAAAAGACACTGTGGCTATCCTCTTGCTCGTTGGGGTTCTACCTGGCAACTGACCAGCTGGGGGTTCGGAAGGATCTATATTTAATTCGAAACACAGATGAAGGAAGGGGGACAAAATTGATCTATATAAGCATTGGTGACTCAGTGGTATTCTGGCTGATAGATGAGGTCAGGAACAGGCATAGGCTGTGGCTGATGGCTGATGGCGATCTCGATAGACTGAGCCATATGACAATTGGAGAGGAGGTTCCGCCGCAATGACACGATGAAAGGCCGTTAAGCAATGACCTTGACGCCTGGTCAGGCAAGGCAGATTCGTCGGGCTGGAGGCGCATGAATGCGGTGGGTGGGAGTCTCAGAGGGAGAGAAGAAGGGTGTAGGGGTGTGGGAAGTCTAGCTGGGGAAAGGGCCGGACCAGGTTGTCTGCAGCCCATGTCTGCAACATTGAGATAGGCGCGACAATGCTAAGTCATGCACAATTCCTTAGCGCCGAAAAAGTGTGATCAGGCCAAAGTATCGGCGATTGCCGTAGAGTTGGGCAAAAGAGTGGTGAATATTATTGTTGATTGACAATTGGAGGGATCCGCCATTGTGGCCTTGGGATTAGTGGGTTTGCCCGAGTAGGCTCCAGGGCAGAGCCGGAAAGGAAATGAGAAAAAAAAAATGTAACTAGTGGGGGGAGGGGGTGAAAGGCAGGGGGAGTGTAGTGTGTAGGACTGGAGGTAGTCGAAGATGGAAAGGGAACCATATCCATGGAGTGTTATGTGAGTGGGTGGATTTCTTAGATCGAAGGGAAGAGAAAAGACCGCATCAGTCAACCTGCTGCTGAGCAACTGGTAGGTACAGTAAGGTATGTATGGAACGTATGGAACAGGTCCCCAATCACCCGCTGGCCACTCAAACACCAGCGCACATTTCACCCACTGTTCTTGCATCAACTTGGTTTAGTGACGACCCGACAGTCTGGTAACCTTGCTTGGCGAAATAGCAGTGCGTGTCTCTCTGTCTGATTGGTAAACACAGCCGCATGATCCGAGAAAAAAGGGGAGAGAGGGGTACGAGGCTAACGCAGTCCGTTATGGAGGGAGGATAGGAATGAAATGGTGAGGGTGATGGATCCTCCTGTTTAGGCAAGAGGGGCTCTCCGGCCACCCGACCCTTTCAGAGACCAGCAAATAATGATATCTCTGCAGGCTATTGTTTTTTTTTTTTTTTTTTCCCATAATCATGGATTCATTGTTCCTCGATAATGGTCGACTATTGTTCTTTTTACCGTTGAGGTTCTTTTTTTAATAATTAGTCACCATCTTTCTTTTTCTCTTTTTTGAGATCCAAAAAATTTCTTCCCTGTTGACTATCAGTATAGAATGGCCCTTTACATCAGTGATAGAAACAACTAACCTTCTTCTGTCATCTAGTTACACAAATAATATAGACGTTGAAGATCATACGAGCTGAGACAAGATTAACACCCATCTCAACTAACCTTTGGGGGAAAGTACGCTGCCAACTACTCCATACAAAATAAAAATTAAAAATGAATATATGTATGATTCAAATAAAAAAAAAGACAAAGAAAGGAAAAGAAATTAATTAAGTGAAATGCGAAAACAAAAACCAAAAGAAAGGAAAGAAGTAAACAACACATATCTAGGCTGCCATACTCCATAGTAACATAGATTGTTCAATAACAATCTACTTTAGATCATTGCCGATTTTGAAATGGTCAATGGCCGGGTCTCGCGCTAACTCTTTAGGCTATAGAACCGGTTTGTTGTGCGTGTGTATATGGCAGTGGTCCGTTCGCCTTGCCCGGCAGTCCACATTCTCTATCCCCCAATCTTTTTCTTTTCCCCCGAACGTTCATTATTGAACTCGGTGGTGAAAGGCCATGGTAGCTGCCACTCGCTCCACTTGAGTGCGCAACCGTTCCACCTCGTCGATCATTTCTGCGAGGTCAACACTCCCGGCCTGGCCCGGGTTTCGTCCATGCGCTCCAGGGTACGGCCCCGGGTTAGGTTGTTTTCTGGTCCTGCCAGAACCTAGAGAACGAATGTCAGTTGTGGAGAGGCCCAATCCCGTTTGAATCGATGATACGGGACGACTGCTCCCCCGCGTTGTGCCTGTAGGGGGGAATTGACTATCTCGCCGCGAGACATAGCGGCGGCTAGATTCATAAGCCCAGATAAGTGCAACAAACGGAAGATGGGTTGCTTTCAGAAGAACAATGCGCACCCTGCGGATGTGCTCCGCGGGCAGAAAGAGCCTCAATGGGCGGATACAGAGAAGGGGGATGAGGTTCTGTGGATGAAACACCGGTTGTCAGCGGCACGAGCGAACAACAACACCCTTGCAGTACTGACCAATGGTGGCATAAAATAGGTTAGTCTCCGGGAATTACTGCTTTCCAACACATAAATAGATAATCTAGTCCTACGAATTAGCAACCACTAATAAACACGAAGTAGATATTAGTAAAACAGACTGAAAAAGATATTCTTCTCGAGCATGAGCCATGACCTAAGCCAGATGGAAAGTTGGGTAGACAAGTTAGCACTTTGGACGAATCAAATTGGGTAGCCCCACACTAGAGATTGAACGTACCCCCTCTAGACTCATGCTCATCAAGCTGACCAAAGAAGAGATCAGTAACAAGTTCGTCATCGAGACGAAAATTAGCCTGTGATTTGCGCATATCAGCTTCCATGATTTCTTGCGATGTAACTAGAAATTCCATGCCAATTATCGGGGGGTTCTCGGCGTCCGGTCCTAAACGGCGCCTACAAACTAAAACAAAGGGAAAATAGAAAATAAAAATAAAAAATAACGGAAAAGGGGGCACCCAAAGGAGGGTAAACAAGTGGCGCTGAGTCTGATAGCGCCATACTATCTCGAACGTCATCCCAAAAGTCGAACGTGATCGAAAGAGTATGCGGCCAAGTTCACGAAACATACATGCGGCGCAGTATGTTCTGTATCAAAGGGGGAAACTCACATCAAACCGTAGCCGAAAATCGGGGAAATCTAAGAATTAGCGCGTCAGTCAACTTAACGCCAGAGCCAACCGATTTTCTAAAACCCCCTGCAATTTTGATTTGGACTGCATGACAGCCGCTTAGCGCACTGAACTTACTTCGTGAGCGATGTCCTATTATCCAACCATTTCAGCCACCATTAGTTTGAAGAACAATTCTACGCCAACGGAACACAACGCACAAAGCCCAGCACATTCGATCTGCCTCGCGCTGTTAGTGAAAGGAGTGGTCAAAAACAGGGGTGTTCACCGCAATACCCAAAGAACACCTTCACTAAGATCCAGGACATTTGCCTAAGAGAAAGTCGGTCACGGGCAAGCATGGTGAACGTTGTCAAGAACCCTGCAGCGCCACAATGTCATCATATGAGTTGATCTTCGTCGTTCACGCGTGCCTCAGCGCCACATACCAATATACAAAACTACTACAACAGGCATAAATCGGAAAAACGATTTTGTCTAGACCATGTCAATCAGCTGCGTCGCCCTCGGACTAGTCCGGAAAGTGGTACCATCTCTTTCAAAACAGGTATCTATGCATAGAAGTTATCAGCCCGTTCCACAACATGCTTCTCCTAACGCAGGGTCGGCAGGTCCGACATACCAGACTCCCAAAATATGAATTGAGGCTAACAAGGGAGCATAACCTGCTTGCTACCGTCAGATTCTAAACATAGACCTGAAACGATGTACTAGCTAGTGAAACTTGCCTTGGGACCAGGAACAGTGCCTCTAACGAAAGTATATCGAATGACAAATCCGTCATGTATTCACTATCGTTGGCTAATCCGATAGTCCCTAGACGTTCCTTACTGTTAGCACATAGGATGGGGCAAAGTCAGGACTCGTTCGCTCCGATGGCACAGGATCCTAGTCCAGCTGAAAGAACTGGAAAATATATGGCAAGGCAGATTCACAGAGAACAGATGACTCACTCGCAATGACAAAGGCAAGCCCGGTGCCTATGATGCCCATATTCCAGAGCTTCCAAAAATCCATCTGATAGAAGAGCATCCCCGCATCTGCCATTCCACTCACCTCATCATAAGCAAAGGCAGCGATCCAGAAATACATCAGGGTTTCGAAAATCCCTATGCCAGTAGCTTTTCTTTCAACGAGAACCGCATAGTATAAAACTAAGAAAGAGACAAAGAAAGCAGCTTCAAACGCTTTACGATACACTGGGACCCGCAGCCGAGAATATGGATCCGCCGTTCTGCATTACAACTGCACTTCAATAAATAGGACGGATTTCAATAGGCGTTGATCATTTACCTTTTATTAAAGAAGTGTGGTTTCTTCTTCGAATGCACACTTAGGGTATCCCAGAAAACGATTTCCCCTTTCCAGATATGATCAATGACTCTCTGTACGACCTTCTGGCTAAGGAATTTCTTTGCGTGAGCAATAGTTGCGATCTCAAGGGCATTCAAACCAAAAAACAAGGAAAACTTCTCTAGCTCGTAAGCGTCATGAGAAGAATCGTAGGTTCCTTGGTTTTCGTCCTCGAGTGAGCTACCTATACGCCTTGTGCCGCCGAAAAAACGATATAGAGATGAAGAGGAACCCAACAGCAGAGGAGCTCTCTCATCATCAGCTGGTGCTATCTGATCACCAACAGCAGAAGCATAGCCAGAAGCGCCTCTTTCCGCTTGGGCAAGGTTTATGGCCTTCTGTGCGGGCCACATGAGCTCCTCGAGTAGGTATTCGATTGTTTCTCGCTGATTGAGGTGACAGACAAACTGCCAGGCGACATATTCACATGCGTATCCCCGGGTTTCGCTTACACCCCAGTCATAGTCAGCAGCATTATCAAATTGCCACTTCAGAATCCTAGTACGCGTGAGTTCAAAATATATAACTAAGGGTGAGAACACGAAGCGAAATCCTACATCAGTGCAGGTATAATGTATGTGTTATGCGAGCTTTCCACTAATGAGTTGATGAGCAACCTGAGGCTATGACCATGGGGAGTAGACCCGATCTGTTCAAATGTAAATGAGACATCGAATATAGTCAAGGTTAGGTAGCTAGACAATCGCATGTCAGTTTTATGATACATACAGGAAAGGCATTTCATGAGTAAATTACTTATATAACTTTCGGACCACATCAGCCAGCGGTTCAATGTCGTCAATTATAGGGATTTCGAGATGATCATTGTCGGGGGTCTCTAGGGACGATGCAGAAGAACCTAGGTTAACTGAAGACATAACAGTATAATTTTTCTTTTCTGTCGGAATCCTAGGTTTAGTAACTTTCACCTCTCAAAGCGTAGTCGTTGACTGAATGTGGCGTTTTATTGACCAGTTCAGTATCTCCGATAAAGGGAGACCTTGGCGTTAATTGGTGAACGAGCAGATATAAGGACTATCGAAGAACTTTAACTCGGTATCTAAGAATACCCCTTGCAGTAATACACTTGGCAGCTTTGCAGGTATCTCTAGCCGTCGAGGGGTATGGAAGGTGAAGTTTTACAGAGCAGAATACAGCGTAAACGGTGAAATAATATAGCTCCATAATGGGTTGGCAGCTATCAGCGAGACGGGCCGAGTGTGTTAAATCCAGCCATCTGATTGGATAAGGCAGGAATCTTGAGCCTGATAGTTAAATAAGCTTTTCCTGCTATTACGATACGCCATTGCATAGAGCAGAAATGACGCCTCAGGCATTCTATTCTCCTAAAGGCACGATATTACTCTTCTAACGGTTAAGTTTTAGATGTATAACTGGGCTCCATCACTCATCATAATCGCCCGGTATGTTATTCTTTTACCCTTTCCTTTTTCCCTCGCGTTCCACAATCCGTTCAGATAAGATACCATCCAAATGTGTCCCTGACATACAGTACATACAGTACACACCGCAAAATACGAACGATTTACTGAATACACCACACCGCCCGCATCATGTGACTTTGTACATATGAACGACCATCCCCTCAGACGCGTTAACTTCTACCTTTCCCGATGTATTGACAGCCAACTACTATCAAAGAGATATCCTAAGTTTGCTCTATATATTGCGCAGCTGCTCCCATTGTCTTCCCTCTGATGAGTTCGATTGTTTTGAAAGATCTCTGAGATGAAGGCATCTCAACATCATGGGCCAAGGTTATTCACTTACAACCCTTTCAGCGGGTTCGGCCGGGATCGATATCCCTGAGCTATCAGACTTGACCTATGAAAAGTCCATGGGTGGTGGGAGATTCATGAAGAGCATCAGAGCAAGACAGCAAAATGGACTCGTTTTTGTAAAGGTAATCATGAAGCCTTTCCCTAGCATGGAGCTAGAGCCATACGTTAAAGCCATAATCCGTACGTTTGTGTTTATTTGCCAAGTGCTGAAATACTAAAAGGCGTTCTAACGTCTAAGGGTAGGGGAACGCAAGTTGCTTTCCGATGTTCCCAATGCGTTAAGCTATCAAAGGGTCCTTGAAACTGGCACCGGCGGCTACTTAGTTCGCCAATACATCCACAGCTCTCTTTATGACCGGATGAGGTATGTACTGGATTTTTAGTCGATGGTGTATCTCTAATAGACATAGTACGCGGCCTTTCCCAGAGGACATTGAGAAGAAATGGATTGCCTTTCAGCTATTATGTGCTTTACGGGATTGTCATTCACTCGATGTCTTTCATGGCGATATCAAAACAGAGAATGTCTTGGTTACATCCTGGAATTGGGTCTATCTGTCGGACTTTTCATCATCATTCAAACTAACATTCCTTCCGGAGGACAACCCTGCTGATTTCCACTTTTACTTCGACACATCGGGGCGACGAACCTGCTACCTGGCACCTGAAAGATTTCTAGAAGCTGGTGAAAAGCGAGAATCTCAGCAAATCAATTGGGCTATGGATATCTTCAGCGTCGGCTGTGTAATTGCGGAACTGTTCTTAGAATCACCTATATTCACCTTGAGCCAGATGTACAAATATCGGAAAGGCGAATATAGCCCAGAACACGGCCAGCTATCCAAGATCGAGGACCCAGAAATTCGAGCATTAATCCTTCATATGATTCAGATCGATCCAGAATCCAGATATTCTGCAGAAGAATACCTAAGTTTTTGGAAAAACAAAGCCTTCCCGGAGTATTTTTATAGCTTTCTTCATCAGTATATGTCACTCATGACAGACCCTTCCTCGGGCAGAGCACAAGTCGAAGCCGAATCCGCAAATAGGGGAGAAGCCGATGACAGAATAGAGAGAGTCTATCTTGACTTTGACAAGATCTCTTACTTCCTGGGGGCATCTACTAAGACATTGAGAGATGGCTCAAGCCGTACTTCATCGAAGCTTACTGGCAACACTTTCCCTGTCCAACTCGACTTACCTCAGTATGGCCTTCAAGGATCAAGATCAAAATCTCAGCTACAAACAGATGATGGCGTCCTCATCTTCTTGACACTCGTTGTATCCAGTCTACGCAACACATCAAAAGCATCTTCCCGAATCAAGGCCTGCGACATTCTTCTTGCCTTCGCCGAGAGATTGTCTGACGAGGCAAAATTGGACCGCATCCTTCCCTATATTATGATTCTGCTCAATGATCGCTCCGACTCTGTGAGGGTGGCTGCTATACGTTCCCTTGCACAGCTACTGGAAATTATACATGTAGTCTCTCCAGTTAATGCTTATCTCTTCTCAGAATATATTTTTCCAAGGCTCCAGCCGTTTGTTACCAGTTCCAACTCAAACCCAAGCCCGTTGGTCCGTGCCGCATATGCATCATGCATAGCATCTCTAGCACAGTCATCCCTCAGGTTCTTGGATATGATACAGGCATTACGTACAGATACTCGCCTGCCGACCTTAATACCAGCTGGTTCTGAACCCAGATGGACCGAAGATGCTACTTATCATAATCTTTACGACGTTGCAAGGGTCGATCTTCTTGAGTATTTTGAAGCTCATACGAAAGCCCTTTTAACTGACAGTGATGCCTCAGTTCGACGAGCGTTCCTCGGTTCTGTCTCCAGCCTCTGCGTTTTTTTTGGCAACCTGAAGACCAACGAGGTCATTTTAAGCCATTTGAATACGTACTTGAATGACCGTGATTGGATACTGAAGTGTGCTTTTTTCGAAGCTGTCGTAGGAGTTGCAGCTTACGTTGGGAGCACAAGTTTGGAACAATATATTTTACCTTTGATGGTCCAATCAATGACTGATCCGGAGGAGTTTGTCGTGGAAAGGGTTCTTCGATCCCTTGCTGCGATGGCTGATCTCGGCCTTTTCCAGCGATCGACCACCTGGGATCTCCTTCACATTACGGTTCGTTTTTTGGTTCACCCTAACATGTGGCTCCGTGAAGCAGCAGTGACATTCGTTGTCAACTCTACCAAATTTCTACCTGTCGCCGACAAATATTCTATACTTACACCACTTGTGCGGCCTTTTCTTAAGTTCAGCGTTGTAGGATTTTCAGAGGGCGATATGCTTGATGCATTGAAAAAGCCACTTCCAAGAAATGTATACGAATTAGCCTTTATTTGGGCTGCCAAGGTTGAAAAGGGTATATTTTGGAAAGCGGCGAATCGAGACGGGGCTTTCAGCCTAGGCGCCAATGATGGTATATTTCCCAGGGGAAGCCAGAGAAATTTGAGCTATTCTCTGGGCTCGCAGCCTAAGAACGAAGAGGACGAGCAGTGGTTGTCCAGATTGAAAAATATGGGCATGGGCTCTGATGATGAGCTCAAGTTGCTTGCTCTCAAAGAATACATATGGAGAGTTTCTGCACGTCAGACAAAGGAGCCGGAAAATGGAAACTCTCATCTGAACAACGTTGTTACTTTAACGCAATATGAAGTGACTCCTCAGACTGTCTTCTTTGACAAGAACCAAAATGTGAAACCACGCAGAGTCTCCTCAGCCAAAGATCAACCCAGCAAAATTGGAGAGCGCAGACCACATACCATTACCGATGCTCTTCTCGATGCTTCAACTACAATTGATAGCAGGCCCAATTCTCGTAGAAAGCATGCACGATCGAGAAGTCAGCTGCAGAGGGAAATGGGGCCTATCCTAACGACTCCAAAGCAGAATACCTTGGACATCATTCGAGCAGCTGGCAAGTCTCCTGCGTCATCGCCGATAGCATCATCACCAAGCGCTGCGCCAAGCCCAGGGCCCTTATCACCCCCTGGTTCAGACACCGAGCGAAGACTTACTGAGGGAAGAGAAAGCCCTGCACATGAAAGTTCATCGACGCCGACTGAAGCCGAAAATCCCGTGGTGAAAAGCCTATCCACAGGTGTACAAAGGAAGTCCAGCGCTATAAGCCTACTCAATCGCAAGGACTCTGCGAAAGCTTATGCGGAGACAAGCACAAGCTCCGCAAATGCATTTGGCAAAGTTGATGTTCCATCACATCGGGAAATGCCGCAGTCTCCCTTGTCCGTTGCTCATGATAGAAAAGCACTCAAGGATAAACCGCAACAGTATCATGCCAGTCATTCGTACGGTGGACGTAATCCTGTAATCCTTAGATTACTTGATAATGTGTTCGCGGAGAATTATCCTACGGACCTTTTTGATCTGGGGCCTTATGTTAAGGAGATAGATACCAGGCGACCGATCAAAAAAGCCAGCGGCAGTGAGACGAACAAGGTATGGAAACCAACCGGTGGACTCGTTGTCATCTTTGGTGAGCATAGTGGAGCGGTGAATAGAGTTGTAGTGGCTCCGGATCATGCGTTCTTCGTCACTGCGTCCGACGACGGTTCTGTCAAGATCTGGGATACAAGCCGTCTTGAGAAGAACCTGACACCTAGGTCTCGTCAAACATACCGCCACTCTGTTGAAGCTAAGATTAAATCCTTGACATTCGTTGAAAACACACACACCTTCATTAGCGGTGCTACCGATGGGAGTATTCATGCAGTAAAAGTTGACTATAGCAATGTTAACGAGACGGCTCGGTACGGGAAACTCCAACTAGTACGCGAGTACCAGCTACCAGTGACCGATAACGGAACTGCGGAGTATGCAGTTTGGATAGAGCACTTTCGTGTCGATTCACAGTCTACACTCCTCATTGCGACGAATACATGTCGAGTTCTTGCGCTGGACATGAAAACTATGCTCCCTGTCTACTCTCTTCAGAACCCTGTTCACCATGGAACACCAACTACATTCTGTTGTGATCGAAAGCATAACTGGCTCTTGGTAGGCACCACACATGGCGTTCTGGACCTTTGGGATCTTCGCTTTCGAGTGAGATTGAAGGCATGGGGCCTTCCTGGATCTGGTGCCATCCATAGAATTCAAGTACACCCGACGAAGGGAAGGGGAAGATGGGTCTGTGTGTCGAGTGGCGGCAGCCACGGGAACGAGATCACTGTCTGGGATATTGAAAAAGTCCGGTGTCGAGAGGTGTATCAAACAGATTCACTGGGCGTCGGCACTCAAGGACCTAACGGCGATGATACCAAAGCAAAACAGACGCTTATGGGTTTTAAGGAGTATGAGGCGTGGCACGTCGATAGCGACCGGCCTGAAGGGATGCTGAGCCGGTTCGCTGCAGAAGGACCCTTGTCGGGAGCTGTCGAGCAAGCTTCAGGACCGTCGCTCTCCAATACACCTTCAGGGATATGCGCTTTTGCTGTTGGATATGACTCACCTGATGATGGAAGGGATAACAGTACTCGCTGCGGATTTATTGTTTCTGGTGGATGTGATCGCAAAATCCGCTTCTGGGACTTGGCTCGGCCCGAATTATCAACGATCGTCAGCGGGTTGGACGTTGTTTCGGAAAGCGGAGCAGCTGGGAAGCCGCGTTATGAATTGTCTCAGCCGGGACCGTCCCTCTTAGTGACCTCCGAACATCTCCCTAATGCTAGTGCTGCTGTCCCTACCGCAGGAACAGGTGGAAAGAGCAACAGCAGAAAAGGGGCGGGTGGAAGACTACCACGCAGTACCGTAATTAGCCTACAGCAGCAACAGCTCCTCAAGAGTCATTTGGATTTCATTCAGGATGTCGCTGTGCTGCGGGTTCCCTATGGAATGATTATCAGTGTCGACCGAGCGGGGATGGTTTACGTTTTTCAATGATAGGCATGCTTTCATATTGTGTATAGTAATAGGACTTGGTGTCAATGGTGGTAGAATCACGAATATCCAAAGCTTTATTGACACGAGATGGTTACGCTACAAATTTATATCTCGGGTAATAAGACTGTACTTTCCATACTATATTGTGATCCTCACAAGGGAAGAAAATATAGATCACAAATTCTCTATATCACCATGACCATAAACACCAGCTATGCCTCTCCCTCCCCAACCCCTTATCAGAACAAAAGGAAATTACCTTAACCATCAAAGAGACAATAACACCACCTAACAATACAATCTACTCAACAAGAACGCATATGTATATTCTTGTACACTCAATACCAAATATGCATATCGCAATTTACTCTCAAGAAACAAACAGCCTACCAAATAAGCATATATCCTCCCCAAAGCCCATATTAAAAGGATAGCATAAAACATCCCTGGCCCAAGAAAGCGCCCGAATTCCCTGTCGGCGCTAACGAGAGAGCAACTCGGATCATCCGGCACCGACGGAAATGAAGATCCCCGATTCCGATATAGGCTCTGCGGATGATCGCGGACTGCTGGGATGGAGGCTTTTGTGTTAGTGTTGTTTTGTGTTATGTTGTGCGGGTGTACGACTTGGATGTAGAGAAGGGTAGAGAGTATCGCGTTAGTCTGGGGGCTGGTCTTTTGTAATTGATGTTTAGTTTGCTCGTGTTCAATTTCTTGTGTATGTTGGTGGTAAGGCGGCGGACTTATAGGTTGTGTATTTATCTCCGTACTCTGTATTTTGGGCAGTGGTTTAATCCTTCTAGAGGGTCGGTTGGCGCGCTGGAGTGTACATTTAGATCTATAATTACATCCTTAGAACCTCTAAATCACGCAAATATAGTACCTAGATAGATGCCTTCAGTTTGTCAATGGTTCTTGAACAGGACCCAGTCATCAGGGCACAATTATCAAAGAAAAGTGCCAGGTAGGCCCCAAGAAATAGGAAAAGACCCAAAAGAGCACAGGTTCGGCTGTCCTGCATCCTTAGACAACAATAAACTAAGTAACCCGGTGTTTGACGAGCCATTTCAGACGGCTGGCAACAAAGAAAAAGGAAATTGCGCAAACCTTAACACGGCACGGAGTAATCGATAAAGCTGTTAAGTGCTGATGGGTGTTTCCGTGTTGTAAGGACTTTCCTATATGGGTCAATTGGATTTGTGCGGGTAGGTTCATCTAGGTATGTAGCACTGTACGCTACTGTTTCTCGCCGGATAGCTTGGAGCGAGCTTATACATCGCGACTATGATATTCTGCTAAGTATAACAGTACGTGATGGGTATGTTATGTACTTTTGTTGTCCCGTGTACTAAACCCCGTTAGGTCTATAATGTGAGAGGGATAACTCCCCTCCCTCTCCAAAATCCGGGATCCGACGGGAACAACGACCGAAATGGCCAAAGACACACACCACTGTTCTTAGCTTGGACGGCATACAGGCCCAAGGATCAATATAGCTATGCGCTTGGAGGGGTCGGAGTCTCGGCATACCTAGATGAGTAGTTGAACCTGGTGGATCCGACACCGTGGATGGTGAAACACTAGACGGTGGATAGATCACAAACTGGCAGAGTAAATATCGCACTTTTTCCTTGGGATGAGGGAGGCGGTGGTTATAGAATATCGTAGTCTTGTCAATGAGGCGTACTAGTTGATGGTTAGTAAGTGTGGGGTTTAGTTGTCGTCGCTCTGAGCAGAATACGTACCGTAGGTAGTACCTCGTATGTTATTAATGGGGAATGGAAGGAGGAGTGGTATATACCGTTTGCTTATAGATTGGGCTGCTGGGACGTTGAGCAGATCAGACAACAGCTTTTTGTTCTTTGCCTTTCTTGGTTAATCTATTTGGCTTTGTGTCTTCGTTGCTTGGCCTCATTGCGCGTTGGGATTGGGTTTCAGGGAGGTTAGTTATCTTTTTTATACAGGTCATTCAAGCGGGCAGTGGCATACAATAAGATATTCATCGACATTGAGGAAGGTACAAACCGAAGGGTCTTGCATCCGAGCTCGCCAACGTGGTGTCCAATACTTCCCATGATTAGTCTGTTCCACCGAAAAACGGATCTAATCGTATGGCGTAGGAATTAAAGCGTGACAATTGATTAATAAATATCAATGAATGTAAGCTAGAAGAACAGTTACAGATATGTTCAAATAAACTACTGGCTACCGAACATATCGTCACCTATCATATCAGACCCAAAGATCAGGCCGACACTCCATCCATGGGATATTGTTGTAAATTACTTGTTTCCCTTAGAGTTTGGGCCGTTGGATCTGTACCAGAAAACCCGTACCGAGATTGCCGTCGTTGAAGTGGACTCCATATTTGTTATTTATTACCGGTAACTCCATAGTTGATAATACCGATATCAAGAAAAGGGAGGGAAAGAAAATGAAACACAAAGAGCAGGTGGCTCCCATCTTCATATATTCTCCGAATTAATAGTGGCTTCGATAGTTAATATAAAAATAGCGGTCAGTTACTTGCTAGTGCTGCAAAGATGTCATGTCATGATCGATCGGTTGATCGGGACGGTTCGGTTCGTCTGATAATGTTCTGCGATGGCCGGCCATCTGAACCTCTGGTAGATATCCTAGACCACTTTCCAAGAGAACTAATCCTGCAGGTAAAAGACCTCGTAATTGCGTTTGAGGGGAATGTCAGTGTGTGCGTTCGGGGAGAGCTTGCCGGGTATGACAGAACCATCGTGGACGAGAAATTCGGTTGGGACTCCTATTTGCTAGGGTAGGGATAGCCATGACTCGGCGCTGTGGATCCAGCGGGGGAGAGGAACGCGTTGTCTCTGACTTGTCCGTCGGCACCATATTAGTGGATTCAATTAAACAGGGGAACAATATTACATTAGTAGAAGGGAAAATAACACTAGTAACACGATAATAATAATGACAAAAAAGCGCTTACAATCAAAATAGGGGGAAAAAAAGAAAAGGCTTCCAGAAGAGCGAAGGGAAAGACAAAGAGCCAGGGGGAAATTTTCCGAATGGAACGATTCATAACAAGGTTAACTTTCCATACAATGTCCACTGTTGGAGATTATTCGCTCGTAATTGAGTTTTCGGAACCACACTATATAGAATTGGAATGCTGAATAATGAGAAAGCGAGTAAGACCACTTTGGCTGGAACATTGAAGCTGCCTTTTTCTTGCATAAGTGCATTGCGCTACGCCTAGCAGCACGCATACCAGAGTCGGCAGTGAATTGCTGCAAATAATGATCGGCCTCTCTTGCCCACAGGAGCCACTGACACCTCCGCCGAGAATATTCCACCCGTGGGTAGTGATGAATATTCAATGAGGCTACAACCATGAGACGTATCCAGAACAAACACAAAGAAGGGTGTACGGAGTACCACTGGCGAAATCATGACTCTCATTGCGTTTTGGACTGAGTGAATAGCAGCATCCCATCCCTGCCGCATTGCAAACACCCCCTAATACTAATAAGCTCTATTCAACACGGACCAAAGTCAATCGCGTAGGTGGAAACCTTCGAACGGTGATGATAAGCGATACGTGAACTCTATTTGGTCTCTCCTTACCATTCTCGGTGATGAAGAGGACTTCGTTTATTATATATCTTCGTTCCAAGCTAAGACGAGCGAGGAGATACAATGTGGAAAAAAGAAATAAGGGATTGATGCCTTTGCAGATAAGGCAAAAAAAAGGCGGGACTGGAAGTGGAACAGGTTCGCATGCCGAGTTTCACCTCGACCTGAGCTGCCAAAAATACGCACCGCTTATCACTTAGTAGCCGCATCGCATCTTTGTGATCCTTGGAGCCTTATTTCCTAATCAATTTTATCAATTTTATCAGTTTAATCTCATTTTTTTTTTTTTTTTCTTTTTTTCTTTCCTTTTTGACTTCCGTAGTGCTCCATTGTGTTTGGTTCAAGCTCGTGGAAGAAGATCCATTCTCGCGTGGGAAAAGAGGCGAAGGCCGAGCCGTCCATCGTGTTGGGGGGTTTTAGCCTCCGCTTTAGTCCAATCATTCTCGGGACTAAGAGAGAAGTCTATGGTACCTCAGGTACACGCCAGCGCCGTACAGAGCACTCTCCTCAGGTACCCGTGACCTAAAAGACTTAACGCTGGACTCCGTGTATCTTATTTCAGTATCCAGGTAACACCATCTTGAAACCCCCGCACGGGCACAACGCAAGGAGCCTCCAACTCGGACACATATCCAATTGAACCGGAATTTGGGGACGTGACATTTGATAAGACGAAATTAAAAGTTTTCGTTCCAGTACGCAAGATTCTAAGAATAAGCCACCGCCCGCTATCTTGGCTTTCTTCAGTAGCGACGACATTACTTACTTCCAAGAAAGAAGACTCCTCCAGTAACGTTGACGTATCAAATGGGGCACACCGGTTTTATGGTCCCTGACTAGCAGTTCTCCACCGGCGCAGGAACGAACAAACGGGGCAAAGTACCGTCTAGTAACGTTAAGTTAAAAATTAAAAAAAAAATGAAAATAGAAAAAGGAAAAAGGAAAAAAAATAAGTATCTTTGATTAATAACTCTCCCCTACGGAGTTAGTCTAGACACTAACTGGTCCGAACTCTCCAATGAAAACGGGCCCCCAACCCCTTAACTGCAAGTTACCAACTCTTCAGGGCCAAGATCAACTCCCTAATCCTTTCTTTTTCTTTGTTGCTCCTCTCCTTCCTTTTCCCTCTTGTTTCCCGTCCCGTCCCTCGTCTTCCCTTCCCCTCCCTCCTTCCCTCACCTCTCTTCCCCCCGTCACCACCGCAGAGAGTGTGAGAAAAGAGTGTGTGCGTGAGTTCTTCACCTCACTTCCAACACGTTGGCTCTCTTCTCGTTGGAACGTGTTACATATCTTAGGCAATGCTCGCCAACTCGATCACTGGGTTGTAATTGAGTATCGATATTCGATTTCGCCCAATTGCCCCTTCTCGTTCCTTCGTTATACTTTGGCTGTCGGTCCTTCGTTCCGTCCTCATCCTTTACAACCTCTAGCAGCGCTATATTCCCTTGCCGATCGGATTTCGCACTTGTCACACTCATATCTCGCTACGATCATCCTACACCCTTTTTCATCAATTAATTCTTAGTATCTTTTCAAGTCTCGATACCAGTGGTTGCGGGTCCTGGCACTAAAAGAGGCAAGAAGAAAATACAAAATTATATATACCCGAAACTCCGCAGACGCAACTTGGTATCGACATTATTTCATTATGGCTCCGTCTCTGAGAGAACAGTCTTCCTCCTTTGTCCGCCCGTCCACACGCGACCGCCCGTCAACCCGCGACCAAGGAGAAAACTCGCTGGTCGTTCCTAGTCGCACCTCCTCGCTTCATTCCCGCATCACTCAGCCAATCCCATCACAGATAAATGCAAAACCGGCCCAGCGAACACCCAAAACGTTGACTCATGCCTATATGGTCTGTGGTGTGGGCCGTGAGCCCTCCCAATGGGTGAGGGCACCCGCACCTGAGCAGGGGAAAATTGGCCATATGAAAGGTGCTGTTGGCCAGTTTTGGTTGCCAGAGATCCTGGGCAGCAGTCCCCGATTGGAACAGGATAATGAGATTGCTAAATCTTTGCATTCGGCAATGAGGGTGTGTATCCTACCGTTGTTTTGAATATGTACTTTCCCGCGCGAATATGTTAGCTGACACCGAACAATAGGCTTGCTTTCCCCACGACGTTGAAATCTGCACAGGCAAAACTCAGCCTCATTGTGTGCATCATGCTTTCGTTTTACAGCAAGATTCCACCCACACTCTCTACGGTATCGCTTTGCGGGTGTGGTCACGGGCCGACGAAAAGCGCGCAGAGACCATCCGGGAGCTGCGCAAGAAGACAGAGCCGGATTTCTATGACAACCCGGAGGAGACCTACTGGATTCCATATTGCTTGAGTTTTCTGTCGAGGTACCCACTGTACGACCTCTTAGGCGACTACCTCCGGGGCATGTGGATTCACTGGAACAAGGCCACGAACTTGTTCCACGCCGAGGAGGTGTCACGAATCCTCAGCTTTCCCGCACCACGTCTGAACGACCTTGTTCGCATCGATATGAAGGACTATGCATTGTGCTACCAATTTCCGTCATCCCCCACAGGGTTCCAGAACTTTTCCATGTGGCCATTATTCAATTGTTTGTCAATTCCGAATATTGTTGGTGTAATTGAGGCCGCTGTGTCGCCCACTCGTCGCATCATCTTCGTCAGCCATTATCCCGCTATGCTGACCATCGCCGCCGAAACTATTCGGCACTGCGTTCGTGTCTATGAGTGGAGCGGGTTGTACGTTCCAGTGGTTCACGCCCGTCACATCAAGGACTTGGTCCAGGAGCCCGGGCCTTACATTCTTGGTGTCACAGCTGAGTGTCGAACTCTGTTTAACGCACCGAATGACGCCTTGGTTGTGGACCTGGACCGGAATTTCGTCCTGACTTCCAGCCCACCAAGCGTTTTGACACCAGGACAGCGTACTAAGTTTATCAACCGCCTGACTCAGTCTTTGAACGGTGATATCTCTCCATCTGGCGTTCCGAACCATTTGCGGTCAGCATATGCTGGTGGTAAACTCATCCCAGCCGGTCAGATTATCGTGATGAGAGGAGAGGTCGAGAGCGTGCAGGATCCTCAATGGTGGAACCAGGATGCTGTCATGGGCGTTATGGATCATGTGTGCGAGAAATTGGGACGCAACACTGGCGTCAAGGCCATCTTCGGTGGCTCTGTGAAGAAACCTCTGATGACCAAGGTGTCTACTCGCCATCTCAACGAGATTGTGCGCGAACGGAACCAGTACTCGCGCGATGCTATGGAAGCTTGGCAAGACTTTATTAATCTCAAGGGTCGCATGGATACCGAACTGAGCAAGGTCACGAAGCGCAACAACTTCTTGGTTGAGGAACTAGAAACCTGGAAACAGCAGTTCCTCAAATTCCAGGCCTTTGCGGAGCAGCTCACGAAGGAGACCTCTGAACTCAAGGTCAAGATTGAGAACCATAAGCGTGAGAACCGCCGCCTTACTGGCCTCATTGATCAGCAGAAGGATGATGTGGCTCGCCTTACTCTTCGTTTGTCCGGCACCGAGAAACAGCGGGATGACGCCCTTGAGGCATTGGTTCTTCAGCAGGAGATCGCAGAGGAGCTGGAGCGCGAGCGCAAGCGTAACCAGCAGGAACTTTCGTCGTTACAGCACAGCAACTCGTCTCTGGCTCGCCAGCGCGACGAGGCTCAACGTGTGGTTTTGCATCTTCGCAGCCTTATCAATGGTCAAACACATCATATGGAGCACATCATCCGCTCCATCGGCAGCGAGGTCGATATCTCGGAGTTGGCGGAACAGGAAGCGGTTGAGGAAAGCAGAGAGACTCCTAGAGAATCCAAGGTTATTGAGCAGGAACTGGAGCCTCGGAGAGAATCGAGCACTCCTCGTCCTGATATGAAAAGGGCTTCCAAGGTCGTGAATGACATGAGTCCCGAACTGGAGCAGCATCTTCTAAACATTGGTAATGGGCACAACCGCTCTCTCGCTCGTCTTAGCATAACTGATGTGGCAGATCGCTACCTGCGGGACAAGACCGACGCGATCTCCGACATTATCCGCAGCATCAGCGAGCAGTGTGCTGCCGCGGTGGAGGGCCTACACCTGGCCCAGGATGCAGAGGATGAGGACTCGGACGAGTCCAGCAAGACGCTGAATGGAAACCGACTGGCCCCAGACCAGTCTTCGATCCATGAGGGCAGCGAAATGGGCGATGTGGATAACTCCCTTCATGCCCACCGGAACTCCAGTGTTCCTCCCACCCCAGACTTGGTGCATAATCGGTCGAGTACCTCGATGTCCATGGTGAGCAACTCAACCTTTCCGGAAAGGGGGAGTCAACAGTATGGACCGGGTGAGGTCCCCACCAGGATAGTTGAGGATGATGATGAGCGTAGCCATGAGACCGATGGTCTTGATGACCAGACTGAGACCGGAACTCTGTCTAAGCAGGCCAGCGAGGATCTCATGCGGTCGAGCACTTCCCGGCTGGTCGCTTAATTTCCCATCATCTCGATGATGCAACGCTGATTTCAACGACTTTGACACGACCTCTGCTCCCCACCGTCTCAGTTAGAGCGAGTTGTGCAATGGCATTGTTTTTGACTTTTGCTTTCGTCTTCTTTTCTACCTCCCCGTTTTGGATATTCCCACTGTCGCCTTTTCAGCCATGGAGATCTTTTTTCTTTGTCTTATCTGTTTATTTATTTATTCTCTCTTGGTGGACTTATTGTCTTTCTCGTCTCTTGCCGGATGGATTGATTGTCCCGTTTTATTTTCCGTCCGCACTATTGGCGTCTCTTAACTTCACTTCTTTCTGGGACCAAGTGGTCTGGGACTTTTCTGTTTGGGTCATCTTTTTTTAATGGCATCCATGCGGAGCCATCACACTCATTGTGTTTCCTTGTCGTGGCACATACATTTCCTTCTGTCTATAGTTTCGAGGTGGGGGGCTGCTTTGAGAGCTGCTGTAGTCCAAAAGATTCAGAATTGGACAATGTCTACCATTTGGTAGATTGATTAAATTCAAGATGTTTTGTACAGATATATATCATATAGTCAGTACGTACACTAGTCATTCGCACCTTAAGCCAGTTTGCCGGGCACGAATGGGTGTCCCGCACTCAATCCGCCGCAAACAGCCCATGCCTGTCCATTGACATAGCTGCTCTCGTCACTTCCCAGGAAAAGAGCTACCCGAGCAACCTCGTCAGCAACAGCACCTCGCTGCAAGGGGTTCAGCTGTCCGATCTTGCGCTGCGTGCCTCGGGCACGGGCGGCGTCGAACACAGACTGTGTCATGCCTGTTTCGATCAAACCAGGGCAGATAGCATTGATGCGTATACCAGTGCCCGCTAATTGGTATGCGCAGGTCTGAGCGATAGAAACGACAGCTGCTTTCGAGGCAGAGTAATCAGTCGAGCCGGCATTAGAGCGCAGGCCGGCAACTGACGCAGTACAAATGATTGAACCTGAGGGATACGGCTTCGAATCCGAAGTCTGTTTCATAGCGCTGGCCGCATGCTTAACGGCCAGAAACACACTAATCGGACGGCCATCAGTACATATTTTCCTTTGCTTTTGATTCTGAGAAAAGAAAGACTAACCCAAGCGTATTTGTCTTCAGTGTCTTCATAAAGTCCTCCCCAGAGATGTCCGTAAACGCCTTCGGCTGACCCACGATTCCTGCATTTGCAAAGAAAATATCGAGCCGGCCATATTGCTGAAGCGCATCGTCAATCACGGCTTTCACAGCCACTTCATCGGCCGCGTCGAACTGACGGATGTGGGTATCGACACCTGGGTACAGAGATTCAATTTCACGCTTGTGAGTTGCCAGGTGTGAGTGGTCGTAATCACAGAGGTAGACAGCTTTGGCCCCATTGTGTGCGTACTGATGTGCGCTTGCACGGCCGATGCCCGCGGGGGAGTTGGCTCCTGATTTGGAGATTCTTCGTTAGCCCTGCTGTTTGAAGTACACATACATCTGCAACAATAGGCCATTGAGAAAAGAAGGGACTCACCTGTTATGATTACAACCTTATCCTTGATACGGCTATACCACACTTAGTATTCGGCTATGCTTGTGTTGCATTTTGAGAGTGTCTCTCGCTTAAGCTCGTCGACTTAGATAATTCAGATTAACTTACGGGCCAACTGAGTCCTGTGCAACTTGTCGAACCTTAGGGATCCCCTCGAATGTGCCTGCATCGGGAATGCCGTCCACCAGTTGCTGGCTAATCCCTTGGAGACGCTTGGCAGCTCCGGACATTTTTAAATAGATTTAGTAGGCTGCAATGTTTGTAAATGTATTCTGTAGAATATCCAAGAGAAATATGGTATGATTATTCAATATCAACTGCTACATATAAACATAGAGTAAGATTTATGAGGGAAGCATTGAGGAGGCTAATATGCAATCGGCTCGGATAATTGCTCCATGGCTGGGCTGTTTTGCGGGGAGAAGCCGAGGCTATGGTCAGGTGACCTCCAGGACCCATGCAGAGGAGTTCTAAACCAGGTTACAGGTCAGCAGCCCTCGTTCCGCGCCCCGAAACTGGTCATGTGATATACCTAGCGGTGGCATCTGGCAAGGGGCACATGACCTGTGTACTCGAGTTAAAAGGTTGGTTAATGCACAGAATCGGGTTAGTCAGCTGGCCCTAGGGACTAGGCCCAAACAGGCAAGGTCACATGTCGTGTCCCACGTCATGGCCCAACGGGCTTTTGCTTGGTTAGACACATTCCAGGCTCTGCTGGCTCCTTTGTATTATTTTATTTTTGCTTTTTTCGGTTTTGCCCCTTCGCGATTCTTCTGTCGTTCTTTACTCTCCGCTCTTCTTTCCCCCTGTAACTTCACTGTTCGTGGGCTGTGTGGGATGATCTGCAGTTTCTTTCCCGTCTTCAAAACGCAATCAAGACATCCCACTGGCGAAGGATCAAAGGGCAGATCAGCTGAGACGATTACCGGGCTTTCATAACGACCTTCTCTTCTATCAGCCTATGAGAAGAGGTAGGCATAAAAGTATTCATGAAGTCCGCAAATCAATACTCCGTCTACTCAGTCCACTTTACAAGGAGTCATGGCGGAGTCTGATATCGAACACACGCAGCGCCGTTCCTCCTCCCGGACATCCTCATCTTCCCGACACAGCCAAATAGCTAGGCCCGTTCGCACAAGATCTCAAAAACGGCAGTCAGCTGCGTCTTCCAATGCTACCACCACCGACCTCACGTCGTTTCCCTCCCTTTCTCCGGATCGCTCAGTAGAGGGGTTTTTCGGCAAGCCTGCGTTGAACCGCGCCCTGACGAACGCGTTGTTGGACGATCATGAGAGCGGTGATAGCAGTAGCTCAGGGGAAATGACTGGTCGGGATCGAAGGGCAACCTTGGCGAAGTTGACGGGCGGCATGCCACGAACTTCTGGCCGTGCGGCTTTATTTGACGACGCGGTCCCGGTTCACGATTTTCCCGGCGCGCTACACTTGGCGGATGATGCACACATTGAGCGGTTGGTTGCGAGTACGGGAGCTGTGAAATTGGTTCGACAGTTTGCCCGCGATTTGGCGCAACGGGATGCCGAGATCTCGGCTCTGCGCCAGCGGGCTGATGCGAGGGAGAGAGAATTAAAGAGGATGCTGAGGGAGGTTTCTGTCTCCAATCAGGATATAGAGCGTCGGCTGTATGCACTGGAGAATGCACCCCAGAAGGCTGAGAAGGGACAGGATGATGCAAAGGTGGAACAGGAAGCCGGATCCTCGTCTGGCGTTCATGGGTTGATGCAGCAAGCAATGACTGATAACGTGGGGTCTCGGCAGGAGGAGTCGCTAGATGCTACCTCTGCGCAAGCTACTCTTCGTGCTCCGCAACGCTTGGAGAGTGATGCTAAGTCCGGCACCTCTAGTGTTGAATCGGGATCAGGAACTACCCGGAAGCGACAAAGCTCTCTTCGCAATTGGCAGGATTATATCTTCGGTAGTAATACGGCTAGCCGGAAGACCAGCCGAGCGAGCAGCATAATGACTGATGTCGGAGAAGTCGACGAAGAAGACACCCGGCGCCAGCGGAATCCAGTTAACGCGGCCCGCCGAAAAGCGCTCGATGAGCAGCTTTTCAACCCTTTAGGCGGACAAACAGGCTCTGCGGGTGAGATTATCGGAAAAAGCCTCGCTGGGGTTTCGGCAAGTGGGGATGATGCCAGTGTCCATTCGCGCAAGTCGTCGAGGTCCGTATCATCTTGGGCAGTCAAATTGTTTGCTGGAAATCCTCAAACGAACAAGGAAGAAAATAACACGGAATCCCCGCGTGGCCGAGCTCTGTCAACTAATCGGGAAAGGGGTAAAGGCGATTTTCCATCCCTTCAGGTCAACTCTAAGGGAGCTATGTCGGCAGTGGCTGCCTTGAAAAGGATCAACAGCAACGCGAGCATTCACGGAGCGCCAGGAAGATTGACAAGTGGCCCGGGTGCCATGGCCCGGTCGAATCAAGTCGGACGCAGACATGCAGCCTCAAGTGTCTCACATGGAGCAAGTTCGGAAACCGCTGACCACAACCCAACCAATCTCGGACCAGTCGAGATGGATGCTATCCTTCCGATGGAATCGCGGCCTCCAACACTTTCTCATATGTACAACAACTACCAACCTAGTGAGCTTCTGACGGACAGATTCGGGTTCATTTATGATCAGCGCCGAAAGAAGAGGCAGCGAGAAGCTAGTGTACTCAAGAATGGTAGCAATCGGATAAGCATCGCGGAGACTCTTAACAGCTTCCGAACCGACAATTCAGATGGTGACAGTGATGACCTCCAGAGGCAGTGCGCCGCAGAGTCTTCACGCTCGCCAGTCCCATCTCCTGAGGATCCAGAGTCTGGTGATGTTGCAGTTCGGAGATGGCAGGACTATTTGAGGATCGCGACGGGACCAGCCGAGCTGTTGTCTCATACCCCTTCTGCTGGTCCTATAGTGTCATTAACCACCGGCGAGAGCCAGCCCCGGGGCCCTGGAGTTGCTGTCGACAAGCGTGGCTCGCTCTCAGTCAACCCGAATGCTCAGCCATCAGCATCTACATCCGCTGTTGTCGCAGATCGTCCAGAATTTGCGGGAACATCGACCGAAGAACTTGCGGCCACGGCAGCAACCGTCGCTGTAAATGAGAATGAACCCGTGAAGTTGCTTCTCGAACAATTAACTGACCTCCACGACTCGCTGCAGCGCGACAGAACAGTCAGGTGGAACGAGTTTCTGCGCAAAGTGCGTGCCGAGCGGCGGAAGGAAGGGGAAGCCGCGGCGGCGGCGGCAGCAGCTTCGGACCGACCATTGCAGTCCGTACATATGCCGGAGGCGTCTCTTGCGGATGGCGAGGTTGTAGGGGTAGCTGGCTTGGGGAATAAAGGCAAGGTCGGCCGCGCGAAATGGCGGGAGTTCCGAGCTCTCGTCCTCGGTGGTATCCCCGTTGCTCTTCGAGCAAAGGTCTGGTCCGAATGCTGCGGCGCATCTTCCATGCGTGTACCTGGCTACTATGATGACCTCGTGAAGGGAGTCGGCGGCAGTGATCCTGACCCATCTGTCATAGCGCAAATCGACATGGACATCAACCGGACTTTAACAGACAACGTATTCTTCCGCAAAGGCCCTGGTGTCAATAAACTCAAGGAGGTCCTTCTCGCATATGCCCGTCGCAATTCGGAGGTGGGATACTGCCAAGGCATGAATCTTATTGCCGCGTCACTCCTTCTCATTACACCAGCCGCAGAGGATGCGTTCTGGATTCTAGCATCTATGATCGAGATTATCCTCCCAGAACATTACTATGACCATGGTCTTCTGGCTTCCCGGGCTGATCAAGTCGTGCTACGCCAGTATATCTCTGAGGTTCTACCGAAACTAGCAGCTCATTTGGAAGCTCTTGGTGTCGAATTAGAGGCGTTGACATTCCAGTGGTTCCTATCCGTGTTCACCGATTGTCTCTCCGCGGAAGCATTGTATCGCGTATGGGACGTTGTCTTGTGTCTCAACGCTACCAGTGTTATCAACCCTGCTCCGACTACCTCCAGTGCGTCGTCCTCTAGCCCCCGAGATCCCAACGATTCGAGTGCATCTGCTACCAAAGATATCGTCTCCGGCAACGGTGGAGGAAGCACGTTCCTTTTCCAAGTTGCGCTTGCGTTGCTTAAGCTCAACGAACAACAACTTCTCACAACTTGCTCCACACCCGCCGAACTATACACGTATATCAACCATCAAATGACCAACCATGCAATCAGCATCGACGGTTTGATACAGGCCAGCGAGGCCCTCCGCAACGTCGTGCGTCGCGAGGACGTCGTGGAGCGGAGGGCAGTCGCAATGCGGGAGTTTGGGGGATACCCTCCAGACGAGAGTAAATGATTTTATCCTTTTTTTTTCCCGCGTACTTCATGTTTAACAATACCCAAGAGATACATTCCTTGTTTCTGTTGCGCTCCTTCTATGATACCACTTTTCTTTCCTTGATATCTATAGACTGGCATGGTTTCTTGCAATTATACGATCCTTGAGTTTAGATTCTTTCCTGCATCGCTTAAAATTCATTCATTGATGGCGACTTGACGTCAGTTAACAGTGGAAAGGGGGCAAACTGAGATACCCTTTTGACATGAAGCAAATACATACTCATCTCTTAGTATTCAGTCTACTAAGACGCACCAATAAAAATAACAAAAAATAAAAATATCCTTCCTGAGGCTCTTCAAGAAAATAATCCTAGCTAATACAAGAAAGAAAGAAGTAACCACAAGACGGGGAATCAAAACAACCTTCTATACACCCACAACCCTACCCCCTGAACCACCCCCCAAAACCGTCCCAGCAATCTCCCTCTCCTCCTTTGCACTCCCATCTCCAAATAACTCATCAATCTCCTCCAACGACTTTCCACTCGTCTCTGGCACAAGCAAAAACGCCCACACCCCGGCCACAAAACACATCACTGCAAAAAACACATACGTCCGATACCCTATATCCGCCAACATCGACGGCGTAATCACGCCCACAATAAAATCCGACAACCAAATCACGCACGTCGAAAGCGCAACCCCCTTCGACCGTGTCGTCGTCGAAAACACCTCACTGGGCAACGCCCACCCCAGCGGCGAATACGACACCCCATACAACAAGATGAACACGAATGCCATCGCCACGCACGCCCACCCGGCGCTCATATTCGCCGCCCAGTCTTTCGAGTACACGCCCGACAACACCGCAATCACGATATAGGCGGCCGACATCCCCAGCGCGCCGCCGATGGCGAGGGGTCGGCGGCCGATTTTCTCAATGATCAGGAAACAGATTACGGCGGAGACGAGCTGAAGGATGTTGAAGACGCCGGAGAGGATGAGGGATGTTTCGGAGGTTTGGCCGAGGGATTGGAAGAGGGTGGGCGCGTAGTAGATGAAGGCGTTTATGCCCGAGAATTGCTGGAAGAGGGCGATGCCGCAGCCTACGGCGGTGCGTTTCCAGGTTTTGGAGCTGAAGAGGTCGAGCCAGGACAGGAGCTCGAGTTTCATGCCCCTTATGCCGGGGTGTTTGCGTTCTTGGATGAGTTTTTGGAGCCGGGTTTCGGTTATTATGCTGGTGTATTCGATTTGGATGGCGGGGGAGGTTGGCGGGAGATTGCGGAGTTTGGTGAGGCTTGTTAGGCAGTCTGTGTTGCGGTTGACGAGGGCGAGCCAGCGGGGGGAGTAGGGGAAGAAGTGGATTCCTAGGCCGAGGGCTGTGGCTGTTACCATTTGGAGGCCGAATGGGAGGCGGAAGCTGGCTTCGCCGGGGAGGTGGCGCGTGCCGAAGGTGATCCAGTAGGCGATTACGACGCCGGAGGTTATGGAGATGGATTCGAGGACAAGGAGCGTGCCGCGCATGTTTGGGGGGGAAATTTCGGAGATATAGAGGGGGGCGCCCTGTTGGGAGTTGGTTTGGGGTATCTTTTTTAATTGTGGTGTTAGGGTTATGTGCTTACCATTGCTAGGGTGCCGACTCCTACGCCGCCGATGAATCGCCCGGCTACTAGCATGTCATAGTTTGTTGCTGCTGTTTGGATGATTGCGCCGATGTCGAAGACCACCACCATCGCTGTGAGCGCCCATTTGCGCGAAATGCGATCTGAGAGGTGTGACATGAAGATACAGCCGACAAAGGCGCCCAGCAGTAGCATGCCAGTCATCAGCCCCTTCCCGAATGCCGTTTCGGTCCGGGGATACACCTTATGGAACTCGTCCATCACGTTGATGATGGAGATGACGCCCATGTCATATCCCATGGAGAACCCGCCCAGGGAGGCGAGGAAGGCTGCTCCGAAGACATACTTGGAGTAAAAGAGGCCCTTTATACCGCCGGGGCCGTATGATAGTTCATCGGGATCGTTGTGAAGATCTACCGATTGATGATGAAGACCCGGGAGGGCTTCTTCGTCATGTTCAACTGTTGGGCCATCTTTGCGTTTGTCTAGATCGAGTGAACTCATGGTCGATGGTGGTATGTGGAGGGGCCCGGGTGTATAGTAGTAAGTATACAGTATAGTATAGTATGTACAAGGGAGGAGAGAAGAAGAGAAAATTACTCAATTAGGGACGGCAAGAGAAGAACTACCCGGCGATAGGGGATGGTGTGGCGTGGCACCGTTGCGGAGTACCTTGCGTTTCATGAAGTAAACATGGGACACAAATTTGTCCGGCATATTTATATGTAGTATCGGCTATCCGACAGGTGAAGTTAGTCTAAAACCGACTCGACCGACTCGATGCATGTCGGGACCAGACAAAACCGATGACGTCGTTTACACTGAGCCGGGTTCCAAACGGTAAGATTTCCCACTTCCAGGGGAGGAGAAGCTGAAATGCGGAGACATGCCGATAGACGGGGGAACTCCACTTTTCGCCATCTTATAAGTCTATGAGTTATATGAAGACCTTTCCTGTTCTTTACCTATCATTGAGTGGGGACCACAGCCACTGGATTCTGGAGGGATACGACTAGTCCACTATCCAATGACAGTGAAGGGATGGTAGAGGAGGGTAGAGATATGGTTGCAACATATGTTTATTTGAGGAAGAATTATGTACCCCGGTTGATGCCAAATCCCCAGAGTTTCTCAACCCCGGACGCAATCTGAAACTTAAGGTTAACTTAACGCAATCTCCCCGCATCCGAATGGCCCACAACTTAGGGTTGACCGAGTCGGAGCACGAATCAGAGCGCAGAAATTGACTCAAATACTAAGAAAGTCTTGACGCCACGTGATGCAAGGCGGGAAATGATACCATTCTCTTCCACCTCCTTCCAATCTGGTGTCTTGGGAGGCGGGGATTATTGCCTCATTTTTTGCTCCCAAGGCGCTGGGGATTCCCGGTTTGGGTGAGGATTCGACGCCCGACTTGGATGATGTCAAGTTTGGTATAGGTGAAGCTATGTTGCTGCTGTTCTGAGGAGAATTGTATTTCTTCATTTTTGGATCTTTCCTATGTGTTATATGATTTAAGTTGGGTGGACGATTGGTTAATTACTTAAAATTGCTATATTGCTAAAAAAAAAAAAGTCGGTATATATTCCAGGATAGACGCTGTCAGATACATCCGCTTTGTTCAGAAAAGAAGTGTGTTCCATGGAATCACACCACACTGGTCTTGCCACCCATATGTGCTATTAGGTACATAGACAGGGTGTGTTCTGCTTGTTATGCAGTAAAAGTCGACTAAAACTACAGGGGTTCAGGTTGAACCGCAATTAGGAAAGAAGTTAAACATCGGCAATTAGGGGTGCTGGGGAGCCGACTTGCAGTGCATAAACAACGACTTCACAGCTGGTCAGCACGGCAACTAGGTACTATACAAAGGCCGTTCCCGACCTGATGCAATAACAGCAAGTGTTGAGGCAAACAGTGTGACCTTACTCCATGCAAGAACACGCATACTGCATTCCGCCGACCTTCAACCCACGGCTGCCTATGGAACCTTGGCGAATGTCACAAGTACAAGTCATCCTCCGACGTCACGGTAAGAAGGTTCTTGTCTTTTCCCGAAGCTGCCAGATACCCGAGTGAATTTCCCCGATTGAGACATTGTCGGCTTCTGAAAGTTGATACAGCGCAGGAGGGTTCCCTAGAAAGGTAGCCCAGGGAGAGTTTATCTTCCCGCCCGCAGAAAATCTCTCGTGGTTTATGTACGTTTTTTTTAAGACTGATATGGCAATGATTGCACAGCTGGCGTCATCTGGATTGGGTATCTAAAATTTGATGCATTCCTCCGGGGTATGTCTCCTAATTAGGGAGTCAGTCTGGCCATTGTAGCTTGTAGTAGGTGCTCATACTGGCAAGATCGTTTTCGTTGATATATCTACAGGCATATGTTAGCTCAACCCCAGCCTGACAAGGCTCGAACAACCAATCCGTAGGAGTATTTGAACGCCAAGGTCTCATACACGACAGGATGTTCCAAAAGCCGATGCGTTGATGGCTGTGTGTTGGTTTAGATTGTTCGAAATGTCGGTTAGGGCTGGTAAACTAATATAAGCATTAGTGGCAAAGTAGCTCAGTATCGAAGGATGATAGAAGTTCTTCGACTTTGATGACTCTCACGAAGGCCTTAATCAACATCTGCCAGGGTTCTGCGTTCGACTGGTGCCTTTTGCCTGTACGCGAGATGGCGTTTCCCAGTCCAGAAGCATGTTTCTTTGCTATTTGGAACGTATGGTTCTTCCCCCGCACGGGGTATTGAGCATATCAGTTCAATGATAGATATCACCATTTCCGTAAGCTACATAATTCTGCACGTCATTGATCGTTACAACATTGTCGTCTCACGGATTCTCCTCCACCGCTTTCTATAGCCAACCCATATTGGAGGCAGACAAGCCACAGTCACCGCTATTATCGTCAAAGCACACCCTACTCCCAGAGGTAGGAGACTACTAACCAACAACACATTCCACATGACTCCAAATCGCGAGCCAACGCTATTCACATATATGTATTAGCCTTGATAACTACAGACCGCTAGGAAACATATACAGGCAGGATACAAGGGGGCTGACCTGGTTAATTGGACCGAGAAAATTGTCCCCTGCCCTAGACGCATGGATTGCTCGGACGAGAGAAAATGCGGTCTATGCTCTTGTTAGAGTTCGATCTCAATACACATGGCCTTAGTAGAGGGTGGGCAATGGCATTTTACAATTATCTACCCCAGTGCAAATACCACGGCAAGACCTGCTCTCTGCTTTTTTGTTGCTTGGAGTTCAAAAAGGTGTCGGGTTGGGAGAATGACGACTGTGAGTAGATTGGTAAGTTTATACGTGTATCTATCACGGACTTGGCTAAACCATACTCATCGCATCAGAGAGCGTGTCTAAGGCTGTCGTGCCATACAGCTTACCTGGTTCCTTGGAGATGGCCTGAAACGCAGTTATCTATAGACAGTTAATCGAGCTATACACGATAAGAGCACGTGATGATTGGGGTATCTGCTACCATTGTCGAGTGAGAAGTTCTGTCCAAAAGGCAAGCATCCGAAGAATTGAATAAGAAAACATCCGATAAGGTTCATTATGGTGAAGCCGAACACGATATACCAGCTTAAGACGTGTCAGAACACTCACTATCGTTCGGCGACATTGCTAAGTTCGGGTTGGGAACGTACCCTTCCAGATAAACTGGAATTGGCTTCATGATCGGCCGAAGAAAGAAAAGCATCGAGAATTTCACACACCATACAGTCAGCCAGAAAATGATCAGAGACGCCTTGTTCGAACAACTGCATTAACATGTGCATGACATCTACGGAATTGAGGTTACACACAAAAGCATATTGGATCACCAATGTCACATCGTCCCGCAAGGCTGGGCTGTTCGACAAAGCATGTCCAAAATCTGCGCTGCTTTGCGCTACGGAAAGCGCGTCGATATACGGTGACGGCTGTATGGATGGCCGTTTCAACCGAGAGGAGAGCAAACGACGAAAAGGCAAAGTAATCATCGGCTCTCAGGCGCTCGCGAACTGAAATCCTTGAGACAATTCGCAGCGCCATTAGAATCAGGGCAATCAGATAGAGACCCCAATATACGACCTAGGCGACACGATTAGCATTGCGATTCAATTTCAGTTGGATAGGGGCTACGCTTACATAGTCTCGCCATTTCTCCATTCCCTGTCTCCCTTATTATTCTCGAAGATTGCGCGCGTATGAATCGTGCATCTGTGGAGAGATGTAGGGTACTAAGGAAGCTGATCGTCCTCGGCTGGAACATCTCCGAGATGCTGTGACAGTGACAGGATACGCATGCATACCGTGACAATTTGCTACGCATCCGAGGGGGGAAAGCTACTAAGATGAAGGGAGGGAACACGATGTCCGGGGAAGCTTAAGATCAGTGGCTTGTGTCGATCCGTCTCATTCGTCGAATCGGGATCCTAGTTAAGGGTTCCGGTTTAGGGGTGGGCGACGGTACATGATGACGCAGCCATCCTTCGTCCTATTAGACCTTCACTACTAGGAGTTCTAGTGCTTGCTTCTTCTCAGGGTGAATCGAGAGCAAACACTCCCATCGTGACTGGGTCAATTCGGGGACATCCATTGAGTCCGGCTCTCGGTGAGAATTGCTTTTCCCAACGACCAGAATTATGAGAATATATCTCCATTGACTGTCATGAAAGCATATATATCATCATACCTTCACTCCAAACAATGCGGCCGCACTCGCAATCAATCCCCCTGTCTCCCGCATGCAATTTAACTAGAACATGTAGATCAAGACAGTCGTAGAGGCCTTGTTGCGCAGCAATTCCCTGCATTTACACACCAATTTATTCTCCAATGTTTGTCTGGGGATGCGTCCTCTCAGCATCCATTGGAGGAATACTCTTTGGATACGACACCGGAATCATTTCAAGCGCCCTAGTCGTATTTCAGGATGATCTAGGACATGATCTTAGCAATGCAGAGAAGCAACTCTTGACCAGCCTGACCAGCGGCGGTGCTTTTGTTGGAGCCTTGTTTGCGGCTATCACCACAGACGCGGTATGTTGATTGTGCAGCCCTATATACCTAGGAAAAGCTTAACCATGCTCGCCAGATAGGACGAAAGATGGTCATAGGACTGGGGTGCATCTGGTTCACTGTCGGATCCGTCGTCGCATCATCCGCGTACTCAGTAGCCCTAATGTCCATCGCGCGATTCATCATCGGAGTAGGTATGGGCTTCGAAACTATGGTAGGACACCCTACTCTATCTGCACATATAACCATCCTTCTAACAACCCCCACTCCCAGGTCACCCCAGTATACACCTCCGAACTCTCCCCATCCTCCCGCCGTGCCGTATGATCACAGTCTACTCGCTCGCAGTAACAGGCGGCCAAGCCCTCGCCTACGCAATCGGCTCAATCTTCAGCCTAGTCCTCTATGGCTGGCGCTACATGTTCGCCTTCGGCGCCATCACAGCGCTAATCGAAGTCGCCTTGTTCCCCCTATACCCAGAAAACCCCCGACACCTCGTGTCCCGCAACCAAACAACAGACGCCATAATGGTGCTCCAACAAGTCTACCCCCAAGCCCCCACCCTCCAACATCCAAGCCCTCGTCCAAGTAATCCAAGACGTCAACCGCTCCGTCTCCTTCGACCAAGGGCCCCGTAACGCGCTCTGGTCCTGGAAACAACTCCACCTCTTCCCCTCCCACCTCCGCTCCCTAATCACCGCCTGCAGCCTGATGGCCCTGCAGCAGCTCTCCGGCTTTAACTCCCTAATGTACTACTCCGCCACGCTGTTCAATATAATGGGGTTCTCGAGACCCATCGAAGCAGGCCTCATCGTCTCCGGCACGAACTTCCTCTTCACGGCTCTATCGCTCCTGTTCGTCGATCTCGGCCGCCGTCGTTTGTTAGTTTGTACCGTGTGGGGGCTACCGGTTGCGTTGGCGATGGCCGCGGGCGCGTTCTCGAAGGTCAATGTCGATGGTAATCTAGAGCTAGTCACCACCCCACCGTTTGTGGGCGAAAGTGCGAGCTATCGTTTCTTTCGCAGTGTAAATAGCCTTTTATGCCATCGCGCTGGGGAATGTGCCCTGGTTAGCTAATGAGCTTTTGGCCCTGGAGGTAAGGGCCGTGAGTACGGCGATGTTGACTATGGTTTGTTGTATGCCTTGGCCCTCGGTAGTTGCAGTTGCAGTGGTGGTTGATATTGCATCATTTATTTACTAACTTGTCTTGTCTTGTGGTACAGGGGGCTCGAATATACTTGTCTCGGCTACTTTTCTTTCCCTTGTGAGCGCCATCTCGGCGTCTGGGGCGTTTGGGCTTTACGCTGGGGTTTGTTTCGTCGGGTGGGTGATTATTACTTTTACGTATCCGGAAACGGCCGGGTTAGAGCTGGAGAGTATTCCACAGGTGTTTGAGCATGGGTTTGGTGTTCGGTATGCGAACCAGCTGCAGGGGCTGCGGTGGTTAGGTACGGAGTCATGAATCTCCACACTATATATCTAGGTCTTTCATGTCGATGTATATACTATCGTATCGTTGGAGAATCCATTACAGGTGGCTTTTAATAGATTCAGTCCTTGCTCGTGATCAGGTCGTGATGATTTGAGATTGATCATCCGGGTAGTACATTGGGGCTAGTGTCTGTACCTCACATCAATTGATGAAATTTCTCCTAGTATCTCAGTGTTCAGTCATGATATATACCAGTGACAATTTCCATGCAATAACCAACAAGAGCGCCTACGTGAATACGTGAATATGTCATTTCCATTCCAAATGGGGCCGGGGCAGGAGCAGCTGTCCTTTTATTTTGACATATTGGCTGATTTTTATATTAATATCTGCGGTGGGTATCGAATAGTTATGCCGTCAGATAATATCAACACGAATAAGGTTCAAAGAAAGAGAGATACCAAATTTTTCAAGCCCCTTACCGCGGAAGGGGTTCTGGCATCCAGAATCGACCGCTGTCAAGAACGCTGTTCAAGTCGATATTATCCATGGTGGGTCGTAATCCAAGGTCCATCACATCGCGTGCGACAGCCTTAATCTGTCGAACGATCGCCTGGGAAATAGCCCATGTGCGGCCCAGGGATTTGAAGACCCCAATGGTGAGTGTGAGTCGATCACGACTCGGGTCGGGCATTTGTCCGGCTTTAACGGAGCAGGCAGCCAGCTGCACAATAGAGCTCATGACAAGGGCACAGATAAAGAAGGGAGTATGTTTCACAACCGGCATTCGGATGGACGCCAACGAAGAGATTTCACTGGCCGCTTTCACCGCCTTCATCGCATGCGCATGATGCGAGAACGCAGGGATGCTGCAAGGGCCATGGTGACCGCAGATAACTTCCGCAGCCATTGCTGGCGACGACAGCAAATCGGATCGCGGGAAGTGGAGGTAGATGGCCGCACCGTTGACGACCATGGTGGCCTGGAACATCATCTCATCTACCGATCCATCCGACCGCAGCAGTTCAGCTTTAGATTCCGGAAGGTGGTGGAACCAGCTGGTGATCCGCGCGTCGATGGCCTCCACATGGTCCTGCTGACCTTCAACCATGTCTTGAATAGACACCACCCGTGCTAAGATACGCGCAGCTTCGATACGGTAGGTGAAGGAGGAGAAATCCCTTTCCTCATCGTCGAACACCCGTCCATCGAACTGCGCAATTGTTGGGGCAGGTGGTGGAGCCAGTCCATCCTGGTATATCCGTTCCTCGCAGGGAAGCCCGACCTCAGGCGGTACCAATCCCGTTTGGGCGGTCGGTTGGAGCCCCAGTGCTGTCAGCATGTTCTCGATGATATACAGTTCCCACCATGTACGCCTCAGACTCTCCTCTCGCACCGGATCGCCTTCACTCATCATCGCTGCATACCCCTGGGTGTTTACACCTAATTCAAAGGCGATATTAACCGCTGTGACAAGGCACTCTTTAGCCTCGGGGCGCTCGTTGCGCGAATGGAGTACAATGGCCAATAGCAGAAGCGCCTGGAGCTTCTCTATGCTCGCATCCTGCTCCAAGACGGACGACATCACATTGGGTCGGTAGTGTTCGCTGGAGGCGGCTGGCGTGAAGTGGGATCCGATAAACTTGATGACATGGTCGAGATAACGTGGGACATAGGAGCTATACAGAAAACGAAGGGGGGGCAGGATGGGATGCGATGGGTGGAAGTACGTGTAGTAGATATCGATTAGATAGCCATCACCCGGGACGGCAGACGAGGAGTCCGGAGTAAGAGGCTCGTTGTGTAATGGGAGGGGTTGCGTAGAGCTAGACTTGTCGGTTAAACCGGGGCTTCCCGAAGATGGGGTTGTCAATGTGGTCGTTGACATATACTGGAAAGTGTTCTGCAGGCTGTTCCAGTCCGGAGGAATGTCGACCAAGCCCACCGGCTGCGGGTCAAAAGAGGCCGACAGATCCGTCTCATCGGGAGACGGGTTAGCACGCCGTTTCTTTGAAGGACCTTTGTACCCGCGGCGCGAAGGAGTATACTGGCACTCTGATCCGGTGGCCGCACAGCGGCCACACACGGGAGTTTTCCCGTCACATTTAAGATGCTTTTGCCGGCAAAGGAGACACGCCAGAAGCGAAGGGCCGGCCTTCGGAGGCCCTGGGGTTTTAGTTGTGACAAATGGTTCGTTCATCGTGATGAATCACGTAAGATCATAGGTTGCTCAAATTTCTGAGTTAAATCCCCATAAAAGATTGAGGAATATGATAAAAGGAGATCAATTAGCCCCAGAACCAATTGATGAATAATAAAAGAAGAGGTGACACTTTGTGTAATTGTGGCGTGAGGCAGGGGGAATCACTCTGTTTTTTTTTCTTTTTGTTGGGGAAGAGCGACAAACACACAAAGAGCAGGAAAAGGGGGGGTTGGAATGGAACGGGTGTACGAACAAAACAACTTGAAGGAGAGACTCGGGAAATAAGAAATAGGGAAATGAAAGAACAGGTGATCACGAAGTTCCAGTGAAGATAAAGAAAGAATTAGTCAGGGGAGGAGGTGGTACACAAAGTGAACAGAGCAGAGAATATACTAAGGCAACCCAATCAGATGGGAACCTGCTTTAGCGCCGTGATAGACAGTACTTGTCCATACGAGGTACACGGTACGTGGCCAACGGTGTGTATATTACAGAGTCAAGACCAGGAAATAATAGGAACAGTACCCCACACGGGATAGATGAGATGAAATCGACAATCAGATCGATAAATATGGAATTCTGTACAAGGGGAATCAAATTGGAAGATCTTGAGTGAAACATGGAGAAAGATAAAAACAAGGTCGACCGCTCGTCTCCTCAACCCTGTCAAGAATTACCTTTGAAACGGGTTTCGGCTTAGTCACGTTCCTCGCTGACTGATCAATTTACGTACTAGTCCAATGGTAGTAGTGGTGGTACTTACTAGTACTAGACAAAGTACTTCCACTTCAGGTACCCCGGCCTAACCCGATCAAGAACCAACAAACAGGTGTCACTTGCGACCGGCCGATCTCGACCTCCGCTCAGCCTGTCGGACATACTTCACTTCCTCTTCCTTTACTATCTCCCACCACCCCCATTGGAATTCAGTCGTTCATATTCATTTTGAGTTGAGAAGGTAAGCCTCTAACGGGTATCAGCGCCCAATCCGAAACTATTGTTAGTCTGATTTAAGACAACGAGGGTCCTATAATTGCTGACTATTGACGTGGCTTCTAATAGCAGCAGCAGCGCCGGCTTCCCATCGCATCGATCAATCAATTCTCCCCACTTTAAAAGAAGCCTACTGACATTGCCTCCTCATTCATTATACACCGGTCTCATATTTATAATAAACCTCTCGCTATCGTCAAGATGATTTCCGACGACGATCTTCACCGTCTCGCCATCTTCCTCGGTTCCTGTGCTATGATGATGATTGTCCTCTACCACTTCCTCGAAGTCAATGCCAAAGATAATGAAGTCGATAATACAAGTGACGTAAAGAAGTCTACCGCTGCTTCTCAGGAGTCTGTTGCCGCAAGCCCTGCGGCAGTACCTCCGGCCGCCGCAGGCGCCTCATCAGCCATTGGAGGAGGAAAAGACCGGTAGTGGCTTTCTCCATCCCGTTAGCGTTGTTTTCTCTATTTGCTACTTTTTATTTTTTATTTATTTTTCGCCCTTGGTTCTTATCGTGACCGCGAGGAAGAAAGGACAAGCGCGGCAATAATGGATACCCCGATGGCCTTGGTTGGAGCGGTTAATGTCAGGAAGGACAAGCTAGTGCGTGATCTGCTTGGAAGGTTACGTCCATTCAAAGAATACATCACTATTGTACAAGTTTCTAGGCGGATGGTTTCCTACCGAGGGTAAACTGCCTTGGGAAAGGGTGGAGGTATAATGTACACAGAATATTCGAATCGCAATCAACCAAACGGCACTTCCTAGAATCGACACCCAACCCTGTGCAATGCAAGATAGGATGCGAAATCAATAGATGCAAAGGGGTATCACATGTTTCCCTAACCCTCAAGTTTTACTTCGTAAACGTCCTCCTCATTGCTCACTCTCTCATTCCGGGCGGGGGTAGCCAACTGGCATCCACCGGGATCCAAGCCAACCCCAATCTGTTCTTTGAGCCTCTGTACAGCCTTGAATATCCCCTGGGCCTTGTCACGCTGCGTATTGTTCCCATGCACGCGATTAAATGCTCGGATGGAAGAGTAATTGGCTGGAAAGATAAGCGAATCTTCACCGCCTGCTAGAGGGGACTCTGGAATCGTCGAAGGAACGTGGCTTTTGCTGGCAGTACTTCCTACTAGAAAGTATGAATCAAATATTAATAACGCACTATGTTGACCAAAGATCACATTGGAGAGCAATCAGCCAAATGCTTTCTCACCAGTTCCAGGCACTGATGGTCCATCACCCAATTTCCAGGCAATGGGTTCAAGATGAGCACCTCTAATATGCTTAACGAGAGCGGCCGCAGGAAAGTTGTCACTACAAGTGCAACCCTTCCATTCGCATGTGAGAGTGTAAGGTACGTGGACCTTATAAATATGCTTTGCTAGCATTTCGAGATTATGAAGTTCGGCGCGACATTGGTCCCACTCGCAAGAATAGACCTGATAAGGAACCTGGGGCATGGGGGGAGGAGCCGCCTGGATCTTCGAGCTACCGGGCGGGCGTCCTGGAGGACGTCCCGGTGTGCGTCCCGGCGGTCTTCCAGGCGGTCTCTTTTCAACCATCTTATCCGACGAAACACTAGGGCTTCGTACAGTTACCTGTACCAAGGTATTCAGTGGTTGGGGTTTTGTCGCCGCTGGCAATTGAACTTGGATTATACTCGGTGATTGGGTTTGTTGTAGTTTTGATTGTTCGAGGGGCTGCGCTGGAGTAGGATGTTGTTCTTGGTTCGGGGCTTGGCGTTGTGTTTGTATGGTTGGCGGCGCACCGAGTAATGACGGTTCCTTTGGCGGAGTGGAAACCTGCATCGGCGCCTGAGGCGGGTCACGTGGCTTTTCCTCACGCTCTGCATCGACCAAGTCCCAGCGAAATGTTTCCAAATCGGACGAGTTATCGACATTATGAAAGACATCACGCAAGCGAGTGAGGTGATGGTTCAATGCTGGTTCCGTTGGGTGACGCCCGGCTGCGATTAACACATCTCTGGCGATCGTCCCCGGGTCATAACTGGGTTTCAAAGCAGCCTCTGACTTGTTTAGGGGTTTAACGATATCTACACGATTCTTGAGGAAGGTCTTGTCTCTTGTATCTTGAGGGCTAAAAGAGTATGACGAAAGGTTTCCTTGCGAAACAGGCTTCGGCATTGCGTTAGTGATGGTAGATTGTATGCTGTACTTGCTCGGCGTTGTAGAAGCTTCAATGAGGCGCCTCTTTATGTCATGTCCATGATCTAGCCCTTGTGGTGTATGCGACGTCACTGAAGCTCTAGAATGAATCGATGTCGACTGCTGTGTGACAGGTAGATGAGGACGATGTCCTTGTGCGGTCACTGAAGTACTTGAGGGCATCGGTGAGTATGGAGTCGAGTGCTGAGGCGGACCTTGGTAGTACCCTGACACGGGAGCCGTGGTCTGGTACTGAACAGCAGGATTTGTATGGAGGGTAGCCGGTCTCACATATCCTTGGTTGGGTGGATATGGGGACGAGTGATGGGTGGGAGCGATGCTCATAGGATCTTGTGTTGTTGACTGCGCAGTGAAGTACGCCGCAGGAACTTCACTCTGCAAGGCAACTCCATATTCCTGTTTGTAAAGTCTATAACCAGATTGTGGACAACTTGAAAGCCAGTTGTATCCATCGTTCGCGTTCGACATTTTGGATCGCCAATGCCACGCTTTAAAGGTATCCAGTTAAAGCCCTATTTTCTCTCTCAGCATGACAGAAGCAGTCCTAACATGAAACTGTATATATGTGTGTAAGTAGTAGTGACTTTCAATGGCACAGACATGCTATTGCCATATCCATCCAGGTATGAATGATCTTTGTCGCGCATTCGCGATGATCTTCCAATGGAATGGTCTCCTACTTTCCGATATCTTTTCTCTACCGCCTACTATTCTAATGCCAATGGTCCAATGGCATGGTCTTATGCAAGGGCAGAATGAGTACAGCTCGCGGGCGGTCAATTTATTAGCTCAGTCATGTGAACCAATCAGCGGCGGTACCAACCCTAAGACATGTCATGTGACGCACATTCCGGCTACCCAGTTCATCTTTTCATTCCTCACCTCCTCTCCTTTCGTTATTATACCACTTCGTTGTGATACAAACTGTTCGCATAATGGGCAACTTTAAGAGGGACTAGAACACAACTGTGGCCTTGTCGACAATCGGAGAAGACAATTGGAACTCGATTCAGAGTCTAACAATACTTACAGTTCCGCTCTATCTCATCCTTGCGGATGACAAAGTAACCATCGCCTGTGGTTCCAGCACGCTCCAATCCCGGAGTACATTACCGTCAAGCCAAGACTACTACAGGGACTTGGTTAGTTTCATGCAAATAGGGTGATTTGGCGAGGCAGTACGTGAGATACTTAAAATGAGATGGGATAAACAAACCTGTTATGACCAAGCTTTCGTCTTATTTTTTCTCCAAAAAGACTAGTGCATGCTATGAAGGGAAGCAAGAGACAAACAATGCAAGAGTTCAAAATTCTCTCATGGCCTTTCCGACGACGTTTCTTGCTTCTGGCTACATCAGTTGCTACCTGTCAGGCTACAACCTATCACTGAATCTCACGAGTCTGCGATTCATCTCGTACATCCCCCCTCAAATCTGCCCATCGCACCCTGAATCCGGTGACTGCTACATCCGTAGCAGAGCAAACCCCCTTTCCCCTAAACCTTCACCTTCCCCCTTACCGCCGAATTATCTCCTCATCAATCCCGTCTCGACGGACCCCAATGGTTGGAGAGGTAAACGACTGGCGCAGAAGGAATCCCAGTCCAATCTCTGGTTTTACCGGAGGTTGGTTCTGCCTCGCTTGCAGACTCGCACTGATGCGTTAGCTAGGAAGCTGTGAGTTTGATAGTGAGATACAATGCCTAGTTAGAAGTAGTTTAATGAATTTTGGCCGAATTTACTTTTATTCTTGGTTCCTTTCTCTTTCGGGTAGCATATGACGGTAGCTGTCTCAGTGGCTTAAAAATAGTCACCATTTTGGTAACATAAATATATATTCTATTGTATACTTATGCGTGCGTTATTCATCCGGGCATACGCAGAACAAATCCCAACCACAACAAGAAACCCGCATTTATTATGTATGAGAAAGATACCAGCTTTATGCTTAATAGTACAAGAAAAGAAGTGTGCTAAACTGCAGAACAACCCATCGTGAAAGACATTGTAAAAGCGCCTCCCCCTCCCCACAATCCGACATACCACCCCGTACGCAGTAGCGGTACTTATCACGATCAGACTAAACAACCATAATCACTAGCCTTCACTTCTCACTGTGACCCACACACTTCCCCCAGGCCGGCAATCCACACCCCATCCCAATAAATAGATACAGTAGGAACACGATAACGACTCCCAAGAGCACCATCAGCTTGATATTCTTCCACCACATCCGTCGCCTCAGGCCCCGGCTCCGAATGCGGAAATCGTGCGCACTCCCGCCTAACCGGTCCGTCTTGTCAACGAGTAGGTCAATCCGCTCCCCACGCTCCAGTACCCGCTCGATATTCTCTGTCATGATATCCCGGACGCTGTCGATCTCCCTACGGGCTGAGGCGATGGAATCCGATGGCGGGGCGGTGTTGTAGGTCTGGAGCAGGGAGCGGAGCTCATTGTTGAACGCAGCGCAACCGTAGGCTGGTAGAGCGGCGAAATCGGTACCAGAGGGCGGGTAGGTAGATAGGAACTTGCGTTTCATTTCGAGGAGGAAGGCAAATGGGATGCGACGGCCTTGCTCGGCGGTCGCGACGACGATGTAGCTTAGCGGGGCGTAGGATTGTGGTTCCTGTCGGGCGCTGGAGTCGTCCGATGCCCCCGTAGGTGAGTCGGCGACATAGTGGACGAAGAGGCGTTCATGGGTGTAGGTGAGCTTTTGGGATTTCTCGTGCGTGATTTTGGGGAGGATGATGGAGGCGAGCGAGGAGGCGGATGTTGAGGATGTTCCTGGTGCGGAATGCTCTGCGAGGATTGTAGTACGGTGGGCTATGCAGGTACTGGGGGGTTCGTTATGTCAGCCTAGATTTGGAGATGGTTATAGATTTCTGAGGGGGTTGCGCAGTATGAACATGGACATACTAGAGTAGAAAGCTCGAAGGCTTCGAGGACGAGGCCATGGTGATAGGTTTTTTGTTTGGACTATAGTGGTAGAATGAAGGGGAAAGAGATCTCCCTTAAAATATTGCGGGAAAGGTATATCTGTTACCTTTTTTGTCAGCTCGCGGGGTTTGCTGGTGCCTAGCCGAGATAAATTCGCAGTCAATAAGAGACTCGGAGAGTGATGATCGCGATGCCGTGACGTCGGGGCGCCAAGAACCCCAGATTCCATCACGTGGCCTTGATTATACATGGCTTTCCTACGTACGAAGCAGATATGATAAAGCCACAAAGGTCATTACTGTCATAACTCTTAGAAATCAAAGCTCGTTATCACATGGGGTACCTCTAATGAAATCAAAAGTATCTGCTCCTATAGTTCAATTATTTCTTCGCAGACGGAAATCCAGCGTGACAGTATTATCACCGCTTAAATCCAACTCCTCAAAATCACTTAGGTCGTTAGACTGGCTCAATGTGTCTAGGACGACTGTGTCACTGCCATCACTGTCATACTCAAAAGAGCCATCTTCGTCATCGTCAGCCGATGAATTCAACAGAAAAGAACTGTCGTCAGCTGTTCCGTATCCTTCTACTGATGTTGGCTCCTGGTAACCATTAACTCCATCCTTGTCTTTCTGGGAACAGATAGATATCGATTGTATAGACATAGCATCCACTCCATACCCATCCGTGGTTCTGTGTGAGGCGCCTTGGACAGTACTCTCGATGTCTCGGGTACTGATCATAGAGATTGACCCGGCCGTTGACGCTGCGCTTCCTAGGTGAATCTCTGGACCCGGTGTTGAGAAACCCCCTGTCTCTAAGATGGGAATATCTTGATCCATAAAAACACCTCCAGTCCCATCGTCATTGCCTCCTGCCCACAGTGGTAGGTATTTGAATTCGTTTTCGGTGAGACAAGTAACTGTATCGGTCTTCTCGATCGAGCCTCTACCCAGATCAAACATGTCGCTTGCATACTTGGTCACGTATGACCGCACTTCTGAAATGAATGAATCTAGATCGAATAGACCTTTTCGCTGTGCGAATAAATTAGATAACCAGGTCGACGGGTCATAATTCTCCTCCATAACCCAAGGGCTCGCTGCATGCGGGTGGTAGTTGAGCTTTTCATCCTTCGACCCTCCCACCAAAGAGTTGAATTTGTAAACTATCTCGCAGAGATTATCACGTGTGACCCGCTTGATTGTCGCGTTATCATGGGCCCTGAAAGTGGGCAACCAGTCTCCCAAGCTGGCAACGGAAGGGTTCCAAAAAAACTCGTCAATATCTGGGAACTCACTCCCGGTGAACTGCTCGTTCATGAGGTTTTTCCAGAATGTCCTACAAAGAATGCGCTCTGGGTAGCGCATTGAGCTGTAAGCGTATTTATAGTGCGCTGAGGGATTGTTATCCTTGTTACTTCCTGTTACCGGTAGCCAAATTCCATTTCCTCTTTCCACCCATTGCACAATATGCGCGCGGACATACTCCTTGCAAGTACTGATGAGCTCAAACATGTAGATATTCTCCATATAAGTCTCTGGAGTAAAATTGAGTAGTTCCTGGAAGGTGGGCAATTCGAGGAGCCAATGCATTTCAGAACCGGCCAGTCTGAGGAACCGATCTATAACGTGCTCCATAAAACTTTTGCTTGCGTACTCAATGCGTTGGAGCTCGTCATCGTCCAGCAATGGCTCTCGGAGACGTCCATGAAAGGTCCACTGTGGCTTGCCTGGCAAAGGTTGTTTATCTGAGTATGCTAACAAAAACAAAGCCTCCTCCCCGACGAGAACCGAGAATGAGTCACGGCAAAGATAGTCGCATTGAATCCCACAGCCAATTTTGTACGCAATCTCTGGATGGTGTTCTATAAGTTGGACGTTCGTTGGGTCGTAAAGCCAGGATAATACGAGGCTCCTGATTTTCGGTGCCGTAGCTACTCCGAATACTCTAGCTAGCGCGAAAAAGGTCCAGAACTTGCAAGGTGTATCGAGCTCGGGGGCGAAACCTTCCAAAGCATATATTATGTGTTCAATCCCACGTCGGTGTCGAATCACAGAATATTCCAAAGGGAGGCCTGGTTTTCTTCCAGGAGCATTTGAACGAGTGTTACCTGAAGCAGAAGGGCTTTCAACCTTGCCTTCCGGCAATTCTACTTCGTCTTGACCACCAACGAGAGCAGAGGGCAAGCTACACCATGCTGGAGAGGATTGAGCCCAGTTCCTAATACCCAAAGGGCACGACAGTTCCGTGAGAAATATGACAGCATCTTCCTCCACTGTAGGAGGGGTGAGATCAATGACGTATTTGATTCCATTCGTGAGCTTTCCCTCAAGTCCGCGGCGACTGATGGTTCGAGCCTGAGCCCTTGGTAGGAAGAGATCCTTAAAGTAAGTAGAACCAGTATCTAGAAGCTTCTGGCTACAGATACGGTGAGGAATGCATTCCGGGGAGCGCGGTAAGGCGGACACGGAAGCTTTCTGTGGGGGAGGGTCAATATACAATAGCGTGTCAGCGTTGTTAAGAAGAAGCAATCCCGAACAGGGATTATCCGTATTGATATCTAGGGAGAAAGGTTGGAAAAATGTCCTTGCGGCTGCTGACAGATCGGCAGAGTAACTCATATTCGTATACTTTTCCTAAACTTCCACGAAAGTGTTTGTCTGTGAGTATTCTGCTGAGGCAGATTGGGATATTCAGAGTTAACTGCAGAGCTTTAGTATATCTATTGATCAATACATCAGTCAGTCATACTAGGGGCAAAGTGAAACCGTCGTAAAGGGAGGCTGAGAGCCTGAGATAGAGTAGCCTAATTCGTTTCCTCCTTCCAAAGACAAACTTTTGATTTTTTTGCTTGAGGAGACCGTCGTGAAACGAGTATCATTAACAATAAGACCTTACGGCCCAATACCTAAGCGGTAGACCAGAGTAGTTGCAAGGTAACCAGGTTGTTGTCCTCGGTTGGAATTTAACTCCAAAGACATTCCCTCCATACATAAATAGACCCCTGCCGCGGGGCCACATGTGACCCATGAGGCTGAGTCGCGGAAAGCCTCTTCGGAACTGAGCCACGATGAGTGATGGAGTGTACTACTAGTATTATATCACGGAGTACTGTGTTGACCCTGGAGATAATAGAAATCTCTAGCTAGAAGTATCCAAAATCATCAGCCTGGAGGCCATTTGACCCGAACGCAACTCCATTGGACTCATGAGTGTCAGGGTAATTATCAAGGATTACATCTGCACCCGTAGTTTAATATTGCTAATTAATAATAATTCCCATAGTAGTCCAAGTACTTGACGTCAAGTGGATAACGGGTATGGGATGGGATCATGGAGATGTCATGTTCTGGAGGAGCCATGGTATGATCCAAGTACATCTGTGACTTGTATATATACCTCTGATGTATGTACCTTAGGTCAAAACATTATCACAGCGTCTCCGTATCGTTTCTCCCTCCTAAACTTCCATGCAAGTCTACCTTACGAGATTCATCTCTCAATCTCTACTTTACTAGAGGTTCGTGCTAGCAAATCCTTTTCTTTCAGACTACCGCCTGTCAATTCAAGGATAGAATAATAGCATCAAAGCTAGAAGTAAAGTTGGTTCCACCATTCACCCTGTTCTTGCCGATCCAGGCCTCCAGATACAAGAGCTAATTGCATCAATTCACGGTACGAGCTAGATCCCGGAACCGTGCTGTAATGAGTGTCGTCGGGGTTATTGGCGGTGCTTGGGCAGCCTTGCGGTATCTCTCTGTGAAAATTTGACTACGGTGTTCAGTCTCAGACGAAGAACGGAGCATGATGAAAGGCAGGACGGATGAACATGGACTTCAGGGGAATAAGACGGCTCGAGCGCCTCCAGGCTTGGAAGGAAGGAACTGAGTAACGCACACCGTTATTGGTTTCTATTTTGATTTTCGTTTCTTTATATCATATCATGACTCATGTCAAAAGCTAATTGTGTATGTCCTGACCATGTGGGTAGATGATTTCTCAGTGATTTGAGGGAAACATCGGATATCAAGTTGCAGGTTGAATCCAATTATATGAAACAGCCACCCATTCGTTTTATGCAGCAAGGAGGGGATAGAATAAATATACATCAGCAGAACAAAATATCAAAACATCCTCCGTAGAATACAGCAGAAAGTGAAACAATCAAATCTAAACATTACCACTTATTTTCTATGCGATCCTCCGTTGCGACGTCTCGGATGTCGTATCTGACAACTGGCCTTCACTGCTGGTCTTGCTTCTTCGGGACCCAGGTTGGGGCTTTTTCCCTTTCTTCTCCGCGCATCTCTTCTTCTCGCGTTGGTTCCCTTTCGATTCATCTGGCCCGCTCTGGCTCCGGCTTGTACCTTCACGTCGGAGATCTTTCATTTCTCTGATCACTTCGCGGAACCCTTCCTCGATATTGTTCATGCGAGCAAGGACGAGCTTACTGAGAATGTCCTGGCTACTGTGAGAGCTGTCCGGTGGGCGCATACCACCGGTTGCGTATGCCATCTGAGTCGTCAAACTTGAAGGCACGCCCCCGATGAAGCCGTTCGCAATCGCCTTGTTGTCTCCCAGATCAGAGCCTAAGCCATGAAGGATGGATTCTGGGCCTCGGTCCCTATATCGCTGGCCGGGAATTAAGTAGTGACCGACTTCTGGCACAGACATGTGATTCGAGATGGGCATCGTTACATTTCGACTTCGACCATCTGTACTATGCCTTCTCGTGGCCCACCGGTCGGCAGATGTCGACCTAGCCACCCAATCTGTGTGATCCAGTGTTTCTGCTCTAGGCCTAATAGGGGTCGATTGTGCTTCAGTTTCTTCACCATTGCTCGTTGTAGAAAGAGGTCTGTATAGCATGGTGGCGCCTGAATAGCTCCGTGAATGGTGCTTGGCACGCCGGGCCGGGCTACTTCTCCGGGACTTGATCTTCGCTGTTGATGGTCGAGAGCTGTAAAACTTCGGCGTCGCTTTACCAGGGCTCTCAACATTTGGGACGCCTTCGTCATCGGAGCTTCTCCCGTTCGACTGATCTTCATGGCCATCGCTTGTGAGCTCGTCATCGCCTTCCATGCCTGTATGACGCGAAAGCTGCCGTCTTCGCGTCGGCGCCATGAAATCTCTTCCAGCACGAGGAGTGGCTGGTGAAGATACGACATAAGCAACATGATCTTTGGGGTTAGAGACGGCAGAGCGGCTCGATTCCGTAAAGTCCCGCAGACTTCGGGTGAGCCTCCTGCGGGTGGTATATCGTGGCCGTTGGGGTATTTTCTCAAGTCGGCTGACCTCGTCCGAGTCCTGCTCATCGGGCGGATTGGCCGGATGAGGGCCCATGGCCTGCATCCAGTTTTTGACAAGCTTAGTGCTCTTCCTTTGATCCATCTCTCGGACAGGTTCCATGGTGATCTCTTCGTGAAATGGTCGTCGGAACACCTCTTCCAATGCACGGTCCTTCTGATAAGTTGCCACGGAAGGTTCCCGAGCAAGTCGAGGCGCTTTAGAGCTGAAAGGCCTGAAGCGACTATTTCGGGGAACACGGTCGCGAGCGGACGTCCCCGCGCGAGTATGGGAATCGATGAGGTCTGTAGGTTCGATCACTGTGGAGCTAAGGATCGTCTTTTCGTAAAGGCAGATAGTAAATAGAATGGGCAGATGGGTGATCTTGATGATTGTACGGTTGAGGCGTACAAACTGTCTAAAGGGCATTATAAAACGGAGAGGCGTGACAAGCCAAGCCAGAATGTTAGTCGGCGCCACGTAGGAAAATAGAGCGTCCGACTTCACCATGGAGATGGCATTAACAGCGAACAAAAACTGGTGCTCTTGATTGGCATTTTGCACAATGCCCATGAAAGAATTGGTGAGAACAGTGATCAGAATGGTAACCACAACAAAATGACAGATGAATAAAAATACCGTCAATATGGTCTTCCCCAGTGCATTATAATCCTCCCAGAGAGCCCATGCGGTTGGAGTAAACCCCATCAACATTTGGAATAAAGCATACGCAACGGATCCAGGAGAGTGATCTCCACCACTTCCGAAGGACAGGGTGAAAGCGACAAAGAAGCCGCTGCAGGCAATTATGATCAGGAAGAACACAGCTACCAAATCCGAAGCCATAATTCGGAACGCGATCAGCAATTGCGAAAAGTAGCGATAGTGGTCCAGAATCGAGAAAAGCCGAGGGAATAGGAGGACAGCGTTTGCAGCTAGGATATCATATGCTTGATCGGCAACTGCTTGCTTGCGAGTGAACGGCATAAAAGCACCATAAAGCCGTAGGCAATAGTAACAGAAGAGAAGAAACAAAATACCGAGGTCAAACAGGTTCCAAAAGCTCATGAGATATAAGCTGAAGCCCTGTTCGTTGAAACCAACAAGCTCATCAAGCATGAAACCTGCGCTCCAAAACCAGAACACCACCTCGAGTGGGCTAATATGCACACGTCGCTGCTGCAGAACAGCAAGGAACAACGCCAGCAAAACGGCAAACGACAATGTCGAAAGAAATTGTCTGTACCGAGGGACCCTCAGTCTAGAGAGTTTGAATAGGGAAGCATCTCTCGGATCATAGAGAGTCACTGAGCGTCGTAACTCCGCCGGTCTAGGGCCCGAGTTGCTAGCAAACGGATTGGGGGTAGTGGTTGTAGCGGTAGTACCATAGGTCGGCCCTCCACTGTTACCTACTCGCACCGGGGAGCGATGGAGATAGTCTGCAGCCGAATGGAAAACAATGGTGCCTGCCCAAATCGCCTCCAGCTGTTGTACGACAAGTGGGTGAGATAGAAACCGTTTCGACTGGGCACGGATAGCTATTTCAAGACAAGAGATACGGGCCACCCCAGGCAGCCGTTTGTTTCCCGCGGTAGAAGCCCAGCCCGGGGTTTGTTGGGATTCCCCAGAAAGTGATTGGCCCTGAAGAGGATAGAACTCATACGAGAGGGCATCAATCAACTCTCTTGTGGTATATTCTCTCAGCAACTTTATGGCAAGAAGCTCACTCACCATAGCCCTGGTCTGACTGGTGCCACTATTGCCGGGGTTGAGATGCACTTCTTTGCTAAATTGCAAACAATTGGCCAACAACGCATATAATGTGGCCCGGGAGAAGTGAAACGTTCTAATCTGTTGCTGAATTGGTTTTACCAGAAATTGGGAGATTTGGGGCGACCGTAACTGATCCCAGGACAATGTGGTCTCGCAGCGAACTGCGATCAGTGCGCGAATGGCGTGGGTGATATCATAAACGGGAAGAGTATCTATGCATCGCGGAAAAGGCCGTTCGTTAGATTGATGATATGATTACTTCATTAGGGGAAGCATATACCTAGATGAGAGGCTGAGAAGATGGGCAGTAGGGGACTGGATTCGAAAGGGCCGTCATCTTCGTCCTCGTCTTCATCCTCCTCCCCGTCGTCGGCGCACTCGTCGACATCATCATTCCCCTGAAGCCCCTCGTATCTCGCTTCGGAGTCGCGCCGAAGGAATGGCCACGGTAGATCTCGAGTTGTATAGGGCGACGAGAATGGGGAGCGTTCTGCGTACACTCGACGTTTCTTTGGGCGGAGAAGGGAGGCAAGCATGATGGGAAGAGCCCTGGATTTCCCAAACTTGAAAGATATCGGGGTGCGGTTAAGGCATGGTCCCGGGGAGACGGAAGATGAAACGGCGACGCGAACTTAGCACTAGATAAGAGAAACCGCCATCGAGGTTTTTACTTAATACCAGCACTCCAAGAGGTTCGCGTGATCCGAGAGGGAATTTTCTGATCAACCAGGCTGACGGGGAAGGGGTATAGAAAGGGAAAATAAGCCAAGGCAATTATTTGCTGGAACAATTGACGCAGCTCACATGCGCCTGCATTGGTAGTGGAGGGGGAAAGGATCGCCTCAGACGCGGCGCATCTCAGAAACTTTGCCGCAACGCGATTTTAGTGTCCTTGCTTTTAGCTTTTCACCAGCTGACTCGCCGATAACTCGATAAGGGATCAGTTGCACACCCTAGCAAAATCTCCGAGGTGAGATAGTGGCTCCCCTCGAGATAATGCTTGGTCCAGTCAATGGCAACAATTCATCTTTGTTTCGCATACTACTCTTGTTCTGATGGACCGTGGCAATGAGAAAGTTTCGTATTTCCGCAGTTTTGTTGCCGGTAGATCCATGGATGACGACGATGCATACAATAAGAAGCCAAAATATATATATATTTTTCCAGAATGGGAGATTTTGACGTAACCGTAAGCACAGACGTATTAGTTATGAGTACAACCTTTGTGGAAGAAATAAATATTATATTAATGCAATGATTGTTACAAGAGAAGAAACCTGTTTTTCGGTATGAATAAAAAGCTAGGGAAAAGTACCTGCTTGTCAGCATAAAAATTCCGAGCCAGGGTGATGGGGTATCATTGGATTCCAGAGGGGTTGAATCTTCAAGATCCAGCATCACGGACCATGGAAGGGTCTTGGCGGGAAGATCAAGGATGCTCACCGCCTGCAGTGCAGTTTCGTCGATCAGGGTGGCGAGACACCTCTATTTGCCGGTGGCGCTCCAAACAAAGGCGAAAATTTGAATTCTTCCTTTTGCCGAGTTAAAATTGAAAGGGAAGTGTTATTTGGACGAGACGCTAAACTAGAACAGGCCAAAAATACACTGCGTATTAGCAATACCAAATATTTGCCTACTTCCTAAGTTGAGTCCTTTCTATCACGGTAGAATTATATAGTACACTAAAATATTGTAGCAAGTAGAGAGAGTTTCTTTTATATAGATACAATATTATACAACTCCTACAAAGGCTATGCTAAGATGTGTGAAATTTCTATATACATGCTTAATTATATTATGACAAAAAATCTTTAGATAAAAATAAATATAAAAGTTTTAACAGCAGAAAGTAGATAGACAGATAGTATTACCAATACGCAGTATTTTATATTCCTATTCCAGTCTAGTGTCTCGTCTGAATAACACATCCCAATTGAAAAAGGGCCGCAACCGGACCTTCTTAAGATTACTTAAGAAACTGATATGCAATGCACGACCCTAGTTGCCCTCGATTAATTACTTTACTATTTGTGCAAGTGGGTAATCTCAGTAGAGTCACTTTAAAACAACACCCATTATTTAAATTGTAGCGGTGCACTGTCCAGAGAAGATTGATCCGGGTCGAATTTGAAGATATTCCCACTCAATTGAATACATATCGGGTAGTAGAGACTTTCCCCTGACAAGCATCAATTCATTAGTATTGGCATTATCAAACAAAGGAAGGGCAGAGAAGACCACAGAGTCGCATACAGTAAAAAATTTTTTTCACCGGGCGGTCTATCAAGGCAGAACGAGCAGTGATCTCCGGGTCGGTAAGCTGGTTAGTCCAATGAGAAAGCTTCCTCAGCCCGCTGAACACAAAATTTTTATTTTATGACCATCCCCTCGACGAGATTTCTTTTCTTCTCTTTCTATGTTCCTCCTCCTGCGCTGAAGCAGCAGAAAGACCCCTTATCCCTCCCGCTCTCTCATCTTTCTCAAAGGAGTCTTGGAGGCTGCTGATGCTACGATAGAGTGAATATCCTTGCCATACTGTCCCCGAGAGGACCTTTTCCCTCCACATCCATCCCCACACAGTTTCCCCAAATGCCACACACCGCCGGTCACGAGGAGGTAGCACTCCCTACGAGTCCCTTGTCTGGAGGAGCTGTTTCCTATAACAAGATCACTAAGGAATTGCAACCACTCCCCTCAATGGATGCCAACAGTGGCGCCGTGATCCCCCCAGCCTCGTCTCGAGTGCGAGGCAGCAGCGGGAAGCTGTTCGCCCTCGAGCTCGAGGATGGCACAGTCTACCAGGGTTACAGCTTTGGTGCTGAGAAGAGCGTGGCAGGAGAGTTGGTTTTCCAGACTGGCATGGTAGGATACCCGGAGTCGGTGACTGACCCCTCCTACCGCGGCCAGATTCTGGTCGTCACTTTCCCCCTGGTGGGCAACTATGGTGTCCCCTCTCGGGAGACCATGGACGAGTTGTTGAAGACATTACCGAAATACTTCGAATCTACCGAGATTCATATTGCCGCACTCGTCGTTGCCACATACGCCGGAGAGGACTACTCGCATTTCCTTGCCGAGTCCTCCCTGGGACAATGGCTGAAGGAACAAGGCGTCCCTGCTATGCACGGTGTCGACACCCGTGCCCTGACAAAGCGTATCCGTCAGAAGGGGAGCATGCTTGGCCGCATGTTGCTCCAGAAGTCCGATGAGACATTGGAGGAAGCTCCAGTAGACAAGGACAGCTGGAGGTCGTACTTCGAGCAGACCGAGTGGATTGACCCAAATAAGAAGAACCTTGTGAGCGAGGGTGAGTCAATAGTCCGACAGCGTCGTTCCATGGAATAATACCCTTTTCTAACTCGATTCTTGCTTAGTCTCTATCCGGGAACCACGCCTTTTCTCCCCTCCTGAGAATGTTGCCCTTAAACATCCTTCGGGTCGTCCAGTCCGCGTTCTGTGCTTGGATGTAGGCCTGAAATTCAACCAGCTGCGCTGCCTGCTTGCTCGTGGCGTTGAAGTCCTGGTCGTTCCTTGGGATTATGATTTCCCTACTCTTGCTGGCAAGGATTATGATGGTCTGTTTGTTTCCAACGGCCCTGGTGACCCAGCAACACTGGCCACTACCGTCAACAACCTATCCAAGACTATCAAGGAGGCGCGGACTCCCGTTTTCGGAATCTGTTTGGGTCATCAATTGATCGCCCGCTCTGTCGGTGCCCAGACCTTGAAGATGAAGTTCGGTAACCGTGGCCACAATATCCCTTGCACTAGTATGGTGTCCGGAAAGTGTCACATCACTTCTCAGAACCATGGTTATGCCGTTGATTCCGCGAGCCTTCCCGAACACTGGGAAGAGTTATTTGTGAATGCCAATGATGGCAGTAACGAGGGTATCAGACACACTAGCCGTCCCTTCTTCAGTGTTCAATTCCACCCGGAGAGCACTCCCGGTCCCAGAGATACCGAGTACTTGTTCGATGTGTTCATCAACAGCGTCAAGGAGACCCTGGTTTCCCCAGAAGCCATCAACAAGCCTGTGTCTTTCCCCGGTGGCACCATTGAAGAGAACATCAAGGCTTCTCCTCGTGTCTCAGTCAAGAAGGTCCTGATTTTGGGAAGTGGTGGTCTTAGCATTGGCCAAGCTGGAGAATTCGACTACTCTGGAAGTCAGGCTATCAAGGCTTTGAAGGAAGAAGGAATTTACACTATCTTGATCAACCCTAACATTGCCACCATTCAGACCTCCAAGGGCTTGGCGGACAAGGTGTACTTCCTTCCAGTGAACGCAGACTTCGTGCGAAAGGTGATCAAGCACGAGCGGCCCGATGCTATCTACGTGACATTCGGTGGCCAGACCGCATTGCAGGTCGGTATCCAGCTCAAGGATGAGTTTGAGTCCCTAGGTGTCAAGGTTCTCGGTACCCCAATTGACACCATCATCACCACTGAGGATCGTGAACTCTTCGCACGTAGCATGGATTCCATCAACGAGAAGTGTGCCAAGTCTGCCTCGGCTTCGAACCTCGAGGAGGCTCTTGGCGTTGTAGAGAACATTGGATTCCCTGTCATTGTCCGTGCGGCTTATGCTCTCGGAGGTCTGGGCAGTGGTTTCGCTGATAATATGGATGAACTGAAGGAACTTTGCACAAAGGCTTTTGCCGCCAGTCCCCAGGTCTTGATTGAGAGGAGTATGAAGGGTTGGAAGGAAATTGAGTACGAGGTGGTTCGTGATGCCAGAGACAACTGTATCACCGTCTGTAATATGGAAAATTTCGACCCTCTTGGTATCCATACTGGTGATTCCATTGTCGTTGCCCCGTCGCAGACCCTTTCCGATGAAGACTACAACATGCTGCGTACCACCGCTGTTAACGTTATCCGTCATCTTGGCGTTGTTGGAGAGTGTAATATCCAATATGCTCTGAACCCGTTCTCGAAGGAGTACTGTATCATTGAGGTGAATGCTCGTCTGTCAAGATCTTCCGCTCTCGCCTCAAAGGCTACCGGTTATCCTCTTGCCTTTATTGCAGCCAAGCTTGGTTTGGGTATTCCTCTGAACGAAATTAAGAACTCTGTCACCAAGGTCACCTGCGCTTGTTTCGAGCCTTCTCTGGACTACTGTGTGGTCAAGATCCCCCGCTGGGATCTCAAGAAGTTCACTCGTGTCTCTACCCAGCTTGGCTCTTCCATGAAGAGTGTTGGAGAGGTTATGAGCATCGGAAGAACCTTCGAGGAAGCAATTCAGAAAGCCATTCGCTCCGTCGATTTCCATAACCTCGGTTTCAACGAAACTAGCGCCCTTATGTCCATCAAGGGTGAATTGCAAACTCCTTCTGACCAGCGCCTGTTCGCCATCGCCAACGCCATGGCCGCTGGCTACAGCGTCGATGACATCTGGAAATTGACTCAGATTGACAAGTGGTTTCTCAGCAGGCTCAAGGGCCTTAGTGACTTTAGCAAGCTTATGACTACCTATAACGCTACCTCTGTTCCCAGGCCTCTTATCCGACAGGCAAAGCAGCTGGGTTTCTCCGATCGTCAACTTGCTAAGTTCCTTAGCTCCAACGAGCTCGCCATCCGTCGCATGCGTGTTGAGGCTGGCATAATTCCCATTGTCAAGCAGATTGATACCGTTGCTGCTGAGTTCCCCTCAGTTACTAACTATCTGTATCTCACTTACAATGCCTCTGAGCACGATGTTGCCTTCGATGACAAGGGTATCATGGTCCTGGGATCTGGTGTCTACAGAATTGGTTCGTCTGTTGAGTTCGATTGGTGCTCTGTCCGCACTATCCGTACTCTCCGCGAACAGGGCCATAAGACTGTCATGGTCAACTATAACCCGGAAACCGTCAGTACGGACTACGATGAGGCCGATCGGTTGTACTTCGAGAACATCAATCTGGAGACTGTTTTGGATATCTACCAGCTCGAATCTTCTAGCGGTGTCATCATCTCCATGGGTGGTCAGACTCCGAACAATATTGCCCTGCCTCTGCACCGTCTTAATGTTCGCATCTTGGGAACCTCTCCTGAGATGATTGATGGAGCTGAGAACAGATACAAGTTCTCGCGCATGCTTGATCGTATCGGTGTGGATCAGCCTTCCTGGAAAGAGCTCACTAGCATCGAGGAAGCGACCACCTTCTGTGACAAGGTTGGCTATCCAGTGCTTGTCCGGCCCTCTTATGTGCTTTCGGGAGCTGCCATGAACACTGTCTACTCTGAGCACGATCTTGCCAGCTATCTCAACCAAGCCGCTGAGGTTTCCCGTGACCATCCTGTTGTCATCACCAAGTATATTGAGAATGCTAAGGAAATCGAAATGGATGCCGTGGCGCTTAATGGTACCATGGTTGGGCATTTCATCTCCGAGCACGTCGAGAACGCTGGTGTCCACTCTGGTGATGCTACGTTGATCTTGCCCCCGCAGGATCTAGACCCAGAGACAGTCCGACGCATCGAGGAAGCCACCAGGAAGATCGGTAATGCCCTTAATGTCACCGGTCCTTACAACATCCAATTCATTGCAAAGGATAATGACATTAAGGTCATTGAATGTAACGTCAGAGCATCCCGTTCCTTCCCATTCGTTTCGAAGGTCATGGGTGTTGATCTGATCGAGATGGCCACCAAAGCTATGATCGGTGTTCCATTCGCCGAGTATCCTCCAGTGAGCGTTCCCAAGGATTACGTTGGCGTGAAGGTTCCTCAATTCTCCTTCTCTCGGCTTTCTGGAGCGGACCCTGTCCTGGGTGTTGAGATGGCCTCCACCGGTGAAGTTGCTTCTTTCGGTCGTGACAAGTACGAAGCTTATCTCAAGGCACTTCTCTCCACCGGCTTCCGTCTCCCGAAGCGCAACGTGCTGTTCTCCATCGGTTCTTACAAGGAGAAGCTTGAGATGTTACCGTCAATCCGTAAGCTTCATCAGATTGGGTTCAACCTCTTTGCCACCGCTGGTACCGCAGACTTCCTGAAGGAGAACGGCGTCCCAGTCAAGTACCTCGAGATCCTTCCAGGCCAGGAGGAGGACATCAAGTCCGAATACTCGCTCACCCAACACTTGGCAAACAACCTTATCGACCTTTACATTAACTTGCCGTCTAGCAACCGATTCCGGCGTCCCGCCAACTACATGAGTAAGGGTTATCGCACCCGTCGAATGGCTGTTGACTACCAGACCCCCTTGGTCACCAACGTTAAGAATGCTAAGATCTTGATCGAAGCGATTGCTCGCCACTACGACCTGCATGTGCAGACCATTGATTACCAGACTAGCCACCGCACTGTCACCCTTCCTGGCTTGATCAACATTGCCGCCTTTGTGCCCGGCCTTATGACCCCTGGCTCCGAGGACTTCGAGCTCGTGACAAAGGCTTCTATGGCCGCTGGCTTCAGTATGGTACGCATCATGCCTGTGGGTGTCGATGCTTCGGTCACCGATGCTCGCGCATTGAAGGTTGCCCAGCAGAATGCTCAGGATGCTTCCTTCTGCGATTTCAACTTCTCCATTGTGGCAACTTCGACCAACTCCGACCAAATTGGTCAGGTGACTGGAGACGTGGGTTCTTTGTTCATTCCTTTCAACCATCTTTCTGGCAATATCAGTAAGGTCGCAGCTGTCACTAGTCACTTCAGCGCTTGGCCATCCAGCAAGCCAATTATCACTGATGCTAAGTCTACTGATCTGGCCTCTGTCCTCTTGTTGGCAAGCCTCCACAGCCGCAATATCCACGTTATGAGTGTGACTTCCAAGGAGGACATCAACCTCATTGCGCTCAGCAAGGAGAAGGGACTTAAGGTGACTTGCGACGTTTCTGTCTTCTGTCTCTTCCTCTCTCGTGAAGATTTCCCTGAATGCAGCTTCTTGCCTTCCGCTGAAGACCAGAAGGCCCTCTGGGAACACCTCAGCACAATTGATGTCTTCTCCATTGGTAGCATTCCGTTCCAGCTTGCTGGTGAGAAGGCTTCTCCAGTGGTCGGTATCGCCGAAACCCTACCATTGCTCTTCACTGCGGTATCAGAGGGTCGTTTGACCGTCCAAGACGTCATTACCCGCCTGTACGAGAACCCCAAGAAGATTTTCGAGCTGCACGATCAGGTCGACTGTTCGGTGGAGGTCGAAATCGACCGTCCGTATCTGTTCCAGAGCGCCCACGCTTGGTCTCCTATCAGCGGCAAGAACGTGAGAGGATCTGTCCAGCGGGTTATCTTCCAAGGCAAGACGTCCTGCCTCGACGGCGAGATCACATCAGATGCTCCAAAGGGAACGGATATGTCTAGCCACCGCATCGTTCCTGCATCTCCTTCTGTCAAGGCTATGTCTCCCCTGGTTCAAGCACGGCCGGAGCCTCTCGATGGGCGGCTTTCGGTTGCGGGCACTCCTGCTCGCCCATCACGCCGGGCTTTAGATCACGCCCCAGCTGTTGGTGAACTTGGACCCCCCCTCTACTCCACCGTTCCACAGGCCTCGTCTCCTCTGCTTGAGATGTTGTCGCGGTCGACCTTCAGAATGAAACATGTCCTCTCTGTCGGCCAATTCAATCGTGCCGACTTACACTTGCTCTTCACTGTGGCCCAGGAAATGCGTCTTGGAGTTCAGCGTCAGGGCGTTCTTGACGTTCTGAAGGGCCGTGTCCTGTGCACTCTCTTCTATGAACCTTCCACGAGAACTTCGGCTTCCTTCGATGCTGCTATGCAACGCCTTGGAGGACGCACCATTGCCATCTCGACGGAGCATTCGTCTACGAAGAAGGGTGAGACTCTGCAAGATACTCTCCGCACCCTCGGCTGCTACGGAGACGCTGTCGTCTTGCGCCACCCTGATCCCACCAGCACTGAAGTCGCTGCCAAGTTCTCTCCTGTTCCTGTCATTAACGGTGGAAATGGAAGTGTGGAGCATCCCACCCAGGCTTTCCTTGATCTTTTCACTATTCGTGAAGAGCTGGGTACCGTCACTGGCTTGACCATCACCTTCACCGGTGACCTGAGGTATGGACGCACTGTCCATTCTCTCATTAAGTTACTCCAGTTCTATGATGTGCGGGTGCAGCTCGTCGCTCCCAAGGATCTGTCCTTGCCGGAAGAGGTCCGTCAGCAAATTATTGCATCCGGCCAGCTGATCGTGGAGTCTGAAGAGCTGACTCCGGAGATTGTCGCCCACTCCGACGTTCTGTACTCCACGCGCGTGCAGAAGGAACGCTTCGCCGACTTGGAGCAGTACGAGCGCCTCAAGAACAGCTTCGTCATTGACAATGCTCTGCTCAAGCACGCGAAGAGCCACATGGTTGTGATGCACCCGTTGCCTAGGAATGCAGAGATTGCGGAGGAAGTTGACTTCGACCAGCGGGCGGCCTATTTCAGACAGGTTAGCCTCCCCTTGATGCTTGACACTGGACATGTTTGTGCTAACTTTGAATCTACAGATGAGATATGGCCTCTACTGTCGCATGGCTTTGCTTGCATTGATTATGGCGCCTTAGGTCATCTACTATTTTAAGAAGAGGGAACCGTACGAACTCCATGGTATTCTTGTCATGGATAGCGACCTCGATTATTCTTTGGCTTGCGTTTTGTTTCTTTTTCCAGCGTTCGATTGTGTCACCAAAAGTTATGCCTTGTCATTACAGAATACCGCGTAGGCTTTTTAGAAAACGCCCGCATAGATTAGATGAATTCCCTTCCATAATCATGACGATTCCGTTATGTGTTATGTATGATGTATTATGTATTATGTGTGTGCTTTGTGATGTTTACGTGGGGTGTGTGTGTTATGTGTGTTTTGTGTGTTTTGTGTGCGTTGCGTTCATTTCATTTGTTTTTTTTTTTTTTCTGTTTCTGTTTTCTGTGGTGTGCATTTCTTTTGGTGACCGGCATGCTTTGTCTCTTTTTTTTTTATCTCTTTACTTCTCTTGTCACATGTTTCTTTCTCTTGGTTTGGACGTTTTGGATGGGATATCTGGGGTTTTCTTTATTTTTCTTTTCTGGCGTTGGGTTTGGGGTATGGGATTTGGAACGGAAACGGAAACGGAAACGGAAAGCGGCACAGATGCCAGGATACCTGATACCCCGTTGCCTACAAGGCACGATACGACTACTCTATATATACCCTTGAATACGATACGACGATCTATTTTCTTCGATTCAGACTATTTGAACTGAATCTCAATTGGACCGTGATCTTGACTTCTTTGATGATTGTCAGGTCTTTCCCATATCATCTCTCTTTTATCTTTCTCCCTATGTAAGACTGTTGCTTTGACAAATAACCGGATTTACCTAGATGCAAACATTTGACTCTGTCCATTCAGTTGATTGCTGGCAGGACTTAAAGTTGGCGGTCACTTGATCTGTAGGCTGATGGCTGAGAGTGATCTCAAGCCCTGATCACAACCAGCGACACCGTGGAATACAGAATACAATTCAACGCATTGCGGGCATAAGAAGTTCGATTTATCGCAAAAGCAATAAGGTCACTATTAGATAGAGTCTCTCCTCCACTAGTCTGGGGAACAACGAGCTGGTCGGTACTTAGGGGTCCCTGCAAAGATGATCGTTCCTCATTAGTTCCACCTCCCCCAATGTCGCCATCGCGGAGCCCCAATTGCTCATCTATCGTCCTTGCTATGGACCCAATGTTGCTTACACAACTTCCCTTCATGAACGTCTGGCCCGCGCCAAGTCTGCCGGCACTTGTAATTTGCTTTGAGGGGCTGATAAGCGGGCCTATGCTCTCTATATGAACATTGCAAGATCAACTTCCGGGCGGGGGCCCCGACTATATCTGCGGTTCGCTCCCTTCATCGCGCAAAATACTGGCACAATGATGTGCTGGTTGCCATGTGGTACTCCGAACTTTCTGCTTATTTTAAATGACCAGTCTTCGCCTAGTTTAAGATTCTGCAAAATTTGGGTGTTGATCCTATCCACGGTTCTCCTTAACACGGCCGTCCAGTTAATTCAGGCCTCCTAAACCATGGCAGAGTCTCATGAAAAGGATAATGTAGAGCTTGCCTCTTCTCCAGAAAAAGCAGATACTGCTTCTCCTACCTCGAGCACACTCGCCAACGAACATGATAGCATCAACGAGAAGGCTCTGTTACGGAAACTGGATATGCGACTGCTTCCACCATTGACAATACTGTATCTCCTGTCGTTCTTAGATCGTAGCAATGGTATCAATCTCTTGGTTCGGATCATGGATGGATGTTTCCTTTCTAACTCTTTGTCCATATAGTTGGCAATGCTCGTCTCGAAGGCTTGACCACTGATATCAACATGAGTACGCACCACCGAAACAAGATGTCGGAAGAGACTTGCACTGACGCTGAATCATGCACATAGCTGGGAACCAGTACTTAACAGGGCTGACTCTATACTTCATTGGTTACGTTCTATTTGAAATTCCCTGCAACATCGTGTTGAAAAAATCCACTCCTCGGATCTGGCTGCCAACTCTCACTTTGGTCTGGGGTATCGTTGCAACCCTCCTGGGTGTTGTGCAAAATTACGCTGGTTATTTAGTTTCAAGAACAGGTATGCGCAAGATACAAGGAACTGGAAAGAGGGATACTCACCGGAAGGCTTCCTACAATAATAGCGCTCGGTATTGCAGAAAGTGGGCTCTTTCCTGGGGTTGTCTTTTATATGTCCATGTGGTACAAAAGGAATGAGCAGCACTATCGGGTAGCATTGTTCTTTAGTGCTGCATCGCTAGCGGGTGCGTTTGGTGGAGTCCTGGCTTGGGTACGTCTCTCCTGGCAGATGATATACAATTTACTAACTGCCTCCCAGGGTATAGCACACATGCGAGGTATTGGTGGGTATAATGGCTGGAGGTGGATCTTCATCTTAGTGTGTAGCCGTTGACTCTCCCCGTTGCTACAATCTCGCTCTGCTGACTCTGGTTCAGGAAGGATTAGCAACAGTCATCATGTCTATAATTGCTTACTTCTGGGTTTATAACTACCCCTCAACTGCCGAATTTTTGTCCGAGAAAGAGAGAGCTTTTGTACAGTTCCGACTGAAAAACGACAATGACTCGATGCGTGATGAGAAGTTCTCATGGCCTGGCGTTTTGGACGCATTCAAAGATCCAAAGGTCTGGTTATACGGACTTGGCTTCCACACAATGTCACTTCCAATGTATACACTGTCTCTTTTTTTGGTGAGGGCTTATGGATTCGTACCTTCGCAAACAGATTTCTGATAATTAATAGCCCACTATTATCAAGGAGCTTGGGTACACCGCTGCTGAAGCTCAGCTTCTCTCCGTTCCTCCTTATGCCGTAGCATTCGTCCTCACAATCACTGTTGCCGTCTTCTCTGAACGTTCTCGCCGTCGGGCGCCGTTCATAATGGGATCTACCGCACTCGCTTGTATCGGCTATATCATCCTTTTGACGGACCATCGACCGGGGGTATCTTACGTGGGAACTATCTTTGCCGCGGCCGGAATCTACCCCGCCGTGGCTATTGTACTCTCATGGCCAGCCAACAACGTATCTGGACAGACAAAGCGGGCTATCGCCAATGCTATGCAAATTTCAATCGGGAACCTCGGAGCTGTTCTGGGGACGCAGCTTTACCGGACCGAGACTAGCCCCCGGTATTATCTCGGTCACGGATTCTCGTTGGGGTACCTCGTTGCGAACATCATCGTTGTTGGCGTTCTATGGCAGGTACTGAATCGCGAGAATATTCAGAAAGCCGAAGTGAGAGAAAGAGAGGGGCTAGAAAGCCTTATAGGAGATGTCGGAATTTCGGACGGGGAATTTCAAGGGGATAAAGACCCTCGGTGGGTTTTCCAGACTTGAGGAAGCATATTGATGAAAGGATTTCTCGGCTTTGGGGACGATTGTATGATGCCGGTGTACATAGAGCACCTTCAAATCATTTGCTAATAATACTACTAGTAACGCCAAACTCTTCAATTTGGTAAATGAAGAATCTCGAAATTAATATGGAATTTGCGACGGGTGATATTAGCGTTATGCACGTGGCTGATCTGCGGCAGTTGAGCGGCACGTCTGCCCTCATTCTACTCCTCTAGTCCAACTGTTAGCTTCTTCTCGGCCAACTCTCGTCCTGTCACCATCGGCTATATTCCTCGATCAATATTCAACCGAGCTAATGTGGAGACCGGGCATGGAAATTGCTCTTCGAATTGCTCTTCACTGTCCCCTGTCTTAGTCGCATGGTTACCCATCGCGCCATATAAAGGGAGATGACTGATAGCTTTGTATTCTTTCGCGATGAATTCCCATTCAACTTCGCCATCTGCTTCCATATCATTCGGCTTTTTACAGGACAATGGGTGTAGCACTTAATGCTTTGTGGTTGTTGGCCGTGAGCTCTGCAGCTTCGGCCAAGGTATTTGATCCTTTGCAGCACCTAGGTGCCAATTCTCCATGGTTCGCTGGTGAGCTTCTACATTCATTTGGTGGGAAGTCGATTTTCTGATGACTCCAGGTCCCAATGTAAACAAGATAGATTCTACTGTTCCTGAGGGATGCTCTGTGGATCAGGCTATCTACATTGTTCGTCATGGCAGCAGATATCCTGATCCCGGGGCGTACCAGGAATGGAAATCCCTTCACAAAACCGTATGCTATGACTTTCGACCTTCTTGAGTCTATGTGACCTATAATTTATGCATTTCATCAGTTCCAATCTGCCGAGTTTCGCGCTACCGGATCGCTGAGCTTTCTCTCCGACTGGAGTCCGATCTTGAGGTACCCTGACCAAGAAATCAGTCAGGTGTCGATTACAGGATATAAGGAACTGTGGGTTAATAGCCTACATAATAAGCCACTCTGCCACTGACATGGTATAGATACAACCTTGGTGCAGACTTACGGTTGCGGTATCCGACTTTCTACAAGGACAACACTCCTTTCTTGCTGTGGGCGAACGATTATCAACGGACGATCGATTCTGCGAGGTGAGCGAAGTCCTTATACACTGTTATATGCGATAACATTGAGTATAGGCTCTACGCTCGTGGCTATCTAGGGCCAAATGCTTCTTACGGTGACGTCTATGTTGTGGATGCTGATGCCTCGAGTGCTGTCGGTAACTCCCTGGCTACCTCCGACCAGTGTCCCAACTTCAAGGATGCTAGCGGAGGGGACTCCATATCCGAGTGGCAGAAGATCTATCTGCCTCCCATTACCAAGCGTCTCAACCGAAAGCTTTCGGGTAATCTCACCCTCACCGATGACCAGGTCGCTCTGTTTCCCTACCTGTGCGGCTTCGAGACGCAGATCACCGGCCAGGTCAGTCCCTGGTGTGATGTGTTCACTAAGAAAGAGATCCTGGAGTATGAATACGCTCAGGACCTGCGCTACTACTACGGCACAGGTATGTGTGTAATGTAACTGAAGGGGGAGCACAATTAACGGCTACTGCAGGGCCCGGAGTGGGAAAGAACATGACTGTTATGCTCCCCGTGCTTCAAGGCGTAGTCAACCTGCTCAAGGAGGGACCGTCCGCCACTGCCGAAAAGGCCAATAGTACTCTGCAATTGCCTCCGCTGATCGTGGCCTTCACCCATGACAATCAGCTTAACGAACTGGCTTCTCTGCTGGGATTTTTCGATGGCCAGAAACCGCTCGCATCGAAAAAGATGGATCATGATAGGGTATGCTCGCTTTGAACTCGCTAAGTATCTCGCAGTATCTCGCAGTTGTTAATGTCGGTTTTACAGATCTATGTGAGCAGCAATGTTAACCCCATGCGTGGAACTATCGCCTTCGAGCGTCTCAGCTGCAAGCCTGACCAGGAAAATTCAATTCATGTCCGGATCTTGCTCAATGATGCCGTTTACCGTGAGTTACCCTCGCAATATACATCATGCGTCCCACCACACTCCTGCACTATCGTTTTCTCTCCAATTCATAGGAAGCGTTGCTGATTATCCCAGCCATCCCATCGTGCCGCTCCGGACCGGGCAGCAGCTGTCCAGTGGACCATTACGCCCAGTACGTGGGCGAGAAAAGGAAGGCGTATGGATCCTTCGCCTCAGTGTGCGGTCTACCCGAGAAGAACATCACCACCACCGGGACAGACGGATCAGTGACGTTCTTCAGGGACCTCACCCTCCCCTTCCTGCGTGTGGTCAAGCCTTGAATACTCTCTTGCGTAAACCCTGTATTGTACATACTAAGTGAACATAGACCAAAAAAGACACTGTATGATAAATCGAGCCATAATAGACCCAAAAAAGAAAAAGCAAAAACATGAGCCGAACGCGGGGGTCGAACCCGCAACCTTGAGATACCGTGATGACTAAGAGTCTCACGCTCTACCGATTGAGCTAGCCCGGCTAGTTGTTGAAAAAAGCTTTCAAAGACGACATTGTATACCTGCTCATGCAAGTGCCCACAGACCTGCAGCCATAGACCACAATGCGCCGAAGAGTTCAATTCCTAGTTCAGCCGACGCATCCACTGCAGGGATTGCCAGGGGCCATAAACCCAGAGTAGTAATCGCACTCATTGTGGTTCTACGACACTAATGCATGTATGACTTATGTGGTCTATAGTCCAACCAGGATTCAACCGAGCCAAAAAAAGTAAATGAGAATAATAATAGAAGACTAGTAATCTAACAATACACTACATGCACCCACTTCAATCAATGCACTCCGATCTCCCTGGATCTCGATCCAATCTACTCCCCAAGGTCTCAACCAATGAACCGCCTCCGATATACTTCAAATCAAATAATATGAGGGTCTACATAGTAAGTAGGCCAAGGTACAGGTACAGATATAGTAGATATGATAGGATAGGTAGAACAGGAAAGTATTTTCGCACGGCTTCTTTCCCTTTTCCTTTTCTTTGTGTTTTTTCTTTTTTCTCTTTCTTTTTGTGCCCGACGTGCTTCGCAGCCGCTTTACACAGGGGTCCGGACAGGGCCGCAGGGTCTCACGAACACCCTTCCTTTGTGGTTGATTTTAGCGCTGGAGTGGTGGGACGGCTGGTGCGATTGGTCCGTGGGCTCTAGTGGCATGCGGTGATTCACCTTTGTTTTTCTTTTCTTTTTCTTGCTTTAGTAGCATCGAACTATTGATATTGGTGGTTGCTCGTTGGTTACCGAGGAGCTGGGAGACGAGAGAGAGCCTGTGTTGGCAAGAGGGGAATGCAAAGTGATTGCCCAGCTTGATCGAATGGGTTACTACCTAGACTAAACTACCTCGTAAGGGGTATGATTGAGCGAGGTGAATGAAACGGTAAAGCAAGGCGAAAACTAAACCCCGGTATAGATCAGTAAGGAGTATAAAAGCCGGACGAAATCTCACCGCAACACCTCTCTAACTCCATGATCTAGGGTACCTGCATTAGGGACATGTACAGGTCACATTTTATCCTTTATTCTTCATTAACCTGCTACATCTTACTAGATTCTATTATCCTACCCTACCTTCGGGGGTAATTTCCGAACCTCACAACATTGGCTATACAAACCCTTCCCATACTGCAGCCTTGTCATCGCCTCTCCTCCTTCTACACCCACATCCATACCATACCTACACAAGAAACATGAAACAACACACAATGCCCAAGCCCCTAAACTACTACCTCTACCTCAAACCCTTCGCAACCCTCCTCCGCCTCCTCGCCCGCCTCCTCGCCCCGCGCCTAACCCCAACCCCAACCACAACCCTCCACATCCCCTCCCGTGACCCAAACCGAACCATCAAAGTCCACGTCTACACACCCCCGACCACCCAGCGAAAGCAACAACAAAAGGGCCCAACACCCCTCCTCCTCAACTTCTGCGGCAGTGGCTTCATAATCCAAGGCCACGGCCTGGACGACCCCTACTGCCACCACATCGCCCAGAACACATCCTACACGGTCTTCGATATTCAATACCGCATGTCCCCGGAACACCCCTTCCCGGCTCCCCTCGAAGATGCAGAAGACGTAATATCCTGGGTTCGCTCCCGGCCCGAAGTGTACGACCTGGACAGGCTGGGTCTGAGCGGGTTCAGTGCCGGCGGGAACGTGGCGGTAAGTTTGGCGGCGAACCATGAAGGGCCGTTTAAGGCGCTCGTTGCTTTTTACCCAGTTGTTGATGCTGTGAGGTCTGTGGAGGAGAGGGTGGCGGTTGAGAGGGAGGGGGTGAAGTTGCCCGGGTGGTTTATGAGGTTTTGTACGAAGGCGTATTTGAGTAGGGGGGTTGAGCTCGTGGGGGGGCGGGGGGATGTGAGGGTTTCGCCGATTTTTAGGGATGTAGTGGATGGGTGGAAGGTGGAGAGGGTGCTTTGTGTTAGTCCTGCGAGGGATGTTTTGGCCGGGGAAGTGGAGGAGTTGGCGGGGAAGTTGGCGGAGGGTGGGAAGACTGAGGGGGGGAGGTTTTTGAAGAAGGTGGTTTGTGAACGGGTCGAAGGGTGTGGGCATGGTTGGGATAAGGTGGCTAAGGAGGGGACGGAGGCGTGGGAGAAGAGGATGAGAGTTTATGGGATGGTGGTTGATTTGTTGAAGTGATTTTTGGTTTTTCCGTTGCTCTTTATGGGGGTGTTATGGTTGGTTGTAATGTATAATAGGGTTTTGTGGAGGGTTCCTTGTTGGGTTTCTTCGCTTTCATTATGTATTCATGGATTCGCATGGGTTGTAAGGAATTGCGCCCCCTCCACCGGGTTTGTTAGGCCTGGTCGGGCCAGTACTTTTGCACGATCGTCTTCTTGTTTACCTTGCCCATTGCGTTGCGTTCGATGCTCTCGACGAGCTTGAGGATGGTGGGGATCTTGTATGGGGCCATTTCCTGCTTAAGTTGCGTGCGGAGGCCCTGGAGCTCTAGGGGTTCGGTCTGAAGAGGGGTTAGTATGCGTTGCATTAGACATTGCCATTGTACGGGAACATACTCCAGGTCGTTGTTTGACGACAGCAGCGACCCGCTGTCCCCACTCCTCATCGGCCAGTCCGACTACCGCAACTTCCTGGACAGCGTCTAATCCTAGCATCTTCCGCTCCACCTCGAGCGCGGAGATCTTAAACCCGCCTGATTTGATCAGGTCGACGGATGCTCGACCTTGGATAAAATATGCGCCAGATGCATCTTGCCTGGCAACGTCCCCGGTCTTGAACCAGCCGTCTGTGGTGAATTCTTTGGCCGTGGCCTCAGGCCGACGCCAGTACTCCAGGAAGACGTTGTCTCCCTTGATCTCAATCTGACCGTCCTCGTCCGCCGCTTCGACTACCTGTCCGGTTTCTTTATTGGTTAGTCGTACCTGGACGCCAGGAAGAGGCCAGCCGACACTTCCATCGATTCGCTTCTCGACCTCCAGTCCGCAGCTAATGGCCATGCCAATTTCAGTCATGCCATACCGCTCGAGGAGCGTCTGACCAGTGATCTCAGCGAATTTCGTCTTAATCGGCGTTGGCAGTGCCGCCGAGCCGCTAACCACAAGTCGCAGAGCACGGGCTCCGTCACGCGCTACGGCTTCATACTCTGTACCACGGATATAGGTCTCAAAGTAGTCCACGAGACGGGAGTAGATGGTTGGCACAGCCATGAACATGGTTGAGGAACCCCGGTCCTGCCAGCGGGACCAGATAGTCTTGGGATCGAACTTAGGATGCATCTCAACCGTCACACCACTTAAGAAGCTAGCTGTTAAGCCATTGATAATACCATGCACGTGGTGCAAGGGCAGGACATGGATGAGGTGGTCCGAGGGCGTATATTTCCACGCCTTGACGAGACATTGGGCTTGGAAAGTGATATTCCTATGCGTGGTCACGCACCCTTTGGGACTAGAGGTCGTGCCCGACGTATAGATCATTAGTGCGCGCCCGTCCAGAGGACACTGAGAACTGAACCGAGGTAATTGGATAGACGTCGGCACGGCACTTTGCGTAAACGGGCTTAGAGCCATGAACGGGATGGCATCCTTTGTTCCTTCGCGCAGGGGTGTTTCGAAGTGTGCGAATGTTGGATGCAAGATGATCAATGACGGATCTGAGTCGCCAATTGTATAGAGCAGTTCTTTCACAGGGTGCGTGGTGCCTTATAGACCAGCTGTTAGCTCGTGTTTCATCTGTTGAGCACATGCCCAGTTTGCAACGCATACATAATGGCACACAGACTCCCCCCGCCGCCCAAACGGCCCACTGCGTCGCTACATAGTCATATCCGTTGGGAGTGAGAAAGGCAATGCGTCTTTCTTCCAATTCCCCCGCGTCGACGAGCTTCAATTGCTCAAGTATCAGCTTCTTTAGCGCCGCCGCATCGGCAAGGAGCTGTCGGAAGGTAAATTGCTGGTTCTTTGTCGTGTCGATGACGGCAATTTTCTGGTCATTATTTTGCGCATACTCCTTTGCTGCGAGGAATAATGGGAGGGACGGGATGGGTGCTAATTTGGGGTGTTGTGTCTGCGAATGTCTACGACCGGAGGTTAGATGTGGTTGAGGTGCGGGTGAGGGGCTTGCGCCGAGAGCGGAGTTTGTATACTTATGGGTTATTTCACTTATGACGGTCATTTTTGCTTTAAAAGAGGAAAACTAGGTATGCGAGATGATGTAGAAGATTAAGCGATACTTCTAAACATTAAGTGAGGTGAAATCAAGTGAACGATCAATTGAACTGCAGCTATAAAATGAGGTCAGCTTTCGGCATTTACGCGGGGGGGGATTTTGCCGATGCCTCATCGGGCGATAAGATAGTCACAGGTTTAGGGCATCATCTACAGAGTAGAAGTACATACATATATATTCAATGCTTTGTCAACAGCCATCATTTAACTAGTAGTGTGGGAGAGAAAGGCAGGGTAGAGGCTTCTGGAGACTAGAGGTGCTCGGTGCATCAAGTTGATTATATAAAATGGAAATCTTAAAAGCTGACTTCCCATGTCTGTTGATATACTTGCTCGTGATACTCTATCCTGGTAGGTCCAGTCAGTTGTAATCCCACTATCAAGTACAGAATACACATATTTTCAATTGGGTAGGTCTTAGCAGCTATAAGAGTAGAACCCTTATTCCTTAATCCCCCTACTTGGCAACGCGGCAATCAGTCGCTGAGGTGGATATGGGCAAATATCCGGAGTGGAGAATTTTTAGTAAGGTTAGTACCTATCACCATAAAACACTGGTCCGGCATGATCTGAGTACAGGACTGGCACACGTTTACTCTGTACCTAGTCTTAGACCTTGGAATCCCCTTAAAACGTCTTGCTGTCTCTAACCACACGTGTTTCCGTTGATGTATACTCCGTACACTCCCTAATATACTTTTAAGCTTTTCGGAGACGAGGACTGTCTCCGGATGCACCGGTCACATGATCAGTCTGTTGAATGACCTACATCCTGCCAATACATGATATAATATACAGTACAGGCGAGGTTGGCCTTGACCATCGACTTATTGTTCTGAATTCCTTCATATATAGTCCTCCAATTGGTTGACTGCATTGCGCCAGTGACCTCGTATCATGACCACATGCCACGTGACCATCGGAGTTGAGGACCATCTCCGAGAGGTTTTGGAGATTCAAATAATCGCCTGCGGATCGGTTTGGATGGGAGGAGACCTCAGACAAAAATCATGATGCTAAGAGGACCTACACTGCGGACGAGGCTATTCTTTCGACCCACGAGTCTGTCTCGCGCAGTGTCGTCGTTGGCACCACCGCTAATTCGCATTCAAGACGGAACCTTCTATCAGAACTATCCTACGCAAGACGATGCCGCCAATAAACAGAACCCACCTCTCTTTCCGAACCTCAGTTTCGTTCTACAGTCCGAGCAGGCAGCTCCCACGGAGACCTCTGAAAAGATAAAAGACGAACCGCACCAACACTGGGCCGTGATCGGTACGAAGGGGAGAACCGAACTGCTCGATATTCTCCGCGGCCAGTATATCTGTGTTCCACCAACGGCTCGTTCCTACCCCTACCTCCTCACAGACAAACTCGCGAAGAAGGATCCTCGGCTACGATTTGTCGGCAATGCGATTCAATACATTGGCTTTAGTGGCGAAGGATCAGAGGCTACTGGTGGTACTCGCGGGGCTTACTTGAGCGCTCGCTACGAGAGTCACAGGGAAGAGACGGACTGGACGGTGCTCCAATACCTGAAGGGTCAGACCTCTCTGAATCCTCTAGAAGGAGAGGAAGGCGGAAAAATAAAAAATGAGGAGCTATTGAATCAGGTTATCTCTGATTTGCGTTTGGGAGAACTCCTGGATATGCCCGTTGCAAACCTGAGCAATGGCCAGACAAGACGTGCGCGGGTCGCAAAGGCACTACTCAGGAAACCAGAACTGCTGTTGCTAGATGACCCTTTTAGTGAGTGACTATCTTACATAACAGGCTTCGATGTCGTTGTTAACAACCTCTTAGTGGGCCTTGACCCCGCTACTGTTAGAAGCATCTCTGGGCTCTTTCAGCGCCTCGCAGACAAGTCCGATCCCAGATTAATCCTTGCGCTACGACCACAGGATACGGTCCCAGATTGGATCACACATATCGTCGTTCTCGGTAATAGCAACAAGATCTTGTTTCAGGGCCCGCGTGCCGAAGCGCAAAAGGTGTTTGATGTTTGGGTACATACCGTCCTCGGGCGGGACGATTCGCAGCTCAATGAGGAGCAGATGGTGATATGCCGTAATGCAAAAAGCGCCATGGAGGCTGGACAGCTAGACCGCCAGCTGCTTTGGGATCTCCGGTTACTATCTACAAGGACTCGTGATGTAGCCCTAAGTGCTCGCAAGGGAGGGGAGCCGCTCATTGAAATGGAGGGCGTCCGCGTGAAGTACGGCGAGAAGACCGTATTGGGCGGATGGAAACAGAAAGTCAACAACGAAGAAAAGGAAGGTCTCCACTGGACCGTCCGTCGCGGTCAACGGTGGGTAATCCTGGGCGCCAACGGATCAGGCAAGACAACACTCCTCTCCCTGATCACCTCCGACCACCCTCAAGCATATGCCTTGCCGATGAAGCTCTTCGGCCGTTCCCGTCTACCCGAGGCCGGGTCACCAGGCATCTCCATCTTCGAGCTCCAATCCCGCATAGGCCACTCCTCCCCTGAAATCCACGCCTTCTTCCCACGCCAGCTCACCATCCGCCAAGCCGTGGAATCAGCCTTCGCCGAGACCTTCCTCTCCAAACCCAAGCTAAACCACGACCGCGACCTCGACGTTAGCGCCGTCCTCCGCTTCTTCAAGGCCGAACTCGACCCCAACGCCGCAGTCACCATGAACGAGCAACGCCCCCTCCTCGGCGCAGACATCCGCAAACACTTCCCCAAAATCGCCCACGCCAAGGGCCCCAAACCCGCCTTCTACCCGCTCGACTATGACGTCGAATACGCCGACATTACCCACTTCAGTGCCCTCAGCACCGCCCAGCAGCGCCTCGTCCTCTTCATCCGCGCCATCGTCAGCAAACCCGACATCGTCATCCTCGACGAAGCCTTCTCCGGCATGTCCGCATCCATGCGCGACAAATGCATCCACTTCCTCGAAGCAGGCGAGTTCTCTCGCAACCGCCCCTCCACCGTCATGCGCCGCTCCACCAACAAGGAGACCTGGCTGAAGGGCTTCAACCCTGACGAAACCGCCATGCGTCACACCGGCCTGTCCGATGACCAGGCCCTCATCATGATCAGCCATAACCGGGAGGAAATCCCCGACAGTGTGCGCTTTTACATGCGTCTGCCATCCGAGGATGTGGACGGGTCTGAGCCGCTGGATTTCCGGTTCGGGATTGTCAAGTATACAAGCACGTTGAATGATCCCGAGGTCTGGGAGAAGGCGTGGTTGCCGCCGTCGGAGTTTCAGAGTCGGTTTGTGAAGTCGTGGCGGGGGAAACCTGATGAGTCGCCTGAGGCTGCGGCTGATGAGGACGATCGGATTTATGAGTGGTATACTCTTGGGTAGATTGTATATTAATTAAGGAGGTTAGATTAGAAGTAGAGGGTTATATGTGGGAGTGTATATAAGCTAGAGCCGAATCGATCGCAACTTAACTTTATTATATTATATATATCATGGTGGTACGAGTAGATATACTTGAAGTAATTTGCGACTGGCCTAGACTTGTACATCGCGCGAGACTAGTGTCTGCGCGGCGTGGCTAGCTGCGAGGAAGGAGGTTTGTACCATGAGGTTTGGACGATATGATATCTAGCAACAATAGCATTCGATCAACGACGCTGATTCAGAACGAAAAACTATATAACCAACAACAAGGATATATGGTTCAAACAGACTACTACACCATGCAAATATTCATCTCAAGCAAGCGAGTGGCGGTTACTGATTATTCCCTCGCTGCTTCCGCCATTCCTGAGACGAGCGTCTCTGAGCGTGTCATCTTTGGAGTTTCTCCGTTCTCTCCCTCAGTCGGTTCCAATCCCTTGGCCACGAGATCTGTGAAATTGATCCCGACTTCCGTCAGTAGATCGGCATGTTCGTGTACGATATCGATGCACTTCTGCCAGACGGATGTGCCGCGTCGGACGCTGCTTAGCTGGCGGGTAAGGAGCGCGTTGAATCCGTCGAGGTGGTATTTGGCCCATTTGATGCAGGCGCTGGCCATGATAGGGGGGAAGCATTGCTGGTAGATGCTGACGGTGTTTTTGATGAGGGTAAAGTAGACGTAGGAAATTTGGAAGATATAGAGGGGGAGGTCGCCTTCAAAGACACAGGCCCTGTTTCGGTATGTTAGTTACTGTGTTCTGTCTCGCTGGGTGAATGTGAGAGGGAATGGAACTTGCCTGACTCGTTTCGTCATGACAGTCGTTCGAGATGTCAAATAGGCCTCCCGGGCTTGATTCTCGAAACCCAAACGGGTCAGCCAGGAGACTTTGGTCTTGGTGGCATTTAAAAACGAGGGCGTGTCGATTAAGGATCGCGACAGTACCCCTGCCAATTTGGCGGCTCGTTCGTCAACTTTAGAATTGATCACGTCCTGCGCGACCGAGTTGCCTTTCAGGCCTTTGGCGAGCTTTCGCAATCGCTCGATATTCGAAACGGCTTCTTCGAAACGTTGCAGCGCGATATCAATGTCAAGTTCGTCCACTTGGCCCTCGACCCACCGTAGGTTCTGCTGCTTTCCATCTACATCAATGCGGACTTCGGGCGTGTCGTGTGGGTTCTCCAGGGCGCTGAAATCTGGTTTCACTGAGTAGGATGAATGCCTGACTCCCAAATACCCGAAAGACTCGTTTTTACCTGCAGCCTCTGTCTCTGAACGGAGCGTGCGGCGAAGGTCTTCGACAGTTTTCCGGAAAGTGGCGAGGAGATCGATCTTAGCGGTGCTATTTCGCTTATCGTGACGATAGGTGAACGGTTTGGAGCCCACGCGAACACTCACAGCATTCATGATACCGCGGTCTTCCGCCTCTTCGCGAGAAACGCCCGGACCAAGGTTGGCGCCGAGATCGATCATGTCGACATCTTGCAAGGGCCAGCACTCCTCTGCCACAAGCTTGGTGGGCACCGGGCCCTGGTGATTCGGGTTGCTTTGGTCCACGCGCTTACGCTTTTTGGCCGCCACGAGCAGATGGTCGTTGAGAAGCACGATGTGAATTGGCCGCCTGGGCTTCCAGGTCGCAGAATCCAGCTCGACCCAATTTCCTGTTTCCATCACGATGTGTCGACCCGGCACCACCGGCAAGAACTTCTGCGATCCTTCGACAGTCTTCCATAACGTTTGGAGTTGGACATTCCACATGCTCTCCAGGTTGGCAACCGAACTACGGTTGTTTCGCTTGGTCATGCGCTCGTCTAGCGTGGGAGACACGAGGTTTGATGTATTACCAACGGTTGCCGTCTGTCCCAGGGCCGTTGTGAGCTCCGCCATGAGAGTCCGAAGGGTGCGCATCTCCCCCTTGAGCTTCTCCGCTTCCTTACTGATCTTGATGAACTGCGTACGATTCTGGTATACATTCTGCTGGAGATCAGTAGATGTCCTATTCTTCACCTTCCGGAGGCTTTTCTGGTATTCTTCAATCTCTTCCTCGGTTGCATTGGAGAGGAGGTTGGCGACATCTGATAGACATAGTGCATACCCGGTCAGAAAGACTGTATCTCTAGGGAACGTCCATGAATAGGTAACTTACATTTATCTACCGGCAGACTAGGATCCCGCAATGCATTTAGATCCACTTGTGGTGGACCTGAGGATTCTGTTGAGGGCCTCCTGCTGGTCGTCTGGGGGGGACTCAGTGCTGTATACTGAGGCGGAACCTTGGGTAGACTAGGCACCGGAGGAGCGCTTGCGGCGTCGAATTCGGGGCCTTGATTAAACCGGGTGGAATATCTCCTCTTTACCAAATCAGATGTCGCATCTTTTTGAGGAGGGCGTTCGCGCGAAGTGGAAGCTTGCGGAGCGGTCCTTGGATCGAGAGCCTTACTACCAGGAGGGAGAGGCCCGGAGATGGGTTTCGGCGCACTGATCTGGGGCCGTGGACGGCGCGACTTGCTGCGGAGGGTCAATCCGCGGCTTTCCATGCTGTGATTCACGAAACCAAGAGGGATAATTGATTTCCACGGAGAACCATGGGGAAATGACGACGTGGAGATCCGGCATTGCTTGAGATTCCCCCCCGAGCGGGACAGAAACCCCGAGGCGGAAGAACAATGATCCCCCGCGTTCAAAATTGTCAGAAACATGAGAAAAGCGTCACTTCTCCAGTCTCGTCCCGTACACCAAATAAACATCCCTTTCCTTTACACATTCGGTCGGTCTCAACCTTAGCCGTTGGACTTATAATTGTATCTCTCTCCCTTACTTCTTCCTTCTTAAATTATATTTACAGACTATTATCTGCGACACTATGAGGACGTCAACTTTGGTGGCTGCTTCCGCCGGCACGGTCCTTACTGGCTTGTTGGGTAAGATCCTCGACAGCGACAAGTACGATCAAAAGAAATAAATCAAAGAAATGCTAATCAATCTGTCTTCCTCGGTATACAGCCTATGCCATTTACTTCGACCACAAGAGACAGACCGACCCCGAGTTCCGCAAATCGCTGAAGCGAAACAACCGTCGTCTGGCAAGAGCTGTGAAGGAGGAAGCCGAGGCTCAAGGAGCTGAGGAACGGGAATCCATCAAGAAGTCTGTCCAGCAGGCTCAGGATGAGGGCTTCCCGACCGACCTTGAAGAGAAGGAGGCTTACTTCATGGGCCAAGTCGCCCGGGGAGAGTCTCTCTGTGCTGAAGGTATGTTTTGTCCTGCGGTGACGCCATCCAGGCCCTACCCCGAAGAAATCAGAAAACCCCCATAGAAAAAGAATATTCCACTTGAAAGTAGCGGCGATTCACATACAAACTTAGGGTCAGACAAGATTGAAGCTGCTCTGTGCTTCTACAAGGCCCTTAAGGTTTATCCTCAGCCTAAGGACTTGATCTCGATATATGACAAGACTGTCCCCAAGGAAGTGTTGGAAATTCTGGCTGAGATGGTCGCCATGGACGCCGGCCTGAAGCTGGGCACGTTCACTGGCGAAGGTGGCAGTGCTCCTGAAAGCCATGGAGTCGAGTAAAAGAAAAACCCGACATGACGCATGGGATCCGGACCCGCGCTCTGGGCACCTTGTATCGTCCAGCCCCCTTCCGTATAAATAAGAACTTTGCTTGGCCTTTGGACTGTTTCTCTTAGGTTGTCGGTTCACGCTGGGCCGTGGTCCGGGCCCTTTCAACTAATTGATTCGAGAGAAGACCGATCTGTCACAGTATCAATGTCTTCTTTTTCTTCTTCGATACGTTCGACCTGCGATGTGAAAGTCTCACCATCTCCGCTTCCTGTTTCCTTTTCTTTTCCTTTCTTTTTTTCTTTTTATTTTTTTAAACTTCCCTTGTTCCCTGTATATTTGCACCATGCCCATGTCTTGGCCGCCGGCGTGGCGGACTCTCTTGGTATTTCTCGGCGCCATGACTTTTTGTTTCTCGTTTTACTCATTCGGTTATTCACCCCCTATTTCACCGGCCTTGGGACTTGGACGCTTCTTGGGTTACAGGCGCCGATTATTCCTTTTTCCCAGGTGCGTCTGGGAGTGTATTCTAGAGAGGCAGTAGTGTATCAACAGCGAGCAATTCAATGTGTGGATTGAGATGCACATCTTGATGATCAAATATAGAACAATCTAATCTAATATAGTTGGAATCCACGCAGAGGTAGTATTTGATGTTGATCCGTTACAAGACAGAATAGAGTCTTCACTCTCCTTTTTCTAGTGAATGAAAATGTTCAGGTTTCATTCAGTCCGTCTCACTTGTCATTGCCAAGGGCTATGCACCGGGTCGGGATTGGTTTGAAGATGGGGTGGAGTTCTCTAGTTGGTGGAGGATATCCTTTAATTAGACTAAATCTCTGGGCGCCTGCTGGTTCGGAGGGGCAGGGTTCAGTCCCAGTCCCTTTCATTCAAAAAGCTGCACTCTCTTCCTCTCTGTCTCTCTTGTCTTTGATTTCCATCGCTGCCCTTTGTCTCTTGTCACATTCGCTACTTCCCCCTCCGGGTTCATCTTGTGCACCTGTTGCGCTTGTCATTCGTTCTTTGTCCTCCCCTTTGATTTGGAACTTCCTGTGGAAGATTCTCCGTCCGGTCCTTTCTGTTGTTTGTTCTTAATAAATTCATTTTTCTCAAAGCGAAACAGAGAGATAGAAAATGCCTTCGGTTCGTCATTTCTGACCCAGATCTATATATCCTTCAACCGCGATATCGAATATAGATCGGCAAATTACCCGAGTAGGAAATTTGGCTTACTAACAACCGGATCTATAGACTTACACTCGTCTTTTCGCGGCGCTTTGCGCTCTTGCGGCCACTGCCAACGCCGTCACCACCATCGAGGTGAAGGGAAAGGACTTTGTCAACAGCAAGTCCGGTGATCGTTTCCAGATCATCGGTGTCGAGTACGTTCTCTTCTTCTTTCTCTTTTTGTTTTGAGTGATGTGATAATCATCGGTTGGATTATCAATGATATTCGATCTGGTTACCTCCTGGGGAAAGCGGTGGTGTTGATCATCGTACGTTATCTACAGTTATCAACCCGGTGGTTCTTCCGGTTTCAAGAAGGACAAGGACCCTCTCAGCGACAAGGATGCTTGTCTGCGTGATGCGGCTCTCATGCAGCGCCTGGGTATTAACACCATCCGTGTTTACAACCTGGCCCCCAGCCTGAACCATGACGACTGTGCTTCCATCTTCAACGCCGCCGGTATCTACATGATTCTGGACGTCAACTCCCCTCTGTACGGCAGCTACATTGACCGCACTGCTCCCAAGTCCAGCTACAACGCCGTCTACTACGAGCAGGTCTTCGGCGTCATCGAAGCCTTCAAGAACTACCCCAACACCCTCGGCTTCTTCGCAGGCAACGAGGTCATCAACGAGCAGAGTGTCAAGGAGGTTGCCGCGTACATCCGTGCCGTCCAGCGTGATATGAAGGACTACATCAAGAAGAACGTCGATCGCAGCATCCCCGTGGGTTACTCCGCCGCCGATATCCGCCCCTGGTTGATGGATACCCTCAACTACTTCATGTGCGAGGACTCGGACGAGCCGAGCTCGCATTCTGACTTCTTCGGTCTCAACTCCTACTCGTGGTGCGGTGACTCGTCCTACAAGAAGGCCGGCTACGACATCCTGACTGAGGACTTCAAGAACGCCTCTCTGCCTGTTTTCTTCTCGGAATACGGATGCAACGAAGTGACACCTCGTATCTTCACCGAGGTGCAGGCCATCTACGGCGAGGAGATGACCCAGGCCTTCTCCGGTGGTCTGGTCTACGAGTACACCCAGGAGGAGAACAACTACGGCCTGGTCAAGCTTAACGACAGCGACACTGCCACCTTGCTCGTCGACTACGAGAACCTGCAGAAGCAGTACGCCAAGCTCGACATGAAGCGCATCCAGGCCTCCAACTCGACCCAGACCTCCTTCAAGGCCCCCAAGTGCAGCTCCGACCTGATCAAGAACGGGACCTTCCTCAGCAAGTTTGACCTGCCTTCTCGCCCCTCCAAGGTCCAGGACATGATCGACAAGGGTTTGTCCAAGGCCAACACCGGTAAGCTGGTTGATGTCAAGACGACCTCTATCCCTCAGAAGATCTACGATCACACCGGCAAGGAGGTCACTGGCATCCAGCTGAAGGCTCTGTCCAGTGGCGAGTCCAACACCCCTGGCGAAGGCACCTCCAGCTCCAGCTCCAGCTCCAGCTCCAGCAGCGGCAGCGCTGACGCCAAGGACAATGCGGCCGGCAAGATGACCGCTTCTTTCATGGGTCTGGTGGTCGGAGCCGTTGTTGCTGCCGTCTCAGTGCTGTAATTCTTTTGAACTTCTCCGTATTATGTTTTATTTCGTGTGTTGAATTGAACCCCCATATTTTACTTCCTTTCGTATCCGAGATGACTCCGGTATGGTCCGCTAGTTTATGATACCAGTTCTGGGGCGCAAAATCACTGGGACAGTTGAGTTCATGGCCCACTGGAGATGTTCTTTTCTTCCTTTCTTTTTCTTTTCTTTTCTGTTTTTTTTTTTTTTTTTTTCAGGAATGGAGTTGTTTTCTTGTCACGTCGGTAGAGCGGTTTCTTTACACTACCATTTTAATTGGAGAACGTTTTTCAAGGGAATCAGGCCTCCCATAGTATTCCCGTAAAAGATATACAATTGTTACCTAGGTCGTTGCCCCATAGATGAAATAAATCTTGCGACCCATAAACTGTCAGCACTAAGTTAAATACTCTGTCATTTCAACCATGGATATATAATCAAAACTTCGAGGAACCATGATCGAGAGTATACAATTAACAAGGGCCCAGATCCGGATCGATAACCCTAATTGGCTGGAAGGGTATCCGTATCCGTCAAGTGGATCTCAGCTTTATTCAAGATCCATATTTTGATAGACGATGCCACGAGTAGCGGAGGTTATCACTAATCTAGTCTGCATCATAACCTAAGCCCTGGTGGTTTAGATCCCGAATATAAATATCCTACCACATCCCACGTACATACAGCACATCCTAGTAGATATCACCATCACTTATACTGAAATACACCTAATCTCTAACCACTCATATTCAACCCTTTATACTCCGTACACACTCTAGACCTATACAGGCCCCCCAAAAAAGAAAAAGCCACGCAAAATGCCAAAACCAACCATCCTCCTCGTCCACGGCGCCTGGCACACCCCCACCCATTACATTCCCTACACCACCGCCCTAAAAAGCGCAGGCTATGAAGTGTATACACCCCACCTACCCACCTGCACGGGGATCTCGCCCCCCCAAGCCACCTTCGCCGACGACGTGGCCTGCATCCGCACTCTGCTCACCCGTCTCGTCCATGAAGGCAAACGGATCCTCCTAATCATGCACTCCTACGGCGGGTGCGTGGGTACAGATGCTGTCCAGGATCTTGTATATCCTTACCCTCGTCCTACTACTACCTCTTCAACCTCTACTGAAAATGGAGCTAAAAAGGGGGGCGTGATCCACCTGCTCTATCTATGCGCGTATATGCTTTTACCAGGGGAGTCGATCCAGAGGGTGATGGAGAAGACGGGGGTGGATGGGATGTGGGGGGAGTTTATGGAGGATGGGTCGGATGGGATGACTGTTGCGCGGGATCCGGGGAAGTGGTTTTTTGGGGGGTTGGAGGAGGGGATGATTAGGGAGTTGGTGGGGCGTTTGGTGAGGTTTCCGGTGGGGGTTATTCGGGCGAGGACGGAGGGGGATGCGTGGAGGAGGGTGCCGGTTACTTATGTGGTGACGGAGAGGGATTATGCCGTGCCGCGGATGTTTCAGAACTTGATGCTGAAGGAGGTGAAGAGGGAGGGGGTGGAGGTTCAGACGCAAGTTTTTGATACGTCGCATAGCGTGTTTTTGACGAAGCTGGAGGAGATGGTGGATGTTGCTGTCAGGGCTGCGGAGGATCAGAGGAATGTGAGATGAGAGAGAAGTATGTTTAATATTGTTGGAATTGCGATTAAATTGTAGATTATGAACAATGACTGAAAGATAGATAGACAATATTAAGTACAAACCGAAGACAGAAGTACAGAGTAAACGATTACAAAACTACAAAGCTCGGCCCTTCCCCTTGCCTTGCTCAGAATGCCCCCATGCCGAGAGCGATGGGAATTCATCTGTTTGCTCCTGCGCCTGGCTTTCGGCAAGACTGAGTTGAATGGCGAGTTCCAAATCATCCAGCTCTTGCTGTCGACTGCTCTCAGCGATTGCTTCCGACAGTACAAAGCTGCCAGAACTAGATTGAGACCCCTTGGCGTATTTGATGGGAATGTCAGGGTACTGTTCGCCGGGGCCAGGGCCCTCATCCAGAAGACTCAAGCGGATCGCTTCAGCAATGTCGGGGGCAAGATCGTCATCAACGGGCTCCTCGTATGGAGACGAGGACGATGAAAATTCGTCCGCGGCAACCGAGCTGTCGTTCCGCCCGATAGTGTCGCTAGAGGCGGAGCTAGCGACAGAACTAGGCACGACTTCGCCCCGTTTCTGCGCCTCACTAGCGAAGGCCTCCTCACTCAGGAGTTGCGCATAAGCGAGAAGCTGCTCTTCGCTGACATCCGGCCCCAACAAATCGATCCCGAATCGGTTGCTGAGGTGTGCCTTCTTCTTGCGATCCGCTTTTTCCTGTCGCTGCATCTCTACCTTTTCGTCTTCAATGAAATCTTGCAGAGCTCCTCGGCCACTGCTGTTGAAGCGTTGGCCTTCCGGTGCAGAATTGCTACCCCGACGAGCGCGGCGAAATCGCCGCTTGCCAGCCTTGTACTGATCTGCAGCGTCTGAGCTGTAGGACCAGTAGCGCAGGTGGGACCCGAGGGCGACCATCCCCCTTAATACCGTAGGATCGGGGTCCAAACATATAGCCCCACTAGCATAGTAATTGTTTCCAACGCCGTGAATGGAAGCCTCTGCCTGGACTAGGCGACGACGTGCGCGAGAAGAAAAGCGCGAGTTGATGGTTCGGATCGGTCGAGTCGAGGAGGCGAGAGGATCCCAAGCCTGTACAAGCCCGTCATTACCACCGTGCACGACATAGAGCGAGGTGAGCGCAACACTGGACACCTGCGGGGAGTCTGTCTGGATAATGCGGATTGGGTTGATAAAGTTGATGATACCCGAGTTCTTCGCCGTAGGAGCGCGTATGTCCCAGACAAAAACTTCCCCGGTAGCCGTACCAACAGCCATGTAGCGTCCACGTTGTCCAGGAATGCCAGAGATCGACGACGGCTGTTTCATGTGTGGCATTGGCGACGACATGATCGAGGAAAGTGCCGAGCTCCCAGACATGCCAAGAAGGGGATCTTCATCAGGAGTCAGTACGGCATAGGTCGAAAGGTCTAGTGCACTTGTTGTGATTTCAACCGACTTGCGATCGTCAAAAACAAGATCTGATATAAGCCATTCCGTGTTCACGGTGGAGCAGACTGTTGCACCAAGGTGACTCGAGGCACGCGAAGGTGGCATGCTCGGTGTATTAGCAAGGGAGGATAGAGAAGAAAATTCAGTCGAACCACCGAATAGAGATGAAGCAACGCTGGTGCTTTCGCCGACTTGATACGTTCCAGAAGGCGACGGTGGTATTTCGACTTTCGTCAATTTTCTGGTGTATCTGCGAACCGAAGCTGTCTCGTCTTCCCCGACACCCCGAGCAATTACGGTAACGGACTCACCAGCCCCATGGCTATCGTCGCCAGCGAAGTCGACTTGCATCTCGCACCTCATGTTCCAGCCCTCACAAACTTTTCGGAAATGTTTCGGCTTGAATGTCATGAATAGCTCAATTTCCTTGGTTTCGGCAGTAAGCTGATTCTCATCGAGCTTCATTGAATCTGACGAAGACCTAGGACTATAGCTGCCATCAACAGATTCCCGACTGTAGGGATCGGGCCTCGCCGTGCGTCGACTCAGTTCAACCAGTTCCCAACGAGCACTCCTACCGGTTTTCCATGCCAGCATATCGATTTGCTCGGGGCTCACCTTGGCTGATGGAGGATCAGGCTGGCGCGGCAACTCTGAAAGATAGAATACTTCTCCCAAAGCATTAAGAGCCGTTGCCCAGACACGTCGACGAGCGTGACGCTTGGCAGAGTAATCGTTATCGACTGCAATCGCAATGATCGGAACTCCCGGACAGAGAACCCATTTGGCAGTCACCTGGCCTCTCTCGAATCGTTGCTCATAGGTGGGATGAGGCCCGATGGCGTAGGCTGTAAGAACTCCGGAAGAGGTACCGGACATCATTGCAACCAAACCTCCAGTCATCTTAAGAATATTGGAGGATTTGGCGATCCACACCGCAGTGACAGCATTTGTGATCATATTTAGAGCCGGAATACCTAAAGGCGGCTGCGAGATGGACTCTGTAAGACCTAAGAATCGCCCGCGTTGCTCCGTGGTCGAGATGAAATAGCTGCGCCCCTGGGGGCATCCCTCGCCATAGATCATGCCGTAGGGCTGGCTAACGTCCATGCAATTTGGCAAGCCGACCATATTCCCAGAGCCCAGCCCATATTCGGCCTCACCGGGGAAAAGGTCCGCGAAATGCCGGAATAGCTGGTGGTCCGACAGTCCCCATGTTCCTACCCTGACTGATGAAGGATCACTCGCAGATGCGATTCCTTGTTCTGAAGCACCGTGGATGAAGAGAGGTTGTTTCTTGTTCACCTCGCTCCCAAAAGATGCGGCTAGGTGGCTGACAGGGTACAAAAGTTGGGAAGTGTAAGTGACGACGGCGCTGCCGTTGCGCACATTTGCAGACCTAACCGTGCCACTTCTTTTCACAGGATCGAATTGTGCCGGTTTGCCTCTGGAAAGTGATCGCAACAAGCGGGTTCGCAGGATATACTCGGATCTCCATGATGCCAACGCAGTCAGCCGGGAAAAGAAGCGCTTATCCGAGATAACCTTTTCAGGTTGATCGGCCGCGGGTAGGCGACTGCCATTCTCTGTAACATATGGTCCAGGGAAGTAACGCGAAAATGCAGTCCTCCAGGCGTGAGGGGTCGTGACGAGGTTGTGGAAACGGCGGGACACCAATGCCATGGATGACAGGGATGGCGGAGGTAAGTGCGAGAGAATGTGAGTCAAAACCTCTGCCAATTCATAAGCTTAGACGATGCACTGTCTAGTAAGGATTGCCAGTGGCGACATACCATTTGGGAATGCGTCGAACGACAATCGCGATTTAGTCGACGAGGGCGTCACTCTGAAGCTAAGCTCAGTGTGTCTCTGAGGCGACTGCGCCATCGCATTCTCATATTGACTGACTCGGTCGAGGACCGGTGATGTGGGGGCTGAAGGGCCAGTCCTCACAGAGTTCATGGGCGATGGGTAATCGCTCTTGGGTGAGTCAGAGACGCCTTCCAGGTCTCTGGCCTGCCCCATGAGGCCAGAGACTTGATGATCACCATAGAGAACATGTCCATGCTGGGTACGGTTGAAGGACTCTCTGGGGGACGATTCAGTAGGGGGAGTTTGCTCAGAAACTGCGGTGGGCTCGGATTGCATAAAAAGGTCTCGCGGGGTTAACGGGATCAACAGAGGCGACTGAACCAGGCCAGATTCTGGATCAGTCGAGATGATGCGAGGTTCGGGGGAGAAGAGGTAGCGGCGCGGGAAATAACACTCTATGAGGTAGAGGATGTGAACGATAAGGAAAAGAAAATCTATGGAGTCAAAGAGAGGAAGAGAGACAAGAGAGAAGGAGTGGATTTCGGGGGGATGATTGAAGAAGCGGGAATTTAACCTTAGGAAGTTTCACTTTCCAATCATCCTCGACCTTTCGGAGGGGAACGGTCACGGATAATGCCTGTGATTCGCTGTCACTTTTTCGCGTCTGTCTCACGTGAAAACGCGCCGCGGAGGCGAATCTGATTTGATAGCACGATATTATTTTAATTTCTTTTTTTACTATATATCTATCTTTGAGACTTTGCAATTTACTTAAGCATGCATAAAGCAAGCCTGTAGCGCCGTGGATGATCATCGTGATCGGACGCCATTCAGGCAACACCGCTCAATACAGCCTGACGGAATTGATATTTAATACTGGCCTTCCCACGTTACTACTACATCCACTTTCTTCAACATTTTCACCCCATGCAGATTTGAATAGATCATTAAAATGCCTCAGCTAGGTGGTAAGCTGGCAATGTCGTTCATATATTTAACTTCTCCTTGATGAGAACCGAGCTGATGTAATTAGACGCGGAAACAATCCGCATTCTCGTTTCAACCGACAACCATGTTGGGTACAACGAACGAGACCCGATCAGAGGGGATGACAGCTGGAAGAGTTTCCATGAGGTCATGTGTTTAGCCCGGGAGCGTGATGTGGACATGGTGCTGCTCGCAGGCGATCTGTTCCACGAGAATAAGCCGTCGCGGAAATCCATGTACCAAGTAATGCGCTCCATCAGGATGAACTGTCTAGGGGACAAGCCCTGCGAGCTGGAAATGCTTAGCGACGCTAGTGAAAACTTTCAAGGGGCGTTCAACCATGTGAACTACGAAGATCTGGACATCAACGTGGCTATTCCCATTTTCTCTATCCATGGCAACCATGACGACCCATCCGGAGAAGGTCATTTGGCGGCTTTGGACTTACTCCAGGTGTCTGGCTTATTGAATTATTATGGGCGAACCCCGGAATCGGATAATATTCAGGTAAAGCCGGTTTTGCTTCAAAAGGGCCGGACCAAATTGGCGCTTTACGGCATGAGTAATGTTCGAGATGAGCGATTGTTCCGCACATTCCGCGACGGTAAGGTCAAGTTCTTTCAGCCCTCAATCCAAAAAGAGGACTGGTTCAACTTGATATGTGTCCACCAGAACCACCACGCTTACACGGAGACGGGATATCTCCCCGAAAACTTTCTCCCAGAGTTTCTTGACCTCGTGATCTGGGGCCACGAACATGAGTGCTTGATCAATCCCCGAATGAACCCTGAGACTAAATTTCATGTTATGCAGCCGGGTTCCTCTGTGGCAACGTCGCTCGTCCCCGGGGAGGCTGTGACGAAACAGGTAGCCATCCTCAGTATCACCGGACGCGAATTCAAAAGCGAGCCAATCACATTGAAGTCTGTGCGGCCATTCGTCATGAAAGAAATTGTCCTCTCTGAAGAAAAAGGGGCCCAAAAGCTGGCCCGGAAAGAGAACAACCGAACTGAAGTCACGCGCTTTTTGATGGCGATAGTCGAGGAACTCATTGAACAAGCTAAAGCAGAATGGCTAGCGATGCAAGGAGATGTCGAAGAAGACGAGGAATTAGAGGTGCCTTTGCCTCTAGTAAGACTGCGCGTGGAGATCTCCACGCCAGAGGGAGGCAGCTATGATTGTGAAAATCCTCAGCGGTTTTCTAATCGTTTTGTAGGCAAGGTTGCCAACGTGAACGATGTTGTGCAGTTCCATCGGAAGAAAAAGAACGCAACAACCCGCAAGAAAGATGACGGTGTCGACGAAACAGCTGTCTCCCATCTTTCGACGCTGGACACGGTGAAAGTCGAGCAGCTGGTGCGCGAGTTCCTCTCCGCCCAATCCTTGAGTATTCTTCCGCAAAATTCATTTGGGGATGCTGTGGCCCAATTTATCGACAAGGATGACAAACACGCGATGGAGATGTTCGTAAACGAGTCATTGGAAAACCAAATCAAACACCTCATGTCCCTGGATCGGGACAACGATGAGATGGACGATGAAAAAGGAGCCACTCAAAGCTCGCTGCAACAAGCTATGGAGAAATACCGAACCCAGATGGAAGACATGTTTTCCCGAGGAATCAAGAAAAGGTCGCGAGGCAAGAAGCGATTCAAGCCTAAGCCTGATAGCTGGGACACTGAATTTGATGGTGCTTGGGAAGACCAGCCCGGAGCACTTATACATTCGGAAAATGAGGGTGATCCCAATGAAGAGGAGGCCGCCGAGGATGGTACAGGACCTGCTGCTAAATCTACGCGTGGTCGAGGCCGAGGTCGTGGAGGAAGAACTGCATCCACTACAACTACTCGCAAAGCAACCACAACCGCAAAAACCGCATCAACGGCATCCAAGAAAGCCACACCCTCTAAAACCAGCCGAGGGCGCAGGAAAGCCGTATCAGATGAGGAAGATGAAGAAGACGATGTCGTAATGCTAGACGACGACGATGAAGATCAAGATGAGGCCCCTGCTGCAGCTCAAACTCTTTCTGATATCGGTGAAGACGACGATTCCCAATCTCTATTTGTGAAACAACCCTTGACCCGAAGCCGCAATGCAGGGTCCTCGACGACTAGCACCCAACGTCGAGGACGAGCCGCACCATCACCGGCACCATCTTCGAATACAGTAGGCGGAACAGCTACGCGTAGGTCTAACGCAACGGCGAGAGGCAAACAAACACAGACGATGCTGAATTTCACCGGCTCCCAAACGAGTGCTCTTGGGAGCCAGCCTACCTCCAGATCAACGAGACCAAGCCGGGCAACTCGAGCTACGAGTGTACTGAGCGAAGAGATTGACGATGATAGCGATGCCTTTGAGCCTGCGCCAACCTCCAGAAGGAGGAGATAGGCTCCCTGAAGCACCAATGACTGACTTGCCAAGTTAGAGAATGGCTGTCTTCCATCCATAGCTTTATGGGCATATTATGGTATACTTTCGCATTCATGGCGTTTATGTACTATAGCGGACAAATCCAATTAATGCGACAAATGATTTAATGCCAAGAAAGATTGCACCTCCTAGATTATCCGCGAGAAGCCCGTGATCATGTGTCTACCAGAGTATTGCAATTAAGCTTACCAAGATCCGCGGCAAGAGTAGGAGCGATTCATCAACTACAGCTTGCCGCGGTTTAAGAACCTGACAGGCAGATCCACCCACTTTGCTCGCAGATACTCAGCAACATTCTTCCCCAGAAAGTCCACTGTAGTTGTCACCCCTACCCCCCGGTCGAGCAGATTCCGGAACAAGAAGTGCACTCCACGGAGGTTGGGAAGCTCAAATCGCTCAATATGTAGCCGTGTGTTTGACTGATATTCATCTCCTAGAAGTTCTTCTGCCTTTGGAATGGATAGCAGTGAGCGCAACCAGATGTATTCATCATTGTGTCGTACCCAGAAGCCGCAATTTGCGTCAGGTCCCTTGTCTCCCGATCGAGCATGAACAATCCATCCTAGAGGACCACGGGTTGTTGGTCCGAAGTCTAGATCGTGGTTGACAGGTGGCTCTGTAATCGCCTGTGACGGTGGGCGAGGCGGGAACTCGTGTGTTGCCGGCGGTGGAGAGATGTCAAGGACTTGATTTTTCCAAGGGATGTGGGCACGGTGTTTCACATCTGCTTGCGGTAGAAGACTAACATAATATTCATACACGGGCTTTGGGAAACCTTGTCGTAGGTCGAGATGGAATGTAGCGCCGGGATAGCCTTGCATGATATTATCAGTGACCTGACGGACGAATTTACTGGGAGCCAGGTCTTCGGCTTTGCGAGCTTGGGCAACAACTCGGAAGATGACGGTTGCAGTGTTTTGATCTCGAGGGTCATCTGGCACAGAACCTAATGTGGAAAACTTGAGAGCTGTGAAGCTGGACGAGTATGGCGCAAGAAGGTGTCGAATCTGATCTTCCAGCATACGTGCCTTGTCATCAATGTCTAATCCAACGAGAAACCAAGAAACCTCCGCTTGAAAACCGCCGCGGGCTGTGATGCCGACTTTCGTCGTTGGGGGAGGAGGTGCAGATCGGACGCCATGTACGGCCACACGATTGGTACCGACTTGCTCAAAATGGATGTCTGTTAGCACAGCAGTAACATCGGAGTTGAAGTACCAAGGGCCCTGTATCTCGTATAGCAGCTGAGAGGAGCATGTATCAACAGTCACTGTGCCTCCTGTGGCAGAGGATTGCATTGTGATAACCACTTTCCCATCTGCTGAGATCTCTGCAATAGGATAAGCAATATTGCGCCAGCCATCTCTGCCGGCTTTCTCTAGGGTCTTAAACCCGGTAAAATTGCCCCCACAGACGTAGTTGCTACATTCAATAAGATGTCCAGCCACGAAGGCATTGGCCAGCTGATCGAGGTCACTGCGATTCCATCCGTGATACCAGTACGCAGCCCCAATAACAGGAGACGCATCTGATACTCGTCCGCACAGAACAATATCGGCTCCCTGAGATAAGGCAGCGGCAATCCCCAGGCCCCCAAGGTAACATTGGGCGTAGATTGGCTTGAAAGACCAGTCGGAAAGGGTCTCCCCGGTATACACGTTCTTGAAGGTTGATTTACCACCGGACAAAGCTGCTTTTACCGTTGAAAGGACCTCATCGCCAGATATCCAAGCCACCTGGAAGTACGTCAACACCTGAAAACAGCGGAATAGTCTCACAACGGACTTACCTTTAGGTTCAAGCCTTTAGCCTTCACCATTTCTGTCACCGCTTTGTAGAGCCCCTCCGTATCTGTGTTGCCCGCATTGACTGCCACTTTGATACCGTATCTCGCCAGGTCCTCGAGCGCTGGTTGCAAGGCCAGAAGAAATGATAACTCATACCCCGGGGCACTAGTCGATTTTGATGAACTTTGACTCCTCGCGCTCTCTTGAACATGATCCTGATCTATCCGTCGTGCTGCCCCCGTAACCATGTTCGCTTCACTCATGAAGTCGGCAATTATGACGTCGACGGGGTCTTGAGGGTAGTTACGAGCGAACTCGGCGATGGCATGTCGACGGTCGGATGCAGAACCAGAAGCACCTATAGGTGGGCCAGTCAGTAAAATCTCTCTCGAATAAGAGCAGGGGATTCCAGAGTTTCTTGACCGACCTGCAATGCGAACCGGACGAGACGTCATGGTGCTAAGTAACAAGGGGTCTACTTTGTTCAGTAACTGTACAGAGAGTGGAGGTGTTACCGTTTAGAATGCGATTAAGAGGAGAGCTCCCAGCGAATTTTTATGTCACCAAGTTTCCCCACTTATGTAGCTTGTTGTAGCACAACCAAGCTACCTAGGTTTCATCGACTGGGCGCCGAGGAGGCCTTTCGGCTGTCGGTTCGGGGATGCGGGGTTCATTGGATCGATGTATCGAAACCATTGATTGAATTCCGGCTGGTTTGTGCAAGATACAGCAATGCACAGCCATCTGGTTTGGGGTACACGTAATTGAGGATTCACCGACAATCTGGAAAGTTGTTGCAAGTTCTTTCTTATTTGGAGGCATCGACCATGACATCACATGCCGATAACAGATTAGATTAGATAGATTTATCTAGGGGTCACGGGTTCAGCAGATAACTGACCAATGGAAATGCTTCGGCGGTATGAATCTTGTAAGATTCGCTGCCTAAAGAGAATAAAACTAAGTAGACATATAATTGGTACTATATACTCCAGTATTTAGGACCTTTCTTAGTTTGGAAGCTAAGATGGTGAGTGACTGTAGCTTCAATAAGATGGCCCTTTCCGTCTAAACTGTCGAAATATTTCTTCTGCTTTCCCCAATAAGCCAGAGAGTGCAAGATATTAGTTTCACGTTCTGTTGCGGCCGGATATGTGATCACACCTCTTAGCAGACGACGGCATTGTAATTGTAACGTAGATGCGCTGATTGGCAACGTTGAAGATCATAGTCCGCAAGAGAACAACAAAAGAATCAATGGCTTTTATAGTGTCGCTGTCAAATGATATTCCAGCGTTTAAAGAAAGTGTCTCGGGGGCTAGGTGAGTGAGGACGGTACCTAACCCTGTCTTGGCACCTGAGCGTATAAGGCTCTTATTGATCTTACATTGAAAGTGTATACGCCTCGTAACACACTAAACAAGCGCTTTGACTTTTGTAGCTTGCACCTGGTGGGCGTCGCAGCTTGGTCATACCTGCGGCCGACTAACGCACCGTGTGAGGACGTAGTCCGTAACCATCTCTATCGTATTTACAGGTCTACTTCAGGACGACAATCGCGGAAAGCGGGAAGCTACATACCAAGCTTTTAGAGAAGATCAGACTGAATGTGGGACGTGAAAGAGTACATAAACGAGAGAGTTTCAGTATAGCGGCGCTTGTAGCACTCAGTCTTCCATCTTGAAGTCACATCTAGTTTCTTATATAGGGCAGATCGACGGTAGGCAAAGCTTGCACATGCTTCTGCGTAACGTATCCTCCTGCTCCCTGTTCAATCTGCAGTGCTTTCCATTCTCTCCAGTCCGCTTCATCTTGATACTCCCTACGGAAATTGCATAATGCAAAATCAATCAGAGATACTTATAATTTCTTTCCCGGATCCTCGCACCCAACAAGCTCCTTGTTTTGACACCCTCGTTTAGAATTCCTCTACCACTTATCCGATTGACAATACGAATGGCATTATCACAGATAGACTGCCATGTCTCTCGCGGAGTGTGCGCAGCGATATCGGTCAATGGAAAGCCGTCGATATACTGCAAAGGAATCCCAGGGATATCAATATACTCTCAGTAGCCGACAACTCCTGCGATAGCAAGGAGCTAGGCACTGTGAGGCACACAAATAATAGACGGATGTCTTTTCCTTGGATGTCTTTTAGGGTATGGCACATCTGAACTTCTGTCTCGTAGAGACCCTGCATATGGTCATGGAGATACGCTTCATTTGGGGGACATTTCCTGTGCCCCCTTCTTCCTCAGCCATTTTGCTGTTGGAGTTGAGTTTGATGATAAATCCTGAAGCACAACCATGAGGATAAAATTGTGATATTACTGCTCGATGCCCGAAGACCACGGATTGATTCTGTGATTCTTTCTGAGTTGGGCCGCAAAGCGTCGGTGTAAGAGCTTTAACACTATATGACCCTTTAATCCTAGAGCAGGATACTCTAAAAGAACGACCATTGGAGAAGGATGTGCGAATGGCTCGAAAACTTGGGTAATTCTGGCCGTTATCTCTCGCTGATCGTATGGCGCCCCTAACTGCAACACGATCATACTACCGACCACCTTAAGGACATCTGAATGATCGGTATATCACTTAATCAGTCAAAGAAATGGATGGGTCGCCCACTTTTAGTTCTTGGCTTGCCGTTTCCGAAGGGAGGGACAAGTGAACAACCGGGACACAAATGAGCCTTTGATTCATTAGCAAGGTACTTGAGTTGCGCAAGAAAGCACTTAATTCTTACTGTGCTAGGCAGAGGCTCTCTAAAACAGACTTCTGTTGTCAGTAATAGCTGTTTCAGTAGCAGCAAATATATTTTCGTTGATAGAGTTATGAGCCGTTGTCTAACTTATTTTATAATTTTTCAATAACAGTAATCATTAAAATGCCTTGTTGTTTATTTCTTATCTCTGTGTATACCCTTAAGAGATGTACTCCAGAACACCTGAATGGTGGGTGGCCCGACTTCCCGAAAACTCCTCCAAGAATAACCTTATTATATCTAACTGAAGAAGTCTGAAATTCAATCTTTCCTTAATTTTACTACAAGCTTTGTTTTTTTCTTTAGGTGACTATAGTATATCTCTTCTACCCTACCCTATATTTTACTGCTTCTATCTAGCATCTCTATAGTATGTTAAAGATAACTCTGATTTAATACTTAGCCATTTTATTAGAGTTACAGGGCCCAGGGCTTTGCATTGTGTAAAGGGTCGGTTACCCACCCCTATTTATCTACTACTGAACATCTTTGCAAGGGATCAAGAGGACCTTTGTGCTTTGCTATTTTATGTATGCCATCTGTTTTCTCTGTCTTTCCTTTTTGGTGTTTCCAGTTGATTATATTGGGATCGCGCCATCAGAGCTTTTCCCGTAAATAAGCCAGCCACACCGCGGAAAATGACTCCTCGGAGTTGGACACTTTCTCTCCGATAAGCAGGAACACGAAAAATCTCACTTCTTTCACCAACACTATTGCTAATTACATGCCTTCCTTGAACATCATAGCAAACCATGGGTCAATTCTATGAATCTATATCCGATGATATTCGCGAATGGGCTTTACGCCAAAGCGTCTTCTTCGTGGCCTCGGCCCCCCTGCGTGGTCGCCATATTAATGTCTCCCCGAAAGGCCTCCCGGAGACTTCATTCGCGATTCTGGGCCCTAACGAGGCAGCCTATGTAGATGCCACTGGTTCAGGTGGTGAAACGATCTGTCATCTACGAGAGAATGGTCGCATTACTGTAATGTTCTGCTCCTTCGATAAATCCCCGCGCATCTTGCGGCTTTTCTGCACGGGTTCGGTTATCGAATGGACCGATCCCATGTTTCCTCAGTACCTAGAGCGCATGGGAGGGAAAAATATCCCAGGTGCACGCGCTGTTATCAATCTTTGTGTTTTCAAGGTTCGTTAGTTTTAACTTTTACTGCAAAATATTTTCCCATGTCTACCTATCCCTGATACTGACTGTTTCTAGGTTCAAACGTCTTGTGGGTTTGGAGTACCGCTGCTGGCCCTGACTCACGATCCCGAAACCAATGAACCAAAACCGTACCTTAAAGATCGCGAGACCTTAGGTTACTGGGCTGGTAAAAAGGCAAATGCAGGTCAGATGCGCGCGTATCAGAAAGAGTGGAATGTTCGTAGTTTGGATGGTCTTCCTGGTCTTCATTCCGCATTGAGGGACAACAACAAGAGTGTATGGCGGGCACGGTTGGGAGGTTGGATGAACCGCCACCGAGATGAGTTGGAGATGGCCAAGACTTCAATCTTACTTTTGTTTGTTGGCATGGCAATTCTGCAGTGGATTGGATATATCTAGATATTTTTATGGTAATGGTTCAGTTTTTAGTAAGCAAACGTGAGTCCCCTGCGCAAATGCCACGGTATTCGAGGGGTTCTACGGATAATATTGATATGACTCGACCTTGGTTTACTACCGAATCGGCCTACCTAGTGATGCAGATATTTTAACGTGACTGGGTAAAGAAAATTACAGCTGTATTTTTCAAGTTCCATATGTAAAGCTTTCAAAAAGTTGTATAAGATTTTTTTTTTTTAAAAAGTCTATATGTATATGTATATTAAATACTATATTCTTACTATCTCTGGTTATTGAGGTATTGGAATTTTAAAGTGCCATTTTATGTGGCATATTGTCACGGTGTGACCTCTGGGTGCATTCAGAAGCTTAACCGCTGCGTCATCAGCAAAAGTCTAGGCTACAAAGCCGAAGGCTTTGTACTTCACTCACATAATATAAGCATTTTCAGGATTCAGGCAGGCAGGTGGTCCGCAGGCACACCGTGATAAAATACAGAGGTGATCGGCTGGCCCGTGTGATCAGCTCGCTCGTGAAATACGTTAGCTAAGCAATTGCATTACTAATGCAGATCCAAGCCAGGGGTGTCATCTGCGACCACAGTGCTACCTTGCCCCCAGTTGGACTAATGCATCAAGAAGCCCTAGATTGGGTGGCAACATTAGATCAGCGCTCGCCGTTTCTTGAGTTGCCAAATTACCTTACCCTGTTCGTTCATGCCCATTCAGTTATTTTGGGAAGCCAGCAATGTTTTTGCGCCTGAGTTATCTAGAGGTTCAATTTCGGATATATCAAGGGCCACTACATATAACATCACACGGAGTTAATAGCATACTATAGCACAGGCAAATTAAATCAAACAATACCGTTAAACTTTCAAACAACTTAGTGACAGTTTCGTCGTCTCATATAGGTATTCAGCAAGGCTGTGCTATAGTGATAGCACTAACCCAAGAACATAGCAACGGTGTAACAATACAACCCCCTCCAGAATAGAAACATATCGTACAACAATAGCACCCCACCAATTTGAGTGGCATACTGGAAAAAGATGAAACCTGATACTCTAGCCTTGCACCCCATACTTGTCTTTAGTGTATTGTTATACGTAGTCACTCAACAGCCGTAAGGTGCACAGAGCCCTCCACAATAGACACAGACGGAGGTCGACGTGGGCGGTTGCTGCAGGGAAGTCCTAGGAGAACGGGCCAGACTATGCAGGGCCATCACTCCTTGACTCAATTCCTGCACATTGCATTTGAGGTCTTCCACCTCTTCCAACAAGGCGTCTCTTTTATATTCTAAGGAGGCTGCTTTCGATTCAAGACTCTCCGCTAACTCTCGCTGTTTTTCTCGGGATCGACGTGCGGCTTCTCGGTTTCGTTCTCGATATTTAGCAAACCTGGACTCCCTACGTCCTTCTTGCGGGGTATCCACTGCGGGCGAATCTTTTCGCTTCGAGTTTTGATGCTTGGGTTCTGCTCTCTGAGGTGCCGAAGGCCCCGATAGGGTCTTGGTTGCTTGGAACATCTCTGGTTCATTGTGTACTTCGGCACCTTGGGAGAGATTTTGTAGGTTGGTGGATACACTGGTCCATCTGCCAGCGTCTGTGATGGTGGGAGGGTGTCTGTCGCTTCTCGTGGTACTCCCGGGCCTTGCAGAGGGCATGTCATCAAAAATGTCCAGTGGCGACATGCAGGTGCCCAACGATGGCTGCATCGGATACGGAGGAAAGCTATCGTTCGGTATCTCCGTGAAGATACCTTTCATGTCACTGCAATGCTGTGTCCCTGACAGTAAGAGAGAACTTCCTGTGTGAGCGGTACGACGTATGCCATCGGTACCGTTCCTACGGAAGTCCTGATATGGGGTAGATGTAAAGGCGCCTCCGTGGGTAACGTGGTTTAGGTTAATCGACCGTGATGCCTCTTCCAACAGGGGATCGATGTTGATCGTAGACGTCATAGTACTAATAATATTATTTTGAAGATAGTCGTAGGCTTAAAAATATGAGATTCCCTAAATATAACAATGAGCATACTACAAGACCCTACGGATTATGGGAACCGGGTCAAGGGGAGTCCCTGGAAAGCCATTTATAGTGCATGGTATCCGACCATACGGTTCCGGTATGCGACCAAGTTTGAGGCGCAAAGTATGAGCAGCACTTCAACGGAAATGCAAATTGACTTTAGCATGATGTCAGCTTCTTGGTCAAACTAGATGGCGTGGACTTGACAGGAGGAGCCAGTCGGTTTGGGTTATGGGCAGCTGGGAGACGCACGGATACTGATGTAGCATGTTACACAGGACTACTAAAAGCAAGAATCAGCCCTTGTGTCGGTTGTAACTTCCAAGAACGTATGGTACAGTAGCCTGCTGTAGATTATCCCTATAATGCATTGTGTTCAGAACTTCGTACTTGCAGATTACTTGCAAGTTCTGTCCTAAAGATCTATATGTCCATATGATAGGTGCCAACCCCAACTAATCGTCAATAATGGGACAATAGCATTCGCCCTGCTGAGTCTATGAGAACCCAAACCTTTGTCACGACACTACTGACTCCTGGCATAGACGGGGTAGGTCTTGAAGAAGATGACAGTATCACGAACCACGGCTCTGGCTCGTTTCGCAGGAGTGATCCTCGGTGCATTTCTAGATATGTATAGAAGCGAAAGCGGGCTCGATTAAACTGCAAGGGAAAGCTTAGGCGTCTATGCCGATATCCAATCAATATCGGAGAATAGCGAAGCCCGCCTTCTGAGATGATATCATCCCTCCCCTCTCACCCCTTATTCTATACATTGTACTGAAGATGGCGGAGGACTGAGAGAGGTTAGAGGCTGCTTGCACGAACTGGTCTCCGTTCTGGATATCGTTAGGGAACCTTTGTTCCTTGGTAGTGTTCTGCATCGACCAGCGGGATCCTTGCACCTGGACTGCCAAAGGAGGTCATGGAGATCCGCTGATTGGTCCGTGGCAATTCTCTGCATGGAAGGGCTCACAACTTCCAAACGTCAATCAAAGCGTTCATCTTCCTTCACTGCAGATCGGCCTTTTTTCCTTTTTTTCTTTTCTTTTTTTTTTTTTTCTTTCTCTCTCTCTTGAAAATGAAACAATGGCTTAATCTCGCAGTTTCTGTCCCATTGCTACCAACGCTCGTCTCTTTCCATATATGGTAACTATAGTTCTATCGTCCCATAGGAGAGATATTGTAACCCTTCCAGGAGAAGATAGTCAAGGGAGAGAAAACCTTCTACTCCACACGCTAATTTTCCACGTTGTTTGGTACGGGTGCTCATGAATGGTGTAGAAGTACGGAGAGGAAGGAAACATCGGTCCAGCCTGTTGACAGCAATTGCTTGGATGTTAAACTCAAAAGGCAACGCAAATAGACTGATATGCCACATGATGAACACAACTCTAGTTCCTAGATTCAACTTGATGCAAGCACATTCGACCTTGCGCTCTTTTTCTTGTTTGGTGTTCCTTTCACACCGGTCAATACTATGGAGGTCTTGATGAGCAGTCACTCGGTGTTTTTCATAGGATCCCTAATAACTGGAACATTTAACGCCGTTGGCAATGGATTACTATACGTATTTCTAGATAGACCGGTTTTGGTCCCCACGACATGCCCTGACTGTTACTGGAAGCATCTTAGTCGAGGTTATTCTACTAGTAATCCGGATCCCAGCCCAGCCAGTCACCTTGTATAGCCTCCACATGATTATGAAGAACTTGAAAACCGGATGGCAAGATCAGCGTTTGCCTGGCTGGTGTTAAAATGGGCCCAAGCGACCCATATCTAGATCCTCGGGTGTTCTCAGTCTTGGACCAAGGGATGCTGTACTCCCGTTCCCTCCAGCATGGCACTTCACTTTCTGTTGGTCTCATACTCGTCAATATATTGAGAGTTTGAGGCCACGTCAAATCGTTGCATATTGAGTGCGTGGCTTGCCACATTGCCACTGATCCCGCTAAACTTTTACTAGACGGACGTCGAGTATGTGAACCAGTCATTACAATAATGAAGTCAGCACCCGTATTTTTGCAAACTGAGAGATGAGTCCTACCCTTGGGAGGCTTAGTAGGTTCAGCTGATTCGAGCCCTAGGCCCTCAAGATGTATGGCTACTATCTGTTTGGCTTTATATTGATCATTTGATTTGATGGTCTACCAGGTGTCTCACAATGATGCCCTATCATATTCCTAGAAATAACGATGCTCAACAGATGCGCGAGAGAACTACCACAACCCCAAAGTATAGACTATCTAAGTCGCCAATGTCTCATGTACCACAGCTAATCAAACAGAGCCCCTTGCTCATCCGATGGTGGGTTAACATCAATAGATCCTATCAAGGGGGCGGAAAGTCCTTTATCAGCACCGAAACTAAAATGAAGGTAAGCGATGCCTCGTATGTATGTGGATAGCCCGACCGAGACTCTTCAATTCGATCTAGAACCCGATCTCGAGTTCGTTGAACGCTAGATCATCCAGTCTATCTTTTCGAGTATCGATACACGATACCTCTCCATCTAGCGATCACAACCGACAACCAAATATATGCGGCTTTAGACATTATACCATTGTCGAGACGTGATGGCATAGTTGTAAGCGACCTTGATGTTCTGGTGATAGGCTCCGTCCTATAGGGTTAGGGGCCGCAAAGCGCCTCCAGCAATAGGTATCCCCCCGTCTGTATTTAATACGAAAAAAGCAATGTGCAGAACATAGTGTTTAGACACTGATAAGCATGAACCTGAAATAGCCCATTGTGGCTGATTGTTGACTCGAAACGCCGGGTAGTCTTGCAAGGTCCACCCATATTACTCCCGAAATATTCGTGGGCTATTCTACTCGCCTTGTGCTCACGTTTATTACCCACAGTTTGCGAATTTATTTGATGTTAGCGGGTACGTTATCTTTTCTCACTACAAGTACATCGATGACTACCTCATTAAAGTGTCGCCTAAACCCACCGACTCATACGAACACCCGTGCATGTCATATGCTCACTACCAAAGTCCCACCCATGCAAAACGATATCGCTAACTTGCCGAAAAATGAGCAAGCGAAATGCCTGAACAGTATCATCGATCTTGCGTTGGAGGTCTGGGTCTGGCACTCACCAAACAAGCTTAAGAGTTTTGATAAATCAAATGTTGGACGCGTCGGGGAGTGCTTAATATGTTTATGCGTCTGTACAGCTCCAAAGTTTGGGACGTACCGACAGCTAAGGTGTGTATATGCAATATATGCTTTCTGAGCGCTACAGACTAGAAGAACGCTACATGAATTGGAAAGCATACGGCTGCTTTATATCCCAAGTCACTTGCAAACAACGTCATCCCCAACAAAGGTCGCCGGAGACTGGATCCCTAATGCTGCGTTCAAATTCCCTGCCAAGGGGATACACGGGGCATCTAGTTTACTGTCACCAATTTACTGGTAAAGGGAAAGACTCACTTCGGTAAGTATGTCGATGCTGATGCTAAGAAGGGTTATTTGAAAGTCGGTTTAATAAGTCCATCGCAATACATAAACGGATATTGGTTAATGATCGAGTTCTATAGACACGGTGGTCAAATATGACACTTATCTCTACTACGAATTTGGTCACGCTGGATCAGGTAGGAGAAGTCAAATTTTAAGAGTTGTGCACGCCGCTTTTCCTTTCCTGCACCGATGTGATTAGGCTAATATCTGTGGGTGGCATCCTGAACGCATCCGACATAAGTGTTGGGTTTGCCCTCACGAGCCTCTTGATGCCGGCGAAAAGGTCTATCTATCAATACCTGTGTAGCTACACTTCCTGAAAGATACCTGCGCTTTCCACCGAACTACTATGTTATCGAGTTACTCGCCTTTCTTTCAACTAGTACACCGAGGGCGTTGAGCTAATACCAAGCTCCTTGCCAATAGAGAAAATCCTTCATCAGAAGATCCCTTCCTGGGGTTCACTCGTTCATCATGTTAAGAGGCTTCAGAGTCTTCCTACAAGTCTGTCAACCACGAAATACTGTTGACCAACAGTTCCGAGGACCTAATCAATATACAAGCGCACCTGACGACGTGATTGTCACCTTAGCCTCTCTTCAAGTGGAAGATAATCTGTCTGAAGTCAATTTTTAGTGTGAAAGTGCGAGGTCAGTAACCAGAATCATAGGTAAGTAGGCGACCCTTCGCCGCGTCGAAATATCTCTGCTGAAATGTTCTTATATACGTCAAGTTTTATACTGCGTGTCGAGGTGATTATATTCTTTTGGGCGAACTTGAGCTGAACCCCGCCAACATCGAGCGTTGCTTGAGAGGTATTAATGTTGTACGTAAGTAGTTGTATAGCTGTGACCTCGGTTATAAGGCTATCATTGATAGGCTATCATTTATCCTTAGTTCAAGATAGATTTGAGTGTCCCGACCGGCATTTAGTCTCGTTGCAGGTGGTTAGAGTGAAAAATACAGAACAACCTTGAGATGCACATGCTCCTATTATCCACTTGCATATATCTCAAGCAAATGTATACAGCAGCGTTACACGCTAAAGCTAAGAAGTAGGGTGCAAGGTGATAACGCTGCCTCAGGAATGAACCCTGAATGTCATTTGTTCACCACACACTCTCGTCTTGATCACAATAAGACCAACAGTGCGTCCCGTTTTCTGTTCAACAACGCTACAATAGATATCATCGCCAGATCAGATGCACAAATAGATGCATCTATAAATCTTGACTACGTCATTGTCACTGACCCAACCCCAACCCCACACAAGGTATTCCGAGGAACCTGGCTCGAACTCCTGCATAAGTCTATACATGATTCAAGCTTACCCGCATGCGTCGCAAAGTCTATCACTTCTTTTACGCGAATGGTCTCTTCTTAAACCTTATAAGTCTGGGGAGGATCACCGGTACTAGTATGGAGTTGACGTTGGATGCGGGGGCATTGTTTCGACGTCGCTCCAAGGGCAAAACTTCCTTGCCACCCACCCCAAACCCCAAACTCTTCGGGATCGTCCCTCGTCTTACATTCCGGCAGCGCCCCCTATGCACGATGATTTGAGATTTCAAACCCCGTTCTCCCTCTCGTACGAACGCCCCATCCGAATACCGTGAGTTTCCGGTAACCCGAGAGTACGGAGGATAAACGGAAGGATCGGGATACGGGGATTGGAATCCTTCAAGAGAAAATGTGCTGAGCCCCCCGGTGGTCCGATCTGAAACATGAAAACACTCAACATGGATGGACAGCATACGATGATACAGATCACTCTCGGGATGGACTTATTGCGACCCGGGATATCCTACGGTTATTTCTGGGATGACATTAAAGTATGTGAGCTTGTTTAGACTGTACCCTTGGCGAACCTCAGAGCTTCATAGGCGCCATAGCTTGAAGCTTATCTGGCTCTGTCATGTTTGATTCTTCCTCGCAAGTCATGCCTTAAATGACCATATTATACAGAGTAATTCCGATGGAGCATCCAATTGCATTCGCACGAATGATTTGATTGGACAGTAGACCATCAACTTCCCATATCCATACTGGCAGCTTACGAGCTTAACCCCGGAATGATTTCTCATCATGCTCAGCATGGGTCACGTGCAGCATCGGCATATCTTGATTTTCCTTTCCTGCAGGTTGATTGGACAGCGGCGATGTGACCAGATGCGTCTTATTGGAACACACCTCCGTTACTCGAAAGTGACAAATCCAGTCGGCGGGAAGGAAGTTCAACCGGTCCAGTGGAGACGGAGCGCTCTTGGCACCCTTTCTGCCAAACACTTTTGTCTCATGACAAACACCGCCAATTGGATCAACAATATTGTTGAGCAGCTAAGTCGCACCTTTTTTTGGGGGGCGCACTTTAGGTTATGTTATACTATTACTTATTTGGCCGGGACTACCACTAACAAATTAGATAGGGATCGCCCCAAGAGATCTCCATCTCCCACACCTCATTTCAACTGGTTACAAGATTATTAATTACCACCAAGGTATCTATGGAGGACAAACTACAGGTTCCTCTGGGGCTACCATTTTTGAACTAAGATTGTTAGTGGCTAGTTTGACCTACTGGGTGTAATCAAGGTCGGTCTCCAGCAAACCCGGGGTCTGGACCCAACCCTTCCTGGATCCGGTAAGACTTTCGCCTCGTTGGAGTGCCGTGATTAGTGAGACTCTTATTTACTAGAAAGGATATGTATGGTGGTACGCTAGTACAGAGGTACTTTCCTTGCACATACCTAATCAGGAAGAATGGATGTCTATAGGTTGTTAGTGATTGACTGACGACTAGTCCTGCATAGTATTGTCGAATGTTGTTTTCTAGATACTCTTCTCTCGCCTTTTCCTTTCTGAGACAGCTTAGCCGACCCAGATTACTGTGGTACCTCAGGAGACCTACCATACTTCCACGTGGAAATTGTAGGGTTTGCTGAACCTCCTCTACGGTGCTCACGGAACGAAAAAGAGAAATGATGCAATTTGGGTTCAAGAGGGCGGGGGGGAGGGAGGAAATGACCGGGAACGTGGAGTCCAGAGTCGGACCTTTGGGTGGGATCGGTGGCTGAGAGGGTCAAACTAAGACGACATTGTATCAAAATGGATAGGGTGCCAGAATTTCAAGTGGGTTGAAGAGGCCGGGGATAAGCGCTGACTGGCCTGACGGACCCCGCACGATCGTCTGGAAAGACAGCTAGAGTGGGGGGTTTGCATTACTTACAGCCTCGACTGGTCTGGTAATTTTGACTCCCCGCTCTTCACTTGCTTGTTGAGCTATTCTCCAGTCAATGGTTGACTGGACTAATGATTCCCCTCCCTGGGATGAATTTTTTATTTAATTTTTTATTTAATTTTTTTTTCTCTTTCTTTTTTCGGATCCCCTCCCCCTCAGTTACGGATCCGGCTGCGGATCCGTTCCATTCGATTCTCCTTCAAAGGGCGAGGCGAGGTATTAATACCACCTCCCCCTTCTTGACTCTGAACTGTTTACCTTTTCCATCCCATCTCCCCTCCTCTTGTGAATGTTAATACCTCTCCTTACCTATAGTACCCCGCTCCTATTGATACCCCCATTTCTGTTTTCGGTATACCCTCCATCATGGCCGATCTTTTCACCACTATCACGACCCCCTCGGTCAAATATGAGCAGCCGCTCGGCCTGTATGCCCCCGATTCTCGGTTTCCTTACGTCATCTGTTCTTGGCTAACACTTTTGTGACCTTTAGCTTCATCAACAACGAGTTCGTGAAGGCCAAGAGTGGTCGGACTTTCGAGACCATTAACCCCACCGATGAGAAGCCTATCGTGTCGGTCCAGGAGGCCGACGAGGCCGATGTCGACGCTGCCGTCGACGCGGCCCACGCAGCCTTTGAAGGAGCTTGGAGACAGGTGACCCCCTCGGAGCGTGGCCGCCTGCTCACCAAGCTGGCCGATCTTCTGGAGCGTGACAGTGACACTCTAGCTGCCATTGAAGCCCTTGACAATGGCAAGGCTTTCACCATGGCTAAGGTCGATGTCGCCAACGCCGCCGGCTGCCTTCGCTACTATGGTGGCTGGGCTGACAAGATTCACGGCCAGACCATTGATACTAACCCCGAATCTCTTACCTATACCCGCCACGAGCCCATCGGTGTTTGCGGTCAGATTATCCCCTGGAACTTCCCCCTTCTGATGTGGTCCTGGAAGATTGGACCTGCCATCGCTGCGGGTAATGTCGTCGTGCTGAAGACAGCTGAACAGACCCCCCTGTCTGGCCTCTACGCCGCCAAGCTGGTTAAGGAAGCTGGCTTCCCCCCTGGTGTTATTAACATCATCTCTGGCTTTGGCCGTGTCGCTGGTGCTGCCATTTCCAGCCACATGAAGATCGACAAGGTCGCCTTCACTGGTTCAACTGTTGTCGGCCGTATGATCCTCCAGGCTGCCGCCAAGAGTAACCTGAAGAAGGTTACTCTCGAACTGGGTGGCAAGTCCCCCAACATCGTCTTTGACGATGCAGATATCGACAATGCCATCTCTTGGTCCAACTTTGGTATCTTCTTCAACCACGGCCAGTGCTGCTGTGCCGGCTCTCGTATCCTTGTTCAGGAGGGCATCCACGACAAGTTTGTTGCCCGTTTCAAGGAGCGCGCCGCTCAGAACAAGCTTGGCAACCCCTTTGAGGCCAACACCTTCCAGGGTCCCCAGGTCTCTCAGCTGCAGTTTGACCGTATCATGGAGTACATTAACCACGGCAAGAACGAAGGTGCTACCGTTATTACGGGTGGTGACCGTCACGGAAGCGAGGGCTACTTCATCCAGCCCACCGTATTCACTGATGTCCATGAGAACATGAAGATTGCGCAGGAGGAGATATTCGGCCCCGTTGTCACCATACAGAAGTTCAAGGATGAGGCGGAGGCTATCAAGATTGGTAACGGTACCGCTTATGGTCTCGCTGCCGCCGTTCACACTAAGAATGTGAACACTGCTATCCGTGTCTCTAACGCCCTGCGGGCCGGAACCGTCTGGATCAACAACTACAACATGATCAACTACCAGGCTCCCTTCGGTGGCTTCAAGGAGTCCGGTATTGGCCGTGAATTGGGCTCCTACGCCCTTGAGAACTACACTCAGGTAAAGACTGTGCACTACCGCCTGGGTGATGCCCTCTTTGCCTAAATGAAATTTATGATGACATAATGAAATATATTTGACGTTCCGGTCCTGATGGTGCCTTTTTTTTTGCAACCTTATTGCCTTCGAACAATGTAAACATAGGATATAAATCCACGAGGAAATTGTGATGTTTTAAAATTTTATATCTGTATCGTAGTACTCGGCGCATAGCACTAGTTAGGACAGTACCCATATAGTAAAACGAACTAAAAGGCCCCTAACATCTCCTGGAATGAAAGCATAACCAGAATACAGGTCAGTATGTCGGTAGTGTATGAACCGAGGCTAATCATTCCCTTTTCCATAATTTTCTCCTATATGATTCCCATGTCGCGGGGAGCATGCTCGAGGAAAAGTATACCGACAGAGTTCGGGGCAATGATACACCGAAGCGTCGACTTCCTATTAACAACCATCCCATCATTCTACGAGGCCCATTCAGAAGAGCATCTCATACACCAAGTGAATATTCCCTGGATTCCACCCGACCACCCGCCTTTGCATTGCCCCTATGGACTATTTCACTGAACACAAGAATTAGTCTCCACAATTTTATTATTCGAACCCCATCCACATCCTACACAATCATTAAGTATCGAATACTTTGTAATTAGCAACAGTCCACACCTCGATAGACATTAACGATGTACCGTTTCAGAAGAACGTGACAAATCATTAGATTCATCCTCGTAGAAGAAAAGCCGTTGTATCGTTGTGTAGTCTTTTGGGTCCCTCGCCGGAAGACTTTTCCGGCGGGGTATATGCCCTGCCATTCATCTAATGGGGGATAGACGTGGAAAGGAAGATGTAAATCAGGTCCTATCTCTGGTACTAGCCCTATATTTAGGTATTTCTGGACCGTACTGAGCAGAATTGACGAATTGCCATTCAATTTTATTCTTGTCGTATGGTATACGGGCCAATAAAGTGCATTAGTCCTCCAACTTACGAAGATAAATTTACATAAGTACTGCACTGGAACCACGGTTAACCTTCTGAACAAGTGCAAGCAGGACGCATGAACCTCGTTTTTTTCTGCCACTTTTTCTTTTTTTTAACCTGTTAATATGATCGGAATACTCAGACCCGTTTACTCATAGGCAGTGTCAGCGACATAGCTGTTTGTTACATAAAGTTCGAACCTGGTGAGAGCTAAAGGTATAGGCATGTCCATGGCCTTGGAGGGAAAGGCTATCTCACTCGGTGGGGTATATTTCAAGAATGGCACAATATGGATAAGATTAGATTAGACTAGAAGGATTTATGAGTGATAGAATAACAGAAAATAATGGCAATATAACTTATGGGCTGTAGTGATGTGATGTAGTCTTGTGATTCACACCTTGGCATTCAGTGATAGGCTGACCTGTAGGCAATGCGTAAGCCCTATCTAAACATTCAAGATGCACTCCGCAGTCCTCGACATCTAAAAGGTGGGAGTTTTTCTGATGATCAAGGACCTTCCGATAAGGTTTGTGATTTCGCAGAATTGGATGATGTGATGGCTCTCGATTGATCTCAGCCTCGGAACCACTTCAGCCCATTCAGCTGGGGGGACAAGCCCAATGCATGCTCTCACTCTGGCCCGACTTCTATCTCTTTTTGTGGACAATTCCAAATACTCCAAAGCAGCTTGATTTAGATATTTAACAGTCGCGATATTATTAGTTAAAAGCGCCCCGACTTCTCAGACACTATGTTTGAGGATAATACATATAGGACAAGAACGAGGATGAGAGAAAGATTCCATCCTCCGGTAGCTAATGGTATCACATTAATGGTTCAGCAGAGAAGAGTCACCACGCATGTCACATGCAGATTATATCTCAGGGCTCACCAAGAACGAAAGTGATAAGCACCGTCGTAGCCTCTGCATTTAGAGGGCCTAAACCTACTACGATAAGCTATAAGAAACAGTGCACCTTGCCCTTCGGTACTGGGCTCCAGCTATCAACATGGACGTATCCGATGCAGCACAGATGCCCTTATTTGAAAAGAAGACATCAGGAGGGCTACGCCTAGCCTGCAATTCATGCCATAAGGCAAAGGTTCGATGCTCCGGTGGATACCCATGTAAGAAGTGTGAGCAATCGTTCTTCTTCCCGAGATCCACAGCAAGAGATGATGCTGACCGGTAGGTGCATAGTATCATAGAATGTCAGTATAGCTACGCGGCCAAAGTCGGCAAGTCGAAAGGAAGCCGGAACAAAAGAACGCTCGCAAAACTCAAGACCAAAGCCGTTGTCGTCACTTCCAAAAACATTCCAACAATGAGCAGCCAGTAGCCTCAGAGCCCGAGGAGAATATCAATAAAATGGCTTTTGATGCTGATTCTCCTGCGACGGCAATTTACTCACTGCCCCCTTAGCAGATATACTAGCCTTCACCTGAGGAGCTGGAATACAACAACGCTGAATTTTTCAGGACATCGATGCGCCTATGAATCTAACTCCACCAAATGAAGCCTTATCACATGTCAGTTAGTACTTCTGATCCCTCCAAAACAGAACCAGGCCACTGATATCCTCCTCTTTTCCTTGTGCTACACCCCTTGATACTACAAATAATGTCACTAGCGTCAAGGATGAGGCCTACTTTGACATAGGTAGCGAGAGAGCTGTTATAGAACCGTGGAAACTGAGCGTGACATGCAAAATCAAACAACTGCACACCGAAATAGAGGCCCGTAACCACCGCTACAAGACAAGGAAAGGTTGAATACTGCCTCTCGGAACCTAGAGCTAATGTCTAGGACCGCGTTGGCCCCTAAAAGTCAGGAGAGGGTTTGACTTGCCCCTGTTTAAGCGACCTGACCGATCAATTGTGTCTTCTAAAAATCGCATAGAACACAAACGCGAACATATCTGCACGGACATTATTCTATCAAGAAACTCTGCGATCATAACCTGTTCTAAGAGCGCTCTGTTGTGCTTCTTCTGCGGGCTGGACTTTGCAGTGTTACAGATAACTGTATCACAAAATATATTCAACTGGGGCGAGATGGACTCCCAACAGGACTGGGGCCAACAGGGTTTCCCTTCCGTGTCTTTCGGTGACTGGAGTCTATCCGAAGAGAATAGTTAACTTGTCAAGACACTGTTAACAAAGAGAGATTTGGTAGTAAAAGCTGGGTTATAAATGGTTTTAGACTTCGAGTGGAGTCGAGTGGACTGATGAGGACGGAGACGTAGTATTAGATAGATACGGATGACATGCGTCACAGTTAGAGCGGCTGTCTACCTAGTTGAGGGAGTTCTTCAAATTTGTTAAGCGATGCGATACGGGAAGAAATAGTGAGCTCTATAGCTTTGAGCTGAATGCCTAGTTCTGGTTATGGGACGATGTGGCATGGGCCTGTGTTTTAGTATTTATCATCTACCACCGACCTCCATATTTTTGACCTCTTATTCTTGGATAGCCCTTGCCTTTTGAGCTTGTCGTCCATATTCCGTCATTTTTACCACGGATCATAAAGCTTTCTATATAGGAGCCACTGTTCAATCATGCTGGCAGTTCGCTAGCTTGCTAGAACCTTCTTGCTCGTTTTCTTTCTTTTTAAAAATGCAACATAATCCAAATTGTCTAGCGATAAGATTACGAAAGAAAATGATATGCCAACCACACCAAGACGAGTGATATACCAATGTCAGAATATCGATCTATCAATGCTACAGCGGGTACTATCGGGCTAACACAGGTACTATTAAACTGTATTGTAGCCAGTGAAATGGCCACCTACTTGTGTGCCTACAACGATGATCCAGAAATCCCAGTCAGCATAATGGTGGTAGCAATGAAAAAGAGTTGTTTGATAATCTTACTGGATACGGAGCCAAAACTATCAGGATGTAGTTGTTGCGGGGAGTTTCTTCAGAGCGGAACTCTGCCAACACCATTTAACAGACCCCCAACCCAGCCATTTATCAGACTTAGGATTGTGATTATGCTAATTAGAATTAAGCTAGAGGTCTACGGTATGTACAAGCGCCGTGATGAGGCTGAAGTGCATTTACGTACTTTGGACCAAGCCCTGAGGTGTTCAGCTGCGGGGTTTTTCAACTGGAAAATTAAATTTTCTCATTTAGTGCACTAGTAGTATGTGATAGTTGCCGCAGAAAGGAAAGATTTCATAATACACAGCATGTGGCGAGAATGGCCCATTTATATACTGCTACTGGAGCGGCTTGGGATACAGAACAGAGCTGGATTCGGCGCAAATTGAAGGTCGTTCCCCGTCACGAGGTTGCCTCAAATGTTGCAATAGTTGCCGACTCGAGAATTTTTAGTGGAACTTACCATCCGTATGTAAGAGAGACTCGAATCTCCATGGGCTCTTTATGATTGCGAAAGGGGATATATGATTGAAGGATGATTGGTCGTTTGTGTGAGGAAGTGCAAATCAGGTTCAGGCACGAAGATCGAATCGCATCTAATAATGTATGCTCTTCGTATGTCGCCAGGTTTTTAGTATGGGCTCATCATGATTACGCCAATGCCTCTATACCTACTTAGAGGAGAAAGAGCTAGCCACTTAAGTCGTGCATTCTATATAGACTGATATACTCCGTACCTACGGATAAAAACAAGGATATACGAAAAATGGGTATGTGAAATTATTAGTTCTAAATATCTAGAAAAAAAGAAATAAAACAAAAATAAAACGCTCTAACCAAAACTCCACCGTAGCACATCAAGAAGGGGTTTTCGAACATCATAGACGCCCGTCGAATTATATAGATAAAAATTGCGCTTTTTTGTCCTGGGGAATATAGACCCAGAACGTTCGTTGCCGTTGCAAGATTGACGTTGATGTCACGACCAAAGAAAGATTAGACGTCACTGCGCAGTGGCATAATTAGGAGGCATGAGATATGCATCATCATAACTGGGAAGGGTATCATCTGCAAGGAGTTCACTCAGGGAGAGATCATCTCCACTGATAAATTCCCCAATGGAAAGTGGAAAGGCTGCATTGAAGGACTTCACCCGGGGCTTGCGATCGACAAGCTTCCCGGTTTCCTGGTCGAAGGTATCCACGCCCGTAATGACCTCCAGCTTCAGCTGATGATCAACTACGATCGCCGATCTTTCTCTCGCATCGCATTCGCACGGCTTTCTTCGGTGTTGGCATGCATATGAGGACAAGGTCAACTCATTCGCGGCATTGACTTCTGGTGGAATGACGATGTCGAACGGAATCTCAATCAAATCATCGCCTGATCGTGATGCTCCACTTGCAATCCAATGGCCTTTCTGATTTCCATCGCAGAGATGCCGTACATGCTGCGCCTTGCAAGTTGTTGCTATTGCATTTGTTTGTAGATCACCATCCGTTGAGATAGTGATGTGCTTGACAGTCTCTTCAACCCTCCACTTTAACTCTTTCACAACAATATACTTCACTTCCGTTTTTCGCTCCCCTTTTGTAATGGTTGAACGAGCCACCCATTGCAAGGAATAAGCCGCCTTCGTCCTTCCAAGTAAGTCAGGGTATTGTGGATCTGGCGTTAGATATAGTTCCGTCGACACTCTTTCACCGGGATACTGCCGGAGATATTGAACGGGTTCGGAGATCACACGACGAAGAATCTTTATCGGCTGACTCTCAATCAATATTGGCATGCTGGGCGCTGTTGGCGAGGTTACCGTGGCCCTGATCGCGTATGAGACATCCCCCAGGACGGTCTCTGCCGTCGCCGGGATATTGCTCGGAATAGGAACAATAAAATTCAGCCTCATCCATGCTCTGTCTTCTTCATCTTGGGAATCTACTTCGTCGGGCGAGTGCCAAAGATCACATTGTACTATGGTTTCAACGTCGGAATGAAGGGTTGGGGTTGTGCGGTGATAATTGTGACTTGTAGGGCTGTGTTTGTGATGGCGCTTGAAGAAAGAACCGCGACTTTTCTTGGGGATTGAAACAGTGGGATCAAGCTGTCTTGGGGTCACCGATCGGACGAGACTGATGTTGACTTTGGGAAAATTGTCGGGGGAAGAATCTAGGGCAGAGGAAGGACCCGTGATGGCCACGGAGCCTGTGATTGGAGGAGTATGAACATCACCACCAGCCTCCAGGAGAGTATGAGTACGCGGGACCGTCAATTGCAAATCCCAGGCTTCCATATCCTCTAGACCGTAGTAAAATTGTCTTTGTGGGATGACGAGAAGTTGCGAAATGGTCAGAGAAATTGGGCAGGGCAAGGTCTATGTATTAAATTACTTAACCGATGGTCTGGACCGATGAAAATGAGCAAACTTGATGGCCAGATTGTCAAGTAGATCTACTAGTGGACAGACGCCAAGTCTAGAAGAGGAAGCCAAGATGTAAATTTAACATTCTAAGGGATCCACCAAGGTCTTTCGTCACGCGGATCACTCGTCTTTTGGCAAATAGTTTATAGGACTTACATCATTCACTGACCTAATAGAACCATCGCGAACATATCAAGACTCACCCTATGGGAAGGATTGATTCATTTTTCCAGGTTTTTATATCTTGGTTCCCCGTTATTAGATAATCCGGGTTTGTCAGCGTGAAGTCAAAGCCAAATTTATGAGATCCCATGATCAGATCCTTCTGCCCCTCCAAAACTTTCTCGGCTAATAAAAGGCCTATCTATTCCTCTTTTCTCCCTTGAAGACCTTTTCTCTTCCCTTTATATGTGCGATATTGACTATGTCCTCTGGGACTCAGTCGATGAATGTTGCGCCAAAAGGTAAAACGAATCACCCTCCGTGGTAAAGGATTTCATTAATCCATCTCACCAACCAATGGTTCATCCGCCAAGGTAGATTGTCCGAAATGTAAATCACGCCGAATTTCGTGCGATAGAACTCTACCCAAATGCAGAAAATGCGCTTCTCGGAGTTTTGATTGCCCAGGCTATGGACTGATCCTCCGATGGACTCAAGGTGTCGCCAGCAGAGGTAAATTAACGGGGAGATGCATACCCGTCGCAGAGGACGGAAGGGAGTCAGTTCGAGGAGCGTCTCGTACTCGACAACAGGATAAAGGTCTACGAGGGGCTATGCCTCTGGCACCACTAGATCGTGGGATACAACACCCGTTTGATTATATTTCCTGTCAATTGCTTCGTCACTTCGACCAAAGCATTGCCGTGAAACTCGCGTGGATTGATGGTCCTGAAAATCCATGGCGACGCATTATACTCCCTCTATCGCATGAGTCACCTATTGTGCTCTATTCCGTACTGGCCATGGCAGCCGAGGAACTTGCCCACAGATATACGACGGACCGATTTTACTTCCATCGGTGGCAAACGGAGTCGCTTCGCTACCGGGACAAAGTCCTGTCTCTCTTGCCACAACATCTAGACCGTCTCCTGAACACACCTGTTTCCCTAGAATGCTCCAATCAGGCACAATATGTGCTGGCATCCGTTATACTTCTTTACAATTTGGAGCTGCTGACGGCGCAGGCGTCCCAATGGCGGCTCCACATTCAAGGTGCTCGGGCGATCATCCAATGGAAGATGCAGGCGCTTCATCGTCACCGACCTCCCGATATTGCGGATGATTTTCTCCGGTACGAATACTACTTCACTGCCGTCTTCAACGGCCTAACAACATTTGATGCCGCGTATGATATACTCGACGATGTGCCCAAGGACGAGAGGATCGCTGTCTTTCGTGACTTTGTCCAGATTATACACTCCGTGACCCGAGCGGAGCGGCTTTAAGTTTACCCGGGATTCAAACGGTTCAGCAGTATGTGTCGGAGATATCACACGAGAATTGGAGGCCGCGAGATGCCGAACCCTGGCGCAGATTCAAACAATCCAGTTCCAGGATCAAGATGCCCGGCATGATTTTGAACATCTGACCCACATGTATTACCATGCGAGCTTGATCTACAGCCACCGCGTGCTTTCAGACTACGCTTCGTCTGAAGGTTCCATTCTGGCTTCCCGGGACGCCATCCTCGATCATTTATCTCATTTGATGGAGAGAGTATTTTGCTCAAGACCTGGTTTGGCTACTCTTTGTGTGTGGAACAGAGTGTCGAGGACTCCCTGATCAACAGGATATAATCGTGCGGGCATTATTAGGGGTGATTCACATTAGTGGTAACCTCGATCGGCGTCGCGTCTTGTCGTTTCTCAGGATGTATTGGCAACTGGACTTGGTCGATCGAGAGGTTAGTTGGATCCATGTGGCCAGGACCCGACAGGCAGACTGCAGCTTCATGATCATCTAGCACGAGAACCCCGTGTTTCAGTATGATCAGCTAACGGCTTGGATACGACCCAAGCCCTTTAGTAGACCATCTGTCATGAGATTTAGAAACATTAATTGAGAGAGATAACTTTGGGTCTAACTGAGAAATGTCATGCCGCCTTTCCTGGTGCGGAAGGCGGTGCTCAAACAATGGGTCCGGAGCCGGGGTTAGTGGAGGTTTGATTGGCTGTCAGATCTAGTGTAAAGTGTATTTGCACACCTTGGCACCTGAGTTGGGCTTAGACCTCGTATGTCCATGGATAAGAACAGGAGTCCAGAAGGATAGCCGACGGGTTTAAATTAATATCTCACAACATGGCCACTCAGCGAACACTCTCTCAGATCCTTGTTTCTTAGTAACGTGCCTATCATTCCCTGCATCGCCGCAACTTGATCCTACCTTTTTTTTTCCCTCCTTTTTTTGCTTTTTCCTTTTCTTTCCCTTTTCCCATCAACTCTTCGTTGACGCTGTGAACTTCACCCCTCCTTGGTCTGTTGTTCTCGGTTCTTTCAATTTATTTTGCTTTGATTGTTCTTTGCGGTTATAATATTCTTCTTATTGTCTTCTATTATATCTAATTTTTTTTGGCCCTAGTCTTTTAGACTGAGAACGTAAAAAAAAAAAAAAAGGCTCGCCCATACGCAACGCCCTGCCTCGTTTGCGAAGTACAAAGGTTGATACGCATCCGCCATCATGGATCCGGATAAGATCACAGCAGATTCGAATCTCGAAGCGCTGGGGTATACCCCAGAGTTATCGCGTAATCGATCAACATTGCATGCGGTGTTCATGTGCTTCATTCTGGCTTCGGTGCCCTACGGTTTATCTACCACCATGGCATACTCGATGGCGGGAGGAGGGTCGCCCACGATGATCTGGGGCTGGATCGTGGTATCCTTGATCATGCTGTGTGTCGCAGTGTCACTTGCAGAAGTGACCTCCGTCTACCCCACCGCCGGTGGGGTCTATTATCAAACCTTTGCGCTGTGCCCGCCTCAGTATCGTCGCGTGGCGGCCTGGATCTGTGGTTGGGCCTTCATCGCCGGGAATATCACCATCACTTTAGCCGTGAACTTTGCGACTGCCCTGTTCTTCATCGAGAGTCTGAACGTCTTTACCGATTCCGCGGGTGTCGGTATTACAGCAGACTTCCATGCGTATCAAACCTACTTGATCTTCCTAGGCATCACGCTCATCACTCATGCGATCCCTGCGTTTGGGAATAAATGGCTGACATATCTAGAGGTATATAAGAGATCTTCGGAAGAAAAACTTGAGTTTCCGACATCCTTGCCAACGTTACTAATGCAAATTGTATCCTCCACATATAGACATTTGCCATCTTTTGGACCCTGGTTGGTGTAACGGCCATTGTCATCACCATCTTGGTCGTTGCAGATAACGGCAGACATTCTGCGAAATATGTCTTCACCAGCTTCGAGCCTCAATCCGGCTGGCCAGACGGTTGGTCCTTTTGTGTTGGTTTACTCCAAGCCGCATATGCCCTTTCAGCGACCGGCATGGTTACCTCGTAGGTTTTTTTTTTTTTTTCGTATCATCCGATATGCCCACGCGATCCCAAACTAAGTGGAAACGATCAGCATGTGTGAAGAAGTCCGCCAGCCCGCAATCCAAGTGCCCAGAGCGATCGTCGGCGGTGTCGTCCTCAATTTCCTCGCCGGTTTCTTATTCTTACTGCCCCTCGCGTTTGTCCTTCCCGATATCCCAATGCTAGCAAATCTCGCCTCCGGTCAACCAGTCCCGCCCATCTTTAAGTCCGCCACCGGTAGCGCTGCCGGAGCCTTCTGTCTTCTCATTCCCTTACTGAGCCTCGGCGTGATCTGCGGCGTGGGTTGCGTAACAGCCGCGTCGCGATGCGTCTGGGCCTTCGCGCGCGATGGCGCCATCCCCGGCTCCGGATGGTTCAAGAAGGTAAATCCCAGTCTCGATAACATCCCGCTAAACTCAATGATGCTCTGCATGGTAATTGAGCTCCTTCTCGGATTGATCTACTTCGGATCCACCGCCGCGTATAATGCTTTCTCGGGCGTGGGCGTTATGTTCCTGACCCTGAGCTATGCTTGTCCGGTAGCTGTTTCTCTTCTGCTTCGCAAGCGGAAGGATATCCAAAATTGCAGCTTCAATCTAGGATCGCTCGGCCTATTCTGTAACATCGTCTGCCTTGGTAAGTTTGTTTTGGCTCCCTATGCCGCAGCAATTCATCCAACGACAAGATTCTAATACTTGTCCAATCGCGATTTAGCATGGACGCTTCTTGCCATCCCACTGTTCTCCATGCCAACTTTCATGGAAGTCACGAAAGAAACCATGAATTACGCTTCGGTCGTCTTCGTGGGTTTCTTCATCATCTCGGCTGCTTGGTATTGGGTCTGGGGTTATGAAAACTACGCAGGTCCGCCGGCTGAAGGCAATGTGTCGTTTGTCAGTGAACCGGGACTGTAACAGACACAATCGGAAAGTTTTCGACCCCCTACCATGACCGTGTTCGAATACGGAGCTAGTGATGGAGAGGTTGATTTAGGGGTGTGTATATATAATACAGGTCCAATTGACGTGACTACGACTGAGAGACGTAAATATCTCCCGCTCATATCTACCTCATTGCAGTGTGTTTCTTTCCTGCCTTATCAGCATCGTTTTGATCAACTGACTCGGTTTGGTTGCCCGACCTCATTATTATTCCCCTTTGTAAAACCCAACCCGCGCGACCGCAGGATGCCTCGGCACCGTCCGAACAGCTGAACCCCAGTGTCTTAAACCAGTATAACTACTGTAGATTACTGCGAACTGACTAGCAGGGGGGTGTTGCACCCATCCCCGCGAAAGAATCATAAGGGGGAAAGCCGTGAGTGAACAATAGGTATATACCTGAGTTAACTAATGCAAGGGCACTTCTTTCAGCTGGTGCATGATAATGATACATGAATCCTCTTGCTTGGCGACTAATCCTACAGTGACTGGTATTTGAAATTTAGAACACCTTAGGATGGGGCCGTGCGCTCGTCCTACCGCCTACCCTTTTTACTATAATAAGCGGGACTGAGGCAACCGCGCGCGCGTTTCCGCCTGGCAGAATAGTCCTAGTTTGGTAGGCGGTCCCTAAATCGGCCGCTAAACCTTAAGCGGGTGTTCCAAATTTCAATTGGCCTCCCACTGTAGTTCGGTGCCGATCTCGGCGATTATCGGCCTGGTGGATGATTGGCTAGCCGCGTGCTACACGAGATATGTACATTATACCATGAGCTGCGGTCTTAGGATCTTAATCGCCGAGTGGGAAAGGGGAGTGCATATTGAGAGGAGGAAAGCTATAAAAGGCTTGCGAAACTTCATCCAGATTTCTTTCGTGAGGAAATACTTATAGGCTAGGACAGATAAACCATCGCAACAGCACCAAGACGACGAGAGATGACCAACCTATTATCAGCGAGGAGCGCCCTCAGACAGAATCCACAGCAATTGAACGTGATAATGATGCGATTACCATTGCGATAGATGCGACGGTGAGTCCTATTGTCCCCGATACAACCTCTCCCGCTACAAGTCCAAGAAGAGAGCATGACTAAAGACCCTCGAAGGAAATCGATGATCTGGTGCAGGTATACTCTCTAGGGTGAAATTCTAGCAGTCCTAATGCACAGACTGTGTTCCTCCTAACAGGTAGCTCCGGCTGTCTTGGGTCTCTCTGTTTCGCCAAACTTGCTCGATCATCGGAAGTGCGCCTTGTCATCTGTCTCATTTGACTTAGCGGAGGCAGTAGCGCCTCTACTGACCGGATGACGAATGGTCCAAGGCCTTCCTCTTAGAGTGTGATCCAACATCACCTCTTCCGGGCCTGAAGGAGAGCTACTACCTGTATCTGAGTGGTTGGAGCAGATACTTTAAGCTGGAGAAACTCGTGCGGATGCCGAGCGCTTTCCTGTGAAATTCTTGGAGGATTTCTTCAGGACGTTCTTTCGACTTGCGGCGTGTGGGTAGATTATTCTGGGGACGAATAATTCTTGCGCGTGTTCGTCTACAATGAGGGATATGAAGACAGTTGGATGATGAGGTTGTGACTCGGTATATACATTACTGGCAGGATTTTGGGTATTTGTCGACTGGATATCTTCATAGACCTTTCTAAGAGCGAGGTTTGGGCATAAATTGAAGCAAAGGCTGTTTTGGTCTACGGCGGAGGCCTTGTTGTTTAGGCACCTATGTTGTCTTTAGGCATGAGTATAAACCATGTTAACATGAATTGTCAAACGTGACAGTTAGAACGCTTGCTGATATAAGTATATTTGAAGAGGATACGCGTATGTTTTATTCGTTTTCATCTTATACCAGACCTTTTTCGCTCGTGATAGTAGAAAGCGGCTTCTGATGGACTCAATGGAAGAGAACTGCTCATCAGATACGCGGTGAGATTAATGAACTCGAGACTATTCGCCTGGGCAGAGGGCATCACGTGTGCATCTTACACTACTATAGCACGTGAGGCTAATTAGGGTATATCCGAGCTCTATCTCGGCGAATATTCGACATACCCCGAGGGGATTCTCACCTGAAAGCGCTATTTAAGCAACCCATTCGAGACTCGAGATAGTAGGGTTTTATCTTTCTTCTTGTTTCATGAGTGATTAATTTCCATTTTTGTAAGAGTTATATTCCTGACACACTGACTTGACGGATTCTAGGCCCGTGTTATATAGCTAAAGACTTTGCTAGAATTTCAGACCGACATAGGTGTAAAGCCCACATTCTTGGGAAATATCTTATACTACAAGGATAGAGCAGCTGCGGACTTCTCAATAAAGAGTAGTATGTTACATGTGTATACAGCAAGGCACTTGTTGAGGGGTTGAAATATATCCCAGAATCAGCGAACAGGCGGGTAAATGTCATACCCAGAGTCACTCAATAACCGAAGGATCTTATATCCCTGTTCAAGTTGATTTCCTGCTGCCCTGAGCACTTCCCTTGAGATTGGGAGGTCATCTCTGCATCTACACAAGGCTTTCATGACATAATAGGCATTGTGGCCAGGGGTGGATACCGCTGCCATAATAACCTCCTCAGTAACAGGAAGGCTCGCTCCTCTAAGCCTACAAAATATATGAATGATTTCGAGTGCTCGGCCAGGGTTTGTGACCGCTGTCTTCACTACCTCTTCAGTGATAGGGAGGCCGTCTCCTTTATATTCAAAGAGGACGTTGATAATATAATGTCCTCTGTTAGGGTTCGCTGCCGCTGCTTGAACGACTTCTTCAGTGGTGGGTAGGGTGCTTCTTTGCTTACAGAGCGCCTCCATTACCAAATGTGCTTCTTCACCGGTACTGGCCGCTACTGCTTTGACTAACCTTTCCGGGATTTTAAATGTGGATGTTTCATGATGAAGAAAGGATTCCATTGCCTTTCCTGCGCCGAGTGGCTTGTTCAATATCATCATGGCAATCTCTTCAAGGGCGGGGTTATCATCACATCTCTTGGCCGTTTGGGTCGAGTCCGAACCTCCTGGTGCCGAGGATCCTGGGTGAAGTTCACTTCCACTAGCTGCTTCGGGGTAGTTTGGGGTAACTTCCAGGTTCCAGATAACAGAGATGTCATGAAGATTCACCGGAGACGTTGCTTCGCGATTCTTATCAGGGACCGAGCTCATTCCAGCCTCACAACTGTCCAGCCTTGGCGACACGCCAATAGAGATAACATTGAAATAATCTCTACTGAGCCGAATAATACTAGGCTTTAAAGCCCCGGAAAAGAGCCAGACAATGTCGCCTTTCTCGATAGGCTTGGCTGACGCCTGAAGCTCCCAACGAGAGCTCCAGGAAGACTCGTAGTAACTTGCATGGGCAGTATTATTAAAGAAAACATCTACTCGTTGTCGCTCATGTTCAATCCCGTGGTGCGTAACCGAGTCAATTAAACCCAGAATACACCCCCTGCCCTCGAGCACTGATGTGCCACGTATCTTAATGTCACAAATACCTGGGAAGATATATGTGACCAACTGTCGGAATACCGAGCTCCATGGTAGTTTGTAATTAGCCGATAGAGCAGTTTCATCTGTGCTTAGTCCAAGTATCGCATACACTTTGTCATGTTGCTTAGTAGCCTCATGGGTATGATACATGTCAATTAGTTCCCCTAGAGTGAATTGGCCGTGTAGCTCAGACGTGTACGGTGGCCGAAAAATAGACCTTCTCATGAGATTGGTTACTGGGCGAATTTGGCCTGGTATGATTAACCCCTCACTGAACTCTAGGTTGCTCAAGCCGGCGCAAAAGCTGTATCCGTTTATCTCAGCAAAGCCGCACATGATGGAAATCCACTTTGCAACACCGACTTCCTGTAGAACCTAAACCGGTAAATTAGCAGCTTCCAGGTTGGCTCACGTAGGAATCTTTACCCAAATGCGGCGGAACCAAGGTCGCTGCAGCAAGTTCAAGCATTCCGTATGATCTATTGGTGCATGTTCTTTCTCGATCTTGTCCCGGAGTGAAGACTCCTCCTCCTTGGTAAGCATAGGATAAATGGTATTTGTATCCGGTTTTGGAGGTAATGGCTTCAGAGACACATCTCCTGCCGCGGAGCGAATCCTTTCAATCGCTTTGTCGCTACCCTCTTCCTCCTTTCCCAGCCAGACAATAACGCAGTTCGCTTGGGCGTATATCCTCCTCATGAGCCCAATCTGCTCGGACTTTTCCTCCAAGTTGCCTTGGTCAATGCATACTGCATCAACCCACAGTATCCTGTCCAGCTGATGATCCCGGAGGTGCGACAGTGCTGCGTATAGGTTTTTCGTAACTGCAAATTCACATCCGTTTGTGAAGATAGGACGAGAAGCCTTCTCTTTGCCCCATACATATGACAGGGCTTCGTAAATGTGCTTTCCCCTCCCTGGCTTTGATAAAGAGTATGTGATAAGCTCGCATTGTATTTGGGCATTCGTATCTTCATGCGGTAACAAGCGAAGCATGCGTGTAGATACATTTCCCGAAGGGAGAGGGGGGTACTTGTACGATGACATTGTCTATTTCCAGATTTGCTAACTTCTCCCCAGGCTTCTAGAGAAACAGAACTCAGAACGATGTGTTTTCAACTTGGCACTTTCTCACTAACTTATGATCTATCCACATGAGAAACCCCGCACAGCGTAGAGACTAACGTCTCCACTTCGGGCCGGATGATTTGGCAGCAAGGCTGAGAAACATCTCCAGCTTATATTAGAATGCAGCGGGAGCTGCACCCGAGTCTTGGCCGTTGATGGCTTTGCGTTTTAGCAATGGTACAACAGTAAACTTTGCTCCATATCAGTCATAGAATTGCTTTTCAAATATGGACCTATGTGCTAGTTCGTATTCCTGTGCAACATATCTATCTTCCTCAGGTGTCACAGCGGCCGCGGATAGTACATTGATTAACCTCACTGGAAATCACACTATTGTAGGATTGTCTAAGAGACAAAAGTTCCAGTTGATATTATCGACACCCATGAACGCTCAATGGGCCTTTGGCATACTTGCGTGTGCTGAAAATACTTTACTAGATCTGTCGGGGTCCCTGAAAAGAGTAGTGGGATTAGAAGAATGATAGCAATGCTGATATTTAGACATTGTAGTTTATGATACTAATTCTTTGCTACTATACGCTTTTGAGGAGTTTGCATCTCGGACTGTGTTGTGACCTGTGAGTGAAGGCGCGGAGTTTATGAATAGGCGGTATAAGCCTGCGAACTGGTCGGTGCAGGAAATGGTTGTATGCGTGGACTCTTGGCTTGGGGCTTGTAGTATAATGTACCGTAGATTTCAAAAATCACTAAGCTAATATGACTCTGATTAAGTGGCTGAGGCAGATTATGCTTCTAAAATGTCTGCGAATAGCTTCACCAGATAGCAGATTCGCCAAAATTCGTACAACTCTTGCACAAAGATCAGCATATTAGGGCTCTTCTTCAAAGTCCCCATAGAGAGAGCTTCAGGATCGTCTTCTGCCACCATATCAAGAATATAACTCACTAATCTAGCTTCATCTTCGACAAAGGTGATATCGGTAGGACATGTCTGCACAGAAATAAGCTATTTTCTGAGCATAAAAGCGCACTCAAGCGCACAGCGGAAATGCTGACTGGACTAAGTGAAGACTTGATCGTGTGCATCAATTTTAACTCCGATTTTAACGGGAATACTCAGAGTGTGTAATCCTGCGCGGGTCAACTTCCGGCTTCATTTTTACTGGTGGGCTTTGATGAATAGCTCGCGCAATTTGTAAGGGATCCTGTGTTTCCAGGGCTATGCACAGAGCTCCACGTTGAGACGCATATAGGCCATTCTCAGCAAGGCAGTAGAATTAAATGAGACCGGGCCCCTTGGGTCTCCCGGCATCCCAAGATGAGTCCGGGTTAAGTTCCCATTGTTTTTGCCAGTTTCAGAGGGCTACCTCCATTTTCAACTACTGTAGATGATAGACATCCGTCCGAATCAGGTTAGCACCTTCGCATCTGACGTAGGAAGTACATGTGTTAAATCAATGCCAGTATAAGGATGTATCCGCCCAAGGAAGAGTGTATCGTACAGCCTTTGTCGGGCTCCTTCGTAAAGAGGAATGAGAAACAGGATTGAAATCTTGGCTCAGGCTCTGTAGGAGCTCTGGCTTCCTTCCAGTCACTCTCTGTTTGGATTTCCCAAAGATTTCCTTTGAAGGGGAGGTCTATGACAAGCTCGGCATTCAGAATGACTGGCGGGGTGTTATACACTATTGTATGGAAGTTGAAAAAGCAAAAAAGATGCTGACAGTTCGCTTCAGGCCTTCGGTCTGGATCCACTCGTGCCATGTTCTATCGTTGACATGTTGCAACTCCAAGAGCCTTTCCTCGCGGATGAAATTTGCTAGGATGCTTTGTAGCTCAGCAGCCTCTTTGAAGATGGCGTCTGAGCATGCCCATGCTGCCATCACCATGAGCAATAGCAATGCTTGAGCAGTCGGCAACGGATTATATCGAACATTGAGGTTACCGTTTGTCATTGGCTCTGGAGTTGGTTCCTGAGAAGCCTTTGAAGCAGGCCTTTACACGGGCTTCACTCAATGAGGCTGCCGCTATAGGCTCATCTCGAAGCCCAGCTTTACGATGATGGAGCCGTTCGAGTGCTGTTATTTTCGATGCCCTATACAGCATGACTGCCCTACCATCGTCAAAGGAGTATTGGGCTCCAACCGCTGTAACAGAAGGATGAGATCGATTGCAGACCTTCGAACTCTCAATGTTGGAATGTGGAGAAAGGGCTGGTGGGGGTGAAATCCTGTCACATACGCTGCGAAATAGCGAGACTATGTGTCGGGAAAGGTGCTTTAATGTGGATATATAGGGACACTGCTTGTACCATGTTATTTAGCCGAGGTTCAGTAGCTACAGAGTATGACATGCAGCACTATTCTATTTAGATCGAAAAGTTTAGTTAAGGGGATGGAACCTAGTCAGTAACCTTAGCCCAGCTAGGCACAGTAAGATAGATGGTATAGCTCCTAATGCGGCAATGTGGATTACGATATATTAACGTATGCACTCCGAAGATATTTTTAAAGCCAGACACACTAAATGGGTGCAGTTAATGGCTGTGACATTTCTAACCTGACATGACCAATAATCTCCGATGCGGCGTGGTTCAGGCCCTTGCTTCACTCCAATCGGCTGTGCTAGAATGAGAGCCCCTGAAACTAGCCCACGATAGAGACTTTAACTCGTTATGAAAGGCAATTCCTGCCCCGGATCCCCTAATAGGACAGGATCGAGCATTGCTTGATTACAGTCGGATGGATCGGTTGGTCTACTTAACCGTACATCCTTTATACGAGAGCCTTTCCAGATGACATACTGGGAAGATTAGTGGTACGTTCAACACTTCCTATGTATGGGGATTGTAGATCCTCAAAACCTAACTTAAGGAGTTGTAGGTCCCAGGAATACCTTGCGAGCGACACAGAACGAGGAATATTAGCAATATGAGGGTGCGGCACAGACTTCTCTACGATTTAGCATTAATAGGAAGCAGTATGTGTCGCCAAAGTTATGGCTAGGGAAACAAGACAAGGAGTTGCGGTTAAAATATCTTGCGCTAAATTGCATTTTGTACTTAACCACTCATTGGTTCAGCTGACTCGAATCGAACGTCTCCATATTAGATCCAACCACAGTGTGTCTTATGTAGAATAGCCTTTCTGCGGCTGCGGCTGCGGCTATTACCTTTGGTCACGCAATGTAAATGTAGCTGGTAGCAAGCTAGAGCCATTGAACTATAACGGTGGAGGCCACCTATAGTGATCCATACTGTCTGTTCCCCTGTACATGGAACTATGAGTGGTGCATTAGCGCCTTCAATGGCAATGCAAAGTTCACTAAAGGGAACTGTGTTCTCGCCTCATCGCCGGACGAAATCGGTGGTGCGGCACCACCAACCTGCCTCCCCTCCCCTCCCCCTGAATGATGCCCGAATAGTCATCGTAGTATCGGAGGAGGCAGTGGTGGTGCTAGCGGTAAAGGTCCGGATTGCAAGAATCGCCAGTGTACGGGCCCTCTTTGCGCTTCTTTTGGCTGCAGTGGATCTGGCTATTTGAACGGCGTCTGCGCTGAGCGGCCAGGTGCGTGGGGGATGACTGCGGAAAGAATGGAAAGTGTACCAGCGACCGTTGTATTGGTCTGGGCTGGTCTGGATCTGAGTGTGGCAAGGATGGCATCTGCACCGGCCCAAATTGTTGGGAGGGGGCATGCAGGGGCAGTGGATGCATCAAGGGAACTTACCAATACCAGTGATAGAGTAGGGTTGCCCAACGCGTGCTTGCGTATTGAGAACCACATACAGTTTGCTCTGCTCGACTTCGACTATATAGAATTGCCTGGACAAATATCCAGCCAGAATCTATTAGATATTATTGGCCCGTAAAAACATAAAACTTCATACTTTCTGCCCTCATCCATTACTGCTTCTGTATACCCACCCGTCAAAGCATATAGTATCCAGGTATTGCAAAAAGGAATCTGATAAATGGACAGAACTACTTGAACGATTGTATTGAGCTCTGGTCACCCAAAACACATCACTATGATTGTAGGTCATCAAGGATGAACAAATACAAGGGCGTAGATTGATGCCCTATTTCCTCTGACGCATATTACTTCGATCCGGTATCCAGGGTATCATGGAGATGCTTGAAGTACGTTGATAAAGCCAGCACGTCCACATCACCGGCCTCCTCAGCAGTGGCCCTTTTCCTCACCCTTCTGTCCACGTAAGAAGGTGTTGTTCGTATTATCCGATAAGGTCGCTGCCAATGTGCTTGTTAGTTTCTTAATGAACTAGGATAAACAATACTTCCGTGCTTTAGCCCTTTCACTTGTGAACAGGGTGAAGAGGTTAGATCACTCTGAGGCAGACCTTGCCAGATTGAAGGCTGGGCAATATACAAAATCGACACTGCGCGATGCAGTTTTGAAGTCTCTGGTATAGGCTTACTGTGTTCGCGTAATGTGTGCCTGACGCAATGCTTCTAGAAGCAATTTCTAGATTGGCTGGTAGGATATATTGCTTTGCACGACACAAAGAATTATAGGTCCGAGCCTATTCAGTGCAATCGATAACTCTCGAACCCCGCCTTCCTAGCCACCGACTAAATGCATCTACTTGCGCTTGACTAATGAATGTATCTCAATACTACCGCTCCGAATTTATCATCTCGCAAACAGCCACCACAGCCGGCAGGGCCGATCTATGTACATATATAGCTCATGACTCCAATGCCAACAGCGTCGCAAATGCTCCATCCGGTCTGCTCAGCAACTCGCGCGGACGACCCGCTTCGACAATCCGACCACTATCCAGGACAGCAACCTGGTCAAAGTCCAACAAAGTATGGATCCGGTGGGCCACCATAATCACAGTGCAATCCTCGAATGATTCTCGGATGATCTTTTGTACTTTTGCGTCGGTGTCGGCGTCCAGGCTATGACAGGATCTAGTCAGCATACAACACGATTACAAATCAAGTAGAGGAAGCTATGATATACCTGCTAGTTGGCTCATCGAGAATGAGAATCTTACTCTTCTTCAACAGCGCCCGCGCTAAACAAAATAGCTGCTTCTGGCCTTGGGATAAGGCGCTCTCGTTGAGTTTGGCATCTAACACTGTCTCACCATGACCATCGTGGTGGGCCAGGAGAGCATTCCAGACTCCAACGCACCGCAGCGCACTGATGATGTCCTGGCTTGCAAGAATATCCAGCGGGTCGGCGTTCTGCCGGATAGTTCCTGGGAAGAGAAATGGCTCTTGACTGAGACAGCCGATGCGCTGTCGGATCGAGGTTCGGGATATGAGGGAGATATCCTGTCCGTCAATGAGGATCCGCCCTGATTGTATCTCGCTGAGGCGGAGGAGAGATAGTGCAAGGGAGCTTTTACCACTATTGATGCAGCTGTTCGTTAGCCTTGCTTTCTTTATCCCTGTTAGAGATAAGCCTGTCCAAAAAGAGATCGAGGCAAGTATTTATATAAAGCATGGTAATGGCCCACCTTCCAGACTTCCCACACAGCCCAATCTTTTCACCAGCACCAAGGTGAAGGCGAATGCCATTCAGTACGGGCTTGGTTCCCTCTGAACAATTGTATGCGATGCTTGTATCTATAAACTCAATTTCCCCATGACGGGGCCATTCCGGGAATGGATCCTGAACCTGAACGGTCGGGTTTCTCTCCTCACTGGGTGTGTCTTCGGCAAATTCCTTGATGCGCATAATCGCCCCCAGTGACGTCTCAAGTAGTGTCCAGTTCTGAATCAGCTCAGACAGGATCTGACCCAGATCAATCATCATGACAAGGGCAATACCCAATAGGCCTGGGTCGACCTGTTTGCGGAGAGCGATGGCTACTCCAACAATGAGCACTGTCAGAGTGGCAACGATTAGGTTAAGTACCAAGCTAAGCCAGCGTTGGATGCTCAGTAAGAGATAGAAAGGTTTCTGGGCCGTATCAAGCAAGGAGATCATTCGGGACGTGGAGGCGTGGGTCCATGAGAAGGCGCGGATGGTATTCACTCCGGCCAGTGATTCAATGAAGTGGGTATAGAGAGGGCTCTTGAGCTCAATCCTGGAATGAATTGAGTTAGTCTAATGGGTAAAAGGTGGTGACAGCAGAGTGATAAGGGCACTGCTTGATACTCACTCCAATAACCGCAGCTGGCGAGATGTGCGCAGGTAGAACCGCTGGACCAGGACCAGCACCCCAGTGAGAATTGGTAGGACCGCTGCTATGTAGGGAAGCGAAGCTATGGCGACAGCGCCTTGGGCAAGAGCCCCGAAAAGCTCTGTGAGCCGGGCAAGTTAGGATGGAGCAGATGTTAGATTGTTCATGCCTTCTATGCTTACGGAACCCTGTTGATATAAAGCCGCGGGGCAGAATCATGTCGACCAGTCTCATATCTTGGCTGAAGCGGGTTACAAGGACTCCGGTCTCGATGTTAGACAAGAAGGATAAAGGTGCGCTGTAGTCATTTAGTTGATAGTGTGCTCTTCTGGCTATGTGAGCGACGGCTAAAACTCACCACATGCAAGCGCGGAGCACTATAGAATGTAGATTCTTAGACGCAGCGGGGACAATGACGACCCAGGTCCAGCTGTTGAACGCAAGCCAAGTTAGCGCACGATGGGGAGCGACAAAGGGGGGTTAAACTCACAATACAGCAAAGATAAGGGTGCTAGCTTCGATCACAGCCAATGCTGCATATACTCCGATCCAATAGCCCAAGCGTGAGTTCGTGGCGCTGTCACTGCTAGAGGACCAAATATTGACCCAAACGTCTACGCAAAAGTGAGTCCCATGTTACAATAACTAGCGGTTTAGGAGAATATCATGACATACAGCGAAATCCACCAATTCCGGCATTGACAATGAGGAAAAGCAGCAGTATGGAGACGCGCAGGCCGCCCAAATTAGAGAAATAGTACTTGTACACAGATAGATCGTTTGTCTGCCGACTACCATCAGTAGTAGCGGTGCAACTCAGAGGATCCGTTGTAGTGTTTAGCGAGTCAGGTTGTCTGACACTGTTGTCAACCGTTCCAGCTAACTTGTCCATCTGCTCTGATTGCATGTCTAGCCTGTGAATATAGCCTCCAATGTGGCTTCGGAGCTGGGGATAACTGCCTTGTTCAAGGACCTGGCCATTGTCCCCCAAAACAATGATGAAGTCGGCTAGTTGTAAGCGGTGGACTGGATTGAGGGGATCAGCGTGAACGATATATTAAATTGATCGAGCCAAAATCTGGAGGAAGAGGGAGCATACCGCTGTGGGTAGCCAGGAACGCCGTGCAGCCCAGCCGGCGCAACAATCCAGCCGGGCCGAAGACATTGTCAAACACTAGCTGGGCTGTTGCATTATCTAGACCGCTCAGGACATCATCGAAGCAGGCAATACGTTTGCGAGCATAGACGGCTCGCGCTATAGCCTGGGGTAGGGGCCAAGCTGTCAATATGCAGCCCATAGCTAAATAAACATATAAAGAAACTTGAGACTCACGATTCTTTGCTTCTGCCCACCACTCAGTTTGGCACCCTTGCTACCGACAAACGTCTCATCACCTGCTGGCATTCTCTTGAGATCTGGCTCCAGCCCACATGCTCTCACCACGGTGTGGTACCACTCAGGGTCAAACACAGATAATGAGTTTTCACCGACAATGTTTTCCCGGATTGATGTATTTGTCAACCATGATGTTTGCTCGCAGAAGGCCAGGTCCGGATACTGGATAAAGAGCTTCCCCTCCAGCACGGGCGTCTCTCCCGCAAGACCTTTAAGAAAGGTGGACTTGCCACTACCTACTGCACCGACTATCATGACGAGGTTACCGGAAGGGGAGGATCTTACAGTAAGTGAGATGCCAGCTTTATCTAGCAGATAGGGTTTCCACCCAAAGTGGACATTGTTAAGAGAGAGAACCACATCAGTTTGGTTTTCTGGAACAGGTCTGGCCACGTGCTGTGGAAGGGAAGATAACTCGATAGTGGATAGGTTTGCGGATGAAAGGGAAGGGCCAGGTGCAATCTGGGGGAATTGTCTCTTTTCTATGCATAGTATGAAATTAGCGGCTTTGATTGCATAGATAAATCTGGGAGAACCAGTAAAACTGGACAAAATGGTTAGACGACTCACCAAGGCGATTGGGTTGCCTGAGGAAGTCCTGTACTCGATGGAGACAACCTACCGATGCGAATGTGTCCGGAATCGCTAGCAAGAGATTAGAGAGTGGGGTGACCAACAGGTTGACCAGCGCGAGCGATGTGATAGCTTGCGAGACCTTTAGACCGCCGGAGCCCTGCACCCTAGCCACTATAGCATAGCCAGTGAAAGTTGCGAGCTGCCCAACAATAGTGGGAAGATTGACTAAAGCTCCGCATCAGTCTGATTACAACCAGCACATCTACCTATCCACAGGCAGGGTTTTGAGAGGTTAACGTACTCATACAGACAAGGACTGTCTGTATTCGACGGAATTTCTTGGAGATCTTGAGCTCGTCCACACGCAAGGCGTTTGTCATAGCTCCCATGATCTCGGTCAATCCAAGGAACTTGACGTTTTTGATAGACCCAAGGACAGCAGTGGTGAAGTTGATGCGTTTCTCGGTAGCCTGGAGCCAAGCTTTCTGTCGCGCAGACACAGCGTTGCCCATGCTGAGTGATGCAGCCGTGAAGACTAGCCAGGGGAGGTCAGATGATGAACACTAGGATGTGCGGACCACGGCGCAGACGAGCAGACTTACTCATTACTACTACAATGGGTGCAATACAAACAGCACCCATCTGAGTCTGAAGAAGCCATGTGGCCAGACCCAGCTGGAGGATATTGGCCCAAATCTCGCAGACCGTTGACTGGAAGTATTCGGCAAGCATCTCGATGTCAGTACCCATGAGGGACATGGCACTGGACTCATCGATACTGCCTAGCGGTAGGTCCATCATGTGCTGAAAGACGATAACCATAAGACCACCACGGAGCATCGTCGTGGCGCGATACCCCAAATGCTGATAACAGGCTGTACACACCTTGATGATAAAAAGGTTAGTGCAGTGTTTGCAGCAGAATGAATCGGGGAAATGGGCATCCGGAGATATGTAACTTACAGCAATTCCAATGAATACAATGGCGGTGGCCCCGATCAAGCCGTAACCCTCATATAGTGAGAACGAGTCACCCTGCTCTAGCACAGTGACAACCTTGCCCACCAGGAACGGCTGAGCGATACTGAAGCCCACAACACAGAGCCGAGGGAAGGCGACCCCCGCAATTTCCCACCGTAGACAGCGGATAACAGCTAGAAGCAGCGCATGCTGGCGGCTCTGGTTGGAGCGGGCCCATGAGCCCGCGAATTGAGCAGATAAGTCGCGGGACGAGAGCTTTTCATGGATTGTAGGCAATGCATTGCCGGTTAGCGGCCCCGAGTACCCTTGTCGTAGCAGGCCATTCAACCAGACGAATAGGCCTCGGCTGAATGGTCCGCTCAGACTCTCGCCAGATCTCACCTTCTGGCTAGGTACCAGCCATTTTTGCTTCTCGACATTCTCCAGAATCAAGAGGAGCAGCTTGATGGCGAGAGACGAAGAAAGGCAGGCTGAATAGGCTTGACTGTCTGACAACCAAGCCGTGCGCACACGTACAATGTCTAAAAGCAGCGTGGCAAACAGGTAGGCAGAAACAAGGAATGGAGGCCGAATGGAGCGGATGTGCTCCAGGTCAATGAGAATGACGGCGGCAAGCGCCGCTACAAGCTCGAGGATGGCGCCGGCAAGTGACTCGCGGCCCCGCGTGGTGGGCTGTGTAGCGACAAGGCCAACTAGGGCGATCTGAATCGCCAACAAGGATACGGCAAGAACCTGGATGAAAGCTTTCCTCAGAGGCTCGTTCTGTTACACGGAGATCGAGAAATGAATCGGAACACGTACGAGTGTCACCACGCGTATCGCCGATGAAAGCACTTTGGGCGACTGGCTGAACAGCTGAAACAAGCGGAACGGCGTCAACAGCAGGAAGCAGACGGCCGGAGCGATGGTAAAAATGCTCGCTTCGTAAAGGACTGTGAAGTCAAATCCTCCGCGGCAGAGCGTGGTAACGAAAGGGCCAAATGAGCCGTCGCCGCATAGATCTGTTGTTGACGGAGACGTCATGGTCGCCCCAGTCGAGCGAGGACTCTGTTGGCCTATCGATCACCCCAGCCAACGTACGTATATACTATTTTGGGTCCAGAAGTCTCAGGGGTGGAGGTTGGGTTCGATGACCGCTTGAAGTTGTGAGATCGTGAGGTTGTGGAACGCAGACAGGCCGACCATTTATATTGGGCACTAACAGTGTGTCAAACGAAAGAGCCGCTAGGCGATAAGGAGTGTTGAATTACTCGTTCGGCTTAATACAGTATATTTCATACGTTAACACGACGGAAGGGGCTTATCAGTAGTTAGCCTCAGTAGCGCTCATTTCGTGCTTCCAGCCAGCGTCTAGTCTTTTTCCCCTTCTCCGCGTTTGTATCATCGACCTGCGGTACCGTACTATGTAATTACTGTTTGTCCAATGTGGTCTCCGAGCCTGATATTAGCTCGTTGGATAGTGTTTTGCTGCATTATGCCAGTGATGCTCACCCAACTTATGAATTTTTCTATTATGTGTCCCGATACTTAACAAAGTTGTCTCAGTAGAATAAAATTGATTGTCGCATGGCAAAGGCTCTATGTACGGGGTCTGTTATCGGATCGGTATTTCTTAAAGACAGAGGGAAATAGCAGCATTGTGGGACATGGGGGGAGGGGAAAGACACTAGTAACTGCTGACAACTTGAACTACTCGTCGGAACTGCGCCACCGCAAGTCCAAAAGTGATACAAGTAAGAAGTACATGTTATTATTATTAACCAGGCTTGACGTGTTTAGTTATAAAGCCTTTGGCTATGACAGACAAGTACCTACTATTTGTGCCCAGGGACAATTTCCACGCCAGAGTTACATCAAAGGGTTTACATGACACCCCTGCCTATGAACCATATATGCTTATCAACCATTGTTACAAAAATATAGTACCAGAGCTTACCGCAGCCCTCTAGGTTCCCTCTAGCTTGCCTTGACCAGCGTTGGAGAGGACCAGTATTGTTATAGGAAGTTGAACAAGGACTCCCAGGCTACAATGGAAATATCGTAATCGGACACCGATCCGCCGGGACACCAATATATTTGACATCATGAACGCACTTTTATGTATGCAAATCCGTAGGTATTTTATGTATATTAAGGAATATAGAGCTCTATCATGAATAGGTGCGTACGTGAAGGTGGTCTTGAGCTGCGTCTCGATTAGGGCAATTGTGGCTTATCAGTTATCGTTAATCTTTAGGTATGGCGGCTGGGTCATTGCTTTTTTCTCTGATTGGAATACACTAACAAAACTGATATATCTATGGCTGCAACTAACGTACTCCAATTCGAATGACTATACTCTTCACCCAAGTCGTATAGCTGCGCTATTGCGCGTTGACATTTCAATCATTCATTGTCGCTTCCATTAAACGAACATTGATGACCCTTGTGTTGTCCATTGGTGAGACAACTGTGGTCAACTCCTTTACCAACTGTTTCCTTCGTCGCAGAAATTCTCCTTTCGTCTCCGGATTGTTAGCAGGGCACTTTTTCCGGCTTTTTGTTCTTTGACCTATTGTCTAACGTTTATTTGAGTCACTTGAGCTAATTTTAAAACTCACCTTGGCACTGACTGGCTCCACCCTCATTGGGAATTGGTCATTGCTTGGGCTTCTGGGAGGAATCCCCATTCCTGTACTTCCTTCCGCGCCCCCCATTCTCATCGATCCTTATTTTTGAGAAGTGGTCACCCCGACTGGCAATGCCACTACTAAACTGAGGATTATTCAGCCACCAATACATCAAACGATGTGAAAGGACTTACCATTGTGTGTTGATTCTTAGGGAATTAAAGAAGAGTAAGTGGCTGGCACGAACTATGGTATGTTGGTACTACTGAAATAGACTGTCTGCTGCTAGTGGAGCATTGGAGCCACAAACGTATCAAGCTCTAACCTTAAGGAGCCATCCGGATCCTGGATTTGGAGTGCTAATCTTTGCCTCCGGCTCATTCGTGGGACAGAACCGCCGACGTTTATTTTATTAAAAGCTCCATGGGACTGTGTTCTATGTGAAACTGGGGTTTGACCTGCAGATCCTGACGGTGGGCTTGCTGGATACTGGGCTGCTTTTATTATACTCAAACTGTCGGTATTGAGTGTCTGACTCGAAGAGAATGAGATCAGACTTTTAAGCCATTCTCAAGTAAGATAGATGGATGTGGCGCAGGTTGCTTTCCGGGCATAACATCTTGGTGTCTCTTCCCAAGATCCATAGCACTAGAATAATTCTTTGTGAAGGGTTGGATAACCATTCTTGACCTAGCTAAGTCTGCAGGTATTTTTGTACTATTTTAATTCCGTTTCTTCTATTTCTTGGTGAACAGGCCTTGATGAATTTGAGTACTTTCGCCACTGCTAGAGATATATTCCGGGTCAAGCGAAAGTACCAGTCTATATACGAACATAGAGCTAACGCAGCCGATAAGACCTTCAGAATGCGAGTCATCTATAAATTCGTGTATCACTACTAGTTTTTTGTTGCGGCCGCCGGGTGTTTAGTAGTGCGACACCATGTGCATGGATTAAAGCGTGTACTGTTTGCTCGGTATGCTCTTAAACTTTGGGGTCAACCCCCCAAAACCCCCATTACCCACATGGCGGTACACTGTGGTCTTAATCATCCGGGCGGAAAGGATCAGACATGTACTAATTGACGCCTTCGAAAACAAGTCAGACCCCTGGCCTTGATTTTGCGGCGCGGCCCTTCTAACCAATCGATACCATTGACGGCCGCCACAGCCAAGGCTAAATAGGGCCGGTGATTTTAGACTCTGTCCATCTCGTTTGAACGGAGCCCTAAAACACCCTAGAAATATAGCGTATTAGGTGAGTTCATTATTTCTCCTGTTGGGTTATTGCGTGTGTCTATTGGTCGACAATGCTACCTTTATGTGATATTCCCACCCATAAGTGCTTTTGTGATTGATACTGTATTAGCTGACAGAAAGCCATGTTTGAGGCAATATTCTCAAGGTAAGAACTCTTCTCTTGGCTCGAGGTTGGCACGGTAAAAAGTTGGAAATAAATCTGATGAAATAAGAATTGAATTATCTCCAAGCTGATATTGTTTGTCTGGATACCAAGCAAAAGTGCTCTGTCTTTAGATACATTTCAAGCATATTTTATGAATGCTACCGAGCACATAGAGGCCCAAGGGAGCGGAGGCCTGGACTGTGTTCCGCGATATCCCGGCGATTTTACTCACACGACAAGTACAAGTACACTTAGTCTGAAGGTATACAGAGTACATAAGGGGTTCTTAGTTCCCAATAAACAGTAACTAATACTTGAGCGGGCAGACGGCTTATCTGTACAATGTCACTAGCCCCGCACGGCTTTAATTTTTTCATTTAAAGTGATTGCGGTAGGTAGTACGGTGTATCGAAGATTGGTTTGATAGACTGTGCTTCTAATTTTATGACGGTGCCTCATTGGCAAAGTGGTGGGAGCCAATGCATATACTAGTAGCCACCTGCAGTTGTACTGATGAGACTTTGGGTCGTGAGACTCGGTAATGGATCCCTATTGTGGCCTGACTGCGCCGCAAATGCCTTGCTCTCCACAAATGGCTTGCTATACTATCATATTAATCCCAGGAGCATATATAACATGGATGTACTTGTTTGGTAGCCGTCCGTGAGGGTGAACGGTTAACTTCCATGCCGCAGTAATGTCCCTGGAGAGTTTAGCCTGAGAGGACGGATTCAATTACTAGTCTGTCATACTAAATATACAAAGGTTAGGTCTACGGTAAGCCATTTCCCCGCCCGGGGACATCGGGGGGTTGGGATCTCACTCCTCCGACGCTTGAGGGCGCTTCTTCTCATAACTATGGAGTGGAGATACGTACAAAAGGTGAGATGGAAATATAGTGCCAAGAAAAGGGGATCCAGCGAATGGAGGGGGTTGTTAAGGAAATACTTTCCTTCTTTTATTCGCTTCTTAATCCCCTTCGAACCACCACCCCCTTCTACGCTCGAGGGCGCTAATATCAAATAAATATCGGGTAGAAATAAGAAGAATACTTCCTACGTACGTAAGGTGAAAATACAGCAGTGAGGGTGAAACTAAAATCTAAGGCTATCTATCCAAATGGAAGCCAAGAAACAGGGACAAAAAAGGAAAGATAGATAACCGAAACAGTGACAATATTTCCCGCCGGAGAAATAAGCTCTTCTCAGCTCAAGGAGAGAGGTTTCTCACTGTAATTTTTGGCATTGACTTTTACAAGGCAATATGAAAGTGGATTCTGTAATACGATTAAAAGATTTATTTACAGATGAAGTGCGGAATTCGGTAAACCTATGCAGAAGGCTTAATTTAGCATGGAATATAACTCCCATAGTTGCTCTCCGCAACATAATAGCGCTAGCAAAACTCCAGACTAGTGCCAATGTGTGCCTACTCAAGAACCGTATCCCGACGATTCTCCGAAGCCCTATCGATGGCCCGTACTTACAGCGTCGCGAGGGGGGTCCTGGGAGTATAGCAATCGTACCTCAGGCATTTATAACTGAATCGGAGCCATATCAGTACCGTTGTGGTTTGCTTAATTCACTAGGTGCTGCCAGTATCCTGAAACCATTTGTATCTGATGTTTCCCAGCACGGTGGAAGTTCCATGGACCAGAAAAAGGCCCACAGCAGTAACGATAGTGGCTTGGGTAAAGCCGGGCCACCTAATACAGATCTATAGTATCTGCAGTTGTCTGGGAATAAGATAAAATGAAATAGTTTACTAGAAAAATGAGCAAAGGCTTGAAATAAATGCGGGCGCGACTATCTAAGAGCAGAGAGCGCGCCTCTACAGCAAGGGGAGGCAGTTTATAGAGCTATGGAAAGAGCTATACGAGCTTGTAGTGTTGCTTGAGATATCTTCAGTGGAGCCGGACTTTGCGCGGCTGCTTTTAGAGATAAAGAAAAAGTCCTTTTTTTTTTTTTTTTTTTTTTTTTGTTTGAGATGTCCGCAGCCCTGCCGATATCTAGAGAGAGTAGTAGTACCGATAGTTATATATATTATAATAGTCAGTGACTTTAGTGATGGATTTAATTAATACCTTGACAGAATAACTGTCAATGAACCCTATCTCACATAACTAGGTAAACCTTTTTTTCGTATGAGGTTCCAGTCTTAATGCTAGCATGGCCATTGGATTGATCCATGTAAGATTCGCCTCCGTCGATGGGCCAACGCGCCACCGGAAGCAGTCTCCAAATGAGGGTGTCACCACAAGACATAGCCAGAGTACATGACAAAAGCTGCGAGTAAACGCGCAGACGTGCTCTTTCTACGCGACAACACTTCTGGGGGTCTGAAGGGTACAACGAAACATGAATCTAATCCAGAGCCTATCAAACCATTTTGAAATGACCGTGCCCTTGCTACCCTGCTAGAATTCACCATATTCGGCACGTATGCCGCTAGTGTCACGTTTTATTGCCTAGTTATCAAAGGTGAATCCTATCCGATAGGGTAATAAATGGAATGTTTCAATATTGCCTGGTTTTCATGAGTATTCTTACAAGCATGAAGACAAAAGTCCTTTTCCAACTGCTATCCTAAAGCTCATCCGCTCCTCAGGCCACCTCGTTTTCAGACTTTCCACCCCTAAAATAACCTCTCCTTGTGCTAAATTTAAAATTTGGTTACGAGATTGTTTGGTAACGACCCCTAGTTTCCAGGTGCATCGATACATATAACAAAGCTACCGTTTACCCGAATAATTTCTTCGATATACTGCCGACTCATATAACCAGTTAGCCTATATTTTCCGGCGCCGTGGAATGAAACCCTGGTGCAGCCCTTGAACAGTATAGGTGAGTAGCCCCCTGGACACACTCTCCCACCCGAAGTATTACTTGTTCCTTGATAGGCTTGGCCAGAGCAGTTGCAGCTGAATGACCAAGTGGCGCGCTTTTCCAGACTAGCTCGAGCGACCTCGGCCGAGTTTTCAGAGACGGGGAGGGTCGTCGCGCAAGACGAAAGGAGCAACACCCACTCCGACGAGGTACTTCATAATTACACGAACCAAGTGGTATGTCAGGACGTGAACCGTCTTGTCTCTGGCCCAATGATCGAATAGATTTCCGAAGGCGTCTAGGTAATGCTGTTCTGAGGTAGGACAATCAAAGAACAGGGTTCCGTAGGTAGAATCGATTAATGTAAGGGCTGTGTCCTGATGGATCTCTTCAAGCTGTGTGGTGATATCTTCGATGAAGGGTCTTTTGGAAGGAGTTTGAACCGTAATCTTTATATGGATCATCTCTGAAGCCACCTTTTGAGATAGAAGAGAACGGGTTTTAAGCCGTAGCTGCGATACTTGCGTGATAAGTGCTAGAGAAAAAAAATATCCGTATATGAGATTGGTATGATCTGCCAAGCAGTTAGGAGTAAGCATCAAGGGCGTTTAAATGCGGGAGATCCTTATGCAACGTATGTGCTTATGCCGCTTACTATCGTTTATTAAATTGGGACCTAGTTAGTCTTTCAGAAATCCACGGCTGCCTTGTCAGTCCTAAGCTGTAGCAGCCTATCTGATTGATTATTGTATGCTTATATATACTCCCAGCTAGACCTCGCCATAACTAGTTAACCTAACCCGCATAGGTTACCCGCGAATAACCTGTTGTTGCATCCACGAGCATATCATTTATCTTTCCTAAATGGGATGAATAATTTGAAAGGTTAGTGGCATTCCATTCTATTGTACTATCACTAATTACCAGAGTTTGCCTTTATAAAATATGGTCTGCGTTATAAGTATTTGAAATCAGTGGTACTTTAACTTTTCCGATTGATTTGCAAGTTTTTAGTGGAAAATAGTGTAAAGAACCGTCTTCCGCATGCTAAATTGCAGCTTTTGATAATCAAGACGGTCCTAGGTTAAAAGCACAAACTGGGACTAGAATTCAGTACTCGAGGCATTCCCACATCGCCGCCCTAAACCGGATATTCATATTACTCGGATCCTTTGGCTTTCTTACCGTATAATGCCACCAATACTCAGATGTCTTATAAAATAATATTATGTAGTCGACGCCTTTGCTTCTTTTACTTTTATCTAATAGACTTTCTAGAATTAATGGGTTGGGCTCGGGTTCAAATTTCTAGAACCCGCCTAGGTATTGGCCTATTGGCCAGTCTAACCAGTAGTTTCATATTCTTTGTAGCCTTGGATATTTCTAATATACTTTCTATAGAACAGGCATGGAAGTAGATACCATGTCATAGAGTAGCTGATATTGGCTTTTTCTACTCTTAAAAAGAATTTATTTAATATCCTTTTTTGGGTGCCGAATGTCTTTATTTGGTTGTTAATGACTGATATTATATCGACTCTGCCTTGTACGCCCCCACCTTCGATAAGCTATGTTAGACAAGGGTTTGTAACTCGTAGGTACTAAGTTAGTAGTAGTACTTTATTATAGCGTTGCATCTGCTAGTTCATAACTGACCAGGTGATTACATGCCTTGTTTATTACCATGTCTTCTCCGTCCAAAATTATCCTTCCTGAGCCAAGGTCTGTATATCGCCATGGCTCGCAGGTCGGTGGCTGTGCAAACTTTGCTTTAAGAGTATAGTGAGGAACATCCCGCCGAGGAAGGCGAAAACGACGGTTGAGGAGATCCAAGGCGAGCTGGATGTTGCATGGTGCTCTGGTCGTTTGAGGTAGGGTTCTCTCCACGAAAGCTTCCTCATCGTGGAGATGTTCATCGGCGGGTCCATGGGCCTTTGGTGATTGGTTTCCACTTCCACGTTGATATGATAGTATGCTAGAGTCTGAATGGAGGTGATGTTTGGACTGATCCTAGCAAGTTCGGACTCCTGCGCTGAAACCAGAAGCGGAGTATCTAGTAGATGTACCCTTAGAACTAGTTCAGCCTAATCTACTAATGTCAAATCTATTTTGTGCAGCAGTGTGGCAGTTACCATGTAGAATAAGCACGTACCAATTCCATTCAAGAATCCTTGGGTTGGCTCGAAATACCACAATGCTGTCCCAGAGCTAGCTAAGTCTAGTGAGAGCCCAAATGCAACGCCACCCACGAATGTGACTGTGCGCGGTGTGAAACGCTTAGCCTAAGCGACAACAAAGGGGGCTCCTATCGCCATTAGAGATACTGGGATTGCGCCGTTGAGATCCATTTCTGCAGGGGCAGCACCGGTGAATGCCGTTCCGGGTTCGCGAACGAGACAATTATATAGAGCCTGATAGACTCCCCAGGCGAAGTTAAGACCGCGGGAAGTTGAGACTATGACGAAGGATGTAGCAACAATGATTACCGATTCCTTTTAATTCGCATTTAGCTTTTGGACGAGATAGGACTTACCCTAGATATCAGAAGACGATGGGATTTTCATGGCAGGCGCTTTCATCCACTAGGGGCTTCCAGGATACGTAAACTCACCATTTTAGGTCCGTTTCTGATTAACCTTGAGGTGTGCTAATACCTATGGCAACTTCGCCCTTCAGGCCCCTGTGAGCTTCGGGTTGTAACTGGCTGAAAGGCTTGATTATCCGGTTGTGCCATGGTGGGGGATAGAGGAAGGGTTATCGGTGCCAGTGATAGAAATTTACAGCGCAGCAGAGAAGAGATCTTTCTATGTCTGATAATTGTGCCCAGGCCATGAATCTCAGGAAAGCCACTATTGAGTCATCGACCATACCCACTGCTTTACCACCAGCCTACGTCCCCGAGGCAATCAAAGGTAACTCTCGGTGGGGATATACGAAGTACGAGACCAATAAAACAACAGCAAGATATGATCTCCAGAATGCCAAGGCGGGGTCTTGTCCTCCTCGTTCAAAGTACAAGCTATAAATATGCGTCATCTTTGACACAAGGCAATGCTGTATCATCCTTCGAATCCATCCGTGGTACCCTCGCACTTCTAACAAGCCAAAGTTTGCAGATATGGAATCCTCAACCAACCCTCTCAAGGACGCGGGAGTCCCCCAGCATATACTCTCTCTTTTAGATCGCCTACATGCCGCATCGATCGAACAGGAAAGTCACCTAGATATCACCGCTTTCGCGCCAGACCAGGTCCATGATGCTACCCGTGAAGCCTTCATCGCGTTAGACCAGGATAAATGCCACTTTGTTTACCAATTAGCCCGTGCCATAAATGCCAAAAACATCGTTGAGGCAGGCACGAGTTTCGGTGTCAGCACCATCTACCTTGGTTTGGCTGTGAGCGCAAACGTGCAAGCCTCTGGTGGAACAGGTACTGTTATTGGAACAGAGCACGAGCCCTCGAAGGCAGAGCAGGCTCGCAAGTACTGGGATGAGGCTGGAGATTTGGTGTTAAAGCACATTGACTTGCGTGTGGGAGATCTGCGGCAAACATTGAAGGACAACATTCCCACCATCGACATGCTCCTTTTGGATAGTGGGTTCCCTCTATATCTTTGAATACGCTATATCAGATACTAATGATCGCTCTAGTATGGGCACCCATGACTCTCCCAGCTCTAAAGCTGATTCAGCCACATCTCCGCCACGGTGCAGTTCTCATCATTGATAACACTATCAGCTCTGCGGGTCGCTATAAGGATCTGTTGGAATATCTGCGCCGGGCAGATAGTGGGTTCCTGAACTTAACTATGCCTTATTCGAAGGGTTTGGAATTATGTGTTTATACACCTCAGTCCTAGATTAGCTCTAGAATGGTTGCATTGTGTATAAAGAAATTAGCACACTATTCTATTCTGTTCGGCTTAACAATCTATCTGATTAGTCCTGTTTTCTGAGACACTTGAGAAACGCGTTGTCCCAAGGTAGATAGCAAATTGAACGCTCGAACATCAATCAAGAGCGAATCTCGATGCTTGTATTTCTACAGCTTTTACCCCCCTTTTGTAGAAATAATCTGTGGGTATTCTTTTCTGTCTTACGGACAGTTTTGCCTTCTTTCATATAGACTCGTGTATTTGAGAATACTATCTTTAAGATACCAAGCGGGTCTAAAATAGCATCCATCGTTGTTCTTAGTTACTTCGACACTTATACAAAGTGCCCAAATGTAATGAGATCTACAGAGGCTGGACTTGAGGCTTGTTTCATAAAGGAAAAACAATGTTTCTGCATAGCAAAAGCATTAGCTCCTTCAAAGACGAGGGAAGGTTGTCATAAGAGTGCAATGGAACAGGAAAATAACTAAGGTACATTGTATATATCAACCACGTAGACCCAGCATAGACAAACGAGTGATCTACACTGGATTACCTCTCAAGTCAGTTTTTGGCATTCTGGAGAGACTTTATCCACTATTCTCGGATTGAAGTTCTTGGCAGTATGGGGGATATCCATTTGATAAAAGTGCCAACTCAGAGATGCTTGTGCGTACTTCAGAGCCTTAGAATAATGCCTAAACAAACCATACTGAACTTGGAGTCGTCCTTCACATCTGTTGCCCGACCGTGAAAAGCAAGGGAGAAAAGTAGAAGACGAATGAGACGACATGACATATCAATGTAGCGAACAAGTATCCCCAGAAGGACAACAGGAACCAACCCCTCACTCTTCACCCGGATTCCCTCCCTCCAAGAATTTGAAGAACGTCAGCCGATTCCCATCGCTATCCTTAATGGTAAACTGTCGAAAGCCCCATTCCATATCTTCAATGTCTTGGGCAATTTGCACCTCTTTGTGACCCTTCAAGTATTGGTAATACTCATCCAATTCGCGGGTCCCTAGTGCAATCATCGCCTCAGACGGTTTGAATTCTTCAGCGGAAACCTTCGAGAAGTAGAAATTTGCCTCGGCCTTTTTGCCAATAAAAACCGAACAAAAGCACAACTCGGACGTGCCATCCTCGGGTTTGACACCGCCGAGCTCGAACCCGAGGATTTCAGTATAGAATCGGACGGTGAGGGAAACTGATGTGGAATGAAACATGGGAATGACCTTCCATGCTGACTTGGCTATCTCGGAAGCCATTTTGTGATTCAGATAATGTGATTAAACTAGGTTCGGTGCGTTCTCGCTATCAGAAGACTAAAAATATCAGTCGCCGCAGCCTGTTCGTATTAGTCAGACAGGGTTGCCTAGTTAGCTACTTCTGTAACCTTGTGACGACTGAAAAGATAGTTGAGGGCTCGGAAGGTGGAAATACGAGGAAGGTGAACCGATTATATTTCGGGTTATTTGGCCTAGGTTAAACTTCTTCCGTTGTGATGCTCACAGATCCTTCAATGTCGGGTACAAGTAACCAGGTTTCAGTATAGAGAATAATGCATATATATTTAGCGTGTACAGAAATGCCTTCCAGTTCTCCATGCTTTTTTCACATTGATTCTATAACCCCTTCACTTTAGTCCCTTTTCCAGGCAAAATTGCTGGTAAATGTTCAGCTCTTTGCGTACGTCTTCACAGGCTCATTTACTTTTACCCTGTTTCTCACTGCGTTCGTTTCAGGCAATTATAGCGTAAACTAATCACTGTATTAGAACAGGGGTGATCGGCTTACGCGAGATTCACGTTAGTGCTCTCGTTCTGAAGATTACAGTTCACCACCTATGCGTATTAGATGCCTTTTCGGCGCCATAGAGACTTCAAATCAGCTGTAAATGCATCTGCAACGACGAAACCCCTCGTCGATATTTCTCGAAGCATCGCATGAACTAACTCTGTTTCTCGAATGGTCGCCACTCTGGCGCCAGCTACTCTCAACGGGAAGAAAAATAAGACAGGCGCCAAATTAGTAGTCTTCAAGGCGACCTCAGTCTTCTCTAGAATTGCATCGACGTGATTCTGAACAATAGTCTGTGAGATTGTAGGCGTGGGCATTTCGTTGAATTGAGAGCGGTAGTCGAAGATGCCGGACAAGTAGATGGAGACCCCGTGATAATAGATTGTTGCGAGAATAGATTGGGGGTTATGTTCGGGTGTACCTCTATTTGCCGACCACTGCTGGAAGTTCGCATACCAATCAAGAAGAGCAGACCGGACGACGAAACCTTCCGCGGCAAGCTCAAACAGGGCCTCATGCAAAAGCATGTTCGGACACTTGGAGTCCGGTTTGAGCAGATCCCATACACTGCGTTTAGTCAATCATACAAGAAGGTATAAACTGCCTATGAGCGCACTTACCGGTGGCTTATTGAGGTGCATTTGATTATCAGATCGAACAGTAGTTCTTTTGGATGCCAGACGATGTTGAGACCCTCGTTCCAAATCCTAGTCATGAGCGATACCCATTCCGGCTGGCAGAGGAAAGAAGGTTCTGGGTATATCAGAGCGCGACAAATTTCAAAGACTCGCACCGTGAGGAATAATGTCCTCCCAGAGCCAGTTACATGAGCTTCCGGGCCACGAAGCTGAAGCATTTTAGATGTGCCGTACAGAAAATGCTTCACCCATCCTTCTCCGCTCGCATCATACATAAGCTAACCGAAAGATTAACTTCGAGCTTCTGATATACTTTCTGCACAAGAGACGTTTGACCTACTTCGAACAGTCCCAATAGAAGTGTAGTCCATAGATTCGCATCTTGTTGGACACTGTTGCTTACAATCTCGGCTTTAAATTCGGCAATTGAGGTGTGGTAGGCCGCCAATGCTCCCACAGCCGCACCTTTCCTCTCTTGAGGTAAAGATAGCATCGACTTCCTGCTCAGATCAAGGGCGCCCAGGGCAATGGATGCTTGATACATGCTGGGGGATTTCTGGGTTTGCGAAATGATAGTGCCGAGGTCTAGGGGGCCACCAAATTCATTTCTTGACAAAAAGTCCGCCAGGAAATGCTTTATAAACAGGGTCGATCGTCCAGCTGGCACCTCGGGGCAAAGCCTAGGTGCTGGCAGACCAGTGGGGAGCGAGAGACATTTAGACCTTTTGGACGGCCCAGAGACATTGACAAAGACTAGGCCAGCCTTTGGCTGAACTGCTGGTGGGACGCATTCCAGTTTTTTCTTTACGCAATATTGACAGGGAGGGCCACCTTCACACTACAAGAGGTTAAAATCAAGTAGTAGAAAAGTGAGTCAGTTTTGGCTTGACGGATTCTTTGGGAGGGGGTTGTTAACCTTGATTCTGCGTCGTGTGCAGGCCGCGCATCTGGTGCGAGCAATCCGTCGGTCAAGTGGTCCCAAAATAGCCATTTTTTAGGTGAATTTCGGAAATGCCTAGTCACTCTTCGTAAACTGTGCAAAGCGGGAGAGGTTTAAGAATCACTGGACGGCGGAGAGGAAATGGCTCAGCTGCCAAGATAATAAGCCTTTCCTAATTTGGCAATATTCGAACGCAGTTCTTGGCGAAGGGATTCAAGTCACTACAGTTGTCAACCAAAAGTGGAGCCAAAGACGAGCATATCACATATCAGACTAGGGAATGTGTGAACGCGCCGAATTATTGCCTTGTTAGGTGGCTTGAAAATGCATCGAGGCGACGTGGCCAACACCAGACCTGACAGACACCAGAGTCCAGGCATTGGCATCCGGAACCCTATATAAGACGAGAGGTTTCCGCCCATTTTCTCTGCAACAACTGTATTTCCCATCTCTGCCTTCTCTCTTTTTTTGCGCCCTGCACCATCTTGCTACGATGTTCAAACTATCTGCAACCCTTCTAATGCTGGCTACTCTCTTTGCCCAGCTTCTCCCAAGCATAAATGCAGTTTCCTTCCCCGCCGCAATAGGCCGGTACAATACCAGCTTCGCAACAACCCAGCTCATCGATTATGATCGTGCAGACCCCTATGCCCCAACACCGCAGCCACGTACCCTGATGATTTCTCTTTTTCATCCCGTCCTTCATGCACCATGTCACCCATTGCTAGCTCCCTACATGGACCCTATCAGCGCCGCATTCGAGGATGAACAATACGCACCGGCTGGTATCCCAGCTGGCGCATTTGGGTCACTTACCCTTCAGACCTGCAAGCATCTTCCTGAGCGGATTTCAGGCTCGGGTCGCCCGGTCAAAGGGTCACAATATCCGCTCATCCTCTTCTCACCTGGCTTGGGCAATACGCGACTTTTGTACAGTGCCATGGCACAAAGGTGTGTTTCCCTTATCTTCTGTTGCTTGCCTATCAGATACGTAAAATGACAGGGTTTCGCTGACTTACACCACCACGCAGGCTCTCCAGCACTGGCTACATCGTTGTAACAGTTGACCACCCCTACGACGCAGGCATCGTAACATTCCCCAACAATGCTACAATCCTTGCCGCAAACATTACGACCGACGTCCAAGTTACAGATAGCCTGAAGGTTCGCACGAGAGATATATCCTTTGTTCTTGATCAGCTCCGCCGGCCATCTATCATATCCAAGCTCATCCCAGGCTTAAAATACGGGTTGGATACCTCTAAAGTGGGCATCTACGGTCACTCCCTTGGCGGTGCTACTGCAGCTGAGGCTATGCTTTCTGATCCCCGTCTTATCGGAGGTATTAATCTGGACGGTACATTTTTCGGCTCTGTTATCCACCGGGGTTTGGATAGACCCTTCATGATTATGGCACACGAAGGGAAGAATTTTACAACTGATGCTACTTGGGGTGCCTTGTGGCCAAATTTGAAGGGTTTCAAAAGAGAATTTATGCTGAATAGGAGCAGACATGGTACGTTTACGGACTTGGCGGTGGCCGCTGGTTTGATTGGTCTGAGAGAGAAATCTCCGACACAGGTGGCCGCGATATTAGGGGACATTGATGGAGGAAGAGCCCATGAGATTATTGCGACTTATGTTAGCAGATTTTTTGACTTTGTTCTAAAGGGGAAGAAAGCCGAGTTACTCGATAGTTCGAGTACGGAGTTCCCTGAGGTGATACCTGGAGAGGCTTAACCCTAGACAAGGTAACTAGTCATCAAACGTTATAATGGCGGCCCATGGCTTGATGATGGAACAGGCAATATTGGCTTTATCCGTCGCCTACAACAACATCTGTGGATTGCCGGCGCTTTTGATATCAATAACGAACCTGAACCTCTAGCCAATAACACCAGCGTTGTATAGCACACTAAAGGTATCCTAGAGTAATACGAGAGGCTCATATATTGCTCAATGCTGCTGCTGCTTCTGTTCATGTTGTGATATTATCGTATATATGATAAGTGGCGTTAAGTAACGTATATTCAATTACAAAGGTGGCTTTCTCGCTATTCTTCTTAGATCCAGTCAATCAGAAAGTAGGCGTCGTGCCTGGGTGTTCCATCAAGTATGATTTTTAATGCGCCTTGATTAAGCCCATTTTAGCCACTAAGGATATGAATTTCGTTTACATATAATTTATATATACCGGCTCTAGGGAATCGACTCTGATATGGGTTGATTATAGTGGGTTTTGTTTCGCTTCGGTCAAAGGCGTTGTCAATCCCAAGAGATAGGTTACGTACATTGTCTGTTTATTCGATTAGGCTGCCGTATCGGGTGATTGATGCCTGGGTGAACTTAGTTACTTTAGCGGAGGAGCCACCTAGTGAACACCAGCTCCATGATTCTCCCATCTAACAAACTCCCCTCTGCATTATAACTACATGAATAATACAGATAGACCAAAGCCCCAATTCAACCGGGATCATAACACCTTATGGCAATCCGAATACCACCACGACATGGTGCTGTGGCACAACCCAGGACTGCTGCAACAGCTCCAGAGCGATATACATAGCGCCGACCCTTGAAGGACATATTCCCACACCAAGTGCCTCTTCAAGCATCTCACCCACATTAAACCCGTCGGGGCAGACTTCTCCCCGGTCATCCTCAGGGCTTTCAATAGGGGCAAAGGCCGGTATCGGTGTTGGTGTGCCTGTAGGGGCGATCGCTATACTTGCTCGCCTTGCATGGCTTTTACTCCGGAAAAGAAAGGCGAAGACGGCTCCAATGAGTGAAATAAGTCTTTCCCACACGCAGGATCAGTCCCAGGGAAATATGTAGGCAACTAAGTTATGAGATGCCAATGAATTCAAGACGCCCAACGCGGGAGGTACATGGAGACATAGCAAGCAGGGATTGAAGCTAGAGTCTACTGCGTAAAATGTTGTGAGCTCTCTTAACGGTTAAGTCAATCACATTGAGACAGGTTAAATAGGAAGACACTCCATAGATTCTAGATCGTAGAGATGACATTATAGCCTATATAAGCTAAAGGGCATAAGTCGTCCTTCGAAACCAATGAAGAGATCCATATGTTCAGGTGAGCATTTACATTAGTTTGATATTCCTGAATTTGGTAATATATCCCTACTTACCTAGATGAGAGTGCTCTGTCAGCTCTGCATCTTTATACATACTCAGACGCTATCACACCCCGGCTAGGAGCAGGCCTAGTAGGGACCTGAAAGCGGAAGAATTCAAACTAATACATTTGTCTCCGCAAAAGATGCCAAGATGGTCGATTGATTTCTCATAGCACCTTAATACCACCATGTGTTTAGTATCATCCCGTCGATAGAGGTATATCTGCGATTCCCGCCTAGCCAGCTTGCACTTCTCAAAATCATACCCATTAATCCAGGCTATCCTGAAAATCTGAAACCACCCAGTGGCCTTGGGTGGCTTTCCACTAGCATCTCCTGACTATACTGCATCATGATGCTCTTAACATAGTTTCCAGCTGCCGCAAAGCGTTATTCGTGCGAGTCAAGCCAATCTTAGTATACTTCTCATCGTCGAACAATGAAACACTGTACCCCACCGATGCTGCTGTCTTGGAAGACAAAGGACCCGTCCACCCCTTCCCGCAATAAAGATCAACGAGGGAAGAAACGAGCCAAAATCCGTACAGACTTGGCCAGTGAGACGCGAAACGCAGATGCACCTCGACAATTCTACCCCCGTATTGTCTCGACATTCAGCATGCCCGTATATCCCGCAATATGGACTCATGGTCCCCGGTCAGTAAGGTAGACCACATGTCGCCCGGGACGAAGCTGCGCCAGTATTCATCCAGGGTGTGTATAACCCGGGCGTCGGCGCCGGGGCCGCCAAGGTTGTAGATTGGCTTGCTGAAGATGAGGAAAAGTACGGCATCTTGCTATGGGTCGGGTAATGTGCGGATTTAAAGAGACAGTGGCTAGCAGAGCGGTAGAGGATCGGCATAGTAGATATCGATCATATATTCTAAAGGATTATACAAAGAAACGACTAGGTTGCCACAGGGAATAGATACTATTCACGGCATAAAAAGTGCTCCTGAAGCGAACTATACTTAGATTAGCTACCGTAAGGCTTTAAAAAAGAATACTGTAAGAGGTTAAGATCGGGAATTTCGATGACTTTATAATTTTAAAGTATAGTTCCAACCGATCTTCAACATTAGAAGTCGCGCTAGTCTAGATCTGATTTCTATACTATAAGACTACGGAATGGTTATCTGCGCCTATCTGCCTGAGATTAAGGCGGATTATTAAGGCCGGTTTCACCACTTTTTGTCCTTCTTCAGCCCAGCTACCAAGATCATGACGCAACTAAATTAGATTGAATAATCTAATATAGTGTACACATCGAGAATTTGGGGGGCAACAAAGGCGGTTAAGTATTTACAACATTATAGAGTTCAGCACGCCTAAATGCTTGACCCTGGTAGGTATCGGTTCACTAAAAAATAGGGCTTATGTAGAGCAAAGAAATATATCAGATATCCCCGCCTGGGCTCTAAAAATACGTCCTGGTACCGAAGAAGGGCGACATATATGGAGTGCAATATGCTGCTAGATTCAACTACACTCCCTTAACCCCACGTTGAACTGAAAAATTATTCGAGCGAAGGTAAGCCCAAGCAACTACCGCAGACAAAGCAGATATACTTCCTCTGAGGAGTCAGTACTTAGTGAACCTCTGCCAGAAAATTCACTACAGTAGCGGCTAAGCCAACAGGAGTCATGAAATACTCACCAACAACGCAGTTCAACACAAAGTAACCAAACGTCTCATTAAGGGCTCCCGCCGAGATGGGACCCACACAGGTCCCCATAGTCCAGGCGACACTAACCATTGCTAGAGCTCGTGCTTTCCCGTATGGGGATACTCTTTCTCCAACTCACTCACCGTCACTTTATATGCAATAATCGGTGTCCATGCTTGCTCTACAGGTAACGGGGAATATTCAACTTACTCATGGCTTCGATTGCGCCGGCGTTATTTAAAAAGGCAAATTCAAACCCGATGAAGATCATAAGCACCACATACATAACTTGTCCTCGCTGACTTGTATTCGCCACGGCGAATTGTTCATTTCCCGGAACCCCCAAAAAAAGTATCAATGGCGTGAGGCCTACGAAAGCAAAAACTGTAGGAAAGCGTGTTCCCACACGATCCTTTAACCATCCGACCAATGGAGCCATCACGATGCGTGGGGCTTGTAGGGCAGCAAACAGCAGACCGGACGGCATACCGCCCGAGTGGAAGACCTCGCGAACATGCAAGGGTAGGGTGGCATTAAAAGCTGTAAGCAAGAGGCCAAATATAAAGCTGGAGTAAACACCACCGACAAAGTTTGGTTTACTGAAGACACACCTGTAAAAGCTTGGTGGAGCCGGTTTGTCTGACATAGTTGTAGAGTCATCGTCCTTGTCTCTAAGAAACGGCACCCGTTCAGAATCCGAGCTCCCATGTGGACAAGAATCGCCCGTGGTAGCTTCTGCATAGTACGACATCAGGACACTGTGTCTAGTTGAACGAGAAGACTTTCAAGGCCTGGGGTGGGACGTACCAGTTTTCATTCGGACGGGGATTCTCCAACATTAATAGACGAAAGGCAATATCGGCAGCAATGACTGCAAATGCACTAGACCAAGCAGCCCAGTAGCTGGCGAGCTGAAACAACACTCCGGACAGCATAGGACCAGCCGAGGTGCCTGCCCCGATTGCCATAGATACAATCGCATAGACCATCCCGATATGTTGAATTTGGACATTCTGTGTGACCGTTGTGAGCCCCGCAACCCACATAATACTACTGGCAAGTGCCTGTATCAATCGACCTAGGAATAAGAAAGATACTGTGATAGACCATCAGCTACTAGTGTCAATGAAATCATAGGAATATTCGTGTGAGCCATACAAGATGGTCCAAGTGCTATAGTTATACTACTCAGTAGTGCAATTACTAGCGCCCATAGTAGCCAGTTGCGCGTAGAGGTGGATTTGTCTGCCAAATGTCCTAACGGAATGCGGACTATTACGCTTACTGCCGCGCTCTCAGCTAAAAGCCAGGAGCTCGCACTCTAAATATAGGAGGGGTCTAAGTTTAACCGACTTTCGATTATATACGGAAGGATTAGAACGATGAAGCTGGTAAGAAACGTGTCTATCGGTAGGCATATGATATAGAACAGTCAGTCAAAGAAACGTCCAGATGTAAGACACAGGATACGTATACCCGTGAAGAGAGCTATGGTCATTGCAGTGACAATGAACCATGGGGAGCGTCGTCAACGATGTCCCCCTACGCGCTCCGGCATTAAGGCAGCCATGTTGCGGTGTTGAGGATGAGTCGGCGCGTTTCTGACTTTGAAATAGAGGTCCTACGCTTCACGGTTATGAATAAGCGCTTATGTGTATTCGGCTTTTTGCGGCTTGACTAGACGTTTGTAACCAAATCTGAGGCGGTGTTTATTGCCTCAGTGGCATGTAGCATTCCACAGAATCAAGGACATGCTGCCTCTGCCTTGACCAGACGTAGCCACGTTTCGTGTACACTGAACAATAAACTACCTTTCTCTGCGTCCGCATTTTCTGATTTATGCTATTATCCTAGGCGCCTGCTTGGATAATATAACATACGATGATTGGGATACTTCATAGAGTGCCTCCCACTCCCAAGAATATAAATATATGATACTTGAATAGCTAGTATATATCTTTTTTAATATCGCGACGCTACCTTTTCTATATTTACGACTTCATCTCTTCCATAATTTAGTCCAGATATTGTACTTCAGTAGGACCTAAATGACTTTTTCAAAATAGGTCACCGTTTGTTGAGGGCTCGATCTGCAATAGGCTGGGTTCAAGTAATTGGGATTAAAATAGTTGAGTTTACTGAGACAGAATTCCATGGTATTCCTGTGCCAGTATCCCACAGGAGCAACAATTTTCCATATCATGCCGAAGAAGAGGGCAAAGGAATCAGCCAATTCTCCAAATCCAACTATATTAAACTCGAGAGGTGTATTCTTGAGGCTCTATATGGAGCTCATTTTCATGAGAATCAAGATTATCTTCCTGCTATCAAGAGCTATCCTCATCACTAACACCTAAACCCGCTTACCGGCGGGACCATCCTACTGACCGGTCCAATCAGGACTGCCAGCCGGACTCCCCAGCCAACATGTATTAAAGCGGCGCTATTCGAGATGTACCTCCGGTAGGCTGTTAGAAATGCGGATACTATTCAATGGATAATGTTCTCATTTATATGGAGCCATCCCTGATGGCTCTGGGTGCTTTGGAAGGCTTATTTATGCGGATGTTATTGCTAATGAAGATGCGTTAATGTTCTAATAGGGAACTAATGCGTAGTACAGTAAGAAGTTCTACCCTAGACTACCTAATACCCACTTCTCTTTTACTGTACAACCTTACTATGGAGGCTTATATTGGTAGAGAAAATGAGCCATAATGAGTCTGTTACAAGATTATCCATTGAACAGGGTGTAACCAGGTAAGAACAACCAGGAGGCCGGATTGTTCATGCACATGTGACCAGGTATGGTGTACAAACTTCGGGCCGAATTGCTATTCAATCGTGATCTTTTTCTTTTCTTTTTGAGATACCATAGATTCGCGGTTGGTATACTGGAGACACTTGAGAAATACATGTATTGGATATGCCGACAGCCATTGCCATCTAGCAATAGGCATGGACAAACGAACCAAGGCACAGAAATGAGGCGCACCCCTAGTCTCGTCATGAACCGCTCAACCAAGGGTGATACGAGGTTAAAGTTGCGTAATACAAAGGAATGTCAATAATATGGACTTGCAGGATGTGTAGTCCTTCTGAGGAATTGATTAGTCCCCGCCTCTCGCTTTTCGATGATGCCTTACAGATTGCTCCACCTCAGCTCCACATTCCTCTCGCAGCAAGGGCTTTCAGCTAGGTTTGACGACAATGAGAAGGCTAAAGCAAATCGCAAAGAATAAAAAATTGCAACGAAGAGTGTCTCGCAAATTAGTCAGCTTATCTCTCATATCCACTCCAGCTGTTGCTTACATTTTTGGTTCCGGCACAATCTATCATGTACTAGTTGACTTCTCGGCTGGCCGTGATGATCACACTGTATCCGAGATTAGGAAGAATATTGCAGATCCCCCACCCCGAACCCTCTTCCATTTGAGCATGAAAGGCTCTGGAGAGATGAGTTTATTCTAACATGTGGTCATTGTAATCGTATTTTGGTACAGGTACAACCCAAAGTCTGAATATTGGCGTAAGAGGGATCTCTAAAGAAGTTGGGCGATGATTTCAACATACATCACGTTTCCCACATCAACTCCGCATATCCCGCAAGACCACAAGGGCCCATACCTGCAGAAGAGAGAAATTCTGATGTGGGAAATAACACAACATTTGTATACATTCGAGGGATAACGTGTTAACGATGTGACATGTATTATTTGAGTCCATTGCTACTGTAAATCCGGTTTGATACAATGTGATGATCCATTCCCCGTTTGTTTATAAGTGGGCTGACCGCTTCATTGCGGGACAAATAAGTGTGACGAGGACTGCATTGAATGAGACTGGTCGCGAACACACAGCAGGACCCCATTCAAAAACTATGCAAGGAGGCTTTTATTTTAGGTCTCAAGTGGGTATAAACCGATTGATCAAAGATATTGAAACAGCAAGTGGTTCCCAGCATCGACCTGGCGCTGGGTGGTCCAAGCACCGCGAGCTACATAAGGATCCCTAGGTCTGCGACTTTTGTCCTGTGTTTCAGTCGTCCATCATTTGCAATTGAAAGTGCCATAATCCCTTGTCAAAGAAGGAAAACAGCCAACCCTACTAATTGTGCAACAAACGCATTTCTATAACTATGACGAAGGCGGATTATTATGGCCCTACCAGTGGCTCCACCGGTAGTTCATACCAAAACGCCTACGCAAATGACCATGTGCTTCTCAAGTTTATTGACCGAGCTTTGAGCCACTTGCCTCCACAATCCCACACTTTAGATGTTGGTTGCGGTACCGGGAATCCATTGGATGTAGCCCTGGAGGCGGCCGGGCATCATGTATCGGGTATTGATCTCTCGCCCACGATGGTGGAGTTAAGCAGAAAGAATGTCCCGGGCGGCACATTTCACACTGCCGACATGAAATCTTACGAGCCTCCGAAAGACACACGCCTAGATGCGGTGTTTAACGTGCGCGCCCTCTTCAACCATACCAGACAGGACATTGAGGAATGTGTTGGGAAGTGGGGAAGGTGGTTACGTCGCGATGGACTTCTATGTATGGTTGTGATTGAAGCGGATGGCATGGATCCAAAGAAGATGCAAGGCGGATTTGACAAAGATGGACGATGTGCGAAGTTCAACAGGCGATTCATGGGACACGAGGAGGTCCATTCATTATTTACTCGCGCCGGATGGAAGCATCTTCTGCGCGAGAATGGGTTCGAGGTTGTGGACGAGCTCGTGGACCTGTTTGTCCCACCAGCATGGGTCGACTCCGATGACATGCCACAATATTGTTTCGTTGCCAGGAAGGTGGAATGAAATTTTTGCGTTCTGTCCTCTTTTTGTTTGCGCCGACGGTATGACTCTCCTTTCAGACTAGGACGGGATATTTCAGATCTTCGAGGACTTCGTTTACTAACAGTCCTATTAGTACTAAATCAAGAACAGAGAAATTCAAGACATCTAGATATTGACACGGTCAGCCACCTTGATTTCCCTGGGCACGTACCCCAACAGCATGATCTAGAACTGTAGCACCTCAACAACCAACCCTTCGATGAGCGCCGGGTATTTAGCAATGAACTCCAGAATCGACCTTCAGTCGCTCTCGCATATGATTAATTCATAATCTATCAAACCATAGGCAATTGGTACCCGAATGTCTCTCATGTTAAATCCCCGCCCTGCTCAAATAGAAATACTAAGATTGGTGCTTATATCACTCCTAGTCAAACCCAGATTTGGTGCTATATATGAAAATGTTTCGTAATTCTGCAACTAATATGTCGCCGTCACTTTATATGATGTGTTGATAGCGGAGTAGTCCTTACCTTCAAGGACGGGCTTTAGAGCTGTGTGTGTTGTCAATCCTATTTGTAGAGCCTAGCAAGCCCTGGTACTGCCAGCAAATATGGTTTTACAGATACATCTAAAGTCTAGACACTATCCATGGTTTAGTATTATATATTCGTGTTTAGTTCACCCTGTCCAGCTGGCCATAGGTTGAAGACCTAGTTAAAATATTATAGAAATGCTCATTCAAACAAGAACAGAAACAACCATAGATATGACAGTGACAATGTAATAACGAGGGCCATGCATGCCGTATGAAAGGGAGCGAAATCCAGTTAAAACTTTCGCGACGGAGTTATGGCTTTCCTGCCTCCTTCTTCCACTGGGTTAAGCCTTAGCACTAAATTGTCAAAAGCACTGTGGTATACGTCTTTTTCACGGGCGTTAATGGCATTAGGGGAGCCTAGCTAGCGCTTACCCACCCTCAGCATAAAATTTGTTATCATTTCTGCGACATTTATTCTCACAGCTTGGAAAGCCCCAAAATAATCCTGGCTAGCTCCTCTGGGGCCGACAATTGCGCGCTATGGCCGCTTTGAATCTTTCTGGTGATCCCCTTTTATCCAGTAGCCTGCACCATCGCGGGTTGCGCCTCGTAGGGCATCCCCAGATCATTAAGTGTGTGGATATTGGCGATGCGATCGCAGAATACCTCAGTATCCCAGCTAGCTTCTGGACATGGACTGCGGAACGAGGTTAATCCCTGACTAAGGGCGGTTTGGCAAGCCGCATCGGCGAGAATAGGGAACACATCGTTGAATAATGGAGGCTTAGGATCATCGCAACGGAGCCAATGTTGGTTACACTTATTCGATTCCTCCCTGCTTGTTCGCCCAATAAGTAGCGTCTTAGCGCAAATCCCCGTCAGAGAAGGGTTTATGCATCTCGCGCTATAAGAAAAGCCGGAGACCTGCCGATGCATGTGTGCCCATCCCCAATGATTTTGCGCATTTGTTTCTAATTCCCACATATTTGTAGACCTACGGCGCAACCTTGATGTAGGTCGGATCATGGATGGGGATACTTCATGGATCTTCTTAGTGTACTCCTAAGTGAAGGGAGACTGGGGCACTTGGACCTCTCTCTCATAATCTTCAAGAGACTTCTATAAATTTTACATTTCCACAGGGATGTGTAGTGGTCAAATCGACTGAAAGGGATTTGTTCCAATACCTTCATACCATTTAGCGACTCAGATCACGTTTATCGGGGCAGATCAGTCGTCTTGAGCCAATTCAAGGGAAGGAATCTAATTCATCAGCAGAAAGCCAATTCAGTATAGCATGTGGCAAAATCAGCTACACCGTTAATAGATACATCTGCCCCTAAGCCCCAATTAGTGATAGAATTGAAGAAGTGCATAGTATTGTTGAACACCAAAGGCAACATCGATAGAATGTTGAATACACTCTACATGCACGGCCGTGTAGGGTCCAACGTATGTACTTCCATTGAGATGAAACAGTAGTAGTATATAGATACCCGGGCTGTCCCTCTGTAAGCGGCATTAGAATGTTTCAGTTCGAGCTCTACATCAATCGGATATTCCCCTCTTCGGATATTCGCTCATCATCTGGCTCTTCCCTGGAATCTTGTTCGGGTACAACATCTTGCTTCGCACTCGAGGAGCCAAAGATAGCCCCATCCCCCCACATTATAGGCTTCAGTACCGCATCTTCATCACCTAGAGGAGGATGGCAAGCGACGCTAGTAGCCAAACTACAGTTCCCGGAAAGCGGCATCTGAGATGGAAATCGCCTAGTCCCCAACCCGAGCCATATAAGGACCGCCGCACCCAAAAATGTGAGGGTAATAACATCACAATCGAAGATACTGCGCAGGTTGAGAGAATCATTTATTCTTCTAGTACCCCGGCTGTCTCATATTGATAGATTTGAACATAGTAGCTTTCGGGCAGAAGTCAGTGTAGTACGGCTGACATGGCCATGACTGGGATACTGAATGAGTAAAGCAAACTCAGGGAGATTGAGGAGTGCTGTTAGCCTACCGGCCAGAATACTCGGAGATATTTTTGCTGGACAGAGTAGCTGATATACTCTGCGCTCATAACTATGCTAGTCAAGATGCTGTTGGCCATATAGTACATTATGGAAAAGATGATCTGCGGGCTATGCGCCAGGAGGACCAGAGGGAGAAAGTCATCTATGCACAAATCATGGAGTATGGTGCCTGTAGTAACTATGGAGAAGTCAAGATCCCGGACTCCAGAGAAAGAAGCCGCCGGTAAATACATACTGAGGCGGTTATTGTACATAGAGTATGTGAAATAGGCACTATATAGAAAACGTGCGAGACACGTTCAGATCACTTTGTCAGCATTCGGCAGCCACTCTAGATAAGGATTCCCTACCACGATATAAACAGAAACCAGATTCGGTAGCCCACTGCATGGAACCACCATCTCCGACGAGCTAGAATTCCAGATACTGCAGGGTGCCTTGTGAAGACTGACTTTTCCTGTTTGCTGTCTACCCAAAATCTACCCGCTGTGGTTCGATCAAGAAATTTTGAGAATGATGCAACAGCGTCGTCGACAATAAATAATATGCTCTTGCGGTGAAGCTGCACACTAAATAGAATGCAAATTTACCTGACAAATTTGCATAGAATGATCGACAGATAGCGGAGCTATACATAACTCTGCAATGTTCCTCGGTCTTCTCACTCAAGCAATGGCCAAATGGACGGACTGAGAAGGCAGCAGCTCGTTATCGTTGGCCGCACAAACTGAATCAGTGTATACATTGAGCTGGGACGCAAAAGAGGGGGCTACCATCTGTGCCTGTATGTATGCCTAGGTGCCATTCACGGTGCTGCTTTGACCATTTACTCCCAGATACCTACCAGGCATGTTGATGTCGTCTGCCAGGTCTGATGGCAAAATAGCCAGGGAGTTAGATCTGCAAGGCTGGAATAATTCTGCTCGGTGAATACAAATGGAGACTGGGGCACAGCTACTACGATCTCATTTGTGCTAAAAGGCCAGCCCTTACTGACCAGTCTCTTGGCGTATTTGAGCCAAATGGTTTTGCCACAGTGTATCATGGGATCGGGGAAACTATCGTCTCCATTGCACATCCAACAGAATGGTTCGAGAATGTCTAGGTTTACCCTTGGTGCATCCGCCTCATATAGGGCTTGGAGGGTTTACCGACAGCAGCAAATAGATTGGCTCTACAAGAGTTGGTTTTGGTTTAACTTAGTTTTAATAGAGAAGTAACAAGTAACTTGTAGGACTTAGTTCGTAATTATGTTTTCATATTCTCTAGGAATAGTTGGTAAACGAAAGAGTCTAGAAACTAGATTGGTAATTCATTTTCAATTCTAGGTAAGATCTGCTGAAACATATATAACTGTACCACGTGCTAGGGGGAAAGAATTCCACTTTTACCAGTGTAGAACCAAAACATTTAAAAATGTTATGAAATCCATCTGGTCTATAATATTACCAGAATTCGAAAGCAGAGTTGGTTCAACCCCCCAACTCAAAGTTTCCGGTATTTAAAGTTTGGATGCAGGATTGGCTGGAGGAGACGTCAAGTAGCCCTTCAACGCAGTGATGGAAGGTGTGAAAAAGTATTCACCACCCCGGTGGATAACCCATCGATCCAGATCAAGGCGGCTCTGGGCTGGGTCCTCGCCACCTGGAAGGCCGATGGAGCGAGGTGGGTGGTGAGATAGCCTTTGGCCCACGATGGCATCGATACCGGGACCATGACCACCAAGGAACTTGGCTTTGCGGTCAGGGAAGTGATGGTTGCTCGCCCAGCCTGTTATGCATCAAGTTGTAAGGGTCAGTGCTGCACCTCAGAATAAAGTGAGACAAGTAGGACCACTTACGAGTGGTTAAGAAATTGAATCCGCTACGGATATCGCTTTGGTAGCAAACAAAGAGGAGGCCACGTTCCTTCGAATCGTCAGACTTCCGAGCTTTCTTTTCTTCTTGCGTAACTTCGTCTCCATAGGCAATTCCACGACGAAGAATAACAGCATGGTCATCATTAAGGTCCTTCCGTGGTCTCATCTTCCGCGTATGTGCTGCAAAGGGGCACCTGTGCTCCTCGATGGGGTGATAGTCAAAATTGTTCGTCCGGTAGAGAGATTCATCATTGTCGTGGTGAGGGTTTAAATCAACCGGGGTTCCTAGTTTTACACATAATCAGCACAAGCAGGATTGGGTTATACAGATGAAGGTGCATACCTTTCTTCCATCTCCCCATCAGGTACGCTGCAAGCTTCTCTTTAGTTGCGGGAGACTCTGGTGTTGACGGGACCTTGTTGGCATTTTCTTCCAAGAACCTTTCCCAGGCTGTCAGCATCTGACCTACCAGGAAATGGATGAATGGGTAGTTATACCTGTCAAACTCAGGAACGAGTTGCTGAAGATCACGGAACACAAGGAAGCTGCCATCCTTTGCCCATTTGGGCTGATCCATCTTGTCTCCATCGTGACCAACAAGTATTAAGCTGAAGTACAACAGAATTGACAGTTAGCCTTCGGAGTTATTTGTTTGGAGTACAAGATATGTTCTCACCCTGGCAAAACAGATCTCGGTTCCTTGTCTCCAGTGGGCTCCAGGTCCACGCCTTTCATCTTTGGCTGACTTATACCGTCTTCGAATCCAAAGCTATAACAAGAGACTTAGCGTTTCCTAGTTGGGCCTTGGAAGGTACCACTCACTGCTCCTTTCCCTTGTCGGGTCGGGTCTTACCCTCTCTAGTCAGGACTATGTCAATGGTAGCACCGCTAGGCGCATGGAGGAAGTGTTCCTTCGCGCGCTTAACCTCGGCCTTCAATTCCCCTTCAAGGCTAGAAGTCACCAGGATTACTCCATCAATCAACCGTTGCTTTTTGCGACCGATGGGCTGGTATTCCTGACGGATCTCCTGAGGGTCATCCCAACCCTCGTTCACAAGGTCGTCATACATGCCCTTCTGGAACAGTCCACCACGAAGCTGGTTCTCACGAAACTCCCTGTACAAGTTCCGGTCCTTCTTGACTGCCTTCTCATCAAAATGAAACTTGCCTAACTACACATTGTTTGTCAGCCATTGTTCCTCATTTGCAATGGATACTTGAGACCCCGACTTACAGCTTCGAGCCCCGTGGAAGAAAAGGAAATGTTGATTCCCGGTAATGCCTTAATCTCACGAATTCTTCCTGCATTGTCGGCTGCCTGTTGCTCTTCGCGAATGATCTTCTTCATCTCACAGGCACGTTCCGCGGTTGTGATGGAGTCGATAAAACTCTTTAAGCGCTCCTTAAACTCCTCCGGTTTTCTGATTTTGAAAAATAGGAAGCTTTCATATCTCTTGGGTAGGCCGGGCCTAGTGATATGGGTCAGTAGATGTGTTATTCGCACATTCAAACGGACGACTCACCAAATGTCACCTTGGACATTCTTTACATCGATTACCGGATTTGGGTCCATTATGGAGATACCTTCACGCCTCAATGTCCGAAGATGTTTCAGGAAGGGCAACAACAAACTTGGTGAGTGTTGCTTGTAAAGTGGGTTCGAGTTTCCTTTAGGAGACGGAGCACTGGAGACCTCCTTTAATACTTCGCCGGGACCTGGCCACCTGATAGGATATAATCGTAAAGACTGCTATCAGCTCAATAACACCGCTCATGCATTACCCAGCCGCACAAGGCCCCCGCGTCTGAGAGATGGGGAATCACGATAGCGGTATCCAAGCAGCGATCACCGTGATATCATTAACTGGACGCGCAACCACTAACTCCCATTACTAATTACCATGACAGCACGCGCTGATCTTTGAAAGGTGGAGGTAAGTCGCCCGAGATATTCGCAATCCTACTGCAAGACCTGGCTGTTTGGTGTGTTACCTGGACTCTCCCCACCTCATAGAGTGTGTGGAGAGCTGAAATCTCTAATCCAGAGGACATGATAGGCGAAACCCACAGGATGCGAATGCCAGAACAACACAGTCTAAGCCCCCCCCCCTCGGCTAAAAATGTTTCCTATAGGCATAGAACTTGATATCCATCTGCTGTGCGGGCCTTCTTGTCGATCTGTGCAACTAGTTGTCTCATGGCGGAGGAATCGCCGTCCACGCCAAGCCCCACGATCTGCCTGTAAGTCTGATCGATATCTCGGAATAGGCGTGTTCATCACCTTTCGGAAACACCTAATGAAGTAAACACTGGAGACAGTGTGGACCAATGGAACGGTTCACCATCGTGGGCAATCATGATCGTCCATCCCGAATACTCGCCTTGGAAATCCGATTTTTAGAATCTCCACCTGGTGAATTGCAGAGATTGATCGATTTTAGTGCCGGAACCCATTGGAATGGGCCTAATCGTCAACCACATTATCTCATTCCGCAGATCTTGATACAAGACCTAAACTTCCGTCGCTAGGTGACATATCCAATTCACACCTAGTACCGAACTCATCCGATCTTGAGCTTAGCAGTAGAATATATACATTGGTTGTTCAGAAAAAAAGGCCCCCACACCATCTATATAGCGCAAAAGCGATCCCAGAAAATTCTCAATACGCGGCTGCCATTCGTTTCCGACGGAATTAAAGTGCGTGAAATCCTGTCACTAAACTGCCGATCGAGTTGGTCATCCCATTGCGCTGGCGTACATTTCTTCAGCTGAGCTGCGGGACCTTGCTTCAGTGGAGATTCTGCAGCATCAAGACCAGCCCTACTATCCAATCAACAAGATTGACAGGTATTTCGGGCCGCTTGGGGGCGCCATGGGCACAGGACGTCAGCGGGCTCCACCATAATTCTGATAGTTCATCTCAACCGAACCATGATCGGCATTGAATCTGCACCAATGAGCCTCGCGCGATTTCACAGTGGCAGCCTTCAAACGCCAGTGAGACACCCCCGAGGGACGCATGCTACACTTGAAAGTCAAGTAAAGACTACCTGTACGCCGAATACGAAAGAGCCTACTGCACCGAATTTAGGCAAACCGCGCCTCGTCCTGAATCTGACAAATTTCGGGATTGCTTCAGCCGAATGAACTGGGGTTTGCGGAGCCACGGTGGACCGAGCTCCACATAGCTTCCAAGTTTGCACATGTTGATCTTGGGTATGGCTTGGACGAAATCTCACCATTGCATAATGGCTCATCGCTAGCGAGCTTTGCAACTGCTGATCAATGCGGGCCATATTCACTTTCCAATCGAAGGGTTTGTGACTGACCCTCGACTCCATCGAGCCCCGTCATTATCTTCAGTCTGGTAGTGGTGGCTCCTCATCTTACGGCTGAGACGCAGTACCATCGGCAATGATGTTTTCCAATCATTTAGGCTCCTCCGAGGCATCGCTGAAAATCACCACCCCCTCAATGATGGCAATGATAGAGGAAAGGTAATCGTTCCTGTACTTATATCTCTTCCTATCCTCTTCATTCAAACCGCGATCTTGGTACAGTCATCCTCTCATTATTTCCTTCCTTCTCTCAGGCTGCCTTCCATCAGTACGGCACGATGAGGGTCCACTGGGCACCAATGTTCCTCGGAACAGCAATCACTGGAGCATTGGCCATAGGCCCGTCTATGCTTAATGCCATGAAGGCCGAACACATTTTCACGGACGATGACGATGACATGTGGGTTCCGTCCTTCGAAGACGAGTCTCCCCCTTATAGTGGCGTTCGAATCGATCGCACCGACTGGGCCGTTATGTGTGACAGCGAGCAAGAAGACTATGAGTGCAAGAACGCCATCGACGGCAAAAATACCACAGCCTGGTATAGCCAGAGCACCCGCTCCCAGGAATATACTATCACGGTCGATCTGGGTCGACCGGACTATCATGTCAGCTCTGTCGTGATCCTCCCGCCAATCGACGAGGGGGTTCAAGGCGTGATCACACAGCACAAGATCTATCTAAGCAGCGATGCTGCTAATTGGAAGGGTCCTGTCGCATATGGCATGTGGCCTGAGGCAAATAGACAGCGTATGTCCGCGTTTGAGCCCACGCCTGCACGGTACGTGAAGCTCATTGCTAGCACCAAGGATACTGAACAGAGCTGGGTTGGTATCTCGGAGCTTAACGTGTATGCGACACCTTATACCATTGCCCAGGACCCTCGCCGAGGCACCTGGGGGCCGACCGTTGACTTCCCCGTTGTTCCGGTCGCCGGAGCCCAGGAGGCATCAGGTAGTATTGTTCTTTGGTCATCGTGGGCCTCTGACCAGTTCCACTCAACACCGGGAGGACAGACTGCCATGTCCCGCTGGGATCCCTTGACCAATACTGTGTCAAAGCGTGTGGTCACCAACACCCAACATGACATGTTCTGCCCTGGTATCTCCATCGATGGCACTGGTATGATGGTAGTCACTGGGGGCAACGATGCATCTGAGACCAGTCTCTATGACGCCAAGACCGACACGTGGGTGAAGGGACCAGAGATGCACCTTCGCCGTGGCTATCAGGCATCGACAACCCTGTCGGATGGACGTGTGTTCGTGATTGGTGGATCCTGGGCAGGTGGCTCTATTGAGGATAAGAACGGCGAGATCTACGACCCGGTAAAGAACGACTGGACCATGCTGCCCGGTGCTGATGTGGTGCCGATGTTGACAAAAGACATGGAGGGTCGTTGGAGAGCCGACAATCACGGTTGGCTCTTTGGCTGGAAGAATGAGAGTGTTTTCCAAGCTGGTCCAAGCAAGAATATGAACTGGTATTTTGTGGAGGGCGATGGAAGCTATATCAAAGCAGGAAAGCGCATGCACGATGATGACTCCATGTCCGGCAATGCAGTCATGTATGATGCCGTGAACGGCAAGATCCTCACCCTCGGAGGCTCTCCAGACTACGACAAGTCGTATGCCACGAACAATGCACACATCATTACTCTAGGAGAACCAGGTGACGAGCCGAAAGTCGAGCTTGCCGCAAAGACTGGTACAATGCACTCCGAGCGCGTCTTCCACACTTCGGTCGTTCTACCTGACGGAACTGTCTTCATCACAGGTGGACAGGATTTCGGTATCGCCTTCAACGAAGAGAACGTGAAGTTCACTCCCGAGTTGTATGACCCCGAGACCGACCGGTTCATTGAGCTGCAGACCAACAACATCATTCGGGTGTACCACACCCTTTCCATTTTACTACCTGATGCCCGGGTTCTCAACGGTGGTGGGGGGCTCTGCGGAAACTGCTCTGCCAACCACTATGACGCCCAGATCTTCACGCCGCCCTATCTCCTGACTGACTCTGGCGAGCCCCGTCCCCGCCCAGAAATTATCTCTGATCTACCCACGGACGTCCAGGTCGGCGAAACTATCACCTTCCAGACCAAGGGTGACATCAAATCTGCTTCTCTGGTTCGTCTGTGCAGCGCCACCCACACCGTCAACACCGACCAGCGCCGTATCCCCTTGGACGTTGCTCGTAGCTCTGGCGCCTTTAACTTTGAGTACAAGGTTAGCGTCCCCGGTAACCCTGGTATTGCCATTCCTGGATACTGGATGTTGTTCGTCATGGACAAGGAAGGTGTGCCTAGCATTGCTAAGATAATCATGGTCACTGTGGGCAAGACCAAGACCCTGGACGCCCCGAAGTCATCCTACATTGAGTCCGTTGAGGAGGACTGTGAGCATAAGTCTACTAAGTCTTATTGGCAGTCGTGGAAGCCGGCGCTGATCAAGCAGATCTCTCGTCGTGGCTGATGTAGGAGGACCAAGTTAAGGTATACATGGAACGGTCAAGGAACTTTCCTAGTTGTGTGGAAATGTCAGTAACATACTATTGTCTATATTAGCGGTATGCCGTTTTCGATGTTTCAGCGGCGTCAAAATCGAAAAGAATTTTCCCGACTCTACTCCTCGCAAGTCGCAAATCGATCCAAGATACATTTTTCTCCTCATAGCAAAGGAGACTGAATTTTTTTGCGATGCAGTGAGATTTCTTGTTATTGTTTTCTTTATGTGTCCTCGTCTAGGCCTACTTCTATACACCTATATGGTTTGTATATTCCGTTATGTAGCGAAACAACTGGGAGCCACCAACTCCTACTATTGGATAGAATGGAAGACTTGGGGAGAGACAGAATGACAATCCTCAAAGATGGAGATGGCGGACGGAGAGAGGGGGTTATACTTCCCGGAGATGTTGTGGTAGCCGTGCCTCACACTAATGGTGTCGTGACAAAAGAAACAGGAATGGTAGCTTCCCTACTTGCCCTCGTACCGTGTATTCTTTTAATGCTGGATAACGCTTCAAAAAGCTGGCGGTATCAACCCAGCGAGACAGGTCCAGCTAGCGTAAACATTAAATTTTACATCCAAAGCCAAAGTAGCGCATCTAAAGTAGCTCAACGGTATAATCCATTAGAGTATCATTACGACAACCTTATCTGGGCTATATTATTAATGTAAAGACATCCTTATAATATACATAGATTACCACACCCGGCAACTAGAACCAGCAGGTAGTTGGCATTGGTTAGTATTGAAACGACTAGTAAGAATCGTTAGGTTTAATCACCCTAGAGCCAAATATCCTAGCCGATGTGAACGCCGGAACCAGCACCGATGCCGACATCAGCGTGGACGGCAGTATCAGCATTGACGTTCCCACCGACGTGGATCCTGAAGGGGTCAGCCTCGGCGACCGCGAAGGCAGAGAGAAGCAAGGTTGTGAGAGCAGTGAGGGTGCATCTAGGTGGTTGGAATAGAGCTGTTTGCTTAGTTAGGTCTGTTATATGTGGCAGTGTATGCAGAAGAAGTTATACTCTTTACAGTGAAATGAGTCACACAAAAGGAGTAAGAGACTAACGAATCACTCTGAAATTGATGATCAGGGATGTGATATAAGGGACGCGATTCGGAAGGTTTCGTGCTTTTATATATCTTTCTATAGATTGGTCTTTAGTCCGAAAAAGCCGAGATTTGATAGTGATGTCCAGGGGTAACGCTGATCTAAGATTTGATGCCGCAGACTGAAGCCTATAATCGCATGATGCCTGGCTCTTGAACAGATAATGGAAGGGATCTTCAATTGGTCGCGGAAGGGAGGGTCGAAAGCTCTACCTTATTTTAAGGAAGCGCTAGATGCTGGTTTGACCTGAATATAGGGTAATCATGGCAACCGACAATGCTTCGTAGATGGCCTCGCTTCGGAAGCTGATGGGCTGTATAGTGGTATTCCCAAATAATGCGACTGATGAATATATATTCTTGCAAATATCATCTGATAGAGCTGGTGTAGGTGCTCATGTGTGGAATTGGTGGTCCAGAGGTCTAAATCTATCATACAGTGATTCTATGGTGTTGAGGTCAGGCCACATGGTTGCCGCCTTAGCTCCCTATAGGCTCTGACACCATCGTTCATGATAAGGCCTAGAATTGGTTGCTCAGATGTATTCGACTCGCTAATCCTAAGAACCAACACCTGGAACTTACCCTAACCATTTATTGGCAATCTCTTTCCTTATCCCGCTTAGTATAGGCTACAATGATCAGTATTCGGAAATATGCCGAGAATTGGCCGTCTAGTAGAGTATTTGGTAGGGTGCTTATAATATTATGTGTATGATATGTCGCCTTGGCAGCTCAACTCCTAAGCGTTTCATCATCTACACACATTCAGATATCATGGAACTTAGAGATAGGAAAGTGTGGCAAAGCCGTACTGTACGTTCTAGTGTATCTCATGGCATATTGTGATCCGGTTTGGCAATGCGATGCCAAATGCTGTTCCTAATACCTTCAATCACGGCCCAGCAATTAAGTATTGCAACATGGTCTATTGTGTTTCAGGAAATTGGTTTTTACGGCCGCTACTGTACGGCGTACGGAGTCTATACGACCCATATCCAACCTTGCCAGGCAAGGATGAGGCATCACGCATCCGTTATCCCCCGTTTGTCATTGACCAGCAAGTGACGAAGGGAGTGTTTCCTTCGAGGACTCCATGTAGCCTTATTTCTACCCTTTATGTATCTTCATTCTAGGAGCCAACCAGCTCCGGTCAGGCTTTCCCCAGAGCGGAGGCCCCATAATTCTTTATCAGCAAGAAGAGAATGGTGGTTTTGTCTGGAGCCATGAGCGACTGGCCCACGGCATTCATCTATCACTATATGCACCACCTCTATATGAACGTTGCCTAATTTCTTCGCCGGATTCCAGTCATATTCAACAACTTGGCATTCTCTTATTCATGGCTCTCTCCGGCCTAACCTCCGAAAACTAAGCGTGTGAAGGTCATCAGCCGTTAGACCTCCGCTCGGAGATGAGATAACAGGCAGCGAGCTACGCCGCCGAACATACCAACTAGCGACCAACCACATCACTCAAGGACTCAAGGACTGTCGGACCAGAAATATCCACCCCGAATAAGTTGTTCTTCTTAGTCACTCAATTCCGCGTTGAATTGTTCTTCGGAGCCCGCGGGTACGGCTAAGCCACTGCGTGTATACTGTGGCGTCTCTCTCTCGGTGCTCGGGGCTTGGCTCTTGCCCTACTTTACAATATAAAGGTTCTTACTTCCTTCTTTTACATGGCACAAATATCAACAAGTCTGTATCAGCAGTGAGAAAGCACACCAAGAATACATCTTTCCAAGGCCGTATTTCTCTTACTATTATCAATGCCATCAACACTCACCCTCCATCGAGTGAGAACCCTTGAAGAACTGGAACCGCTATATCATATCGGAGCCGATGCTTGGCGTGACGATCCCTGCTTCAATTGGTTTTACCCCGGTGGTCGCGAACACCATGACGATCTGCTGGTCCTATGGAGACACCTTCTGCGGAGGGAATTCCTTGATCCGGGAAAGTTTATTCTAGCGGCTATGATACGGGATCCCCAGGATGAAGACGAAGAGGAGGATAAGCCACAGCCGGGTAAAGTAGTTGGGTTTGCAGTTTGGGAGCGGAAGGGAAGTAACGATGCCGCTAGAAGCTGGCAGGGAACTAGTTTTTCGAAAAGTATGCTGTTCACCCCAAGGTCACAGAGGTGTTTGTCTGTATGGGGTTATATGCAGGGATTAATATGATGATATGCATAGGGCTGAAGCGCTTCATCCTCAACTTCAAGATCGCGTATACATTTCGTCTGGCCACCCCGAAACGGTCCCTTTCTTGGTCAAGGCTAAGACAGTTTGAGACGGAACAAAAGGCAGCAAAGGCTAGCCAACCTGCCAATGCATGGTATCTGTCCCTATTGGGTGTTACCCCCAAGGCTCAAGGGAGGGGGGTTGGGAAGAAATTACTTCAGTGGGGAATTGATCGGTCAGAGGAAGAAGGGGTCCCGTCTTCTTTAGAAGCAACCAAGGCAGGGCTTCGTCTTTATGAAAGTATGGGTTTCGAGCGAATCGGATGGGTTTTTTTTGATGATGAGAAGCAGAAGCATACTGTTATGCAGAGGACGAACAAGTTGGGCGGATGGTTGGCTGGGTAGTCGGTTGTTTTGTGCAAGATATCCTTTGTTGTATTCTGGTGTTAATTGTCTTAGCGGCTTTTGTGACTTCTGTTCATGTCCTTGCTAACTTGGCGTTTTTTTTTGTGAAGTCACCCAGCATTGTTCGATAGTGCAGGACAGTGTTGTGCTTGGGGAGTACTGGTCGAAACTGATTGAGCGCGTATCGATTCTACAGAGAGCATGGCAGCTTGATCCAATGATCAGGGGGAGGCCAGACCTCATCTTGAAAATCTGTTTCAGAGTATGAAAGGACGACTGGGTGCACAATGTTTATAAGCAGCGCTACATATACAGGACCTAATTTGCAGTTTACAGAGCATGATCAAGCATGGAACAAGAACCTTTGTCACATTGGGATACAGTAGCTTCACTTTATAGCGACACTCATATTTCAGGTCGTCCGTCTCCAACCTGATGCCCAGGTGTATAATTCTTGTAGCAAGCCTCCTGATACATGGCTTTCTCTTTAAGCTTTGGCACCGCTCGTAAAACGTTGGCGACCTTGCAGAAACCATTCTTTGCATTTTCACATCCGATCACGTCGGAAGTCGGTAGTGGAGCCCCATTCAACACGAAACGGATATAATCGATTTTATGTTTGGCTTTGGATAAGTCGGGGTTCTTATAAAGAGTTCTATCCAAAACCTCTAAACTTGCATCCATAGGGCAGGTCCAAACCTCCGAGACTAAACGTCCTCCGAAGGGGGCCACTTTGTTTAACTCAAAAGTACGAGGAACAGCATGGGCTACCGCTGAGGGCATGCCTTTAGGCCCGTGGTTGAAGTACTGGATGCCTAGAGCAGTGAGGGTACCAATGATGACCTTGTCATGGGTCATGTCCATGTACAGGGGTTGATCCACCGGAAAGGTAGTTGAGTTGTTGTCGTAAGTGGTATTGATACTTGTATCACTGGACTGGATCAACTTACCTTCAAGCCTAGCTGCAAGCTCGAGGATATATCCAATGCCCTGGGCTCGACCCGTAGGAGAGCCGAATGCGGAAGCGCCATAAAGTCGCATATCAAGATTATATGCAAAGTCACGCCACTCTTGCTCGGTGAAAAGTTCACAAAAGGATGAGCTACCTAGCGTAGCATATTCGTACGGGCAGAGGTTCATCATCGCCAGTACGTCCGAGGTTGTTAGATTGAAGTCTTCCGGAAAAAGCTTTGAGAGGCGGGCTAGAGGATGTTTGATCATCCTGGGAATAAATTCCTCAGATGCATGCGTTCTGAATTGTAGTTAGAACACGTTTGACGTTCTGTCTAACAGGCTTGCGTGCCCTTCTTTTAAATCACCTGGGCAGGAATGCTCAGCTGCCAGAGTATTATTGACGCCATCACCCTCTGGTATCACCACTAGCTCGAATGATTTATTGGCATCACTATGTCCAAAGAAACCGGCTTACCTAGTCAGCAAGGCAAGTTTCTTGAGAGATAAAGGGAGTAAGACTAACTCAACCACCACCTCGCGCTCTCTAAAACCCTCTGCTTATTTGTTGTCCTAAAAACCGGCTTTAGCCTTTGAGTTCCGTTCGGATACACATTTAATTCAGGATCCCAGACTGCCATTCCAGGTGGCGCCCGGTACAGCATCCGACCGTATTTTGACCAGGTATCTGCACCGGACAACACTTCCGTTGCAGCACCTGTAGCAAGCAAGATATCCTGACCGAGGATGTACTTCCAATCCTTGAGAAATTCTAGAGCTCCTGCACCGAGAGAAATGTCGTGGTTATAATTGTAAGTCTGTAGCTTCTCACTAAAGCTCCTTATACCGCCTCCATCAAACCAGGGCGACTCTGGATAGCGCTCAGCATGTCTATGCAGGATATGGACCTGCGAAAGCTCACAGCCCCGGGGAACTCCTCTCGGCACTCCAAATCCATCGGCTGGCTTATAAGGACTGAGGTTTGCCCAGCTGCTGGTTAGGTCAAAGGTGGATGAGTATTGAGCTCCTGTTGCGGCGGCAACCGAGGCCAAGGAAGTTGATGAAGGGCCGTCGCGGGTGGCCGCTAGAATGGCAGCCAGCGCAATTTGAGGATTCATTAACTGGACCATCTGGGACTATGGGTTTTGGATTATGATTCATACTGGGTGAGAATTACGGGTGGACAACATCTTGATCGGAGCTAAATTCCGGCAGACGTCATCGCGATACCGTGTCAGCGGAAGTGGCGATAATTAATTCCGAACTATATATGAATGCTTTCGGATGGCCTACTAATATCAGAGAGTATACATTACGAACAAATGATAAGACTTGAATCTTTCATAGGGCTTGGTTTTATGTATCCTTGAAATCGGGCTACTACGATGTCATTCTCATCAAGCGCTTCTGGTTTGACGAGTGAGTGGAAGGGATAGCCTGAAAGAGGATATTAAATTAGAATGACAAGACAAGAACAGCATCATACGCTATCATCGCAGGTACACCTGGCGAAAATTGAGGAACCTTGAGGAAATAGCCTCAGGACTAAGAGTAGGTCGGGATAAGTAAAATAACCTAATCCAAGAGTACGACGACAACATTGATACCAACCAGTGTGAAAGGCCAACCTTACCATTCAATGACTGTCACAAGTAGTGGCTTGCGGACTGGATGAATGGAGGCTATGAGGACAATAACCTTTAATAGCCGCGCATATGAGCCTACTAAAGGCATTAATGCCTGGTATGGATGGCAAGTATTACATCCAACACCCCCAATCGTCCTTCAGCTACCCCATGTCGACGTTTAACGACGACCATTTTGAACCCTTGCAGCTGTTGCATCAGGCAAGCTCGTATTCTATCAAGCATATCGCACGAAATGCACTGGCCCCTCATGTCAACATCACCATTTTCATTAAGACCAACTGCGTGACACGAATCAGTAGTGAGCCATTCTAACGTGTGACACCTTCTTGCTGATACACATCAAAGAGCGAAATGGACGCATCATCACCTGAAGAACTGTGGACAGTGGTAGTAAGGGGACTGCAATTGATTATTTCACAGAGCACATTTTGGGGTGGCCTTCCATAGGTGCTTACTATGGCTACAGGCTTTCAAGGCCCCTGCCCTAGTTATGGTGACATGCAGCATGTTGAGCAACATTCCCTGTACATCCGCAATGCAGCCACAAACAGCTCCATACATAGATCCGAATATTATTGAGACGTAAGCGCGGCCGTTTGCACCCCTATCAATGGCCGCATGACACCCTGTGTATCCCTGCCTTTATACAACAACAAAGCGCTGGTCAGCTTTCAAATTCAAACGCTTATGACGCCAGCCTTCCTGACTACTCTAGAATAATGGATTTCTAATCAGTTGCCTCTTCGTTTTGCAGGCCTTGCCCACTTCTCACTATGTTTCTTCCCGTGCGCAACACATCGGAGATTAGGTGATAGCCTTGAGAAATCATCCCAAAACAATGACAGTTATGTTGATATTCTATACGAGCCAACTCCTAGGCTGGGGCGTCACTGCTGTCCCTGTTACTTTTGCAGTTGTTCTTGTGTTCTGTCTAACAGTCGTGACTACTGACTATATCGATGGCTGGCGCAAGAGAAGAGCTTTTGGTGATATTCCAATTGTAGATGAGGGAAGTAATATGAGTGTCCGTTTGAGGTGGAACAAACCTGAATTCGTCGCCGAAAGAGAGTATGCGAAAGCGTATAAACAGGTGAGAAAGGAAATATATCTATATTACTATTGTGCCTAAGCTGAAACTACTTCGGCTTATTATATGAGCAGTATAGCAAAACAGGCAAACCGTATGTTACCAGAGTTCAGAGCAATGACTATGGAATTGTGCTTCCCCTAAATTCAGCTAAGGAATGGCGTGCGCTACCGCATGATCAACTGAGCTTTGGGCATGGATTGGCAAAGGTACCAACCGCTGTTTCAATCAAGAGTCACTTGTGTTCTGATTAGAAGCATATAGATGGCCGATATGTGCATGCATTTGAATGTAACAGATCGAACTCCCGTTCAGGCACTCCATCTTTGCAATAACGCTCGCTCGCTAGGTATGCTATAGCAACCGCCAGAATTGCAAAGGTAGATTATGTTGACTTTGGTTGACCCTAAACCTCTACAGGCCGCTTCAACGACCTTGTTGCCAGTGCAACAGATAGAGTTCTGCCTTTGACCTTCGGCCCGGCTACAGAGCAGAGTACGCTAAGACTCGGGACTGACTAACAGCATCATTTTGCTGACGATATGGATTAGAGTTTAAGGAATTAAATGTATACAAAGTGATTTTATCTTTGTGCTCTGCGGTAGCGATGTCTATACTCCTCGGTCCGGATTTCTGCATGGATGCGCCGCTCATACAAACGACACAAATGTACCATGATAGTATAATGCCAAGCTGCTATGAGAGGACTGGCTATCCTCAGATACTACGACCATTTGTGTGGCGCTTCTCTCCTATCTGCCGTGCTTTGAGGTCCCGTCTCTCAGCGTTGAAAATGAAGTTGATCCCGGAGGTTAAGCACCGTATCGAGTTGGTGCGGTTAGGAAGAGGTGGGGTAGAACGAGACAGTACGCAGTCACTTCTGGATGCCCTTATTGAAACAGCGTTTGAGAAAGGCAGTTTAAGTCGAAGTGAGCAAAGCACAGATGACGGAGCTCAGGTGGGCTTAATCGTAGAACAGGTTATCATGTTCCACTTTGAACTTTGCCAGCCCATTTCATTTTTTCTTTGCTCTATGTTGTATGTTGTTATGGATCATAAAGAGTACGTGGTCCCTCTACGAGAGGAGGCTAGCCAGACGTTGAGAACTTCTGGTGGCCACTGGTCTCTCGATTGTCTAAAGAACGCCCCTAAGTTGGAAAGCTTTGCTCGGGAGACATTCCGCTTGTACGATATCTCAGCCTGTCAGTTTCCCCTCTCCTTTGCTGGACTTTGCTGCACTTAACTTAACCACTGACCTGGATGCCACTACCCCTCTAGTAACCAGCTTCCGCCGCGTTATGAAGCCAGTGCATCTGAAGTCAATCAGTATGTTCCTGAAGCCTGGCACTTTAGTCTTGTCTCCCTGTCGGGATGTTCACCTGGATCCTGATCACTATGACAATCCGACTATATTTGATGGTTATCGCTTCTACGATGCCATTCGAGAATCCTGCAATCCGCATATGACCACCACTTCCCTGACATTCCTCTCATTCTCCCACGGATCAACTGCGTGCCCGGCACGGGTTATCGCTAGTCAGATGTCACGGACTTTATTCATGAAGATTCTCTTGAAGTATGATATGGAGCTTACACATGAGAAGATGCCAGCGTATGGCTTCACTCATGGGCCAGTATATGTTCCCAATCTTTCAATTATGATGCGTGTGAAACCCCGTTCAAATGACGCTTAGCTATAGTGGAAGAGATCAGACCCTCCGTCTTTGTTTGTATTGGGACATTGTTGTTGTTCTATTGGTGATTCAGGTCAGCAAGCGAAGAAGTCTCCATCTATATATTGACTGGGGAATATGATGTATGGGAAGGTATTTGCTATCATATTCCAATGTGTATCGCACTCTTCCTATCCTCTATAAGCGCAATACTGCCCCTATCTGTCATCCCAAGGGCTTAGTTTTTTTTTGAAAAATAAATACATTATTCATCTATTGCTAATAATGTAAAGCAGAATGTAAGATATTATTTACGTAGATATCGCGGTGGAAGTCACGCTTGCCTCCTTTCAGATTCCGTGTTGGCTTCCCCGGCTTGATCATTCTGAGGTCTAGAACATGTCTCGCTATTGTAGCCCTAAAACGATGACCCATATAACTTTGCGCTCGAGCATATGCAAAATGCACAGGGATTATAGTACCACAACAGACGTTTACGTATGATTGTGTCACCACCCGATAATCGAGGTTTTTGCACAGATAAAGCATCTCCATGGATGTCAGCCGGGGAACTTGAGTTTTCATTCTGTTGGTCCAAACGTTCATTCACCCTCTACTGCTTCAAGTCTGTTTCTCTATACCTAAATCAGCTCTGAGTTAAGCAGATTCCCAATCAACATGAGTAAAACACAACCTGCTCCATATCAGCTCCACGACAAGAACTTTGCCGATATGTACGAGAGAAGTGGCAAGATCACAGATTTATTTGCTCAGGACCTGATCGCTCAGTCCGGTATAGTCCAATCAAGTGAGCTGGATCTGATTATCTTCGACAATGCTTGTGGGACAGGTGCTGTATCGAGTGTCCTCCATAGTGCTCTTCCCACAGGACGGAGAAGTACCTGGCAGTTGACCTGTGGCGATGTATCAGAGGACATGCTCGAATATACTCGTCGGAGGATGAACAAAGAAGGATGGCATAATGCCGAAGTGAAAGTTGTGGATGCGCAGGATACTAAACTTCCAAGTGCATATTACACCCATGTCTTCTCAGCCTTTGGTAAGTAAAAGAATACAATACGAGTAGGAGATGGTGGCATACTATATGGAGATGCTAACGAACAACATATACCAGCTTTCAATCTCTTTCCGCATGACAAATCTGCAATGAAAGGTATCTTGTCACCCATACTAGTTAACAAGTCAAAAGCATCACCCCGCTGACCATCTATCTTATGCTAGAATGTGTCAGAATCCTGCGACCAGGAGGCATCCTGGCTTTGTCTACGTGGAAGAGCAGTATGCTAGCCATTTTATCGTCTCTACCTCTTGAGCTTATAGCCGGATGCTGATCGTGGATAATGAACTTTAGACGTATGGACAGACACCATCGTAGCTGGAATTGCAGCTCTGTCAGGAAATATTCCAATCATATCGCAGGAACAACTCTACGGACTGTACAACACAGGTTGGGATGATGAGTCACATGTGCGCTCTGAATTAGAGAAATCGGGGTTCACAGATATCAAGGTTAAGATAGTCCAAAGGCGTTATCTAGTCCCCCTGAACGTATTCGTCAAGGAATGCACCATCTTAATCCCCACAGTTGTCAATACCTTCTGGACTCAGGAGCAGCGAGATCAGTATGAGCAAGAGCTGCTATTGGCCATACTTCGATATTCCGAGGCGAAATATGGTAACGAGGCTCCTGTGGAAGCTGAGGCGATCATTGCTACGGGCCGTAAGCCTTGGTAGGTTTCTGGAGGAAATTCATGGACAACCTGAATTCGTTTGACATTAGTATTGGTCGTCTTATTTGTTTCTGTTATGCTACCAGATATGGTGACTCAAGTATTAACACGGGGGTTAGTATAGTTGGTGTTCATGGCCTTCTCAATCAATCTATATTGTTATGTTATATCGTTCGTGGCCAGATTGATTGCATGAGACGTGTCAGACCAACAAAAAATGCATTGTATCTGCTATATGGTTGGCAACTTGAATCACTTCAGTACCGCCTCAAGAAGGCCGTGGCAGTTTCCTGGGATTTGGTACACCTTCTGAAGCTTAAGTCCGGCCATATCCACAACTGTTTCCCATTCTTTCAACGTTCTTTGCTTGGCACCAAGGTTCATCATGATCAAGTCCATCCACCCTTCTTCAATACCTGGTTTCTCCTCAGGAACGATAATTTCCTCAATAAGAAGACGGGACTTCTTTGGCTCCATCGCCGCGGCGACGTTGCTAAGAATTTGAATCACACTACCTTGGGGCCAGTTGTGAAGGCAGCGACGCACCAGATAGGTAAGAGCTCCTAATGCGAGATGTCTAGTTAGTTCAGTGACACTCAAGGGTATTAATAATATCAAAATATAGGCTTTGCCATAGTCCCTTACCTCGGAGAGGTTGCTCTGTGAAGAAATCGTATGCCATCTTCTCCACTCCTTCATCTAATGTACCCGCGCTCTGGACCACATGAGCCTGATCTTGAAGGACACATCTGCCAGGAAGGCTACCACAGTGGGATCGAATGCGACAAATTGCTGTCCCTTTACCTCCACCGATATCGACCGCAAGCACAGTGGCAAGAGTAGGATGTAGCTCGGACAGAATCATCCAAGGAAAGAGATCAATCATCCACAACTCGGTTACGGCCTGCACTCTCATGGCGTCATTAAAAGAAGCCATTCTCCACGGTCGTTCAGAGAGGTGTGCAAACATACTCTTTCCATTTGTGTCATGTGCATACGCGTACGGATTATCGGTAGAGGATGATGGCTCTCTCCATGAATTGCGCTTGAGATATTCGTGCATCTTGAGATGGGCCGGCATATGATCGTCCATTCTAAAGCGGCATATCAATTTAGTCAGAGGTAAAGTAGCAAACAAGAGAAATCTTACGCAAATCGAAACATTCCTCGCACCTCCGGTCTCAGGTACACCTCGGAGAATGGAGTATGTCTGTATTGGCCCGGTCCAGTCTCTTCAAAGGGTCCATAAAGAGAAGAGTTCCTCAGCAGCCGTGCTAGATAGCAGGTTAGTGAGCTAACCACACGTGTTATATTACGACACTTTGCTGACCAAGTAGAGTCTTGTCGACATTTAATTCTTCCGCGAGTTGATTCGTAGTCCGGGACGCTCCCCCAGCCGGGATCCTCTCGAATACCCCCATCTCCAACAATGCGCGGACACTAGCTACATGGGCTGTCTGAAAGTATATGTTAGCCATATGGATAATCTCGAAAGGGTGATATGCAGCTAACCTACCCGTTCATAGCAAGTGGTTGCTACCTCTATGGGACCCTGGGCCTTCTGGAGAAACTTGAGAGCCTCTAGGACGAGATTGTCACGCGCAGTTTTGTCTGTGCTACGACTTTCTATGGTATCATCATTGCTAGCAAGAAGAGTTGACCGACATTGGCTCACAGTAGCATTGAGGCTCTCTAGGGCTAGCTCGATTGATCGAACATACTGGTCTCTGTCTTCGGTAAGTGTCATTGTGATGGTGAGACCTTCAGCTTGGTAAGGGTCAATTTCGCTCACAGTGAAGCTAGTATCTTGGGTACTGGCGAATAAGGCCAAGATGACTTAAATAAGCAAGAACAATTGGGTTCTAACGTCTTTTTGTCTGGGCTTTCCCACGATGCTTGTCATCCAGCTGAGTAGAACATTCAAGGCAACAGCTCGGATCTAGTATGCTAGATCAATTTGAAATATACAGGATTATCTTTGGATTATGCTTGCAATATATGCATTGACTGCAAGTCATGTATGCAATCTCGTTAGCTGAAGATCACTACCTCGGTCCGTTTCTCAATTCATGTCGGCGATTGACCCTTATCTGCTCTATGAGATGAAGGGTCTGGGCCCTGCATATCATGCAGGCATCACACGCCTACCGGATTTGTTTCGGATCGCAAAAAATAACAATGCCCAATGGGCGTTATATAACAGAGTCAATACTTTCTTTTCAGACTGCTTACACTTGTTCCGCCAGTAGAAAGGTAGATTCAATAGTTGCACATATATTCCGGTCACCGAAGGTTGACTTTCCAATACCACCGCAGCAACACTATGGGGTTTGCATGATGTCAGATTCGTTATAGTGCAATTATATCACAATGTATCGAATCCTCGCTCCCTCCTACTTGAGAGTCACCCGTTAGTACAGGGGCTAATTGTTCCCATAGAACGCTTATGACAACAAATAGAACATCTTCCTTGAATTCCGCCTATGAGCAACCTACTATCTGACAGTAAGCTTGGAAAACCTCCCATCGCAATCGCAATTCCCAATCATATCTAAACCGTATGAGTACAATCATGCTTATTCATAGTTTTACAGGTCCTCAACTCGTGACAGCGCAGATTACAGCTAGCACAAATCCCCAAGCAGAGCCTGTCTCGGGATGTGTAGGATAAACGCAACAATAGATATTGTGGGATACTCAAGCTCGCCCGATAGATATCCTTGGGTGGTCAGTGTTTCACTAGAAGCGAGAAGCGGTACACAGATCAATAGCAACAGGGTAATTGAAGCCATGGAGCTTATCATTACACGTCGTTAACTTTTGGGCGTTTTTAATCTTCATGAATACTTTCCTACGGTGTAGGCATGACGTGAGATGTGGACAAATGTAACCCAGAAACACCTTTCGAATTCGAAGCTTTTTGAAAAGGGAGGGAGGACTGTGCACATGGACCCCTAATCTGACACCATGGGTTCTATTGTCCCGGATAAGTGCATCTTGTAAGATGATATATTACAAAGGTAGAATGGACCATGATGGTTACCTTTGTTTTATTCTCTAAGCTGGAGATCAATACCTCTTCACATCGATTCACCATCAAACTGCTTGTTACACACAATATGAAGACCTTTTACTTCAGCAACAAATTTCCCTCAGATGACCTCTCAGATCTATTCCGACGCCTGAGGTTACAGTCTAAATCCCCAAAGCATGTCATTCTGGGGCGAGTAGTGGAAGAGGCAACAGCGCTCGTGCGAGACGAGATCACTCGGCTTCCGGCTGAGTTGAGGTCCCTCTTGCCCCCTTTTCAATCCATTCTTGACCTTGCGGAGAACTTTAACTGGCACCAAGGGCCTCTGTCAGGGACATTTGAATGTGTATTTTTGGTTCTTGTACCACTATGCCTTTTTGTCGGGTGAGTAGATCTCTGAATGCAGGGCGGCTGGAACAAGACATTATGGGGTAGTATTAATCCGGACCAGGCATTATGAGAGTCAGCCCCATGCGTTCATCTTTCACCGTGATACATCATTGTTCACTGGACTTGGATTGGGATTCTTAGCTGCTACAGCGATTGTTGCATCTCCCTCGCTATGTGATGTACCGTCCACGGCGGCGGAAGTGATCCGCATCGCAATGAGAACAGGCCTTTTGCTATATCATAGGTCCCAGGATCTCGAACCACAGGCATTGGATAGTCCGCTTGAGAGTTGGGCTACGGTTGTCAAAGGTATGGACGAGGTGGCTGTAAGAGAAGAGCTTGATATGTATAACACAACCATGGTAGGATGACCCAGGATGAGAGCAGGATCGAAACTAACCATCATACAGGGCATTCCACAACCAAGCTCAATTTACATCAGTGTCGTGGAACCAGATGGCAGTATATTCATAAACGCTCCACCATCCAAGCTTCGCAGATTCTTCAACACGACTGGGCCAGTGCAGTCGGCACCGCATGCTCCATTACCGGTTTATGGAGGACCCTGCCACGCACCGCACTTGTACGGCCACAGCCACAGCTCATGGGTTGTTGAGAAATGCCGTGCACAGATTGCCTCCCGTGATTTATCGAATGCCGCCTCTCTTCTCTCAATGGGGGATGGCAGGCCTCTGGAATATGTTACAGTATTGGAACTCTTCGAGTCTGCTACATATGTTCTACTAACAAGCACCATTCGCTGGGGGAATGTATTGGATACTATAAGGCGGTCCACAGTATGGGAGAAGGATAGAGAACTGCACCTTGAGGTGTTTAGGCCTTCTCCTGTCGTAGAGGGCCTATTATCTGCAGTTCAAGGCGATGAACCCGATTGCACTGTCTATGTCGTGGATCTTGTAGAGTGGATCTTCAATGACACCTGCATTGGATCACATAATATTGCCGAAAGGATTGCCGTAGTTGGCATGTCCTGCCGATTGCCTGGTGGAGCTAACGATTTGGAGTTATTCTGGGACATGCTTATGGAAGGCCGTGACGTCCATAAGAAAGTCCCACCAGACCGATACGACGTGGACAGCCACACGGATATCACAGGGAAGAGCCCAAATACGAGCCACACCCCCTTTGGTTGCTTTGTAGACAGCCCAGGGCTTTTCGATGCCGGCTTCTTCGACATGTCGCCCCGTGAGGCAGGTCAAACGGATCCCACACATCGTCTTGCGCTTCTTACCGCCTTTGAAGCTCTTGAACAGTCCGGTTATGTCCCTGATCGCACTCGCTCTACTACACGAGAGAGAATAAGTACAATCTATGGCCAGTGCTCCGATGACTACCGTGAATGCAACGCAGGGCAGGAAATCGACATGTACTTCATTCCGGGCAATTATCGTGCTTTTGCTCCGGGTCGGATAAGTTATTTCTTTAAATTTTCTGGGCCGAGCTTTAATGTCGACACTGCGTGCTCTGCGAGCTTAGCTGCTATCCAGATAGCTTGCTCGGTGTTGTCGCGCGGTGAAGCAGACATGGTGGTCGCTGGGGGGCTGAACATCTTAACTGGGTCGGATAGTTTTGCAGGTCTCAGCAAGGGGTTCTTTTTATCGAAAACGGGAAACTGCCGGGTGTTTGATAATGCTGCAGATGGTTACTGTCGGGGAGACGGAATAGGGTCCATTATACTGAAACGATTGTCCGATGCCCAACAAGACAATGACCATATTTTCGGCGTGATTCTGGGCAGTGCGACTAATCACTCTTCGAATGCAATATCACTTACGCATCCACACGCTCCTACACAAGCGAATCTCTTTCATTCGGTCTTGAGGGAGGCTGGTGTCCGCCCACAAGACGTAGATATGGTTGAAATGCATGGCACCGGCACTCAGGCAGGCGACGCGGCAGAGATGGAATCTGTTACGAAGGTCTTCAGCCCATATATGCCTCGGCGGCCATACCCGTTGTACATCTCGTCTGTCAAAGCCAACCTAGGCCATGGGGAGGCGGCAGCTGGCATCACTGCACTCATTAAGGCGCTTTTGATATTTAAGCAAAATACGATTCCTCCACAGGTTGCCTTCAAAACAGTCATGAATTCCAAGTTCCCAGATCTCAAGAAGCTGAATGTGCATATCCCCATGGAAAGCGTTCCCTGGCCCCGCCGGCCGGATCGCAAACGATATGTCATGGTCAACAATTTCAGTGCAGCGGGAGGAAACACCAGTCTTCTACTAGAAGAGCCTCCCGTTACTCCAGATTCTAAGGGATGTCCTCAGACGACATTCGTGGTCGCTGTGTCAGCTAAGGGCACAGATTCTCTCAGGGGGAATCTTGGCAGACTTATTGCTTGGATTAAGTGCGAACGCTTGGTGGATATTGCAAGTCTGGCCTACACTACCACTGCCCGTCGCATGCATCACAAGTACCGCATTGCCGTTCACTGCTCCTCAACTCAGGAGGTAATCGAATCGCTAGAACAACGCTTGACCACGATAGAGGCCCAGCACATGATTAAGAAGTCACCATCAATTGGGTTTGTTTTCTCTGGTCAAGGTAGCTTCTATCAGGGCATTGGCCGTCAACTGTTCGAGGAGTATCCCCCTTATCGCAATGAGATTTGCCGACTGGACGAGATCTGTATATTCCATGGCTTTAACTCAATTCTTCCCATGATCACCAGCCAGAGGTCAGACGTGCTGGATGTCACCCCTCTCATGACACAACTAGTGTCAGTATGCGTGCAAATCGCCTTGTGCCGCTTATGGAGAGCGCTTGGCGTAACCCCGGACGTTGTTGTGGGAGCCAGTCTAGGCGAATATGCCGCGCTCTATTCTGCTGGAGCGTTATCAGCAAGTGATGTGATCTATCTTGTTGGTCAGCGTGCCTTACTCATGCAAAATATGTGTACTATGAACAGCCATGCCATGTTGGCTGTCAAGGCGACTGTTGATGAAATTCGACACGCTGTTCAGAGCAACATATATGAGTTCGCTTGTATAAATGGGCCTCGCGATGTCACTCTCGCTGCATCTGTCCAAGACATCAATGACATCCAACAGATGTTGGGGTCGCATGGATATCGTGCTGTCAAGTTGAATGTTCCCTTTGCATTTCACTCTTGTCAAATCGAACCCATCTTGAATCTTTATGACAATATCACTCAGTCGGTCACCCCCCGGGATTTCAAGGTACCCCTAATTTCACCGCTCCTGGGTGCCGTTATCTTTGACGGCATGGCATTACCATCTTCGTATCTTCGTGATAGCACGAGAGGGACTGTCCGATTTGCCGATGCGATTGTAAAAGCTCAAGAGATTGGGATTGTGGACTCCAAGACAGCCTGGGTGGAAATCGGCGTCCATCAAAATTACTCCAGTGCTATGAGGGCGAACATCCCGAATCTCGAAGTAATGGTACCAAGCTTAAGGTCCGATGAATGCAACTGGCATACGTTGGCCGTCAGCATGTCTATTTTACACGAATCGGGGGTCCCCCTTAACTGGAACGCGTGGTATCGGCCTTTTGAGTCGGAGCTACGCCTGCTAAGCCTACCCTCGTATCACTGGAATTTAAAGAATCATTGGATCCAGCATAACGGAGATTGGCTACTGGCGAAAGACAAAATGGGGGCGACTAGAAGTAAAAGCCTCCCATATCCTGCTCCAGCACCCTTTCGCACCGCTCTGGTGCATCAAGTCATTGAGGAATCATTCTGGCAGGACGGCGGGTCGATCGTTTTCCAGTCTGATGTGATGAACAGTGATTTCTATGCCGTTGCTGCCGGGCACAGGATGAGTGGGCGTCCACTCATATCGGTGGTTAGTTGATTTGATCACTGACTTGGAAGTCCTAATACTGACACTTATTCACAGTTGGCTTACACTGACATCGCCCTAACTTTGGCGAAATATATGTATTCTCGACTCAACCCTGGATCACGACTACCGGCGATGGACTTTGGTCAAGTACGGGTTTTCCAGGGTTTGATTCCGCGAAAGGATCGATCCAAACCCCAATATGTCCGAATGCGCATGCAAGCAGACAAGCGCGCCGTGATGCCGCTGTCACTGCATCGAGTTCTGGATGGGAACATCATCGAGGAGGATTTAGCCACAGGAGTCATAATATGTGGAGACCCTCAAGCATGGCTAGAAGAATGGGCCGCTTACTCCCACCTACTGACAAGCCGGATTGAGACGCTGCATCAACTAGCAGATCAAGGGAAAGCCAGCCGCGTATCGAAAGATCTAGTGTACACCCTTTTCAAGAATGTAGTTGACTACGCTGAGCAGTACCGTGCCATTCAATCTGTGGTCATGTACGGCCTGGAAGCAGTCGCGGACGTGATTCTGGCTCCCAGCAACGATGGCCAATGGACGGCACCCCCTCATCATATCGACCCGATTACACATGTCGGGGGTCTCGTCCTGAATGCTGGACCAGCCACTGATCACACGAATACCATCTTTGTCATGGAAGGGTGGGAATCCATGCGATTTGCCACTCCTTTGGTGGCGGGGCAGCTATATCGCTCGTACGTCAAGATGAACCCTGCTAAAGACAACTCTGGGTTCTTTACAGGCGATGTTTATGTACTACAGGGGGATTGTGTAGTCGCAAAGGTTCGTGACATGACGCTTCGTTCACTGCCCCGTATTCTTATGAGCCGGTTTTTTGACCCGCCGGACGGTCTGTATGGGCAAGGGGCTCAACAGGAGTCTTCTTCCACCGTCGCATCGGGGTCAGGGCGCATAAGTGCAACAACCAATACAGAATCCACACCGTCCCAGCAAGGTGACTCAGAGAGCGCGTTGCTCATTTCTCCAGACAGCGAGGTGAAGCCTCCAGAGATATTACCCGAGGCGAAGGGTAAAAGCAATCTTGTCCGTGACGCTGTAACCCTTATTGCGTCTGAAACTGGGGTTGAGCTGGACAGTCTGACAGACGAGACAGAATTTTCGGCTCTCGGAATAGATTCCCTTCTATCACTGGTACTGGCGGAGAAGTTTGGAATTGAATTGAACTTTGAGATACAAGGATCTTTCTTCCTTGAATGTCAAAAGATCGGTGATCTCAAGGCATATCTTATGGCCTAGTAAGAAGCATATATCATCCTATTTTACGAAATGGCAATGAGTATTATGAAGGGTATTCTAGTCTCATTTTCTAGTAGTGAATGGGATAATAGTATAGTTGTTCAAGCACACCTTGCTAAATATGTTATATGAGGCTTTCCCTGCGTTATAGATGTACCGCATACAAATGCGAGCGCCTCCTTTCAATGGTTACTTTCCTAAGCTTCTGGCCCTAAGCTTCTGGCCGTGAACTGCCTGTCATTGCAACCAAGCCAACCGGACAGACGACACCTCTGCGGATCTAATTAAATTACGCCTCTTTTGTATCTTGCAAGTGTTTGTGGTATATGTGTTATGGTTAAACACCTCTCCTCAGTCTTTAGATATCTTCTCTTACGACACTAGACCATCCCTTTTCAGTCTTTAACTACCCTTCACCATTCTACGCTTTGTTTGTTTTCTCTGTTAGAAAATATGAAGGCTCTCCAGGCGAACGAGCCTTTCAAGGAAAAATGAGCGGGAGATGAAGTTCTTATACGCCAAATACTCCGTCGAGCAGGCTTGTGCCTTGTCTATTGCGGCAAATGGAAAAATTGATACCACACCCTTGAAAACCTGGCACAACTTGATGAACACAGGCAAGTCCAGACCGAAGACAGAGGTCCAACAATCAAAACCACATGGTCATGCATATAATCAGAAGGTCAGGCTTCCTGGCATACGCTAGCGGCCAAAACCTCGCTGCACAAATTTCAGGGAAATCACTATTTGCGAGATCCTTCGGAAGAATCCATACCCCAACATCGCATGTTATTATGGCCATGAAGCTCGTGGTGGGGTCTCTAGTCTGTGCTTTAATTGTTACATATAGGCATTACATAAAAAATGAAAAGTCGATATTTGAACAAGCGTCACTGCCGGGATAGCGAGCGGGAGCACCTTTATAATGATGTCAGAGCATGTCCAGAAGGGATTTTACATGACATCGAACACTTTCATTCGTTTTGTCTTGTAGATATTGGATTTGAAGAGCATGGCCGGCCAACTTATGAAGATGAATATACAGATCGCATTGAGGATCCCAGCTGGGAAAGTGTGCGACCGAGACAAATCTATTGCAAGGGTATATGTCAAAGACTACGAGGATATTGAGGGCGAGCATGGCGAAAGTTCAAAGAAAGACAAGGAAGAGGCAAAATGGACAGACAGACAAACGATAACGTGCGGGTAATCGAGAAAAAGCAGAATAAGTATTAAAGTATCCGGAGGTTTTGTTGAAAAATGTCATTTAGGAACCATGGGATCAGACTATTCAATATCGGCATCCTTACTATATTTAGCTAGGTAGTCGTGCTGGAAGGTCATCAAACAGATGGTAAATAGTTCAAGGATACAGGTGAGATTTGGTGTCAGGGGCCCACTGTCATTCATTCTAGTATACAAAATATAAGCACCTGTTGCAAGACAGAAAGCGAGATATTCCGGATATTCATCGTACTACCGTGATTCAATATACTGATATAAACTCATCAAACATAGACGTCGTGGGAAGGGACAACATGCTTATGAATATGCCCATTAATAACAATCGCATGCAAGTTCTCTTGTTTCTGCAAAATCTCCAGATCAGACAGAGGATCACCGTCCACGAGGATCACATCCGCATAATATCCCGGCACCACCTTCCCCAATGCGTCTGGATATCCCATCATCTCTCCTCCCCACGCAGTCGCAGCAATGATACTCTCCATCGGAGTGTATCCGAATAAGTCCACAAGATGTTTCACATCTCTTGCATACGTCCCATGAGGAGCCCAGGCAAAACCATAGTCACCTCCGGGCATAACTCGAATTCCCCGTTTGCGCATTTCCTGCATTGCCTTGCAGGCTGTATCCACCTCGAATTTAATGCCCTTCTTCGCTGCGGCTTCAGCGGTCAGGCCGTATGGAGTCGCCTCACCGGTGCAGGTGGTATAGAAGAAGTTTAAAGCCGGAGCGACCCAAACCTGATCTTTCTTCTGCTCTAGCAAGTTCATTCCCTCTTCGTCGACAAAACTAGCGTGATAAATCACGTCAACTCCTGCTTGAACAGCATACTTGACGGAGAGCGCGCTTCTAGCATGCGCACAGACCCGTTTCCCCCGGTTATGCGCCTCCTCCACCGCCGCTACCGTCTCCTCCAGTGTGAAATAGGTTTCCGTACTGGGCATCGTAGGGTTCATATCATCGCCACTCATACTCAGTTTGATATTGTCTGCCCCAAGCTGAATAAACTCTCGAACCCGCTTCCGCATCTCATGCGGCCCATCCGCATTGCGCGATATATCGGGTACGATTGCCCCCCCAGTGGTGGTAATCTCCGGCGCGTTCGCCAGGCTCCGCGGCCCGGGTATCATACCCGATTTGACGGCGCTCTTGATGGCGATATCGAGCCGAGGCTGAGCCGATGCGGCGCCAAAACACATGGTATATCCGCAGTCGAGGTACATCTTGGCCGCCTGGGCTGTGAGCAAAACATGTTCTTCGAGGGGCTGACTGGTCAGGCCGTCAATTGTAGGCGAGTTGTTCCAGCTGAGGTGGGTGTGCGCGTCCATCAGGCCGGACATCAATGTCTTCTTGCCTTCGCCATCGATTACCAGGGCACCCTTCGCGGTTGAGTCGCTGACCTCGCCTACGGCAACGATGCGTTCTCCTTCGATCAAGACGCTCCCGCCATAGGGAGCGCGGCCAGTCGAATCTAAAATGCGGACGTTCCGGAATAAGATCTTCGACGGGTCTCCCGGCTTGTGGTTGTCGATGGTGATGTCGGCCGGTGTGGGCCGGTACGGCTGGTCGACAGCAGTTGACCCCATAGCAATAAAATCTCGTCTGATAGAAGAGTCCAGAGGCTTCAATAGCTTGCAATCTTCAGCAATCGGGTTTCTGATCCGAATTTATTGAATTCGTCGCGTTAATCTGGAGTTTTGATTACGTGTCAGCGCAGGGACCGTGCGGGGTTTTCTTTGCGATGCATCAAACTATCGCCTGACCTAAGCGCTAAACATGCCTGAGACAACGCAGAAGAGTCCCACAGGCTTTATGCATGATAGGTAGAATTCAAGCATGGCTGCAGATTTAACCCTATCAAATCTCTTGGAGGAGGGTTAGCCGGACCACTCCGTGCGTATCTAATCTTGCAGGGTTACATGCACACCAAGCCCGTTAACTAGCTACTTGCGATTATAAATCTTTGCCACAATTTGGTATATTGTCTTCTCACTCAGTACTAAATCCACAAGGGCACTAACAAGAGTAGTGAATTTGGAACACCTGCGCCATACGGAATACCTGCCGCTTTTCCCACTCGACCAAAAACCAACAGTGGTTGAAGAGCCAACCTTGACCTTGCACCTGGACATATTCTACACACCGCACAGGATCCGCAAAAGGTGCGGAAGTTTTATGTTAGCATCCGTAATCATTTCAAATAATTGATTTAAAATTGGACATTATAATTCTCACCGAAATCGCGGAGAATGGTATCGAAAATTGGTAATTACTGAATTATAAAAATCGATAGAGATACTGGATTTTAAATAACTGCTAAAATCTTGATGAAGCCAACCAACCCAACCGACCGGCCCGAATGGGATTCCCATTAAGACACCCATTAAGACATTTTTAACGTTCTCATCAAAAAATAAGGTTACAGAACAAAGCCTCTACCGCAAAGAAATAATTAAAATAAATTAAATAAGCTTAAATAGATAATGTAAAAGACGAAAACGTAGATGTGATATGAGCCACAGAAGGGCCTCGGGGGACGATATTAGTTCGTCTTGGGGCCCCCGCTGCGAATCATTCAAGCCATGTTGATACATTCCGCCTCCAACAACCACTACATAATAAGCATACAGTCAGTCGCCAAACATATCGGACTCATATCCACTCTGCTCGGTCCGTTGAAGGTTCGTTAACAGCTCATCCACCACATTGAACTTGAATCCCGGAGAAATGTAGAGGTCGGTCCAGACTTCTTGGCGTATACCTAGCGGTACTCCTCCAGCGTATTCTTCCAGGAAGTAGGATTCAGATGGATCGTCTCATCTAGACGCTGGCCGTACTGGTCGAGAGTCGGCACGAGTAGCTCTGACCGCCTGTGGCGACATAGCTGCCGGGCGGGGCTTTATGCTAATGACATTGCCGGAATAAGTTGGGTGGGTGACCACCAGCTAGCTCTGCATATTGTTTGGGTTTCTAATATTGCTTTTTGGCACGGTCTTTCTTTGCCCCGATGGTGCTCCTTTGCCACAACGAAGTCTCCGAGGGGTTAATTCCGGTAGAATGCATGGCATAGTAGACGATATTCTAGGCATCCGGTGATTAGCAGTAAGTGCCGAAGGTATCCCCACCTTCCTAGGCTAACTCGGCCAAGACGGATGTAGAGCACTACAGCATGCGACTAGCAATGGTTGTTTCTTTGCTTCTTTGGGCCGGGGTGAAGATAGACCCAACCGACAAGAGATAATGCGGAACTCACGTTCCTAGTCGTCGTCCATCTTCTCTTAGGTCTTAAGTTATAGGGCAAATAAACAGGTCGTTAATAACACCGGCTAGATCATAGTTAAAAGCTCTGTTCTTCGCGTAATCTCTGTCGATGCTATTCAGATTATTTTTTGCTATTCAAGGTATCAAATGTGTATTAGTTGGAATATAGAGGCCTGAAGGAAGGCCAATTGGAGAGCAACTAGCCCGGCCTGCCTAGACTTCTCACGTGCGTACAGCAAATGATTGCATCTGTTTACATTTGTATAGAAGGAATCGACCTATTGTCGTCATGGGACCCTGTCAATTATTACTCTTCATGCAATCCACTGTCTTACTTGAGAAAGTCTACCTTATCGCTTGCTCAGGTCAAATGGATTTTATATACTGACAGCGATAGTGCTTCTGCTCTATATTCACTAAGACCCCCGGTTTTTTGGTATACAAAGCTTCACGAAGATGCTGATGAGCTGGTACAAACGATACTTGTTAGGCTAGGGTGCGGTGACCCTACCTAACCTATCAGTGCGCTACTATATGTAGTTCTATGGGTGCTCGATCACTTAAATGTTCGAGCATAGCTAAGTCTTTTTAGGCTATTGTGAGGCCAAATTCCACTAGCCGTGTTCCAAACAGTTCACTTTGGACAATAGACACTAGAAAACATTTTTTCAAAAAGATGTAGGATGTGACTAGCGTTATTGCCATGAGCACTATCACAATACTTTAGCTACTTTTTCCGCCCTCAATCCTATATATCCGATGGAAGATCCCGAAATGCCAGGTCGTAGACCTGAGAATAGGCTGTATTTGTAGGTAATACAGTCATGAGAGATAATCAGTCACAAACTTCAGTTGAGACTAGGTCAATAGGTATATGTCAATCTCAAGAAGTGACAATTTACGAATGCCGTCACTCTCGCGTTGCAGCGGTAAAAAACGATCTCGACCCATTTCCGCTGCAAAATAGAACAGAAACATGCTACGCTTCCCGTGTGTATAGTAGAAGCATAGTCTGAGAATGCATTTCTAATTAGCCTTCATAACTGCTCTAGGTGTGCTCTACGATTTGAACCAAGTCTAGAGGTCCTTTTTGTAAGTATTAACTGATTCGCTAAGTAAATTATACAATTTATAAAAGAATCAAACTATATCTACTAAATAAAAGGTTAATTACTTTTAACTTTTTGTAGACTTATAAAACAATACATTAATATCTCAGGCTTTTTTCGCTATGAATACATTTGATGGTTAGTTTATTTTAGACACAGGAGCTATATATAACAGGCCACCTAGTCCATAATTCATAGCATGCTCTAAAAGAGGTCCACGGACGATAATATGGCATATAGAATTGCGGCTTGTGTAGTATCCACTCCTGCACGGTATATATTCTTTTAGGGCTACACATTGCGTTTCCAGTAGCTATATATGATCATATATTTTCGCCACAACTTGGGGTGGTATCTTTGTAGGCCGTACAGCGCTGATATTCTGTATAACAATGTCACACTGCCTTCAGGTAATGGAGTATCTTGTGCACGTTCTGGACGCGAAGGTCGATATCAGAGATCATCTAGGCCAGACTTGTCTTCATTATGCTGCAGGCTCGAGCCCTGACCCGGCATATATTGAGTTTGCATCGATGCTGGTTGCAAGCTCAATGAGCGGCATAACGAGGGCAAAACGCCTCTTGGAGTTGCTGAGCAGCTCGACTGCCTAGAGCAAATCGGCTCTTTCCCTCCATGGACGCGACGTCTAGCTCAGATTTCAACCCGGCTTGAATATCTTTAAGGTGCGCTTCAATATCATTGCTCAACTTTTGGTCTTCGAGTGAGATGTCGGGCCCTCTAGAGGTCGCTTGGATGCGCTCAAGTGCGGGCACAAGTTGCTGTAGTGTGCGGGAATGCGCTTTGGATTTGAGGCGCGAGTCTTTCTCATCCTTTTCCTGGTGGAGAAATGACCTAATGGTCGTGATTACTTGGCCGAGGATCTCGATAGTCGATTGAATCGAGCCGGCCAGCCCAAAAAGCTCCACACCCGACATCTTTCCCGCACTCCAGTGACACGGAGAAATATGGGTTGGGTGCTTTCTGGTCGGATATGAAAATCTGTATCGAGTATCCAGCGATATGCGATCGATTTGTGAGAAAGCTTTAGGGAAATTCTTGCTTCGTGGTGATTTCGCGTCTCTCAGCCTTGCCAACGCAGCGGGGCGCTGCCAGTCCAATCCCTGTTCGATGTAGCCAATCTGGCAGTCTATAGGTTCGCTGCGCCTTCATAGTATCTCTGGCTGTCATATGATGTGCTCATAGCATCTCTATTGTTGTTGTGGCTATAATCCAGGCCTTAAGTCGACTACCGGTTAATGTCCGTAACTCCGTTCAGCATCGGACCATAAAAAGTACCATTGTACATGGAATACAGTGGCCAGCTCGCTTCCGATTACGCTACCCTACCCTCAAGCTGTTCGTGCAGTTCTGAGAAGATATGCTGTAGAACTTTCTGATTAGATCTAGCATCTTTCCTATCCCGCTTTTCACTCCCGTGAGCTCATAGTTTTTATATACCCATGGCAAATATTCTTTCAGCTTAGTTTCAACTCAGACAGTGAATTTTTATGTAGTAAAGTGCATAAACCCTCTGATTAAGCGCTCTCACTTTACAAGTGCTCTCTCAAAGACTAAGGATATCACTATCTATATAGTTTTTAGTATCTATAATCAGCTATTTGATCATCTCAAGAAGCCTATATCCCAGCTTAGATGAAAGAAAGCAAGATGGCAGACAATCATGCAAACTGCCCTTGAGTCTGCAACACAGAAGCTAAAAGTCTATTATTCGGAGACCGACAAGGCCTATAGTAATCTCTATGCGATTGCTACTATTATGGAACCCCAAAACAAACTTGATTACTTCTCTGGAAAGGACTGGAAAGGACCTTATCGCAAACAATACCGCGAGAGCCTTGAGAAAAACCTTGAGCCTTTCAAGCAGCGTCACTTAGAAACACACCGAGTATCACATGGGTTTCTTCTATAGAGCAGTTCTCTATAGTTGATCAGATGGGTGACAGACAGAAGGCCCAGAGATCTGAGGTTAGCCATGATAATGAGCTTACATCATATCTTGGAGGTAGTAAGTAGCTCACTAGTAGTCAATTATCCTTTATTATCTCTCACTAAATTTTTTAGGTACTTGCAATATCAATCCATGTGTCTTTTGGAAGGGCAATCAATATGAGTTCCCTGTCCTTGCGAGTCTTGCACGGGATGTCCTTTCTGTTCCTGTGACTGGTTCTGGTGTTGAACGGCTATTCAGCTCTGCTCATGATATTTGTAATTACCGCTGAGGGTCTCTCAAACCGACAACTATCCAGGATCTTATGATGTATTTATGTACATCAAGGTTTGATATTGAAAGTGAGCAGTATACTTTCATAGAGGAGTATCTCACAGCGTAGGAGATATAAGTAGTGGAGAAAAAGAAGACCGAGAGGCTTGATAATGATATATTTAATCTAATCAATAACACTGAAGAAGATCCCTTAGCTGAGACTCAACCATTACAGGCCCCGAGCAGGGTTGCGCTTGGTAAGAGACCTCTCAGAGATATTAGAGACACATCTCTGATTGAGCTTGGGGATGAGGATGATGGGGTCCAGGAGGATGAAATCCTGCTACCTGATAATATAAATCTGCAGGATGAAAGTGGTACTCAGAGACGTACATCAGGGCGAGTTCCAAAACGTTCAAAGCGAGATGGTGGTGAATGTGAGTATATAAAGCCTTAGATTTAATGGAATTTGAGAGCTTTAGATTAAGTTCTATTTTATTAATATACTTTTAACTGTAAATATCTTTTTCTAGCCTGTAAGGTAAATACTTAAAAACACAGCCCAAATCTACATAAAATATGCATATCACGGGATTTCCTATGTTTGTCCTATTCATCAATCTCGATCAGCCCTGTACGGGCCGGATCAAAGATTTATAGAGCCGCCCCGCAGATCAGGATACTGATCAGAACGGATCCTTTCGAGGTCTACAATTGATATTGTAATACAGCTACGGAGTAAAATCTATGAAGTATTCGAATTGACCATATACCAAGTCCCGCCCCTAGCCCAGCCCATATCATGATCACTATATCCTTTCATCCAGGTCCTAGGTCTTACCGCATCCGCCGCGGTACCAATGATCAGGGGCACATTCCGTGGTGGCACTGCAGTCGTCGTCCTTATCGCAGCTGGCAAAACTGTAATCCTGCAGCCAGCACCACGGCATGCCCTCTTCCCACTTATCATTCGTCCGCTTCCCGGTTTTCTCATTGCAGCTGCTCCAGCAGATTTTGGCTTCTAACCCGGTGTTGCCGCCCTGAGGCGCACACCCACCGGACAGTGGAACAACGCAGCCCCATGATTTCGCGCACTCAAAGTCGGTTGGACAGTCGGATTGCTTCAAACAATTGGAATACGAATCGCTGCCGCTTTTAGCTATCCAGCACCAGGGGTCGTTCTCCGCCCAGTCGCCGCCAACGGGCGAGCCCGTGCCTGGGTCGCATTTGTTCCAGCAGCGGCGCACAACCCTCCAGGAGCCGTTGCCGGTGCTGCTGCAGCCGCTGGCGGCCGTCGCGGACGGTAGGGAGGATGTCGTCGAGGTCTTGGTCGTGGTCGTTGTTTCGGAAGAGGTGGAGGGCTCGTTGTTTGTAGTCGTTGTTGTGGCAGAGACTGTTGGGATGGCCGTTGGGAACAGCGGCACGGCTATCGTCCCCGAATAGCTTGGGATGATAACCATGGGCACATTGCCTATTGTCGTGCTGACCTGCTCGCGGCCGCCCACGTTCGGCACCCGGATAGTCGTGCCGTCAACGTTAATGGTTCCTCCCGTTACTGTATACGGTTCGCCCCCGACGACGGCGATCTCCGGGATACTGGTGGTGATGGTGGAGGTCGTTCGGGGGGGATATCCATTCGCCCCCTGGTCGTCGTTGGGGTCGATCGTGACACCTGTCGGGCAATACTTGCCCGTTGTCGTGGCCGAGTTGGTTACTGAGCACCCGGTAAAAGTGGCCGTCTTTGTGGTGGAGCAGCTGGTGCCAGAGCAAGTAACCCAGTAATTGGTGGCTGTATGCGTGGTACATTCATCGCTGGAACTGCTCCCGCAGTTCGAGGTACATGGATGACCGCACCCAGGGCTATTGGTGTCGGTACAGGTGGGGAACGGGGCATGGCTACTGAAAGTGGTTGTTGGAATGAATCGATTCGGGGGACAGTCAATCGAGAACAGATTGAAGAGTTTGAAGCATGGTGCAGTTGGGATTGGAGGAAATGAGGGCAGTGGGGGCACGGGCATATCACCCGGCTTCGGGGTAGGCTTGGGTACTGGAGACCAATAGAAGCCCCCAGCCTGGACCCATACTGGAACAACTGTCGTTGAGGTCGCAGAGGTGGCCGCTGAGGTCCGAGCAGGGAGCGTCGTGGTCGTGACTGTAGAAGTCGCGAGATCGGAGAGAGACGGGAACTGTGCCTCAGAATAGGTGTACGTCTCCCCATTGGTGTAGTATTCAGTTGTTCCAAGAGACGTCTCTACCCACGTAATTGTAGCGCCCGCTGGGATCGACTGGACAGAGACTGGAGGCAGGATGAGTGTGGTGGAAGTACCGCCGGCCTCCAATGTAACCGGGTCGGGAGAATGGCTGGGTGTCAGGTAGAAGGAGAAGGGTCTCGTCTGGCTGGCACCGACAGGCATATTGAAATAGTTCACAGCCGTGGTGGTAACTAACCGCAAAATCATCAGCAATTGGTTATGGTAAAGACATTGGGGCTTAGGGTTTGGTCATACTGGGGCTGGGGTAAACGGTCTTGATAGTGGTCGGTCCCAAGACAATGGACGTAGCCACTGGAGATAAATAGATCGTCGTTGGGGCATTCAGGAGCAGGTCTGGCATTATCAGCGTGCAAGGCGGAATACATCCGACGACAGGGGAAGGTTCCAGAAAGATGTCTGGATCTACATAGACCTCACCGGAGCCCTTGCCATCGCCTCCTCCAGAGGTAGACACGGCACATGCACCTTCAGGACAGTATCCATATTTGCAGGTGAACGCGCAAAGGGGTCCATAGACAGTTTCGTCCATCCCTGGACCCGCTTCACCAACCTTATCTGTTGCTTCAGGAAGCGTGTGAAGAGCACCTTGGGCGGTACATGTACACGCATTGATAGGACAGAATCCCAAGTTGCAGGCGAAGTCGCAAAGACCGGCGAGATTGCCTTCCCCTGTACCGCCAATACATGCCGGAGGCAGGAAGGGTGAAACAGTGGGAGTAGACAGCGGTGCAGAGACGGTGCTGCATGCAGTATCTGGGCAGAATCCATGAGGACAGTCAAACGCACAGAGACCGCTATAGCTGGCATCGAGTCCCGCCCGAGGATAGCCCATGGGACCGGTCGCATTAGGTGTTTCCCGTGGCTCCCCTTGGAGTTGGCAGTAACAGGCACCGAGAGGACAGTAGCCATATTTGCAACCAAACTCACATAGACCAGCAAAGTTATTGGCCCCGGTGCCATTAATGCATTTCTGATTGAAAAGATTCGCTTCCGGCTTCGCATTGACGCTTTCACTCGCACTGGCGCTGCCGACCCAGGCATTCCAATTTGTCAATCCCTTGATACAATTCGTGGATATGGAGCTGCCGCGGACCTGGGCTATCTGCTTTCCAGAGCGCGATAGAGTGACGACGACATCCCCCAGGCTAGACCCGAAAGGGACACTACCATGGTAGATCCCGACACCTCCGTCTGGTTGCCAAGTCCAGCTGGCTTGCTGAGACACTCCACCAATACTGACCGTGATGGTTGCTGGAGCGCTGAGGAGAGCAGAGAAGAAGATGTGGTCCTGGACGATCTCGATTGGATGAAACTCAATTTGGAGTTGACTCGCAGTATTACCAGAGGTCCCTCCTGAGCTACATGCGGACGCAGGCTGCGGTCGATGCCAAACAGTCAAACCCTCCTTATCAATTGTTGCTTTCCCATACTTATAGGTGTCGATCAAAAAAGGAAGAAAGAGCCGCCAGCCATCATGGGGCATGTCCGTGACATAATTGTAGGGAGCTCGGCCAATGTGAAAGGCGTCCATGGCATAGTCCCGCAGTGGTCCAATATAGTGAGACTCGCCATAGTCGTTCCAGGAAATAATTTGAACAAACGGTGGCTTGAGATACCAGATTTCCTGCCACCGGTCATACCACAAGTTGTCTCCTCTAGAGTAATTTCTACATTAGCTTCCAGGAAGGAAGAGAATGATGGCTCCAGAAGAAGTAACACTCACCGCCACAGCCAATTCTTCTTGTATCCAGGAAGGTTTGTATAGAACCATGGGGAAGCCGGCATCATGTAAGGAAGGCCATCAAGATATTCTGTGTACGAAGCGTCGACGTAAGTGTTCATCTCTTGACCTCCCCATGGCCACGCAGCCCAGTTAAAAAGACCGTCTGCCGTGCCCAGCTCCACTGCTGGCTTGGCTCCCAAGGAGGACCAGTCTGGTACAAAGAAACATCCTGTAGACTGCTTGATGATGAACCAATCATCTGAATTTTCAGGGCCTTCAAAGGTCGACACCAGGGGCTTGCCCTCGTAGTGGTAGTAGGAGGCCTTCCCGCCATAGTTGTTGATCAGATTAATCACGTCGCCCATAGGCCAGGGCCCATTACCTGCATAATCAAAGGAAAAGAATAACTGGAACCCAAGCTTCTCAGCTTCCATGAAGAATATTGATACCACCGCATCATTAAGAGGGTCGGCATTTGCCATATTCAGGGCAAAGGCATCAATGTGAGCTTCTTTAGCCTTGGCAATATCATCCTGAAAATCTTTTTCTGTATAGTTTCCAGTATTACCGACCTAACCTTAATGTCAGCACTTCCTGAGCAGCCCCTTCCTTTCCTCAGGATCTTAAAATACCATGAAATGAGCAAATACAGCTTTGCCATGGCTGGTACCTGCTAGAAGCAAGGTCAGCAGGATCGACCACACAAACATTGTGTCTGGCGAGATCGAAATACCATGTCTCAACCGAGGGACCCAACGATGATATGTCGTCGCAACATTAAATACCTTTTATGAGGCAGGTGGCAGTACAGTCTTGGCCGTCCTAGCCGAGCTCCATGTGCAAACAGACTCAGTGACTCTCGCGCACATTATGGAATTGCCTCCTGAGAAGACCCCACCCAAGTAAGATTTCATGCCTCCTCGCAAAATCCATCTTCTAGGTGGATAGCAGCGATAATGCATAGGTCAAAGGGAGGGGGTTGCGAGAGCGATAAAGGCCGAAGAGCAGTGCATGATGCCAAGAGCTCCGTCACTTTTGGCCTGAGCATGAATTGGGGTCAAGTTGCATGCACTAAGAGACGGTTCGAACAATAGTGTCGCGCTAATCAATTGTTTGGTGTTCGTCTGCCCTGCCTACACACTATTGGGACCTAAAAATTAGTTGCCGAGGGTCTAGTCAGAAGATAGGGAGAGTACCTTACAGGGCTCCGACTGGGTCTCGATATCATTGGCTCATTTCAAACAAGATTAATCTCAACCAAATATGAAGTTACACCTGTATCCCTACACTAACATATCCGAGTTTTCTCTGCTTCCACCGTCAATGACTTCCGTAGGCTAATAGCATTCGGTTCATGACTCATAGTATGTTATACATGGTAGACTTAAGGGAAAGTGACCCGAATGCCCAGTCTTATCCTCCCTCTATCATTTTACACCAATTGTGAACATTCGTCGTCGACTTCATTTCGCTTAAAGATAGACTAAGAAGTAATATGGGCCGAGAATGGGATACTTGCGCGCAACTGGTAGAGTCCGGGTTGTTTCTCCATGGACCCTCTTGAAAATCCAGTCTAGCAAGTCGGACTTTGCAATTCGTGCAAGGTACATGTCTCGGTCACCCGGTGTCAGAAAGACGAACAAATCTGAGAGGAGACTCTCTTGTTCACTAAAGCCAAGGCACTTTTTTAGTCGCGTGATCTATATCTTGTACACCAGGAGTATCCGTCGGATTTGCCCCTAGCCTAAACAGGACAGCTTAATTTCCTTAGCATTCGTATGAACAAAACAGAACCTTAGAGAGTAATATACATAGCTAGACCGCAGTGCTCGTAGATGTTAGTGTCCTGGATAACCTCTTTTGTTCTTTTACAGGCTTTTATCTCCTAAATTCTGAGATCATCAAAGTCCTTCTCTTTACTCGTTGTACAGCAACAACTGCTTTCTTCTCTACCCTACATGGCTAAGCGAACCCCTGGTGGCAGGATGACACCTGCCGCCAGTCTTTGGCGTGCCAGTACCTTCCCTCTTTTCCTGCTAGCAGCCCTTCTTCTTATTGTCTTACCAGCCAATGGCTTGCACACACACCGATGGGCTCATGGTCACTCGCGGGTCGAACGAGTGTTGCATAAACTAGTCACTCGTGAGAGTGACTGGGATGCATTCAAGAGAAAAGGGCAGGCTCTTCATTGTGCGATGGACGGTGATCAGGAAGCCGCAAATCATGCCGTTGCTGCGCCAACCAGCAGATGGACAGACTATGGAGACTTGCATAGATATGGATGGGTCGTTGATCCGGACAGAGATGCGGGCTTAACGCTTGCACAAGAGCTTCTTGAGGACACCTTCGAGGAGCTTAACATTGATGCAGACCAAAACACGAGAATACTCATTTCTCAATCACGACCTGTAACGGTTGACGGGAAGAAATATAAGGTAGGTGGCCTTTGAATTCTCGACTATCCTTATCACTTATTGAGTACCTTCAGGAATCTGAAGGCTCTTATCAGAGTCTGTTTAATGTGGATGCCGGTATGATCGTCGCAGATGATAATTCCAGCCCAGAGAATGAACAACCAGATTGGGTCAAGGAAGCTTTTGTGCCGCTGAGGCAGTGGTCTGATGTGATTTTTCTCCTCTGGAAGAGGGTTGCCAAGAGTAATGCCGGGGGTCTCCGGCATATCTTCCAAAGCATAGTTGCCAATCAGCAAACTTTGAATATCATGCGACAGGCTATTGGGGAGGCTGATGACTTTAAAGACTGGGATAAGTACTCGCCAATACAGGAGAACGGGAGGACTTTCAGGCCAGGCTCTGATGAGTACTATGCGCTGCTCTACTCTCCGAATGGTCGCGGCATTGGTTGGATGTTGACACAGCACAAGACTCAGCTAGGCCTTCTGACGGTTTCCTCAATTACGGTATTCGGAAGTGATGGTGAACCTGTACTGTACTTTAAGATTGACCCTGTTGAACAGAGCGATTGAGACCAGAGATAGCTTTATCTCCGGTTTCACTACAAAGACAGAGGTTCGCCTCTCTTCCTTTGTGCTAGGATTGTGTTTTCCTAGCTGGAAGGTATAGACACCGTCAGTTACTTTTTCTTCTCGAATATTTCCATTGAATCAATTGTATCGGGAATAGATCCATGTTTAGGGTTGCATCTGTTGCTTCAGGGACATCTGTTTCGGTATAGCATTTATAATTCGATGCGGTTGGCCACTGTAAGAAGTATTGGCATTTTCGATATCTATTTTATGTCTGTTGGTGCACGCTTTGGTTACATTGGACTGTCTTGTGTTTTATGAAAAAAAAAAAAAAAAAAAAAAAAAAAAAAAAAAAAAAGGGGGGGGGTAAAAAAAGAGAGGAAAGAAAAAGAAAAAGAAAAAATGCAACAGGCCTTATTTCCTATTCTCGAATTTAGTTGGCTGTGGCAATGCTTGACTGCCGTCTTAACATTTCTTCCCAATCCTGTTCTGTGAGTATAGAAGACCAAGCGAACCACATCTCCTGTACATTCTGTGTTCCTGGAAAGCCCAAAGCGTCCATTCTGATGCCATCCCAGAATACAAGGCCATATGAGCGAAAGACCGAGTAATCTAGGCATTTAAGAGGCGATAGAAGATGGCTTTTACATCGCCATAAACACTTCATACCCCGGGAAGATCGCCCAGAATTCACGTTGTTTTCCGCCTCGGCCCATTGGTCATCCGTCACAGATGTATAGTGCTGGCAGCAATGGCTATAGTCCTCAGAAATTCCACCAGAGAGCAACCAGGAGTATATATTTTCATGCCCACCTGCCTGGTCATCCATCCAGTGAAGAATAGTTGCTATCTGCTCTACCTGACCATCGTTGTACTTCCGAAGGATTGTGTTCCAAAACCCTTCCACGTTGTCATCCAACAAAACCCAGACAGATTCCCTGTCCTCTGTAATCACTGAACATTCAAAATATGACTTGCGCAGCTCATAAAAGAGAACAATACATAATAAACTACTGAGCAGGCGTTGCTCCTCAATCCATGTCGGTGGGCCAATATCAACAGGGGTATATGGGATACCCTGGGGGCGTCGGCTGCGGTCAAGTATTGGGCGTGTAAGATGATTATTGTAATACCTCATCTTTTTGGGCAAATGCTCCACCTGTAGCTTTAGGCACCTTGCAATCATAGAATGGAAGCATGCATGCGTGAGACATCGGAGTCGGGCCATTAGGCTAAGGAGCTGACAAAGAATAGCCGAGGGTGTTGACGGGAATATTGCCTTCAACATGGGCTGCGCTTCCAGGGGAGAGCGCTCCCGTACGTATTGCAGGCTGCCATGGATGTCTGTACCTGGCTCCTGCGTTAGCCCTGTGGCTTTCTGGCGAGTCCAGACAAGAATCACGAGCCGTACGGTATCCTGAACATGTGGCACCAGACCCCTTTCGCCGCGGACTGGGTCTCCGATGATGGCATCCACAATCTGGGCGAATATATCATTGTTCCGGTGCAAGAATGCCGCGACTTCCGGTGATGCATCATGCAGGCTATGTAGTGAGGGCAGGTCCGGAAGATTCGACAGGGTATTTTGCAGGACAAACCAAGGAAGTCGGCCGAATGGATCCATTTCTTTTTGCTTTTTGTTTCCAAATGGTGTGATATTAGCCGGATGTTACCAACTCCGAGTGACGAGGGTATCAATTGCTAATCCCTATATGGTCTCAACTTTGGTGATGGAAAAAAGGGGGGGGGGTTGCAATGCTGAGAGTTCATCGTAAAGGAAAGCTCATTTTAAGCTCCGCTGAGGAGGCTTGGAGGATTGAAGATCCAGGTGGGAGAAATATTGAACCATGTGGGTTGCCAAGCCCGCTAGCCCTTGGACCAGTTCAATATCTATTGTAAGGGAAATAAAACCTCAATAGGGTAGCATTTCATAATTTAGTGCATGGAACTATTCACTCCGCACCATTTAACGAAGGATTAGATACTTGATATAAAACTATTGATCGATCTGGGTAAGTATACGGCAAACAGACTGTATTGAGGGAAGGTCCCACATCCGCTCAGTCTTACCTGTGGCGTTGATTTGTCTCTGTCGCCGAGGGTGTGAAGAGTTCCAATAGCGAACGACCGGTCGGGCGCAATTTTCTGGAGACTGTTCCGATACCCTTGGCCTGGACAACGGTCAGATTCGTTCGACGGGTGCTGATTCGCAGAGGCGGTTGAGTAGCGGAGTGTTCCATGATGAGTGACGGAAGTGGGGATGAGGACGGGGGTAGAGTATTAGATGAGAGAGGAAGAGAGCTCAGTCAACATCTTGTAAAGTGACCTGTCAGACTTCGTGGACTTAGACGGTGTTAGATTAAAAGCGCCCCCCCCCCCCCCCCCAAAACTGCGCCCCACCGGTCATGTCTGGATCATGCTCAGATGGCTTTCCCAGACAAAAAGACCATCATGTTTTGCACATTCTTCTCTGCACTTTTCTATAATTCCTAGAAGGATTATTGTTCTTTCTGACAGATCTCAACAGGCGGTGTTGACGGTCGCTGTGAAGGTTTGCTAAGTGGCTGGAGAATGAAGCTATTCGCAAATCTCCACGCGGTGCCATATGGGCTCGCTGTTCACATATTCTAAGAGATAACACAACCGAAAATATACTCCAGATTATAATATGTATAGTGATCGGTTCAGAAAAAGCCTGCGACCGTCCTTAAATGAGATATCGGTCGACTTGAGTATATAGCATTCCATCTTTTGTGCATTTCTTGAATGGAAGAATCTAGGGAAATCTCGTAGTCCAAGCAGATGACTGGACATGCGCCACACCAGGATCAGACCACAGCGACAGGTGGATCAGCTTCCGTCGCTTGATACATTGCGTTACTTATCATTGACTTTAAGAGGTAATACTTTTTTTAGTAGATAAACAATTCTTCTAGATATAGATCCATCTGGTGTTAATATCGAGGACGGTTCCACAACACAAACGGTCTGCGCCGTACCATCTATTAATTTGGCATTGAAGAGAATTGTTGAGTAGGACTGCCCGCTTGGAAACTAACAGAAGAAAAAGTAAAGGTAACATGAAAAAAGTATCTGCAACAGGAGAGTCCGTGGGTTCCGCAACTAAGGACACAGAAAGAGGGCTATGGCTGAGAGTCAATATTATGCTCGAAAAGCACACTCAAACAATCCGAGGTACAAAGGGACATACAAAATAAATGATTCTTTCAACACGGTTCCAAGCTCAAAGATAGTGATTTGCCTTCTCTCTTCCAGGATGACCCGACAGAGGCTCCTATCTACTAGTTCTGCTCAACGGGGCTGTCGGAACAACGTCCATGAGCAAATCGATGGATGACGGTCGTGGAAAGAGCTGGTGAGGAATAAAGATCACATTCGCCGCCCCCTTCAACATACAACCATGCCTGACACTCCTTGACTCCTTCACAGTACTGTCCGCAGGCTGTGGCGTTGAGCAACCCGTACTTGAAGGTGATAGGAGCCCCATTAAACGAGGCAAATTCGTCGTAAGTCAGGTCCGAGAGACAGTCAGTTAATGCTGTCGCCAAAGTCAGAGAGCAGAAGATGACTGCTAGGTGTAGAAGTGGAATTGTGAATAGCATTCTCAAGGCAGATGCTTTTGGGGACCGGAGTGGTGTACAAGAAGCAAAAACTGGATTGGCCAAAAAAAATAAAATAAAATAAAACCGAAACAAAACGCTCGACGACTAAGTCTGGATCAAATATATTTTCAGATCTAATCCGTTGCCCACTGCTAGCCAGGGCGTTGGAGAGGCAATTAAACCACACCATTTTTGGTGCTCGTTCGAGGGGCTGACCGAGCAGAAGTTGACCCCCTAATCCAGTCAGTTCACTGTATAGCTCTGTTGCAACACTAGTTGGGGTCAAAAGTTCTAGACCCACGGGTCTAGAGAAACGTCTCTGTGGGGCTGTGGGGCCGGAGTAGTATCCTAGGTATTTGGCTAGGGCCGTGCGACCATAAATTTCTTATGTAGTAGGTTTTTAGTCACATCAGTGTCACTAGACTATAGACCCCAATTTGGGCAAAAGTAGGGTGGTATCCAATAGATAGTGTAGCATGCAAACAAAGTAGGTAGTTAGTTTAATGTTTGGGTAAGTTTACGCAAGATCACGTGTTATCGGGTGAGTGTTCTCACCTGATCTATTGTGCATTCACCCAAGCTCACCCGAGGTCGCGCGACATTAAAGCGGCTCACCCGCTAGCTCACCCGGCTTCTGGCCGCGTTTAAGCCACACGCCGGCAGGGTAGTAGTTGAGTGGGTGACCACCAGTGAATCCCTGCTGTTGTATGTTTTTTATTCTTTTAATGATTTGTAATTTTTTTTCTATCTGTTAGTCAATTCTCTTGCCATATGTCTATCCAATCTAGAGGGGATTGAATACATTACCCTTGCACTAAACCTATTCTACATATTCCTAGAAACACATACATCGCTGAGAAACTAACAAGTCTACAACCACTGAGCTGAGATAGTATTGTCTAGGACAGGTTTATTAGGGTTAGATATATTCTGGGACACCCACAATGTAAGTGAATTATACAGTCTATGGGTGTTGGCCTGAGCACAGTTACCCAGCAGCTTTTTTTCTTTTTTGTTTTGTTTTTTGATTGCGAAGGTGATAGTTGTGATGTTGGGGACAGTGTATCATGTAGAGGGTGTTACTTTACTCACCAATGTGTCTCTAAAAGAAGATGGGCTCTGGCTCTAGGGGGTGTGCCATACTGGATACATAAATTAACAGTTAATCTTACTGGCGGTTTAACTGCCCCGGGCTAGAGGTGTGAATCTATTCTTGTGCTCAAGGTCGGCTTCAGAAGGCCCATATATATAGGTGATATATGGGGGGCCGGCGCGGTGGGTGATTACGTAGGTTACTATGGCGTAACCGACCTCCTCCCAAATATGTCGGAATACCCTGGGGGGCGCCATAAAAATGTGCATATCTCAATATACATATCCACGCGTTGAGACAGCGTACGTATTTCTATCTATTACTACTTATTATTGAAACTATCCCTCTTTTTAAAAGATCTGAAGCAATAGGTAGTCTTGAGAGAGGCTGATTACTTTGACTATATTAATAATATAGCTAATTATTATGGCTTAAAAATGACGATATCCTTCTTTGGCTTGCCCATGTCGTGGTTTTACTGCCTCTAGTAGATCTGTGTCTTTGTATATGGCCGCTGTAATGGAGTGTTATATGGCTATAGCAAGGCAGCTCGCTTTATAAAGTGAAGAGGTATTAAATCTATCTTGAATTAACTGCCCTGAGAATACTTCAAAAGCCTATAATCTAAAGCAGAAAGAATGGATAGAGTGGGCTGAATAAATCAGATTTCCAGATAGTAAGCTAGTTACTGAATATAAGCTTATCTGATTTCTTAAAGAGAAAGTACTCTGCCATGAAATCTGATTCTATCACTATAAAAAACCGTGTATGACTGAAGAAGAGAAGCTAATTATCTATATTCTAGAGAAGAGCACTGTACAGAGCTATAGATCTACTATTGTAGATCTCTGGTTATACCAAAAGAGCAGCAGAGTTAACCTAAATCCAAATCCTTGCAGTAAGGCTATCACCGCACTTTTAGATAATCACACGTGCCAGGAATATATATATAAACAGGATCAATATCTTGATCAAGCAGCAGGTACCTTGCTGGATAGCTATAATACGAAAAGAATAGAGACTTTTGTTCAATACTACTGGGATAGCTAAGCGTAAAATATGCCAGGAAACTCTTAGCGCAGAAAGCCACAGGGCATTAAATCTTATCTTTATATGGTTATAGATTTCCTTTTCTCGCATCATATGATTACACAGGGCCAGTCATGCTGGAATTTAAAGTTTACAGATCTTTTTACTATTCCTTTAAAAAATAAGCGCCCTACACCACGTTTTCCAATGGTTATAATTATGGATAACGGTAAAATAAATGCAATGGGCTGCTTAGAATATAACTCTGTGATACAGTACCGTAATCCAATAGTTTATATAATGGCCCATACCGCGTTTTATCTTTTTTCCTGGTGGAATATAGCACGGGAGCCTGTGCCTAAGTTCTATAGGCGGCCACAGTGGTACAACTTGCACTTACTTAAGAGAGAATCAGCAGAGAAACTACTTTTATATAATACTCAGCTTTATTAGATTAACTGTATATTTGTCTAGATTAGCCTTAAGTCGGTAAAAAAAATATATATTAGCTGATCTGAGAGAGCGAGATAGGCAGAACTTAATAGGATATCAGAAAACTAAATCTGCCGCGCTGCATACTGGAATAATAATACTTTAACAAATTACTATTTTATTTATCTTCCCTGAAAATATATACAGGTAATAGCAGGCTTTAAGGCTTCTACCCTAGGAAACTATTATCTTCCTGGGATAAAGATCCAGCCTTCCGAGTCTCTTATATATACAATCTAGCTATGGATTAATAAATAGCTGAAATGGTTTGAATTGTACAGAGACTACAGCCAGTAAGAGAGAAAAGAATATCAAGACAAAGCCTTAGCTAAAGTTAAAATAAAGAAACCAAAAAAGGCTGATTGGTAAGATATAGCAGTTTAGGGATTTTTATGGCTGCTTGTTCAGCTATATATAATCTTTCTGCAAGATTCTGTTATCTTTTGTGAGAAGTTTCTGTTATATTCTATCTGAAGTAATCCAGTCTTTGTATAAGAGAATTATCAGGTTTTTACTGCGGAGATCAAATAACCTTTACAGAAGATAGAAAAGCCTAAGGAGATCTGACTATAGCAGGCTCTTCTAGCTTTAGCTAAGTATCTTAACTATATCTGACAGGATCTCTAACAGAGATTGGATCACACAATCAAGAAATAGAAAAGTAGAATCCAGAATTAGCTTTAAGAGATTAACAATTATCTGTATAATATTATAGGCAGTTATGTTACTTTTACTCTGTAAGTAGTGGATCCAGACGTGACTGAAGTATTTATATCTGTAGCCCAGAGTCTATAATCTATTTCCTAGTTTACACCTGTCTCTTCTGCTACTACTGCTGCTAGTACTGCTAATATGATTACTGCACAGAATATATTTAAGTCTATATTTGTATCCAGTTATTTAACAGGGATCTCTTACTATATATCCTTTTATACAGTTCACACTGTGCCGGAGCTATGGGGAGAATGGACATGCGGCTCAGGAGATAAGTCTTCTATTCAGAGCCTGGAAGATATATATGGCGCAGCATGGCGTCTCTTATAGCGTGAGCGGGTTAAGTTCTGCCGCAGAAAAGTAATTATTGATAAGATTTATAAAAGACATACCAGCAGAATATCTCTACTGAAGACTGTAGAAGAGGTAGAGCTTATATAGCGGCGAGAGAAGATAGGCCTGTATGTGCTTTTCCAGATACTACAGAAGAACAGAGAGAAAAAGACTGGAAAACTAAACTAATATATTATAGTATCTGTTTCTAATTAGAAAGAAAAGGGAATAATAATTATTTGTTTAAGAATAGTGTTCAGACACTATAAAACTACAGTAACTAAAGACTGTAATAGAGATTTTAAGAACAGGGGATTAAGAGATTTTAGAGATTTTTTTCTTTAATAAAAATACAGAAAATGAACCGGTCATAGCTTATATTTTCTCTGAGATTGGGCTGTAGAATACCTGGCAATGAAAGCTCACTTGCTATAAAATAAACCAACCAGCAGTGACTGTGGCACAGACTGGTCCCATGGATACTATATTCCCTTTGGGAATAGGCAATATAAAAACTGGTACAGGAAGTCATGTTATATCAATCAACCAACCAGCGGCGATCGTAGTAAACCGCCAAGATTTCCCTGGTCAGAGGTAACCCTGAATATGTAGCATTTTTGGGGGCTCGGCATAGCAGCGGACCCCCAAATAAGACTAATATTCGGGGGTAGGATTACGCGAAATTTCCGGGGGTGTGATATATATACATTGCTATAATCTACGACCAGCTAGCTCGGACCAATGTTAGCCTAGTACTTACTAGTTCTTATGTACTCCTAGGAGTCTAGAATAACGTAATCGGTAAACGAGCTGCGCACGCAAACGGGCTGCGCACTCCACGCGTTTTCAACGCGCCTCAATTTCTTAGGTGATTGAAACACCAGCCATACCACCAAAAATGCCTAAATCATCAAAATCACGCGTTGAACAGGAAGGCCGAATCCTACTGGCCTTACCGGCCCTAAAAAAAATGAATTCAGTAGCCTTTAGAAAGGCAGCCGATATATTTAATCTACCTGAATCTACTCTACGCAGTCGCCTAAAAGGAACCTCTTTTAGAGGCAAGCAACGCGCCAATAGTCATAAATTAACTAGTAGTGAAGATGAATCGCTTAAAGAAGAGATTCTATCACTAGATAAACATGGAGCACCTTCTCGGCCTGCACATGTTCAAGAAATGGCCAATATCCTACTCTCAAAGCATGATACTACATCTCCCCCTGCTACTGTAAGGGAGAAATAGATATATAACTTTACCAGGTATACACCTGAGCTTAAAGCCTGGTTTGCACGTCGCTACAACTATCAACGTGCTAAAGTAGAGGATCCACAGATTCTAGGTGCTTGGTTTGAGCAGGTAAATGAGGCTATTCAGAAGTACGGCATAGCTTTAAGTGATATATATAATTTTAATGAAACAGGCTTTGAAATGGGTCTAATCGCTGCAGCTAAAGTTATTACTAGGTCTGATATGTCAGGCAATCCATTTTTATTGCAGCCAGGGAACAGGGAATGGGTTACTATAGAATATATATATTCTAATGAATAGGCTCTACCTCCTTGCATTATTTTTAAAGGCAAGGTGTACATGAAGGCCTGGTACAAGGATAATAAGGTTTCTTCTAATTGAAGGATCAAGGTTAGTTCTAATGGCTGGACAAGCAATGAGATTAGCCAATATTAGCTACAGAATCATTTTATACCTCTTACTACCGGCCGATCTATAGGGAAATACTATATACTTATTCTAGATAGTCACAATAGTTATCTAACACCTTAATTTGATCAGGTCTGTGCAGAAAATAATATTATACTAATCTATATACCTGTGCACGCTTCTCATAAGCTCCAACTGCTTGATATTACTGTTTTCTCGCCTTTAAAACGCGCGTATGGAGGCCTAGTTAAATCTAAGATACACTGTGGGCTTAATTATATTAATAAACTTGATTTCTTGGCTGTATATTCTAAGGTCTATATAGAGGCCTTTACCAGTAGCAATATTTATAGTGCTTTTAGAGCTACTAGCCTAGTTTCTCTATCTCCTGAGCGCGTTCTATCTCAGCTAACAGTTTAGCTTAAGACTCCTATACCTCCGGGTAGTAGACCCAGCAGCCGAGGCAGCTCAGCACCTAAAACACCTTATACAGTCAAGCAGCTGAATAAGTCAGAATCTAGCTTTAAAAAGCTACTTAAAAATCAGTATTATAGTCCTGATTCGCCTATTAAAGCTCGCCTAAATTAAACAATAAAAGGCGCTGAACAAGCTTTGTATAATATAACAATATTAAAGCATTAACTTGAGCAACATCAGGCTGAACACGAAAGACAGATTAAAAAGTGAAAGCACTCTACTAAACAGATTACTTTTGAAGAAGGCCCATCAGTATCTGAAGCCCGAATTCTCATAGAGCGCCGAAATCAGGTAGATGAAGCTATACAGGCAGATAGGGCTCTGCCTACTGAATCGGCTCCTAGGCGCGCCCCACCAAAATGTTCTGGCTGTGGTGTACAGGGCCATAAAATTACGCACTGCCCGAATTGATAGAACTACTCATTTCTATATAGAAGTCTGAATTCATGGTGTTTTGACTATTCTAATTTTCAATATGGCGGTTGGTGCGCAGCTCGTTTACCGATTACGTTATCTTCTCCTTGTACTGGCGCTCTCCTTTAGTTATTGTAAGTGGCTTGCGTATTACCCAGGCCTGAAACATTTATTAATCCAGCTGAATACGATATACTCACTTACTGGCACTGAATCGATAATACCCTTGGTTCTAACTCAGTCCAGACGTTGCCCTTAGCGCTTTAACATTTTACATCATCAGAGCTACAGTGATTTCAGAGTAAGCGTACAAAGCAGGTGCATAATATGCACATGGCTATGGGATAAACACCCACAGCCGAGCAACTCTGATGGTACCGAGGAAGATGAGACAGGTGGATTTAGGATATGTTGTGATTATCTAGGGCCTGGTAGCATTTTCTTCTATGTGATCGTCCCATAGGCTTCCGACTCTGACCACGAAGGTTTGTTAATAATGGATTAATACTTCTTCCACAATATTCTTTGATAAAGCACAATGTTGACATTAGATAGTCGTTGTCTCAATTCTTCACGAGTTCAGTTATCGTCCCCTTGCAACGAATGCTATGCTAGATTCTCCATGGGATAAGTCCGATCCTATAATAGGAGTCCAATCAACCATTAAACTCAATTTATGGATATCTCACTGCTGCCAAATCCACAGATTCTGCCGTGTCGTAGACTCGGTGCCTTTCTTCCCAACCCGTATCGTCGATGTCCATAAGATCGAACATGACATTGTTGTCCCGAAAGTCTGAAGTTCTATCATACCGAGCCATTTAGGACAGGCACCAGGTGCAAAAAACCATTCAGCACCGCCCTATTGGACTTTATCGTACCGCTGGAGCTCTCTCACCATCCCTAAGCTACTTAAAGGCAATGAGGACTAGTTAAAGAAAAGAGTTGCTATATCAATTCTGCCAATCGCTTTCCAAGATGCGATGAGAGTTGTACATTGTCTGGGTCACAGGTTCATATGGATCGATTCCCTTTGCATCATTGGGGATTCTCCTGAAGATTGGCAGGAAGAGTTGAAAAATATGGCAAAGATCTACCGGAATGGCTTTTATAATATATCAGCAACCTCGGCATCGTTCGATACAACTTATGGCCTTTTTGTCCCCAGGCAGAGCGATCCGCGACTCCCATACCCCTATCCAGTGGATGTCGTGGATGGAAAACAGCAATCAGTCTGGAATGAAGAGATATAGAAAGACGATATCGAACGCGCACCACTCGCCAGTCGTGGTTGTGTTCTACAGGAAAGATTTCTGATCTCGAGGGTTGTTTATCTTACCCGAAACAATATATTGGGAGTGTCTTGAACAGATGTACTATGCAGCAGATCTCAATGGCCAACTCAACCTTGTCCACAATATTGATACAACCGACGTCGGGAACAGTCGCTGTACAAATGGTCGCTGCTACAGCTGCTAAAAATGTACCCACGCGTATCCCAATTTGGAATCGATCGCAAACATATTGACTTTGTGGATAACCCCGATATATGGCATTTTTGCATGGGTCCGAGGCTGTGCTGGAGTGATATGCTTTAAGTATATAGTTCTTGTAGTCTCACCCATAAATCCGACAAGTTTATGGCCATAGCGGGTATTGCCGCCTTTTTTCAATAGGTTCATGGTGGGCAGTACTTGGCTGGTTTATAGGCTAAGCTTACATATCGATCTGTTGTGGACAATGAAAGCGTTTGAAGATACAAATGTGCGCTGCACCGGCGCTTATGCTCCTTCTTGGAGTTGGGCCTTGGTCTGCGGAGGATAAGTACATATCTACGTTCCTGCTAGCTTTGGGGTTGGCTCCGTATGGCTAATCAAGTTCTGCCCTGCAAGAAGCGAGCCCCAGATCTCTTCATGTGGTCCAAGGGGAGTGATTATGCAATCTACAAAGCTAGATATTGAATGTTTTCTATATTATTATAGGTGGAGTGGTTTATCTTAGGAATTGGTGTTGTTTTCTGTTGAAACGCGGAGACTTCCTATGCTTGGAATACTCGACGTGTCGAGACAGGGCCTTTGTTACAGTGAAGATCCCTTGGAAAGTCAGATAATTACCCTTGTCTAGGCTTTTGGGTCTCAAGGCTTCGATTGAGGCTTAAACCAATCGAGCCAATATCTCTCCATTTAACTTTGTATTGAATGTCTCGACAGCTCCCCGAATTCTTCGCAGAGTCAAGTCTCTCAAATAGTAGAACTGCTTTGCTTGAAGCCCTTCTGTGGATTACTACATAGCTCTAGAGGGTTCATAGAGAGGGTTGCCCCCACACTTCCTCATGTTGGGGTTTATTTTCGAAAATATGTGTGATAACATACTTCTAGTAAGTAAATTCAGTTTTGTGCTGGCTCACTCACTACTTTGCCGGGCTATACTTAGTAACTAGCCGAGGGTATCATGTCTGAGAACCGAACGGACGGCGAGATTTTATTGCTTAAGTTTCAACACGATAGTATGCCCGGGCGCAGCTGAGGTGGATCAAGGTAACATTACGGAGTACATTAACCCTGATTCTGTCTAATGATTCAAAGTCGGACTATGACCTGGCCAACTAAGAATAACCGATCAATCCGATCGCTTAGAAATATACTTCGTGATGTGTCATAAAGTGGGTACGAATAAAAATAGACTAAGACAAGGATCCATCACAACCAGATATACGGAGTATAAACTTCTATATCAGAGGGTCTATTCCTCTACCATTAGAATCTTCTAAGTTATAGATCTCACAGCTGTTAAGTTTACAACGACTGTGTTTCTTGGCTTCTCTTTCTCAGATTATCCCCCTCGACCTGCAACATGTTGTCTTATACTGTTATTCTGGCTACCCTCTTTGCCTCCAGCATGGCTCAGTTCCCTCCATGTGGAGGACTTGGATCCTTCTGCAAGTCGACCTTCCGTTACGGACATACTCCCAACATGATCTGCGCTTGTCCTAGTGACAGCGTCTGCCAGGATCAAATCACGGTTGGAGACAGCTTCTATGCGTTCTGTATTCCTCAAACAAAGTATGTTATGAAATAAATTACATATCTATCTGGAGCTAATATATAATAGCTTACCCTCCAGCGAGAGCAATGGTAACTCGGTCAGCAGTTAAGATAAAGGAGTGGTGTCATGGTGATAGAGTTTTGATTAGGGAGGAATATCAGCGGAGGTCCTGTGAAATAGTAAGATGTTCAGTGATCATTAACATATCATGGCAAGGGTTTCTTCCTCATTGGGTTTTCCCCTATGCTGTTATGTAAATATGAGGATAAAGCTAAAGTCCTTGATCTTCACTGTGGACCATGACTCTCTTCTATTGACCTTAGTTCCCTGACATTATTATTAATCCTGCCACCTAATAATCTGAAACAAATGTCTTCCACCGGTACATATACGTTGCAACTTGCCTCTAAACCAACCAAGTAACCGGAGTACCCAGATTCTAGTATTTCTGACTTCCAGGATATCTTATTCTCTTCGATTGTTCAGGACCACAATCAGGGTAAAGGTTTTCCTTTGATGCTAATTAGCATTCCCTCCCTGCACTATATACCTTGAATTTTGGTCTGGACGAAAGAGGAGTTACACATACAGCTAGACCGACTCCCTCATGCTGCGTTATCGCTTGACAATGCTTTATAGACTATACAAATGAGAAGGCTGGTACATACGACCATAGGGTGTGGAAAACAGGGCTTCTCGTCCGCTCAGCCGTACTTAAGCCACATGTTGAACGCGGCCGACTGGAAAATGAGCCCTTTGGAAGTTGCTGCTTTATGGGTGAGCGCCGCTAAGGCGCAGGGTGAGTGTGGGTGATTTGGGTGATGTTGTCCAGGGCGCGGATGAGCAGGGTGAGCAAGTGGGTGAGCAAGCGGGTGAGCTAGACAACCCAGTAGGATTTTTGTGAAGTTAAATAGGGGCACTCGACCTGGTTATCCATCGCCTTTTTTTCCCCTTCGAGACACTTGTTCTCAAGTAGCGGCTTCAAGTGTGATCTTATACAGAAATCACTATGTCACATGATAAAAGCTCAGCGCTATCTGAGGTTGGTTGGTTGGTTATGTTTTACGGCCGTGGCTCACCGCCGAAGCGTGTAACCCACCATCCCCGATTGGGGCAAAGGCCGCCAGGAAGTAAGCCCTGGGTGTCTCTAACTAGTTGCTAGTTCTAGTTTTATGTACAAATAGGGGACTTTAGCACGTTTACATAGCTGAAGAAGAAGGCCTGCGGTAGCAGGTAGAGTTGATGCCAACTGCAGGGGTCCGCCTATCCTCCATGACCCAACTGCCTCTGCTGCCTAGTAAGTTTTTTTTTTTTTTTTTTTTTTTTTTTTTCTAGGGAAGGAAAGAGTGTTAACTCAGCCTTGCTGAGGTGGGGTGTATCGTGTGCAGATATCCTCATAGGATCGGATCTCAGATAGCTAGGCAGCTAGCTTGGCTGCGCCTTTTGGAGTTCCTAGTAAGTAGGGAATCATTTCAGAGGGGGGTCCCGGGGGTCGGAGCAAGCGTCTTTTTGCAATACAGCAGAAGAAGCAGTGGATTAGAGACTTCTTCTTACCACAGCGGCAGAGAAGGTGTGCGTCTTCATGGTTAAAGCGCTCATAGGAGTCTGAAAAGTCACCATGTCCTGTGCGTGCGGCCAGGATCCGCGAGAGAAGGGGGCGTGAGAGGCGTAGCTCTGCAGGGCACTTCGGAGAGGGGGTGATACATAGACCCCGGTATGGTTGTGGAGCCACAGGTTGCTAATGTCTCTGCAAAGCAGACATGGCATCTGCTCTTCTTAGTGAGGCGTACGAGTGCTTGATTAGAGAAGAGGGGTTCATAACAGTTCCCTTCTTTGCAGCTTGGTCAGCTATTTCATTCTCAGGTACTTGCGCATGATCAGGGACCCAGCAGAACCGTATAGAGCTCTATTAGTGTATGAAAACTTCTCATGTTTGAGCCAGGTTGAGGCAAGGGCCTGGAAGGATTCAAAGTCCTCCTGAGATGAGCCCGCGAATGGTGCTAAGAGACGTGTAGCCACCTCTAGATTGTCTAGGCAAATCTAGAGGTTGGTAGCAAATTGAGCTGTATGAAGTCCTAGGCTGCTTTAATCCCAGCCAAAGCTGCTTCAGCTTCAGTGTCAAAGACCTCTTTGTTCAGACCCAGGGGGAAGGTAGACTGGAGAAATTGCTTGCCAGACTGAAATAAAGCAAAGCCAGCATCTGTTATTCCATTTATTAGTTTTGAGCTGTTTGTAAAGGCCTTTATATTAGTTTCTGGGAGGGAAGAGTAGAAGTTCTGGAAATCAGCAGCTGCCTGCTTCTTTGACTGTGTGGGTGCCCTAATACACAGCTGGGCAGCTTCTCGTGGCTCCTGTTGGAGCCATAGGACATGTTTGGCAAGGGTTCAGTTGCTTTGATTCTGGCAAGGTCAGCACACGGCGTGCATATCAGCTTGTTGAAAAACCTGTGCGGGCTATCCTTGCTGCCCTCCTGCGGAGAGGGTGGTAGGGGTCCAGGAGGCGGAGGTGGACTGTAGCAGAGGCAGCTAAATAGTCAAGCCCAATCTTGGCTGGTAGAAGCCCTGACTCTCGATGGAGTGCAGATATTGATGTTGTATGGAAGACAGGGAGGACTGCCCTGGCCCTAGTTAGTATAATCTTAGTTATCTTATTAAGGAGACCTTGCACCCTGTTTGAGATTGACCCTGTATGGGGGTTCTGGGCATGGATGACCCGGCCACCAGATTTCAGCGCCAAAGTAGACTTTGCGGAGAACACAGGCTGTTATAGCTTGCCGCATGAGATATGGGTTTACCCCGCAACTGTTAAGGCCTTTGAAGTCATTTCTGTAACATGATACTAGAAGCTGAGCTTGTTATCGAAGAGGACCCTAGGTTATCTTAAGTAAGATCGGGCTCTATCTTCTAAGATATTAACTGGCCCTGCTGAAACCGAAGGCATGCAGCTGGGGTCTTGATCAGCCTTGCGTCGTGAGAAGTACATTAGCTCATATTTATCTGGAGCAAAGATGACTTCTTCTGAAGTGCCCCAGGCTAGGGTTTCCTGTAAGGAGATTCATAGGCTTTGACAGTTAGGCTCTAAGGTAGGGGATATTGCTAAGATAGCTGCGTCATCTGCGTAGCCAAATCCAGTCCTCGGGTTGCCCAGCTGGAACAGGGGGGCTAGATAGAGCATGAACAGGATAGGGATGTTGGTGAGCCTTGAGGTAGACCACAATATATAACTACAGTAGGCCCTAGCTCACCATCGAGCCGGATTTAAACTGAGCGTCCTGTAGCGAAGGAGGCTATCCAGCAAGTCATGTTATCAGACCAGCCTTGCATGCGTAGTCTGCAGACAAGTCTGCCTGGAAGAACCTCATCAAAGGCCCCTTTATCATGAGTCAGAGGTGTAGCTGTCTGTCTTTGGCTTAATACCTGCTCCACATCATGCAGTAAACAGGTAGTCAAGTCAATGACAGAACGAAGGGGTAAAGCACCGAACTGCTGACTAGTAAGTGTGACGGCCGATCAATATGATGACATTGGTGCTATCCTATCTAGAATTTCAAGCGTGAGGGGCTAGTATTACTAATTATATTTATACTCTATCTCTCCCCCCTCTTCCAATTGGATGGCCCAAAAGTTAGATTTGGCCATATAGATAATGCAGTGATCTTAGCTATCTTCCCGTCTCTGGAGACTAACTGCCAAAGTCTATCAGAATCCTTACAAGAGACTCTGAACTGGGGTTCTACAGAGGGAATTACTTTCACGCCAGATAAATATAAGTTAATACACTTTACGCAATACATGGCAGACCAAGATTCTAGCTGCACATTCTCAGTCTCAGCAGGCCAAGTCACAGTCTCTGAGAGCACAACTCGCCCATATCTATAATAGCTAGATATCCTTTTTAATAAGAAGCTTAGCTTTAAATATCATGTTAAGGATTTGGTATTAAAGGCCCTGACTGTTGTAAATACCCTCCGCAGCCTGTATTCTCCGCAAAGTCTACTTTAGCGCTGAAACCTGGTAGCTAGGCCGGGCACGCCTAGGCCCCCGTGCAGGTTCAATCTTAAATTAGGTCCAGGGATATTTACAGCAGATAACTAAGGTAATACTTGCTAGTTCCAAAGCGGTCCTCCCTGTCTACTATATAATCCTAATATCCATACTCCATAGGGAATCAAGACTTCTGCCAGCTAAAGTTAAGCTAGACTACATAGCTACCTCTGCCATAGTCTGTTTCTGCTACCTGGACCCCTACCACCCCCTTTACAGAAGAGCAGCAAGAATAGCCTAAACTAGCTACCAACTAGCCGCTTTATATATCGGGTATTGGCTTTACCTGAGTCAGAATAACTAAACCCACTATAATATGCTCTATAGCTCTTACAAGAATCACGAGAAACTGCCCAGCGGCAAATTAGAGCATCCACACAGCTAAAGAAACAGGCAGTAACTAGTTTCCTTAACTTCTATATATCTCTCCCAGACACTGATATAAAGATCTTTACGGTAAGCTCTAGACTAGCAAATAGAATAACAGACGCTGGCTTTGCTCTATACTAATCTAGAAAGCAATTCCTGCAATCTTTCTTCTCCCTCAGCCTAAACAAAGAAGTCTTTAATACTGAAGCTAAAGCAGTATTAGCTGGGATTAAAGCAGCTTTTAAGCTCCATATAGCTTACTATACTACTAATCTCTGGATTTGTTTAGATAATCCAGAGGTAGCCACACGGCTCCTATTATTATTCACAGGCTTATTACAGGAGATCTTTGAGTCCTTCAGGGCCATGGCCTTGACCTGGCTTACACGGGAAAGATTTCCATACACTGATAGCGGCTCTGTACGGGTCCTTTGGGTCCCTGGGTATATAGATATTGAAGGTAGCTGTTATAGATCCTCCTTCAAGTAAATAGTTATATGCCTCACTGCAACAGCATGCCAAAGCCAACACTGTATCTACTTTATAAAGACACTGGCAGTCTGTGGCTCTATAATCTTATCAAGATCTATGGATTATCTCCTTCCTCCAGTGCCCTGATAAGCTGCGAATTCTACATCTCCTACTTACACGGATTCTAGCAACTTGTACAGGATATGGCAACTTCACAACTTATCATGAGTGTTATAGTCACGAAGATACATATCTTCTCTGCCGCTATGGTGCAAGAAAATCCCCTATACATTTCTTCTGCCATGTTACAAAGAGACGCCTACCGCGATCTCCAGGTCCCCCTTCTAAAACAATCCCCTACTTGCTAGGCACTTCAAAAGGCGCAGTAAAACTAGCCGCCTGGCTGTCTTGAGACCAGTTTCTTTGAGAATATTTGCCCATAATAACCCCCATCCTAGCAAGACTGAGTTACTATATCTACTTCATTTTCTTTATTTCCTTTATTTTCTTTCTTTTCGAAAAAAAAAAAAAAAATACGCAGCGGAGGCAGAATGGGTCATGGAGTGTAGGCAGACCCGTGCAGCTGGCATTACCCCTCTACCAGCTACTGCAGGCCCTTTTATTCTTTCCTTTCTTGACTACGGCAGCTATGTAAACGCGCGAAAGTCCCCTACATGTACATAGAACTAGAACTAGCAGCTAGTTAGAGACACCCAGGGCTTACCCCCTGGCGGCCTTTGCCCCCATAGGGAATGGTGTGTCACATGCCTCGGCGGTGACACATCTGGAATTCTAGACAAGGAATGAGTGGCCAACCTTTGTTAACAGGAAATATTATTATATTAATGTCAGCTATCTCAGGCCCTTGTTTTGCAAAGAGATTAGAAAATAACAGACTTGATTGAGTGGAATATAAAGAATGTTGATCTAGATGGGTAGGCTCTCTTCACAGTGTTCCCAGAGCTGCTGCATGATCTTAGGTCCATACTCATCATTTGCTGCTGCCGCCATGACTATCTTTTTAGAGATAGGTAGGCTCTCTCCACAGTGTTCCCGGAGCTGCTGCATAATCTCAGGTCCATTTCCTTCATTTGCTGCAGCTGCCGTAACCACATCTTCAGAGATAGGTAGGCTCTCTCCACAGTGTATGCGGAGCTGCTGCATGATCTCAGATCCACACATTCTTTTATTTGCTGCAGCTGCCGTGACCACATCTTCAGAGATAGGTAGACTCTCTCCACAGTGTTCGCGGAGCTCCTGCATGATCAGAGGTCCACATATTCCTTCATTTGCTGCAGCTGCCTTGACCACATTTTCAGAGATAGGTAGGCTCTCTCCACAGTGTTCACGGAGCTGCTGCATTATCTGAGATCCATTCCTTTTATTTGCTGCTGCCGCCGTGACCACATCTTCAGAGATAGGTAGGCTCTCTCCACAGTGTATGCGGAGCTGCTGCATAATCTCAGATCCACACATTCCTTCATTTACTGCGGCCGCCGTGACCACGTTTTTAGAGATAGGTAAGCTCTCTCCAAAGTGTTTACAGAGCTGCTGCATGATCTCAGGTCCATTTCTTTTATTTGCTGCAGCTGCCATGACCACATTTTCAGAGATAGGTAGGCTCTCTCCACAGTGTTCGCGAAGCTGCTGTATAATCTCAGGTCCATTTCTTTTATTTGCTGCAGCTGCCGTGACCACATCTTCAGAGATAGGTAGGCTCTCTCCACAGTGCATGCGGAGCTGCTGCATAATCTCAGATCCACGCATTCCTTCATTTGCTGCTGCCGCCGTGACCACGTCTTCAGAGATAGATAGGTTCTGTCCACAGCGTTGCAGTAGATATCTTATTTGGTCTTTAGGATATTCTATCTTCAGCATCTGTATTATAATATCCCCAACGATAAGTGATATGCCATGCTGTCTTTTTACTTTTTCAGAAGGTTTCTCTTGGTAATATGGTGCCACAGAAATAAGCTCTCTTTGATATCTGGGTCCATTGTTGCTTTCCTTATCAGCTAAGGATATTTTCCAGGTCACATAAATGTCATTGATGGATTCCTGTATAGGAAAGCTGTTTCGAGCAGGAACCATATCAGGGATTTTTATATTTCCTCCTGGCTGAAGTTTTACCGTGCTCACAATAACAGTGAAGTGATCGTTGCAAAGCTCAATAATAATAGGACTTGGAGCTCCCTGTAAAAGACAGATAATATTACCTTCCTGAATTGATTCTGCGGAAGCTTGCAGTGTCCACTGGGTGCCCCATATATTTCTGTAACCTAGCAAATGAGCAGTATTATTATAGTTTATATTGATCTGTTGATAGCCATACTTGGAAATTCTCTCTTCAACAGAACCAACATAACCTAGAACCCATCCCTTTCCTTTAATCACAGCGACCGGTATTTCAAGCCATGTCTCCACAGAGCATGCACCTGGAAATATATGCATAGCGATCTTCTTGTAGACGTCATTCCATTGAAGACGGTAGTTTGGTTTCAAATCGGTTTTATCCGCATCTTCTACACTTAAGCCTAGCAATGCGTAAACTTTATCATGCAGTATAGTGGCATGATGATTGCGATACATATCCAGCAATTCCCCTATAGCAAGTGTTCCACGAGAAACAATTTCATACCTTGGCCGGGAAAGTGCACCCCTTATAAGGTGAACGACTGGACGGATAGTCCTTGGTAAATTAAGGGAGTACCCCAAGGTACTGAGGCCCTCACAGAAAACATGCCCATTTATTTCCACAGAGCCACAGATCATAGAAATACATCGTGCGACACCAACCTCCTGAAGCACCTATCACAGCTGGTTAGACTTATATATAGATATTTTGATTCCTTCTTACCCATATACGTTGGAACCATTCCCGCTGTAACAACTTCAAGCAGGCATCGTTACTTGTCTTCTGGCTCTGACCTAGTAAATATTTATCCTGTAGACTCTGGTCTTCTGCAAGGCGGTGAATTGTTTTAAGCGCGTTATCACCGTCCTCTATAGCTTCTCCCAGCCAGACAATAACGCGATCGGCTTGTGCATAGATCGCCCGCATAAGGAGGATTTGTATGCTCTTCTCATCGTTGTCATCTTGGTCAATACATATTGCATCAACCCATATAGTTCTCTCCAGCTGAGGGTCTCGGAGATGCAACAAGGCTGTATAAAGATTCTGCGTAACAGGGAGGGCAATTCTGTTCAGAAATATTGTACATGGTTTACTTTCACTGCCCCATACATAAGATAGCGCCTCGTAGAGATGCTTTCTGCCACTCCTTTCCGGTAAAACATAGTTGAAGAGCTCGCATTTTATCTGGGGATCATCTTTCTCAGGCGGCAAAAGACGGACTAGACGAGTAGTATTTGGCCCGAGCTGAAGCGTTGAATAGGGGGTGTGTTTTGATTTTGGACACATGGGTTACAGCGAGATAGATCTTTTCACTTCTAGAGGGAAGATACACAAGGCCGTTTCGGGGCCAAGGAGGAGAGATGTTATTATTCTAGCGAAGTCAAATATAAGCATTCTGGCTTCTAACCATCTTAAATCAACTTTATGGAGGGGATACTCGTTGTTAGTACTAACTTAGGTGGGTCACCATACATGACGTGGCCAGGTTTAATAGGCCTAATTACAAGGCTGAGTTATTTGCTCAAGCTGAACTTAGGAGGGGTTGTGAGCTTGTGATATACATTAAACAACTTAATGCCACCTAGCCAGGCATTACAAGGATATGATTATAGAAAACCTTTAGCGTAGATAATATGAGGATCCATTGACATCCAACATAGGCGGTAAAGACAAACAATACTTTGAAAATAAAATATATAGGCCTTTGGTCTGGTATGATATACACAATCTGGTTATAATACCCTTTTGTACTTTACCATGCTTACGCGGACTAATGATGGTCCGAGTCTATATCTCAAAGGAGCTTAGCGTGGTTTCACCCCCAGGGTTGCTGAAACAATCGAAGAGTTTAAGTGGTGACACCAGTATCCGGACAGATGTACAAATATCGCGTTCTGAATAAATAGCTAAACCAGATTTTTGGATAAGCAAAAGTAGCTTTTCAATGTGATAGCATATTTAAATATCTCGATATCTCCTATTGTACTCGCATCTTCTAACCATAAGTTCCTAAGTAATCTACATAGTATATTATGTCACTTTACACTAAACAGTATAATGCTGCCGCACCTTTAATTGTGTCACTCCTCTAGAGCCCGCCAGGAGGGTAATTCAGCTAGATAGTGAAGCAGCTCAAGTCTCTGAACACCTAGATCCAAGCCAAAAATAGTTACTACAGGCAAAGATAAGATAACAGGATATTCGATCTAGATCTCTTCTCTAGATCGTATAATTAGATTAAAGAGACTGCTACTACATATCATAATTCCCGCGACACGAAGACATTCAGAAAAGTGCAGGCTACATTAAAGAATATTATAATAAGGCTTCACTGGCCAGACACCTGGAATACTAAGTAGAAGCAGTTTATAGAATATTATTAAAGTCTACCTAAATAGCAGTCTGGAAAGAGATTATTTAAGAAGCGTCACGGGTAAGCCTTAGGCTTATGGCCCCGATGGCAAGTTGCGATACTATATATACCGCGCCTGGGAAATCAACTCCGATCGGAGTTGATCATAGTGGATCTTTTACCTAGTGGAAAGATCCTACGTATCGAATTGCTAATCCCAGGAGTAATCCTTTACACTTATGGGGTGATCAGCCTACTGAATTGCATAGGCAAGGTAGTAGAAAAGGTGGCCGCTGAGGCTATTTCTAGCCATGCTGAGGTATCGAGGGTTCTATATCCAGGACAGATGGGGAGCCGCAAGCAGCGCAGTGCAATTAATGCAGTAGCCTGCCTGATTCAGGAGGTCTATCAAGCGTGGGGTCAGAAACAGCTGGTAGGAGCCCTTTTCATGGATATAAAGGGGCTTTTGACCATGTAGATACTGCAAGGCTAGTGAAGCACATGCTACATCTAGGCCTAGACATAGATCTCTATTAATAGATACAATTATATCTAGCAAACTGTAGGATACAGCTAGTGATTGACTAACAGGTGTGTTCTGTACAGCTGATTGAATCAGGGGTCCTATAGGGCTCACCAGTATTCCCTATCCTTTTCATTATCTATCTAGGGGCGATCTTCAATGCTATTAAGCAAGCAGTTCCTGGTATCAGAGTGTTATCTTATGCAGACAATATAAGTTTGCTGATATCGGCCAGCTCAGTATAACAAGCCTGCCAGAGATTAGAGCAAGCTGCTAGTATAGCTATTGAACAGGGTAAGCAACAGGTAATCCAGTTTAACACAGTAAAAATAGAAGCAGTTATCTTTCTAAAGAAAAGAGGCAAGAAGCTTAAGGACCAGATTTAATAGGCTAAGATCTAGATAAAAGGATATAGAGTCTAATTTAACTCTAAAGCTATATAATGACTTGAAGTATGGCTGGATAAAGATCTTATCCTAAAGGCATATTATCATATCTATCTATATAAAGTATGCAAGGCAGAGATCTAGATATAAGCTCTATACTAAGAACAAGATCTATTACCAGGTCTAGTATAATATATTCAGGTAGCTGCTTTATAGGCAGTAGCTCTATACAGAGCAGAGCTCTGGTAGCAGGGTCAAAAGAATTAAGTTATAGATATCGAATATATAATAAATTAGCAGATATATTTAATTATAGGAATACTAAAAACTATCCTAATTAAGCTATTTATTAAAGAAGCAGCTCTATATCTAGTAGAAGCTCTATTAGATAGATACTAGAGATAATATACCCTAAGACTACTAAGACTGCCTAAAGACTATCTAGCTCAGGCTATTCTACTGATTAGCTCTCGCATGGGAGACTGCTATACATTAGCCTAGGAAATAGTCTATAGATAACTGACTATAGGCAGAAGACCCTAAGATTTAAGGCCTATAGAATCTAGGTCAGTATCTAGCAGCCAGAATAGCTAGTATCTTGAAAATAGATTTCTTAGCAGAATTTAAAGAAGTAGTGGAGACTTTTCCTAAGGTATTTCCAGGTACTATACTAGTTCCTGTAGAGAAAGAAGCTCTTAAGCAGGTAATGGCCTTCTATAAGGCCTAACAGTGTAGTCAGATAGATTCTATCTAGAGAATAGACAGACTAGTACAGGCATTGCATAGCTAGAGCTTTTAGATATATAGAAGACTAAGTAAGTACTGCTAGGGCAGGGAAAAGAGATATTCAATACAGAACTAGTAGATATGTATAAGGCACTTGAAATATCCAAGTAGATGGGATATAAAGGCTCTGTTAGGGTTCTATTAGACTCCTAAGCAGCCATAGCTTAACTACAAGACAATAGAACTGGCCTAGGGTAAAGTTAGTTAATTTAGGCCCAAGGTACAGCTTAAAGTCTTCAGAATTAAGGATATTAAATCACTATTTAATAGATCCCAGGCTATCAAGAAATCTTAGAGAATAAGAAGGCTAACTAAGCTGCTAAGATAGCTACAGAAAAGGCCCCTAGAGATATAGACAGGAGCCTCAGTCCAGTATACCTACATAGAGCATATACTGAGATAAACCAGGCCCAGAGATAACAATAGCTAGTACAGGCCCTGGAGAAATAATCCTACAGGGCCTAATAGCACTATAGCCCCCAGAAAGAATAGAAACTAGATTCAGTAATAGAAGCAGTACCAAAACAGCTTGCTCGATCGCCTGCGCGAGCAGCTCCTGGGACAATAGATACCCTACCCTGTCGCGCGAGTTAGGGTAAGCTCAATGGTGGATTATATATCGTCTGCATTTGCCCTCTCCGGGATGAAATAGAGCTGCGATACCAAAGATATATACATTACTGGACACGAGTAAAGCCCGGGTACATAACAAGACTAACAGTGGCAGTATCAGGACCTAGGCCGAACCTGCCTGGGGCACCAAGTCCGCTCTATTCACTGATTGATCTGATTCTACAACACAAAATCCCACAGTTCTCGTATAATAGAATCCTTTCTTTCTTTTTCTCTTCCTTCTCTACATTTGATGTTTTGTTAGATCGCCACGTTAGATATCAATGTGAATAGGATCATCACAGGCAGCAGAAAGAAAAGACCCAACGGGACATTGCCAGTGTCAGTCAAAATGGCTCGAGTTGTCGGCAAAGGGTCACGGTCCTTGCAGCAGTGGAGGCCACAGACCGACTATGAGCGATGGCTCGAAGAACACAATGAAAACTACCAGCCAGGGTAGGATGCACAGTACCATCCATCTATTCCGGGTTACAATGGTCAAGTCCCTGTATATCACCGTGAAATAGAGGACAGCCCGCGTCAAAGGGCTGATAGTGTCCATTCGACACAATCTGATATCACGCATCTCCAATCGTATAAGCCTCATGGCGAGTTCTTACGCCAAGTGAGTGCTGGGCCGCCTTCCGCACTGGGAGATGCTTTGGCCGACAGTGCTCGAGGGCATTGCCCATATCAGTTGGACCTATTTTTTGTCGTAGTTATCGCACTCCTACAGATTGCAAAGTACCTTGAAAAGAGACGCCGTCGTGCAGCTGCTCCTTCAATTCCTGGACAAACAGTCTATTAATCTTCACAGCGACGAAAAAATTCCAGTATAAGTTTGCACGCTATAGAGATGGAGTGGAACAGCTATGATAGCTGTGGGAGCTTGACTCTCTGTTTCTTGCTTCTTTTCTATCATTGCTACTTCTACAGGAGAATATGCCAATGACATCTGTATCTTACTCTGCCATCCTCCGGCCTGCCCGTTATCATGTAATTAGCCCGCTGCCATGGTGTCTTGAAAAAGAAAAAAATAAATAAATAAATAAAAAAAAAAGGAAAAGAAAACGGAAAAGGAATGTAAGAGAAACGAAGAAAGAAAAGAAATATATAGCATAGTCTCTCCTGGATGTACCAGACGGCGAGCACGAAGCCTCCTACCGTATTATTACCATTAATCCTATAATGGGAGATGTTCTTCTGATACCTTCTCTGTGCTCTCAGAGACTGAGCTTCGCCCCCTCCCCCCCACCCTTCCCCCGGCCCGTGCTGGTCTAATGTAGGTCTAATCTGATCCGTCGTTGCCGCAGTCATCTTACAGGAAACCAGTCTCGTAGTTAGGCGCCATTTCATAGAATTGGCGTGATGTAACTCTACCATGCTAATCCGTATTGTCGATCCAATTTCGGTCGCAATAAAGATTCACATTGGCCGAGGGCATGGTTGGTGTGTGGATACAGGCTTGTAACTAAGGCCTCCGCTATCGTTCGTCTTTGGTTAAGTGGGTACCTGCTAAGATAAACCTTGCATAAGTCAAACATTTGGTGTCGATCAACCAGTCAAAGAATTGAAACCCTATTCCCGATCATATGATACCGTCTGGATGGTCGATCCATATCGGCTAATTGGCCAGCCTTGCCCTCATAGGAGATTGTTTCCTAGTTCTCCATGCAGTAGTTCATCCGTATACGAGTGAGCTGAACAGTATCATAAGAGACATTTTAGCTGGTTGCAAGGTATTTATCTTGGTCGTTAATCAAAGAGAGTGATGGAACAACTATTGCTCAAGGCCCCAACAGTCCCCAATAGCCATATGCTTCATAGAAGTTATATAGATAATGCCCTGGGCTACTTACTATTTCGCATTGGTAACAATCTCGTCGAACCCAGGCGGATACATTTGGGTATAGTTTCCTATCTTGACTGCCCCGCAGCCTCTACTATACTGTGCAGCACATCCCAGCTTTGCCGTCGGATAATAAACCTTAGTCGGGTGTTTCTAGGGTCAGACTTAAAGCCCCAGAATAGCTTTTCATGGCAAGCCTGTCAATCACAATCAAATTATATCAGGCCTCTCAACAAGTCACAACTTACAAGTCGAACTATAGTGAAAGGGCGTTCACATTAAGTCTTATTTATTACCATACACTCAAAAACTTTTAGTGTTTCACTAGTCATTGACCGAGAGCGTCATCCCGAGAGAGTCTTTCGAGGATCAGACATTAATGTATAACGATGGATGATTGTCTATTGGGTACCCCAACCAGCTCTTGCCCATACACGACCCCAGTAAGAATTAGAGCTGAACCCCGGTTCCCCACAGTTGCCATATTAAATCCCGATGTAGGTCCACAAATGCCCAACTCTCAGCGTGGACGCGAAATCTACCTAGTCACAGGCTGGTGGGACAAGTTCTAAAGCTCAAGCCAGGGGGTCCAATCAATGCTAGACTTACTAGCTTTTTCCACTCCGGTCAGCAAAAGCTTATTTGTGGAGAGAGAGGACTAAACCAACGTAGTAGCTACATTATTGCCTCCAGTACATCAGGGGTCAGTTCAAGAAAGAAGAAAGATAGACTAAAGAAAGGTTTATAGATACAACTAGATTAGCTATAGTAAGCCGAGATCAATCCAAAATACAGCCTAATCCTGAAGTTGACGTTTCATTAGTAACAAATCAAGTCCTTTTCAATAAATAAAGGAAAGATGTGTTAGATACACTATTCAAATACTAATAAAGTACAAAAGAATCTAATTCATCATGCATTGGTCATGCTGCAAATACTCTAAACGAAAGAATAAGGTATTATATGCGTAAATCGCCAGTCGTACTATGCAGGCTGCTGGTAGGGTTTTCCACTAGATGAATTAGCACCTAATACAGTATCATGACTCCCTTTTCCCTCTAGGCAAATATTCAGGATGCCGATAGACAGATACATATGTCTATGCTTCATTAACGGTCCCCATTGGCCTCTAGTAATATTCAAAGTCTGTGAGCGACATCCCTGTTGCCGGTGTTTCGCAGGATGATTGGCTTTTCGTAATTTCATCAAAGTATATCTATCTGCCCAGACTTTCATAAGTGTTAGTCATATAATAGGTCTATGTGGAGATAATGTAGGCACTCACGCACCGTATTCCTTGAGATAGATTTATCCGTCTCTATCAAAAGGCCCGAAGACTTTCTTAGGCAGAAGGGACTGTATATTAAGGATCTAGAAATCATCATGGATGGCATTTTATACCCGAAGCGTCATAAATCAGGTGATTTCATTACTTATCCTCACGATTTGTTCGTCCACTTTTTGCCACTCGAATTTCTGTCGGGGTTGCGCACTAGTTGGTATGAGAAATTAAACCCGTAAGCCAGTCAGTAATATACCATCCTATCGTTAGTGTATTAATAGAATTACAGACGCGCGATTTCAGGTGCGCAGGGAATCGTCCTTAACATCCCTGACCAGGGTTCTGGAGGCGCCCGGCAATAGTGCGCCCTTCTCTTGCACTAAGGACGCCCTAGTAAGACGTGTCCTAAGTCAGCGCATACTCAAAGTTAGATCGGGTGAACGAGTTCAAAGCTGACGCAGTGGGAGGTGAACTGACTCAGCCTCGGCTCAATAGATAATAATCTAGGAATATTCTCAGGGCCCCTACTTGGTTCTTCCTACCTGTCAATTCCTTTCATCCGAACCGACCGCCAAAAGATGACTCCCACGTTGGACCCCCCGGAATCTTCTCTGATAGAGCAGGTTAACTCTCCACCAAAAGTATCTTTACAAATCCTCGGGACGCATAGTACGAACGAACAGATCAAAGTGATTGATTTTGATCTCTGGATCGACTGTTCGAAAGTAGTAGGAATCAGATCTGGGAAGTTCTTGACGAACAGAGAAAGCGATTGCCGGTCCTGGAATCACTCCGCCAACCAGGACAGCTGCAACTTCGAGGAGATATTGGATGGCTGGCTTAATGACTGGATGAGTAATAGTAGGGACGGGCGATCGTATGCTTTCCTAGCCCAATATCTAGTACTATGCTAATAGAACCCCGGGTTTCAGCTGGACGCTTTCTAAATTAGTTTCTTTTCCCGATGACGATTGCGCTGCGATGAAAGCTCATATAGAGAGGCTGGCACGCAACACAGCCTACGATGGGTCTATTGAGGTAGTGTTTCACACTCCATCAGTAGAGGCAGACGCCTTAGCCGAGAAACACAAGGTGCAAATTCGAGCGGAGTGGAGTTTTGATTGTCCTTTTACTCCCGCAGATCAGGTATGGAACGAGCTGGTAATGAACGCAATGGTCGACCGTAAGAAGGGCTGGATCTCTCCGAATGAGCCAAAGCTACCCTACGGGATGTCTCCATTCCGAAGGGCTATCAGACATGATAATAATTCCAGGATTGTATCGCAGGAGCAGGATGCGGATGGGTTTACGCGCTCAATACGGCAATTCTCACGATAGGGCTGTGACGGTTCATCATGAAAAGGAGTTAGGTCAATATGGACGAACAGCTTTGTTATTACTCTTGTCGCTCTGTGTTATTGTTATTATTATTGTTGTTGTTGTTGTACTGTGGCTCTACTTTCATTGTTAATGGGTTACATTGCGTTCGATGTTGTGGAATAGAAGTTGTTAAACTAGGCGCTGATGAGCTTTCTGCTTAGGAGCAGGTTTATTTGATTAAGCATTGAGTCATTTGCATGAGCAAGCTATATCGCTGGCTGCTCTGAAGAGTAGTAAATACCATGAATTGTTGAAAATCTACATGTAGCAGGACGTCTAGCATTTTAGTAAACTGTATTGCCTATTGTACAGTACAGTACATCAGTCTCGCATCCCTTGTTGGTAAGAATGAGTGAAATCAAGACTTGTTCGGGAAGACGCAAGTAAGAGAGGAGAATATGGAGTATCGCGCTTAATACGATAGCCGAATAGGAAGTTCTAAGACTCACACATCCTAGTAGAGCTACATCGCTCACTATCGTACAGTATTATAGCTCCTAGGGATTTTCGCGTCTATTGTGTTGTGGTTTTAAATGGTGATCTTTTATTATATACAACTTGTCCATATTTAGATTTGTCTTGTCGAAAAATAACCACGCTTGTGTTTAAAGTATTGTGAATCAAGTTTGGGGAAAAGGTATCAGTAGGCTTTCATACCGTCGCTGCAACAAGTTAGGGCTATTTAAGTCATGTGCCATGTTGGGGTAACTGTCATGGAAGAGAATGTATTCAAAACGGAAGTAAATCGAGTATAGCCCCTAAAGATCTTACTAAAAGTACGTTCTCTATTGCCGTAGTTAAACATTTCCCTCTCTCCGAGACAGGACAAAAAGCCTGATCTTTGACGTTGGGAATGAAAATCGAAGACCACAAGGGCAAAAACATGCCACCATACTCGGGGATATTTTCACACCTTAGGTAACGGAGAGACTCGATGATACTTGACCTTACTAATACAGTATAGAGTCTGGCTGTTGCAGAATGAGAAACAGGCTGAGAGACCGTTTAAGGTGATGCTACCTGTACTATATCCATTTATGAACGGAGCAGCCACCGAAAGAATTGCCAACCATGCGAGTTACATCAATGCAATACTGACTTTTGACTTATTGCTACACATCCTTCCATATGTACTTTTAACTCAATCCCCTTGTCCTTGCCCATTGCCTTTTAATAATCCCAGAAACAGATTGTGATCCCACGCGAAAGACCCATACAGTACATTTACTACCAGAAAGAGCAACGCCACGCTGTACAGCGTCTCAAATGACATCCTGATTGCCTGTCATCGTGTAACGAAGGCGGCGGGAGCCGGACTTGCAGGCATATCGACTTGGTATGCGTTTGTGCCAGATAATCCTATCTCAATCAGACATGCTGTGATGATTTGCCATGAAGCAACTCACTGGACATATAGTGATACTCGAAAATCCCTTCTTCCAACTGTATTTCGGCACTTTCTGCGCTTGCCTGGCTACCTTTCGGTGTGGTTGTATGTCGAGCTTTATCGGGACCTAAAGCGCATATGTGCCATGTTAGAAGACGGAAGAAAGAATGGAACAATCTCAAGAGCTTACGATTCCGAGACAGGCGATGTTTGAGCCACTTTGGCTGGCATTTCCCCAACGATAAGATGAAGACCGGGACGCCAAAGATAACTGCCAGAGAGCCAAAAACAATGTAAGGAATAGTATCAGTTGAAAGAGCCATGGTAGAAACAATTCAAAAACGAGAAGGGTACTTGAAGTGAAAACGAAAGCTGAGTGAAAATGCAAATAAGACGAGAGAGGATTGGGTATCGAAGCCTTATAAACATCTCTCAAGCCATATAAGTTGTCTGTATAGTGATAGATAAAAAAAATAAAACTTAATCTTTAGTACAGCGAGTAGATTCGTGTCGATCTATCCCGAAACTGAAGTGTTGAGAGGAATTGATGAGGGTAGAGTGCCTGGTTGTCAAGCCACCAGAGGTTCTTCAATGGTAACATGATTGATAGGCTGAGGCTTAGGTCATCTGGACATTATTGAAAAGGAATATCCATAGAATTAGAAATGTTCAAAATATCGAAAGTTTCCGAGACTGTTGTGGACACCGAATAGGCACTGGCATGCGGATGCCCTGGCCAACAGTTTTGCATAAACCAGGATGTATTTGGCAACAGAAAGAAACAGTGAGATGATGTGCGATGCGCTCAATCCCTTCGTTTCGGAATTTACACAGCCAACTGAGCCACCAATGGCACTGGTAGAGACAATCAGGCTGCTAGGGTTGACCCTATCGGCAAGTGTATTTTGGGAATAAGGGAATAAAGGGGATATAATGGCACCTGCAACTTTCACCTCATTGAAGGATACTAGTGGTAATAATCATAAATAGAGACACTTCCAAAAAAGAATTAAAAATTAAAAAAATAAAAATAGCAACAACTATAGTGTGCGTGTTCACTGTACTTTTGATGCCATGATCTGAGCGTAGTTTGGCTTGTCGCTTAGTCTGTTGCGCGCCTCACAACTCTACCTACCTTTCGCTCACACTCTGTTATATGTGTTTATAATTTTGATTTTCTCCCGTTTTAATTGGTGAATGTGATGGGGAAAATTATGATTCAGTCTCATGAGTTATCCTTCCGGAGAGCTTTGGCGAGAGATTAAACAATCTCTCTAAAGTCAAGGATGTCATCCACCTCGATTGACAGATCAAGTTTATTGTTTAAGTGAACCCCGTATGTGTACAAGGTAAAAGCTAAAGCCTCACGGTCCCACATCAGTTTATTTTGTTGGCGATCCAGGTGTTGGCATCCTAGAGTTGAAGTACCCGTCATTGAAATGCGATGTAAAAAATGTGATGCAATGCAATGTAATATTCGGAGTGCATAAGGTCATGAGGCGAGGTTAGATTACACCGGCAAATAAGTACTTAATGCGTGCATGGGATGTCGAAATCTAGGGGGTGCCCACTGAGGAGATCAAGGTACACCTGCACTTCCACTTCCAAACCAGTGATTTTTTATGCTCTTTCTGTTTGTGTCCCTTTTTGATTTTCTATTTTCATCTCCTCTCACTTCTTTCTCCTTTTCTCAAGGGCGAATTGGCTACGTGGTACTTACGGTCGAGAACTGTCTGGCGAAGGCTTTCGACGCATATATAACCTAAGTGGGTTAGACGATAAGCCTCCCTACTGTGCGTAACTTAATTCCATTACTCACTCCATGTCCCCTATATCCTATGGTATTTCTACCTGCTACGTAGATATCTTGATCGTCCGTGGACCAGTAGGATTCCGTCTGTGATCGTCACCTCCCTAGTAGTTGCTGGACAGATACTCTGCCACACACTAGTAGGGACGTACTATTACTAATCTTCTATCCTGAGGCTTCTTGACAACGGCTAGTTTTGTATAATATCCGATATCACATACTGCCAAACGTGCCTTTCTCTAGAATAACGGTCACTGCAACCAAATACTGCTGGTATAAACGTCTTTCTCGTCACCCGGGTTTGGCTCACTGCCATGGGAAGATACCAACTCTGTAGGATCCGGTTGTCTAAGGCTGCCTGTAGCTTTGTCTATCCAGTGTCCAGCTGGAATACACATCATTTGGGGGTGATTTAGCGGTGAATCTTCTCGGCGTTAAGACTTTCCGGTATAGTGAGTGGAGATTTGAATATCATGCTATCGTAAAGAAATGAAAAAAAAAGTTACTTAGGATATTCCTTTTTATATAACAAGATTTATTATTTTCTTTATTTTCTCCAGGAGGTCT